AATTTAAAAAACATGTCTATAACTCTCTATTTTCTCAAAATATTTTTATTTAAATCTTATCTTTACTTTTAATTTCTTATCAAATTATTATTGGCCATGCTTTAGGTCACAACGTGAAAATTTCTTTTCGAAATCTTTATTAGTACTTTTCTTCTGTACATGATAAATTAATTTTACAAACATTCATTTATTACAACTACAACGTAACTATCATATTTTTACCAAAACATGTCCATTTAACAAAGTAAGGAATAAAAATAGATAAAATATGATAAAATAATTATAATTTTTAGCATATAATTATATCATAAAAATAGTCAATCTTTAAAAAATTAATTTAAATCCAAAATGACTGATAAAATTGATATATAAAACTAATAGTGGGCATAAATCGAGGTCCGGAATTTAAAAAATTGTTTAAAAATCCGAATCCCATTTTTAAACTTTTCGAAAACTAAATATAAAATTTTTGTACAAATAAAGTAAAAAGCGTTTTAGTCTTTTTTTTAATAATCTTCCCATACTTCATCCCCAGGCATCTCGTTCAGATCAAAAGGATAAATTTTCTTATTTAAATCTATTTTATTTGAGTCATTTTCAAAACTTTTATTCGGCTCTTCTTCGTCGAGCTGCTTTTGCTTGTCCTCTTCATTATTGTTTTTTTCGTTTCGCTGATTAAAAATAATTCCTGCCTCACTCATAATTGGTAATTTACCTTTATTAATAAAATTGTCAGTCTGTGGATTAACAAATGAAGTTCCTTCATTATTATCAGTTTGAATATTTTTATTTTTTCGGTAATATTTTCGTTGGTATTCATTCCATTTTCCTCTGTTATTTTGTCTATACATTTTCTGGTTTTTCAGGATACTTTCCTTATTTATTTGGCGGTAAACCTTCATATATTGACTTTTTTTAGTTTTATATTCTAATTTATTTTTATTTATTTGATAGTAATTTCGCTTAGTTTCAGCTATCTTTTCTCTGTTCTGTTTTCGGTATTTTCGACTATTTTCAAGCAACCTTTCTTTATTTTTCTGATAATACTCTTTATTGTTTTTCCTTTTCTTAAAGAGTTTGTCTCCAATACTATTTTCTTCTATGTCGTTTGTATTATTTAATCTTGGATTTAATACTTCTTTATATTTTTGCTTTTGAGGATTGACCGACGATTCAGCCTTATCATTTAATATTTTAGAAAAATCCTTTTCCGTGTAATCCTTTTCAGCAACTAAACTCTGTTCAGTTGAAGTATAGTTTTAACAAAAGTCCATAATAACCAATTGAAGATAAAAATAGTTAAAAAATTATAATAATTTTCATCCTAAACAAATTTTAAAATTTATTTAATAATTAACGGAGAATATTAAAATTTAATTTTTATAAATAACAATTTGGGAAGGATATAAGAACAGTGTGGAAATTTTGCACTATTAGATGTATAAAAGGCAATAAAGAAATAACCGACATATCAGACACAAATTAAGAAATATCAAAGGACAATTGCACTTCCATTTTAACATTTCTAAACATAAAAACAAGTAAAATTCGTTGAAACGAAAGTGCGAGGTAGAAAAAAGCAAATAATAAATACTATGTTGTAAATGCATATTCGTTTGTTTAATATTTTTTACGATTACATCAGAAAACGTAGAGATGTACTTAATATTGTAATGCCGGGATCATTCTAAGAACACGTGAAGATCAATCATTGCTCTAAGCAACGGAAAATGCCTGAGCAAGGCATAGAACGCCACAATCAATCATTGAATGAGAGTTGTTAGCCTCCCATTAGAAAAGCTTAACCTCGCTATACAGCTAAATATCTCCTCTGCGTGCGAGTCATCTATTTCTATACTCTGCGGAGTTCACACATGATTGCAACAAGTGCGACTTCTTAAGACATTAACTAACCAACGAGGCTGCGAAAATAAGGAAACTTCTTTATTTTGAATCTGTCGGAGACAAGACACATGTTTATATTCAATAGAATTTATTTAAATAATGATACCGGCTCCCGAGATTTATCGTTTCCACGGTTCCATTTCCGTAAATAAAACCGCACCGTCATGCGTTCAATAGTTGTGAAGTGTTGCGTCGCAAGCAAAAAATTTTTCGTAATTTTTAAAATTATGGCAATTTAATAAATTACGGCAAACCATAAATTGACATAATTCACGACGCAACACTGCTAAAAACATTTCTTCCATTTTTGGAAAACTTTTATTTTTGGAGCAGTTAATTACGAGCCTTATAGCGGTCAAACTACTGGCGTACTAATAAATTAAAGTGAAAAAAAACTTTTTTTACATATTTTAAACTAATTTATTCAAAAATTATAAAATATCAGCGAAATGGTGTCCAATTACAGCGTTTAATGAGAGATTTAAAAATTAAACAATCGAGAATGGGGAACTGAAATTATAGAATCTACAATCATTATGATTGAACTGAATAATTTTAATTGTATTTATTTATTTAATAAATCCAATATACAACTTCATGGGACACATAAATTATGCATTAGAGTTATTTTTTTTATTAATCTTCCAATTATTCATCCTCCGGTTTCTTGTTCAGATCAAAAGGACGAATTTTGTTATTTGAATCAACTTTATTTGTGTCATCTTCAAGAATTTTATTTGGCTCTTTTACCTCGATTAGATTTTGCTCTTCCTCTTCCTCGCAATTATTGCATTCTTCCACTCCTTAAATGAAAAGGTTTACTGGATCCTCACAAACAATTAGTAATTTAACTTTATTAGTAAAATCAAGATTTTGTGGTTTAACAGATGAAGTTCCTTCATTATTATCAGTTTGAATATTTTTATTTTTTCGGTAATATTTTCGTTGGTATTCATTCCACTTTCCTCTGTTATTTTGTTTATACATTTTCTGGTTTTTCCTGATACTTTCCTTATTTATTTGACGGTAAACCTTCATATATTGACTTTTTTTAGTTTTATATTCTAATTTATTTTTATTTATTTGATAGTAATTTCGCTTAGTTTCATTTATCTTTTCTCTGTTCTGTTTTCGGTATTTTCGACAATTTTCAAGCAACCTTTCTTTATTTTTCTGATAATACTCTTTATTGTTTTTCCCTTTCTTAAAGAGTTTGTCTTCGAGACTATTTCCTTCTGTGTCGTTTTTATTATTTAATTTTGGTTTTAATACTTCTTTAAATTTTTGCTTTTGAGGATTGACCGACGATTCAGCCCCATCATTTAATATTTTAGAAAAATCCTTTTCCGTATAATCGTTTTCAGCAGCTAAACCTTCTTCAGTTGAAGCAGTTTTAACAAAGGTCCATAATAACCAATTGAAGATAAAAACAATTAATAAATTATCAATTTTCATCTTAAACAATTTCTAAAATTTATTTAATAATTAACGGAGAATAATAAAATTTAATTTATATAAATAACAATTTGGGAAGGATATAATAACAATGTGGAAATTTTGCACTATTAGATGTATAAAAGGTCAATAAAGAAATAACCGACATATCAGACACAAAATAAGAAATATCAAAGGACAATTGCACTTCCATTTTAACATTTTTAAATATAAAAACAAGTAGAATTCGTTGAAATGAAAGTGCGAGGTAGAAAAAAGTAAATGAATAATTACTATGTTGTGAAATCATAATTAGATTATGTAATATTTTATCCGATAAAAGGACATGTATTACATCAGAAACATAGAGATGTACTTCAAATGTATTAATTTCTATTATTTTCTTCTTTGTAAACAGAGCCCGTATCATAATGAACAGGGCCCGTATATTTATGCATCAATAGATTTAAAGATGAATATGGATATCCACCGGAATTTTGATTGCTCTGCTGAAATTGCCTATCAAATCACTTGAGAATGTCTATCCATTCATTTCAAAACCTTTCCGCTATAATTTAATTAAATGAGTTGTTTTCTTTTGTTGGGAAGAATAAATTATTAATTGTTTGAATAATACACAGAAGTAGGTATGGGCGAAAGTTGATACGGAAGACACGCGCAAGTTATTCGGAGAGAAAAGAGAAATTATTTTTAAAAATGAGTTGTTTAATGAAATTATTTAAGTTATAAAGGTTTATGTATATTTTCTCCTAATTGGGTGGGTTTGTCACAAGATTTTTTTAATATTTACAATTTTGTGGTAATTTTTTGCATTGCGTGCATTCTTACTTCATTTTTTTCCTGGGAGCGGCGATAGACACGTAGAAAAAGCAACTAGAGGATAAAAAAATCAAAGAAATTGGAATGCGACTCTAGTTGTTTATCGCCACTCGCAGCAGATAAAAGGAAGTAAGAATGCACACGGTAAGCATGCAACGAACGTAGAATAGAGAACACTAGAGTACTGAATTATCTCGGGTTAGGGTTCGAATTTAGACATAATTTTATGTAAAAAACTCTCATAAACTATAGATAAATAGATACTAGCAAATATTTTTAAAAATCTGTCGACGTAGTAAAAAGTTATTAATTTTTAAAATATAGCTTTATAGTTGAAACACCCTATATATGGAGAATTACACCGATCATTTAAGTTAATTTAAATAAAAACTTTTATAAAGGGATTGTGTAGTAATGGTGTTTATAAATCGATTAATAATTTTTTGATAAGCATTTTTCAATAAATTAAAAGAGCAAAGATTTAAATAAGAATATTAAGAGAGAAAGGAAAGGAATAGGCATGATTTTCACATTGTTTTTAGGTTACAATGTTGAATATATAGGCTTGTAACTTCAAAAAATAACTTCAAAAATCAAGGAAATATAATATCGTTTTTAATAATCATCATCATCAACAGGCGTCTTGTTCAGATCAAAAGGATAAATTTTCCCATTTGAGTCAAAAGAATTTATGCTCTTTAGGCTCTTCTTCCTCGATTTGATTTTGCTCATCTTCTCGATTATTACATTTTTCTTCCCCTTTTTTATTAAGTTTTCCTTCCTCAAAACTCTCCTCGCAAACAATTGGTAATTTACCTTTATTAGTCTTTGTTCAGTTTTCGGTATTTTCGACTATTTTCACGTTTCCTTTCTTTCTTTTTTTGATAATTTTCTTGTTTATATTCACTATTGTTAATTACATTGTCCACTCCATTATTTCTTTTTGTGTCACTTTTTGTTAAATTTTCTTCATATTTATGAAGTCTAAGATCAACTGAAGATTCAGCTTCATCATTTATTATTTTAGCGGGATCCTCTGCCGCGCAATCTTTTTCAACTTGTCTAGCTAGACTTTTTTGAATAGCAATAGTTTTAACAAAAGTCCATAATGACCAATTGAAGATAAAAACAATTAAAAAATTATCAATTTTCATCCTAAACAATTTCTAAAATTTATTTAATAATTAACGGAGAATAATAAAATTAAATTTATATAAATAACAATTTGGGAAGGATATAATAACAATGTGGAAATTTTGCACTATTAGATGTATAAAAGGTCAATAAGGATATAATAGACATATCAGACACAAAATAAGAAATATCAAAGGACAATTGCACTTCCACTTTAACATTTCTAAATATAAAAATAAGTAAAATTCGTTGAAATGAAAGTGCGAGGTAGAAAAAAGTAAATGAATAATTACTATGTTGTGAAATCATAATTAGATTATGTAATATTTTATCCGAAAAAAGGACAAGTATTACATCAGAAAACATAGTGATGTACTTCATATGTATTAATTTCTAACATTTTCTTCTTTGTGAACAGGGCTCGTTTCATAAGAATGTGGTTCGTGGGAAGTTAATTCCCGAGAAGTTTATACCTTAAAAATATATAATTCGTAATTTAAAATCGCGAGAGTAATACAATTGAAAGTTAAGTATTTGTCTCAACTTTATTGCGCATAAGCTGTATTTGCAAAAGAAACAGATTTTTTAAAATTTAAAATTGCTAATTTTTTGGACAAATCTTATCCAATAATTATTAACGATATCAATACAATTTACTTCATTGTTCTTACTATTTTATTAATATTTAACTTAGAGAATGTCAAAATCTAAATTAATTTTCTACTTTCAACTTTGCACTTTCTTTCAACGTTAGTTTTATATGCTTCCCAAATTTTCATTTAAATAAAGTCAATTTTAAATTAAATTTTATTATTTCTCATTAATTTTTGAATAAATTTTAAGAATTTCAATGATGAAGCTTACTTCTTTTTTAATCGTTTCAATCTTTTACAACATACTTATTATTCATTTGCTTTTTTCTACCTCGCACTTTCAGTTCAATGAATTTTACCTGTTTTTAAATTTAAAAATGTTAAAACGGAAGTGCAATTATCCTTTGATATTTGTTAATTTGTGTCTGATATGTCGATTATTTCCTTATTGACCTTTTATACATCTAATAGTGCAAAATTTCCACACTGTTCTTATATCCTTCCCTAATTGTTATTTAATTAAATTAAATTTTAATATTCTCCGTTAATTATTAAATAAATTTTAGAAATTGTTTAGGATGAAAATTAATAAATTTTTAATCGTTTTTATCTTCAATTGGTTATTAATGACCTTTGTTAAAACTGCTTCAACTGAAGAAGGTTTAGCTGCTGAAAAGGATTACACGGAAAAGGATTTTTCTAAAATATTAAATGACTAGCGGAGTTGGTCGGCCTTCGGCCGCCCCACCCCGCTAGCAAAAACAGAACAAACAAAAAACAAACTCCAAATCAACTTATCACAACATCAAAATTGGCCCTAATCCAATCATAATCAGAAAAACCCGATTATCATAACATTGATCAACATTAAAACATTTCCTGATTACCAAAACATTTAACAAAGCAAAGCATCTAATAGGATACACATAGACGCTCGTATGACTCCGCTAGCATAACAAAACAATTCAACTCAAGATCCGATTCAAAAGCCTTCGTCCGACCCAGCTTGTTTACCCATTTTTTCCTCTCAATTCCGCCTGCTTCACATCACCCTTCATTCCCCCTGCTTCATATTCCGCACGCTTCACAATTCCCCCTGTTTAAATATTCCGCCTGCTTCACATTCCCATTCATTCCCTTGCTTCATATTCCGCCTGCTTCACTATTCCCACTATTTCACTATTCCGCCTGCTTCACACTTCCCCCTGTTTTAATATTCCGCCTGCTTTATAGTCCCCCTTCATTCCCCTGCTTCAATATCCCGCCTACTTCACAATTCTCATTGCTTCGCAATACCGCATGCTTCACTTTTCAATATTCCGCCTGCTTCACAATTTCCCGTTTCAATCTTCGCCTGAAATTTGACGCCTAGAACTTGACTAGTTCCTAGCGCCTAGCACTTTAAAGGAACGTTGACGTCTATCACTTGACACATGCACGTTGACGCCTATCACTTCAAATGCACGTTGACGCCTAGCACTTCAAATGAACGTTGACGCCTAGCACTTCAAATGAACGTTGACGTCTAGCACTTAACACATGAACGTTGACGTCTAGCACTTGACACAATAACGTTGACGCCTAGAACTTGACACATAAACGTTGACGTCTAGCACTTGACAGATGAACGCTGACGTCTAGCACTTGACAGATGAACGCTGACGTCTGCACTTGACACATGAACGTTGACGCCTAGAACTTGACACATAAACGTTGACGTCTAGCACTTGACAGATGAACGCTGACGTCTAGCACTTGAAAGATGAACGCTGACGTCTGCACTTGACACATGAACGTTGACGCCTAGCACTTGACAAATGAACGTTGACGCACAGCTCAAGAGGACACAGGACTCCAGCGATCGTAGACGTAACACAGCAATGTTGAGAAGTGTTGAAAGCAGTTGAGGACTGACCAAAATACCCTGCTTTTATACTATCTTCTTACCCTTACAACCTAATTCAACTGGCAACGATTTACTATAAAAACCCCCCTTTTCCTCACTCCCCCAAATCATTTTACTATAAAAACCCACTTGTCTATAAAAGGACAAACAGACAGACAGACACACTCTTCTCAATTATATAATAAGATGATGCTGAATCGTCGGTCAATCCTCAAAAGCAAAAATTTAAAGAAGTATTAAATCCTAAATTAAATAATACAAATGACACAGAAGGAAATAGTATTGGAGACAAACTCTTTAAGAAAAGGAAAAACAATAAAGAGTATTATCAGAATAATAAAGAAAGGTTGCTAGAAAATAGTCGAAAATACCGAAAACAGAACAGAGAAAAGATAAATGAAGCTAAGCGAAATTATCATCAAATAAATAAAAATAAATTAGAATATAAAACTAAAAAAAGTCAATATATGAAGGTTTACAGCCAAGTAAATAAGGAAAATATCCGGAAAAAGCAGAAAATGTATAAACAAAATAATAGAGAAAAGTTGAATGAATGGGCGCGAAAATGCCGACAGGAAAAGAAAAATCAATCTAATAATAATGAAGGAACATCATTTGTTAATCCACAGACTGGTGATTTTGATAATAAAGGTAATTTACTAATTGTTTGTGAGGAACCAGTAAACCTTTTTAATCAAGGAGAGCAAGAATGCATTAATGGCGAGGAAGAACAAAATCAAATCGAGGTAAAAGAGCCCATTAAAATTCTTGAAGATGACACAAATTTAATTGATTCAAATAAAAAAATTCGTCCTTTTGATCTAAACGAGTATCCTGAGGATGATGAATCGGAAGATTAATAAAAAAAATAACGCTAATGCGTCTTATGAAATTGATATTGGATTTAATTTAAAAAATCAATCAAAATTAATTTTGAAATTCAGTTCCAGCCATAATAATTGTAGATTCTATAATTTCAGTTTCCCATTCTCGATTGTTTCATTTATAAATCTCTCGATAACAACGCTGTAATTGGACTTTTTTCGCTGGTATTTTATAATTTTTGAATAAATTAGTTTAAAATATGTAAAAAATGTTTTTTCGTTCAAATTCATCATTAGATGCAGAGTTTGTCCACCATAAAACTTGTAAATAACTGCTCCATAAAATAAAATTAGAGGATTATTATTTCTCACAATTTTTCAATTTTTTATTATATAATTTCAATTTAAATTACATTATTCCTCGTCTATTTTTAAATAAATTTTAAAATTTGTTTACAATGATAATCGGCATCTAAATTATGAAATAATTTTACACAAATTCAAACCATCAAAAAAATAATAAACTTTTATACGGAAAAAGGTAAAATTGTATAAACAAGCAGAGAAAGGTAAGTGGATAGAAATGCCATCATTTAAAAGAAAAACATATAAAACACAATAAAACACAATTTTATCTTTAACGAAATTAATCAATCCTATATTTTCCCACAAAATTGTAAAAATTTTCAAAAAAATCTTGTGACAAACCCACCCAATTTGGTGTAAATATAAACATTTATAAATTAAATAATTACATTAAACAAACATTTTTAAATATATTTTCATTTTCTCTCCGAATAACGTCTGCTGACGCCCCCGTCTGCTGACGCCCATACACACTTTGAGTATTATTTAGACAATTAACTATTTATTCTTCTTCAACAAAAAAACAAATCATTTATTTAATTATAGCGCAAAGGTTTTGAAATAAATGGATAGACATGCTCAAGTGTTATCATAAATGCCATTTGAGAGTCAATCTCAGTCGAGCAATCAAAATTCCGGTGGAGATAAATACATAAAATTAATATCATTAAAATAACAGATGTCACAACAACTGCTTATAGGATCCGAACTCAAAGATCCTAAGGAATCCAAATTAATCTTTAAAATAAATAGAATCAAATATCTTCCTTCTTAATAATCTTTCAATTCATCTTCAGGTTCCTAGTTCAGATCAAAGGGATATATTTTCTTATTTAAATCGATTGTGGCATCTTCAAGAATGTTATTTGTGTCTTCTACCTCGATTTGATTTTGATCATCCCCGCCTTTATTACATTCTTCATCCCCTTGATTAAAAAGATTTCCTTCCTCCTCGCAAAAAGTTGGTAATTTACCTTTATTAGTAGAATCATCAGTCCGTGGAATTTCCTTACTATCATGTTAATTTTCTTAAGAGTACGTTTTCTTGAGACAATCAACTTAAAATCAAAACTTAAAAGTCCTACATGTTTACGTGCGGGTATAGGCAATATATCTATTGTTCGTTTATATTATTTACTATTTTATTTTATTATTAACCTTATTCACGTTTACCAATTATTAGGAGGAAACTCAGAGAACATAATTGAAGAAAGTTTTCATATTTTAAAATTATTTGTAAATTTAATTTGGAAATTTGTCTTGTATAGATCAACTAAATTAATAATAACAGAAAGAAACTTAACTGGTGAAAAATAAAAGATGGAAGATTAAAATTTTTTGAAAAGAAAAGTATCCGTAATGTTAATATTTTTCCAAATCTTCATCCTCAGGTTTTTCGTTCAGATCAAAAGGATAAATTTTCTCATTTAAGTCAAAAGGATTTATGTCTTCTTCAATGATTTTATTTGGCTCTTCAACCTCGATTTGATTTTCCTGATCCTCGCCACTATTGCACTCTTCCTCCGCTTGATTAAGATTTTCTTCTTCCTCGCAAACAATTGGTAATTTACCTTTATTATTAAAATCACCAGTCTGTGGATTAACAAATGAAGTTCCTTCATTATTATCAGACTGAGCATTTTTATTTTTTCGGTAATATTTTCGCATATATTCGTTTAGCGGAGCAGGACGAATAGGCGCGGCCGAATAGGCGCGGACGAATAGGCGCGGCCGAATAGGCGCCGAGACAAATAGGCGCGGGACGAATAGGCGCCCCAAGTTATTTTTTCCCAGGAAATTTTTTTGTTCTGATGTTCTGATTTTTTTGTTCTGATGTTCTGATTTTTTTGTTCTGGTGTTCTGATTTTTTGTTCTGATTTTTTTGTTCTGATGTTCTGATTTTTTGTTCTGATTTTTTTGTTCTGATGTTCTGATTTTTTGTTCTGATTTTTTTGTTCTGATTTTTCTGTTCTGATTTTTTTGTTCTGATTTTTTTGTTCTGATTTTTTGTTCTGATTTTTTTGTTCTGATTTTTTGTTCTGATGTTCCGATTTTTTTGTTCTGATGTTCTGATTTTTTGTTCTGATTTTTTTGTTCTGATTTTTTGTTCTGATTTTTTTGTTCTGATGTTCCGATTTTTTTGTTCTGATGTTCTGATTTTTTGTTCTGATTTTTTTGTTCTGATGTTCTGATTTTTTTGTTCTGATTTTCTGATTTTTTTGTTCTGATTTTCCCGGCCTACCCTCCGTAGCAGCACAAAAAGGTTTTTCCGGCGAAGATTCAGTTGGTCGTAGCTTTGTTCAGAATCATCCAATCGAGCTGATTTTGGTGTCATTCAATCTCTCGATATCCCTCCTAATCCCCAAATACACAATATCCATCTCTCCAAATTTATTGATATCTACCTTAATCCACCGACTAATAAAACTTTTGTTTCTTTTTTTAATTAAGATTTTAAAAATGTTAGCAAATCAGGAGAAAAAAATCAAAAAAAATCTGAAGAAAAAATTCAGAAGAAGAAAATTAGAAAAAATTTTCTGGGAAAAAATAACTTGGGGCGCCTATTCGTCCCGCGCCTATTCGTCTCGCGCCTATTCGTCTCGGCGCCTATTCGGCCGCGCCTATTCGTCCGCGCCTATTCGGCCGCGCCTATTCGTCATGTATCGTCGTTTAGTTTTTCTCTATTATTTTGCTGATAAGTTTTCTTGTTATTACGTATCCTTTCCCTATTCTTCTGATAGTAAATTTTGAAATATTTACTTCTTCCTTCCTTCAACCTGTCTTTATTTATTTTATAGCGATTTCGCTGATTCTCATTAATCCTCTCTTTATTTTGCTTTCGGTAATTTCGAAAATATTCTTTCGTTTTTTGGAGGCGAGGTTTGACTGACGATTCAACCTCTTCATTTAAATTTCTAGTTTTAGTGTAATCCTTTCCGGAATGCCTTTCTAATCCTTTTTGTGTTGGAATAGTTTTAACAAACGTCCATAACATCCAATAGAAGATTGAAACAATTAAAAGACAAGCAAGTTTCATTTTAAACAAATTTTAAAATTTATTAAAAAATTAAATGGAAATAATAAAATTTAATTTAAAATTGAATATGTATAAACTTGGTAGATTTTATAATAAAATTTTATGAAATACATGTAGTTATAAAGGTCAAATAAGCCGGGAATTTCAAAGTATCCGGCAGACAATTGTTGAGATAATTAAGTGCAACCTTGCATTTCTAAATATAAAAACAAGTAAACTTCATTAAAATAAAAGTGCAAAGTTTTTTATTTGTTTTTCTCTTAACTATTTAGCTGTACTTTAAGGACATGCGAGCCATGAAAATATTTTTTTAATCTTGTCATCCAAAAATATTGAGCTTTAAAGTCCCACAAGTAATATTTAAATCGCTTGATTGTCTAGTAATTTACTTTTTAGATTATGCACTTTCCCATCATTAAATTTTAATTGTGGTTGTCTAAAGAAATGTAAAAATTTTGAAATTTGGTAATATGTATTGCATCATTGCTCTTTTATACATCCTTTTAAATACACAATTTACTCCTCTCCTAATTTCATTTAAACAAATTAAAGTAAAGCGGTTGGCCCCGTTCCCCAGTGCCTTGTTGTTTAGTTGATGTTATAGCAGAGCCGCGCATGTTGCAATAACTCCGCAGAGTATAGAAATAAGTTAATCGCACGCATTGGGGGAATATAGGGAAAGCTCTTAAGGGAAAATATAGGGAAAGCTCTATAAGACTCGATGAATTAGCCGGCCGGCAACTCTGTTGAATGAATGAAGAAGTGATCTGCCTTTGCCTATTCCATTAGAGCTTATAAGCACCAGCCTATTCACTAATCGCTTTCCCAAGGATAAGTTAGTGGCGATAATAAACTTAGATAATAGGAGGCTAATAACTCTCTGGGAATGGCCTTTGTAATATTCTTTGCACCTTCGTGCAAACTTCCGTTAACTAGAGCGACATTGCTCTTCATGTGTGTTTAGGATGATATCCTCCTTACATTAATTATAAATTGGATCATATTATTTTTGGTTAATTTTTGAATAAATTAAGTTTTCTAGGATGAAACTTGCTAGTTTTTTAACTGTTTCAATCTTCATTTGTATATTATGGACATTTGTTGAAATCACTTCTGATGAAGAAGGTTTAACTGGTGAGAAGGATTATATGGCAAAGGATTTCAGTAAAATAATAAATGATGGAGCTGAATCCTCGGTCAATCCTCGAACTCAAAAATTTAAAGAAACGTTAACAAAAAGTGGCACAGATAGAAATAATGGAAAGGGCAAAGGATTTAACAAAAGTGAATATCATCAAGAATATTATCAAAAAAATAAAGAAAAGTTTCGTGACTATAGTCGCTGAGGGTGAAGAATGGGATGATTATTAAAAAGAACAGCTTCTGGCCAGTCCCACGAAATCTATTTTACAGAGTGACAAAAAAGTAACCGGGCACTTTTCATTTCGTCATTACTTTATTCTTATTTATATTTTTTAATATTTTTATGCTCATTTTGTAGTCCAAACAATTCTCGTTTACGATTTATAAGCCTGTTTAAATTATTGAACCTTTTCTGAGGGATTCAGAGTTCACAAAATTTAAAAACCTCGCAATATTCTAAAAAGCATTGACGATGACGAAATTGAACATTTAGGGGTTAAAAATATTTTTTGATATTTTTATATTTCTTGTGGGATTTTATTTATTTTTTGTGTGGTGACTCAGTGAGTCACTTTCCATTTTTAACAATATTTTTGTGTATTTTTGCAATGTACTTTACATTGCATCATTTTTATTATAAAAATTTCTGCCTATAAAAGATAGGCATAAATTTCACTTTCTTAATGTACTTTGGGGTCATTCATTTTATATTCTTCGTGATTATTTATTTAGAGATAAAGATTTTAGTTGTGTTGTTGTGTTTATTTGTTTTTTATCTAGGTTAATTACTCTGATGCTGGTAGTAACAATGCTAACTGTTGTGTAGTGTTATCGCTATAGTATAAAAGCCAGTGAAAGCGTCAGTCTAGTTGAATCATACTAGCGCGGCTAGTCCCTGATTCCCGTCGTCTGTTCCAGCCCTTTAACCTTCGCCTACACTTTGTTTATTTCTACGCCGGATAAATTGTTATTGTTGTGCACGTCAACATCCAGACAAATCTCGGACACCTCCGGTCGTAACAAATGGCGCGGTCGACTACGGTTCCTGCTCGTCTACAAACTACGATCGACAACAGCTTCAAAGGAGACGAGTGGCATTAGTGTAGTGAGGCGAAGTGTAGTGAATTGCTATAAGCAATTAGTGAAGAAGGAGTGTGGACTGACGTCGTAGTGTAGTGATCGGCAAAAAAAATTAAGATCAGTGCAGTGGACCAGTATTTAGTCAGTGACCGAAAAAGGACTCAGTGCGAGTACCAGTGGTCTAAGTTTAAGGTTAACAACAACCTAGTTTAAGGCAAAAAAAAAAAAGCCTAGTGGTCCTAAGTGCACGAGCCGATCGAAGTCAAAATCAAGTACCTGGCATTAAAGAACATGTAAGTCCAGAAGTTAAAAAAAATTGAAAATTGAATAAAATTAAGTATAAAAATGGCCATACATAAAAATGAAAGTAAAATTAAACTTGGCAGCAAAAGAACGCGTAAGCCCAATGTAAAAGTAAAGTCTAAACTTGGCAGCCAGTGAAAGCGTAAGTCCAATGTAAAGTCAAGTCAAATTTGGCTGCAAGAGAAAGCGTAAGACCAAAAGTAATTCGGCTGAGGTCAAAGACCAAGAAGCCTTATCAATGAGTCACCCAGACTACACATAGTGTATGTTCAGGAAAGTGTTGCGGTATCTAGTCTTTGAAAGAGGCAGGATGTATCAGACATCCTTTGAGTGGTTATTAGTCGTAGTATTCAAGTAAATTATTCAACCACGAGCCATCCTAAAAGTACACAGAAAAACGGCACCGTACTGCGCACTAGCAGAAATGTTAGTGTTGTGGAGTTGAGTTCATTGAAATTCAGTATAAATTATGCTTAAGCAGAGCCAAGATCGTAAGTAGATCCTCTGAGCCTGCAATAAAAAGTCAAGCAGTGCCAAGATTCAAAAGTGATCCTCTGAGCCTGCAGTAAATAAATTATTAGTCAATACACGAGCAGTGCCAAGATCAAAAAAGTGATCCTCTGAGCCTGCAACGAAACATTAAGTGAGCTTATGGACAAGCAGTGACAAGATCAAACAAGTGTCATTCAAGGACGTGCGTTGCCCTGTTTTGTTCCTCTGAGCTTGCTGTAAACGACAACGATGACTGCGACCAAAGAAGAAGAAAAAGATGTGGACAAAAGATGACAAATTATGATTTCGATAAATTTTTGTATTGTAAAATTTAATTTGTTTTTGTCCCTTTTTGTCATCCCACATCTTTGTATTTTGTTGAAAATGAGTGTTTGCTAAGTGAGACAGACGCTCTGGCTTTAAAGATTGTATAATAGTCTAAAAGACTATAGTGATATTATCACAACAATTGAAAGCTTCGGCTTTAAGTGAAGCCGAACCTTTTTTTCAAGGGGGGAGGAGTTGTGTAGTGGTATCGCTATAGTATAAAAGCCAGTGAAAGCGTCAGTCTAGTTGAATCATACTAGCGCGGCTAGTCCCTGATTCCCGTCGTCTGTTCCAGCCCTTTAACCTTCGCCTACACTTTGTTTATTTCTACGCCGGATAAATTGTTATTGTTGTGCACGTCAACATCCAGACAAATCTCGGACACCTCCGGTCGTAACACTAACTATCATCAGATAAATCGCTAGCTGCAGATAAATCCGTAGTAACTGCTAAAGATTAAAATCCGTAGTACTATCCGCAGCTAAAGTACAAAAAAATCGGTATCTTTAACTGCAGATACCTAGCCATAGTAACAATGCTAAGGATAGGGTAGCGGATAGGGTATCGGCTAGGTTCCTTCCTATAACAAACGGAAGGAATCGAACCCTTATCATTTGAAACATAAAACAACACCACTAACCACTATACCAAATGACTACTTTTTGCGCACAAAAAATTTTAATAGTTATACTTTCCCCTTATTTTACCTATCTGCAAGGTATCTGCAGATAAAAAAATCCGTAGCTGCAGCTACATATAATTAGCATCGTTACTACGGATTTTATCTGCAGATTTTTTTATCTGCAGCTACCCTATCTGCAGCTATGTCGCTACGGATAGAAATCCTTAGCATTGTTACTACCAGCATGAGGGAATACTTAATCCGAGATATTTTTAATTCCCTGTTAAAGAATAGGAAGGTGAAATAGTTTTCCTAAGAAAGAGGTTTCCTAAGAAATTAGTTTTCCTAATAAATTTTTATTATAATTTCTATAATAAAAATGCAATGTACTAAAGTACATTGCAAAAATACACAAAACTATTGTTAAAAATGGAATCTAGTTGGCCAGCCTCATAGTTTTTAATATAAATTCCATTTTATGTGAATGAATAAAAGTTATTGACATTATGTTTATTTTATATTAAATTATGATATAAACTAAATATTGAGAGATTTAATTTGAGAAATTTAATTAAATCTAAGAGAATGTCAATTTCAGCTTTTAATAAAAGAAACTCAAATTTAACTTTAAGGAACTCATAAAATAAACAAAATTTTTTATATTATCTTCTCATTCTTCATCCATAGGCATCTCGTTCAGATCAAGGGGATAAATTTTCTCATTTAAATCAAAAGGATTTATGCCATCTTTAAGAATTTTATTTGGCTCTTCGACCTCGATTCGATTTTCCCGATCCTCGCCATTATTGCATTCTTCCTCCCCTTGATTAATATTTTCTTCCTCAAAACTCTCTTTAATTTACCTTTATTACTAAAATCACCAGTCTGTGGATTAACAAATGAAGTTCCTTCATTATTACCAGATTGAATGTGAATGTTTTTCTTTTTTTGACGGTATTTTCGCTTGTATTCATTCCACTTTTCTCTGTTATTTTGTTTATACAATCTACAGTTTCTCAGTAGCCTTTCCCGATTTTTTTGATAATAAATTTTCATATATTGACTATTTCCTTCCTTATTTCTTTCTAGCCTTTCTTTATTTTTTTGATTGTAATTTCTCTGATAATCCTTTCTTTTTTCTTCATTTTGTTTCCGATAATTTCGTTTTTGCTCAATCACCTTTTCCTTATTCTTTTCATAGTAATTTTGACTATATTTAAGCAATCTTTCTTTATTTTTTCGGTAATATTCTTTATTATATGCACTTCTGTTAGACACTTTTTCTCCTCCATTATTTCTTTTTGTATCCTTTGTATTATTTAATTTTGGTTTTAACGTTTCATTAAATTTTTGCTTTTGAGGATTAACCGACGATTCAGCCCCATCATTTAATACTTCAGTTGCCTTGTAATCCTTTTCAGCAAGTCTAGCTAAACTTTTTCGAATAGAAACAGTTTTAACAAATGTCCAGAATATCGTTATGGATATTAAAACGATTAGAAAGCTAGTAAATTTCATTTTAACCAAATTTTAAAATTTATTTAAAAATTAAAGTGAAATAATAAAATTTAAATCCGATTTAAATAAATAAATTCGAGACGGATATTAAAATAAATTAGATATGTTTTGTAATATAATTTTTAAACCAAATAGATTTATAAAGGTCATCCGAGCCAAGAGAGCCGAAGTATCCGACAGACAATTTATGAGAACTCTAAGGACAACCTATTTTACATTTCTCAAAATAAAAACAAATTAAATTCATTGAAATAAAAGTGCAAAGTCGAAAAACAAATTAATAATCATGCAAGAAAAAGAATGCCGTGAAGGCATTAGCCGCAAATCTGTTTATTTTACTAAAATTATCTCAGAATTATTTACATTGCTTTTTCAGAAACTAGAGGTCATTGTGTCTCTACCCTATTGAAGAAAAGCTTTTTATAATTTAGATTATAGCATTTTATTAATTCTCATAGCAATTTAGTCAAAATTTTCTCATTATTTCTTAATTATTAAGTAATTTGCTAGCTTCGACTCGCACTTTACCTTACATGAATATTTTGTAATAAAAATTTTTAAACCAAATAGATTTATAAAGGTCATCCGAGCCAAGAGAGTCGAAGTTTCCGCCAGACAATTTTTGAGAACTCTAAGGACAACCTATTTTACATTTCTCAAAATAAAAATAAGTTAAATTCATTGAAATAAAAGAGCAAAGTTTTTTAATTGTTTTTTCTCATAACTATTTAGCTGTACTTTAAGGACATGCGAGCCATGAAAATATTTTTTTAATTTTGTGATCCAAAAATAGTGAGCTTTAAAGTCCCACAAGTAATATTTAAATCGCTTGACTGTCTAGTAATTAACTTTTTAGACTATGCACTTTCCCATCATTAAATTTTAATTGTGGTTGTCTAAAGAAATGTAGAAATTTTGAAATTACGTAAAATGTATTGCATCATAAATCCTTTTAAATACACAATTTACCCCTCTCTTAATTCATTTAAACAAATTAAAGTAAAGGCGGCCCCGTTCCCCATTGCCTTGTTGTTTAGTTGATGTTATAGCAGAGCCGCGCATGTTGCAATCATGTGTGAACTCCGCAGAGTATAGAAATAAGTTAATCGCAAGCATTGGTGGAATATAGGGAAAGCTCTTCCCTATAAGACTCGATGGATTAGCCGGCCGGCAACTCTGTTGAATGAATGAAGAAGTGATCTGCCTTTGCCTATTCCATTAAAACTTATATGCACTAGCTTATTTACCAATCGCATTCCCAAGGATAAGTTATTGGCGATAATACATAAACTTAGATAATGGGCGGCTAATAACTCTCTGGGAATGGCCTTTGTAATATTCTTTGCAACTTCCTGCGAACTTCCGTTAACTAGAGCGACATTGCTCTTCATGTGTGTTTAGGATGATATCCGCCTTACATTAATTATAAATTGGATCATATTATTTTTGGTTAATTTTTGAATAAATTAAAAGTTTTCTAGAATGAAACTTGCTCGTTTTTTAAATGTTTCAATCTTCATTTGTATATTATGGACATTTGTTAAAGCCACTTCTGATGAAGAAAAAGTGGTGAGAAGAACTGCTGTTAAGGATTATATGGCAAAGGATTTTAATAAAATATTAAAAGACGGGGCTGAATCGTCTGTCATTCCTCAAATTCAAAAATATAAAGAAACGTTAACAAAAAATAACACAGATAGAAATAATGGAAAAGAAAAAGTGTTTAACAAAAATGAATATGATAAAAAATATTATCAAAAAAATAAAGAAAAGTTTCGTGACTATAGTCGAATTTACAATGAAAAGAATAAAGAAAGGGTGCTTGAATGTAAACGAAATTACCGAAAACAAAATAATGAAAAGATAAATGAATATAAGCGAAATTACTATAAAATTCATAAAAGTAAGTTGAAAAATGATAAGAAAATTTACTACCAAAAAAATAGAGAGACGGTACTGAAAAAACAGAAAATATATGAAGAAAATAATAAAGAAAAGCGGAAAGAATACAAGCGAAAATACCAACAAAAAAAGAAAAATGTTCAATCTGATGATAATGAAGGAACTTCAAATGTTAATCCACAGACTGGTGATTTTACTAATAAAGGTAAATTGCCAATTGTTTGCGAGGAGAATTCTGAGGAAGGAAATCTGTTTAATTCAGAGAAGGAAAATTGCAATAATGGCGAGTTTCAGCAAAATCAAATCGAGGAAGAAGAGCCAAATAAAATTCTAGAAGACGATTCAAATAAAATAGATTTAAATATGAAAATTTATCCTTTTGATTTGAACGAGTTACCTGGGGATGAACAACTGGAAGTTAATTAAAAGAAATGGAACTTGTCTAGTTTATTCAAGCGATAAAATCTATTTTACAATTAACTCCGCCTATATTAATCATTTATTCTTTTGGTATATTCTTTATTATATTCATTTCTTCTAATCACTTTAATTTCTACACTCTGTCCCAAAAATATACATCCACCTTAAGTCCATAAGTTGTTAACGGATTTGAATGAAAATTTCTTCTTTTGCCTTTTTTGTATTTCTTATTTTGGGTTCAAGTTTTCTTTATATTTTTGAATAAGAAAACTCCGGTACTAAACTAATCCAAAAATTTAATGAAATTAAATTTAACAAAATTAATTATTTTTAAACTTGTAGTTTGACCAATTTATTGATAAAAATAAATATTTAATAATTTATTTTAAAAATAATTCTATACTATATAAAGTGATTGGTCTTTAGTCTTTAGTGTCTATATTCTCGATTATAGGATTGTCGGTTCATTAGATTTTTAGATAACCGAAAACTAATTATTCACAGTTTATGGATGGATTTGAATAATTTTAGTTTATTTTTATGTCTAGTTATAAATGTACAACGTATGTATTTTAAAAACAATAAAAAATAAAGGCAATTTAATTTTATAATTTTAATTAAATCCAAGAGAATTTCACTCAAACACTGTAAATAAAAGAAAATAGAAACGTTAATGAAGCTTTAACTTAACAAATTTTTTTATTAAACTTCCAATTCTTCATCCTCAGGCATCTCGTTTAGATCAAAAGGATAAATTTTCTTATTTAAATATATTTGATTTATGTCATCTTCAGGAATTTTGTTTGGCTCTTCAACCTCGATTTGATTTTGCTCATCCTCGCCATTATTGTATTCTTCCTCCTCCCCTTCATTAAAAAGATTTTCTTCCTCAGAACTCTCCTCGCAAACAATTGGTAGTTTACCTTTATTACTAAAATCGCCAGTCTGTGGATTAACAAATGAAATCCCTTCATTATTATCAGATTGAACGTTTTTCCTTTTCCGGTAATATTCTCGCGCGTTTTCATTTCGCTTTTCCTTATTATTTTGGTAATATATTTTCTGTTTTTCCAATATCCTTTCCCTATTATTTTGGTAGTAATCCTTCTTATTTTTACAAATTTTTTCCTTCTTTTTATTATCTACCCCCCTCTCCTTATTCATTTTTTTGTAATTTTGTTGATACTCTCTCATCTTTTCTTTATTCTGTTTTCGGTAATTTAGCAGATATTCTTTTCTTTTTTCATTTTTTAACGAATTATTTTTATTATTTTCATAGTGAGTTCGCTTATATTGTCTCAACTTTTCTTTATTTTTTTGGTAATATTTTTTATTATATTCACTTTGCTTTAGTTTATCTCTTCCTTTATTTTTATCCGTGTCATTTTTTGTAATTTTTAATTTTGGTTTAAGCAATTCTTTAAATTTTTGAATTTGAGGATTTACCGACGATTCAGCTCCATCATTTAATATTTTAGATGCCGTCAAATCCTTTTTAGCAAGTCTAGCTAAACCTCTTCGAATTGGAACAGTTTTAATAGATATCCATAATATCCCAATGAAGATTGAAACGATTAAAAAGCTAGTAAGATTCATCCTAGACAAATTTAAAAATTTATTTAAGAATTAACGGAAAAATAATAAAGTTTAACTTAAAATTAAATTTATTTAAACAAAATTTGGGAAGGAAATAAAAGTATAAATTGGGTATGTTTTGTATAAAATTGTATAAAACTAATGAACTTAGAAAAGTTCAATTAAGCTAGAGTTTAGAAATATAGACAAAAAATATACGAGATCTCAAAGGGCAACCCTTTTTACTTTCATAATTATAAAAACAAGTAAAATTCATTGAAAGGAAAGTGCAAAGTCGAAAAAAGCAATTGCTTAATAATTAATGAAATATAAATTGATGTTAAAATTGGCGTGAACTTTAAAAGGTTAACATTATGATCAGTGATGGAAAGGTTCCAGTTCGAGAACCGGTCGGTAAAGGAACCGGTTCCGGACGTGGAAAAGGTGGAACCGGTCTGGTAAATGTCTGGAACCGGTTTGAAAGGTTCCAGAACCAGTTCCAAAGATACACCCCTGTCGCGAAACGCGAAATTTCTTTAATTAAAATTTTATTTTTAATTCAATTTATTTTTTGTACTCCTTATCTTTTAAATATATCTAAAGGAATTTTCCCAGCATTTTCTCAACTTTGTAATCGTTTTGTGTCCACATATTTCTTTATATATGCTTATTCATTCCCTTCAACTTTATTCAGTTCACTTTTACTAATTGTACTTCCTTTGCTTTACATTAGCTATTTTCCTAACTTAGCCTTCCTATAAATTATATTTTTGTGAATAAATAAAACTGACTGGACAAGAATTTCTTTGTTTTAACCTGAGAGAAATTATCCCAATCTCTCTGTCGCTGGATTCAGAATTACCCTCATTAGAGAAAGATTAACCCCATTTTTCTTTCTCTACAGTCTTACCCAGATTACGAACTTCCTACTTACCAATTTTATCCTATTTTTCTGAGAATTTCTTACTCCTTAATTTTTTGTGTTCGATTTATACTTAATATTTTTCTTACTGATTTTAATATTTGTTTTACTTTTGACTACTACCTATATTCTACCTTAAAATGTCTCTCCCATTCAGAACCCAGATTAAAAGCCTGTATCCAGAAATTACGGGAATTTTGGAAGCGAATCAAACTTTTCTCGTCCCACTTCGAACCCAGGGACAATCGGATCATATTTACTTTACCCAGATCCGTGCTTACCTCCGTGAATTGGATTTTACGCTTTCCGAGGCCTCCGATAACCTCACCGACCTCTCTACTACTCACGACCAATGGATGGGCCTTCGAGAAAAAATGACTGGTCCCGAACGTACCCATGATAATGAAGTCTATGAGGAATTTACGAAATCCTGCCCATACCCTTCCGTTATCGGAAAACTTAAAAAATACGTCCGATCCTTGACTGCTCAAAAGAATGAACTAACCGCCATTTTACCCGGCAATAGTTCTAACAGCCCTCCTCCTACCGCTACAACAGCCTCTACCTCCTTGGCCCACTTACCACGTATGGCCTTACCGCAATTTTCCGGGAACTGTGTTGAATTCCCCTCATTTTGGTCCTCCTTCCAGGCTGCTGTTGGAGATTTACCGAACATTTCCGACTCGGTGAAACTTTCCTATCTCAAATCCTGCCTCCGTTCTGCTCCTTTAGCCGTTATTGAATCCTTCCCTCTTGTGGACCAATCTTACCCTCAGGCAGTCGATTTACTAAAACAGAAATATGAAAATCCTACTGAAATTTCCCGCTCCTTATGCCAATCCCTGAAACAACTACCAACAGTTAGAAAAGGAGACAACTTTTGCCGTGATTTATCTTCCCTAGTTAATGAATTTGAAAGCCTCATTTGCCGATTTACTCAACAAGGAGAGAATACAGACAACATCCATATTCAATTGGAAATAGAATCAAAACTACCCACCTTTGTATTAGAAGAAATTTACAAAGCTAAAGAAGAAAATCCCGCCTGGACAACAGAATTATTAAAACAAAAATTGAAGGCCATATTAAAAAGAAAAGAAGATATTTCAGCCATGAACACCAGCCCTCCAAAACCGCAAGTTCAATTTTCCCCTAAAAATTTATCCCCACCTAGAAATGACTCGCCTCCCTTACCTCAATCCTCATTAACCTACCATACGCAGACAATGCGTGAATTTCCTACCAGAGAACCCAAGCTTCCCTGCTTGTTTTGTAATGCATTTGGGCATTTCTCCCCTTCCTGCCGACAATATCCTGACCTATATTCCCGCCGAAATAAACTCAGAGAATTACGGCGATGTTTTAGCTGTATGAAAGAAGGGCATAAATCTCCCCACTGCCGAATGCCCATAAAATGCTCTTCCTGTGGTGGCTCTCACCCTCGGGCCCTTTGTTCTCACCTAGTACCCTCAAACCATCAATTTATTCCGAGGCCTTCCCAACGACCTCCTCAAACCTACCGGAATACGGGCAACGAAAATCCTCGCCCATTCCATCCTCCTACAAGAATGCCACATTTTACCCAGCCTCAGCCATCATTCAATGCTCATTTAGCCCAATCCCGGCCTGATACTAGACTTGCCGAACCGCCTCAGCCTCCTTCCTCTCTGAACAATTCAAATCCCAACCAACAGACCTTTTGTTCCCAACTGATAGCACATCCAGTTACAACCCTGCCCGGAAACCCTACCCTAAAGAAGAAAAGCGGCAACAACGTTAAATTATGCCCACTGCCTATTACCAACAAAATTAATGTTAAATTGGAACAACGCCCACCTACGCCAAAACCAATAGCCTTGCGGGAGTGTCTGCCGAATATGCCAGCAATAAAAATGGAATTTAATCCCGAGCCAATGAAGGTAATTGTAAAAAAGAATCTTAAACTAATTAACACTCCCCATCTATTTCCATGTACAACTCCTCCTAACTGGTATGGTGCTCCGTGTTTGGCTTATACACTTGCCTATGTTCCCATTCAACGACTACCTGGGCCCATCCCGCTCTCCCGAATAAACTTGGTGATGCGCCACCCACCAACACCTTTGAATATGCTCAACTTAAACCGGAACAACAACTATGCCCTTTGTTGCAACCACCACCATTTCCACTGAAAGCCTGGCCGGGAGTGTCGCGACGGGTCTCGCGAAGTCGGAAAGATAACTTTTATTTTTCCCAGAAATTTTATTTATTTTCCATAAAATTATTTTATTTTGTACTCCTTATCTAAATATGTAGATCTAAAGAATTTTCCCAGCCTTTTCTATCAACATAAACTTTAGCTTGTATATTTTCTTTCCTGTGTACATATTTCTTTGTATATATGCTTATTCCCTTTTCCTATTTTTCGATCAGTCGTTGTTCAGTTCACTTTTACTAATTGTACTTCCTTTGCTTTACATTAGCTATTTTTCCTAACTTAGCCTTCCTATAATTTATATTTTTGTGAAAGAAATAAAATTTTTATTGAAAAGGATTTTTTGGATTACTATTAGAGAAATTAGGACCATTTCTCTACACCCCTAATGATAGGTAAAAGAAAAAGAAGTTAGCAAAAGCTGGTAGGTGTGAGAGGAAATGAAGAGGAAATTGAGACGGGTAAAAATATTCTTTTCCCTTTCATGTATAATGATGTGTGGTTACAATTCTTGATTTTATGGCAAAATGTTATTACTCAACAATTACTTCACTAAAAATATTACTAATTTAAAATTATTCACATATTATTTTTTTCTTTTATATGTATGTATGTATTTATACTTGAATAAAAATTTAAATAAGGCTACTCATGAATAATGCATAAATTATTTGGACATTAAACAGCGAGGCTGGCAATGCCTATTTTAAAAGGACTAATGTTTGTAAAGATATGTTTTGCGAAAAATTGGCCAGTTTTGGATGGGAACGATAGATTTTAGTTGAATTTAGCAAAAGAATTATTAAAGCCCTTTTACCAAACTATGATCAAATCTCAAAAAGATTCTGGTGATGCCTCAACGATTTTTGGAACTATGAAGGTACTAAAACAACACGTAAAAACGTAAACTATTCAGTAGCCTTCCAACTTATTATAGTTAGTTATATATTACATTATAGTTAGACAACAGTTTCAAACACAAGATCAGTAATTGGTAGTCAAATGTTCGATAAGGGACTTATGAACTGGAAAAGAGCCGTTTTTTATTAATCGTGCCATTCTTCATCCTCTGGCATCTCGTTTATATCAAAACGATAAATTTTTTTATTTGATTGATTTGTTCATCTTCAAGAATTTTATTTGAATCTTCAATCTCGATTTGATTTTAATCCCCTTTACTATAGTAAAGCGGTTGGTCCCGTTTCCCAGTGCCTCGTTGTTAAATGTTGTTATAGGCAGAGTCGCGCATGCTTGCAATCATGTGTGAACTCCGCAGAGTATAGAAATAAGTGAATCGCACGCAGTGGGGGAATATAAGGGGAGACGTCTCTCCCTTTACACGATGGATAAGCCGGCCGGCAACTCTGTTGAATGAATGAATAAAGAAGTGATCTACCTTTGCCTATTCCTTTAGGGCTTATATGCACCAGCCTACTTCCTTATTGCTTTCCCAAGGATAAGTTAGTGGCGGTGTTAAGCTTAGATCTTTGCCTTTTCTCTGGGCACTTCCGCTACTTAGCACAAAGTTTAGAGCGACATTATTGTTCACGTGATTTCAGGATGAACCCGGCCTTACACTATTATTGCATTCTTCCTTCCCTTGATTAAGAAGATTTCCTTCCACCTCACAAACAATTTAACTAAATTAGTACAATCATTAGTCTGTAGATAAAAAAATTCTTTATTTAAAGAATTTTTTCGCTCATTGAAATTATCTAATAATCTTATCACAAAAAACTGATAAAAACATTTTATTTTGAAATTCGGAAAAAATCTTGAGTCCGGCACGGAATCATGATAAACTCTGTCGGAGTCATCGATAAATAAAAATTTCAAATTTTTCTTTTTTACTCAAGTGTCGGTCTTAAAAATTATGATCCGCAAATTTCGAGTCCGCAACTTTCGGGTCCGCAACCTTCGTTCCGCAAATTTTGGGTCCGCTAAGTTCGGGTCCGCAAAATTCTGGTCCGCAAAGTTCGCGCCACGGAAAATTTACAACCAAAAAAATATCAATAATAAACAGTTTTTGTAGTTTATGAAAATAATAGCATTTCTAATGCGACATGGGTTTACTTGTATATTTTTTATCATACATATTTTGAGAAAGTTTATTTTGAAAATTTTTATTTTTTTTAATATTAAATAATCTTCGGATGTTGACTAATTTGAAATCCTATAAAGTCGAGTATGACTTTAATAAACAAAGCTGTGATTTTTTTTAATCACTTGCACGACATTTTACTAAATCTATAAATATGTATGAAGCAGACAAAATCTGACTGTAAAAATTAAAAAAAAATATCGTTTATTAATAATCTTCACATTCTTCATCCTCAGGTTTCTCGTTTAAATCAAAAGAATGAATTTTCATATTTATTTTTGATTTATGTCATCTTCAATCATTTTATTTGACTCTTCTACCTCGATTTGATTTTGCTCATCCTTTTCATTATTCCGTTCTACCTCCTCTTGATTAAAAAAATTCCAATCCTCAAAACTCTCCTCGCAAACAATTGGTAATTTAACTAAATTAGAAAAATCACCAGTCTGTGGATTAATAAATGAAGTTCCTTCATTATTATCCGATTGATGATTTTTCCTTTTCCGGTAATATTCTCGCGCGTTTTTATTTCGCTTCTCTTTATTATTTTGGCGATACATTTTCTGTTTTTCCAGTATCCTTTCCCTATTATTTTGGTAGTAATCTTTCTTATTTTGAATTCTTTCACTTTTATTCCTTCTATAATAATCTTTATTATATTCACTTAGCTTTTCCTTATTTTGTTTTCGGTAATTTCGATTATTTTCATCCTTCTTTTCTTTATTTTTTTGGTAATATTCTTTATCATATTCACTTTTCTTTATTGTGTTCATAGTTATTTTTTTGCCCTTTTTTGTAATTTTTAATTTTGGTTTTAACGTTCCTTTATATTTTTGAATTTGAGGATTGACCGACGATTCAGCCCCATTATTTAAAATTTTAGTAGCATCCTTTGGCTTGTAATACTTTTCAGAAGCTAAACCTTTTTGAGTTGTATAGTATTGACAGATATCCATAACATTCCAATAAAGAAAAAAGAAAGTTTCATCTTAAATAAATTTTAAAATTTAGTTAAGAATAAATGAAAAATAATAAAATTTAACTTAAAATTTGATTTATTTAAATAAATTTGACAAGGTTAAAAAGTGTAAAATAGGGGATCACCCCAGAATATCGACACCCAAAATATCGTCCATCTTTGATTGGACATATTGATGCAAATATATGTCCATCTTTGATTGGACATATTGATCATGATCGATGTTTGATCCATTGTTGGAACATTTTCCCTATGTTAAAAAGACTTCCCCGTCCTTGGAATACATAATTTTGAAGTTTAAAAATTTTCGATATTTTGTCCGTCGATATTTAGGGTGTCGATATTTAGGGTGTCGATATTCTGGGGTGGAGTCGTAAAATAGGTATGTTTTCTAACAAATTTGAACAAAAATAGTGATAAAAAAGGTCACTAAAGCTAAAGTGTAGAAATATCAGACAGGAAAGTTAAAAGATCTCAAAGGGCAATCCTTTTTACTTTCATAAATATATAAACAGTAGAATTCATTGAAAAGAAAGTGCAAAATCAGAAAAAGCAAATTACTTAATAATTAGGGATGGGATTTATATGGATTTCCATACAAAGCTATGATCTTTTGTTTTGATCACTTGCACGACATTTTAGTAAATCTATAAATATGAAGCAGAGCAAAAAAAATCCGACGGTAAAAATTTAAAAAAACAGATATCATTAATTAATAATCTTCACATTCTTCATCTTCAGATTTCCTGTTTAAATCAAAAGAATGAATTTTCATATTTATTTTTGATTTATTATGTCATCTTTATTTGTCTCTTCTACCTCGATTTGATTTTGCTCATCCTCGCCATTATTGCTTTCTTCCTCCATTTGATTAAAAAGAGTATTTCCTTCCTCCTCGCAAACAATTGATAACTTAACTAAATTAGAAAAATCACCAGTCTGTGGGCTAACAAATGAGGTTCCTTCATTATTATCAGATTGATCGTTTTTCTTATTTTGTCGGTATTTTCGCTGGTTTTGATTCACAATTTCTCTATTATTTTGTCTATATATTTTCACGTTTTTCATTATCCTTTCCTTATTTTTTTGGTAATAATTTTTCATATTAACTTTTCTCTTATTTTTATTCATTTTATAGTAATTTCGCTGATATTCATTTATCTTTTCCTTATTTTGTTTTTGGTAATTTTTCACATTTTCATTCAACCTTTTTTTATTTTTCCTGTAATAATCCTTAAAATATTCCTTCCTGTTGCCTCTTTCTTTATTTATATCTGTGTCATTTTTTGGAATTTTTAATTTTGGTTTTAACGTTTCTTTATATTTTTGAATTTGAGGATTGACAGACGATTCAGCCCCATCATTTAAAATTTTTGATAAATCCTTTGCCTTGTAATCCTTTTCAAGACCTAAACTCTTTTGAGTTGGAATAGTATTAACAAATGCCAATAGCATTCCAACAAAGAAAATGGAAAGTTCCATTTTAAACAAATTTTAAATTTAGTTAAAAATTAAATGAAAATAATAAAATTTAACTTAAAATTTGATTTATTTAAACAAATTTGACAAGGTTAAAAAGTGTAAATTGGGTATGTTTTCTAACTTAATTGAACAAAAATAGTGATAAATAAAAGGTCTCGAAAGTAGAGTGTCGAAATATCAGACAGGAAATTTACGAGATCTCAAAGGGCAACTCTTTTTACTTTAATAAATATGAAAACAGTAAAATTCAATGAAAGGAAAGTGCAAAACTGAAAAAGCAAATTACTTAATAATTAAGCAAAAGAAATATAAATTTATTTGACATTTATGTATCGAATTCCGATTGCGGCGAATTTCGATGTATCGAATTGCGTTGTTTTCGAGGAACAACTGAAGTAAAACAGGTTCTAACGAAAGTCCTTTATTACAATAATAAAAATTTATAATTATTTTTAATTTGATTATTAATAGGCTAACATGGAGCGGTCCGAAAATCACGGGCTGCGGAACCGGAACCAATTTTTGAAAGCCAGGAGCCGGAGCCAACATGGCTAATATCCAGCACTGCTATGTACTTTCCTTTCAATGAATTTTACTTGTTTATATATTTATGAAAGTAAAAAGGGTTGCCCTTTGAGATCTTTTAAATTTTCTTTCCGATATTTCTACACTCGGTGTACGGAATTTTGGTCACTGGAATTTTGGTCACCAATAGGAATTTTGGTCACCAAACGAAACAAACAAATCTTATCCAAAACTGATATCAAAGTGCTAGAAATTTTTTTTCTACCCCCAGTTGATCAAAATTTCAATGTTTATCACTCTTCCGGTTAATCAATTAAACCGAGATAGTGATTAAGAGTGATCAACCGACAGATTGATCAGCTGGGAGCGTGATAAACATTGAAATTGATCAACTGGGGGTTGAAAAACAATTTTTTATCGTTTTGATATCAGTTTTCGATAAGATTTGTTTTTCTCGTTTGGTGTCCAAAATTCCTATTGGTGACCAAGATTTCAGTGTCCAAAATCCGTTTTTTGACTTGGTGTCCAAAATTCCGCTGGTGACCAAAATTCCAAAAAAATTGGTGACCAAAGTTCCGAAAAATCTTGGTGACCAAAAGTACAGTGACCAAAATTCCGGCACCCCTACACTCTAGCTTTATTGAACTTTTATATATCACTATTTTGTTCAATTTTGTTAGAAAACATACCTAATTTACACTTTTTAAACATGTCAAATTTGTTTAAATAAACCAAATTTTAAGTTAAATTTTATTATTTTTCGTTTATTTTTTATTAAATTTTAAAATTTGTTTAAGATGAAACTCGCTAGTTTATTAATTGTTTTAATCTTCACTTGGATATTATGGGCATTTGTTAAGACAATTCCAATTCGAAAAGGTCTAGCTAGACATGCTGAAGAAGATTATCCGACAAAGGATTTATCAAAAATTTTAAATGATGAGGCTGAATCGTCTGTCAATCCTCAAATTCAAAAATATAAAGAAACGTTAAAACCAAAATTAAAAATTACAAAAAAGGGCAAAGAAATACCTATGAACACAATAAATAGAAGTGAATATAAAAGAGAATATTACCAAAAGAATAAAGAAAGGTTGATTGAAAATAATCGGAATAACTATGAAAAGAATAAAGAAAAGTTGTTAGAAAATAAACGAAATTACCGAAAACAAAATAAGGAAAAGATAAATGAATATCAGCGAAATTACTATAAAATAAATAAGGAAATGGTACTGAAAAAACGTAAAATTTATAGGCAAAATAATAAAGAAAAGTTTAATGAATCCCAGCGAAAATACCAACAAAAAAAGAAAAATGTTGAATCTGATAAGCCAGGAACCTCATTTGTTAATCCACAGACTGATGATTTTGTTAATAAAGGTAAATTACCAATTGTTTGCCAGGAGAGTTTTGAGGAAGGAAATCTTTTCAATCAAGAGGGAAAAGAATATAATAATGTCGAGGAAGAGCTAAACCAAATCGAGGCGGAAGAATCGAATAAAATTCTTGAAGTTGACATAAATCAAAAGGAATTAGAAGAGAAAAAATATCCTTTTGATCTGAATGAGATTCCTAAGGATGAAGAATTGAAAAAGTAATAAAATAAAGACTCTTGTCTAATTTATGCGTTCCATAAAATTGTCTAATAAATATTTGTCAATAAAAATAAATTAGAATCATTCAGTCCCACTCATAAAAATTTTAGTTACTATAATTTCAGTTTCACGTTCTCGGCGATTTTCTTCGCCACAGGCGAAAATTTGAGATTTTGTAATGCCTTAGTGTATTGTATTTTCCCATGTATATTTTATACAGTGTGTAACAAAACTATAAGCCACCCAAAATTTTTTAATTTCTTAAGGTTCTAATGAATGAAAATTTTTAAAATTTTTACCCAATATTGAAAATGTAATTTCAAGCAAATATTAAAAAAATTTTTAATTAAAAATTTTTACAAAAATTTTTTTTCGAACTTTTTATGAAATCTAGGTGTAACATAACTATAAGCCACCTCGGAAAAATTTTATTTTTCATATTAGCAATGCTTGAAAATTTTTTTAAAAATTTACATGAACATTTCCATTGATATTAAGTAGAAAAACAAAAAGAACGAAGTTGGCTATTCCGTTTCGAAACGAAACGAAATAAATTTTTTTGTTTCGTTCCGAAACGAAACGAAAGGGAAAAAAGGGCACGAAAGAGCGAAACGAAACGAAATTTCGCCCATCCCTGTTTCCGATCCCGCCTTCCGCTTTTTAAAATTCAAAATTCTCTTTAAGTACCTAGATTTACTTGAATCAGGATTGTCAAGATATTTACATTGTTTAATAATTTCATAAAAAATACAAAATAATAAAAAAAAATTTTCACATATCAAAATACATATTTTTAATAATACACCCAAAAGGGCTCGGCCATAACGACGCAAAGCCATAATTAGTTGGGAAATTTCAAGGGTTTATCAATTTTAGTCATCCTCACCTCCCACATCCCTGATGAGTTTGGCGCCGTTATGTTCCCGCGCCCTTTTATGCTGTACCCATATCTTTATATTATCCCCAGTAATATCTTCCTCCATATTGTCTTCCCCAGTTATATCTTCCCCAGTTACCTCTCCATCCACCGCCTCTCCATGAAATCATTCCTCCATCCCCGCCTCCATCTCCCCAGCTTCCTAGCCAATAACGAGCCTCTCGATCGCCTCTATTTTTTAAATTATTTTATTTTTATACATATATAGGGTTACTATCCGAATTTCTCCTGATTTTCCCTTTGTTCTGCATACCTAATTCTCTAATTTAAAGAAATAAGTAAGGCAAATAATAGTCAAGGAAACCCATGGCGATAAGTACCTGTCTCTTTTTAGAATCCATGGTACGGTAGTCACCTATTTGCAATAGATCCACTGTATTCGCATAAAATCCTGTGTAAGAGTGTATAAAACATAGTATACAGGAGCTGAAGGTTGCGACGCTAAAGTCGCGGCGCAAATGTTCTTAGCGCAAGTGATCACTACTTATCTCTATAGATTTCCTTGACAATATTTGCCTTACTTCTTTTCTTTATAATAGAAAATGAATGAAGCAGAAGAAATGGAAAAGACGCCCTAGTTTCGTCAAAGGACATTTTCGTCAGAATTAGTTCAATTTTCAGGAGTAAGTACGACATTCTACTTAGGTTCAATTTTCAGGAGGTTCAATTTTCATTGGTGTCATTCGACACAGATCGAGGAGTATAGGACTGACCAATTTTTACATATTTACCAAAAAATTGACTGGGAAGGTAGGGGAAGTAAATAAGCCCCCTCAAGATAAATGACCGCCTACAATATAATGGCCCTTTGGCGGCGGAAAAAAAAGGAATGGCCGGCCATTTCATTAGAAGAAATAGGGTATATGTCATAATACTAGTTGACCGGTATCGGGATTCCGACATAAAATCGGTATTTCGTAATCGGCATTCAATAGGCATTCGATTGGATCCTGATACCGGCCAACACTACAAAACACACCTCTAAGTTAGAATTTTAAAGGGTAAACTAATTGACGAAAATGATGACGAAAATGCCTTCTGACGAGACTACCGGACAGCAGATAAGCGAATATTACCAAAATAATTATTAATTAAATAACTTAACAGTTTCAAATCATTATTAGTTTCAGATAAATAATTAATTTCAGCTTTACTCTCCATTGAGTATTTAATTAAAATTAAAAAAATTAAAATTAACATTCTTTATAAAATAGTTTAGTATAATTTAATATTTAACTACATATGTATAAGTATAAAAAAAATTTTTTTTTGTTAAATTTTTGTCTGAGACTATTAGTGTAATAATGATATTAACACAAGTCCTACCAAAAAAATTTTTTTGTTTAAATTTAAAAAATAATAATTTTATTACACAAAAATTTAACTTATCTTATTCAATCTAAAATAAAAGGACAAGAAAGTTAACTTCCTATATCAATCACCCAAAAGGTACATTTTAGTGTAATAAAATAATTATTATTTTTAAATTTAATTAAATTTTTTTATCTTTTAGTATGACTTTGTTCTTTCATATTAAAAATGAAATCAACCAAAAGGATATAGTATATCTATCAGGGGTATAAACGGAACAACATCCCCCGTTGACGGGACAACATCCATTGTTGACGGAACAACTTCCCCCGTTGACGGGGCAACTTCCCCCGTTGTCGGGGCAACATCCCCCGTTGACGGAACAACTTCCCCCGTTGACGGAACAACTTCCCCCGTTGACGGAACAACTTCCCCCGTTGACGGGGCAACATCCCCCGTTGACGGGGCAAGATCCCCTCGTTGACGGGGCAAGATCCCCCGTTGACGGGGCAACATCCCCTGATGAAGGACCAACTTCCCTCTTTGATTAACAACTTGGAATTTTTTTTCGAAAAGGAATAAAAGTTACAAAAATAAATCCAAATCGCATGAAAATATGTTTGGACGCATAAACTTTTCATTGAACGTATAAATATTTCAATGGACGGGTTTGGACGTATAAAGGTGTGATTGGACGCCTAAACTGGACAAGAGCCAAAAATTTTTCATTTTAGTCAAAATTTACAGAGAGAAAAAATAAAAGATACATTATGTATTTACTTGTTTATTCTGTGATTTATTACAACATAAATTTTATTTAAAGATTTTGTTAGATTTACTTAATTCTTTATTAATATTAATCTGTAGTTTGTATTCTAGTGGGTATAAGCAATTGCAAATCATTAGGCTATAATATTAAATTTGTAAGAGAATAAAATTATTTTGATTAAATTTGGATTACTAGAAACTTTTAGTGAATGTTTATTCCCTCAAATGTTTTTTAATAAATTTTTACATCCAGGCTTTTTTTCTCCTTATACTCAGGATTCCTTTAACTGTTTCGTAATAGTTAATATCCCAGAAAGGAAGTCCTAATGTCATGTATCGGGTTACCCAAAGCCCGATACAGCTAATTATAAAATTTTGGCACATGAAAGTTTGCCCTTATAAGGATAAATTGAGAAATCAGGCTTCATGGTCTTCCAAAATTCTCAATTATGTATTTGATGCCTTTTTAACATACAGTATTAATTCTAATTGTATGGCCGCCATTTTATTTTTCAACACCCCATAAATATGTTGTTTATGTGGAGGGGCCATTCAATTAGAATAAATACGGTATTTTTTACAAAGTAAGACTACATGCCCATAATCATGTCTAGCCAGATAATTTATATCAACGTTCGAGATCTCATCTAAAATCCCAAAATACATACAATATTTACACTCCAATCACACTTTGGAGTGTCCCCGTCCATCATTTTTTCGGGTAGCCATGTAAATGTTCTTCTCACTTCTTTTTGAGAAATTATTCGAATTCGAAAAATATTTCCAAATTTATAATTATTTTTAATTTTATTATTAAGAGGTTCATTAATCTTTAATTCAGCTATATTTTTGCCATAAACAATAAATATATTCCCATTTTTGCGTATAAATATAGTTGCTTTACGATACATTCCTGGAAGATCTGTCCATGTTGCATTATGTTCTGTAGGGATAAAAGCAAAAATTAAATGAGGCACCGCAAGGTCAAGGTACCGCCGATCTATAACCTTGTTTAAAATTGTCGAATCCGGGACGCCCTGGTATGGTTCGATTCAGCTCGTAGAGATGCGTCGATTTCTACAATTTTGAACAAAGTTATTGCCAACTTTGAGAAGCTTTTTCTCGACAAAACGTTGGATCTTTAAAATTCTGTTTGGCAAAAACATAGATAATACCCTAAAGATACTTTTAAAAAGATAACTAGGGTTGTTCACGGTCGGTTAACCGAACCGAAACCGAAAACCGGTGTTTTTGGCCAATAAACCGAAACCGAAAACCGGGGGCCCCGCCACCGTTGGTACTCATCCTTCCTTTAGGTTACTTCGGGCCTTTGACCCTTGTCCCCCTACACAATCACAAAAACTACAAAAATCTGACCATATTTAAATTCTCCGCCAATTGCCCCAGAGAAAAAGAAATTTTTCTGTCCATTATTATTTCGCCAAAAATTCCATGAAAGCAAAACAAATTCCTCTAAATTAATTCCTCTTCCATTTTTGCGATTATAAGCAAAGGGGAGTCTAAAAAATTTAATTTTTAGGGACTTTTAAAGAAACTAACAAATTTTCAAAAATTCTGTCAGTAACACAAGAACAAGATTCCCAATTATTTATTGAAACTGTGAAATTAAATATTCCTTGTATTTTGGCCCATTTTGGTATTTTTAAATAAAGATTCAATGATTGACGTTTTCCATGTAAATAATTAATTGTGCTTAATTAAAAGATTAATTTAAGGATGCTAAATTATTTTTTTATTCATTTATATTCCTTCAGGCCTTTATACTTTTATTGGCCTTTATACTTTAAAATCATGTCGTTTTGCTTTCATTTTGTCCGATTTCTGGCATTTTGGGTTTGTCGTGTTTTGAAAATCGAGCAGTTGTCGTCTGTGGTTGCGCGCCACGCAAAAGTTTTGGCAGAAGCAGGCCAAGGTACCGCCGAGCTATAACTAGTTCAAAATTGTCGATGCATCTCGACGAGCTGAATTGAACCATACCAGGGCGTCCCGGATTTGACAATTTTGAACAAAGTTATAACTCGGCAATGCCTTGCGGTACCTTGTGGTGTACCCAGTTTTGGCGTACATCTCAGTTGTTGATCTTTTTTTATTTTATAAATAGGTTCTGAGGCTCAAATTTCGCGGCGCAAAAGTCACAGAAACATCCCCACGATTGTAAAAAAGTTGATAAACGATATCAAATACTGGAAGTAAAAAGATTTTTATCTCAAGTAAATCGCACTTTATTTTATAGATTTTTAAACAAATATTATCCTTTTTACAACCTACTGCCATCTTTTTCAATCCGAATCATTCCATTAGCCCATATAGGCAAATATTTTTGTAATACAGCATTACTGCTTGCCTCAATAAATTTGTATCGAGTTTCATTAGAAACTAAATAAATTTCTTCGAGTTTAATAAAAATAATATACAAAATTAAAAATAGAGAAAAAGCCATTAATTAGTAGGTGTTTTAACGCTTTTACTAAATTTATTTTAAATAAGAACACAACGATTATTAATTAGCAATGATTACTCATATTAAAGTGTAAAAATATTTTGTGTTAAATATTCAAATGGTTTTTTAATAAATGAAAATAAATTTTATAATCAGTAGGGTGGTCCAAAATATGCACCGAAAACCCCACTAAATATGCACAAATATGGAAATATGCACGAGAGGGCCGAAATATACAAAAATATGCATTAAGAACCGGCTCCTAAAGTGCTCGGACCGATGTAAAAACACCATTTTTGAGCTTCTCTCATCAAGGCATATCCACATACAAAACATGCATTTGCATGTTTTGGACCACCCTAATAATCAGACATGATGTCGAAAATTTCGGCGAAGGATGAAAATTATTAAATTAATATTTTTCATTTTTTGTATGACATCATTTTTTGCGTTACAATTGCCTTTCTACAATTTTTTATCCGTTCTTTTTAATAATTTTCCATTTCTTTATCCTCGGGCATCTCGTTCAAATCAAATGGTATCTCGTTCAGATCAAAAGAATGAATTTTCTTGTTCGCATCTAGATCATCTAGGTCATTTGTGTTCTCTTCAAGAATTTTATTTGCCTCATCTACCTCGATTTGATTTTGCTCATTCTCGCCTTTATTGCATTCATCTTCCCCTTGATTAAAAAGATTTCCTTCCTCCTGACAAACAATTGGTAATTTACCTTTATTAATAAAATCACCAGTCTGCGGATTAACAAATGAAGTTCCTTCATTATTATCAGATTGACTTTTCTTTCTTTGTCGGTATTCTCGCATGTATTTATTCCACTTTTCCTTATTATTTTGGTTATATATTTTCTTTCTTTTCATTATCGTTTCTTTATTTTTATGATAGTAAATTTTCATATGTTGAATTCTTGCGCTTCTATTCATTTTATAGTAATTTTGATTATTTTCCTTTATTTTTTCTTTATTTTGTTCAGGTATTTTCGATCCTTTTCAGCACACTTTTTTTTATTTTTTCGGTAATATTCTTTATTATATTCACTTCTGTTAAACACTTTGCCTTTTCCATTATTTCTATCTTTGTCAGTCTTCGTTAATTTTTCTTTATATTTATGAATTTGAGGATTGGCAGACGATTCAGCCCCACTATTCAACATTTCAGCGAGTTCCTCTGCTGTGTAAACTTTTTCATCAGCTACCCCTTTTTTGGTTGGAGTAGTTTTAACAGATATCCATAATATCCAACTGATGATTGAAACGATTAAAAAATTAGCAAGTTTCATCCTAAACAAATTTAAAAGCTTTCTTTAAAAATTAACGGAAAAATAATAAAATTTAACTCAAAATTGAATACATATAAATAAGCGTTTAAAAACGCTATGATGAAAATATCTGAATTATGTTGTGTAATAAAATTGATACAAGTATTAGATAGAAAAGGGCAATAGACATTAAGAAATTTTAGACTTTTTAAATATAAAAATAAATTCATTGAAAGGAATGTGCATAGTGCGAGACATTAATAGTGAACCGAACCACGACAAGATCTTGAACTAGAAAATACTCAGTTATTTAAATACTTTTCCAGATAATGATTCGATTCTTTCAAACCCTCCTAATCCTGTCTCTAATCCTTTGTATACTCTACCCAAAAATACTGAAATAATTACCCTGAGTAATTATTGCTTCAATCTCGTTGAAGCTTCATGATTAACATTTCTTTATACACAGCATGTTTTTCTGGTAGTAATGGGTCCATTTTGAAATATGGATCTAATAAGTTTGAATTATTAGTTCACACTTTTTAATGCCAAAAATCTTTGATTTCTATAACAACAATTAACATATAAAATCAGCTGTTTCAACAGACATTGATTGACTTTGAAACAAAAATTTTCAAAATTAAAAGGTAGTAAAAGCGTGAAAACAATATAGCTAGAGAAAGAAATAAAAATGAAAAAACAACAATAACTCTCAAAAAATGCATTTTTGCTGCATTCTACTCATTCCTCTATTTAACATAATTCTACTCAAATATATTTCAAGTAAATCAGGCAGATATCACCAGATGATTGGGTTACCCAATTTATTTCTGATTTTAGGAGAAGAAAACTTTGTACTTATTAAATAATTTTTATATTTTTTTTAATTTTCTATTCGATGTTTTTTTATAAATATTCAATAATTCAAGCGATTTTCATCAATAAGTAGATCCGAAAATTTTCATTTGCAGAATTATTTGTTGGACTTGAAAGAGTCGTTATTGTTAAAATGGTTCTATTAAATAAACACATAAAATGACACTAATTAGAGGAATAATAGACCAGAAACAACGCCAGCCTGCCAACTATTATTTGATAACCTGATAATTTGATAAATGAAATCGGATCAACCAAATCCACGAGATTTCAGCCTCTCCCCTGATAACCATCCAAATCACCCGATATCTCCTAAATCCATTTTTCCGTGACTGTATTAATCAAAAAATATTTATGCTTGTTTATCGACTATAAACTAAGTTTTTAAATATAATCTTTTTTAAATATAATCTTTTTAATTAAAATCTTCCGTTCTTTAATATCTTCTCATTCTCCATCCTCAGGTTTCTCGTTCAAGTTAAAAGGATAAATTTTCGTATTTAAATCTTTATTATTTGTGTCATCCTCCAGAATTTTATTTGGCTCTTCTACCTCGATTTGATTTCGCCCATCTTTGTCATTAATGCATTCAACCTCTTCTTGATTTTAAAGATTTCCTTCCTTCTCGCAAACGATTGGTAATTTACCTTTATTAGAAAAATTGTCAGTCTGTGGATTAACAAATGAAGTTCCTTCATTATTATCAGATTGAACGTTTTTCTTTTTTTATCGGTATTCGCGCTGGTTTCGATTTACAATTTCTCTGTGATTTTGTCGATATATCTTCTGTTTTTTCAGTATTCTTTCCTTATTATTTTGGCGGTAAATTTTCATATATTGTCTTCGTTCATTATTTTTACTTTCCTTGTTCATTTCATAGTAATTTCGATTGTACTCAGCCGCCCTTTCTTTATTTTTTTGATAATATTCTTTTCTATATTTACTTCTGTCAAACACTTTGACTTCTCCATTATCTGTATCCTTTTTTGTTAACGTTTCTTTAAACTTTTGAATTTCAGGATTGACCGACGATTCAGCTTTATCATTTAATATTTTAGACTAATCATTTGCCGTGTAATCTTCTTCAGCATGTTTAGCTAAACCTTTTTTAGTCGGAGTAGTTTTAACAGATATCCATAATATCCAACTGAAGATTGAAATGATTAAGGAGCGAGCAAATTTCATCCTAAACAAATTTAAAAATTACGGAAAAATTATAAAGTTTAACTTAAAATTGAATTAATAAAATAAACAGTTGAAAAGGATATAATGAAAATATCTAAATTATATTTTGTAATAAAATTGATATAATTATTAGATAGAAAAGGGCAATAAAGCATTAAGAAATTTTAGATTTTAAGTCTAAAAACAAGTTAAATTCATTTAAAGGAAAAGTGCATAGTGCGAGACTTTAAAAATAATGAACCGACCAAGACGTGATCTTGAACTTAATAATCTCGATTCTCATCACCCTCTTAATTCTGTCTATTTGTATGAACCCTCCCAGACCTTTTCTAATCAGTTGTATTGATTTATATTTTTAAAGATTTTTCAAAATATTTGTGTAGAATTTTTATAGGAAAAAAGTTTATATGTAATTATAGAGCGAGGGTAATTATTATAGGTTAATTCGGCAATTCGGTATCTCTCCAAATGCACTTAATTCCTCCAATTGTTCTAATTTTTAAAATATTCACCCTGATGTTAGAATAGGACAAAATATTAGTGGATATCGGATGAAAAATTCAGCCAAACCGATCTCCGTTGAGAAAAACCTGGGGTCGAAACGACGATAACACAGAATAATCGGTTAATAATCGGCTGTGTTAACCGGCCAACGCTATAAATCAGGTTTTAGCCTGACTTGGCAACTAAAGGAATAATGAATCGTACTGAGAAAATTTTTTATATGTTAAGTTATTAGTACATCTTAACAGTTGATTTTTTTCCAGTACCGTCTCCCTAATTTCATCGTAAATTTAAAAGTTTTCTTTAACAATTAACGGAAAAATAATAAAATTTAACTCAAAATTGAATACATAGTAATGAGCATTTTAAAAGGATATAATGAAAATATCTAAATTATATAACTAATTTTAGACTTTTAAATATAAAAATAAATTCATTGAAAGGAAAGTGCATGGTGCGAGATTTAAAAGTGAACCGATCGAGACTTGATCTTGAACTAAAAATCTCAGTACTTTTAAAGATAATAATCTCGATTCTTTTCAACCTTCTTAATCTTGTCTTTAATACTTTTTATGCTCTGTATCGTAAATTTTGAAATATTACCCTGAGTAATTATTGTTTCAATCCCTCTGAAGAGAGTAATTTGTAGGGAGTAGGTGCTGGATTTAGAGAAATCTCAATGCAACTGGGAACTGTTTTTATTTGAAATTGATGCTTGCAATGAATTTCCATTGATTTATATTTTTAAAGATTTTTCAAAATATTTGTGAAATTTTTTAGATATAGAAAAATGTATAAAAAAACATATGGAAAAAATAAATTCTGGAGCAAATTAAAAGATCGAAAAGTTAAATATTTAGAAAGGAATGTATCCAGTATTTTAATAATTTTCCAATTCTTCATCCTCAGGTTTCTCATTCAAATCAAAAGGTTTCTCATTTAAATCAAAAATATAAATTTTCTCGTTTAATTCTTTTTGATCTATGCCATTTTCAAGAATTTTATTTGGCTCTTCTACCTCGATTTGATTTTGCTCATCCTCACCATTATTGCATTCTTCCTCCCCTTTATTAATAGGATTTCCTTCCTCCTCACAAACAATTGGTAATTTACTTTTATTAGAAAAATTGTCAGTCTGTGGATTAACAAATGAAGTTCCTTCATTATTATCATATTGAACCTTTTTCATTTTCAGTCGGTATTTTCGTTTGTATTCATTACACTTTTCTCTGTTTTTTTGCTTATAAATTTTCTGAGTTTTCCGTATACTTTCCTTATTTTTTTGGTAGTAACTCTTCTGATTTTCAATTAATTTACCTTTATTTCTTTATAATAATTTCGGTTTTTTTCAGTTATTTTTTCTTTGTTCGATTTTTGGTATTTTCGACTATTTTCACGCCACCTTTCTTTATTTTTTTGATAATATTTTTTATTATGTTCACTTCTGTTAATCACTTTGTCCTCTCCTTTACTTCTATCAATGTCAGTCTTCATTAACGCTTCTTTAAGTTTTTGTATCTGAGGATCGACCGACGACTCAGCTCCATCATTTAATATTTTAGTTGCCGTGTAATCCTTTTCAGCATGTCTATCTATCCCTTTTTTAGTTGGAATAGTTCTAACAGATGTCCATAATATCAAAGTGAGGATTGAAACGATTAAAAAACTCGTAACTTTCATCTTAACAAAATTTAAAAATTTATCTAAAAATTTTTAAGTTAAGGGGAAAATAATAAAATTTAATTTAAAATTGAATACATATAAATGAGCATTTGAGAAGGATATAATGAGAAAATCTTAATTATGTTTTGTAATAAAATTGATTATAAAAGGGCAATAAAGCATTAAGAAATTTTAGACTTTAAAATAAAAACAGGTTAAATTCCTTGAAAGGAAAGTGCATAGTGCGAGACAATAAAAGTAGAGAACCGACAGAGACCAGATTTCTTAATCCTGTCTCGTTGTCCTCCCAATCCTGTCTTTAAGAAAGAGTCTGCTAGCCACCGGGCGACCACCTGCTAGTTGTTGCTAGGCGCTTTCGCTCACCATATGCAAGAGCTCTATCTTTGAGCTACCGGGGCATCGACTAATGCTTTCTCTGTTTCCTTTTTAGATCGTTTAACCCCAGCCTAAGCGTTTTAAATGCTGCTAGTTTTTAAATGCCTTGATTAATAGAATTTCCTTCCTTCCCACAAACTGTTGGTAATTTACCTTTATTAATAAAATTGCCAATCTGTGGATTAACAACTGAAGTTCCTTCATTATTATTAGATTGAACGTTTTTCTTTTTCAGTCGGTATTTTCGCCTGTATTCATTACACTTTTCTTTATTATTTTGTTTATAAATTTTCTGAGTTTTCCGGATATCTAAACGTAAATTCTGAAATAATTACTCTGTGTAATTATTGTTTCAATCTTGTTGAAGTTTTCAAAATATTTGTAAAATTTGTGGAAAAAGAGGTTGTAATTATTAAAGAGAGGGTAATTATTTCAGCGTTTACGGTAAGTGGTCTCAATTTTTTTCGAATTTCATGGCCATATTTTTCGATTTTATTTCAATAAAATCCGCTCCCTAATAAGATTAAAGATTTCAATTTCTATTTACGTTCCTAAATTTCGATTAGCATTACACTTTAAAAATTGATGTTTCATTATTTGGCTGTAGTTTAGTATACCGGAGCTCAGAATCAAGATCTCGAGCTGATTTTGATGTCATTCGACTCAGATCGAGGAGCTCTTTCAAATGAGCTATCACTCAAAAAATATAATTTTCCGCCCCACAATTGTGCTTACTCCCTCTATGGTTTTTCGATTTTCGGGGACCTATATCTCGGCCCACTGGCATTTCCGCGCCTGGGGAGTGGTACTGTTCGACTCAGCTCGCCGAGACGAGTCGAATGGTATGGGTTTTATATCGGAACTAAAACTCCGGTATACTAAGCTATATCCTATTATTTGAAGCATACTTCAAATTTTTCATTCGAAAAATTTTTTTTCAAACTTGCTTAAGTTTTTTTGATGTTTCAATTTGTATGAAAATTAACAAATTTAATATATCACGGCTTTAAAAAATTTTTTGATCGCTTTATTGTTCATTTTTTGTTATTATTCCTCATTAATTAAATGTTGCAATTGTTGTCCCTTTCTTAGGTTAGCAACTAACCTGTTTATAGCTAAATGTTTTTACTGCCGTTTTATAAGTAAACGGCAGCTAATTAAATATATGTTAAGATGTGCGCCAAACCCATAAAGGTTTTACGTAACTAGAGGGGGATTGTTAAGGATAGGGTTGTTGGATCTTGAAAATATTTGGTTATTCGAACCGAAAGTTTCTGTTCATCGGTTCAAATCGGCCAAGGTCCGTTAAATGTTTGTTATTATTAACTGTATTCCTGTTTAGTTCTAAACCTTAATTTCGTTGTTATTCGTTTTAGTCCATAACGGCACATACTGGTCAATATTACTAAGATTTTAGGGATTTACAAGCAATCTAGCCTGATTGCCTCCCTTGGTTTACATAATTTTACAGTAGGGATTAAAGCAAAGCTGCTATGTAGAATAAACTTAAGACTATTGTCAGGCATCGAACATGAATCTACTGTTAAGTGTACTTAATATTAGAGATCGGTATTTTCAAAAATCCTGGATCTGGATTTAGTTTAGTAATTTGGACAGGATTCTTGATCTGAATCCAGGAAAAATCCAGACTGGATCCTTATCCAAACCGATCTTTACTTCATATTTATGGAAGTCAGCAATTAGAAAGTCAGTAACATATTTAACAGAATTTTGTTCCTGAAACATATTTAGGAGAACCTAAAAACATTTCTTCAGAATACACATATAGGATTGTCAGAATTTTGAAATAATTTTGGATATCCGCAGCCAAATCGAAGAACAAAACCGAGAAATCCTCAGTTCTTTAGGTTGTTTCCGTCTTAAATAAATTTAATTTTATTGGCTGATTTTTGAATAGTAAGTAAAGCATTTTTTTAGCGTTTTTGCGTTAATAACGCAACTTTTGCGCACACCCAAATAAAAACAAAACTTTTATCATTAAGCATTGTCGGAATCACTTATTTAGCAAAAACAATTAAATTAGCGAAATAAAAGAGATGTTTAATTTCTTAATTGTTTTTGTATAAAAGAGTTGGGCCGAATGCCAGTTTTTTTTCTTTCTTTCATCCTCTTTCAATTTTATTATCAAAGGAAAAAAATAAAAGGTTAATAAATATTTTTGTGGATAACTATCCAATCTTGTTTTTTTGTTAGCTTCTTGTTTTTGCTTTTTTCGGAAGAGGAAGAGAGTCCTTTAAAAGGAAAGGATTATCAGTTGTCTGAATCACATAAAATAAATTTTTTAAAACAACAAAAAATGAAAGGCTCTCTTCTTTGTTTAGCAGCGCTAGTAGCGCTTGTTGCGATAACTGATGCTTTCTTATTCGGTGGTGGAGGTGCTGGTGGTGGTGGTTGCGGTGGTGGGGGAGGAGGTGGTGGCGGTACAACTTGCTGCTGTTGTTGTGGAGGTGGCGGTGGTGGCGGCGGAGGAGGTTGTGGTGGTGGTGGTGGTGGAGGATGCGGAGGCGGCGGTGGAGGCTGCGGGGGTGGTGGCGGCAGCTCTGGTGGCGGCGGCCCAATAATTGTCAACTGTGGAGGCGGTGGACATTCTGGAGGAGGTGGTGGATATGGAGGCGGTGGTGGATGCGGCGGTGGTGGCGGAGGATGCGGAGGTGGTGGAGGATGCGGAGGCGGTGGTGGCTGTGGAGGTGGCTGTGGACGCAAGAAGAGATCAGAACCTGAACAATTAGAATCAGATGAACCAACAGTCGAAGAAAAGAGGAATTGATTTGTAAAAATTAAAAAATAAACATTTTTTAAGATTTCAATTCCTTAAATGCAATTTTTGTATATTTTCAGTTCTCATCTCCCCCTTTGCCTATCCATTTTTAAATAATTTTAGTTTTAGTTGAAATTTCATTAAATTATATAATAAATAGTTAAAAATGTTGGTATAAAATGTTATAAAAATAAATTTTAATTTTATCTCTCCTAAAAGTCCGCAATTAACATTTGCGGACAATTAGCATTTTTCGGTTCGGATATCGGATCCGGATATCCGAAGATTTCAAACTATCCGCCAACCTTGGCGGACAAAACAATCTTTTATTATTTTCATTTAGGATATGTTACCTATACATATTAGTTCCTCCACCTTCGAAGGGGGTGGGATTTTATAGTATATAGTAGAGTAGGGTCCCCGTTTTTGGATCGGGCTGACAGTCGAGGCATCTTTTTTGGGTTTTTTATCGAGTCGGCCTGTCTTTTATTTATGAGTAGGGTTGCCAAAAATGGACAGACTCGGACCGAAGATCCGAGTCGGCGAGTCTGTCGATTCTTTTCGGGCCAAATATCTTACGACCGACTCGCCGACTCGGATCTTCGGTCCAAGTCTGTCCATTTTGGCAACCCTACTCATAAGTAAAAGACAGTCAAATTATCTATTTTGACTAAAATTTAAATTGAGTAAAATAATAATGATGAAAGCTCACTTCCACTTTGTCTAATAGACATGGGCGGAATCGGGATCCCAGTCGATATCCCGTTTGTTGAATTCCGACCCCGATTTTGGCCAATCCCGTTTGATCATTAGTTAAAAATCCCGATTTTATGTCGGGATTTTGATCCCACCCAACCCTAATATTACACAAAGCGTACACTGTACTTGAATACCTATTAAGAAGATAAAATATTTTTTTAACATTTTTTACTTTACAAATCAAATCAAAAAGAAAGTCAAATTAATAATAAATCCCTCTCTCTTCTCCCCCACAATAAATATAATATTTTAATCCTTTCTCTTCTTTCCCATTTTTTCCTTTTCAAATCTTCTTCAACAAAAATTTATTTTATTCTTTTTTCTCGCTAGGCAAGAGCGATCCCAAACGATATCCTTGACCAGAAAATGGCTTAGCCTTTGGAGGCACATAATCTGTCGATTTACGTTCAACACGCAAATCAACTTCACGCCCAGGATAAAGACTTGAAAGTTCTGTTGGAATTCTCCTTTAAAATAAAGAAAAGAAGATGAGCATATTTTTAATTTTATAGACACAAGAAAAGGTCAAAAACCTGCTTCCGATTTTTTTGGTTTTTAACACTAAATTGGTTGTGTATCTTTTTTGGTGATGATAAATTGAGAGAGAGAATTTAACAAGAGGAAATCAAAAAGGAAGATGAAAATATTACTCGGACATATGACTTTTAAGAAGAAGAAAAAAAGAGAAGAAAAAAGAAAAAATTTTTAGGAAAATTTTAAAATAAGGGGAGAAGAATATCTCCAAAAATTTAATTAAAATTCAAAAAATGAGAAAACAAATATTCAAAGAGAAAAAAAAATTCTTCTAGAATTTTAGATTTTTTTAATTATTGAGAAAATAAAATAGGCAACTAGAAACTAAAAGAAGAAGAAAAAATTTTTAGGCAGCGTAACCTTTTAGTTTTTTTTCAAAAATTAATAAAAAAAATATCTAAAATCCCTAAGAAAATTTTTTTCTCTTTGAATATTTTTTCAGGATTTTCCGAAATATTGATTCAATTGAAATTTTTTTCCAATTTTTCTCTTCAATTTTGAAAACGGCATTTTTTTAAATTCAAGAAATTAAAAAAATAAAAATTCTGTGCTAGTTAAATCTCCATTGGGTTTGGAACAGTTTAATTTCAAAAAAATTATTCGAGAAGCAGATTTCCGAGTTTTAATAGAAAAATTTTTTACTTGGAAGTAACAGCTTGAATAAAAGCCATATTTTGAGGATCACTAAATTGACGAAGAGGCCCATCATCCAACGAAAAACCATTACTCCAAATATACATTCTAACCTTAAAAATAAAAATTTGACTGAAATAAAAGTTCTAGGCTTGTAGCCAATGAATAATCAAACCCTATGTCTAATCCAAAAAAGTTAGATGACTGGACAGGACTCTTTCTTATTGTTAGGTACAGAAAACAACCAGACCCCAAAACAGGTCCGTAACCAGGATTAGTTTTCAGGGGGGCAAGGGGAGCTTTGAATTTTGAAGGCTATGAAGCCAGGTTAAGCAGGCGAAAAAGGCCCATAGCCTCCTGGCTCTTCGTAGCCCCCCCGGCCTAGAAAACCCTACCCTCTGGCTAAGGACCTGCCCTAAAAATGGTCAAGAAAGATTTATAAAGTCAACACATTTCAGTTTTTTTGGAAATTTAAAATTCCAGACCTAGAAAAGTTTTGTATGTAAACGTCGGAAAGTATTTAGCTTACAAAAAGGGTTAAAAATAACTTTTGAACTCTCCCTCCTTCCTAAGTAAAATTCAAAAATTGCAAACCACTTGTTGAGGAGGTCTATTCGAATTATTTCCAACATTTGTTGCAGCAGCAGCAGCAGTAGGCGCAACATTTCCACCCCCAATAGGCCCACTCTCAACTCCATTCCCTCCCAAACGGAAACCTCCAGAAAATCTGTTGGATGAATTCGAACCGCTTTGTTGTTGTCGTCCAAGTGCTTCAACCTGTTCTGGAGTTAAACGTTCAGCTCCGGCACGTTGAATAGCATTGAAGAGGTGAGAATCCAGATCGCGACGGTTTGGCCCGAGAACTTGTTGACCACTTAAATTTTTGGAAAAAATAAGAAAATTTTATCCGATTTTCTCGAAATTTTATTTAAAAAAGATTTTTTGTAAGATTCCAGTGGGAATTAAAGGACACCCAAAAATAAGTCAAAAAAACCCTCAAAAAATCCTTTCTTACAAAAGCAAGGCAAGTTTTTTAGTGTGCCAGTTTTACAGAGGTTCAAGAATCCTCCCATAAAGTGGACAAAAAGTAAAAGGTGACATTTGATCCCAAAACTTGATATTTAAGTGTTTCACCGGAAACGAAATTTTGACCGAACACAGATCTAATATGTATGAGTTCCGGATCCCGGAACCAAAAAACGCAAGAAATTCCAAGGAAACTCCACTATTTACCAAAGAAAATTTTTTGTAGAATGTCAATGGGCAATCAAAAGGTAACCAAAAAACAAGGCAATCTTTCTACGAAAACCAGTCGGCTTTGACGTGCTAATTTTTCTAAAGGCCTAAAACATATCCAATCCAAATGGATTCAAAAATTAATCCAGCAATATGGACAGAAGAAAGGGAAGTCTGACCATTTTGTAAAAATATAGGGGAGAATTGGGGAAAAAAAGGGGTTAGTCCGCTTCAATATTACCGAGCCCTGCTCCGAAAACCTTCCAAAAATCCCTGACCAAAAATTTAAAACAAAAAAAACCTTCGAACACTTCCCCCAACAAAGAATCCTTGCCTATCCTCGTCTTCATTTGCACTATCACTACCCGAATGAGAATGTCTGGGAGGTCTGTCGTCATCGTCGGCGTTTAAACCGTGAATGCTTTAAAAAATAAATTTAAATTAATTAAATAAAAGCTGGAATACTTTGACATATTGAGCTTTATTTGTAGATTATTTATAATAAATACTCGTCACCTTGAAAGAAACAAAAAAATGTAATCAAAAAAAATAAACAAAATCAAACAAATTTTCTTAAATATTTAACAACGTGCCCGCTCAACTCATCTAATCCTTAACTCATCCACACACCCAAAAACGCTCAACTCATCTAAACGGCTAAAATTCCTTAACTCATCCACACGGCCAAAAACGCTCAACTCATCCAATCCTCAACTCATCTAATGCTTAACTCATCCACACGGCCAAAAATAGCATTAAAATCAGAGAAAAATAGAAAAATTAAAAAAAAACATTATGCCAAAAATAATTAATTTTAAATTACAAATTAGAGACCAGCAAAATCGTATTTGCGGGATCCCGCATGAGGGAGTAGCTTTTAAAAAGTGTGCGGGAGTAACTCCCGCGGGAATATTCCGCAAAATATTCCCGCAAAATCCCGCACTTCCGCAAAATCCCACAAATCGAAAAAAGTGCGGGAGCGGTATACCGCAAAATCCCGCGCAACTGGAAAATTTCTTGCCCTTATCAATTTTGGTCCAATCTCTTTAGATCGATGAGAGTAATCGTTTAATACTAAATTTGATAAGATTCGGAAATTTTGATCAAGTTATGGCTTTGCGCCCGCGCGCCTGCCGTAACCATTTTAAATATTGCACGGCACTAGACGGGATCCGGCATATGGTGTTTTTCAAGAACGACATCAGGGCTGAGGTCATGGCGTTTGGCGTGTTTTTAAAATTTGAAAAATTGGCGTTTGGCGCGCCACGCGAAAATTTTGGCGCACAGCCCTGAACTACATCCAAAAAAATCTAGAAAAAAAAGTATTGAAATATCTTTTAATTTATTGTGGATTAATTTTTAAACGATTAAAAATAGCATTTCGATAGGGCGTGTTTGTTAAAATACAAATAATTGGGTTAAATATAGGTGTTAAATGAAAGGAAATGTGAATTAATATTCGAATAATATTTGTTGCATTGTTGGTTGTTTTTGAGGAAATTATAAAAAATAAAAGTCCAGCTTGGTTTACAAATGGTACAACGGCCTAAAAATTTAAAATTTTAAGGAATTTTTTTTAAATTAGATTACTCTTTCAATTCAATTTTTGTGTAATTAAATCAGCCATAAAGGCTTTTTGCGCTTACATGAGGAGAGGGGAGTGTTAAGGCTTTTAAATACGGTATCACGACTTTTGCGCCGAGAACATTTGCGCCGCGACTTTTGCGCCGGGCGACTTATGCGCCGCGACATTTGCGCCGCCATTGTTTAAGAAATCCGGATCCGAAAAATACCGGATATCCAAAATTTTCAATTCGGATATCGGATCCGGATATCCGAAGATTTCCAACTATCCGACAACCCTACTAAAGTGAGGTCCGGCTGTAGTTATTGATATATTTTTAATGATAGTGGCGGCGCAAAAGTCGCCCGGCGCAAAAGTCGCGGCGCAAAGGTTCTCCGGCGCAAAAGTCGCTCGGCGCATAAGTCGCGGCGCAAAAGTCGCGGCGCAAGAGTAAATTTTGATCAAGTTATGGCTTAAATTTGATCAAGTTATGGCTTAAATTTTGATCAAGTTATGGTTCTCGGCGCAAAAGTCACGGAACCTTAAATACTTGTTAGTGGTAGGAGATTCAATATCTTGCCGCTTATGGATTTACAAACAAAGGTAAACCCGATTGCCTCTCCATTTGGGACGTGCCACTTATACTTCCAGGAACTACACTAAAGCAGGCTTACTCTAGGTATCGGACCTGGGTTTCCCGTTAAGTGCAAGTCGACCACTATGTCGTGCAAGTCGGCCTCTATCTATTTATATCCCTTTAATCCCTTAAATATTGAAGTATAGAATGAAAGCCATTCTATTAGAGAGATTTTTAGTGTCATACCAGACTTCAATTCAAATTTTTAGTGTCATACCAGACTTACACTACGACTTTTGAAAGGGAATATCGAGGGATTTGGAAGGATTAAGAGAGATAAGTACCCAGCTCTATGGAAATTAGTACCCAGTTATGTATAGAACATCTCGTACGCTATTGTGAGAGTGTACCTTAACTCTGGGTTAGTATTGATCTCTACCCCTTCAATCAATTCAAATCCACCTATATCCCCTCAAACTCTCCAAATTCCTCGATATTCCCTTTTAAATTTTTAGGCTTTAGCGATAAACTCAGATTTTTAATTAAAAATATTTTTCTACCCATATTAATTTGATTTTTAATTAAAAAAAGTATTAGAACTTGTAAAATTCTTACCAAAATAATCAAAACTTTTGTTAAAAGTTTATTCAATTTTTTTAATTTTTCATCGAAATTCTTGTTTAAATTGACATATCTAACCATTTTGAATCCACAAATAATTATTATTAAATATGAAAATATTTCAATCAAAGCTATAGGTAATTGTGATACAACATTCATCTAATATTTAAATTTAACAGTAAGAGTGCGGTACAAAGGGGTGTTGAGCAGGAGCATACATTGAGATACTAGAACGCTGTCAGACTAGTTAGGAGTGAATGACTGGTGGATTGTTATTTTGCTGCCTGGCCAGCAAGGGGTCGGTCGGAATTCCTACTTCCTCCGTAGGGGAGCAAGCTAAGATACCGCAAGCCTAATGTACCGCAGAGCTATAACTTCGTTCAGAATTGTCGAATCCAGGCGCCTTGTATGGTTCGATGTGCCTCAACGAGCTGACTCGAACCATAACAGGAAGTTCCAGATTCGACAATTCTGTACGAAGTTACAGCTCGCGGTACGTTGGGCCTGTGGTACCTTGGGATGTACCCAGCACAAGAGAAGCTGTACTCATTCAGTAATTAAGTGCTGCCATAGGAAATATGAATATCGAAATGAGGAAATTATAAAAGTGAATCCTCGGGAAAAAACTCTGCTCACACCGCATATACTAATTAAAAATTACTTTTTCAATTTTATATTGAATAAATGGCCATGTTTCGTTAAAATTTTCAAAATATTTAGTGCCTCCATTAGAATATGGTAAAATAAATAAGATTATATCCAAAACATAAAATAATGAAACAAATGAAGCAATCGACACCATAAATAAGTAACGGCCAAAATTAATTTTTATATCCCTAATAATTATTTAGGATTAGTCATTTTATACAAGCTATTTAGATGTCTATCTTAAGACTTTTACAAACTAATGTAAAGCATATAGCTATTAATTTCCTAAGGCTGTGCAGTAGGCGGCGTGGTGTAATGGCTAACACATCAGTCCGGTCTACTGAAGATGCTGGTTCACTCCCAGCCGCCGATTAACCTTTTGCACTAGCTAAAGGAGAGAAATAGCTATAGCCCAGCTGCTTTACTCTAAAAATCTGATCTCTAATAATAATGAACACTTTAATATTTTTATTAGAGATCGGGAATTTAAAAAAATCTTGACCTTGATTCTTGATTTTGGTTGAGGACCTTGACCAAAACCTTTTGTCAAGGAAAAATCACGATCAAGAAAGAATCAAGATCAAGGAAAATCAAGGACCTCCAAATAATACCTTGATTTTGACTCTGAATCAAGGGAGTGCCGTTTGGCCTTTTTGGTCGTTAGTATTTCGCTTTTTTATTGACTTTCATCTTTCGCTTTTTAAAATCTATTTTGGCACAACCCTATTCTGGATCCAAAAAAATTAAGATCTGGATCCAGCTCATCCAAGCCGATCTAAATTTTTATTTATTCTTTACCTATTCAAAACTAAATATCTATAAATAAATTGAACACACAATCCATGCAAATTTAAATGAGAAATAAATAGCCAAAACACAAAAACAATATGGCATATTATTGGATTAAAATTATCTTTCATAACCCATAGCAAAATTCCATTAGTGAAAATTGTAATTGAATTCCCTTCTTTATCAAGTATATAAAACTGTAAATAATTATAGAATTGGTTTGATAAATTAAAGCATAAAGTAGCTAAAGCTATTTATGGGGTGTGGTAGTACAATATCAGTTCGGTTAACTGGAGATGGTGGTTCGCTAGCAGCCGCCTAGCATTTTTCATTAGTTGGGGAGAAATTGCTAGCCTAATTTAGCTTTGGTTTTACACGAAGTTGCACTTAACAAGTTGGACTGCGTTGCCAACTCCCAATTTTATTTTTCTTTTTTTTTTCTCCAAAAAAGTACACATGGATCAAAGTGAATCTATGTCGTGATTAGAACCAATGCTAAGTTGAGTGTGCAAATAAGCCAGTTTTCTTCGGTTTTTAGCTCTTACCTAATGTGTACCACTAGCTCTATTCGTAATATGTTTACCTTATTCCCATAAAATTTTTATGGGAATAGAGAGCCCTATCACCAGGGTGCACGCAATTACGGATTGCGAGTTGCGCTTGCGTAATCTTTTTTTTCAATTGAGTGCAAATAAGTCAGTTTTCTTAGATTTTTAGCCTATCACCCAGGCTAAAAATCACCCAAAGTTATGTTAACTTATATGTACATGCACAATACTGAACCATTGGTTCTAAATACTTTATTTCTAAAATATTCTGAATTACCGCCTGAACAAATAATTGACAAGTCAACATTAAAATATCCAAAACACAATTTTGTATCAGAATTCGACTGTGTGTTTTCATTTCTTTTGGCGTTTTAAATAAAATTAAAACAATCAAAATAATATTTAAAGGAAACCCAATTAATAAACAACCAAAATAATTAAATTTAAATAAAATATTAAGTAAATCTGGCATTTTTTTTTAATTCAGAAAAATATTTTTTATTTGAAAGAATTTTCTAATATTTAACAGTTTTGCTGGTAACTAGGCATTTATTTGCCATATAAAATGAAAATATTTTCAATATATAATTATTGGGTGAAGAGAAAATTAATTATAATGTGGAAACTTCATATTCAATTAGGCGAAAATGCCAAATTTGTTGCTTCAAACTAAATTTTAAAAATGAATATGATTTTGTTTTCTACACAAATTCGCTTAAAAATTTTTTTATTTTTGTATTCTATTTTTATTTTCGATAATTTTTTAATAAAATTATTTTAGGTAATTTCTAATGCTTATGTATGTACATATGTATAATTGCCAGTTTATTATATTTATTTACGTAAACACATATAACCATTACCTAGGCACATATAACCATTATAATCCCTAAGGATAATCCATAAGAATTGTTGGGAAAATCCATTAATGCATAATGCTCGCCCAAAAAATCACCTTTGCTTAGGCAATCAACGGATATGACTCACATTAGTTAAAGATCCCGTCTCGGTCGGTTCTCTACTTTTAATTTCTCACAATATGCACTTTCCTTTCAATGAATTTAACTTGTTTTTAAATTTAAAGTCTAAAATTTCTTAATGCTTTATTGCCCTTTTACACAATAAATTATATATAAATTTTATTACAAAACATAATTTCGATATTTTCATCATATCCTTTTCAAATGTTTATTTATATTAATTCGATTTTAAATTAAATTTTATTGTTTTTCCGTTAGCTTTTAAAGAAATCCTTAGTAAGAGCTTTAGTAAGAACCTTAGTAAGTAACTTTTAAAAAGTTTAAGCCCGGGCAGGCTTCGATCCTGCGACCTCCTGGCAGTTATTGCTAGGCGCTTTCGCTCACCACGTACAGGTGCTCTACCAACTGAGCTACCGGGACGCTGCTTTCACCTTCTCTTTTAATAGATCTTAAACCCCCGCCTAGTGAGCGTTTTAATGCTCGCCAGCTGGATCTTTCTCTTCCTTGCACTTTTAAATAAATTATAAAATCTGTTTAGGATGAAATTTGCTAGTTTTTTAATCGTTTCAATCTTCACTTGGATATTATGGACATCTGTTAAAACTACTATTCCAACTCAAAAAGGATTAGCTGATGGAGAAGTTTACACGGCAGAGGATCTCACTAAAACATCGAATGATGGGACGGAATCATCTGCCAATCCTCAAACTCAAAATTATGAAGAAAATTTAACAAAAAAGGGAAGATATGGAAATAAAGGAGTAGAAAAAGTGTTTAACAGAAGTGAATGTAATAAAAAATATTACCAAAAAAATAAAGAAAAAATAAATGAATATCAGCAAACTTACTATAAAAGGAATAGAAGCGAAAGAATTCAATATCAGAAGAGTTACTACCAAAAGAATATTGAGACGGAACTGAAAAAACGGAAAATATATCACTATAATCATAAGGAAAAGCTGAATGAATACAAGCGAAAATGGCGACAAGAAAAGAAAAAATCTGATCATAATGAAGGAACTTCATTTGTTAATCCACAGACTGACAATTTTAATAATAAAGGTAAATTACCAATTGTTTGTCAGGAGAGTTTTCAGGAAGGAAATCTTTTTAATCAAGGGGAGGAAGAATGCAATAATGGCGAGGATGAGCAAAATCAAATCGAGGTAGAAGAGCCAAATAAAATTATTGAAGATAACACAAATCACATAGATTTAAATAAAAAACTTTATTCTTTTGATCTAAACGAAAAACCTTTTGATCTGAACGAGATGCCTGAGGATGAAGAATTGGAAAATTATTAATATAATGGATACCTTCCACTCTCTCTAAATATTTTAATTTAAATCTTATATCTTTTAATTTTCACCAGGATTGCGTCAAAATCGAAAATTTCATTCGATTGGATCTTGAAAATTGTCTAAAACATAATTAAGACGCAATCCTTTTATGTAATCTCCTCCTACGAGGATTTTAGTCTCTATACATTGTGCCTTTCCAAAATAAATTTACAAATCATTCTAAGTAAGATATGTGTACTTTTCTTCAGATAGGTAAATTACTAGCCACGTCAGTAGTGTAAATGTTTGTGTGTCTAGCTTCTTGGCATTTCTAGATTCTCAAAAATTTTTGGCTGCGGCGCTGAAAAAGGAAGAAACTGTTTACTTACAAATTAAAGGGAATCTCGTTGATTTGAGTGTGTATCGAGGAATCGAGTAGGTTGAAACTATGAAGAAGTATGTATAGTCCACAAATTGTAAGGATGATTCACATAGAGCATTTAAAACGCTTAGGCGGGAGTTAAGCGATCTAAAAGGATAAGAGATAAAGTTTTAGTCGTCTCCTCGGTAGCTCAGTGGTAAATAGAGCTGTCTCTTGACTCAGACTTTTCTTGGGGTTTTTTCGGTCTTGGTCTTGGGGTCTGATCTTAGTCTTGGAAAATTTTCGGTCTCGGACAGCTTTAGTGGTAAAGCAGCTTCATTTGTGCGGCACTGTCAGCGTTGTCGCATGTTTGGACCTTTCTCCCGGTGCTAAACTTTTGCTAAACTCTTTCTAAATTAACATGATAAGATCAGACCTACACAACTATGAGCACTATAATTTTATCAGTAATAATAGAAACATCCAAAAATTAATTTTCCTCCAAATTGGGTTAATTTTATCAAAGGTCTTAACTAAACTCTCCCAAACAAGTTTTTAATTTAACCCAAAAATGCACAATAAAACCTTTTGTTATTAATCTTTTTTTCTTTGAACTAGTAATTAAAAATAGTCCAAAAAATATTTCTACGCGTTTTTGGCCACCCGAAAAAGTTTTGATTGATTAACTTTTTGTTTTTATTTTTTTTGCAAATATGGATAGTTGGATTGTCTTTTTTGAAACAAAAGTAGCAATAAAACAAGTTTTAACGTTTTTTCTTTGAACTTTGGTTAGCCGCACACGAAGAATGTTAAAGTTGGAGGAGGGGGTACGTCTGGGCGCGGGAAAGGTTTAGGGGGAGTCGGAGCTGGCTTATATTTTTGCTAATATTTTTGGTTGTAGGTTGCCTAGAGATGTAAAATTTTGTGAGAATGTCTTTCAAGGTGTTGACTAAGTTCTCTAAAAATTTCAGAATTTTTGGTTCAGGATTTTAAAAGTTATGGTCGAAAAACCAAGGAAACCCTCAATTTTTGGCAATTTTCGGGCAATTTTCGGCAAAAATTCCCAAAATAAATGACCAAAAAATTTTTTTTCTTTAAATTAAAATAATTATAAAGGGACTGAAGATATTTCTGCAAAATTTCACGTTTCTATCTTAACAATAGTCGATTTTAATATATTCACGCGCCCAACGTCACAATACATTAGTGCGCCCAAAAATGACAATCCTTGATAGAAGGAAAAGTTGCTTTACCTATATTTGTAGGACAATAATAAAATGAAAAAAATCCAAAGAGATTAGATTTTGCTCTCTTTGGCTAATTCTGCGATGATTAGAAAAAAAGGAATGTTAGAAAGTTATGTCCAAAAATAAAAACCTGTGGAGGCAAATTCTCGTTTTTTGTTGGGAAATAAAATTATATAAAAGGGAGAAGATTTGTAGAATTTTCATTATCAAAAATCAAAGCATTTGAATAACAACAAAAAATGAAAGGCTCTCTACTTTGTCTAACTGCTCTGGTAGCACTTGTGGCGCTAACTGATGCTTTCTTATTTGGAGGATTAGGCGGTGGTGGTGGTGGTGGCGGTACTACTTGCTGTTGTTGTGGAGGTGGGGGCAGCGGAGGAGGTGGTGGTTGTGGTGGTGGTGGAGGAGGCTGCGGTGGAGGTGGAGGATGCGGTGGTGGATGTGGAGGAGGAGGTGGCGGCTGCGGAGGTGGTGGAGGTGGATGCGGTGGTGGTGGAGGCGGTGGTTATGGCGGTGGTGGCGGAGGTGGCGGAGGTCCAATTATTATTAACTGCGGTGGTGGAAGAGGAGGCGGTGGAGGAGGTGGTGGTGGATGCGGTGGTGGAGGAGGATGCGGAGGTGGTGGAGGAGGCTGCGGTGGAGGCGGAGGATGTGGAGGAGGCGGTGGTGGATGCGGCGGAGGTGGAGGAGGCTGTGGTGGAGGCGGAGGATGCGGTGGTGGATGTGGAGGAGGAGGCGGTGGATGCGGCGGAGGTGGAGGAGGCTGCGGTGGAGGCGGAGGATGCGGTGGTGGATGTGGAGGAGGCGGCGGCGGATGTGGAGGTGGTGGAGGAGGCTGTGGAGGAGGTGGAGGATGCGGTGGTGGATGTGGAGGAGGAGGTGGTGGATGCGGAGGAGGTGGAGGAGGCTGCGGCGGAGGTGGAGGATGCGGTGGCGGATGTGGAGGAGGCGGCGGTGGATGTGGAGGTGGTGGTGGAGGCTGCGGAGGCGGTGGTGGCTGTGGAGGTGGAGGAGGCTGCGGCGGAGGTGGTGGTGGCTGCGGAGGTGGTGGAGGAGGATGCGGTACTCTTTATTTAAATCATTTCTTAATTTTTTAAAATTATTCAGGTTGCGGGAGAAGAAAACGTTTGGCCCTCTTCCAAAGAACAGTTGCAAAATTGTCTAAAGCATAATCAAATAACATCATTTGAACATAATGCCATAATAGACAACTTATTTTTGCTCCTTATTCATTTTGTTGTTTTCCCTTTTTTAAAGCCTTATAGTTTTTAGATGTTAGATTTATATAGTTTTATATGTTAATAGTCCTTTAGTGATCATCAATTGTGCTATAATTTTTAGTTTTGTATTTTAGCCGCAATTTTAATCAAGAAAGAATAAAAATTCTAATTACATTTTTTACTGTTTGTGGAAATACATTATAATGGACACTAGTATCTTTTAGCAGAACCAACCTGACTTTAATTATCGATAGACTTGGCTATTTTTTCGTTCGAATTCCAAGGGTAGTTAGCGAGCCCCTTCATTTTGTAGACTTAATTAGATCAACTCGATTAGATCAATCTGTTGGAGTTGGAGTCAGTTAAGTGTAAGTCAGTTAAGTGGTCGGGTTTAACCTTCATCACTTCCTATGTTTTTACATTTATCGGATTGTTGGTAATTCCAAGGCTGGTCCCCCCCCTTTTTTTATTGTTCGCCTGACCATTTTGAGCTTTTTTGCTTGACATATAATTATCAATATATCATTCGAAAGAGCTGTTCGAGCTGAGTAGAATGATACTATGATCGGTTCGATTTGGAGATTCTGAGCAGAATTATGAAGCAAAATCCTCGATCGACATGCTTTTTGTCGATGTTGAAAGGGATTAAAACAAATGGTCATAACTATGTTTATTTAAGTCGGATTTCGATTAATTTAGTTCGTTCGACTCAGCTTGAAGAGCTCTTTCGAACGATATATAATTTGCCATAAAAAGTTTAAAAAATCGAAAAATTATAAAGGAAAAAAAGGGGGGGGGGACCAGCCTTGGAATTACCGGATTGTTTTTTTAAAGAAGGATCAGACCGTACTGCCAAGTTGGAAAAGTGCTTTTGAATGATATAGGATTCATTCGCATCGTATAAGGGATAAAGAAGGTATAGCCTATTAAAATCGCTGACACTCAACGGATTCCTTTATTTTCAACAATCGTAGTGTTTGTCCAATTTAGTCATCAGCGGCGTGGTGTAATGGATAACACAAGTCCTGTCTACTGAAGATGTTGGTTCGCACCCAGCTGCCGAATAACCTTTTGCACTAGCTAAAGGAGAGAAATAGCTATAGCCCCCAGCTGCTTTACTAACCTTTTTACCGGATTAATATAACCTATTGAAATAATCCTTAACCCTCAGTTTATTTCTTTATTTAGAAAGATTATTCAACTTTTTGCATACCTCTCATTCTATAATAATTTTTAGTTATTAAACTCACTTGAAATTTTTTTTCGTTTTCATCAGATTTATTTTCGATAATTATCCTTTAGCGAATTTTTCTTATTATTTTTCGTTCTTCTAAACAAAAATTACAATTACAATACAAATAATTTCCACAACTATCGTTTTCTCTGATAGAGTTTTATTGAAGAAACCTGAAATGCGACGACGTTTAGGCGCCGTTATGTTTGGGCGCGCTCTTGTGTATTTCCATAAATAGAGGACCTAGTGGCTTGAAATTTTTTTCTAAATATTTTTCATAGTGTCAACTATCTCGTCTAAAAATTTCAGAATTTTTGGTTTTGTAGTTCTGGAGTTATGGTCGAAGAAGTCAAACAAACACTGCTTTTTCGAGCATAATCAGTTCCTTCGACCATATCTTCTGAAATACTTGATAAAAAATTCTGAAATTTTTAGAGGGCATAGGTTACTCTATTTCTGATGTTTTTGCAAAATTTTGCTTCTCTATGAATTTGTTTGTCTGTTTTAGGAATACAAGTGTTTCTACGCCCTTACATTGTTGCGCCAAAACATACTAGGCTTAAACCAGTGAGAGAATTATTAGGCCTAAAAAATGAAACTAAAAAAAGGAAAGGAGATGCTAGTTTTGTGTTAAACAGTCTACAATTATTAAAATAATACTGCTTTCAAGTATAGACGGAAACCGAAAAAAGGTGAATTAATAGAGGGTAAATTGAGCCGAAAGGGAAGAACTTGAATATCATTGGAGGTGAATTAATAATAGAACGGTGGACTCCCTCCTGTGAGGATAGAAAAGTTGAAAAGCAAAACCTTAACCTTTCCTTTATTAAAATATATTTTTGGTTTATTCACTTCTTAATAAGGAATAATAAATACTGGCTGTTTCTAGTGAAGTCTTTTCCAGGGGGATTTCTTGGGATTTTCGCGTCTTTATCCCTTAACCTGAGCCGATTATTGTACTCGATCGGACTGTAGGTCAGAGGTGGGTCAGAATTACGATTTCCGAAGCTTTTTTTCCTTCCGATTTCCGAAAAAAATTTTTATTTTCGATTTCAGAGTTCCGCTTTTGAGCCAGTTCCGATTTCCGACTCTTCCGATTTCAGACACCTCTGCCTGTTCCGACCCACCTCTGTTCCGATTTCCCAAAATTCCGTAGAAAAAAATATTGAGAAAATGATACAGTAACCTCCTCTATTGTGAACTCCCTTTGGTATAACTCGTTTAAAGTCCGAACCAAGATGAACTCTCTATAATAAAACTCCCTCTATAATGAACTCTTTCGAGTTCCCAACTGACGAATCCCTCCCTATCCCTTCATGATTTTTCTCAATTTAGCAATGAACTTCCACAAATCTTTCTTCTACCTTTTTTTACTAATTCTTCTGCCTTTGCATTCAAACGGATTTTTCTTTGGTGGTTATGGAGGTGGAGGTGGCGGTTGTTCTTCTTGTTCTTCTTGCTGTAGTAGTTGTTGTACTACAACTTGTACTACTAGTTGTGTAAGCTGTTGTGTAAGTCTGATTATTTAAATATTATACGACCGGGGAACTTTCCTCCCAAACTGCCTACCGAATAGAACAAAAACTAAGTCAACTCTTCCCGGATGTTTGACGGTATCAACACTACATCGGAGAGCTCTCAGGATCATGTCCCGTTAATCCTTCGCTAATGGAGTTGGCCGCTTATTATACTGTTTAATCTTAGTAATTGCCCTCCTTCAAGTAATTATCCCATTTCTATTGATTACCTCTTTCAGCGGTAGGTTGAAACACTAATTAACCGTTAAATGTCCTACTGTCAATGTCCACCCCCTCCCCTGTCAAATGCTCTACCACACATTCATAATCCAAACCTCGAATAACTGTCTTACTCTGATTTATTATTCCCTCCATAGAAGATTATTTAAATATTGTAAGGCCGGGGAGCTTTCCTCCCATCCATTCTAAGAAACACAAAAATCAACACTACCCATCAGTGGTCTGATTGTTGATCGTTTACATCCTTTGCATAGGGCAGCTCTCTCTCAGAATCAAGTCTCATACAATCTTTTACTATTTTCTGGAATGGGTTTTGCTGCTTTACCTTATTTTACTTTACTTACTTTATACCAGGGAGGAGGGACCTATTCCTTCCATCTTTGGGCTGTACCCCCGTTGCCCTTTATGATAGGAAAAAGGCTCCAAAGAGAGGTCTCCGACAGTTGCATCCCTTCTAGTATAAAAATTATCGTTAAAATATAATTATTTTCAGCCACCACCCCCCTGCTGTTGTCGTAAGTTGATATTCATTGTCTCTTAAAAATTGTTTATTTAAGCACCCCCACCTTGTTGTTGTTCTTCTAGTTGTTGTACAACAACAACTAGTTGTTGTACCAGTACAATTTCTTCTTGTGGTGGTGGCTGTGGAGGATGTGGGTGTGGAGGTTGTGGTGGGGGATATGGCTATGGAAGACGTAAACGAGCTATTAAGCGAAGGAGGAAGTGTTACATTTTGGTACAATAAAAAGTATTAGATGATTTGAATGATATAAAGTAACTTAAGTGAATACTCAAGAACAACCCCCTCTCTCTAATACATACATTGCACGGTACTGAATCCCGGACCCTATAACTTATGAAGGGATGGTCACTTTTTTTGCTCTTGGTATCATTGATATGGCACCAATCAATCAAAAATTTTGATTTTTTGGTATATTGTAGTCCATCTAATGCGCTATCTAATGGTACCAAAATCATTTAAAATTATCAACCCGTACTTGAGCTGTAGGGTCGGGACTCAGTTGAACTGCTCCATATATAGCAACCTTCTGTTCCGCTTACATATTTTATTTAGTTTTAAGCAGATAAATGCGTCTTACAAAAAAAATAAAAATAAATTTTATTCCTTTCGTTGACTTATAAAAGAGTTTCAGATCAAACGAAATGCTTACAAAAAATTTTTTATTAAAAAACTGAATTTTAGTGAATAATAGAGAGCGAGCTGTATCTGTATCCAGACCTCGGTTTTTCCTGGATCCAGAGTCCAAATCAAGGCATTTTTCGGAGTTCCTTGATTTTTCCTTGACTCTAGTCAAGAATCTGGTCAAGGTACCCAACCGAAATCAAGGTCAAGGATCAAGGTTTTTTTGAAAATCTCGCTCTCTAGTGAATAATAATTCTACTAAAATTTTATTTCCAAGAAAGATTTAAATTTTTAAAATAAATTTCCGAACTCATATTCATATTAATTTTGACGAAATTCTTTTTAATTTCATTCTGTTTCTTCAAAAAATAGCTATAGACAATCAATGCTATTATGGCGTGAATAAGGAGTAACTTAAATTAGAAATAATAGTAGTATCTAACCCATTTTTATAACATTATTAATTTTTATAAAAGCCGGTTTTATAACAAAAAATAAAAAATAAGAACAAAAATGATTCCGGCATAGCTTAAATAACACCATTAAGGTTGTTAAGGGGGTTTTTGACAACCACTTAAATTAATGGATCACTTACTGGTTTATAAGTGATTAATTGACAACCACGTAAAAACCCCATTAAAAAACCACTTAAAAAATATAAAATTTTAAAATTTAAAAAAATTTAAAAAATTTCACTTAAAATCCCCACTTAGAAAATCAATTAAAACCCCACTTAAAAAATTTTAAAAAATTTAAAAAATTTAAAATTTTATAAAAAACCCCCACTTAAAAAATCAATTAAAAACCACTTAAAAATTTATAATTACAAAATTTTAAAAAATTTTACTTTAAAACCCCACTTAAAAAATCAATTAAAAACCACTTAAAAATTTATAATTACAAAATTTTAAAAAATTTTACTTTAAAACCCCACTTAAAAAATCAATTAAAAACCCCACTTAAGGACCCCACCCCCACTTAAAAAATCAATTAAAAAACCACTTAAAAACCACTTAAAAAATTTTTAAAAAATTTAAAAAATTAAAAATTTTTATAAAAAACAACTACTTAAAAAACCACTTAAAAACCACTTAAAAAATTTTTAAAAAATTAAAAAATTTTATAAAAAAAACACCCACTTAAAAAACCACTTAACTAATGGATAGGGGCACAGGGGTTAAGGTTGTAAAGCACTTAAGTGTATGAGTAAGTGACAAATTGATTTATTATTTAATTTCTATATTTGTGATTTATAATTTTTATTTATTATTGATTTTTATTTATTTAATTTTTTGTATTTTGTGATTTTATAATTTTTATGTATTTTTTATTTATATAAGAAATTTTTATTTTAATTTAATTTAAATTATTATTAGAGGAAAAATTTTTATCTAAGTTAAAAACTAGTAAAAATGAGTAAAAGAAAACAATTGTGCATTAAAATTTTATTCTGAGCGCATCAGCAATACAAAAATGAGGAAAACAATAAAGCTAACAATTAAATAACTCAAAAAATATAGGAAACGCTATCTAGTAAAAGGGCATATTTTAACATATCTATTCTTCATTCGTCACAACATCTATACATTCAAGTGGATAAAAATATTGGTGATTCTTTCCTCCAAACACACATAGGACGGGTAGACGTGGAAGATAAAGGTTTATTCGATGACGGACATAGAAGTATTGCCTAAAAATGAAAAATATTAATAACAGAAGAAAAATAAAATTACCTTATTGTAACGCGAAGATATCCTCTAAGAGCAAATACATGATCAGCGCCCAATTTTGTAAGCTTACAAGGATACAATTCCATCTGAAATTTATGTAAATGGTTTGTTACAAGTCCTTTATTTTTCATTGGAGCGTATCCATCCATCAAAAGTTTTTGTCCAATTCCCGCTGAAATAACATCTTCTTCAGTCATTCCAGATAGTTGTTGAATATATTTTAGATTTTCTTCTGTTCTTTTACGCATAGCACAGTGCAGAGTTTCAGGAGTGCATCCTCCATTAAACTGACAAAGCAGACTAACAAGGGATGTTTTTTTAAGGCAAGGCGTGGGCGGCTTGGAATCGATATCGTTTCGTTTTTCCCTCCATTGAGTAAAAGCAGAAGTTGAGGTTATACAAGAGGTTCGCATGTTTATATTTTGTTAGTAAAATTTTCGCCTTTTATACCCTTGAAAGACGAACAGCTTCATTTATATTAGTGCGATTAAAGAAACCATTTCGAGCCTGATAGAAGAATAGTAAAAGAAAAATAAATAGTATATACAGGACATAAGCAAACCCTAATATAAAATTTTGTTGAGGAGGCATAATGATTTCGCTATCTATAAAGATTGTATTATTTTCATAAGGATTACGGGGGAAAGGAAGAATTAATTCGGAAATAACCATCATAGAATAGAATAGCTGATACAATGCTACCGGTCTCTTATATACCAAGCGCTAATATTTGAACAAAATTTCTTAGAGCGATATCACGTCCTTCAGGGGGTATAGAGTGTAATTTCTGTAGAACTTCGGAAAAGGTTCCATAAAGTGAACGCAATACTAAAAAGCAGATACAATAATGACCGCATGTGTCAGAGAAAGGATATTGTAAAACGAAACGATTTTGCTTAACATTTGAATAGTTTGAAAGTAATGATTGGCGCATCTCACAATTAGGTTCTTCGGCAAACGAATCAAAGTATTCTATAGTGTCCGCTTTATCAGAATAACAGGCAATCCAATGTTCTCCTCTAGTTCCTTTACGCATTGTATTTGCAATAAAGCAAAAATTCTTTTTTTTAACAGAGGGAGGTATATTATTTGAAGAAAACACACCAATAAATTTATGTTTTAGCGGTTCATATTTTTGCATAATAGTTTGAATTTGCAGCGTATTCATACTGATCCATCAGTGCTTAAAACACGATCAGCATTTATGGACAGAATTGAGTCAAACTCACCCATGATAATCATTTCATAGCCCTCCTCTTTTACAGGCTCGTTGAAAAAACACCTAACAGTCGTTGTGCCTTGTCTTATGAGCTCTAAACCATTTGTATCCTCAAGGGTGGATGTCATAGGTATAACAAAGAAGCATGAAGATTTTGAAAATTCTTTCATCCCGATACTAAGAGTTCTTTGCTCAGAGTTTGGCCACGCATCGAGATCCATACCTGAATACATATCAACGTAGGCGCGAACAAAATTATTATTGGCAAAGTCTAAATCATAAGGAATGGAAGGGAACTGGAAGCCTCCAAATTCTGCTGAAACTGAACGAACATTAGCATTTTCAAAAGTGAAGGGAGAAAGAGTAGGGACCCCAGTAAATGCAGAAGAATTTACGAAACAAATTATCAAGCGTCTTGGACATGTACTGGTAAATGAAGCGTGACTAATTTCCTGGCGTCCTTTTCCAAGAAAAACACTGCGAATTTCAATCTTTTTATAAGCATATTTCGCGGGAGTTTGTTCCAAATGTCTAGCAATTGCATTATTCAGCGACATACTTAAGTCAACTTGCTTCACATAAATTCTCATATCATGAAGCCGTAAACGGTAAGTATGAGTGTTATTTACAAATTCTGCACCTGCCGCATTCGGTGGTATTATTCTATACTTGGGCGCATGAATAAGAAACTCGTCAGAATTTCTATAGATGGTCCATATAACGTCACTGTGTGGAACTAATAGCTGATTCTGCCGCGCGAAATCATAATCTAAATGAGAAATCATTCGACAAACTTTACCTTTAGAAAAACGTGAAAGACGAGATTTAAATCCTGCGCCTTCAAAATCATCTTTATCTAACGCATCTTTGTAATAAAGTGAAGCCTCATACAGACCCCTACTTACTTCACGATCCGCACCAAGTTCATGAAGAATTATACATCTGTATGCATAGTGGATGCCTGAGTCAAAACATTGAGTACCGTTAATAGAAAGAGTCAGACGACGAATCCATGTAAGTCCTAGATATTGAGCAACACTAATAAACCGATCCCCCTTGAAATCGCCGTAACCGTCTGTAATTGGAACCCACTCACCAGTTTCGTCGTTTTTTCTTTCAAGTGATAAATTCAAGTGGAAATAAGTCTTGCTTAAATCAAGATAGAGAGAGTCACCAAAGTAACGAAAAATAAAAGGTCCAGCAGACTGATTGAGAGCATTAAGAGGAAGTAATTCCTTGTATGCTGAACGCTGAATTCCTACATTTGTAGCAGGAACAGAAAAGAATGTAATTCTATTATCAACTCCTTCTTCACTATCCTTATCTATTTTCTTTATTGTAGTCATTGTTGCGATAAAATTCTAGGTAACACACTTATATACTACTACTTAATTGGTCTTTATAACGACGTTTTTTGGTTGTTTGCTTGCCTTTCCCGCATTGCTGCAGCTTTTTGCCTACCTTTTGTAAACCTTCACTACCGTGTTGTTGCAGTGCTTCCTTAATAGATCTACCTTGTGCAACATCTTCGAGTACGTTTCTTCCCGCAGCTACTGCTTCTTGTCCAGCAGTAGTCGCTAGATTCTTGACAATAGGCAATAGAAAACGTCCAACAGTACCAAACAAGCCAAAGCCTCGTTGGTATCGTGTTCCTTGAAAGTAAGGAGAACTGTCCTTAATTGCCAACCCTCCTCCTTCTTGGGAATTTAGGAAGGGTTCCCAGTCAATACTATCCAAATCAACAGCTACGTGGGTCATTCAAAATAGCGACCGTTGAAAATGTAATGTTATAATACAATTACCCCAATGGAATTTTACGAGTTTCCCTGTCAAAGTTCTAATTTCTATAGTTATATCAGGATGTCTTTTACCTTGTAAACGGTGATGATGTTCAGTCATATATACTTCTGATACGCTATCTCCAGGTTTACCACTGACATTTACAACTCTTAGAAGAGGAGCGGTTACGTTTCCTATAATGCTATTCTCAACTAATTTTGGTGCGTACACTAATAATTGTCGGACTCCTCCTGAAATGTCAGGCATATACTTTGCAACATGGCCAGAGTAAACTGTTTGAGAATCAAATCCAAGAGTATAAGCTAATTGTTTACTTAATTGAATATATTTTACATTACCCTGAAACCAAAACCAAAAACGATTGTGAGTTAGGTCATGATGAACGGAGACCCATTGATAACGAGGATCAGATAATTGAATTTTGTTTAGATCGAGAAGTTTCTTCTGGTATTCTGGGGGATAGCCATATTCTGTAACTTCCATATTATCAGCATCTCTTCTCCGTCGAAAAAAACCTCCATAGATTTTTCTCTTTGCTTCTTCATTTTCTTCTTCTAAGCGTATTTTTTCAAGTTCTTTTTCCCAAACGTCTAATAAAAACGAATTTAATGCTGATTCTAATGCAGCTTCAGAAGAAAAGAATAAATCTGGTATTTCAATGCGTGTTGAGCGAACCTCATCCTTATATGTTCTAAATACTGTTATTGATTCATTTGTTTCTGAGTCATCAAGTAAAGCAAATGAAAATGGGTAAATAATATTCGATAGAGCAACTGTCCAGGTTGAATCTAGTTCAAGAGTATCAGGCATGCGAACTGTGAATTTTGACGTGGTATTCCCGTCAACATCTTCAGTGTTTGATGGCAAAACCACATAAAAGGAATCCATTATCGTACAATATCGGTATCTTTAATCCAACTATTATGTGTATCGTTATATCCTATCCAACGAACAAAATGTTTTAATCCTTCGCGAGTTTTACGTGTTTTCAATATTTCAGCTATTCTGTGCGTGGTATCTAGAGATGTGGGAACCAATTCCTCGAGATAGAATATTCCTTCAATTTTTTCTCCGCGTAAATCTTCGAGGCGATATATAGTAGGGACGCGACTATCGTTAACAGTAACAATACGGAAAAGCTCGTCAGTGTAATTGGCAAAATATCCTTTTTCAAATTTTCCTTTTTCTTTAGCGATTCTAACAATTTGTCCAGGGTTAAGTTTTTGTTTTGTTCCTGCGTGATTATAATTTTCCTTATATAGCCTCTCGAAAAGTTTTCTAGCGTTTTTAAAGTTTACAGAATTCGGAGTTACCCCTGTTACACGATTTACACTTGCATTTATTCCATCAATAATAGTTTGAACGTCGTCTATCCAACGAAGTTTATTTTTCTGGCTAAAATAACGATAAAGTCTTTCTTTTATTGTTCGATTAGCACGCTCGGCCATTGAAGCATGAACATCAGGACTAAAAACAACACGCTTATCTATATCTTTAGAGTCGAAATAATCTCGCATTTTCTTGGCTTGAAACTCTAAGCCTCGATCTGTATAAAGTCTATGTGGAAGAATGCCTTTATTTGCGGCAAATATTTTTTCGAATGCCTCTATCATATTCTCAGCATGTTTAGATTTAACAGGAGCGACAAAAATTTTTCTGCTCAATACATCAATGCAAACTAGTAAATATTTATATCCTTCATTTTGTGAAGCAAGCTTATCAAATATTGCTAAATCACCCTGCCAATCTGTATGAAGACCGCTAGGTCTTGTAGTGAGTCGTGAGAAACGTCTTCTTGCAGGGTAGTGCATAGTATATACACGTTGTTTATGCATGAAATCATACACTTCCTTCATTTTTAGCTTGGGAAACTTAAGACGCGCCTCTTCATAAACACGACGAATTCCTGCATAAGAGGCTGGCGAGTTAAGCGAATAATAAACTTGTTTCAAATGTTTTTCTAGAGTTTTTCCCATATTTTTGGTACAAATTTCTTTTTCGGAGAATTTATACTTACCAGCACAACTTTCCTCTTTTTTCCTCTTCCCGATTGGATACTGCTACTCTCATCTGATGCTGTTTCTTCCTCACGTGATGCACGAATCATCTCCTTAACTAGCGGATCTTTAGCAATTCTTCCAAAAAGGAAACTGAATCCTTTAGATATAGTCGGTCTTTCACCTGTAATATATTCAATGACATGACTAAAGTTACTTTCCTTAATACTTCTACCGCGAACATTTGTGTCAAAAGTCCCATCATCGTGAATTAAAAATTTTTCTCTGTTTTGGCCTATGTATTCTTCCAGATTGTCAGCGAACCTTTTTGAAATAATTCCTTTAAAAGGTGATACTCTTCTTGAATATGTTCTTTTATTCACAGGCGTATTTAATTCTTCCTTCTTAAAATCATCAATAGGTCTTATTGGTTTACTACTCTCAAGATATGGAACTAAATCAGGTACAGCATTATCTTGAATTATTACTTTGTGAGGACGGTTTTCTATCTTTTGTTTTAATTGGCGTCTTTGATTATACAATAAATTATATTTTTTAGCACGCGTTTCTTCATTTATCTTTGGATCTTCGAGAATATCCTTTATCATAGCGTCAGTTTGTGCTTTCTCAGTGTGCATAAAATCAGATTTACCTTTTATCATGTTAAGTAGTGTAAGATATTCAATCTCCGGTATCATTATCATTTTCTTTGTGTGCTTCATTCCGTAATTTTATGTATGATATGTTCGGCTAAGGCACCTAGTATAGGTATGAGTATTGCTGCGAGTGCTGCGCTGCCTCCCTCTTGTAAACGTTTTCGAGCGCTTTTTTCTGTTCTTGTTCTAGAAATTTTGCGATAAAAATCCGCAAACTTGGCTAGCTTCTGCCTTTGTCTCCTATTTAGTATAAAATTATGTTTTAGTACGTTGGCGCAAATTTCAACGATGGATAAAATTTGATCAGCACTAGCTGTTAGTATTATCAAATTTTTCTTTTTATCCGAACTAGTCTTGGCTAATTGTTGAAGAAATTGGTAATTTTCGCGAATATATGGGCTATAATTGAGCGTCATTGTTATTATAATATATTATAAGGGTAAATATATACACTGTTTTTCACCTGGGAATATATTCGTAGAAAGCCGGAGGTGCTCATCAGCATTGGGATGCATATTTATCAAAAGGTACGAGAATCTTTCTGAAGTTGCATCACGATAAGCCTCTAGGAAATAATCTAACTTTTTTGGAAATAGCTGCGCCCCCATTGTTCTTACTTGCAATAATCCCTGTGGATTTTTTGTCAAGAGTATGTAATGCGCATTGGCTCTAGCAGTTTTAATATTCCGTCCATAGAGAGACTGTGTAACAAAAATAATACTCACATTCCAATTATGAGAGCCCTTTGTAAAAAGGAGATCAAGAAAATCATTCCCAATATTTAACATAAGGTCGTCGAGTACAAGAAGTTGATGTTGTTTAATTAGTTCAGGGTCTGGCACTCCATTATAAGTCGTAATTCCCATTTGTTTAAGTTTAAAGATGGTCTCATTAATTTCTCCAAAACAGTATAATATGTGTTTTGGAGGAGGATCAACAAGCACCTGGCAGTTTTTAAGAAATTTAAGAAGCCATTGAGTTTTCCCACTACCCGTAGCTCCTGAAATAATCATTGTAAAAGGCGATTGAAACATTGTTATATACTTTTAATATTTTTATAAGGTCTATTTATATTAATACAACAGTTCTTGATGTATGGTTAAGTGGTATTATGCTATGTTCTCTAATGCTAATCTCATTACATCCAAAACTAAAATACCTGTAATGGTAGCTAGTTATGGATGTGAAGAAATTAGCTTTGGAAAATATAGGATAAGACCATTTAGGCATATATTAAGAACTTTTTATGTCCTTAAAACGTGGTTTAGTGGGTTATGCTTAGACTGTACTACTAAGACACTTATTAAGGACTTTTTGCTATGGATAAACCACAAGTTCAGAACGTAGTTTCAACAGTCACGCTACTAAAAGAGATTCAAGATCTTGAAGTTATTTCAAAAAACATTAAAAACTCCAATTACAACCCAAAGAAGTTTTCAGCCCTAATTATTAAGAATTTTGAGCCTATTCGTGCTACAGCATTATTATTTTCAAATGGAAGACTTGTTTGTGTCGGGACGAAATCTTCTTCGATGGCAAAGGAGGCTACAATAATATTTGTCCAACAAATAGCTAATGCGCTAAAGGAGACAACAATCGCAATCGATAAATTTAAGATCCAAAACGTTGTTGCTTCATTTAAGTTTCCTAAAACACTGAACCTCCCAGGTAATACTTAAAATTTTTTAATTAAAAAACTATCTTAAGCACTCTATGACACTATGAGGATTGTGCCTTTTGAATTGTTTGAAAAACACATTTCATTTAATCAAGAAATATTTCCTGGAATGTGTCTAAGGATAAGAGATTCTAGAATTGTTGTTTTGCTCTTCAATTCGGGAAAATGTATAATAACAGGGGCAAGAAACGAAGAATGTATTTTAAAAGTTTATCCGCAAATTATTGAAACAATTTCAATTTTTATGAAAAATTAAAATATACATTCGTTTATTTCTTTTCGAAGTTCCATCAACAAAACTCCTAATTTGTTGTCGCCATCCCATGAACTTGGATCACTTAAGCGATGAAGATCCGAAGACCAAATACCAGCTGTCCAATATTTATTAACTTCAGTCGCTTCAGCTATCAATGCATTGCCAGTTTCACGAAGTTGCGTAAAGAGTTGCACATTTTGAGTGAATTTTGCCCAAAGTCCCATGTACATAATCTAGGAATTTTATTATTTTGGCATTTGTATTAAAAATACTTTATCCCGCACTTTATTCCATTCATCACTTTTAAATCCTCGAATACGAAGTCCAATGCGGCATATTTGATCAGGATTTTGTAGTTGAAGAATATGTTCAGCAATTTCAAAATCTGCGAAATAACGAGCTTTTTGCCATGTGAAATATTTCTCCATTGTTGTAAAATTTATTCCAAGCACCGAGAATCGTGATGGGAATCTGTTACTGAATCCACATAGCCGGGACGATTGAAAAATAAATATTTTCTGTCCTTCTTTTCCAATTATCTCTGTTGGAGGATGTGAATTATAACACAGAGGTTCTTGATTTACATTCAATTTCGTAAACTGGCCAGAAAGATTTTCTAAAATTTAAAAATTAAATTGAATAGAAAAAATAAGCATACCCATATCCGGATCACTGAACATTGCTCTAAATTCTAAAATTTATAAAAATATTAATACATCGTAAAAAATATAGACGATATCAAACGTAAATTTAATAAATAATTATTATTAAAATTTTATTCATTAGGATTAGAAATGGGTGTTCCTCTATATCCAAAAGGGTAACAATCGAGCTTATCATCGATAATTCCTTTGTCGTAAATTGGCGCGTAGCGTCTATAAATATAATTTATTTCCGAGCAGAAATTTTAATTATACCGTTTCTGCGAGCGTGTTGAGACTTCCCCCTTGCGCCAGTTTGGACGGAAATGTGTTCTTTCAAGTACAATTGGATCCTGATCCTTGCCATAGGCATTGACCATTTTCTTGAAAAATATTTGTTAATGCCATATTTATAATTTTACCTTTAATTCATTATAGTCAAGAGGAGAATCCGCGCTATCCCAACATCCGCGACATTTAACTACATATTTTATCTCCCCGCTCTTCGTGCGCATCTTCATCGCGTACTATTAAAGAAAAATTAATGTATTAAAAAGTAAAACTGACCTGTTTGCAACCTCCAATGTAAATTGATACAATTTGATTATCTTCATACTCTCGACTCATCATTCCAAGCATATCTCCTACTTGGAACGGAGGAGCTTTTCCCTTTGGATGAACAATATAGCAGCTGTCCGTATCAGTATAAAGTAGTTTACACTCTGGGTCGTTGAATATCTGGTCCATATAGTCATATAGGAAAACTCGAGCTGTTGCTGTAGTTATAAGAGCTATCACAATGTTATACTTGTCGTGCGGCCGAACAAATTCCCTTTTTGATTGGTAAGGAACGGAGAATAGATCGGTAGCAAGCATCTCCACAGCTCCGACTTCTAACTTAGGATCATTAAGTACTTCATGTAATTCAACGGGTGATCGAGTGATAAGATCCTTTAAATTAATTTAAAAATTATTTTTTAATTTTTCTACCTTCGATAAATTGCATCTGAGAGCCCAGCGTCCCCACCTAAAATTTTTGTTATTTATGAATTGAGTAAGAAACAAACAAGGAATTATTGCAGCTCTTAGCCATGTACCGCATTCCTTCATTTCGGGCAATTTTCTTTTTGTCCAATTTTATCCCATATTTTTGCTGATTTCTCATTAAAAATTCCTGTTTAAGCTTTTCCTCGTTGTTAATATTTGTAGGATCAATAACGGCGCTAGGCCAGCCGCTTGCTTCAATCTTAAGTTTCATCATATCTTGCACATAAGGACGCAGCAGTTTATCTGTCCATTGTTCCCAATGATATACACTGTAAATCCATGTTGCTCGATAACCTTTTTTCAACGCTAGTTCTAATTCTACAGTACAGACTGTTGCGACATAACCTCTCTTCTTTTCATCATGTGTGCAGAGATCACTTCCCAATTTTTGAGAATATTCATACTTCATTCTCCAAGGAAAACCAGTTGGAGCTTCAATGGCACATTGATGGCATAGATGGAAAACCTAATTTTTGTGTCAAAAAAAGTTTTAAAACTAACCAATTTCCCATTAATTCTTTCAGGAATAACAGGAAGGTACAGATCATCAGGAGGAATAATAAACAATTTAAAAATTCCACGATACGGAAACAATTGATCTGCACGTCTCCAATCGACAGCTTTATTGAGTTGAATCACCTCAGGGTGACCTAATCATTTGTTTTTTGTTACTAAAAATTATTTACCGATTGGATAATATCCATAGAAATTCACTGCTGGATATAGGCTAACAACATCGTAACAGGTAATTTCATATTCATTCGATTGTCCCGATTCTTCCAGATCACATTTTAAACTTTGAGGACCCGTTCTTCCACCCTATATAATTGTAAATTAATAGTTTTAAATTAATATTTACATGAAATGCGTCTCTCGGAAAAAGTGGACCAATATCTGGCAATTCATTGAAGAAAAAGGCCATATCTTCATTTTCTTCCAACTTTTTCCTAATAGTACATTCCCAAACCATAAGCGGGCGCATTCCTGCTTCTTGAATATGTCTTCTTCTTTCTTTCATTTTATCACGATTATAAAGAGCGGTCTTTCCATTTAAACAAATATCATTGGGCTTATAAAGGCTTAAACTATTTTGCTAAATTCATTTAAAAGAAATACAAACCATTTGTGTCCGTGCCACGCACAACCTAAAAATTCTATAGCAATATCCTCGTCGTCAGGTGAGCGGCGTACATATCCGTCTAGTCTTAGAACTTCACCATTTGAAAGACGTAGTCTAAATTCTCCATTTGCACTATTTTGATGTTGTACTTGAGATCCTGTTTCATGTTCCAACCATTGCATATACTTGAGAGCAATTGCCGATTGATTGCTATTTCGATGATAACCTAAATTTTTCTTATATACTTATCTTCAATTTACAAACCGTTATCTGGAATAATCCCTACTTCCAAAGGCTTCAAGTAGTTTATGCCTTAAATAAAATGTAAAATGTAATAAGTTTTAGCTTACAGAAATGACGAAGACAAGCACTAGGTAAAGTGAGCGATGATGATAAAACATCATCTCGTTTTGACGGGTGCGGGGCGAGATCAAAAAATAGACGTTGAAATTTTATAACAGCATGTGCTAGAACTCGGACATCTTGCTCACAATAAAGCCCAATCTGTTCCGCCAAGCAAAAAGGAAATTGTATGTTTTCGCTGTACCAAGATTCGAATTTTGCCCTTCTTTCTTTCCCCATTGATTCAGGATAATAATATTCCTTCGCTGGAAGGCCAGGTAGTTTTATATTCATGTTTTTGTTGAAGTTCCATCCGTGAGGGAAGAAAGCTTTCCCTCCTTCATCAATCTCCAATCCAAGAGCTTTTGGCAATTGTTCCAATTTTAGAGCCATCCAGTTGAATGAATCGCGAAAGGAGATTCTCGGACAGACAGCTCTTGTTCTTTTTAAAAGAACCTCATAAAGTTTATTGCCTAGAAAATCAATTAAATTTTTATAAAACTTATAATTACCTGATCTTGTGATATTAGGCTCTATTCCTGTTATTTTCATTAATTCTCCCAATAATAAATGCATATCATAGCGCCTAAATTACTAAGTATAATTTATTCAAAATAGGAAATACCCTCCGTAATGCGAAATTGCATATGTCGCAATTGTTCTTTCCTTACCAAGACCATTAATTAACCAGTCCATAAATTCTACTAATGGATTAACGTAGTTTGCTGATGTCCAGGTAAATATTCGTTTTCGATTTATTCCACAAATACTACAATTTATAGAATATTCGTTTTTCCAAAGTTTATCTTCATTAATACAGCGCGAGCATAGAATCATAGCCTAAAAATAAGTTTTTATGCTTATCTCGTCTTACCGATACACAGTTAACATGATGCAATTGATAATTTTCATCGTTTGAAGGTATGCCTCCTCTCGCAATAACTCCTAGTCTCAGCCATTCATCTTCATTTCGAGTAGGAGAAATTAGAGAACATTCAAAGTCAAAAACAACCTTAATAAATTTTTTGTCTTTTTTATACTAATTAAAGTCACCAGTATATAATCCTTTTGTTTTTTTGGGACGATTGGCTGGACATAACACGGTTCTTCTGTCCGATGAATTGAATGACAATGTGAACAAAATCGAGAATAGCAAACATGTTCGTTCACATCTGATTCATCATCTGACTCTTGCTTTTTGTTTGATCGATATATTTGGCCGCAATCCAAACACCTATAATTTTGATATTTATTATTTACTTAAATTTACCTCTTATAAAGCTTGCAAATGTTCCTCATAATATGCTCGTGGAAACATTTTGGGTTTCTGAAAATATTGCAGCAATCTTTGCAATGCTTCATATATCCTTCAATTTCTGCACACGGATAATCTATTCCCATCCCGCAGCATCGTGGACATTTTGCTAGGCATTTTGCACGGTGATTTTTCTTCTTGTTATAAGTAGTCTCACAATCAAGACAATAATAATTAGTTCCGAATAAAGTATTCAATTTTCTAATGCCGCTGAAATGCTCATCTTTTAAGTAGAGGCACAGTTCATTGCGAGCACGTTTTTTACCCTTCCAGATAGGTCTTGCGTTGCCTCTTTCTCCAAAAATAGCTAATCTGTATTGTCCCGGGTGTTGAATATCCAAAAGTTTCTGTACAAGAGGCACATGTTCGTCGACGTTGTATATTTTCTCATTCATAGGATATGGAATTTTGTGTTTTTTCATTTTAGAAAGCATATCTTTTATCAGAAGTGTCCTCTGATGTTTTGAATTTTCTCCACATCCTTGTGTTAATCTTTGAAATTTAACATTGCATACTGGTGTGTTTGGTTTAGTAGCATATAATATTGTAAGCTGCACAGCCAAAAGCAAACAATGGCGATTAAAAGGAGGCAGTAAATCCTCATTTTTAACCTAAAAATAATTTGTTAATATTCAAATACTTTTTCTTACGGGAATAAGATTATTCACATCGATTCCGTGGTCCATTTCTCTTTTTTTTCTTCCACTTCCTTCTCTGTCAATGCGCGACAATCTGAGTGCCTCTTCATGAGACGGCCCCATAACAATCTATAAATTTTAGATTATAAATTTTGGAACATTTACCTCGATATTAATTGGCTGGCTGTAAATAGAAGGTCTTCCCATACGCTGGCCGCTTTGATCAACAGTGTCGAACTGTTCCATAACTACCTGAGGTGTGTTCTGTGCAAGCCCTCGATATGGCACCTGAATAGGTCTTTCCAACACGGCGCTTCGAATGATAATTGAACACTTTTGAGATTTTGCTCCTGCAGCGCGATATGCACGAACATAAAAGTGGTCAATGAGTTGTTCTAACAACATTTCTCGTCCTTGTGGAGCGTCGTCAGCATTAATCACTGTAAATGAAGCCCTAAGAATGAAAATATTATTTCTTTTTCTATATTTAAAAGTACCTGAAGACTCCGATTTTGAAACGATTACTTCGAATTTGTTCAATAGAGTCCTCTCTGAAGTAATTTTCAATGTTATGGGCCATCTTTATTGATTATTTCTTAAATATTGTTTAAAATGAATATAAAAAATAGACAAAATTTCAGAGATAATGAATTGAATAAAACAGAATAGCTATAGCTTAATTATTTTTTACATTTTATCGACACTAAATCATTTAGAAAAATTGTTAAAATTCTTATTTATCATTCCATGGAACTCTCGGTTCATAACGCGGCATCCTGAGCAACACTAAAATTTATATTATTATGACACAAATAATTTTTTTACAATGAAATTGAGTGTATACATTGTGCCTCTATCATACGCCAGGCCACTTTTTTGTAGAAACAAGTCACGAGCTTGGCTTTTCTGCATTAATTCGCATTTATTGCACTAAAAATTATTTTTAATAAGAATTTATGTACTTTTAACTTGATGTATTATCCATGCGTATTTGTAGCGCAGTAGTTTTTTATCTCCGTCACTTTGACAACTATTTCCTCGTGTGTAATACAGAACACCTGCCACTAAAAAACTATTTTTAATACTCACTTTAAATTACCTTTTTCAAAAGATGTTTTTGTTTGAGAGTCGCCTTCCTCGTATTCCTCTTTCTTTTCGATTGCACTCTCTCCTTAAATTTTTATAATATAATTATTTTTATTTCCTACCCCAGTTTTGTCCATAGAAGTCCGCAATAGCTATATTTTTATCCAGATCATCACCGCATATTTCAATAGTGAGCACAAATATACCGCTTGCTCCACCTCTGAAGAGATACTCCTCCCGCTGCATCTGTTTCTCCTTACAATTATTACACTGATGGACAAAAATCCCTCTTCTGGGATTTTTTAGCATATCCGATTGCACTAGCAGTTGCTGCGGAATGGTATTGTAATATCCTATAACAAAATTTTGTTAATTAAAAAACAATACTTACTTTTTTTCTCTTCTTGCTCATGGCGAAGTAGTTTATACTCTTCCTCATCCTTTCCTAGATCAATTATTTCGTCTTTATCGGGTTCATCTGATTGTTCTTCTTCTTCATCATTGTTTATGGCATTTGACCATTTCTCACCAACCTGCTTCTGCAAATCTTTAATAAACTTTTACTAATCTTACCTTTTTAGTAGGTGCTTTTGTTTTCTTTGGGACAGGTGGATGACAAACTCCTGATTTCCCAGAGCTTGAAGTCGTAGTTAAAGAGCGTTTGCGGCGTACTTCTACAGCGTTTTTCTTCCTTTTTTGCTCTCGTATGAAGCCACGGATTTCTTCGAGCTCAATTGCACTAAGTTCTTCAATTTCATCACCTTAAGTAAAAAATCAATTTCTGAATTATTATTCTTTCCAATAATTGAGCCTTTACTTACCTTTGTCACAGCTGTTTCCGCTGTTGGGACGGTTTTGCTCATGTTCATCACCACCTTCAGAAAATAAATGCATTTATGAGTTATTATCATAAAATGTTTTATTCCCTGCCTTGCATTTTGGCTGTCTTTTTTTCTGCCATTTGTTGTTTACGAAAAATTCGTAGTTTAAAATATTATTCGTAGTTTCGTAGTTTAAAATATTATATTTAAATTCTCGTTATAAAAATTATTTTTTATATTTACAAGGATTTAAAATTTATATGAAATAAATTACAATACAATTTTATAAAAATAATTTAATGAGATAAGCAAATCTTGGATAATTTTTATAAAAATAAATTTAATGAACTAAGGGAAGGTTGGAGCTTGTTATCGCTCTGAGGATTATGTTTTAAAACTGATGTAAATGCGGAAAACTCACCAGTTTTTATACTAGAGAACTCAATGTACTTTGATCGACCCTTATCTACCTTCTACCCCTAATTTATTTTTAATGCTTTAATGTATTGTGTAATAAAACCCACTTAATTATAAAACCCATTAAAAATCAATTAACCTTTCATTCTCACTTAAGTCGCTTACTCATCCCTTCTATTCCTTCCCCCATTAACCCCCCCATATCGTCCATTAAACACTCAATGTACTTTGATCGTGCTTTAATGCTCCTCGAAATTCAGTGGTATTTAAGCTCTCGATTTTTCTTTATTTTCTTATTTTATTTAATAAATTAATATTATTTTTTAATATTTTTTAAATTTTTTATATTATTTTTATTAAATTTATTTTTATTAAATTTATTTTTATTAATAAATTAATATTGCATTTATATTTTTATAAATTTTTAATATTTTTTAATAAATTTTTTCATTAATAGATTATTATTATTATTCAATTAATATTAAATTATTATTTTTTATAAATTTTTAATATTTTTTATCCCTTATTTTAATTAATAAATTGATAATTTTTTATAAAAATTATTTTTTAAATAAAACTCTAACAGCCCCCCCCCCTTTTTTAAATGGTTGTTGTTTTTTAATTGAAAATTTTTGAAATTTTTTAAATTTTTTCAATTAGAAAATTTTTAAAATTTTAAATTTTTTAAGTGGTTTTTTAAGTGGGGGTGGGGTCCTTAAGTGGGGTTTTTAATTGATTTTTTAAGTGGGGTTTTAAAGTAAAATTTTTTAAAATTTTTTAATTATAAATTTTTAAGTGGTTTTTAATTGATTTTTTAAGTGGGGGTTTTTTATAAAATTTTAAATTTTTTAATTATAAATTTTTAAGTGGTTTTTAATTGATTTTTTAAGTGGGGGTTTTTTATAAAATTTTAAATTTTTTAAATTTTTTTAAAATTTTTTAAGTGGGGTTTTAATTGATTTTTTAAGTGGGGGTTTTTTTATAAAATTTTAAATTTTTTAAATTTTTTTAAAATTTTTTAAGTGGGGTTTTAATTGATTTTCTAAGTGGGGATTTTAAGTGAAATTTTTTAAATTTTTTTAATTTTTACCATTTTAATTTTTTAAGTGGCAACCCTTAACAACCCGTAAGTAATTAATGGTGGTATTTAAGCTATGATGGAATCATTTTTGTTCTTATTTTTTTATTTTTTGTTATAAAACCGGCTTTTATAAAAATTAATAATGTTATAAAAATGGGTTAGATACTACTAATAATTATATTTTGTTTTTAATTTGTAATCTCCAAAAGGTGCTTAATATATCTTGTTGGGAGGGGGGGCTAGACAAGGACCTTCCCAGACAGACATTTAGGGGTTCTTATATGAGGACAGCTTATCATGACTGATATTCTCGAAAAGCCTATGCCCTTGCATTCATTAAAATCAGAGGTGGGTCGGAATTCCGACTTTCGAGTTCCGACCTCGGACTGTTCCAGCCCACCTCTGATCAAAATATAAAGTTTGATTTCTAAATTTTTTTTATTTTTTAAATCCTAAAATGTCTGTCTCATATGTCCGTCATTATAAGCCTTTCCTGATATGCATATAGTTTATCCAGAAATGTCCATCCTTTTTTCGCGACCTATATCTAGGTCCACAGGCGTTTCCGATATGGAAGAGTTTGGCACCATTCGACTCAGATTGCCGAGATGTTGTTATTATACCGGCCATACTCAGTACTATTGGTAATATGTATTTAAGTTTAGAGTCCCCATTTTTTCCTTCCCAGGTTTTCCCTATATAATGTACAAAATGGTCAGACTTCCTTTGTTCCATCTCTTTTTCCATTCAAATTTTCATTTCTTCCACCCCAATGAAAATAATCACTTTTTATTGTATTCAAAATTTTGAAAGGATAATGTCTGACCATTCTGTACATATATAGGAAAAAATTTGGAAAGGAAAAAATACATTCTTTAAGCTTAAGTATTACCCTACTATTTTCTGGAATTTTTTATACGTTATTAATGATTTTAAAATTATTTAAAATATTTTACTAGACTTATGCCTTCATATGATCGTATATAAACAAGTTGGCCATATTCTTCACGTTTATAACGTATAAAGTTTACTAGAATACTATATAATCCAAAAACAAAAGAATAAAAAAAATCAAGAGGGAAAATTATTTTCATTAAAAGGATATTTTGTTTGGATTGATAGCTTTTGCTTAGACTGTAGTTTGTTGTTGAGTTGAAACTTTTAAATTTTATTAGATGATTTAAATTTGTATGCGTGTATTATCTCCCCCCTCCCTCCCATTTATTTTTCTTCTCCTTTCTCCACAAAAAGCATACATGAATAAGAGTAGTGTTCGGTACTCCCGCGGTACTCACGAAAATGCCAAGTCGGTATTTTCCGTACTCCCGATACCGGACCCGTACCGAACAGATTTTAGAAAATTTCGGTACTTTTCGGTATCGGTACCGAAAAAATTACCGAAAAAATCCATTTGCCGAACACTAGATCCGAAGTTTTCTAACTATCCGCCAACCTTACTCTAAAATAGAGTTGGCCGGGATCGGGATCCCGGTCGGGATCGGGCGGGATTATCCCGGGTTTTTTGAATCCCGATCCCGATTTTTCTGATCCCGAACCCGAAAGACATATCCCGATCCCGGTTTTGGCCGATCCCGAGCCGGGACCGGGATCGGGATCGGGATCATCATTCCAAAATCCCGATCCCGATTTTTCTGATCCCGAGACCGAAAGGTAAATCCCGATCCCGGTTTTGGATGATCCCGAGCCGGGATCGGGATCGGGATAAGCATCAAATCCCGAAGAAAATCCCGATTTTATAAATTGACTAGAAGTCTGTGAAATAAAGTTAACAGAAGAGGGGAGGCGTGAAAGTTAGAAAAATTTTCGCCTGCGCCGCAGAAAAGGGAAGAAATTTGGCTTCTTGATCAGTGCTTCGAAGCTCGTACCAAAATTCGTACTTGTACCTCGTACTCGTACCTGGTACGAAGTACGAGGCCAAAAAAGTGAAAAGTACGAGGTACGAGGCCTAAGTACGAGCTCGTACTTCTCGTACTTGGTACGAGAAAGTACGAGCTCGTACTTCTCGTACTCTAGTCATTCTATGAGCGTTTGGCCGAGTGGTGAAGGTGTTTGGCTTCACCAAAGTCTGTAATGATTTAATCTCGATTCGCTTCCTATTCTCTGGACAAAGAATTAATAACTTATTTTATAAGTTTAATTTTGTTTTAAAAATTATTTTATTTTTACATGGAGTAATTATCAGATATTGACCCTCTAAAATTCTTAAAATATTTTATTTTAAACACTAAAAAGTGAATTTTTTTTCGCCTAAATTTTTAAGAACATCCAATATTCTCAAAATTTTTGCCTGCGGCGCACAAAAGAAGCAAATTTGAACACAGCTGTCTTAAAACTTTACCGAAATATTGAGTGATTTGGTGTGATATCGAGCGATCAAGAGGGGTTGAGGGGAGTATTGGTGGATTTGGAGTATAGAAGGATATCGGAGGATTTACAGGGATTAAGTTAGCCCCCCCCCCCATTAAGATTAAGTTACGGGGATTAAGTTAGCCCCCCCCCCATTAAGATTAAGTTACAGGGATTAAGTTAGCCCCCCCCCATTAAGATTAAGTTACAGGGATTAAGTTAGCCCCCCCCCCCCATTAAGATTAAGTTACAGGGATTAAGTTAGCCCCCCCCCCCCCATTAAGATTAAGTTACAGGGATTAAGTTAGCCCCCCCCCCCATTAAGATTAAGTTACAGGGATTAAGTTAGCCCCCCCCCCCCCATTACCTTATCCACACTTACCCCTGAACCGCAAAGTAAATAAACTCAAGACTTAAACTCAATGGTTCAGCACCACAATGGAAATTTTAGAATTATATTGAGTCGTATGTATGTGAAGAAAATAAAAATTTAAGTTTTAAAAAAATTTTTTAGCAAATCCCGATCCCGATGTTTTAATCCCGGTCCCGATTCGGGATCGGGACCGGGATCGGGATCGGGATCTCCATTCCAAATCCCGATCCCGATTTCGGCCAATCCCGATCCCGTGTCGGGATCCGGGATCGGGATCACCATTCCAAAATCCCGATCCCGGGTTTTTCTCTAAATCCCGATACCGGCCAACTCTACTCTAAAAAAGCACATAAGAAATATAAATACTGGTAAATTCAGAAGATGATAACTCATAACCTAGATCACTTTGACCTATGTGTACATTTTTTGGAAGAATGACAAAGGAGATGAATTAAATGGGGGGGGGGGGGGATAACACACAATAGTACCGTAAATTTACTTACAAATTTAATTTGATTTTTTGATTTCGACGAATTAAATAATAATCAATTATAGCTATACTTATCACCAAAAACAAGGAAAAATAGTGTAAGTATATAATCATTTGGGAATTATAACTAGTTGTTAGTAGTATATAAACCATTGGATGGCTAAATGTGTCAGTATCCATTTGTGACGTTATATAAAGGTAAAGACCCAACATTAGATTTAATAACCACACGATAACTGTACTAATAACCCCAAAAAATTTCCCTTGATTTTCATAAATTTTGACGTAAACTGTAGCCAAAACGCGTTCAATCGTTATAGCAAGGTGAAATAAAGGAGAGCCAAAATTGTAGATAAAGGCTGGAATTCGTATCAAATAGACTAACCAAACTTGGGTTAAACAATCACAGGGATTTGAATAGGTGAGTAAAACAACCTAAAATTATCAGAATGACAATTAAAAAGTATGGGAGCAGACCAAGGTGAATCAAGCCCAACGTACTGCTGATTTATAACGAGCTATAACTTCAAAATTGCTGACCCCGAGACGCCGTGGTATGGTTTGAAGCGCCTCAATGAGCTGTATCGAGCCATACCGGGGCGTCTCAGATTCGGCAGTTCTGAACGAAGTTTCAACTCTCCTGTACTTGTGCTTTCGGTACCTTAGGGTGCCCCTTAAAAAGTAAACTAACAAAATTTATAACAGCTTCAAGCATAAGTGACAGCACATACATTGCATAAAAGAAGAATACATTGCAGATTAGTATCTTTGAAAATCATAAGTAAATTTTAGATATCAGAGACTTAAATGTGATATAACGTATTTCCTCTAAAATAAGACCCGGGGCTTATTCTGGGGGGGGGGGGGGGGGGGGGTACTTTATAACTTATTCATGTAATCGGTATCCCACCCAAAAACGACGCGAATCTGTGTACCTCATTCAATTAAAGCAGATAAAATAAAGTACATTTCTGCATCTTTCTTTTTGTTACTCTTTCTCCTTCCCCTAGAACTGAAATTCAGTTTTTGAATACCTCCTTTTTCTCCATAGAATTTTACAAGATTCTACAAGTGCTTAGAATTGCTTAAAAGTGTTAAAATTAGGATTACGATTCTGGACCGGTTCGGTTTTTCTGTTTGATTTCGGATATCAGCTGGATTTCCAAGAACCCCCTAAATAGAAAAATCAAAAAGCCATCTTACAATTAGATTTGTGTGTAATTTGACCGTCTTCGTTTTGTAGAACCAAATAATTTGCAAAAGCAGTACTATAACAATTATACTTAAAATCGTTGCTAATATTCGTATAATATTATATTTTGTATCGAGTATTACTTCTTCAGCGGCAAGACATTGGGTTATATTCATTTCTTCAATTCTGAAATTTTCGTAGATGATTTTTAATATTTGAATTTTCGGTTCTGATATCCTATGAATTTCCAGACAACCCTAAACACAACCCATCATCAGGTTGGATAGTGGCACAGTCGATTGTGCTTCGGTCTGGAGGTGGGTCGAAAATGACAAAGGTGCCGGAAATCGGAATGGCTCAAAAGTCGGAAATCGAATTCCGACCACCTCTGCTTCGGTTTGGGCCCTTTCCATGATATACCCTTTCCATGATATATCATCTCTTATCTAATAAATTTTCCACAGCGTGAAAATAATGTACAATATTTTAATAAAAAAAATAAAAGTTGAAACATTAAAATGTTTATCATTTTTTTACGTGTCTTAGTAACTACTAGGTTTGAGAAACATATGTCCTTTACAATACGTTTCTAGATGGCAATTTAAATCGAGGGAAATTAAATTAAAAATCTTTTTTCAGAGGAAAAATTTAAAATTATTAAAATTAAATTACATGTTTTTAAATTAAATTATTAAAATTTAATTTCAAATTACATCGTTACTAGGCAATTCTTACAGAACACAAAAAAACTACAAAATTCCACATCTGTTCATGTGTATATCAAGGCTGACCAAGAAATTTAAAAGTCGGAGACTTTAAAAGGAAATAAATATTTAAGAGAGTTAAAAAAACTTTAAAAAAAATTTTTTGGGCTTAAAACACTCGGATAAATACCATAGAATTAATAGAAGACTAAAATTGTGTTAAAATAAATTAATTTCCCCTATCAGGATTCGAACTTGGGTGAAAAAATTGAATTCAAGAACACTACCACTACACTACCACCCACTACACTACCACTAATCCTCTTGCTCCTCAAATAACCCACTGAAATCCTTCAAGCCCTTAAATCGGTATATGTCTGGAGGGATTAAGGATCAATTTGCAGTAAACCGAATATATTGTACTTGAAAATGAATTACGGCTAAAATCAATAATGAAAATTTAAAGAATTTTGGAGGCCGAGGAGCCTACTTTTTATTTTTTAGCACTACGTGCTAAAATTTTTGAATTTTCAGATGGCCAATGGTCAAAAATCCGTCTTTTTATAAGAAATATACAAGAAAAATGGGAAAATCCTAGCACAGAAAAATCGGTACTATAGTGGTACTTGAAAGTTGATGGATACCGTACCAATACCATTAATACCAAAATTACCGTGTCTGTCCTATCAGTACAGCGAAGGTGCCAAACTATGCCGTACACAAGTCTAAGGCCTTAATTTTTTTGAATATTCATTTTAGTTAAAATTAATTTTTCTAATGAATTTGACTAATAAAAATATTACGGATTTAATAAATAAAAGTACTTAAATATTTTTTAAAAATGTTTGATTAGCTTGACTAATTGTTTTAGTGACAGAGAGAGACTGCGCATTAAATGGGAAAAATAAAATATATTTTTATTTAGAGACTTTTTCCTTTTTTTCCTTATTTTTACTAAATAAGCAGCTAAATATAGACTTTAAATTATTTTTTTAAATTAATTCTTATTCTTTATTTTTTTGAAATGTTTATTGTTTTGTTTAATGTATTCAAATAATGTTGGTTATAGGAAAAGTGTTTCGGAAACTGATTCTTGTAAGGATTTGGATTTTTTAGAGTAAAGGGGTTAAGTCTACTTAGGGGTTGCTGAGGTCCCAGGTACGTAGGTAGGTCCAGGTAGGTCTACCTAGGTCCTGGGTACGTCCCCCCCCTCCACCTATAGTCCCCTCCTTACAAATTAGAGTTAAAGGGGAAGTCTAGATTAGGGGTTGCTGAGGTCCCAGGTACGTAGGTAGATAGGTCTAGGTAGGTCCAGGTAGCTTTGCCTAGGTCCTATGTACGTCCTCCTTCCCTCCCCTATATTCCCCCGTCCCCTATTTTGGTTATGCCCGTTTTTCTATATCTGGGTCTCGCTTTTGGTTAACCGACTGCCAAACAACCCTAGTCTTAAATTCATTTGTTTTTACTACCTTAAGAGTTACCCAAGGTAATTTTGAACCCCCTCCCGTATTTTTTCCTCCCTCAAAAAGTTACATAATGGTCAGAGTTTTTATCTCGCTTGTATGCCACTACTAATTTTCAATGCTTTTCCTTATGACATCCAATCAGTCAACTTAATTGGAATATTCGGGAAGGAGAGGGGCTATGCCTGTCTCTTATTTATTCGAACCCCTGCTTTCTTAATTTTTAAAATTTCAACAAAAAAATTTTTTAGCAAGCGAAACCTCCTCAAATACAAGCTCTAATTTATCATCCGTAGTGTTAGCTAGACAACAAGAATTACCCTTTTCTTATGATACTGAAACTGGCGCTGGACCATCAATGGCACAGGCTGATTGGAATAATAATCGTTTCGAGTTTGATTTTTTTAAGAAAAAAATTTTCTAGCCCTAGCCCTTCCAAAGGGCGTTGATTTTTTGGGTGTTGATATTTTGGACTGTCTAAGAATTATTAATCCACGTATATCCATTGATCTGTCTTTTATGAAATTTAACAAAATGGACTGTAAAAAATCCCCAAAAATTGTTAAAATTAAAAAAAAAATTTTTTGAAAAATTCTTAAGAAATTTTGGCTCTGGTCTAGTTTATGCACCCAATGAACTTTTATGAGTCCAATGAAAAATTATGAGTTTTTAATCAAAAAAATTATGATTAAAAAATTATTAAATTAATAAAAAAATTATGAGATCAAGAGGATTTCTACTGATATCCCGATATCTCTCCAAATATCCTGATATTCCTTAATCCATCTATATCCCCCTTTATCCCCCTTAATCCCTTCAGATCCTTTATTGAACTTGCAAAAAATAAAAAAAAAGTTAGTGTTGATCAAGATGTTTAGTTTTCACGGTCATTATGGATTAATGATTGGCCCCCTTAAAATTGATCATAAAATTTTGATTGGACTGACAAACTTTTCATTTGACGCATAAACTAGACCAGCGCCGAAATTTTTTGAAAAATTTTTCAAAAATTTTTTTATAATTTTCAAAAATTTTTTTGAATTTCCAAACAAAATTTCTTTTCAGCAGAAATAGAGAATCTACCGTCTTTCCAGTATTTACCCCCGCCCCTCGCCAACCCCACCAATCTATGGGTGGAGGTGTTGGTATTAATAGCCACCCTGTTGGGAGTGGAATACGCTTACAACAACAACGTCAAAACGAATCTTTACACCACCAAGTAACTTTTTCAGAAGCTCCAAATTATAAAATAATTTATTTGGTTGCTTTAATTATTGTTACTTTATTGTTAATTTCTTTAATTGTTATTATTGTTGTTTTGTTGGCTACAAAGAGAGGTAATTTTCTTTATTTTTTGCTGTCTAATCTGACTGTAAAATATAGCCAGAATCTTGCCAAGATTGGGTCGTTTTATCAAAACTTTCTTCGCATTGAGGAAAAGTCAGGGGTTTCGGGTAACTCGTTTCACCTTCTAAACTTCACTATTGTGTCAACCCGTTTGTATCACTCACCCAGATAAACGTCAGATTTTTTCCAATAATTTTCGAATTTTCTTAGGATAATTGTTGTGACGAGGAGGATCTTGTAAAATTTTAGGCTGAATTCAAACTTTTAATGGACCCGGCCGATGACTTTTAAACTGGACTTCTTTGAAACCCCGATCCGAAACACGACCCTACTTAACAACACGTGACTTGTATATCACTAAAACTCTAATCACCAGAAATCACTTAAAAATCGAAAACATACTCAGCTCAATAAAATCGCTAAGCATAATTTTTATTAGGCTCGAGTCGATACGATATTTTTTCTATATTCGGTTTCGATATCTATCGAACCCGAATATCGACCGACCCGTCCGTCCGGGCTCTACTATTTATGAGGATCAGCGCTAAATCCTCGTCCCAAAAATTATCATAATCTAATTACAGGGTGACACAAAAAGGATGTCCCACTTTTCAATCCATTATAACTTCTTTTATTCTTTTCATTTTTAAATAATTTTATACTCTTTTTGTAGCCCATTCAATTCTCTATATTATAAAATAAAATTAAAAATTTTTGATTAAGGATTGGGAAAGTTATGCAATTTTACATATACTATATCAAAATCTGCCCCCCAAAATTTCACTTTCTGTATCTCAACAATGAAAAGCCAAACCGGGATGATCTCAACAGAATTTAATTAAGCTTATTAGCAAGCCTAATGAATCTGAAAGCTGAAAACTCCAACTCTTACATGGATGGCTCTGAGTAGATGTTAATCAGTTTTGGGGGGAGTGCAATTTCCTCATTTTGGCAGGGTTACGCGCAATCGAATATCTCTTTAAGCGTTAACCCAAAAAAAATTTTGTTTTATAATTTCTATAGGCCAAAGACTGCTCTAAATTCCATACAAATTTTGTGTAATTCATGCAATCTGTTCTAAAGTTATAGGCAAAATTCCTCAAAAAAAGGTGCGTGCTGGATTGAAATTTTTTTTTCACATGCCATCAACTTTATCTCAAAGTAGAATGCGGAAAATTCTAAAAATTTTTGATATCTTATTCTTCATTTAGTTCTCTATAATATCATCTTTATTTTATCTCATTATCTTAATTCTGAATAAAGTTATGACGAAAAATAAGTGGGACATCCTTTTTGTGTCACCCTGTAGTTACCTAAGATAGAATTTAATATACCTAAATAAAAGTTTAATTCCTTTTTTATATATTATGTAAAAAATATAGGTAAATGAAACTGTTAAGGCAGAAGTTCAAAAAATATTTTTATTCAAGTCTTTTCAATAATCTCTTATAAAATTAACAAACTCTCATTATAGGGTACCCTCTATGTAATGTACACCTAATTATAAGATACCCTCTATTTAACAAACTCTCATTATAGGGTATCCTTTATGTAATGTACACCTCATTATATGATACCCTCTATTTAACAAACTCTCATTATAAGGAACTATTTTCACCCTCATGAGGGTATCTTATAACAAGGTCCTACTGTAGTTCTTACTGTATATTAATTTTAATTTTTCCAGTATTCTTCTACGACCCAGCCCATCCCCCAAAAAACGTAGATAATTCTTCCCCAACAACAATCCGTTTACCTTCACAAATGCCACCATCACAACCATCACCCCAACAACTCTCTCTACAACCTTCTCAACCACCCCAATTTATTACAAAAATATTTGAATGTGAATTATTTATAATAGATCAAGCTAATAAAGCTTATGAAAATGAAAATAGTTTTGAATATTTTCAAGCTAAAACTATACTTTTAAATGCTGTAAGAGAAGAAATTTTTTGAAAAAAAATTTTATTTTTAAGCTTGCCAATACTTTTGAAGGTTCTTCTCTACGCGATATGAATCCAACCATCTCTTTGGAAAGATTAGAGAATAGGTATAGTTAAGTATTTAAATTAGTAGGTTGGGGTAGGTCTGGAACAGGGCTGTGCGTCATGGCGTTTGGCGTCTGGCGTTTTGCGTCTGGCGTTTTGCGTTTTGGCGTTAATTTTGGCCGATTTTTGGCGTTTTGCGTTTGGCGTGATTTTCCGATTTTGGCGCGCCAAACGCCAGAAATATACACCCCTAATGATGGGAATTTTTTAAAATAATTGGTAGAAGGGACGATCGAGAAAGGAAATTTTTCTGTTTACAGTCTTTCAAAATTCTCAAAATTTTCGCCTGCCGCGCATAAAAATAAAGAAATCTACTGCTTGGACTTCCAAAATTTTCAAAATTTTAGCCTGCGGCGCTTAAAGTAGGGAGCTCTTATCTAAAACTAATACTTCCATCATCAACCATTTACTCTCTTCAAGACCTATGTTATTCTTATTACCCACTTCTTGTCTTCATATCCACCTTAATCTCACGGGGTTCTACCCAAATTTTTTCCTTTTCCTCATTTGGGAGATAGGAATTCTCCCCCATTGGCTAGGGCCTGCTCTTCCTGGTCTTACTTAATTCAAAAAATTTTCAAAAACTTCAAAATTTTCGCAACCGGCGTTAAAAAAAATGAATTCTAGCTTCTAGGAATCTTGAAAATGAAAAAAATTTCGCCTGCGGCGCTAAAATGAGATGAAAAGAGGTTTTTGAGTCTTTATAGACTCTAAAAATTTTGGCGTTTGGCGTCTGGCGTTTGGCGTTTTGGCGTTAATTTTGGCCGATTTTTGGCGTTTTGCGTTTGGCGTGTTTTTAAAATTTGAAAAATTGGCGTTTGGCGTTTGGCGCGCCACGCGAAAATTTTGGCGCACAGCCCTGGTCTGGAAGAGACAAACAGGGTTAACCTATGAAGTCGAGTTAGGGCAGTCAAAAGATGTCGGGATTGATGTTGTTAGTACATGTGGGCAGCTTTAACTTCATAGCCAGCTAAATCTCCTTTCATCATTACACTATCTTTAAACATATTTTTGGACATTGGCATTCTAAAAAAATTTTCTCATCTTTGGGTGTTTGTTCTAAAAAATGGAGGGAGGCAAGAGACAGGGACGGGTATAAAATTTCAATTATAGTTGAAATTTGGGGAAACATAAATCCTTTGTATTTTCCCCCAATTTTCTCATAAATTTTTCAAAATTTTCAGTGATTCTGACTTCCGAATTGTTTTCTCACTAAGTATAATTGTTTTGGAACAAAATAAATCAGTTGGAGAATTGTCAATTCGTAATTTATTACTTAGCCAAATTGGTGTATTAGAAGGATTAATTAATCAGACAAATATAGACAGAAATAGAGTTGTAGTTAAAGAAATTAATTGAAATTTTTTAGACTTTTTTCTACTTTTTATTAAATTTATTTATTAAATTTATATTATGTATGCGACTTTTTGTTCGGTTCTGAACCGGGGATATGTGCTAAATTGCCAAAAACCTGGACACACAAACCCAAGACTGTTTGCTAAAATGGTTGGCTTGAAAGCAGGGCTGGGCGCAATTGCGAGTTGCGAATGCGGATTTTTAAAAAAAATTGCGAGTTGCGGATTGCGAGTTGCGGAATCTTTTTTTCGATTGCGTCCAGCCCTGCTTGAAAGACCGAGTTGGCAATTGAATATATTTGTTTCGTAACAGCTCGAAAATATCCCCCCCCCCTCCCTCGAAAATGGTTTGAACGGTATCTATATAAAAAGGAGGTAAACTGCAATTCTACAATGTAACCTGCAATTTTAATTATTTTTATTATTAGTTTTTTACAATAAGAATAGTAACACAGTTAATAGGAAATACAAAAACTTCGTATAGTATGTATAGGAACAAATGTTAGAAAAAATTTTGTCAAAATTTTCTTTCTAAAAATTTTTTTCTTCTTAATTTTGGGGATAAAAGCTGAATTTTCGGGGACCAATTGTCTCTCCAAAAAATTTTTAATTAAAAAAAAAAATCTTGACTCTCCAAAAAATTATTAATTAATTTCTCTATAAAAGTGTTTCCCTTTCCCCTTCTTTTATTTTTATTGAAGCAATATCTGTTCTACTTATAATTCTTTCATTCGTTCGAAAAGTTACATAAGTATACAAAATTGACCCAAAAACAGATATATTAATTCCAATAAAATTATTCCAAGTAAATATATAATCTCCGCTGCTAATCATTCCAATATATGTTACAAACATATTCTTTAAATTAAAAAAATTGAAAAAAAAAATTAAGAGAAAAAATTAGTCCGCAAAAAATTTTTGCGGACAAAATTTGCGGATTTAAAATTTTTTTATTCTTTATATTTTTAGTAGAGTAAGGCATGAGATGGGAACCTGTAAGAGAGTTTCCGAAATACCGTCCAATTATTCTATAATAAAATTTCAGCAACAAACGGGATTACCCTTGGATTAACGGGGATTAATCCTGCAAGACTGACCCATTCAAATTTATAAAAAAAATATCTCGTTGAATCCCGATTTTTAGTCTGTAGAGGACCCTTCTTAAGACAAGCAACTCAAAACTAAAAACCATTTTTGACTAAAAAATTTCAAAAAAAAATTTTTTGTTGAAACCTTTACCTAGCAGCTGTCTAAAAAAATTTGGAAAGAAAGGGTTTCCCGTTAAAATAAATTTAAAACTTAAAAAAATTAACCTTTATCGGCCCAACACAAACAGTAGTTAATGCAGAATTGTGTGATGTACACAGGACAACAGAATAATTTAACAATAAACCTCCAATACAAGAAAGAAGCAAAAAGAGTAAAACTGGAATTGTTAAATAGCCTTGATCGATATATAGTCTCAACTAAAAATTTGAAAAAAAATTTTTTAAGAAATTATCAGAATTTGCGGATAAAGTCTGCGGATTTTTAAAAATATTTTTACGTATTTCAATTTATTTTTGTACTTAAAAAACCATAAAAATGAGCTTAAAATATTTTTGCGGACAAAAAATTTTGTCCGCAAATCTTGTCCGCAAAAAATTTTTCGAAAAAATTTTTTGATTTTCTTCGCCAAGCTAACAAGGGAACATTCCGAACTCTAAAAAATTAAAAAACCTTTTCAGTTTCTTCATTATTTAAAAGAATAAAACAAATTAAAGGCAACAACATAAATAAAGAATTGTAGAAGAGCAATCCATTTTTACCTAATTCCTAAAAAATTAAAAAATTTTGTTGAAATTTTAAATGCTTTTTAAGGGATAAATTTTGAAAAAATTATGAAAATTTGGGTATTTTGAACTTTTCAATTTTTTGAAAATTTTTTAAAAAATTCTAAAATAAAAAAAAATAACCAGCCTTGGAGTTCAATTTCTTCTTCATATAAACACCTAAATTTATTATAAACATATTAAAAATTTACGAAAAAATTTAAACCGTTTAGAGCTGTTGCAAAATTATTAAAACAAATAAGTAAATAACCAAGTGAATCAAATGATAAATCAAACCTAAAAGAAAAAATTTTTTAATCGAGAGAATGTTAGCAGAATATTTGATTAGATATCAAGACTAGAGGTCGGCAAAATCGCGTTGCCGGGATCCCGTAACGGGATTTTTTTCAAAAAATCCCGTAAATCCCGTTCATCGCTTAAAATACAAGATTCCGGGACGGGATCGCGTAAAATCCCTTACGGAGTCCAGTCCCGTGCCGAGTTCTAATCAAGACTTAGATTCGACATTTTGAAATTTGAGCGTTTTTAAATTTGGACATTATGAAATCAAAAAATATTTTAGGAATTTTAACGAAAATTTTTAACATCAAAAAAAAAATTTTTTTCTTACATTGCTGCTATTGCTGAACCAAAAATCATCAAAAATACGCTAAATTTAACACCAAAAGTAGGTATTATTCTGTAAAAGATAAGGGAAATTGACAGAAAATTAATTTTTAAAAATAAATACCCAAGAATAAAATATTCAAAAAGCATTGTTAAAAATATAGAAAACCGTCTTAAAACTGTAAACATTGGTAAACTGATAATTTTGGTTCCGCCTAGACCGGCAATTAGATTAACTGAAAAAATAAAAGAGAAAATTTTTTTTGTAAATTTGAACGAGTGGTAGTTGAAATTTATGGTGGAGCAGGAACGGTTTCTAGACTAAAACTCGGAAAACCTGAATTTTATCATTAAAATACTCCTTTCCAAGATACCAGCAAGAAAAAATTTTTTTTGAAGGACCAAGGTTTTATAATTAAATAAACGTGATCGTTGGGCAAACCCATCCCGCGAGGCGAAGTCCGCCAAACAGATTAAAACTCCTTTTTTTAAAGTTTTTATTTAATTATAAAATACAAATAAAAAATAAGGAAGGGAAGACTTCAAGGCTTTCGAGAGGCAAAGTTAACCTTTTAGCATTTCCCCTCCTCTAATTTCCCATAGAAACTCCCGGCTTTTGTCCAGTTTATGCGCCCAATAAGAAGTTTATCATAGACTTATCGTCATTGATTGGATGATAAAAATATGATTGGACGCATAAACTTTTCAATGGACGTATAAAATTGCGTTTGGACGCATAAACTGGAGAAGAGCCAAACCCCCTAACCAAAATTATTTTGAAAAAAAACCTGCAAAGAAAATAGGCAACGGAAAAATTTTTTCCGGGATGGAAACATCCATTTTAGGAAAAGACAAAAATTTGAGGCGTTTAAGTAAATAAAGTATTACAACTGTTGTAAGCATTTGCCCAAATGCAACATACAAAAAGGAAGGAAATCTGAAAGAAGAAAAAGTTAAAATTGATTAGAAATTTGGGTTAATTTGGCCCTTCAGAGATTAAAAAGTCCCAGGGTGTTCGGTTTAACAAGAGAGAAGTTAAAGTTTAGCCCCAAGCGAGCAACGATACTGCGACTCCTGGAAACTATTGCTAAGAGGCTTTTTGCTCATCACGTACGGATGCTACACCGTCAAAACACCTATGCGCTGACTTCACTTTCTCTCTTCTGATAACCCCAACTTTAGCAAGCGTTTTGCTAATCACTTTACAACTACTAAATAGAGATTTCCTCCTACCCTTCCCCAAGACTTATAACAAATTTTGTCATTCTATACGAGACAAAAAATTTTTGCAAGAATTAGTGGAAAGACCCAAATCCTTACAAAATTTATTTCCACACCCCCCCCCTCCCCCCTTAATTATTTTTTCTAAAAATAAACCTGTAATTTGTAAGTAAAATTTTATTAACAAAAATAACAGTAATTGAACATATTGCATAAAAAATTGCTGATAAGACACGAAGAAAAATTGTATTATTATTAGAATTATTAGTAGAATGTTGTTGTTTTTGACTAGTTGATAGGCGAGACATTCTTAATAATTTTCTTTAAAATTTACAACAAATAATTAAATATTCTTCCTTTCTCTTGCTAAAAAATTAATTTTTTCACATAAATTTTTCCCCTGAAACGTGTAAAAAAAATTTTTTTTTGAAATTTAATCGTTTATTTAAATAAACAAAAAAATGGGTATTTTAACGAGAATAAAAAGAGAAAAAAAAAGATTTTCTAAAAAATCCATAAAAATTAAATAATCCAACAAAAAAAATTATTTTTATTATTAAAAAGGGGAGTAATAATAACTCCCCCGCTCAAAGATTAAAAATAAAATAATAAAAAAAATTTAAAAAAATATTTTTTTTGTTTGTTAATGTTGTCAAAGACAAATTTTAAAATAAATTTGTAAAAAAAATAATTTATCCAAAAACTGAAAATATTGGGGTAACATAAATGAATATATTAGGGGTATAATAAACAGTAAAGCTCTGCAGCCCCGGTCTGAATGGTTTTAAAATAAAAAATTAATTTTAATCCTCCTTCCTATTTCTGGAACTACCCATTATTAATTTTCGAACCGCCAATAATCTTAAGTAATGCCATCAATGTAATTTTGTACGCGATAAGCAATGTCTTTATCGAAAACCTGGGCATATTCTGGGGATGCCCACCTCCTCGCCCAGATCCAAAGACCTCCAAAAAAAGAAATCAAAGATGTCCTACCAATCAGGGGTAGGGATATAGTTGAGGAGCTGTTAAGCTCAAGAAAGATTTGACAGCTTTACTATCAGAGAACCATTAAATGCTTTAGAATTAGTACATCTCTAAATTCATTTGACAGCAGTTAAAACGCTTAGGTCAGTGTCCAAGCTTTTTCCCTCCTCTTACTGAGGATGTAATTTAATTTTTTTTCTAAACTATGCAGAACACTTTACTGTTTATTTTAAGAGGAAAATTATTTGTATTTTAAAAAATGGAAAAATTTTTCCAAATAATTTCAAATTTCATCCAAAATTTTCTTCTTAATGTTCAGCCTCACAATTACGCGAAATCTGCGCCAAAAAATCAATAATACGATTCGGATCCTGTATTTGATTTGCATACATATGATCAACTATCGGGACATATTGCTGTACCAAACTTAAAATTTTTGCTTCAGCAGCCAATTGCCTCCTTCCCTTTTTCGGAGGGTCTAAGCCGCCAATAAATTGACTAATTTCATCATCTGTCCTTTTTTGTTCTTTTCTTATAATATCTATAAATGGGTACTTAATTAATATGACACCCAAAAGGGGACACCCAAAAGGCGCACGCCCATAACGGCGCAAAGCCTTATACTTTTACCATACTCCAAATACTTGCGAGGTGTCCGACCTAAAAACGGTCGAGATCGGGCTCATTTGATAGAGAAAATTTTTGGCACTTTGGAGAGTAATATCTTGGCCAGATCAAAAAACGGGCAAAAACGATACAAAATCCTTGTCAGAAAGGGCGCATTCTCTATCGAATGAGCCCTGTCTCAACCGCTTTTAGGTCGGACACCTCGCAACCTTTCCTTTTAGAATATTCGGAGGAAAAAATTGACAGTAAAAAAGGAAAATTAATCTGAGACTCAAATAGAGGTAGGGGGTGTGATATTAAATAAAGTACCTATAAATGCCCACAAATTTGTTCGAATTGTTGTAAATGCTCTTTTTGTTCGACGATGTATACCCTCTACATAATATTCTATACGGTCTATACCGTCTAAAGTACGTTGATAAGCATTCCATTGGTTTGGAGAAAATAGTGGTTGGGATAAAGTGCCGTCAAAACGGGGACGTCCAGAAAAGTTTACAAGGAACCTGAAAACGAAGAAAAAAATTATTTTTTGATCAATTTTTAATTAGGAGAGCTCAAGACAGGTTATTAAACAGAAGAGAAGGGACGGGTCATCCTAAATCCAATTACAGGACGGTTTTTCAACCCAGAATCCGAAACAAGATCCGAAACCCAGCCAAACTTTTTCTCAATCTATCCATTCCTGGCCAAGACTCATTTCTGGTTAATAAAATTTTTAAACCAAGTTTTCTATTTAGAAATATTTTTTAAAATAAATCCCAAAAATTGTAGCGTACCCTATGCATATCCTCATGAATAAACCTAAAATCTTTTTAAAAAAATGAAAAACCCCAAAAAATTTAAAAAAAAATAAATAAAAACAAACAAACCAATCAAAAACTTGTTGCAATTGATTTGGAAGACAAGCTTCAAGAACAGTTAAAGCAGCGGCTAAATCAGAGATTGGAAGAAAAGCCAAACAAATAATCATTCGAGCGGATTCAGCAAAAACAGCATCCGTATTGTAAAGCTAATTAATTAAAATAATTATTTAAGGTTTAAAATTAAAAGATTTTTGGGACCAAGAAAGAAAAATTTAAAAAATAGATAAAATTTTGTCCGCAAAATTGCTCCCCAAAAAATCAATAATCACAATTTGTGTACTAATTTTAAAAAATTTATACTTGAATCAATCCTTGTTCACCCATTTGTTTCTTCAAATTTTGAGATAAATGAAAGAAACTAAAATGTAAATTGCATTGCGGATGTTTTGCTCTCATAGCATTGAAAAATCCTTGCTCAAAGTCGATTGAAGCTGAACGAGGAGAAAATGTTGGCCAACGTTTTTGAATTAAATCAAGCATTCGTTCATAAGTTTTTTGCGTTCTACAGGTTAATAAACAATAACAAATTGGGAAAACCCAAGCACCACGTCTAGAAAGAAAAATAAGAAGTGAGATTTTTCGTTTAATGCCTAAAAAGTCCGCAAGTTTTGTCCGCAATTTTAGGTTAAACTAGCATCTGTTAACAACAAGATTGTATCCAGAGTTCTTAATTTCGGTGGACCAAAGCGAGGTAAGCGCCCAAATTTTGGCGTTACTAAAAGGATTTAAGCATAAAATGATTTGAGCATTGAAAGCATTCTAGGAAAAATTCAAAATCGCCCGTCCTTTTTAATAAATAATAAGACTTGCAGACTTATGGAGGCATAAAAAGAACCTAAAAAATTATAAAAAAAACTATAAATTTAATAACCTAGCCATAATCAAATAAAGCTGATCAAATAAGACTGGCGCAACAGGAATTGTTCCATCCACAAAAATTTGTTGGACTTGATCTATCCATCCAGCTGTAGAGGCACATGCAAATATTAAAATCCTATAGAAAGAGAGGCGAATTTTCAAAAATTTAAAAAATTTATGGGATAGTCTAGATAAAAAGAACCTTAAAATATCCGAAACGAAAAAAATTTAAAAAATAACACAGACGAAGAAAGAAAAGAGAAAATCATGTTTCTATAAAAGCCTCCCATCATTTTTGGCACTAATTAGCTTAAAAATATACCCCTAATTTTAATATACCCTTCCAAATCAAATTTAACAAAAAAATAACCGTTGATCCCCATTTTCTTCATAAACACCCGAATCAGCCAACAAAAATTGTTCTTCCTCCACCTCTCCTTCTGCCCCACCTTCCTTTGGACGCACATAAATTTTATAGCCATTCGGAATATCCAAACCCCTCACATCGTCTGGACCAGAAGGTGGAAGGTTTGCTTTAGGACGAGAACGTTTTTTTGGCTGAAAAATAAAAATTAAAAAATAAATTAAAATGAAAACCTTTCTTAAAAAAGATTTGAAAGCAACAGGTTCAGGAGAAGACACATAATCATCAACATTAATTTTAGGTTCAGTTTTTGGCTAAAAAAACAATAAGAATATTGAAATTATTAATTATATGAAAAATATTTGAGGATAACATGAAAAAATAGACAAAAAAATTTCAGTAAGGCTGGGTCAGTTCAAAAGATTTTTAAATAATGGAAAAAGGCAAATAAAACCCCTTAAAAAAACAAGACAAATAGATAACAAGTAAACATTTCCAAAAATTTTTACTCCCTCCGAAAACATTCCTGGATACGCGCCTGATATAGATTCTAGTTTAAGAAGCTAACACTAAACCACACCAAGTAAAAATCCAAGTAAATCTTTTTTAGGATGTGGATATGACTCCTAATAACCTAATGAATATTTCAAATACATTTTAAACTCAACTATTTTATGAGAAAAAAAATTTGCTAAAAATAAAAACCTTGGTTGCACTTCGTAATGTTCTATCAACTGAGGTGGAACCCTCATCCTTAGGAGTTCCAAATTTTGCAGCATCTCGTTTTCCTTTCACGCAGCTGTGACTTCCAATTTCCTTAATAACCACATCATCCAAATCCGTATGGATACGGGCTAAAAAAATTTTATGGGTCAGATTTTCTAAATAAAAAACCTTTGCATTTGATTTCAGGCCCGCTAAAAGCTTCACAACGCCAAAATTTAACCAAACCATTTTTGCTTAGCTGATGAAATAAGTAAGGAATATTGTTGTGGTGTATTATAGGCTTGTTTCTGGATGTTGAAGTTCTTACTGTTTCGTATTCAGCCCCTTCATGGGAGGTATCAAAAGTTAATTCATCGTCTCTCTCATCTCCATAATCGTGCTCAACATCCACATTGTCCTGTTTGGGGGGTATGGGATATAAAAGGAGGGATAAAAGGGGGTGCCAGTCAATTTCCGTCGTATTTCACGTTTCTCAATGTTTTTATTAGAGTTGTTCACGAGCGAGTAATTTTTTCCTGAAGCGGTCGAAATGCTCTTATTCCTCTCCATTTGCCGCCTCAGGAAAAAATTAACCGGGCGTGAACAATCCTAATTTCAGCATTGGGGATAATAGTGAAGAATTGGGGAGACATCTTAGAAATTTTTTATCGAAAGTGGTGATGCTGATCACGAGATTACCTATACAAAATGATTTTCAGAATAAAAAATGATAAACTCTAAGAAGTCTCCCCAATTCTTCATAATTACCCAAGATAGTTTCAAGTGCCAAATTACTCAAAAAATATATACCCCCATTTATTAAACATACCCCATGTCGTACCGATATAATTTCAACAGTCACTGGACAACCTTCATTAGACAACATCGCTCCAATTTGAGCCTTAACATCAGCTCCAGCATCCTTTCGATTAGCAGAATCGTCTTTACTAACTACAATTTCTTCTTGATTTGAATTGTCACTAGTATCCCCAGCATTTAATGCAGCCTCAATTTGTGCTGATAATGAAGATTTTTGATCTCTAAAATGGAAAAGAATTGTAGAGAGCGAGATTTTTGAAAAGCCTGAGCCTGTTCCTGGACTCTGAGGTTTGATTTATTGACCTATCCTGGGCCTGTAGTCCAAGAACAGACCCAACCCCAAGAAGATCAAAAAATGCTTGGGCCTGGACTCTGGGTACAGGAAAACCTAGGCCCTGATCCAGGCCCAACTCGATCTCTAAAGAATTGAAATTAAGAAAAAGAAACTCAAATCCCCCCTCACCCCTTAAAAACAGAAAAATCTTTTCAAGGGACTCGTATTTCATACCTTTGTTCTTCCTGCATCTTTTGAGTAACGGTCTGAAGTTAGAAATGTAAAATATCCTACTCGTATGTCTGAAAATTGAGAGAGAAAATTAAATTTGATTCTTCGTTAAGGCTTTCGGGAGTCTCGGTATTAGTATCTTACTTTAAGTAATGAGTGCCCAGTATAAAAAACTAGTAAAGAGATTCTTCTAAAATCGTTTGTTAATTATAAGACACTCTAAATGACTCAACCAAGACATCAATAAAAGGAGAATTCTGGGCAGCAAAATATTTGGAAAACTCAAATGACTAAAAACTTCTAGAACGAAGTGTCTAGCTTTCTCTTTCTCTAATTTACTTTATCGTTTTATTTATTAATACAAAATGACAACTCTCAGTTCGCCCAACAAAGAAAATTACTTCATTTACTCTAATGGTAAACAATTATTTAATTTCTTTTGAAACGAATACATTATACAAAATATAAAAGATACTGTATAGAAAATAACAAAAGCTAGACAGTTAGAGAAATTTTCTGACCTACTACAAAAAGGATATTGAACAAAACGGTACACGACAAAAAGGTACCTAAGCAGAATTGACGATAACGACACAGCTACCTACATAAATACTTATTGTTAAAAATACATATCTTCTTAAAACTCCCTGCAAACAAGAAAAGTAGTAAAAATAAAAACAATTTATCTTTTACACTTTATTAAATTAATTTAGTACTAAAAATTAAACAAGATCATTTGAAATTAAAAAAAATATATCTGGGAATTTTTTGGAAATAATTAGGAATACATAATTTTAAAAATTTTTAAATTAAAAGCTATAAGTATGAATCTAAAGAGTAAATTAAAGGAAAATAAATTTTGTGAGATTTTACAAGAGCGTAAAAAATATGAAAATTTTTAAAAGGGATCAACTTAGGGCCATATTTTTGGCCATAACTTTTTTGATTCTTAACCGATTTGAATTATTTTTATATCAATCGAAAGCTTTTGATGTGAGGATTATTTTGGTTAACAGAATTGATTTGATTAGAACATCCTTCAAAAAGTTAGAGCCGAATAAAGAGCAAAAATCACGATTGCTCGTACTTATCCGAACAAAACCTTTTGTAAAATGATCTGATCAAATTAATCTTATTGGCTAAAATAACCCTCACATTCAGAGCTTTCGAATGATATCTAAATGAATTAAATCGACCAAGAATCAAAAAAAGTTATGGTCCAAAATAAGGCCTTGAGAATGAAATGGTCTATATCGAGAATGGCCTCTGACTTATCAAAAGGGAACATTGGGTACTGTGACTGCAAATTTGATATACTTTTTTGGTACCAATCAATAGAGGACCCCCGACTTTCTATTGTGAAGTGATAAGGGTTTTCTTGCAAAATGACTTTGGGCCGAGTCACTTACAATAGAAAGACGGAGGTTTTTTTGATTTGGGCCGACGTTCGAGATATTTTTCGGGCCGGCCCACCGAGTCTTTTTCGGGCCAAAATTTGATGCACGACTCGATCTTTCGGACCGCACCGGACCCAAACTTACAATAGAAAGTTCGGGGTCTATCGAATGGTATCAAAAATATACTAAATTCGCAGTTACAGTAAAAGAGGGTTTCTTGTCAGTTATTTTACGCCCCTGATAAATTTACATAGCAAATTAAACAAAAGGTAACCAATTAACATTCAACATTGTACCAAAAATAAAATATCCAAATAAATAACAAAAAATTAAAAAAGGCCAAAAACCTTTTCTCATATAATCTCTTAAAAAAGGTAAAATTTTTGAATTTATGAGATCATCCAATTTTTGTTGTTCTAATGTTTGATTATTTATAAGACGGGCTAATACCAAATATAAAAATGGTGAAGAAGAAAATAAAAGTCTTATTGATATCTTTAAATAAATGAAAAATGTTAAAGAAATATTTTTTAATTATAGTAAAAATATCCATTTATAATGAAAAAATCCAAAAGAAGATCCCTATAAATTCCTAGTCTAATCCTCGGTTAGATCCCGGTAAAGGCGGGTGGATTTGGATCCGAAACAGACATGCACGAAACGTTTCGTTTCGTTTCGTTGTTTCGTTAGTTTCGTTATGTTTTTTCCTGTTTCGTCTCGTTTCGTGACGAAACACTTTTTAGTTTGTTTCGTTTCGTTTTGTTAACGAAACACCTCTGTTTCGTTAACGAAACATTACCCATTTTTTAGACCAAAATATTACCCAAAAACTGAAAAATTTTCCCCTTTGGTGATCAAAATTCAAAAAATTTTTGCCTGCGGCGCTGAAATCTGGATTTTAAGCGCCTACGGCGCATAATTTACTATATTTTTTTGAATTTCTCGTTTGATCTTGTTTTTTTTAATATGCAAAGCCCGAATTCTATGCTAGATTAGGCATAGAATCGATCTAACAATTAAAGCCAATCAGGGCAGGCGCAAGAGTTTCAATAAAGTTTAGTTTCAATAAACGAAAACGCAAATGATGGCAATGATCATAAATATGGTTGTCTTTTTTCGTGCATGTTTCTATCGAGTCGGACCAGACGAGTCTTTTCGGGCCAAATATCTTAAGCCCGACTCGATCTTTTGGTCCGAGTCGGTCCATTTTGGCAACCCTAATCATGAGCGTTGTTATTAACAAAAAATCTGAGTTGAGAAATATCATTGGATTTGGCGGGAGCAATGGTGGTATAGGAATTTGGGAGAGAATAAACAAGGTATCGGCGGATTTGGAGGGTTTAAAAAATTTTAAAAAATGTCGGGAATCAGGAACGGGTTTATGAGATAGTAATTTCCTACAAATTAATTCCCGATTTTAGGGAATCAGGAAACGGGTCGGCAGGTCCCTGATATACACATATTCTCAACACATAATTCGATTAAAGTCGATTTGGTGGAATTAAGGCTGATATAGTGGATTATGAGTAGCCTGTGACCACAATTTAAGGTCCCACTAAGCTATTAGATCAATTATAGGTCATAACTGGCCTATTAACGTGTCTAAAATCGAATAATTAAGAAAATAAAACCGTTTTTATTAAATTTTTTGAAAATTAAAATGTTTCGTTTTGTTTCGTTTCGTTTCGCTAAATTTTTACTGTTTCGTCTCGTTTCGTTAACGAAACGATTTTTAAAAAATTTTGTTTCGTTTCGTTTCGTCTGAAAAAATTTTGGAGTTTCGTGCATGTCTGATCCGAAAGAGTCAGAATATCCCAGAAATTTCAGTTGGGATGATTGACCTTTGTTTATTTTATTGACTTGACTGATTATAATTTACCCTTGACCCGTTGTCCTTGGGGTCTTACCTAGTCAAATGTCGCTTGGTCCTTTACTTCTCTCTAGTATAGCCGTTAGTTAATGCTTTTATAATTTATCATTTAAGGTAGTCACCGGTGGGTGGATCTGGATTCGAAAGAGTTCGAATATCCAAAAAAAATTTCAGTTAGGATTCTGATACGGATATCCGGGAATTTCCCAGGATCTGCCAACCCTTGCCCTTTGGGTCTTACCCAGTCAAATGTCGTTTGGGCTTTCTTTTTCCCCTTGGTTAATGTTTCTATAATTTATATTTGATAAAATAGGAAAAGGAAAAAACAAGAATGGACCAAACAACACCCTATCGACAAAAAATAACATAAAAAGCTTCCCACCCTTAAGAAAATTTTTTAAAAAATAATTTTCAAAAAAAACCTCCACGTTGTAAAACACAACACCAGAAAATGCCAAAAACAAAATATGAACAGCAAAAGGTATTTGCCCATTTCTATCAACCAAAATTTCCGGTATCGGTCTCAAATCTGTTGATAATAAACCAAAAGTTTGTTTAATAAATCCATAAAATGCAATCCACAAAGTTGGTGCAGCAAGTAAAAATAAGGGCAATTTTTGCCATTTCCAATAATTAAATAGACCAACATCCCAATATTTTTGTTGAATAAATTGGTAATAATTTGGTAATAAAATATTGTAAAGGGAAAAACTGAAGAGAAAAAATAATTTTTTTTTCAAATTTTTAAGTGAAAATCGTTCCTTGGTTTTTTCCTTTATGCTCCCAAATATCCGCAAGCAGGCCCATAGCCAGGGGTAAGGGAATTCCGCCTCCCCTTCCCCCCGAAATGGGAAAAAGGAAAAAATTTGGGGAAGGGCTTGTGGATTAAAAAATTGTAGCTAAAAATGAGTCTATTATCTAAAAAACTCTTGGGCAACTCAGAACGCTAAATGCTTACATTAGAACCCTCACCCAGCAACAACCCAAATTTACAAAATGTACCTTAAATTAAGGTGAGTAGACTGACACGAGGTGTAAATAGAGAGGGAGGTATGAGTTAAGTAACAATGTTGATTTCTACAGAAAAAGGTATGACTTGCGGATAAAACTTGCGGATTTTCGGAAGCCTAACGAAAAAAGAAAAGCAAATAAAAAATAAAACGACCCATCTTATTTTTATAAATCAAAAAATTAAAACAAAAAACCTTTGATTACACCATTCCAATTTTGTCAAATTCCCAGGCAGCACAATTTCTCTAGACAAAGCTTCCTCAGAATTAAAATAATTTTTAATCCTCAAATCATTATATTCAACATTAGATAAAGAACAAAATTTATCATGAACAGAAAATTCAAATACTCGAAGTGGAATTGACATTAAAGCAAAACATATTAGTCCAAAGAAAAGATTGTTGAAAAACTTGAAGAAATTATAAAAAAATTTTATTGTTACGAAAAAAATTTTTTAATCCTCCATTTTAAAAACTAGTTTTGGTATATTTCTCGGATATATGTATAGAATTGGAATATTCTTGTTAAGGCACGAGTTTATAATCCTGTAAACCTATTTTGAGGTCCAGAGACTTATCCAGACAGGCAATTTGGAACAAAAACAAAAAATTTTTCTGTTGTTTCCTATGTCTGGAAGTAACTTTTTTGAGATAGAATCGCCTATCAAGCAATTTAGTGTTGCCAAAATACCCCGACTCCATTTCGAAAGAAGTTCAGGTATCGTCCCTTCAAGTGATCGAGCTGGGTCTGAATCAAGGCCTGTGTCTTTCCTGTACCAAGAGTCCAGGTCCAGGCATTTTTGACCTTCCTGGATTTTTCCTGGACTATAGGCCCAGAATCCGGCTCAGGTCGATAAATCAAACCCAGGACCCAGAAACAGGCCCAGTCTTTTCATGAATCTCGACTACCTTTCAATAACGCCCCTCCCCCAAATCACTCAATATTCACTTTGATATTCCCTTTCAAAATTTCTAGGTCTTCAGGGTCAATAGGTTTTCCTAGGGTGGACTCAAAAAAAAATTAAATTAAAAAATAAACCTTTTTAACCAGCTCCACAGAAAATTCCCGAAATTCAAATTGTTGATATTTTTGTTGATATATTCCACCATTTTTATCAATCATTCCTCCTCTTTCCCCCTCACCATTTTCATTAGGTATTTGTCTTTCAATAAAAATAATAACATCCAACAAGAGAGGGAATCCAATAAATCCAATATTAGTCAATCCATTTGAACGAGTCAAAAAAGCTAAGGAAAATACGGCTGAAGCAAACAACAAGTTTAGACGTGAAGAAATATTTGTTGTTGGGGAATAAATTAATAAAAGACCGAGAAATGTAAATGTTTGGTATATTGATTCGGAATATAATGAAGAATAGAAAATACTTGCTGGACACCTTTTTAAATAAAAAAAAATTTTTTTTATAATTTTAACAAGGGAACCCAGTTCCGTTTTGGAGGTTAGCTCATTACTAGTGATCGGGTTTAAATGGATTTCCTTATATTTTTCCCGGCCTCGGTGGGTTCTGAAATGTCAAAAGGAAACAATTTTAGCAGTTGAAAAAAAGTCGCCTTACCACCACATACCTAATTCCCTTGTTTTTTCCTATTTTGACAAGCCGTCTATATTTTTCGATTGATAGTTTATCCTAACCCTAACTCTACTCATCATAGGAATTATCAGCTTACAAATTTTCATGAAAAATCAAAATTTTGCGAAAATAACCGAATTTTTCTGATTAAATCTAAACACAAATCTGGTGTAATACGATACAAGGGATGGCCTCCTTGTCGAGAAGAAGTTTTTCAGGAAATGGAAATGTCGGATAAAGGGTCGTCGGAACTCAAGGTTGGAGAAACGCCTAAAAATCATCGTCGGGCAGAGAATCGAAACTGTTGGAGACACCCCAAAAAATTTTTAAAAAATACCAGCAATGAAGATAAACAGCCAAAATGGATTCTTTAATATTTCCTCCATTTAAAAATAAAGTTAGAAACTCGAAAACCCCAACCCAAATTAAAAAAGAAGGGAAGAAAATTATTGACAGTAAAGGAATATTAATCTGAGACTCAAATAGAGGTGAAGGATGGGATATTAAATAAAGTACCTATAAATGCCCACAAATTTGTTCGAATTGTTGTAAATGCTCTTTTTGTTCGACGATGTATACCCTCCACATAATATTCTATACGGTCTATACCGTCTAAAGTACGTTGATAAGCATTCCATTGGTTTGGAGAAAATAATGGTTGAGATAAAGTGCCGTCAAAACGGGGACGTCCAGAAAAGTTGACAAGGAACCTGAAAAAGGAAAAAAAATATTTTTTGATCAATTTGTCATCAACCAACATAGATGGGACGGTCCAAAACGAAATCCAATTACAGGACTATTTTTTGACCTAAAATCCAAAACCCGATCCGAAACCCAGCCAAACTTCTCAAAACCTGAACCCTAGTGACTTGGATGGACAGGACTCCTTACTAATTTTTGGTTGCTCAAATTTTTAAACCAAGCTTTCCATTTTGGGTTTTACTGTTTAAAATACTTTGTGGAATCATTCTCAAAAATAAATCCCAAAAAAATTATAGAAGGAAATGAACACCTCATAAATAAATCGAAAAGTCTTTCTAAAGAAATGAAAAACCCCCAAAAAAATTAAAAAAAAAATAAAAACAAACCAATCAAAAACTTGTTGTAATTGATTTGGAAGACAAGCTTCAAGAACAGTTAAAGCAGCAGCTAAATCAGAGATTGGAAGAAAAGCCAAACAAATAATCATTCGAGCGGATTCAGCAAAGACAGCATCCGTATTGTAAAGCTAATTTTAAAAAATTATTTCAGGTTTAAAATTAAAAGATTTTTTGGGAAGATACAAAATTATTTGATAAAAACTAGAGAACGAGAAATTCTGCAAAAAAAATTCTGCAAAGTTCTGCAAGAAATTCTGCAAAAAAATTTTTTTATCATAAAAAAGTTGTGAAAAAATGAACTTTATTGTTGAAAAACTTAAAAAATTATAAACTGACGATTATAAAAGAACGGCGCGTTATATAATGCCGAAAGCTTGAAATACCAAACCCCCAAAAGCTGTTGAAATGCCAAAACGGTCTGGCATTTCAACAGCTTTTGGGGGTTCCGCATTACACGCTTTGACATTAGAACACGTTACCTAAAAGAAAACCAAGAAAAATTGCCCCCGAAAAATCAATAATTCCAATTTGTGTCCAATAATTTTTAAAAAATTAACCTGAATCAATCCTTGTTCACCCATTTGTTTCTTCAAATTTTGAGATAAATGAAAGAAACTAAAATGTAAATTGCATTGCGGATGCTTCGCTCTCATAGCATTAAAAAATCCTTGCTCAAAATCGATTGAAGCTGAACGAGGAGAAAATGTTGGCCAACGTTTTTGAATTAAATCAAGCATTCGTTCATAAGTTTTTTGCGTTCTACAGGTTAATAAACAATAACAAATTGGGAAAACCCAAGCACCACGTCTAGAAAGAAAAATAAGAAGTGAGATTTTTCGTTTAATGCCTAAAAAGTCCGCAAGTTTTGTCCACAATTTTAGGTTAAACTAGAATCTGTTAACAACAAGATTGTATCCAGAGTTCTTAATTTCGGTGGACCAAAGCAAGGTAAGCGCCCAAATTTTGGCGCTTACCTTGCTTTTCTAGGAAAAATTCTAGGAAAAATTCAAAATCGCCCGTCCTTTTTAATAAATAATAAGACTTGCAGACTTATGGAGGCATAAAAAGAACCTAAAAAATTATAAAAAAAACTATAAATTTAATAACCTAGCCATAATCAAATAAAGCTGATCAAATAAGACTGGCGCAACAGGAATTGTTCCATCCACAAAAATTTGTTGGACTTGATCTATCCATCCAGCTGTAGAGGCACATGCAAATATTAAAATCCTATAGAAAGAGAGGCGAATTTTCAAAAATTTAAAAAATTTATGGGATAGTCTAGATAAAAAGAACCTTAAAATATCCGAAACGAAAAAAATTTAAAAAATAACACAGACGAAGAAAGAAAAGAGAAAATCATGTTTCTATAAAAGCCTCCCATCATTTTTGGCACTAATTAGCTTAAAAATATACCCCTAATTTTAATATACCCTTCCAAATCAAATTTAACAAAAAAATAACCGTTGATCCCCATTTTCTTCATAAACACCCGAATCAGCCAACAAAAATTGTTCTTCCTCCACCTCTCCTTCTGCCCCACCTTCCTTTGGACGCACATAAATTTTATAGCCATTCGGAATATCCAAACCCCTCACATCGTCTGGACCAGAAGGTGGAAGGTTTGCTTTAGGACGAGAACGTTTTTTTGGCTGAAAAATAAAAATTAAAAAATAAATTAAAATGAAAACCTTTCTTAAAAAAGATTTGAAAGCAACAGGTTCAGGAGAAGACACATAATCATCAACATTAATTTTAGGTTCAGTTTTTGGCTAAAAAAACAATAAGAATATTGAAATTATTAATTATATGAAAAATATTTGAGGATAACATGAAAAAATAGACAAAAAAATTTCAGTAAGGCTGGGTCAGTTCAAAAGATTTTTAAATAATGGAAAAAGGCAAATAAAACCCCTTAAAAAAACAAGACAAATAGATAACAAGTAAACATTTCCAAAAATTTTTACTCCCTCCGAAAACATTCCTGGATACGCGCCTGATATAGATTCTAGTTTAAGAAGCTAACACTAAACCACACCAAGTAAAAATCCAAGTAAATCTTTTTTAGGATGTGGATATGACTCCTAATAACCTAATGAATATTTCAAATACATTTTAAACTCAACTATTTTATGAGAAAAAAAATTTGCTAAAAATAAAAACCTTGGTTGCACTTCGTAATGTTCTATCAACTGAGGTGGAACCCTCATCCTTAGGAGTTCCAAATTTTGCAGCATCTCGTTTTCCTTTCACGCAGCTGTGACTTCCAATTTCCTTAATAACCACATCATCCAAATCCGTATGGATACGGGCTAAAAATTTTTGGGCCAAATTTACCAAAAAAAAAACCTTTGCATTTAATTTCAGGCCCGCTAAAAGCTTCACAACGCCAAAATTTAACCAAACCATTTTTGCTGAGCTGATGAAATAAGTAAGGAATATTGTTGTGGTGTATTATAGGCTTGTTTCTGGATGTTGAAGTTCTTACTGTTTCGTATTCAGCCCCTTCATGGGAGGCATCAAAAGTCAATTCATCGTCTCTTTCATCTCCATAATCGTGCTCAACATCCACATTGTCCTGTTTGGGAAATATAGGATATAAAAGGAAGGATAAAAAAGGGTGCTAGTAGAGAGCGGCCTGGGCCTAGACCAAGGCCTGGGCTTTTCCTGTACCCAGAGTCCAGGCCCAGCCATTTTTTGACCGTCCTGGGTTTTTTCTGGGCCTGGGTTTTCCTGGACACAGGCCAGTTAATTAACGTCGCATTTCGCGTTTCTTAATGTTTTGATTAGGGTTGTTCACGACCGGTTAATTTTTTCCTGTAGCAGTTCACATGCCCTTATTCTTGCCCACTAGATACCTCAGGAAAAAATCAACCGGTCGTGAACAATCCTGATTTCAACATCGGGTAATAGTGAAGAATTGGAGAGACACCTTAGAAATTTTTTTGAATCACGAGATTACCTATACAAAATGATTTTCAGAATAAAAAATGATAAACTCTAAGAAGTCTCCCCAATTCTTCATAATTACCCAAGATAGTTTCAAGTGCCAAATTACTCAAAAAATATATACCCCCATTTATTAAACATACCCCATGTCGTACCGATATAATTTCAACAGTCACTGGACAGCCTTCATTTGACAACATCGCTCCAATTTGAGCCTTAACATCAGCTCCAGTATCTTTTCGAATAGAAGAATCATCCTTTCTAACTACAATTTCTTCTTGATTTGAATTGTCACTAGTATCCCCAGCATTTAATGCAGCATCAATTTGTGCTGATATTGAAGATTTTTGATCTCTAAAATAAAAAAGAATTGTAGATTTTTGAAAAGCCTGTGCCTGTTCCTGGGTTTGATTTATTAACCTGTGCCGGATCCTGGACCTGTAGTCCAGGAAAACCCCAGGCCCAGGAAAACCCCAGGAAGATAAAAATTGCTTGGGTCTGGACTCTGGGTACGGGAAAACCTAGGCACTGGTCCAGGCCCAGCTCGATCTCTAAAGAATTGAAATTAAGAAAAGAAAACTCAAATCCTCCCCTTAAAAACAAAAAAAATCATTCAAGGGACTCGTATTTCAAACCTTTGTTCTTCCTGCATCTTTTTGAGTAACGGTCTGAAGTTAGAAATGTAAAAATATCCTACTCGTATGTCTGAAAATTGAGAGAGAATTAGACTTGATTCTTCATTAAGGCTTTCGGGAGTCTCGGTATTAGAGTATTTTTTACTTTGAGTATTGAGGGCATAGTATAACAAACTAGTAAAGAGGTTCTTCTAAAATGGTTTGTTAATTAGAAGACACTCTAAATGACTCAACCAAGACATCAATAAAAGGAAAATTCTGGGCATCAAAATATTTGAGAAACTCAAATGACTAGAACTTCTAGAATGAAGTGTCTAACTTTCTCTTTCTCTAATTTACTTTATCGCTTTTTCAGTTCGCCCAACACAGAAAATTATTTCATTTACTCTAATGGTAAACAATAAATTAATTTCTTTTGAAACGAATACATTATAGATGATACTGTATAAAAAATAACAAACGCTTGACAGTTAGAGAAATTTTCCGACCTACTACAAAAAGGATGTTGGACAAAACGGCATGCGACAAAAAGGTACTTCAGCAGAATCGACGATAACGACACTGCTACATGAATACTTAAATTCCCTGCAAACAACAAAAAAGAAAAGTAGTAAAAATAAGAACAATGTTGAGTCTTTTGCACTTTATTAAATTAATTTAGTACTAAAGTTTAACAAGATCATTTGAAATAAAAAAATATATCTGGGAATTTTTTTTGGAAATAATTAGGAATAATTAAAAATATTTTTTAAATTAAAAGCTATAAGTATGAATCTAAAGAGTAAATTAAAAGAGAAAAATTTTGTGAGATTTTTCAAGGGCGTAAAAATATGAAAAATTTTAAATGGGATCAACAAAGGGCCATATTTTTGGCCACAACTTTTTTTTAATTCTTAACCGATTTAAATTACTTTTATATCAATCGAAAGCTCTGAATATAAGGACTATTTTACTTAACAGGATTGATCTGATCAGAACATCCTTCAAAAAATTAGAGCCGAATAAAGAGCAAATATCACGATTGCGCCTACTTACCCGAATATAACTTCAAGTAGGGTGATCTGATCAAATAAACCCCATTAGCTAAAATAATCCTCACATCCAGAGCTTTCGATTGATATAAAGATAATTTAAATTGGTTAAGAATCAAAAAAGTTATGGCTCAAAATATGGCCTCGAGAATGGAACGGTCATTACTGAGAATGGCTTCTGTCTTCTCACAAGGAAACATCGAGTACTGGGTACGAAAATTTCGTATTTTTTGGTACCAATCGATAGAGGACCCCCGGCTTTCTATTGTGAAGTGATATCCGTTTTCTTGCAAAATGACTTTGGGCCGAGTCACTTACAATTAGGGTTGGGGTTTTTTAGAGACGGGCCGACGATCGAGTCAATCTTTCGAGCCGGCCCGACCGAGTCTTTTTCGGGCCAAAATTTGATATCCGACTCGATCTTTCGGACCGGACTGGACCCCAACCCTACTTACAATAGAAAGTCGGGGGTCCTCCATCGAATGGTATCAAAAATATACTAAATTCGCAGTTACAGTAAAAGATGGTTCCTAGTCAGTTATTTTACGCCCCTGATAAATTTACATAATTAAACAAAGGGTAACCAATTAACATTCAACATTGTACCAAAAATAAAATATCCAAATAAATAACAAAAAATTAAAAAAGGCCAAAAACCTTTTCTCATATAATCTCTTAAAAAAGGTAAAATTTTTGAATTTATGAGATCATCCAATTTTTGTTGTTCTAATGTTTGATTATTTATAAGACGAGCTAATACCAAATATAAAAATGGTGAAGAAGAAAATAAAAGTCTTATTGATATCTTTAAAAGATGAAAATGTTAGAGAAATATTTTTAATTAAATTTATTTATAGGAAAATCCAAAAGAAGATCCAGCTAGATTCCTAGCCTAATCCTTGGTTAGTCCCCGGTAAAGGTGGGCGGATCTAGATTCGAAAAAGTTCGGATATCCAAAAAAATTTCAGTTAGGATTCTAATCCGAATATCCGTGATCCAAAAGAAGATCCATCTAAATGCCTAGCCTAATTCTCGTTGAACCCCGGTAAAGGCGGGTGGATTTGGATCCGAAAGAGTCAGAATATCCAAGAAATTTCAGTTGGGATGATTGACCCTGATATCCGGGAATTCCCCAGTATCTGGCAACCAATTGTCAATGTCGTTTGGGCCTCAAATGTCGTTTGGGCCTCTTTTTTCTTCTCTCTAGTGGGTCTTACCTAGCTTCTATGGGTCATATAGGCAATGCTTCTCTCTACTATAGTACATCCCTTGGTTAATGTTTCTATAATTTATATTTGATAAAATAAGAAAGGAAGAAAAACAAGAAGGGGCCGAACAACACCCTATCGACAAAATAATAACATAAAAAACTTCCCACCCTTAAGAAAATTTTTTAAAAATAATTTTCAAAAAAAAAACCTCCACATTGTAAAACACAACACCAGAAAATGCCAAAAACAAAATATGAACAGCAAAAGGTATTTGCCCATTTCTATCAACCAAAATTTCCGGTATCGGTCTCAAATCTGTTGATAATAGACCAAAAGTTTGTTTAATAAATCCATAAAATGCAATCCACAAAGTTGGTGCAGCAAGTAAAAATAAGGGTAATTTTTGCCATTTCCAATAATTAAATAACCCGACATCCCAATATTTTTGTTGAATAAATTGGTAATAATTTGGCAATAAAATATTGTAAAGGGAAAAACTGAAAAATTAAATTTTTAATTAAAAATCTTTTCTTGGTTCTTTTCCTTATGCTCCCAAATATCCGCAAGTTTTACACAATTTAATTTTATAGCAAAAAATAAAATCTTCAGACTTACACCCTTGTGGGTTAAAAAATTATAGCTAAAAATATTATATCTCGATTAATGCTAAAATAATTACCCAGGGTAATTATTGTTTCAACCTCTCGCTGGAGGGGGTAATTATTTGAGAAAAAACGCTTATGTTAGGCAGCCCAGAAACGCTTAATGCTTTACATTAGAACCCTCACCCAGCGAGAACCCAAATTTACAAAATGTATTTTAAATTAAGTCGAACAAACTGAGGTGTAAATATAGAGGAGGAAGGTATGAGTTAACTAGTATTGTTCTTTCTTACACAAAAAAGATATAACTTGCGGACAAAACTTGCGGATTTTCGGAAGGATAACGAAAAGAGAACGGCAGATAAAAGAATAAAACGACCCATCTTATTTTTAGAAAATTAAAACAAAAAAAAACCTTTGATTACACCATTCCAATTTTGTCAATTCACCAGGCAAAACAATTTCTCTATACAAAGCTTCCTCAGAATTAAAATAATTTTTAATCCGCAAATCATTATATTCAACATTAGATAAAGAACAAAATTTATCATGAACAGAAAATTCGAATACTCGAAGTGGAATTGACATTAAAGCAAAACATAATAGTCCAAAGAAAAGATTGTTGAAAAACTTGAAAAATTAGAAAATAAATTTAAAATTTAATTTTTAATCCTACTTTTTAAAACTAGTCAATACAACTTGGGTATTTCTTGTTAAGGACGAGTTAATAAAAATAATAATAGGCCCCAAAGGCGCCAAAAATTTTAATTTTTAGCGCCGCAGGCAAAAATTTTGAGAATTTTAGAAGCCGGAGCTAGCTCCCGGAGCATTACCCAGCACAGCTATCAAGCAATTTAGTTTTGCCAAAATGCCCCGGCTCCAGTTCGAAAGGAGTCAGGTATCGTCCCCTTCAATCACCCCCAAATCCCTCAATATTCACATTCCCTTTTAAAATTTATAAGTCTTCATTGGGTGGACTCAAATAAAAAAATAAAATTAAAAAAAACCTTTTTAACCAGCTCCACAGAAAATTCCCGAAATTCAAATTGTTGATATTTTTGTTGATATATTCCTCCTCCATTTTTATCAATTCCTCCTCTTTCCCCCTCACCATTTTCATTGGGTATTTGTCTTTCAATAAAAATAATAACATCTAACAAAAGAGGGAATCCAATAAATCCAATATTTGTCAATCCATTTGAACGAGTTAAAAAAGCTAAAGAAAATATTGCGGAAGCATACAACAAGTTTAAACGTGAAGAAATATTTGTTGTTGGTGAATAAATTAATAAAAGACCAAGAAATGTAAATGTTTGGTATATTGATTCGGAATATAATGAAGAATAAAAAATACTAGCTGGGCACCTTTTTAAATAAAAAATTTTTTTTATAGATTTTGGAATTCATTTCAAGGGTATTTTTTTAAGGAATTTCAAATTTTCAGTTTTCAAAAATTTTTCAATTTCAAGGAATTTGATTTCAAAAAATCCAAGGAAAGCCAGTCCCTTTTTGGAGGAATTTAAATTAGCTCATTACTAGCGATCGGGTTTAAATGAATTTCTATATTTTTTCCGGCCTGGGTTCTGAAATGTCAGAAAAAGCATAATTTAGCAGTTGTTAATAAAGTCGTTTTTAACCAACACATAACTAATTTCCATGTTTTTTTTCATATTCTGACAGGTCGTCTATATTTTTCGATTGAAATAATGATTCGGAATATAATGAAGACACGAGACGAGCTCCACCCCTGATGTACACCCCGTCGATAAAAAGGCCTTATAATCCTAGTCGGGCAGAGAATCAGAGAATGTTGGGGCAACCCAGTCTATCCTGAAACACAAATTTGGCAATCTGAACACAGTTGGTAAATAACGTAAAAGAAATACAAGTCGGTCTCCGACCCGTCGTGAAAAACTTTTTCAGGAAATTGGGGGTCGGAGAAAGAGTTGTCGGACTTCAAGGTTGGGGAAACGCCTAAAAATTATCGTCGGGCAGAGAATCAGAACTGTTGGAGACACCCCCAAAAAAATTTAAAAAAAATACCAGCAATGAAGATAGACGGCCAAAATAGATTCTTTAATATTTCCTCCATTCAAAAATAAAGTTAGACGAAATATAAGCATTCCATTAATTACAAAAAGTGCCTTGAAAAAATTTATAAACTCAAAAAAATTTCAAAAAAATTTACATTATTTAACAAAGTTCCAGCGATAAGCATTGAAGAAAAAAGAGAAACCCAATTTCCAATAAATAAATTTAAAAAACCTCCAAGAATTTTAAGAGTCATTGGAAAAAGAGGAAAAAACGCTAAACTGCTTTCCCAAATATATCCAAATTCGGCAATGTGTAAAAAATGTCGAGCATCCCAAGTTGTTAAACCACCCAAAATTGAATAAATAAAAAGATCAAAAGAAGAACCTTTAAAAAAATTTTAAAATTAATTTTAAAAAAATGATTTTAAGTAGAAAAATATTAAAAACAAAAATTTTTCGTTATAGGAAGGCGGGGATCCTTTAGAGAATGGTTACAAAAAATATAAGGAATTCGCAAGGACTGTAAACGATAGCTCCATATTAGTATCACCTTTTTGATCCGTTACAATTAAAATTTGAGGGTCATATACAAAAATAAATTAGTGGCCACAGACCCGATTTTGTGGTCTTCGAACCCAAAGAATGATGTATACATAGAATCCGAAAATAGGCAATAAAACCCAACAATAAAAGAAATTGCAGAAACAAACATAATAGGGTTGTTTTCAACAGTATAAATTGGGTTGTTGGTTCAGAATCGAACCAGAAACAAAGGATTTTTCGGTTGGGTTTCGGATAAAGACCGGACTGGGAGTGTCGTACGGAAATCGGGATCTCAAAAAATTCTCGATCTTGATAACCGAGATTTTCGCTCGAGATCTCGTCTCGGTCTCTAATCTCGGATATCCGAAGATTTATCGCGAATTGACAACCCTACGCCAAAAAATGCTGAGGGATTGGGACTTACAGATAAAAAACTCGAAAAAACACCACGCCCTACCCTTCAGGTTTAAAATAAATTAATTTAAAAAATGTAAACCTTCATTATTTTCAGGTCGATTAATTCCTTTAAAAGCATCTGTTGGACTATCCCTCATCACAAAATTAATTGTACATTGAAACAAAAGAATAATTAATCTGCTTAATATTAATTGTTGAAGGAAAAAAGAATTAATTTTTTGTAGTGGGAAGGGGAAAGAAAATTCATTAATTCCTTCAATATGCTTAAAAGTTTCGAAATTTAATTTTAAAAATTTAAAAAAAAACCAAAAAAGGAAGCAAATATCCATTTAATTCTGCCTCAAAATATTTAGATTCTTCATTTAAAGAGTATTGACTGTCTAGTAATTGTTGACGATGAAAGCTGGTAGAAATACTATTTTGTTTGATGTTAATGTTGTGATGAGTTCGTTGTCGGTTACGAGTCATTGAACCTGGAAAAATTTTAATTGATATTTTATTTGTTAAAAACTTGACTTTTACTTTTGCTATTTATTGACCCCTGTTCGCGAGATAACTAAGTTCTCGTCGGAAGAAACATCCCAAGGAAAGTATTTATTAGTGCAGTTTCCCCCACATAAGCCACGCCCCCTTTTTCATAAGGAAAAGCCCAGATTATTGTTAATATTATTGTTAAAAATTAGTGCTAAAAAATATTTGAGGATTTATCAGTGCAGTTTACCCATTTTTATATTTTCAATATATGTACGTATTATGAAGAAACCCCCACACGGAAAAGTCAATAATTTTCCTCGTTACAAATTAGCGATAGGCAAAGGATTTTCGGTACTAGTGCAGTTTGCCCCCACAAACCATCTTTCGCCACTCCTTTTCCCATAAGCCACGCCCACTTTTTCCATGCCGTTTTCTTATATAAATTACTCGAAGGTCGAGTATGCTTTTCTTATAAATTACTCGAGTGCCGAGTATGCTTTTCTTATAAATTACTCAAGTGCCGAGTATGCTTCCCTATTTTCATCTCAAAATTCAGGTCCCTTCTAATTTTAGATGGAACAACTCAGAAATTTTACAATGGACAAAGTCTATCAAAAAATATTTTTGCCTGACAACGAATTTGATCAATGGCTTGTACAACTTGGACTTTTACATACAACAATGATTTGTGAATGTGGAAATTTGATGATTGTAAGAAAGCCTAAAAATGGGGAGCGTTATGGAAGATGGCGTTGTAACATTTCAAAATGTCGAAAAGAAAAAAGTTTTTTGGCTGGGACGTTCTTTAGTGGATCCCATGTTACTACTAAAAAAGTTTTTGCGATGGCGTATTGGTGGGCAATGAAGTTTGGAGGGGAAGAGGATTGGGTGAGGGAGTTTGGAGTTACTAGTCATACAGTGGTGGATTGGCGTAATTCTTTCAGGGATGTTTGCGCCCAGTATTTGGAGATGACGAACAATATTAAGAAGGAGATCGAAGAACCTGGTAATTTTTGGGTATTTAAACTTGGGGTTGGCTAGGGGATCGATATTTGCTGGAGGGACATGTCGGGGTTCGGGGTCAGAGATTTGGGTTGTCAGGGTAGAGCCTGGGTCGGGGGGTTTTTATCCGAAAAGTCAGGGGACGATAAACTAGGGGTTGGATAGGGGATCGGTTTGGGGATCGATTTTTGCTGGGAGACATGTCGGAGTATGGGGACGGAGATTTGGGTTGCCGGGGTAGAGCCTTCGGGTCGGGGGTTTTGCCAGAAAAATCGCCGGGGGACGAGATTCTACCCCACTTTAAATGTTTAATTTATAGGGGATGAAGTTGAAGAGCCGGTGCTCGTGAAAAGAAAATACAACAAGGGAGAACCAAATAAAGAAGTTTGGCTTTATGGTGGTGAATGTTTGTGGAGAAAGGAGTACGGATCTAGAAATGAGATATTTTATAATTTTTGGTTACACGTTTCACATATCTTTCCATGTTATAAGGTGACTGAATAAATCGATAGTATTTTTATTGATTTTGGGTAAAGAAATGGACCAAAAAAGTGACCCAAATGTCACTTTAAAAAAATGAGAGTAGGAGCGTGATTTAAGGGGTGGGCTGATGCGGACAGAATCAGGAAGTAGTCGGAATCAACCGAAATTTTCCGTATTCCGACCCGGATCGAGGAGCTGCCATGTTTCTGCGAAAAATGACCTGGAACAATTCAAATAGACTCGGCAACTACATAACACACTAAAATTTAGTGTTTTGCTGTTGACCTTATTCATAGGTGCATTTTTGTCTTGATACCATTTTGTCGAATACCATTTTGTCAGAAACAAGATTCTTACTTCTTCACTGCCTTTCACTCCATTATTTTCTTCTCGCCATTCTACATTTTTTAGCTTCAATAAAATTTTTTTTCAATTTTTATTCATCGAATTTAATAAATGTATGTGTTGTTGTTCCATTTATCTTCAAAAATAGCTAAAATAAATTTAATAAATTTCCAAAATCGCCGAACACTTTGAATTTGACTGAATTAATTGCTTAATTAAATAAATAGACGAAACGTCAAATTTTCACCACCTTGACGAAGTGAAAGTTGGTGTAATGACAAACCTCGTAATAAAACAAATAAAAACCTCTCACAATCACTCTCTTCATTTACCACACTGTCTAAAGACAAAATCGATTCGGTTACGGTATTTAATCGATTTAAGGATTGTTTGCGTTGTCCTATTTTACTTTACCTTTTTTAATACTTACAATTATTTTTTGATTTCACGTCGGTGTTTAAAAATTGATTTTCAGCTTTTAAAACTAGTTAATATGCGTATTTCAACTTGTTAATTTAAAGTTTTTCTTGATAATTTAAAATTTGGGGTTTTTAAACTGATTATCTCAACTACGAGTTCGGGTATTGCCTCTAAAGTATTTTTTCGACTCTTGACAGCTATAAGATTTTTCAGTAAACTTTGAAATTTGGGAGTCTTTAATTTTTAACCCATCATCAAGTTTAATCCCCGTATTTATTTACCACCCACATTTTCTTTTTAGTATCGCCTGAGGCCTTTCAAATTTCGCCTCTCAAATATTTTTTTCGTCTCTTGGCAGCTATAAAATTTTTCAGTAAGCTTTGATACTTGGGATTTTTAATTTGTAATTTTTCAATTTTTAACATAAATTTGAACAAAACGTTGTTGAGTATAACCAACATCGAGTTTAATCTCCGGCTTTATTTATTCACCACACACACATTTTCTTTTCTAATTTTGTTTTCAGATTTATTTTTTAATTAGAATTTAGTGTTTATATAGTATATGTCAACAATAATCATTCGCCTCCAAAATTTGCCGCTTAGCGCCAAAGCAGCGGACATTCGGGAATTTTTCGGTGATTTAAAAATCCCTAAAGGATCAGTTAATATTGTTGGAGGGCATTTGGGGGATGCTTTTATTGGCTTCGCTTCAGACGAAGATGCGAGACTTGCAATGTTATTAGACGGCAGATTGTTGCATAATTCAAAAATTCGTTTAATGCTTTCTTCAAAACGAGAAATGGAACAGGTTATTTCGAATGCCCAAGCATTTGCTGGTAAAGGACCGTCAATGAATCAAACAGAAAATAGTCAAAATACTTTTTCTCCGCCTGATCCGTCGCAAAAGGAGTCGACAGTGAAATTGGAAGGTTGTTAAACTTAAATTTTTATTTTTTAAACTAAGAAAAGTATTTTTTGAAATTTTAATTTAAAAACGGGTCGAAAATGATTAGAATTAAATTTTTTGTTCATATTGAGAAAAGATTTTTGTTTTATATAAGTTCAGCATTTAAATCTCTCATCGACTTTTAACGCCGATGCTCGAAATTGCCTGTTTGTTAAAAAGACTTTTTTGCTTATAAACGTTTAGATTTTTGATTTACTCTTAAAGCAAACAAAATTAAAATAATTCTAAAAAATTCCTTAAACATTTTTGTTTTTAAAACATTAAAACTTTACTTTAAAACAAAAAACCGCTGTTTTAACTTTTAGTATAAAATACCAATTTATATTTTCCAAGAGAATTGCCCGAAAAAAACAATTTAGAATTTCTAACCTCCACCATTTTAAATTCTTATGATACTACCAATTCAAGCTGTTGTAGGCATGGGTTAGACTTTGATTTTTAATTTTTCGAAAAACATTTCCAATAAAAAATTATTTTACCCTTTTATTGCTTCAATATCAACTATATCGATTTTTTACTTTAAATTATCGCAAATTTAGAGTTCGAGCAACAAAAAAAATTTTTTTTAACTCTTTCAGTAAATTCTTTATTTTAGATTTCATCTTTTAAATTTTTTTTTAATTTTATTATTTATTTTTATCTTCATTTTTGTATTTATCAATCTTATCTAATTTTTTATGTTTATTTTCTCCTTGCTGCGCTTCTCAATTTTGCGTAATGTAATTAAATTTCATTAAATTTTATATTCTTAATTTTTTAAAGATAGTTTTTAAGACGTAGAAGAATATATTAATGAAATTATGGGATGATTTAAGTATGATATGATGTGTTCTGGGTCCGGACTTTTAAAAATAAAAATTTAAAATAGAAACAAGAATTATTTAGAAAGGTTATTTTAGTTTTTTTTAACTTAAATCAAACGCGCTTTTAATGCATCTGTTCAAGTGTAAAAAAAGTTAGTCGTTCGCAAAAATTAGTAGCTCGTAAATAAATTCAGCATAGCATGAAGTTAAAAAAAGGGGGAGTTAAAACTTTGATATAGTGACTTTTTGATTTTTCAAATTTATTAACTTTTCTTTAACCCTTCTGAATTTATTATATCAAGATTTGAATGTATTTATTTTAGGAGAAAGTCAATCTTTTTTAATTTCATAAGCTGTTGTAAAACATGGGGTTTATTAAAAAGTGCATCGTTAATTTTTCAATTTCCTTTAATTTCGCCTTTGAAGATTTAAAAATTGTGTGGATTTATTTTTTATCATTTGGGAAAGGTTTATTGTTATAAAGAACGATAAAAATGAAAATGATTAGAGAAAATAATCTTGCGTCGCAAAGCTTTCAGGATCAAATCCCGTCTAATTTGGATGGGTTTGTCGTTTTATTTTTTTGTTAGTCTAGTTGTTTGTGGTTGTTTTTTGTTGATTTATTATTTTAAATAGTTTTCATAAAGTAATAGCCCAGCAGTATTTCAGAGAGTTGAAATTTATGAAAGACATGAAACTTTTCTCTTTTCGCCATCTATTAATAATTACTCGTATTCGCAACATTTGTTGCCAATTTGAGAGAATGCCAACATGCCGCAAGCCCCGCGTACCGCAGTGCTATTATAACCATTTAAAAATGTCAAGTCCATTACGCCCCAGTATAGTTCGATTCAGCTTTTTGTGACGTATCGAACCATACCAGGACGCCTCGGATTCGGCAATTTTGAACGAAGTCATATCTATGCGGTACGTTGGGGTACATAATATGTATAAAATTTCTCTCATTTAATTATGAGTTTCTTGTAAATTAATTTTCCCTATTTCTGTTTTTATCAAATTTTACAATGTTTATTTTGCTTCAAGTTTATTTATAAATTTTACAACTAATAATTTATCGAATTATGGTTAAAATTTTGCAATCGTAAATAAAACTCATATGTTCTCACATTTTTATCTTCATTTTTCTCGTCGTCTCGCTTATCACACAACTCGGTATTCGAATGTAGATGAAGTTCGTGATTTCCAACGTACTATATTGACTATGTATATTGACTTGAAATACAAAAAATTCAGTCTTATCTTCGTTTCTCCATTGTCTTGATTTTTTAACTAAAAAATTTTTTAACGGTACAAAATCGAGAATTTTGACCTTAAAAATGTCTTGTTCAAATACTTATTCTAATCATGATTGAACTTGTGGATTTTATAATTGTTGGCATTCAATAAATAAATGCAATTTTGCCACACAATGCTAGAAATTTGAAAATTAAATTTGGTTTTTACAAACTCAATAGTTAGGTTTTACAGTTACAAATTGACTTATATGCATTTATCTCACCATCTCTCATTCATCTAAACAATTTGTCCTAATGTAAATCGCAATATTAGCGCAATCAGCTTTATTTTACAAGTGTGTATTAGATCTTTATTGGATCTGTGCTAAATATAAAATATATTACACTAAATTAAAAAAACCTTTTTTTCCTTTTCTAATTTTTTTGTTTTTGTTCCTTTTATAGAACAAAAAAATAGTACATTATGTAAAAACGAATTTCATTTAATATCTCATTTTTGCATCTAAATATCGACTAAAAAATCAAAAATTTTTTCAAATTAATAAATCAGTTAAAGATTAATTTAAAATTTTATAAATATAAAATTCGTTTAACTAAAATTAAAAAATTCAAACATAATTTGGCGAATTTTTAATATTTTAAAATTTAAATTAAATTAAAATGATTTACATTTTTAAATTTTTATTCTAAAATCATAAATAATATGTGTATAATATTTTAAATTATTATTTTTTACCCCATCGCGTAATTTACAATTATAGTTTTGGTTGTATTTTTACATTTATAAATTCTGTTTTTTAAAAGTCAAAAAGTTGAGTTTGTGTTGATAAACTTGAAAAATATGTAGCTTTTAGGCTTCAACTTAATTCTGATATCTCTTTCTAAAAATAGTGTAATTTGCTCTTTTTTATATTGTTAAAAAATTGCCAACTTTCCGAAAAATTTATTAACCTATTTTTATACATACCATATTTTTTCATTGCTTTTTCTTGGAAGAATATTTCTTAATATTCTTTAATTTTTTATCCATTTCTAAGCTAATTTTTAAGGTCTTAAGCTAATCCAAAATTCATTTTTATAATAAAAATTAATGAAAATTATGTAAAAAGTTTTTGAGAAAAATCAGAAAAACAAAAAAAATAAATAATTAAAACGTTTACTTTAATCTTTAAAAATCTTTTCTAGTAAATTCGCCTCTTCCTGGTTTTCCATACACTCAACAGCCACCAGTATCAACATTTCAACAACAACAATCAACCCAACAAAACTTGTTAGAACAACAACAAGCAGCCACACAAATACAACAAGCATTTAGTAGTGATTCGTGGAAAACACCTAATTACCCTCCAACAACACAACAACAACAACAAATACTCCAACAACAAACATCCAGACAAGTCCCAACAGTTTTTGAGGGAACAAATGTTCAGAGTAATATTGTTCCTTCAGGTTTTGGTCAGCAACAACAACATCAATACCAACAATTAATTCAAAACTTTCCACCTGGACAACCTCCACCTTCACAACAATTTCGTATTCAACCGCCTTCAATTCGGCCTGCACAACCGGTAACTTTGTTTTAGTTGTTTTATTCTTGCATGTTTTGGTGTTTTGTTGGTGTTTATTTATTGTTTTATTTTATGTTTGTTTTGATCTTTCTTCTTGTTTAGATGTTTTTATTAGTTTGTATGTTTTGTTGAGTTTGTTATGTTTGTTTGTTTGAATGTTTTAGTTCTAATGTTTTTCTTAATTATTTGTATGTTTTGTTGAGTTTGTTATGTTTGTTTTTCTTAATTAACTGAATGTTTTAATGTTTATTGATGTTTATTGTTTTATTTGATGTCTGTTTTGACGTTTTTCCTAGATATTTAATGTTTTGTTGAGTTTGTTTTTAATGTTTTGTTGCGTTCGTTATGTTTGTTTTTCTATGTTTTTCTTAATTAATTGAATGTTTTAATAGTTGTTTATGTTTGTCTTTTTTATTTGTTGTTTGTTTTGTGACTTTCTTAATTTAATGTTTTGTTGAGTTTGTTGTGTTTTTTTAATGTTTTGTTGTTCTGCTGTTTTTCTTGATTAATTACTTGAATGTTTTAATAATTGTTTATGTTTTTTTATTTGTTGTTTGTTTTGATGTTTTTCTTACTGATGTTTTAATATGTTTTATATTATTTTTGATGTTTGTTTTGATGTTTGTATTTTTATGTTTGTATTTTATTTGTTTGTTTACTGAATTTTCAATTAGCAAAAACATTTATCTAATTTTTTATTTTTAAGGCTGCTGTCCAATCCATCAACTTATACAATACTCAACAACAAAACATTCTCGCAACACGTTTTTCTGGTCCAACACAAACAGGACAACCACAACAAACAACTTTTTATTCCAACCCACCTCCACAACAACGAACACAATTTACTCGAGGGGTAACCCAATCTTTTGGTCAACAACAATTTGGGGGTAGTTATAGAGGTGGACACAAAACATTTGGAGGGCCTCGTTTTCCAGGGCAACAGAGGTCTTTTGATTCTGACAGAGGTGGTGGAGATAAACGTAGACGAAGCAGGTGAGGGAATAAATTTTTTTTTGATTTTTAAAAAATATTTTAAGGTCCCCAGCAAATGAACAACGTAAACGTTTAAATATTGTCTCAAACAACGAAAATGATACTTCAACTACTAATAAAACTACAGCTTCTGGAGAATATGGGAAAGGTCGTTTTTGTGTTCAATTGTCGAATGTACCTTACAAGGCTGCTTTTAATGATATTAATGAGTAAGTTTTTTTTTAATTTTGAGAAATTTTTTTTTGAAAATTTTAAAAAATTTCGAAATGTCAAATACTCAAAATGTCCATTTTTATGGGTGGGGGCTAACTCGAGGAATTCCAACTCACGGAACAGACAGGTCGCGGAACGACAAGTCACGGACAACTCACGGAACGACCAACTCAAGGAATGACCAAAATGTCGTTCCGCGACTTGTCGTTCCGTGAGTTAGCCCGACACGATTTTTTATATTTTTAGTCGAGGGGGATTTTTTTTTAAATTTTTTCGTATTGGATCAGATCTCGAAAAATCGATCAGAACTGGATCCTCTTATTCCGAAAAAATTGTCAGATATCAAAATGTCAACTGCTCAAAATGTCACATTTAAAAAATTTTTAAAGGTATTTGTCGTTAGCGAAAGCTGGGTGTATCAAAGTTACTCGTGTCTACATTCCTGATAAAAATTACACTGATCGATGGATTGTTGAGTTTGATAATGAAGAAAATTCGAGAGCTTTAATTAAATTTAGAGGAGAAATTTTTGCGAGAACAATAAGGTTGATTTTTATTTTTTTTTTGATTTTATATTTTTTAAACAATTTTCAGAGCTGAATTAATTCCAAATCGTCGTGCTGATGAGCAATATGCGGTAGCTGAACCGGATGAAAGAGACCGTGGGCGTTTTCGAAGGGAGATTGTTAGAAGGGACAGAAGTAGGAGCCGAAGTCGAAATAGGGATAGAAGCCGAAGTCGTGATCGTCAACGTGATTCTAAGGATAGACCGAGTAGTCGGGAAGGTTTGGAATTTTTAATTCTAGGTTTGGGATTTAGAATAAATTTTTTTAATCGGAAAAGCTTATGGTTTTACTAGCTTCAAGGGGGTGGGCCTAATCAAGTCATATAGTTCTTATTTTAGTTCTGCTTTGCCTACATTAATAGGGCACTCCTCCTTTATTATGGTTCTATTACTCCTTTGTTATGGTTTCATATATTCATAGACCTCTCACCTCCCGATTTCTTTTTGTTATGATGTGGCCAGGCCCATAGCCAGGAGAAATTTTCATGGGGAGGGCAGGTGGGTGGGCCTTCTTCTTGCGTACTTATTTTAAAAAGTACTTTCCTTTATGTTCCATATTCTAACACAAATTTCCATTTTTTAAAGATTCTGGACGAAGCCGTCGTCGTTCAATAAGTCCATCAACTCGAAAACGGAGTTCAAGTAGAGATAGATTCCCGCGTGAACGGACTCGAGATTTTAATAGAGATGAACATCGTAATAGAGATGGGGGTGATTTTGGAAATAATCAACCATATCAGCAACGAAGAAATTCCACTTTTGTGCGTAGAGGAGGAAGGACTTATGACAACAATAATAATAATGGAGGTTCTAATAATAATTCACATCAACCTGTGCCTTTATTTGGGGCTTTTGCATTTCCTAGTACTCAGGCAAATCAGGTTAATTAATTAACTAATTTTGTGTTTATTGGTTTTATAGACACTCTGAAAAAATTTTTAAGGATCCAAAACTTAACTAGTTTTTTAGGGCAAGCGAAAAAAGGGTATAATAGTGCAAATTAGGGTAGCTGGTCGGATGTAGCGAGGTTTGTCAGTGTAGAGCCTTCGGAATTCGGGTCGGGGTTTTTGCCAAAAAATCGTCGTTGATTTTTCCGTCTAGTGTATATTTAAAAATTGATTAAGAATTCGGAAATGGGACCCCTAACTCCAAGAAAAATCGAACCCAAGAGTCTTAGGTGTCTATGAAGTACTTTACCTTCTCACAGTCAATTTTTCCAATTAAAAATAAATAAAAAAAAATATTTTTAGGCTGTTTACAACCCAAAAACTGGGTCTACAGTTCAACTTGGTGCAAAAGATTTGAAGGTTTAATTAAGAAAGAATTCCCTAATTCAAAAAATAATTTATTAAGCCTTTACCTCTTCGTTCATTTGGCGGCCCACCTTCCCAATTTTTCCCAACACCAACTTCTTCAAGTCCAAATTTTCGATTTCCTTCAATTCAAATATATCAAAATGGGCCTCCACCACAAATTAATAACAACAGAAATGGAGGGAATATTCAACAGCAACAGCCAACATCCCCACCAACACAAATCCAAATTTCCCCACATTTTCGTCCACAATTTGGACAAAATTTATTTTCTGGATTAGCTCCAAATTTTACAATAAATAATGCAAGAATGCCTGGACAAAATTTGATGAGTTTTAGTGGTGGAGGGATAAATAATTTGAGACAGTCACAACAGCAATGTAAATAATTTTTAAATTAAATAAAAATATTTTTAAAAAATTGTGTTAATTTATTTTAGTTAGTGAATTTTATTTTATTCTAAAATAGTTAGAAAACCTCATTTTTAAGTTTATTTTTATCTTCCCTCAATTTTCCTTTGATTTCTAATTAGGGTTGTTTTCGACCAGTTAATTTTTTGCTTTTGACGGCTTAAATGCTCTTATTTTCCCCTAATTGAATTTCTAACATTATTGAATATCCCTGCGATTTTATAAAAATTAAAGGTGCTTTGTTTGAATTATTGGCTAAATTAATTTTTGAGAGAAAATTTTTAAAAATTTCTAAAAACCTCAAAAAAATATATTTTTGAAAATAAACCCAAAAATTAAATTGCTGAAAAGATGTTTGTTTTTCTGATTCGCTCATTCAAATTTTTAAAAGGAAAAGAAATTTTTAAGTAAAAATAATAATCTTAAGACAGTCAATCCAAAAATTATAATTTAAAATTTTATCAAAAAAAAAATTCCAAAGAAACTTTTTTTCTAGCCCCTCCAAAATCTTCCTCACCTACACATAGTTATTCAATGGATACTTGTGGATCTGCTTTAATTATTCAAGAAGATAATTGTTCTGTTGATGGAAAGGGAAATGAAAGTAGTGGAGAAGTAAATTATTAATTTTTTTCCTTAAAATTAACGGAGAAAATATTTCAATGTCATAAAATGTAGTTTTGGTTAAGTTGGTTGTGTTTTAGACTTTAAGGGGAAAAAGCTGGCAGTGATGATATAATAGCCAAATCTTAGCTACTTTGGGCTGCCGTTGCCCGAATAGGGCAGAACCCACGGTGGGCAAAGTAGTTTTGTGGGGACCAAAGGCCGAGACTGAGCCAGCTGGAAATAAAAAAATTTTTTTTTAATTTAATACAATTGAACCACCCTTGGAAATTGGATTCTTCGGTTCTTGAAAACTCTTGGGATTTCTGAACCAAACCTCTGCTCTTCGGTTTGATACCGAACCAAAGAACACTACTTTCCTTATAATCAGGAGTACCTTAAATTTGAGATATCTCCTGACCTTGAGATATCTAAAAGTAGGCTGTTAGATACTCTCGCGGTATTTACGAAAGTACCAAATCTGTATTTTTTCTACTCCCAATATTGGTACCAGAAAAATCCTTTTGTCTAACATAGTTCGATTAAAAAAATATTTTTTCATTGCAAAAGATTTTCTTTCAGATGTCTTCCTCAATAAAAAATGCACATGACATTCCATCAATGTCTTCTTCACTTCCTTATGCTTTAACCTCAATTCCAGATCAACCTCCAATTGATTTGCTTGAACCTAATAATGATGGGGAAGAAAGCAATGAATAAATTAAAAATAAATTATTTTTCTTTTAAAAGCATTTAATTAAAGTTTTAGAGAAAATGTATTGGTAGTTTAGTGGTTTAGTTGCTTGTTCCGACTACTGAAGTAGTGAAGGTTCGAATCCAACATTTTCTAAATTATTTTCTGTGGATGATTAAAACTAGATAGGGACATCTGAAGAAAAAAGAGAAGGATCTTAAATTGATGAAATTAATCAAAAATTAAACAGTTATCCCTGTATGACACAGAAAATAATTTTTGAGAAAAAAATATTTTTTTTTTCCCTTTCGATTTATTTTTTAAAAATTGTTTTTTCTTTAAAGACAAAATTTTATTTTATTTATTTTTTTCATTAATTTTGTAAAGGATTCCCAAAAAAAATTTTTTTTTTGATTTTAGATTTGGTGATCTTATTAAATTTCTTTCCTCCCTCAAAAAATTGTTAAATGTTTGACTTTAAAAAATTATATATTTTTTTTCATTTTTATTTTTTTAGTAAAAGAAATGTTGTGTTTTTATTTTGTTGTTATTTTATTATTTAAATTCATTTGATATTTTTTAAATTTTATTAAAATTTTTAATTTACAGATTTTTAAAATTTTAGATATTTAGTAAGAATAATTTAAAAAGGTGAGCAATATGTCTTTGAATAGAAATCAGAATTTAATCAGAATATTTTAAAAACTTAATTTAAAACCAGAATAATTTTTTAAAATCATAATTTTTTTAAAAATCAGAATTTTTCTAAATCAGAACATTTTTTCAAATCAGAATTATTTTAATGTAGGAATAGATATTCCAATTAATTAAAGTTCTGATTTTAAATCAGAATAATTTTTTAATAAGAATTATTTAAAATCAGAATTTTTAAAAATCAGAATTTTTCTAAATCAGAACATTTTTTCAAATCAGAATTATATTCTTCAAAACCAGAATATTTTCAAAAAATCAGAATTTTAATTCAGAATATTTCAGATTTTTTTAAGAAATCAGAATAATTTTTTAAAAACCAGAATTATTTTAAAAATCAGAATTAATTCAACCTCCTCTTTTCAGTAAATGACTACAACTACCCAACAACCTTCCTCAGATTATTTTAATTCAGAATTTGAACATTTTATTCAAACACAAATTTCTGGTTTAATTTTAACAGAAAGGGAAAACAATTCCGAATTAAATAAAGATCAAGAATTAATTATTTCCATTGATTTTTGTAAAAAATTTTTAATTGAAAATTCTTCAAAAAAGGAAGCAGAAAGTGATGAAATGGAAAAGAGACGTTCTCAAGTTTTGGCCAAACTTGTAGAATTAAAATTGGAGTTGGAAACACATCGAGTAAAAAATATTTATTTTTTTAATTTTCCGAGATTGAAAAATAAAAAAAATATTTTTTGCCTCAGGGAATTTTTTAAAATTTAATTAAAAATTTTTTCACAATAAAAATTATTTTCAAAGGAATCCTTAATAATTGGAGATGATACAACAAATATTAAAAGAATTAAATACCATGAATTTGTAATGCAATCGGTAAGGGGAACTAATGTTTATTGTGAAGTGTGTTTAAGTATTATTTGGAGGCTGATTCAGTATTGGAGAAAATGTAAAGGTGGGTAGGGAATTTATTAAAAGGAGAGAATTCATAAAATTTTCCGGAAGAGTGAATATAACTCTAACCGGAATATAGAAAATATAAAACTTTCCGGAAATATATTAAACTTTCCTTCCGGAATATAAACGAAGAAAATTTATGAAAACTTTCCGGAAAAGTGTATAAACCTTCCGGAAATATAAATATAACATTAATTTTCCGGAAATATATTAAGCTTTCCCTCAGGAATATAAAAGTAGTATTAAACTTTCCTGAACAGAAATATGAAAAATAATATACATACAACTTTCCGGAACAGAAATATAAATTTTCCGGATGTAAAGAATAATATTAAACCTTCCGGAAAAGTGAATATAACTCTATCCGGAATTTATAGAATAATATAAAATACCTTCCGGAAATATACTGAACGTTCCGTCAGGAATATATAAAAATATTAAACTTTATATATAAAAATATAAACCTTCCGGAATATATATTTCTGGGGCATACAACTTTCCGGAAAATTAATATAAACTATTAAATTTCCAACAAGTTTAATTTTAATAAATAAAATAATTTTAATAAACTATACCTTTTTTCAAGTTTGTGGCTTTCGCGTTCACGATAAATGCATCGATCAAGTCTCACGTCAATGTGTTAGCACACAAATATACAAAACTGATTTTTCTCTTTCTTTCCAAATCTGTCCAGAAAATTCTCTTAGAAATCAAAATTTTCGTTGTGCAGAATGTTTGGCTAATATATCCTTTGGTTAGGCGAAATTAAGGGAATTTTTTTGACTTTAATTTTTTAGATGAGGAATCAGACAAAATACCTCGACTTTGTGATTATACTGGGTTATTTTATTGTAGCCGTTGTCATTGGAATGGTAAATAAATTTAAAAGATTTTGTTGATGAATATAAACTTACCGGAACATAAAGAATAGTTTTTCCGGAACAAGGAGTATAAGAACTTCCGGAATATAAGAAATTCCGTAGCAAGGATATGAACTTTCCTGAATATTAAAAATACTGTTAAACTTTCCGGAAAATAACTCTCCCAGTAAAATTATGTGAAATATCAACCTTTCCGGAAAAGTGAATATACATACAACTAGATTTCAAATACATTTTTTTCGATTGTCTTTAACTCCTTTCAAAACAAATAAAACCCGAAAAAATATTCAAAATTATTTTAAAATTAATTTGTAGATACTATGGTCATCCCAGCCAGATTGGTACGGAACTGGGACGCTAACGTTTGTTTTCCCAAAAATTTTCTAAAAAAATTTTCTTTTAGAAACGCCCAGTCTGTCGGGCAACAAAACAATTACTTGTAGCAATAATGAATAAACCTTTAATTGATTTACCTAAAGAAAATCCTTTACTTTTTAAATTTGTTAATAATTTAAATAGAATTGGAAGGCTTAGAAATGATATAATGCTTATGAAATGTTATTTTGTCAGTTGTAAGGTATGCTCAAGTTTATTTAATTAATTATAAAGGAAAAATAAATAAAAATGATAGGTGCCCGGTTAGCTCAGTCGGTAGAGCACCAGACTCTTAATCTGGTTGTCGCGGGTTCGAGCCCCGCATCGGGCTGATATTTTTTAAATTATTTTGGAAATATTTTAAAATTATTTTGATTAATTTTAGACAATTATTTTTTTAATTTTTATTTTTTTTAAATTTTTTTTATTTTTTATTTGTTGGGAAGAAAATAATTTTCTAGCAAATAAATAATTAAAATAAAATAGTGTTTAAATAATCAACTTTCCGGAAGACAAATATAAAACCTTCCGGAAAATAAATTTAAAATCGAATGGAAAATAAACTTTCCGGAAAATGAGAAAATAATCTTTTTAATTTAATAGGTCTTTCCGGAAAATTTTTATAAAAATCCTTACGGAAAATAAATACAAGAATGGAGAAAGAAAACTTTCCGGAACATGAATATAGATTTAATTTAATTTAATAAAACTTTCCGGAAAATAAATACACTCCGTTTAATATTTTATAAACTTTCCGGAAACCTTTAATTAACACAACTTTTTTTTATAGATAGCCAAAAAACTTCGAATTCTCCAACATTTAAACCGCTATCAATACTTTGTCGAGACAGACATTAAATACTCACTTGAGGACCTTATAAAAATAGCTACAGGGAGTGGTGGTTTGCTTAAGGATATAGAGTCTATAGTTGAGATATTTAACCGTCATATCACTCAAGAATGTGAAATTTGTCGAGGAAATGCATTTTTCTGTGAATTGTGTTCGGATGAAGAGGTGGGGGATTTAAGGGATTTTGACTAATTTTTTGAAAAAAATTTTTTTTCTAGAGAATATACCCATTTAGTGATAATGTTGCTATTTGTAAAGGTTGTTTAGCTGTTTATCATAGGTAGAAAAAATTTTTTTAATTTTTTAATTAATATTTTTAGGCATTGTTTTGATCATGCAAGCAAACGGTGTACTCGTTGTGCTAGGAGGAGGGCTAGAAGAAAGGCAATAATGATGAAAACTGAAGAGGAGGGGGAATAAAATGTAAATAAATAAAAATGTTTTTTAAAAATCAATTTTAATTTTATTAAAATAATACGGCATCAATTAATTAATTATTGGCGATTAAATAGGAATTTCTTTGGTATTACAATGTTTAAATAATTATGGGGACGTGATTTTATATTTCCTTGTACTATGTATTGTCTAACGTTTTCCGGAAAGTTTTTATATTACCTTAATAATAAAAATATTAAAACTTCCGGAAAAACTTGAATAAACTTTCCGGGAATTAAATATAACCGGAAATTAAATAGGTATAGTGTTATATCCCGGAAAATAAATATAAGAAACCTTCCGGAAAACTTAAATAAATAAACCTTCCGGAAATAAATATAAGAAACCTTCCGGAAAAAATACAAATAAAATACAATGAAACCTGTCAAGTTTAATTTCTTTTCCGGAAAATATAGAAAAATTCCGGATTGAATATATATAACTTAAAAAGTTTCCGGAAAATATAAAATCACATCCTTATTAAACATAAAAAAGTTTTACTGGCTAAATATAATTAGGGACAAGGCTAGCTAGAATCATTAAGTTAATTAAGTACAATTAGAAAAGAGATTATGGCTTAAAAGAGGAATTAATTTTAAATTAAAATTTAATGTCGTGAAATTTCTTCCCAATTCCTTTGAAAAAATCAGAAACGTCTTCACTAAAGAATTTTTGAATGTCATCAATAAATTTGTCAAATCCATGTTTTTTGCTTATTTCACTAACTTTTGATTTTATCATTTCCCACAAGCGAAGAAGATATTGATGGAATTCTTCAGCACGTCGGTTGGCCATACACTCAAAATCGCAATCCTGTGAAAAATAAAAAAATAATCTTTACGGAAATATATTCCCGGAAAGTAGCTTTTCGAAAGCAATAAAACTTTCCGGAAAATAAAGAATTCTCATAGTTGGGGTTAATATAAAAACTTTCCTCCGGAAATATAAAAATTAATTTAAGCATTAATTAATTATTTGCTATCTATAAGAGTTGTGGTAATAAATTCCGGAAAGTTTTACGTTTTCCGGAAAGTTTTACTAAATTAAAGTTAAAATATATTTGTCTCCGGAAAGTTGGTTTTCATTCATTTTTAAATTTATTTTCCGTAGAATCCATGCTTTTTGTAAAATCCATGCAGCTTTCCGGATTATTATGATCCGAAAAGTTGACTATTTAATATTTTATTTCATTTTCTCCATCAAAATTAAAATAAATAAAATTTAAAAAAAATAAAAATTTGAAAATAATTGTCTAAAATTATCCAAAATAATCTTAAAATAATTCTAAAATAATTTAAAAAATATCAGCCCGATGCGGGGCTCGAACCCGCGACAACCAGATTAAGAGTCTGGTGCTCTACCGACTGAGCTAACCGGGCTCACATTTGGTCTCTCAAATAAAACATTCTTATCGTCAAAGGAAAAGTTGGGAAATGCTCAATTTAATTAAACAAATGTTTTTACCTCTGTGGGTTTTCCTGAAGTCGGCAATTTCTTTTTCTGTTCTTCCAACTCTTCCTCTGTTTTGCCACAATCACTCAAAATTGTTAACTTTTTGTAATTCTCCAATGAAGAACAATCAAAATTTCTATTTCCTTCAAGATCAACGGCCTAAAGAATTTTTTTTGAAATTAAAATATTTTTCCCAAAATTACCTTCAAATCAGGAAATTTATTGAGTAATTCACTTTCGGTAGGTAAATTTTTAATTTTATTATTAGTTAGACCAATAACGTCAAATCCTCTTAATTTTGATTTTGGTACTTCCAAACTTTCCAAATTAAGTGAGTGGCAGTGGACGGCCTAGAAATTTATATTTTTAATTTCAAACTTTCCGGAAGGTTTAAAATTTCCGGAAGGCAAATTTATATAATATAAACTTTTTACAATTAGTAAAAATAAACAACTTGTAAATATTAAACTTTTATAAGTTTTACAATTTGTAAAATTGATATTTTTCAATATAAAATACCTTCCGGAAATTAATAAAAACTTCCCGGAAAAATAAAAACTTCCCGGAAAGTTATACACTACAATTTTAATTCTTTCATTAAATTTAACGCCTTATTTGGCAATCCCGGAGAATCGTGGTCCCTGCGGAAAAAAATCTTAAAAATAAGAAAAAGGATTTTTCTAGGGTAAGAAATTATGCTGATTACGAATCTGAACTCGGATTTTGAAAAAGTCGAACCCGAACCCGAATATAGGTCCACGAAAATCGAAAAACCATAGGGGGGACCAAGCTAATTTTGGGGTGAAAAATTCGAATATGCAAATTATACCTCATTCGAAAGAGCTCGTCGAGCTGAGTCGAATGACACCAAAATCACCGTAATTAAGCAAAATCGTACGAAGTTATACCACAAAAAACAAACAACGTAGACCTATGTTTTTTGTGGCATAACCTCGCCCGATCTTGATCAATCACGGTAATTTTGATGTCATTCGACTCAGCTCATCGAGCTCTTTCGAATGATATGTTATTTGACCAATTTGCGCTCTGTAAATTTTTTCCAAAATATCAAATGTTCGAATTTCGGGTTCGGGATTCGACTTTTTCAAAATCCGAGTTCAGATTCGTAATCAGCATAATTTTTTACCCTAGAAAAATCCTTTTTCTTATTTTTAAGATTTTTTTCCGCAGGGACCACGATTCTCCGGGATTGCCCCTTATTTTTAACCAATTTAAAATCATTAATTCGCATACAAACTAATCTTTTAGTTTACTTACAGATTCGTCAGTATTACACATACATCCATTTAAACAATCAAATATGTAGGCTTTAAAATTTAAAAAATTATAAAAAAATATTAAATAGTTTACCATTAATTGGGCAATTTTGTATAATACACAAAAATGCCAAAGTGAAGAACAAATTTATAAAATAATTATTAAACATTTTTATATCTTTCTGAAAAAGAATTTTATAATAATTAATTAATTATTTTAAAAATGGTAAAGGAATGATCAAAAATTAAATAAATTCGAGATTTACTTCTGAAAAAAATTATATAAGCTTTCCGGAAAATCTAACTGCTGAAAAAAATTTCTTTTCCAGAAGGAATATATTCTATTAAAACTTTCCGGAAAGTTCCCTATTTACATTTTTAATTATATTAATAAACTTTCCGGAAACGTATAAGTCTCATAAATTTCCGGAAAATTTCCTATTTATATTTTTAAAACTTTCCGGAAACGGGTATAAAGTCTCTTAAATTTCCGGAAAAGTAAATATAATTAAAATAATTTCCGGAATATTAATAAACCTATATAAGATAAAGACTAGAAATAATAAAAATAACGATTTTAATTAAAAATAAGTAGAAAGGTAGCACTTGTCAACAAATTCTAAAACCCTCTCTCTCAATTTAATTTTTACTTTTATTCATTTATGTTTAGCAAACGGAATTGATAAATATTTTAAAAAAAAAGTAAGTGGAATGACTCATTGATTGTGAAAATTTTAGAAAAAAATAAAATTGTCCATAAAAAATGCCACATTTCCATTTTAATACTATAAAAAGGAAACTCTTAAATGAAGAGAGAAAAATGATGAAGAAAAAAATATTTTTGGTTATAAAAATATGTAGAAGCAAAAAATTTTTGTATTAAATTTGTAGGGAAGAAAAATGGATTTATTTTAAATTAAATTAAACTGAAAAAAAAAATAAAAAATAAAAATAATAAAAATTCTAGTAACAAAATTAAATTTTGACTAAAAATATTTTTTTGATTTTTATAAAATTAAAAAATCAATAAGAAAAAATAAATAGGTATGTATATGTATTTTGGATACTAAATTGAAAAAGGAAATTGGAAAAAGAAAAAGTTTCTAGAGCGGAACATTAAAAGAAAAATACAATAGGTAGGTATAATAATTAAAAAAATAAAACTTGGTTAAAAAACAAGTTTTATATTTTATAAAATAAACTTTTTTCGTTCTCTAGCGAAAAATTGAAAATTAAAAAAAATAAAGAAAAATTTTTAAAAGTAAAGGGAATGGCACATAATGCACACATTAACCCTATTTAAATAATTAAAAAAATTTTTTTTAATTAAAATTTTTATTCAAAAAGTCTCGATAATCTATCTTTAGCTTGTGATTTTAATGATTTTTTCTTTTGTTCACTTTCACTGGTATTTGTACTTGCTAAAGAAGTACTTTCCTCTGAGCCGCTTAAAGGGGCCAAAATATGTATTTGTGTGCCTTTATTTCGATAAAATGTTATTAAACGTTCGCCAAAACGTTTTTCATTTATTGAAAGTTGCTTGGAAGACTTTAAAAAAATCAAAAAAAAATTTTTTGAAAAAAATTAGAGGAAATTACATTTTCAGAAGCAATGTATTTGTATAGAGAAACAGAAGGATAAGGCAAATGTCCAAGCATTTTGGGAACTGAAAAATAAAAAAAAACTTTTTACAATTTGTAAAAATATTAAAACTTTTTACAAACTATAAAAAGCACATTCTATTAAATACAAGAATAATTTTTACAATTTACTAGAACTTTTTACAAATTTGTAAAAAGTTTAATATTTTAAAAAGTTTTAATTTTACAAATTGTAGAATCAAATTTATAATTTTTACAAATTGTAAATTAAAATTGAAACAATTTTTACAATTTAATAAAACTTTTTACAATTTGTAAAAAGTTTAATATTTAAGTTTTATTTTTACAAATTGTACAAACAATTTCATAATTTTTACAATTTGTAAAAATAATTAAACTTTTTACAAACTATAAATTTATATTAATTTATACAACTTTATATTACAATTTGTAAAAACTTTTTTCTTGATTTTTTAATTAAACTTTTTACAATTTGTAAAGTTTAATGTTTAAAAGAATTTTACTTTTATAAATTGTAGAATCAAATTTATAATTTTTACAATTTGTAAAAACTTTTTCCATTCAATTTTTACAATTAAAACTTTTTACAATTACCAATAGAGAAAATAGCCTGTCCAACACCACTATCCTTAACTTTAGCTAATTTATGTTTTTGTTGACAATACCATCCATTATTATTTATATTTTCATTTTCTATACTAACAATAACAGTTTCAGCTTCAATTAATTTAGCCAACGATCTTAATGATACAACAAAATCACAAGGTTGATCAACTCGACATAATAAAGATTGGGAATGTTCAGAATAAAACCGAGCACAAATTTCAAAATCAACCTAAAATTTTTTTTAAAAATAAAAAAAAATTAATTTTTATTTTGTCACCTTCGGAATAGCAAAATTCAATCGTTTTTCAATACAATATTCCTCAGATTCTATCAATTCTTTATTAATTCCACTATTTTTATTTTCCTTTTGATCAGAACAGACGGTGTAAATAAATTTAAAAAAATGTGGAACTGGAAAGTTTCGACCAGCAGGAGATTCTGGTAATCGCCAAATAAAACGAAAAGAAGAATTTGGAATTATTGGCTGAAAGAAAAAAATTTTTTTTGAAGAAAAGAAAAATTTTTTTTAAACAATTAAAGGATTTGGATTGAGTAATTTAGCTTCAACAGGTTCTAAGGCAATATTCTGTTCTTGATGTAATGTAATTAGAGTTGGAAGAATTGTAATTTGAAATGAGGGAGATTTTACAAATCGCCTTTCCACATCCAAAATAAAAATTGCATTTCCTGCTAATAAAGATGTTGTGCAATATAATCCAAATAGAGGCGAAAATTTGAGTTGTAAAAATTTTGTTACAATTGTTTCTGAAGCATTTTTCCATTCAAGTTTTAACTTAAAAAAATAATTTTACAAATTGTAAAAATGCTAGAAAGTTATATTTTTAAAATTGCGAAAAGTTTTACATAAAAATTTACAAATTGAAAAAGTGTTAAATAAAATTTTACAAATTGTAAAAAGTTCTAAACTAAAATCTACAAATTGTAAAAGGTTTTAAATAAAATTTTACAAATTGTAAAAAGTTCTAAACTAAAATCTACAAATTGTAAAAAATTTTAAATAAAATTTTACAAATTGTAAAAGGTTATAAATTAAATTCTACAAATTGTAAAAAGGTTCTAAATTAAATATTACAAATTGTAAAAATTTTAAATAAGATTTTACAAATTGTAAAAAGTTCTAAACTAAAATCTACAAATTGTAAAAGGTTTTAAATAAAATTTGACAAATTGTAAAAAGTTCTAAACTAAAATCTACAAATTGTAAAAGGTTTTAAATAAAATTTTACAAATTGTAAAAAGTTCTAAACTAAAATCTACAAATTGTAAAAGGTTTTAAATAAAATTTTACAAATTGTAAAAGGTTATAAATTAAATTCTACAAATTGTAAAAAGGTTCTAAATTAAATATTACAAATTGTAAAAATTTTAAATAAGATTTTACAAATTGTAAAAAGTCTTAAATTAAATTCTACAAATTGTAAAAACTTTAAATAAGGTTTTACAAATTGTAAAATTTTTATTTTAAATTTACAAAAATAAACACACCTCACAATTTATAGATTGTAATTCCTCATTTTGTGGAGAACTGCTAACATTTGTAGAATTAATAGGCAAAACTTTATCAACTGTCATACATAACTCAATACAATTACAATAACTTTCATTTGGTTTAATAGGCGGAATTAAATGTTGAACTTTATCAGATACCCATTTTCCTTCAGAATCCTAATTTTTAAAAATTAATTTTAAATATTTTTGTAAAATTTTACCAAAAATTGTAAATGTTTGTTTTCAACTCCGACAAGTGAAAAAGAACAAAATGTATCATTTAAATAAGAATTTGTGCCAGAATAAAATTCAAAAGAAATTTTCTGTCTCATTCCTGCTGTTAATTCAAGAAGATCGCCTGAGGCTATAAAAATAAATTTTTTTATAATATTATAAAATTATCAACATTTATCCTTCACAGAAATACTAGGTTCTACTCTATCAACTAACAGAAAAACATGTTCCAATAAAACATTTCTCTCCATCTCGCGGCCATAATCAAGAATAAAGGTACATTTTGGGTTAATTATATGGAGTTGAATTGAACATAATTGAAAACAACCAACATGTTTATTTTCCTAAAAAACTTATTCAGGTTTTACAAATTGTAAAAAGGTGAATTTGTAAAAGTAAAAATTTTTTTAGTAAAAATTTTTTGAAAATTGTAAAAATATCATTTTACACTTTGTAAAAAAGTTTTTCAAGTTTTACAAATCATAAGATTATTAAATAATATTTTACAATTTGTAAAAAAAGATCTTACGGTTTTACAAATTGTAAAAAGGTGGATTTGTAAGAGGAAAAAAGTTTACAAATTGAAAAAATTATTTTAAAAAATCTTCACATTTTACAATTTGTAAAAAGTTTTAGTTTTTACAAATTAAAAAAAAGTTTATTGAAAATATTATTAAACTTACATTAATTTTAAATATACACTTATTAACGCCTGGAACGATTAAATCAACATTTCCATCAACAATAATACAATCAACATTTTCATTTACAATATCTTCATTTTTATTATTATTTTCTAATTTTTCTTCTTCTTTAGTACACACAACACATTCCAACGAATAAATATTTTCATTCTCTTCAATTTGTAATTTTTGTTGAAAAGCAAATTTTTTAGTTAAAGGAAGTTGTTGGTTATTAGATTGGGTTTTAATTAATTTTTTAAAAATTGTTTTAATTTTACAATTAGAAAATTGTAAATTAAAATAATTGTAAATATCTAAAATAAGTTCTGAAGGTGAATGTAATGTTGAGCGAAAAAGTGGGGGTGAACATATTCTAATGATTTTGAATGGAAATGGAATAAATGGACGATATGAAGGAGAATCTATTGAATTGTTATAATTTAACCAGGAAATATTATTTCTTTAAAGAGAAATTTTGTTAATTTAAAAAATAGAATAACTAACCTTATTCGTTCTTGTAATGTTAATTTAGACAAGTAATCGTCAAATTCATCTGTCACTGAATTTTCTAATAATGTTAAGAGAACAAGGATGCAATCAAATAACCTAGGGAAAAATGATTTTTTTTTAATTAAAAAATTTAATTTAAATTTTTAAATTAAATTTTAAAGACGACAAATAATTAATTCAATAAATAAAAAAAATAATTTTTATTAAAGCATACAATTCACTTTCTGAATGTTCAACAGCACGGTTAGTATAGTCATTCAAAAATTTTTTCAAATAGTCAACAACATCTTGTACTTGAAATAATGAATCCCCTGATAAAAGTTTTTTTAAATGTTGCTTCTCTCGGTTAAATAAATCGTCGTTGGAATTGCTAAAAATTTAGAATTGTAGCAATTGTAAAATTAAAAAATTTAGAAAAAAAAACTTTGAAATTGAGGAAATACAATTTTCCAAATTAACAACATGCCCCATCCAATTATGCTTCTTGAAAATATTTAAAGCTTCAGACAATTCCTCAATTACATAAATTCTAAATTTCTCCAAATCTGTATTTGAATTACAGAAAAAATCGTTCAAAATTCGAAAAGATTCGGGAATAAAAATATTATTAGTGTCATCTTCTGTTGATGAAGGCAAGGAGGTTTGTTGTAACCACCGCCTAACAAGTGTAACCTCTTGACTTTTTTTAGTATTTGTAAGTAAGAAGTACAAATTGTAAAGCTAAAAAAGAATAAAAATAAACTTGTTTTACAATTTGTAAAAAATAAGATTAATGATAAAAATACAATAAAACATGTAACATTATCGATATGGGTACAAACTTTTTTTACAATAAGTAACTCTTTTCACAAATTGTAAAAATATTAAACTTGATATAAATCAACCTATTACAAGTTGTAAAAATAAACTTATTTACAAATTACTTATTTACAAATTAAAAAAATACAATTTTTTTACGAATTGTAAAAATTAAACTTAATATAAATTAACCTATTACAAATTGTAAATAAAAATATTTTACAAATTGTGAAAAACTTTTTAAAATGATACAACTTTTTACAAATTGCAGAAATACAAACTTTTTTTTACAAATTGTAAATACTTTTTTAAAATAATACAACTTCCTACAAATTGTAAAAATAAAGTTATATTATATAAAGTTATCTACAATTTGTAAAAAAATAAAAATAAACTTGTTTTACAATTTGTAAAATAAAAATAACATCTTTTTAAAATGATACAACCTTTTTACAACTTGTAAAAATTAATTTAAATAAAATATGCAACTTACCGCTTCAACTTTCTTATGCAAAAGGAAAGCAGCATGAGAAGCACTAGCAGATTCCATCACTACCAATTCATCATAAACAGAATTTTTATTTTCCAATTCATAATCAACAGAAGAAAAAAGTAAATATTCAACAAATTTAATAATTTCTTCTTGCCAAAAAATAAAAATTAAATTTAAATGGAAAGGATTGAAATTTGTTGAAAGAATGTGTAAATCTTCTTCCAAACGTTGGAAAGTTTCTCTTGAATAATTTAAAACTGTTGAAATACAATCATGACGAAGTTGTAAAGTATTTAGTTGAGAAGTTGTTGTAGAGGAAGGTTGTGAAAGGGATTGTAGAGAAGAGGAAGAAATTGCTGAGGAATCTGTTGTTGTTATTGTTGTATTTGAAGTTGTTGAATGGATTTCTGATAGTCCTTTAACTGCTAAAACTTGATTTGTTGGTATATTTTGATTTTCTTGTGAATGTTGTTGAGTTGATGAGGAGGGGGTATTTGCTAAGTTTAATCTAGAGAAAAATAGTTTATTTTAAAATTAATTCTGATTTGTAAAACAAGTTAATTCAAGTTTACAATTCCAGAAATCAAGTTTATTTAATTTTACAATTTGAAAACTTAATAATTCTGATATTTATTCAAGTTTATTTCAAGTTTATTTAATTCTGATTAAATAAACTTGTATATAATTGTAATTCTGATTTGTAAAAAATAAAATTTAAGTTCACAATTAGAACACAAATCAGAAAACAAGTTTATTTAATTTTACAATTTGTAAACTTAAATTTAATAATTGTGATATCAATACAAGTTTATTTAATAAATAATTCAAGTTTGTTAAAATAAATAAACTTAATTACAATTGTAATTCTGATATTACTTAATTCAAGTTTGGGTAAAAGTCAAGAATACGGGCCACTCACGAATATAGACAAATTATATGTCATTCGAAAGAGCTCGCCGAGCTGAGTCGAACGACACCAAAATTTTTCTGCGGAAACAACTGTGAGCCGAGATACAGCGCCCTAAAGTTCGAAGAACCATGGGGGGGGGGGGGTGGGGGGGACCAAGCACTTTTTTGGGTGAAAAATTCGAAAATACAAATTATACCTCATTCGAAAGAGCTCGTCGAGCTGAGTCGAAAGACACCAAAATCAACGAAATCTGACTTGATTTGACAAAGTTATGATCGTTTGTTTCGACTCCTTACCTATGGTTCCGTGGAGATTTTTGTTGCTTCGCAGGCCCCAGCTACGTCCAGAGCAAGTGATATAGGACTAGGATTATGTTACGAGCCCAGAACCCAGCGACCGTAGACTCCCCGCGAGGCGTGTGCCGCAAAACCCCGCGCGAAGCGCGGGGTTTTGCACAAGCGCCTCGCCGACACCCCATAGGTTTACGTTGTATGTTTTTGTGTCATAACTCCGTCCAAACTTGTTCAATTATGGTGATTTTGGTGTCATTCGACTCTACTCAACGAGACTATTCGAATGAGCTATTATTTATATTTTCGACCTTTTGACCCCAAAAATCAACTTGGTCCCCCTTATGGTTTTTGACAATTTTACACCTTGTATCTCAGCTCATAGTTGAGTCCGCTTAGTAATTTTGGTGTCATTTGACTCCTCTCGCCGAGCTTTTTCGAATGACATATCATTTGTCCATATTCGTGAGTGGCCCGTATTCTTGACTTTTTCCCAAGTTTGTTTAATTCTGATTAAATAAACTTGTGTATACCTAATTGTAATTGTGATTTGTAAAAAAATTAAATTTAAGTTTACAATTAGAACTCAAGTCAGAAAGTTTCTGATTTACAAACTTAAGTCTAATGAATTTTGATTAAGTAAAATTATTTACAATTATTCTATAATTCTGATTTGTAAAAAATACTTTAACAATTCTGATATTAATTAATAAAGTTTATTTAATTAATCAAGTTTATTTATTTAATAAATAATTCAAGTTTATTTAAATAAATAAACTTTTTTATAATTGTAATTCTGATTTGTAATTTTTAATTTAACAACTCAAGTTTAAATAATTCAAGTTTAAATACCTATGGCTGAGTAGACTTGCAGAAAGCAGAATTTGATGTGAAAGCAGATGTGCATGTATTCGAACCAATTGCCAATCATCATTAGAAGAGTTATAAAGTTGTTGATTTAAAAGAATACAGCATTTATCTAGAGGAAGAGGGCGTAATTGTTTTAACCAATTTATTGAATTTAATGCTGAATCTTTTTTTTTAAATTAAAAAATATTCTGTTAAAAAAATTTTTTTAATTTTAAACCATTTTTCTGGGCCAAAGCACGAATTGAATCCGCAAAAAAACTAGTTAATGAATCCAACTCTACCAAAGCTTGTTCAAAAAGTCCTAAACTCCAATAAAAAAGACACAATTTGAACTAAAATTTTTTTTATTTATTTTTAAATTTAAAAATAAAAAATTTTTTGAAAGCGTTATGGGAGGGAATATACAAAATAAATCCAAAATGGACACAAAAAATTAGAAAAAATTTAGAAAAATTTTTAATTGAAAAACATTCTTTTTCCTTATATCCTACATAACCTTACTTATTTTTAAAATCCAAAATAAAAATTAAAATAAAATTTAGAAAAATCCAAACCTGTTCATTAATAAAATTTGATAAAACAAAGTTATCTTCATTTACAATTTCTTTCAATTTTCTAAGTTTATTAATTAAATTATTAGAATAATTGTCGAAGGAATAGAATAAATTGTTTTGAATAAGCAAAGTTAAAGTTGATTTTGATTTTTCTGAAGAAAATTCGTTTGATTCAAAAATTCTGAAATTTAAAGATTTTCTGGGTGAAATAAATGTAAGAAGTCAAAATTTTAGCCAAAAAAGTTTCATAGGAAGGGAATCATTTTTGAAAATGTCGATGAGACCTTCGACGCCAAAAAAATTTAATTTCTAGCGCGTTTGCTCCTTCCCCTAACAATTTTTTGCATTTCCCCATTTTGAGGTGGGGAATGGAAAAGCTGAGTACGTGCTTAAAAGCAGTAGGTTGTAGGGTTTGTAGAGACTGATTTGTAGGGTTTGTAAGACATAAATTTACAAATGTCTTTCCTTTCCTTATTAGTTTTAAAAGCTTATTTAAAAATTCTGATTGCCAATTAAATAAATTAGAAATACTCACCTATTCTGAAACTTTGCAAAATCATTCTTTAATTTGTCATTTATTTGACTTCTATTCTTCTTATCTTTAACTCGGGAAGAATCAAAAATAATTAGCCAAAATTGGCAATTAGCTTCTGTCAAATCTGAAAACCATTCAGAAATTTCAGGGCGGACAGAAATTCGGTATTCCTCAAAATTCTAGGAAAAAATTTTAAAAATTCAAAATAAAATTTACAAAAAACCTTCGGAAAAATAAAATAAAAATGTAGAAAAGCAAATGTTGAAGGTGTATTATCATTAGAATTTCCATTTTTTATTATAAAACAGTCTGCATCAAACGCCACAAAGGAAGGTTGAAAACGAAGATTTAAGGGGAAATTTGATGTGTGGGAGTCTCTAAAACTTTTTTAAAGTAGAAATAAATAAATTTAAAAACCTTTTCCATTGTAGCACTCCATTTCCAATCGAATCCAAAATTATTTTTTGATTTTTATTAAAACATTCCTCGTTGCCATGCCCTGAAAATAGAAGTTTTTAGACTAAAATTTAAATTAAAAATTAGAATACATGAAATTCTTATCAGATCCTTTTTGTTTGCTTTAAAAACAGAAAATTCTTCAGTCATTTAACTTGTCTTAGTTCCCCTAAAACAAAAAAAATTAACCAAAATATAAAAAAATAGAATAAAACCCCTACGTCCAACTGTAAATTTTTTCACTTATCGGCATTTTGTCGCTTTTTCTACTTGCTGACATTTTGTAAAATTTACTTATTTGTGTTTCAAAATTTTCTCTAAATCTTTAACTAAACACTATTTCTCTTTAATTAATTTCTATGGTGTGACAAACGAAATAATTTACTCCTATGTGGCGAATTGAATTTTGATATTTTGTAATTTCTCTTAAACTTTCTTTTATTTTGTTAAATCATTTTGGTGTCTTGGTATCGTTTTTGCATTTTATTTTTTGTTATCAAGGTTCGAGCCCCTTTCTGAATTTTTATTTTTTTCTTCACTTTTTCTTCTTTTACGTCTCTTTTTATGTTTTTCGCTTGTTTGTATGTTTTAAATTAAATTTAATTTAATCTTTTATAGATGTTAGACTTCTGAAAAAAGATTATTTTTTGCATCAACACAATGGAAAGTCAAGAAAACGAAAATTCTAAAAGGCGTATATCAAAGCCTAGAGTACAATATTCACCAGTTACTGAAGCAAAGCGAAGTTATACAAAGAAAACAAAGTTTCCTTTTAATTTTTTTAAAAAACTTTCATTTTTATTTAAGGCAAAAATTTAGCGTTAAACGATTAAATAGTTTGTTTAATGATTCTTCCTCAACTTATTCAACAAGAGAAAGTTCGGTTGATGAATTTTTTGGTTATGATGTTTTGTCTCAATTTGACTTGAGTAATCAACTTGTATCGATGAAACAAATAGATTTTGTTTTGCCTTCATATCCAGATTTGAGGGATGCTCAAGAATTAGATTTGGGGGTTGCTGAACATATTGAAAATTTTTTGGATGAACAAGAAGAGATTAAATTGTTGGAATCAAATTTGTTTGAAAATGATCATGTGGAAGAGCAAATGGAAATTACTCAAGCGGAAGCTGTTGAACAAATGGAAATTGAAGGTATTTTGTTTGTTAAAATTTATTTTCCTTCCATTGCTTTCTCCCTTCCATCTGGAAGGGAGAATCTGGAAGGAATAAAAAACCTCTATTTTACAAAGTGTCTTAACAATAAGCTGAACTCCCTAAAAATTTATTTTTTTATTTCAGAACCCTCCACTTCTGACTTACAATTACAGCATCAAGAACCTCCTACAGAAGAATCAACATCCTCTTCACAACAACCACACATCGAACCAACAAATTCTAGTTTTTTTCCAGTCGAACATGTTGGTCAGATTTCCCCCTCAAAACTTGAACGTCCTCCTTATCATTCAAAATTGAAATTAAAAATAAAATTGCCTAGAAAGCCGAATACAGGTTTTTTTTATAAGTTTTAAATTTAAATTAATTTTTATTTTTTAAATTTAGTCCAAACATCAATTGATAAAAGGACTAGAAGACCAACCAAATTTTCTGAAGATTTTGTTTTTACTCCATTAGTAATGCAACGGAAAAGCAACGATGCACTAAAAATAAAGCAAAAGGCTATAATTAAACAACAAGAATCTAAAGCGGAAAGAAAACGTTTGTAAATTTATTTTTTTTAATATTTTTAGACGAATATTTTTTAAAGAATATTTTGAAAAAATTAAAGGGATTAAGTTGGATTGCGAGGACTATCCAGAAATAATTTTTGGGAAGGGCTCCTTTTTAGCTTTACAAGCAAAAAATTTCCAATTTTTTTAATTCTACTCCCAATAGATTTCTGGTTTTCCTTATTTCATTGGAGAGGCGCCTGCGAATTCCATTGCCACTTAAATACTCTCATCCTAGGCTGGCATTGTATCAATCATTTTTTCCTATTCCGAGTTATTTCGAGTTTCTTTGCTTGTAAAATTACTCGGATATGATAATCTTTCACTTTATTAAATTTTTAAAAACTTTACATTTAAATGGTGATAAAACCATTTAAATGTAAATAAAACCATTAAATATAATTTTTTGCAAATTTCCAGTTAAACGAAAGGAACGTCAAAAAGCAATCTCTTCATTTGTCCCTTCAATACCGCCTACTATACCAGAAGAAAATCAGAGTTCTCAAGTAAAACCAGAAACCCAGCCGGAGCCGATACCTGTTGAGAGAGAACGTTTGGAATTTTTTTAATCTTAATTTAAAAATCCAATTTTTTAGGTTCTCTAAAAATTCCTGGAGTTTCTTACGTTCAAAAAGAATTTTTTTCAATGATGGCTGACAGAAAACGATTAAATCCTTTCTCAATTGGAATAAAAAAATCGGAACAATATATTTCTGATTATTTTTATAGAGAAATGTTTATTAGGTTTTTTAAATTTTTTTTTAATTTTTTAGAAAAAATTAATTTTTAAGTGATTCTGACAATGAAACTGAAAAAGACAAGGATAAGATTGAAGAAAATTTGGATGAAGAAATAATTGATTGTGTTGGTGGAGGGGTTGATTTAAATGAATATGTTAATGATGAAGTGATTAAAATTAATCCGGCTGACGAATTTGCAGAAGCTGTGTGTTCGGTTATGAAAAATGCTTCTTATTCGTTTGAGGAAGGAGATGAAGATTTTTTGAAAATTGCTAATGAAAGGTTCTTTTAGAATTTTAAGGAGCTTTTTAATTTTTCGGGGTTGACATTCTGGAAAGATTCTTGAAAATTCGTTACGCTTTTTATGTTTATTGTGCTGAAATTTTCGTTACTCCAGACTCTAGCGGTCCATCTTTGAACGGCTATAACTCGGCCCAAAGTCATTTTTCAAAAAACCCCTCATCATTTATAACAAAAAATCCAAATTTGCAGTCACAGAAAAGTATGGTTCCTTGTTAGTAAATGTGATGTGAGTAGCTTATAAGAGCATGACTAGATTAAGGACTGGTTATGGATTAGGATAGCTGGCGCTGTCTCTTAAAAAATTAATTTCCAACTCTTTTGTGGATTCTTTAAGTCAAATATCCTCTTAAATCTACAATTTCTACTTTTAAATTTTTTAATTTTTAGAATGTATTTATTGGAAGAAGGCACTAAAGTAGTCTTAAATATACTTTTAAAATATATTATTGAACAAAGACATGTTGATGCTTTTGTGTTGGGACTAGCTGGAGGTGCTTCAATATTTCATTCATTAACTATGAAAAATGCTAATCGTCTTAGAGAATCACTTAAACTTTATAGCAAGGTTTGAGAAAATAAATTTTTTGAACTGAGAACCGAACAGAAGAATTGGGGTAATATTCTCCCATTAACAATTCGAACTTCAATCAGAGTCTAAAATTTAAAATTAACTATTAGTTTTATTTAACTTGTTTTTTAGGGTATTCCCTAGCTAATGCTTTTTTCTTAACTTTTTTGCAATTTTTGTCCCCTATACTTTTTGTTAAAGTATGTTAAACTAAAATTATGATATAGTTAATTGTTAGTTAATTGCCTTGTTTCATATCTTTCGATCCTTAACGGTTATGATTTTTTACAAAAATTTTTTGAAAAGAAAAAAATCCCCGAATTTTCTCAAAATTTTTCAACTAAAATGTTTCTTTTTAAAGTCAAGTCAACAAGCAATCATTACTGCTCATAATTGGCTTTTGAAGAATTTACCAGTACATTTTATTGCTTCCTATTTAAATTTACTTCGATTTCTTAAAGCAGCGGTATTTTTTAATTTTTTTTCAGGAAAATTATTTTTTTATTTTTTAAAGGGAAGTAATTTAAGTGATCATATTGTTCGATTTAGTGATGAAAATTGTATGTTAATTGCAAATAATTATATAAAAGATTTTATTGCACAAAAAATTTATGAACCTCCAATGCATCCAAATTATAAACCTTTGGAGGTTTTTTTTGAAAATTTTTTTTTAATTTTTAATTATTTTTTTAAAATTAGTATGGCCCAATAAATAATGTTAGTCTTATTCTTGTTTATCCTCAAATTACTGTGAAGACGTCTAAACATTTTATTAGAGCACATGAAATTTTGTTTAGGTAAATTTTAATATTTTTTTCTTTCTCTTTCGGATTGACTTTTAAGCCCAAAACCTGAAAACGTTTGAAAGCCGCTTGATAATTACCTAATTCTTTTTATGAAAATTAACTATAAAAATTTTCAAAGTGTGTTAATCTTTGAAGCTTTGGATGGGTCGAGTTGATAAAAAAAATTTTCTCGAAAATTTCCTGGGGCAGGTTTTAAGTCAAGTTTAGGTTAATAATTAAAGTTAATTAAAGTTTGTGTTTAGGTTAATGCCTCTCCTTCCCAGTCATATACCTTTTTATAAGACATCTTAACTCCTCTAATATTTTTCATGTCCTTCATTTTTCAATCCTCTTGTTCAATTAGTGTGCTTAATTAGCTAGAGTGTGTGTGTTTCTATTAGAGGGTTCACAATTTTTGCATTGTTTAATTATATTAATTTAATTTTTAAAAATTTTTTAAAGACAATTATTACCTCAAATTGTTTGTTGTGTTGAAAAAATAGAATTACATTTTGATGTTAATTGGACAGCAATAACAGTTGAAGAAATTGCTTGGATGTGTATTAGATTAATTAGAAAAAAAGTTAGAGAAATTGTTAAAAGACGGCCAAATGATCATATATTTTTAGCTGGTTGGGGAACTACTTGTTGGCTAAATCATAAAGTAATTTTTGAAAAAAAATATTTTTAAAAGTTAAAAAAAATATTTTTTAAAGGTTATTTCCAAAGTTTCTGGTGTATCTGGACTTTTAAATTTTGCTTTTCCAACAGAAAGTGCTTGTGGTTCTAGAGGGGTAAATAATTTTTTAAATTTGTTAATTTAATTCATTTTAGAGGGAAAAATTTTTTTCGATGAGTTTTTTTTTGAGTTTAAAAATTTCAAAAAAATTTCCCAATTTTTTTGTGCCTAAAAAAATTTTTTTCCTATAATATCCATAATTTACCCAAAATTCATCTCAAATTCTATTCGAAAGTTCGAACCTTTACCCCTACATAAATTATTTTTTATCTCTTTACCCACCCGGCCAAGCAGCTAATACCTTTATCCTTTAAATTTTTATTTAAATAAATTTCTAAAATAGAGTGTTGATGATGAAATTTGTTTAACTTACCCTTCCACCCTTTTTGTTGTTGGAGAAGAAGCTTCAAATGTTAGTATGAAAGCTATACAACAATTGAGGAAAAATATGATTGGTTTATTTTTGTTTTTATTTTAAAATTTTTTTTTGATTTTTTAGCTGATACCGGTTTAATTGTTATTGGAAGTGCAAATCATAATTTATTAGTTTCGGAAGCTAGATTAGCTGTTGAAAGGGTTACACAATTTGTTGTTCAGAGAACTATTGTGGTAAAAAATTTTTCTAATATTCTTATAAAGCCTTTGGCGTTCTATTTCCTTAAAACGAATGCTCTAATAAATGCCCACTCTCTAATAGAAGCCCCTGTCTAATAGAAGCTCTCTTAATGGGCGTCTATTAGAAAGTGGGCGTTAAAGCCTCTGACTTTCTATTTTCTTAAAACTAATGCTCTAATAAATGCCCACTCTCTAATAGAAGCCCATATTCAATAGAAGCTCTCTGATTGGGCGTCTATTAGAGATGGGCGTTTATTGGAACATTTTTGTCAATTTAAATTTAATTATATTTTTTAAGGAATATACAATCCAATTTTTGAAACAAGTAATTTCTGATTTGGGTCCACCAAAACAATGCCGTGAATTTTTGACTCCTGTCAGTTTGCCAAATATTCATGAAATTGATGTTGCTTTTCTTAAACCTATTGGTGCGCAAAGAATTAGAAAACCTGTGGAAAAGAAAAAGGAGGATATTACAAAGTTTGTTTATTTTTAAAGTTTTGTTAAAGGAGAAAAAATGGGAATAATTTGCGGACAAGATTTGCGGACGTCCGCATTTTTGTTTTTTTTTTAACTTTTTTAGGATCTTGGGCTAAAGAAAAAACATTTTTGGGCCAAATAAGTACATTTAAATTTGCGAATAAAAAAATTTTTTAGATTGAAAAATTAATGGGAAAACTAATTGAAAAAATAATTCTGTTCGCAAATTTCCTGCTAATCAACAGACTTTTAAAATTTTTTATTATTTTTTCAGAAAATTCAACAACAAATTTTCTTTCCCCAATCCACCTCCACCACCATCTTCTGCCCCACCAACTAAAACATCATTTAAACCAACACAAATTGCATCAAATTTACCCCCAAATTTAAAACCTATAGCCCCAACAGAAACTTCAAGACCTTTAAATACATCAACAACACGTTCTTCTTCCTTTTCTGTCACTAAAAAACTTTCGACAGATTTAATAAAAATTCCAAGTCCAGAAGCATTAAATAAAATGCATTTACAAATTAGACAACAAACAACAACAACAAATAATCAACTAGCTACTACATCTTCTTCAAGTCTTCAAGAAACAATTAGAGAGGAGGAAGAAGCTGCGGCAGCACTGGCACTTTTAAAATAAAAAATTTTGAAAAAAATTGAAAAAATTTTCTTTTGATTGATTTTACCTGCCACAATGATTGAAAAATCCCCTGTTTATTTTTGAATGTGTGTACAAATAAAAAAAGTTTGAATGTTTTTAATTTAAATATATTTTTGTGGGGGCAACCTTTATATTGTTTCTGATCAAAGCTGTTGTGAATTAAAAATCTTCAAAAAATTTAAATCGAAAAGAAAAAATTACTCGAACCCCGAAACTTCGAAACAACTATTGTAAACCTGTATTAACTACCCTGGGTAATTATTATTTCGATCAGTCGCTGTAGGGGGTAATAAATAGGGATGGGGTAATTATTTAAGGGAGGGTCACTAATACAGTTTTTACGGTATGTTTCTGATAAAATACCTTTAAGAAATAAATTCAAATTTAAAATCTAAGTTAATCTTCTTGTGAATTCTCCCAAATTTTTTAAATTTATTTTCCATATAAAATAGCCCTATAAAATAATTTTCAAATTTTCTATTAAAAAATGCCAAACACATCAAACAGAGAGAAAAGGGCGGTGTTTCTCTTTATTTTAGTCAAAAGTTTGATTCATTGCCTTGTTGATAAGTTCTTTCGGCAACAAATGAATATAATTAACTATCTATTGAAGGGAGTATAAAACTGATTATTTTAAAAATTAATTGTCATTAAATAAATTTTTTGGGAAATAAGTTTTTATAGAAAAAATATTTTTAATAACCATAAAGTTTTTTTAAAAATTATTTTCTATCAGATTCTGATATCTTAAAAACATTTTTGTATTTTTAAAACTGTAACCCTTCCACTTGATATTCACATTCATTCTGGTATGATTCCTAATTCAACTGCAAAGCAACAAACTTCCTTTAATTCTCAAACTATGCAGCAGAGTGAATATTCTACGCAACAAGTAGAAACATCTGGCATTTATGATAACACGTAAATCATTATGCTTTTGGGTATCTATACTTATGGAAGTCCATCGTTGTATTTCCAATCCTATTAAGCCAAGCAAAAATGGAGGGTTTCTTGATAAGGTGATAGTTGAGCGGTTAACAACTCTCCATCGGATAGCTTATAATTGGTCTAAGAACCGAATCCCATGCAATCTTTTACTAATTTTCTTGGATGTATCTGGCCGATTTACCCTTAGAATCAGACTAATAATTTTTTTTTCTAGTTTGGTATACAAAACAGCTGAAGTTACTATTACTCAGCAGGTTTTGTTTTTTTCTGACAAGAAACGAAATTTAACCTTCTAATTTAGTATATTATAATGCCGCAACCTGAGGCGAATTCTCTTAGTCAACAGCAACCAACTATTCCATCTACCACTCATACTACAGAAAAGCTTTTTTCTCCAAGACAAAGTGTTATCCAAACCGAGACTATTATTAATGCTTCTATTGGAGTGTCCGTGGCTGTAGTTTCGAAGCCGGTTTTTAACTTTCTATCCCAAATATGAAAGATATTAAAGAATTTTCAGAGTAATGTTAGTGCCTCAAACAGTGGAGGAAATTTGTTGTCAGTCAATGCTTCAAGCAAACAGACAATGTCTGTGGAAACAAAAAAGAATTCGGCTGTTAATCAAGAGAGTATTGAATCTTTCAATTTTGGATCCATACCTGCTACTTCTACACCACGCGGCACGCGTGGTGTTAACGGTACTTTGGTTTTGTTAAATTTACTAACAAATAAGGATTTAACTTTTTCGGATTTCTTTTTTATTTCCAAAATAGAAGAAATCTTGGCCTTCTAAAATTCTCAAAATTTTCCCGGATCCCGTGTCGGGATCCGGGATCGGGATTACCATTCCAAAATCCCGATCCCGGGTTTTTCTCTAAATCCCGATACCGCTTAACTCTACTTTTAAATCAACAGTTTGGATTGAAAATGAAATTGGGGACAAGTTTCATTTTCAAAATTAACAAGTTTCATTGAAAATGAAACTTGTTAATTTTTAGTCTTGAGCTTGGGGTCAAGTCTTGGTCTTGAGTCTTGGAAAATTTTCGGTCTCGGACGTCTCTAGTAGCTATACTAAAACTTTGGATACTTTATGGGAATAAGTATAACTATTCCAATACTTACACCCATTGTTGACATAGAGTTATAAAGCAGAGCCGGTTACTTATCGCCATGATAAGAACATAAACATGAAGAAAGTTATAAAAATTTTTTTGTGGTACTCATTCTGATATTAATTTTACAATTTTTAGCTCCAATTCCTTCTGATCAACATTTAATGTCAATAAATCATAATTCAGTGTTTGGTTTGTCACCTATCTTGTCTCCTAATTATGTTTGTTTGTTCAATAATTTCTCCTATTTTCCATAGGCTATAGCCTCGTATAGCCTCGTTTTTGCGGATTATTACCTAGTAATCCGCAAAATTTCAATGTAGGAAGAACGATTTACACTCAACGACCGACACGGATCCATTGTAGGAGTAGTGTAAAAATCTTGTTTAACAAATATTTTCTGAGTTTTTTTCATTAGACTTTAAACTAAATATCCTCATATTTACTTCCTTAGAACAAAACAAGGTAGTTTTCCCAAAGTAGTTTTGCGGACTCCTTTTTGCACAGAATGGTCAAAGCTTCTTCCGCCCAACAAAGCAAGAAGGTTCTTCCTTCCTCGATTTTACTCAATTTTCCTTGTGGCTTCATTTAATGATAGCACAGAAAAAATGATAAAATCGAAATAGAAAGAAAGAACCTTTGACCATTCCATGCAAAAATGAGTCCGCATAAAATGTCCGCAAAAACTACTTTAGAATAACCAATAAGTACGCAAAACAATACTTCAAAACAAATCATCAGTAGGGTTGTCGGTTTCACCAAATTAACCGAAACTGAATTAAAAATCTTCGGTTTTTCGGTTCGGTTCGCTAATCATAAGGTTATTTATTCTACTATCATAGCGTAAGGATGTTGAGAAATGTTTTCAAAAAATTAGGGGAATATTGTTAAAAATATGATTAAAAACAAAAATATTTTTAAAAATCTATACATAAAATTTTAATTATTTACAGCAAAAAAATAATCCATTGTGTTCTTGGCTAGAAACAGAATCTAGCTCTTTTGATGAAATCGTACGTAGTGGAATAGAATCTTGTCATCGGTCGAAAAGATTTTCTGGAGCCGATACGAGTTTTTCTCCATTTATTACGCCACAAAAAAAAATTATTAACAAGAATGAAGAAAAAATATTGATATTAGAAGAAGAAAATAATTTTTTGGCAAAAGAAAATGATAATTTAAATGAACTGTTGTTGGAAAAGTGTCAAGAAAATGAAAATTTAAAAGAAGAAAAAAATATGTCAGCTGCTGAAGCTATATTATACATGCGATTCAGCAAAGTATTGCTTGATAATAATAATACTTTAAATGATTGTCTTAAATCCCAACAACATTTGAATACTTTACTCGAGAAAAATGCTATGGAAAAGGGAGAGATTGAAAAGGTACACCAACAATTAAGTGATTTTAACAACAACAAAAAGAAGATAAATAAGTATGTTTTTTTTTTGTGTTTTCAAAGGAAAATTCTTTTTTTTTTGCATTGGAAATTGTGTATAATAATCCCCCTTCTTCCTTCTTCCTCCCTCCTTCCTTCCATCCCTCCCGCTCCCTCCTCCCTCCCTCCTTCCTTCTTTCCTCACTATCCACTTAAGATCGAGCTGGACCTAGACCAATTGCTTAAGGTTTTCCTATGCCAAGAGTCTAAGCCCAGGCTTTTCAAAAATCTCGAACTCTACTATTTATCCACCTGCCCCTTCCTTCCCTCGTTATTTGAATAAAGAGAAACACACACCTTCCTTTTTACAAATCTATATTTTATTATGACTCTGATTTGCCTCTACTATTAAGGTTGGCGAATCATGAGAATTTATCGGGTATTTCCTTCTTGAAATTTGGAATAAGCCATTCCTAACAGATAATTTACAATATCCGGGCTTTTTCTCGCCGGGGTTCGTCAATTTCCAATATTAACTATAGAAATAGAAGAAATAGAAGAAAAATAATAGAAGAATATTAACTATAGAACTATAGAAAAAAATTAAAATTATTGTCTAATAATAATAATAATACATTAATAAAAAATAATAATTAAAAAAAAATTAAAAAAAAAGAATTTAACTAAAACACAGATTTATCCACTCATTCTTTTATTTTTTACAGATCTAAAATGTTAGATGATAAAATTTTAGGGTGTGTTTCTCCTTATTTATTTTGTGGTGATAAAGGTAAAGTTTTTTTAGTCTCCTAAATTTTTAAAATTTATCTTAATTCCTTAAAATACCCCGTATTTTTTACATCCTACTACGCTTTGGAATAACGATAATTACGGAAATATACCTTAGTTCGTTCGTTTCCGTCGGGCTTAAATTAAAATCGAAGGTACTTTTCGGTTCTGCCACACCCCTCCCATATATTCGCAGGCTATTTTTTATATTTTCCCTTCAGTGTACAGAATGGTCAGACTTCCTCCTTTCTAGGGGAAACTCCACACATTCCTTTATATTTCAATTAAATCTCTGGCCCCGATGGGTGTCGTGTAGTTAACTTCCATTATATAAAAAGTAAACAATATGCCGATACTTCTTCATCATCCCCCTTTTCTTCCATTTTGCCCTATCCATTTTAAGCCTTTTTGCCTGATATTAAATCTATTATATATAATTCGATCGAAGGATATTAAGATGGGATAAGGTTTGATGCTTCTGAACAAATTTAAGAAGCTAAATCCTCGTTGGATGAGTTAAATCCTCGTTTCAAACGACTCAGATTGAAGAGCTCTTTCGAATTATATACTGTAGATGCTCTATTAATTACTAGGGTTTCACCGGAAGTTCCGGTTCCGGTTCCGGAAAGTTCCGGCCTTTTTTTGGTTCCGGTTCCGGTTCCGGGAACCGGAACTTAAATTGGTTCCGGTTCCGGTTCCGGCCTGGTTTTCAAATCGGTTCCGGGCAAACCGGAACTTTTTTACACCCCTAAAGATTGATTTTTTTAAAAATATGGGTTGGTCTTCCCCGGCTGGCGTTACAATATTCTCAAAATTTTCGCGTGCGGCGCAAGAAAAGGAAGAAATTTAGCCCTTGTTCTCACGAATTCTCAAAATTTTCGCCTGCGGCGCTGTTAAATGAAGTCTATATCGGAGGATCTGGATGGATGAAGGTGTATTTTAAGTTACATATATCATAGGCAGTGGTTGGAAGCTCGTACCAAAATTCGTACTCGTACTCGTACCTGTGTACGAAGTACGAGTACGAGTACGAGCAAAAAAAATGGGCAGGTACGAGTACGAGTACGAGTACGAGAAAAAAAATAAGACCTGTACGAGTACGAGTACGAGTACGAGAAAATAAAACAGGCCGAGTACGAGTACGAGCAAATGGACTCGTACCTCTCGTACTTTGATATTAAATTTTTGAAGGAAAAGGGAAAGGAATATTTATAATTTTTCCCATTTTTCCTTTTGGTTGATCGATGGTTGAGTGGTTAGGTTGACTGACTTCACTCGCTTAAATATTTTGGTAGTGCTGGGTCGAATCCAATGTTGGATGTGAGGCTTAGAAAACTTTTCTTTTTAAAATAAATGTCCTTAAACTTTGATTATGATTTTTAATTTTTAAATTTATTTTTTTTAATATTTTAAACTTGAAAAAACTTTAAAAATTTGAATTTAATCATGAATTTTTCAAAATTTTCGCCTCCGGCGCAGAAAATTAAGAGTTCTGGTTTCATGATCATCTAAACTTCAAAAAAAATTATGCCTGCGGGGTTGACAATTGAATTTTTTCTCCTAAAGCCTTACAAAATTCTCAAAATTTACGCCTGCGGCGCAGGAAATGAATGAAATAGAAGGATTTATGGCTTCAAAGCCTTCCAAGAAACAACAATTATCGTATACGGCCCTAAAAATTAAGAACTATATGCAGTTTACCCCAAAAATTCACAAAAACTTCGATTTTTTGCTTTTTTCTCAAGTACGAGAAAGTACGAGGTACGAGTACGAGGTACGAGGCCAAAAATAGGGCTTGTACGAGTACGAGTACGAGAAAAAAAATTAGGCAAGTACGAGTACGAGTACGAGGAAAAAATAAGGCATGTACGAAAGTACGAGTACGAGGTAAAAAAAGGCCGGTACGAAAGTACGAGTACGAGTACGAGCAATTTTCAAAATTCCAACCACTGATCATAGGTCAAGGGGTCATAGGATTTTGGAAGATACTGGGGGGTCAAGGGGTCATAGGATTTGGAAGATACTGGGTGATTTCGTGTACCAAGAGTTAAAATGGTATATAGGTGATTTGATATCTAGGGATCTGTTGGGATGAATGATAATTTGAAGAAATTTGGGGATCAAAGGGGAATCATATAATTGGTGTGGTATCGGGCATATCATGGGATTTTGGTAGAACGGTTCGGTTTTACGGTTCGATTTTGGTTAACCGAAAGTTTCGATTCGGTTAGTCGTTTCGGTTAACAAAATAATTGGGCTAAACCGACAAACCTACTTTGAATTCAAATTTCTTTTAATTTTTTTTTAATTTTTTAAATTCGCTAGAAATTTAATTAAAGTTCCGGTTCCGGGCCGGAACTTTGAAAAGTTCCGGTTCCGGTTCCGGGAACCGGAACTCAAATTGGATCCGGTTCCGGTTCCGGTTCCGGTCATAATTTCGGTTCCGGTGAAACCCTATTAATTACCCCCTCCAGCGAGGGGTCGAAACAATAATTACCCAGGGTAATCATCAGAGAATTTCGGTATAATTTGCCATAAAAAGAAGGAAAAAGTGAAAAAATTACGGGAAAAAGGAGGGATGGTCAGGCAAAGTATTCCCAATATCCCCCCTTTACCTACAAAAATTTGAAAAAAATATTTATTTTCAAAATTAAAAATTTAATTTTTTTAAGAAAATAATCCTGCCTTACAAACGTGCAGCATTAAATCAATTTTAAAAAATACAGGAAAGGTCGACAAATCGAATTATAAAAGAATTTCTTTCTCAAAATATAAAAATATATTTTATATTTAAATTTGTATTTTTATTTTGTACTAATTTATTAACTCTTTAATTTTAAAAGACGGTTCGATTATTTAAATATTTTTGATATTTTAAAATTAAGTTTTTATATTTTAATTGATGGGTACAGCTCGGCGCACGCCCAAGTAGGCGCAAAGCCATAACTTGCTTCAAAATTTCTGAATCTTTCAAAATTTATTATTAAACGATTCCTCTCATCGAGCTAAAGAGATTGGTACCAAAATTGTGGAGGTGCAGAAATTTTCCAGCTAGTTATGGCTCTGCGCCTACTTGGCCGCGCGCCTACTTGGGCGTGTCCCTTAATTTTTTTCTAACTACCTAATTTATTTCATAATAAAATTTTTTTCTTCTTTTTTTGTTTTTTTTTATTTGGTATGTAGATTGAAAGCCTTTAAATATTTTTTTGTTATTCTAGCAATAAGTATACTCTAAAAAATACTCGTAAATAGTAACTTGCAAAATCATTTTCCGGACCCGGATTTTTGGATTTAACACTCATGCCCGACCAGATCCGGTCGGATTTTTCCGGATTAATCCGGTCCGGTTAGAGTCCGGAAATCTCAAAAAACCCGGATTTGGGACCCGGACTCCGGAAAGTCCGGCCATAATCACTACTCGTAAATGTCCTGATAGAAGTTTAAATTGAAGAATGAAGATCCTTGATTTCTATTAGAGAATATTTACGTTAAATTTGGGGCAAGAAATTTCAAAAATTTTTTTTTAATTTGCCAGAAATTCCAGCGAATTTGTTTGCCTTATTTGACTTTTTTTAGAAAATATTAACTTATCCAATTTGTTTTTTAAATGGCTGTTAACGATGAAAAGAAGCCTCACAGAGGTTAATTTTATTTTTGAAAAAAATTTTTATAAATTAATTTTCCTTTAAAGTTCACAAAACTGGAAAGAAAATCAAAAAGAAAACTGCTCAAAATATTTCTGGAGAAAGAGGAAATAATTCAAAAGCGTTCAAATTCCGTTCTGCTGTAAAAGCTCAAAAATTGATTCGAAAGTTTGTTTTTAAATTTATTAAAATTTATTTTAAATTTAAAGAGCAGCAGATTTGAGCGAAAAAAAGAAGCACATTCCTATTGTTGAAAGGCTTGTAGACACTCCTCCACCTTTGTTTGTTGCGATTGTTGGACCTCCAAAGGTTTCTAATTTTTTTAAGAAAGTAATTTTCATGACTAATTTGTGAATAAGTCATTTAAAGATTAGGTATTTTGTTGACTTTTTCCGATCAAAAAGGTGCGAAATAGTTGAAAATTGAGCTGGGGAATTGATTTTCGTTCCCCAGCTCTGGTAAAAAAACCTTGTAATTTTGATAAATTTACAAGTCTCTCTTTACTAATTTTAAGCCTTTGTTCCGGTTTTCCTAAAATATTCTTTATTTTTACCTTATTTTCAACTTCAAACTATCTAGGTTTCTTAATAAATTTATCTGAATTTTAACGTTGCAGCTCTCTTTGCGGACATCTTTTGCGGATTTTTTTTCTTTTACAATTTTCTATCTTTCTAAATTTGTTCCTGCCTTCTCTTAAATTATTAAAATTATTTTTTTTTATTTTAGGTCGGAAAAAGTTTACTGCTTCGCTGTCTTATAAAAAATTATGTTAGGCAGTCAATTACAGAAATTAAAGGTTTAGAAATTATTTTTTAAATTAATTTATTTAAATTTATTTTTAAGGTCCAGTAACAATCGTTACAAGCAAAAAACGTCGAGTAACATTTTTTGAAGTTCCAAATGATATAAATGCTATGGTGGATGCTGCTAAAGTTGCAGATTTGGTTTGTTTTGTTTTTAATAAAGTTTTAATTAAAATCAGAATTTAATTAAAACATGAAAACAAAAAATCAGAAAAACAAAAACACAAATTTAAAATAAAACATGAAAACAAAAAATCAGAATTAAAGAGAATTAAACAAAAAATATTAAATCAGAATTTAATAATGTGTAGTTGTTAATGTTGTGTTTTTAGTTTTCTGACTGTTTGTTTCATGTTTTAAATAAATTCTGATTGAGTTTTAATTAAATTCTGGTCTTGTTTGGATGAAGTTCTGGTTTTGTTTTAAAGAAATTCTGATTTTGTTTTGATTAAGTTCTGATTGTGTTTTATTTAAATTCTGGTCTTGTTTGTTGAAATTCTGGTCTTTGTTTTATTCTGGTTTTGTTTTAATTAAGTTCTGATTGTGTTTTAATGAAATTCCGGTCTTTGTTTCAACTAAATTCTGATTTTGTTTTGATTAAGTTCTGTTTTTGGTTAACTTAAATTCTGATTTTTATTTTTGATTTTTATTTTTTCAGGTTTTAATTCTAATTGACGCCTCTTTTGGTTTTGAAATAGAAGTATTCGAATTTACTAATATTTGTCAAGTTCATGGAATGCCTAAAATTATGGGAGTGCTTACTCATATGGATAAGGTTAAAAAGAATCAATTGAAATCTGTCAAAAAGAAGTTGAAGCAGCGTTTTTGGACTGAACTTTATCCGGTTTTTTAAATTTTTTCAAATTTGGAAGGGATTTTCGTTATATTGTGATATTATAAGAGTGCTCTCGGACTTTTTGTCGACGAATTCGTTCTTAAATTTTGGGAATTTCTTTTTAGGGACACGCCTGTGTAAGCGCACGGCCATAACGGCGCAAATCCATAACTTGCTGGAAAATTTCTGGCCCTTATCAATTCTGGTACCAATCTCTTTAGCTCGATGAGTGGAATCGTTTAATACTAAATTTGTTTAGATTCAGAAATCTTGAAGCAAGTTATGGCTTTGTGCTTTTATGGCCGCGTGCCTACTTGGTCTGTACCCGTTTTTAGAAATTTTTCTAAAAATTTTTTTACTGAATCAAGACCCTAAAATTAACAATCATCTCTATCTACCTTCTATCTAATTTCTAAAAAAATTTTTTTAAAGGGAGCAAAACTATTTTATCTTACTGGAATGAAGCATAACAAATATTTACGTCACGAAATTAAAAATCTTGGAAGATTTATTTCTGTTGCAAAACTTAGGCCAATTTTATGGAGAAATGCTCATCCTTATTTGGCTTGTGATAAAGTGGAGGATTTAACTGATCCTGAGGTTTTTTTGTAAAAAGGGCTATAATTTTTTAATTTTTCCTAGGCAATTAATCAAGACCCTAAAATTGCTCGCAAAGTTTCTTTTTATGGATACGTTCGTGGAGTTCACATAAAGAACCATTCAGCTGTTCAGTAAGTTGGGAAATGTTTTTAAGATTATATTGGGAGATTAATCTGGGATTGAACATATTGGGTTCTTGAAATTAGTAAAATATTCTCTCTTGATTTTTCAAATTTTTATTCCTACACATGTCTATTATGTCAAGACATGATTCGATAATAAAATCTCAAAAAAGGTTAAAAAATATCGGAATATCTTTCACCAAAGCTAAGAAAGCCTTGAATGTTAAAAAGTCGATATTTCGAAACCAGCTCTGATTCTGTCGAAGTTTAAGGATTGTTTGCAGCAGAAGTCAAAATCATATCCATTTCTCTTTAAGAAACTTTTATTTTCTCTTATTTATTATTTCTTTTTCAGTATTGCCGGCCTTGGTGATGTTTCAATTAACAATATTTCAATACTTCCAGATCCTTGTCCTTTACCTGAAAATCAAAAGAAAAGATCGCTTAATGAACGTGAACAGGTTTAGAAAATTTATTTTTAATTTTGAATTAAAATTTTTTAGATAATTTACGCCCCCTTTTCTGGCCTTGGAGGTTTGGTATTTGATCAAAATGAATTTTATATTGATGTTGGGGGTAGTCATTCTTTTTTGAAGGCTTGTGAGGATTTCTAATTTATTTATAAATAATTTTTTAGGGTCGGAATGAATTAGTAGAAGCAATTGATAATGTTGCCGAACCAATGGATGTAAAAGTAGAGAATGCATCGTTACAATTATTGAGTGGTAATCCTAATTTGGAGGTAAATAAATAGTTTATTTTATGGTAAATGATTATTAGACTGACCGAGTAGCCTCCATTCAGTAATGGACACAACTGAAAAAAAATTTCCGCAGTCGCAATTTTTTAAATCCGCAGTCCGCAAGTCCAAAAAACACGCAATTCCATGCAGTCCGCAATCTGCGGTTGCGTTCAGCCATGCTCCTATAACTTAAGAAGGGCTGGAAGTTTGGTATTGACTTTGTTTTAGTCGAAAAAAATTTTTTTCTTTGCATATTTCATCCTTGAAGTTATCTTAAAAATTATCAAATATGGAAGAACATTTGAGACCTTCCAATTTTCTACTAAATAATAATCCAAATTTGTTAAGGTTGACATTAAAAGTGAGGTAGACAGTGAAGAGGACGAAGAAGATGAAGTCGATGATGAAGAAAACGAGGAGGAGGACGATGATGAAGAATACGAAAGTTTTGAAGACTCAGAAAATGAAGAAGAAAATAATTTAAACAATTTTGCATCAACTTCAACAGAAATGAATACATTTAGTGGCATTGCAGAGCGTTTATCTGGAAATTTTCAAGTTAAACCTTCACATAGAATAAATTGGGAAAAGCTAGTTTATGAATCTAATGAAGGTTCTTTTAATTTTAAATAAAATTAAAAAATTATTTTTAAATTTTAGATGGTCTTAAAAATGAGAAAAATGTTGCTGTAACATCTAAAAAAGACAGAACTTTTGGTGGTGGTCTTTTTAAAATTCCTGAAAATGTTTTTAATTCAAGAAATAAAATTTATTTGAAAGACAAAGATGATGGAAAATTGTGGGCATTTGAAATGTTTAATAATAAAAGTGAAAATGGTTGTTTGGATTGGAACGATAATTGTGTGAGTTTTTTAAAGGGTTTTTTCAAGTCCTGAGTTTCGGATTGAATTTTTAGTCTTGAGGCCCTCATCTTTTTTAAAGCCTAATTAAGCAAGGTCCAAACTTCTAAGAGAGTTTGAGAAAGTCAAAAGTGTAGGGTTACTCCCAGAATAAATTATCTTGGTTGCAGCAAGTTCTTAGGTCAACCAACCCCAAACCGATAAACTTAATCAAAAATTTTCGGTTTGTGATTGAAACCAACAACCTAGTTTTCTTTTTAACTACGTTTTATAAACCACTTATTTTTTATTAGGTCAGAGATTCAATTCGTGATTGTTGGGTAACTGGAGAGTGGGAAAACGATGATGACAAAGAAGAAATAAGTGACGACGAAGAAATTAATAAAATTTCGAAAGGTTTTTAAATTTATTTTTTAATGTATTTTATTTTTAAAAGATGGATTAGAAAAAATTAAAATAGAGAAAAAAGAAGTATCTTCCCAAAATTTGGATGATGAAGAAATGAATTATGATTCAGATGAAATGATGGATTTTGACATGACTGAAAATATGGAAGAAAAAGTGACAAAAGAAAAAGATGATAACACTATGAATTTGGACGAGAATGAAGGTTTTTTAAAGGAATTTTATTTCTTGTAAAGAGAGGGTAGAAAATTCTAAGACCAAGACCAAAAACCCCAACTAAGATCTTGGGTCAAGACTTAAAACAAGAGTCTTGGGCAGCTCTAGCATTACGTGGGTCGCCAGATCGAAGCCTGCCCGGGGATAAGAAGAAGTCTTTCTCTTGCTTTTTTTATTAAGAAAAATTTTTAGAGAAAAATGAGGGTGAAGAACCCATGCAAAAAGAAAAGAAAGACAGGTTAAAACAACAATTTGATGCTGAATTTGACAGTACAAATGCAAAATATAATGAAATGAAGGAAGAATATGAAAAACAATCTAAAGTATTTATTTTTTCCAAAATGTCCGCAAGTTTTATCCGAAAATTTAATAATTATTTTGGATTTTTTGTGACAAAATTGCCCGTTTTAAGCCTCAAAAACTGTTCTTTTTCGTTTTTCTTCTATGAAATAATCTTTGTTAAAAAAAGGATAGTACTTGAGGAAAAACTTGCGGACTTTTAGAAGCATAAAGGAGGAGAATTTTTTTTGTAAATTTTTCAAAAAAAATTTTTTTTTCAGTTAAACAAAGCAGCTTTTGAAGATTTGGATGAAACAAAGAGAGCAGAATTGGAAGGTTTTCGGCCTGGTTTGTATGTAAAAATTGAAATTGATAATATTCCTGCATCATTTATTGAGTGTATGGACCCTCGTTTTCTGTATATTATTGGTGGCCTTTTGCCTGGAGAACAAAATAATGGTTATGTTAAAGTAAGAAAATTTTAATGTAATTCTTTTAATATTCTTTGGATATTTTTTAAATTTTCCAAAAATATTTTAAGCTTCTAATTTGGAGGTGAGTAGTAGGGGGTTTCCTTCATTTTAATGACCCCCCTTGAATTTTGGTAAAACACAAAAATCTCTTTCATTTTGGGAAACAATTTTTATCTTTAAATTCTTATTCTCCTAGATTGAAAATAGTAGGTTTTTTTAATTTTAAATATGGTTAGGCAATTCTTTTTACTCTCAATTTTTCCTTTTTACTGTCAATAGAGCTGTCCACTCCACAAAATTTAAAAATAATTTTTTAATTTTTTTAAAAGGTTCGAATTAAAAAACATCGTTGGTATGACCGTTTACTTAAATCTAGAGACCCTTTAATTATTTCTTGTGGATGGAGAAGATTTCAAACAATGGTTATTTATTCTGTTCTAGATCATGACCACAGAGAAAGATTCTTTAAATATACGCCGAAAGAAGCTTTTTGTCATGGAGTTTTTTGGGCACCTTTTGTGGCACAAAATACTGGATTTTTGGGGTTACAATCTGTTGATGAGGAAGTGGTATGTAAGTGGAGGAGGGGGATTTTTTAAATTTAAAAATAAAAAAAATTGCGGATAAAATTTGCGGACTGTCCGCAAAAATTTTTTAAATCAAAAATTTTTTTCTTTCAGAAATCATTTCGCATTGCGGCAACAGGTGTTGTACTTGGTGTAGATAAATCAACACAAATTGTTAAAAAATTAAAATTAATTGGACAACCATTAGAAATATATAAGAAGACTGCTTTTATTAAAGTTTTTTTTTAATTTTAAAAAAAATTTAAAAAATTTTAATTTAAAAGGGAATGTTTAATAGTGCTTTAGAAGTTGCAAGATTTCAAGGAGCTGCAATTCGTACAGTTAGTGGAATACGTGGAATAGTTAAAAAGGCTATTAAGACACCTGATGGTGCTTTTAGGGCTTCTTTTGAAGACAAAATTGCTGGAAATGGTTAATTTTAAATAATTTTTTATAATTTTTTGTTGGATTGTTTAGGCTCTATCTTGAAGGAAGAAGGGTCTACTTTGTGGGGAAAAAATTGTATCTAATAAGACAGACCAGGGATGGATCGGGTTGAGAAAAGATGTCGTGTAGCGGTTCAAGTCGGGTTTTTAAAGTTTTCTCCGGGGATTTCTTTCAGATCAAAGAAATACGGGTTCTAAACTTGACAAAAGATGACACAGACATCTTTTTTTCTTTTTTGCTGTTTAAAAAATTAAACTAGAAACTATGAAGGATTTTTTTTGAGAAAAATGGTTGTATTCCACGATAATGGGTCAGGTTGGGGAAATATTTTCCACCAAAAAATTTCTTTTCTTCTTCTTTCAACTAATTTTTTCTTCAGATATAATATTCCTCAAGGCTTGGGTTGATGTCCCCGTTCCAGAATTCTTTGTTACAATGACAGATAAATTAATGCCTTCAGTTGAAAAATGGTTGGGAATGCGTACAGTTGGAAGACTACGGCACGAATTGGGGTTAAAAATTGAACAAAAAGAAGATTCTGGTTATCACAGGAATTTAAAAAATGTAAGGGAAAAATTTTTAAAATTTTAAAAAAAATTAAAAAAATTTTTTCAGCAATTAGTAGAGCGTCCATATATTAAATCAGAATTGGTTATCCCCAAAAAATTGCAAAAACAACTTCCATATAATTTAAAACCTAAAATTGAAAAATTAACAGACAGAAGAAATGAAAATAAAAATAAATCAGAATTAATACAAAAACATACAGCATTAATACTTGAACCTAAAGAAAGTAGATTACACGCGATGATGAAAATGTTAAAGACAGTAAATGAAGATAAGAGAGAAAAAGAGAAGGAAATGAATGAAGCGAGGCTTGAAAAACGGAAAAAGGTGTGGGGAAAATATATTTTTGTTATTTAAAGGGAAAATTCCGGAAATAATCAGAATAATTTTTGGATTTTTCCAGAAAAAATTTAGAATTTTCTGCGGGTATTTCGGAGACGTTATTTTTTGATTTTCCTGAAAAAATCAGAATTAATCGTTACATTTTCCGGATCTTTTTCAGTATTTTTATGTGTTTTCCGGAATGATTTTATAGTCTATTTATTCTTCCGGAAAGGTTTAAAATATTTATGTATTCTATTTTCCGGAAGTTTCAGAATTTATTTTTATATTTTCTGGAAAGACTTCATATTTATTAAAGTTATTCTGGAAATTTCTGAATTTTTCCGGAAAGAATCAGAATTAATTTTCTTTATTTTCCGGAACATTATTATTATTCTTATGTGTTTTCCGGAATGATTTTAGAATTTTATGTATTTTCCGGAACGCTTTCAGAATTACTGGTTATTTGGTAAATTTCAGAATTTTTTCGTTTTTCCAGAATAATTTCAGAACCTTTTCGGAAAAAATAAGAATTTATGTATTTTCCGAAACATTTTTCAGAATTTATTTAAAATACTTTTTCAGGAATTATCCAAAATTAACGAAAAACGGACAAAGAAAATGAAAGAAACCAGAAAAGCTTATTGTAGGAATTTATCGAAAAGGGAGGGTAAACAGATAAAAGATGCTATAGAAACGATTGGGGCCTGAAATTTAAAAATTTTTTTGTTATTTATTTTTGTTATTTTTTAAATTAAAAATTTTTATTAATTTTTAATTCTTTCAAAAAGGGGAATCCTTCCAAAAAAATTCCAAAAAAATTTAATTTTAATTAAATACCCAAAAATGTTTTTAAGCCAAAACCCATTAGAAATAAGAGGAAAAAAAGCGATTAGGCTAATTTTTGTTGATTATTTTCTCTTTAAAGAAATATATAAAATTAATTGTTTATAGCCACAATAAAAGGAATTTAGTCAAAAAATTAATTTAAATGTTTAGGCACTAAACGGCAATTTAATTTTTTTAGTTTAATTGAAAAAAATTTGGATTAAAGTAAATAGGAGGGAGGAAAGGAGATATTAAAAGATGTTTAATTTGGGCATTTTTTGCAGTAGAAAATTTTCAAATAAAAAATTTTCTAATAAAAAGAGAATTTTTTTTATTCGAATAAATGTCATCTTTTAATATTTCTGCTCTTCTAAAAGAAGAGGCTCCAAGTAAAATTGAATTTAACAATAATTGTCCATTACCGTATTTAAATCAAAATAATTTAATATGGCAAATGGAAAAGAGGAGAAATTTACAAATTTTTCTTCCAAAAATTTTATTTTTGTCAACAAATCCATTCCAGCTATTTTTTCCTAATCGTTTGAAAAGTCCATTAAATGAAGATTTTAATGAGAAAATAAATTTTAAAAATTTAAATAAAAATGAAAACAAAATTGATAAAAATAAGAAAAATAGTTTTGTGGAGAAGAGGACATGTAAAAACAAACGTTGCTGTGTTGATAAAAGACCGAGAGCTTGTTTTAATAAAAAGCAGGTAAACATTTTATTATTAATTTCTGAAATTTGTATTTCTGATGCAATTAATTCTGAAAATTCCGGAAGGAAAATACAAATAAAATAATTTCCGGAAAATACAAATAATTAATTATTAAATAATTGCTTTTCTAAACACTAAATGTTTTCCGGAAAAAAGATAAAACACAATTTATTTCCGGAAAATGTCTCGGAATTATTAACTAGTGTTATTCACGGTACCGTATTACGGCGGTATTTTTCGGTAATACCGCCGTATTTTTACCGAAATACCGATACCGAATACGGTACCGAACAATTTTAAAAAAATCGGTATTTTTTCGGTATCGGTATTTTACCGAAATCGGTATTACGGCGGTATTTTTCGGTATTACGGCGGTATTTTTCGGTATTACGGCGGTATTTTTCGGTATTACGGCGGTATTTTTCGGTAATACCGCCGTATTTTTACCGAAATACCGATACCGAATACGGTACCGAACAATTTTTAAAAAATCGGTATTTTTTCGGTATCGGTATTTTACCGAAAATACCGATACCGATACCGAAAAAACGCGTTTGAATAACACTATTATTAACTACTAGAGATCGGACCGTACCATACTACGGCCGTATTTTTCGGTATTTATCGGTATTCCGTATCGGTAGTACGGCACGGAAACGGTACGGCAAAATTTTGAAGTTGATCGGTATTTTTCGGTATTCCGTACCGTTTTACGGAACGGAAACAAAACAAAATACCGATAATACCGATCGATAAAAATTTTTAAAGTTTTATTTTATTTTAAGCGAAAAAAGGCTCTCGGCCCTTGATAATTTTCAAAATTTTCGCCTGCGGCGCTAAAAAGGAAAAAATCTTGTTTCTTGGACTTACATCTTTTCAAATTTTTCGTCTGGGTGTGTTTATCTCCACAATTTAGAAATAAAAATAATTATTTTTAACTAAATTAATTTTTTAAATACGGTACGGAATACCGATAAATTTTTATCGGTATTTTTCGGTATCGGTATTTTTCGGTATTCCGTACCGTTCTACAGAACGGTAAAATTTTGAATTTTATCGGTATTTATCGGTATCGGTATTATACGGTAGTACGGTACGGAATACGGTACGGAACAAAATTCCGATCTCTATTAACTACAAAATGTTTTTCCGATAAATCTTCAGTAAATGCCTGAAGAAATTTAGTAGTCATATTCTCCTTTAAATCTGAAAATGTATTTTCTTTATTTTTCAGATTTCCTTGTTAGAACTTCGCTTTTCCGAACAAAAATATTTAGCCTCAACAGAACGAGCTTTGCTTGCTTCACAATTAAAAATACGTGATGGACAAGTAAAAACTTGGTTTCAAAATAGACGGACAAAATGGAGGCTAGAATAATTTTTCAAATTATTTAAAAATAATTTTTTTAATTTTTAGGCGTAAAATAGATGAAGAAGAAAGTAGAAAAAAAAGCGATAGAAAATAAAAAATAGTGCAGTTATTCCGGAAAAGTTTCAGAATTAATTGTAAAACTTTCCGGAAATGTTTCTTTGTTCTCTTTAAGTTTTCCGGAATTTTGTTGTTTAATTTTTAGTTTTCTGGAAACATAAGAACTACTTATTTGTGTTTTCCGGAAATTTTAATTTTTTGTTTTATTTTTTCCGGAACAGAATTAATTGTAAATGCATCAAGTTTCCTCTAATATATTTACCAAATAAGCTTACAATTTTATCAATTAAAAATTGTTAAATTAAAAAATAAATTAAATAAATTAAAAAATTGTTTTTAAGCCAAGTATTTTAAAAACACTTAAGTATTTATTTCTTGCGAGTATTATATCTTCTTCCCCTTTTTTGAGTCCTTTTGTTAACAGTAACACTCTGTGCAGCTTCAAGTTCAAAAATTTTATTTTTTAAACGTTGAACTTGACGACGTAATAAAGCATTTTCACGGTCTTTAGCTTCCTTAAAAATAAAAAAAATAAAATGTAAAAAAATTTTTTTGGGAGATTTTGATGAGAGGAACCAAAGTGTGAGAGAGGAACCAAAAACCAAACCAAAGAGGAATCTAATTCCAAGGACCAACCATCTATTAGAAACCGTATCGATATGTTATATCGATGGAAAATACCGATGTCGATATTATCGATGATCGACTAAAGTCCGATCTCTACTCTCTATTACCACCCAAATGATTTTCAAAAAAACCCTTTAAAAATAAATAAATAGGTAGGCATATTAAATCTTTACCACCTCCCGTTTAGACATTTGTTCGAGAAAATCATCCATCATTAAAATATATCGATCCCTCCTCTTTTCATTTGCATCTTTAAACAAGCTATTCTTCTTCTCTTCCATTTTTTCTTCCTCCTTATTCTTCTTTGTTCTCTTTTCTTCGTCTTTTTTATTCTTCTTCCTTTTATCTTCATCAAAAGAAGAATTTATTGACAATCTACGAATAGCTTCTTCCGCTTCAGAAGTAAAAGATTCTCTTCTTTCATTATTGAAATCACCCGCTAAAGTTGATTGATCATCCTCCTCCTCTAATTCATCTTCTTTTTCAATAACTTCATTAATATTAACCAGACTTCTCCACTCAAATTCATCATCCTCCTTATCTTCATTTTCTTTTTCATCATCTTTTCTTCCTCCTCCTTCATTTTTATTTTCTTCTTCGCTCTTCTCCTCCTCCCAACCTTTACTTTCTTCACTCCCTCCACTCTTCCTCTTCTCTTTCCTTTCTTCATTCTTCTCTTCTTCCACCTTTTTCCCATCTTCTTCCTCCTCCTTGTTTTCCTTCTCTTCCTCCTCCCAATTATTCTTCTCTTCATTTCCATTCATAAATATATTTACTTCTTCATTCCCACTTTCTTCATCTCCATTTAACCCTTCACTTTCCTCACTCCAATTCATTTCTCCATTTGACGATCTATCCACACTTCCATCTCCATTTTCCTTCATATACTCAGCTGTCATTAAATCCAAATGTTTACTCGCTTTTTCCAAAGCTTCAGTCGACCCCTTCAAACAAACAAATTGGAAACCATCAGGTCTTGGACGATGAAGTTGGTAGGAGGTTAAGCCAAATTTTATCTAAATAAAAAAAATAATGATGACTTGGTTAATTTTAGTTATCCTTCCTTTTTTGTTTTTCGTCCTCTTTTCGTTGAAAAATATTTCAGGAAAGTATCCCTTCCCTTCTTATCAGTCAATCAGCAGGGATGAATGAGTCGGGGGTTATTCGAAAAAAAAACTTCAATTTGTAAAACCTTTTCTTTCGGCCCAGAACCCAATTCGAAGAAAATTTTGGAAAATGGATCCAAAACCTGACCCGATTTTATTTTGTCAAACCGTCCTACGCCTTCCTCTCCCACCCAAAAATTAAAGAAAACTTCAAACCTTTATTTTTATCATAATTTTAGCAACTTCTTGGGGCACCAAAACTTCCATTTGCGAATCCTCAACAAATTTTCCCCAATCATTTCCAGTATTATCCACCCTTCTCCGTCTATCAAGATCAACATAAATTAAATTATTGTTGTATTTTGGCGACCATTTTTCAATAAATTCTCTTTGTATAAATAATTTGGCCATTTGAACTTTTTTGTCGGTTTTCCCAGTTATTCGTAAAGTTCGTCCTTCATTATATTGAGCTTTGTTGTCCCCAAGAAATACTAAATTTACATCCAATTCTGTCTGAAAAATTGAAAGGGGAAATAGAGGAAATAAAAATAAATTTTAAAAAATTGGGAAAAAATTTACAAAACGGTAAGACTAGTCGACCTTAAAGTCACTAAACCTAAAAAACATAAAAAATTAATTTTGATACGTCCAACACATTGCAAGATCGAATAGATGAGTTGGTTCAAAAACTAAAAATGTTGTTAAGTCCTAAAGGCACAGGGGAGACCACGGTTAAATTAAAAGAACTCTAAGTCAGGGATGGGTCGGTTACCCAAAACTCAGACTTTCTGACTCGATATCAGACCCGACTTTTTCTCAATAAACTAGCGAGACAACCCACAAAACTTCGGAAAATTAAAAAATTCAAAAAATACCTTTAAAGATTTAATTCTTTCCCCTCTTTGCCCAAGCACACCCAAAAAGTTTGGATACGGCACAACAAAATCGATTGAAGGAAATGTAGTTGTTTGATCATCCAAAGAAGACAAAAATGTAGTTGTTGGAGGTGAAGTCTTTTCCTCTTCAACTGGAGAATACTTTAAATAAAAAAAAAACAAAAATTTAAGAAAAAAAATTCCAAACAAACTCTCAAGTCAAAAATCAATTTGGAAATTCTCTTTTTAGTTTCAACAACATTGGCCAATTCTCCTTTTAATACTAAAAAGCGTCCATCTTGAGGCTTATCTTCTTTATCAACAATAAAATCGACTTTTGAAGTTCTCTAAAAAATTTAAAATTTTAAACAGGAAATTTAAAAATTAATAAGAAGAGACGGTTTTTGATAGAATCAACAGTTTGGAGATCGAGAGGATGAGATTTCGAAAAAAATTTGGTTAATAAGATGGGTATATTTTCAAGATAACGATCTAGAATACACCCAATACTATTTCTGTGTTTAATCTTTACACAGATTTTAATCAGTTTGGAATTTTGATAATCCCCATAACTAACCAAGGGAACATTTTTCTAGAACAAATGAATTATTTAAATAAAATATTTTTGAGTTGTCAATTAAAGTAAGATCTTAATTGGACAAGTATATTCCAAAGATTTAAAGCAAAATTCAAGTGACAAGTATCAAGGGCGTATCCAGGGGGGGGCTGGGGGGGGCTAGAGCCCCCCCCGAAATGGGGGAAAGGGGGAAAAAATTAGGAGAAGGATTGTCGAAAAAGTGAAATTTCTTCGCCTACAACCCTCAAATTTTAAAAAATTTTCGCCTGCGGCGCAAAAATGGAAGAAATCTGGCTTCTTGAGCTCCAAAATCCTCAAAATTTTCGCCTGCGGCGCTAAAAAGTGAACTTTTTTGGCCTACGGCCCTCCAAATTCAAAAAATTTTCGCCTGCGGCGCTGAATAAGTGAATTTTTTTGCCTACGGCCTTCTAAAATTCAAAAAATTTTCGCCTGCGGCGCAGAAAAGATAAAAATTTATGTACAAAAAAATTTGCGTCCGGAACGCAAAGGTAAACGCCAAAAATTTTTGCGCCCACCCTGTGTTAGCCCCCCCCCCGAAACCGACCCCCTGGATACGCCCTTGACAAGTATAGGGTTCTCGGTTCAGGAAAATCCAAAACGATTTAAAGTTTAGAAATTAGTTGGGAGCCCTGATCAATAGAATGAAGTAGAGCGAGGCATTCGGACCTGAACTCCTCCCAATTAAAGGGCCGCACAAAAAATACTAAAAAGAAATCTGAAAAAAACCTGAATTTCTCGAAATTGTTTCTTCTGTTCTTCACTAAAAGCACTAAATAGAGGCACTTTAATCCTTTCTTCAGCCAAAGCAGTTTTTCCCAAAGCCGACATTCTTTTTCCATCAGCAGGTCCATAAGGATTTAGATCCAAAGCAATTTTGACCATATAATTTATTTGAGATCTGGCAGAGCGAATTCCATCCAATTTGGTCCCCTTCAAAATTAAACGGCCAAAACCTTCGGGGACGGGGTCGGAATGTCCGCCATCCATTAAAGCAATAACATTAAAATCATTCTAAAAATTGAAGAAAATTTAATTTATAATCCAAAAAGTGGCTTTAAAAATCAGCTTAGAAATTGTAGTTAGGGAATAAAATCTAGGAAGGTAGAAAATTCATGAGGACTGAGTTCTTTTAGAATTTAGGTCTAATTGTAAGACAGTGAATTAGAAGTTTGTAGAAATAAATCCATACCAATTTTTTAAAAATAATCTCGGGGACTAGTATTGTAAAGCTGAGAAAATTTTAAGAACGAATTTTAGGTAAAAATTTTGGCCCTTATTTAACACTTCCCCTCGATACACCTTACAAGGAAACCTTTCGAAATGTACCAATCGATAGAGCATCATCGATCTACTCGTGTAGATCTCCGGCTTTTTTGGCTAGAAATATGAAACTAAAAAGTTATAGGACTTCAAAGTTTGCCAAAAAAGAGAAAAGGAACACAAGAAGACGATTTACCTAAAATTATTTTCTAAAAAGGATCTTACCCCCTAAACGTTCTAAAAATCTAAACAAAATAAAATTTCTAAAAACAAACCACAATTTTTTTTAAAGTAGATCCATTTCTTCCAACAACGTACCCGCACTTTTGATTTGGAATTAAAATTCTTGTACTTATTTTAAAACGTAATTTTTCATTTTCATTAGCTTCTTCAGCAAATTTTAATATTTTAAATATTTTTTCAAATCGATCACTGAAAATTTTGAAAATTTTTTTAAAAAATTAAAAAAATTTAATACTCATTTTCATCCTCGGTACCATTCATTATAATCCAAATAGCCTTACTCTCTGCACGAGGTTCAATTTTACATCCAAATTCTTTCCATTTTAAAAATACTTTTGAGCTTACTTTTTCAATTACTGAAAAATAGAAGAAATATTTTAAAAAAATTTTTTAAGTTCGTATACTCCACCTTTTTTACTCCAGAAAGTGGAAAAATGGCTAGTCTTAAATTGTGTTACCAACTTTGCTCCATGACAATTTTTTGTGGTTTACTTAAGGCCTCCGAGTTTTGAAGGAAAAATTGGGTTTTTTATGGAAAAGGATCCGATTTGAAATAACTTTCTGTGGAATAACTTGATATTTTAAGTTAACGATTTTCATTGCGGACAAAGAGTTGCGGACTTTTTAAAAATATGTGAGTGAAAAATTTTTTGAAGCAACACTGACCCTTAACAAATTTTTGTGTATCGACTTGTGGTGTGACCGATACTAACAGAAAGACTATAACTAACAAGGTTTATCATGAAAGTAACAATACAACAGAATAAGCGAAACTATGCGCTGGAGTAGAATATAGCTTTGACTACGGAGTAAAACTGGCAAACTTGCAATCGACTAACTCCCACGACACTAAAAGGCCGCGCCTTCTATACTAGTTTTTTCCTAAGGGTTTTCCTAAGGTAAAAACTCAAGTTCAGAAAAAATAAAAATTTAAGAAAAAATCAAAAATTTACTGTAATCTGCAATTTTAGTTGGTATAATGATTTCCTCATAGATTTTGTAGTCATTCATTGTTTAATCAATATATTTATATATTTAAAGTCAATTAATCAATCAATCAATTTTTTTAGTTAATCAAATTATTTATTTTTAATTTAGTTTATTTAAATAATCATTAAATGAAGAATTTCTATTAAAATTTCTTTTTAATTACCTGAAAATTAGAAAAATATTACTTGAAAAACCGGAACTTATTTACTTTAACTACCCACCCCATAATTTTGCCGAGGGATTTTTTATTTAGATTTGGACAATATATACGTCAAACGAAAGAGCTCGAAGAACTGAAGCGAATGGTAACAAAGATCGGACCGTACCGTACTACGGCCGTATTTTTCGGTATTCTGTATCGGTAGTACGGTACGGAACAAAATTCCGATCTCTACACAATACATCCGGCAAAATTTTGGGGTGGGTAGTAAATAAGTTCCGAAAAACCTTCTTATTTAAAAAAGAGAAGCAAATCAACCTTAAAAGACCCCAAAAAATTAATAAAGTTGTGAAGAAAATAATCTTTAAAAGATCAATTTATAAAAGTTATACACTAACAAAGAAAGAGAGAGAATGTTAAAAATAGGAGAGAAGGTGAGAGAAATTAAATTTCAAAACACAATTTGCCAAAACTCATTTTGCCAGTAAGGGTAAAAACGCACGTTTTGCCATTATGTTGTGTTGACAAAAAGAGGATTTTACCCTTATTGGCAAAATATGGATTGGCAAAATATGGGCAGCATTAAATTTGTGTATATTTTAAACATAACGCCACAAATGGTAAATTTGTCGATAATTTAAAGGTAAAAATGGATTTTTAGTTATTTTAATTGTTTTGAATTTTAATTTTTTATAAAATTTTAGATTTCTAAAAATTATTTCAAGAAAATGGGAACAGTCTCGCGTGCAGAATATTTAAAGAAATATACAACAGATTCATCAGAAAAACCAGAAACTAAAAAATCAACAAATTTATTGGAGTGTCAGGTTTCTCGTTTTAAATTTTAATAAATTTCCTTAAATTCAAAATAAACAAAAATTGGGCAATTTATGTGTCGAATCAAACCAAATTTCTATTTTTCTTCGTGCTTCAAAATTTGTAAATAAGGAAAGGGGACACTGAGTGGGTTCCTTTGCAGTTCTTCATGTTCGAGACCTACACCCACTGGGTCTGGGGCCGTTCCTTGCGCCCTATTCATTTAGATTTCATAAAGTTATAGCCAATTTTTATAACTTTAAGAAATTTTAAGGAATAGGGTAAGAAACGGCCCCAGACCCATTGGGTGTAGGAACATGAAGAACTGCAAAGGAACCCAATCCGAGCTTTGAAACAAAGAAAAATAAAAATTTGGTTTGATTGGACTCATAAACTGCACTAGAGCCCAAAAATTTAGGAAACTTCTCAATCATACGAACAAGGCCGGGATGCAGAAACTCGCAAGCGAGTGACAGGTTTTAACAGAGGAAGAAAAGGTAAACGAGAAGAAGAAAATTCTGAAGAAAAAAAGGCTAGAGAAGCAGAAATGGAGAAAAAATATTCTCTTTGGAATAAGGGATTAACTCAAATAAAAGAAAGAGAAGAAAAATTAGAAGAAATGGAACAAGTTTTGGGGGAAGGATTTACGAGACATAAAGATGATGAAGCTTTAGATAAACATTTAAAAACACAATTACGTTCAGAAGACCCTATGGCAGAATATTTTCATGTTAAAAATCATAAAATACAAATGAGGACAGGAATTGGTTTGTTTTTTGTTTTTGCTATGGTTGTTACCTCCGTTATTTTATGCCCTGTTGATTGTTGGCTTCCTCCTTCCGCCCAACTTCTCAGAAAATCTTTTTTGGAAATTTTTTAAAATTTTATTTTTTTGGTTGCATGGCTATATTGTAGGCTTTAACGATTATTCGCAAGCGGTAGACCACTTAGGCTGTTTTCTGACACCACTTTTAACATTACTCTCTTTTCTTATCCCCTGATTATTTTTTCTTAATTTTCCCTATTTTCAGTTTATCCAACATATAAAGGCCAATGCCCACCAAATCGTTATGAAATTAAACCAGGTTATAGATGGGATGGTGTTGATCGTTCTAATGGTTTTGAATCAAAAATGTCTTTGGAAAAGAATAAAAAGATTGCACATAAGGAATTAACTTATCGATCTATTGCTGAATGTGAATAATTTGTGAGGTTTTTTTTTAATTTTCTTTCTTTTAATTTATTAAAAATCGCGTTAAAAATACGATTTTTTTTGCAAATTAAAGCTTTTATTTTAAAAAAATAAATTAATTATATAAATTTTAAGGTTGAATTTAATCTTTTTTTAGACATTCCTGAAATATATTTATTTCCTTTTTTTCGTCTTTTTTGAGCAGTTTTTCCTTGGCATTTTTCTTCAAAAATTAAATATTCTTTACTTCCTCTTTTTCATTTAGTATTTCCCTTCCTTGAGTATATTGAGGGGGTTTTCTCAGTCGAGAAAATGTGAAGATTGAAATTAAGATTAATGCAATAATTAAAATAACAGCTAAAATTAGAAGAGGCCATCTAATCGAGGATTGGCGCCAAAACTAAAATTTAAAAAAATTAGTGTAAGAGAGCCGTTATTTATTCTTTAAAAAGTCTTCAAATAGGGACTTTAAATAGAGGATGAAGGCTAGCCAAGGCCGTGGAAGGGTATTAGTGTGATGCTCGGGAGAAGAAAAACCCGGGAAACGGGAGTCGGGAAATGACCTCGGGGACTGCTCACCTCCCTCTCTCCCCTTTTTTTAATAAATAGAAATTCCTTTCGAGAGTCTACCATAAAGTAATTAGCGGACTTTTAAATAATTTTAAAAACCTCAGGAAAGAAAATCCACAAATACAAATCAACCCAATCTGTAGATTTTGCCCCCAATCTAAAAGCAAATTCGTCAATTATATAAAGCAATCCTTTAGTAAATTCACCACGAATAAGAAAATTTTCTTTAAAAATTTTTATTTTTTTCCAAACTAAAAAAATATTACGAGCATTTCGAGAAACATTAAACACGAATTCATTAGTTAATTTAGTTGAGATAACCCCTCCAGTACTTGTTTGTAACTAAAAAATATCTTTTTAATTTTTGTCTTTTACTCCTGTCTTGGAATAATTTTCTGGAGGAGCACTAGAAGAGGATGGGATCGTTTAACTTCCCTTTCCGGTTCATTATCTAAGATTTTGCCGACTCGATTCTTCGGAATCGTTAATGGGATTTCTGTTGGATGGAGGGGTAGGCGGAAACATCTCTTCTGAATATCCCCCTCCCTTTAAGTTAGGGGAAGGATGCTAAAATAGTAGCATCTTTCAAATAGGGGAAGGATGCTCTTCCTATAGGTATAATCTAATCGGGTCTCCAAAAGTTATTTTCAACAGTCCCGTCCGTGTTTCCGTCTACCACCGCTCGCCTACAACCCTCTTATTTCTAAAAGAAAATTTAAAAAATTCGCGCATTTAGTCACATCCTCATAACTAGAGTTGTTTTGCAACATCTTCGAATATACGGAACTGATTCATAACTATTTTTATATTAAATATCTAGACTAGAGATCGAGCTGGGCCTGGACAAAGGCCTGGATTTTTCCTGTACCCATAGTCCAGGTCCAGGCATTTTTGGCCTTCCTGGGTTTTACTTGGACTAAGGCCCATGATCCGGCCCAGGTCAATAAATCAAACTTCAGAGTCCAGGCACAGTCCAGGCACAGCTTTTCAAAGATTTCAATCTCTAATATAAACTCACAGAACTATCATTTATCGCCAACACAATTAAAGCATCATCATTACACCTTCCTCTATTTAATCTATTTTTTAATGCGTCAGCAAATATAGCTGGAAGAGAAGTTCCTCTTAAAAATATTTTTTAAAATCCCTTTTCAAAAAATCCCCTTCCCTTCCCTACTTTCTATATTTCCTTCTCAATTCCTCACTAACTTCCATTTTTTCCAAAATCACAACAGAAATTGTATATCCTCCCCCTTTCAATTTCCTTTCCTCATCCTCTTTACAAACACTCCTCATTTCATTAATATCATTTTGTAGTAATTCATCACACACACATTTTGTGTTTTTTCGAATATTTTCGAGAGCTTTGTCCAAAAGTTGAATCCCTTTAATAAATTAAATTAATATAGCAGTCGACCCTCGCTATAAGACAACTCCTTGGGGCTAAAATATTGTCTCTTATCATGAGGTATGTTAAATAGAGGGTATCCAATAATGAGGTGTATATTAAATAAAGGATATCGCTTAGGCAACTCTCTACAACCGATTTTAAAGTAACTTATGTTAGATTAAGTTGTATAGTGTTTGGAAGTTCGTACCAAAACTCGTACAATTACTTTTACTCATACTTGTGAGCTTTCAAACACTGATTGTACTATTTACTTAGTAATTATCATATAGGTTTTTTAAAACATTCGACCTGTAAAACCTTCTGAACTGGAAACGGGATGTGTTGATTAAAAGTCGGGTGGAGTTCGGGCTGGTAAAAATCCGAGTTTCATATATCGGGTAACCTGCAGGGCTGGGCGCAATTGCGGATTGCGAGTTGCAGAAATTGCGTAAATTGCGGGTTTTTTTTGCAATTGCGAGTTGCGGATTGCGAGTTGCGGAATTTTTTTTCAATTGCGCCCAGCCCTGGTAACCTGTCCCCTGTCCCATTCCTAGTTGTAAGCATTTTCAAGAGGTTTTTGTGATATATTTTAAAAAACCTTTCGTTTTTCCACCATAACCAAAATTTAATAAATTATCAACATCACATATAAGTGAAGGATGGTCAATACCGCAAGTTGAGTAATTAATTAAAGAATCTGGATATGTAGTTGGGGTATAAATTGAACTTTTGATTATTTTTAGATTTAATAAAGTTAAAAATAAGGGGAATATTAACATTTATATTTTTCTAAAAATTATTTTTTATTGTGAACTTTTTTTACTTATCCTATAACCCTTTGGATGTTGTTAAGATAGGGATACCTCATATCTTGAGATATTTAAAATGCTCGGAATATTTGTGGATACAAGTACATCAGGGGTGTGCCGAAAGTGATTTTAAAAAGCGAACGGCGAAAGGCGAAAGACGAAAGTCCAAAAAAGGCGAAAATCGGCGAAAGGCGAAAGGCGAAACTCGCACACCCCTGAAGTACATGTAGGTTGAAATATTTAAGAGAGTTGGGAAGTAGAAAGTTGAGATAAGTCAGAAATTGGAATAAAAATATGTGATATGATTTGTTTGGGATATTTGATATGTTAAGGACTAAAAATGGATAATAGGATATACTGGAATATGTGGAGGATTGAGAGACAAATCATTAAACTCGCTCAGTTATCTTAGGCAGTTAAATTGTTCCGGAAATAAGTCAAAAAATGTTAAAACTTGGAGATTGGGATACTTAAAATGTAGAAAAATATCTAAAATGGGATGGTAACAAGTTGAGATATTAGAGATTAAAGATAGATGCTTGGACATACAGGGATATGGGGGAGATTAATTCTCTTAACTGCACGGAGACGGGATAAGTCAAAGAATGTTATAACGTGGAGATTGAAGTATTTTATATGAAAAATAATAAACGTAAAATTGGTGTTACGGATGGTAACAAGTTGGAAAAGTAAGAGATTGAACTTTTGGAAAAAGATTGAACTAAAAAGAAGTTGATAAGATACAAGTTTTGGAGTTATTTTAAAGTATTTGGTTGTTTGTTTGGTTATTTTTTATTAACTATATACCTATTTTTTGTTCATTTTTTGTTTAGCATTCGTTTTATTTATTGATAAAATTCTGATAATTTTTTGATAATAAAAAATTATCAGGAACATATTGATTAAAATTAATTTTTAAAAATTAGACAAAAAATTATTTTTTTAAATATTTTACAAATGTTACATTTTAAGAAAATACTAGGTAGTAAATTATTTTAATTCTCCCCACTATGTATTTAAATTAAATCCGAGAAGTGAGTCACAATTAAAATTATGTTTATTTTAAAGATTAATAACACCACTAAAATAAATATTTTGATAAATTTACTGATAAGAATCTATTTTGAAATAATAAATATGTCTGAATAAATTTGAAAAAAAATTTTTTTGAATTAAAAATAGGTAGTTTAGTTTAAAAAATGTAAAATTATTTATTAGGGAAGGAGAGACTTGAGGGAAGAGGGGCAGAGTTAAATTTTGTCTTTAAATTAAAAATCGAGAAAAAATTAAGTATTCAATACCCATTAAATAGAGCAGAAAATTTGCTATAGAATAAAATTTTAAAATTTAAATTTTAGTAAAAATAAAACGGATTTAAGGCTAAAAAATGCCTTTTTTTAGAAAAATTTTAAGTTTTTCGATCAAAACTTTTTTTACAAATTTTTCAAAAATTTGATTTTTAGTAAATCTTGTAGCCACGTTTATCCTCTATCGAATGATATCAAACTTGTTTAAAAAATATCAGTAAAATTTCGAGTTATTGAAGCTTAAACACAGTTGATCTGAAGCTTTTTAAGAATTAATTATTCAAAAAATTAATTAATTCTATTTTTGGCGTTCTGTTTAATTAAATTTTAAAATTAATTTTGAAAAAAGGAACATTAGAGTATTAACAGTTTAAATTTTGTTAATCCGTATTTCATTCAATTTTTGATTTTTTTGGCTTTTTTAAAAATGATTTAGTCAAAGTTTTGTTCATTTTTTAAATAAGAGGGAGAATTTTAGCCGATAAATACACAGCTTTAAGAATAAAAATAAATTTATTTTTTGTTTTTGCGCAACATTAAAAAGTGGGGGAAAATTTTTTTGTTAATTCTTTCCTCTCTTTTTCTTCTTTTGTTTATTTTTAATGTACAAAATTGTGTTCTTTTTTGTTTGTTTTTCACTTAAGACATTTTTCTATTTTTTTGTTTTAGTTCAAAAATGTGGAAAAAATGTTTAAATTAAATAGAGGGGGAGAGAATTAAGTTTAGGGGGGGAGGGGAGGAGTGGGGAAGGGGGAGTGGAGGGGTTTTGCCCTTTTTAATTTTTATTTAATTACTGAAACCTCAAAAAATGTATTTTTTTAAATATAGGGGGGAAACCTAATTAAATTTGTTTAGGCAATATTGCCTAAATTGCCTAACTAATTATAAGCCCCTCCCTTTTTCCTTGCCAAATTCCCCTTTTTTTGTATTTTTATCAGGCAAACAAAGAGGATTAATTTTCTAGTATACATAAATAAGTATGAGAGTTGTAAGAAGGAGTCATTTTCTAAAAAAACTTAAAAATTTCAAACCTTTCGATTTACATGAAAAAATTATGTTTGGTAAACCATAAAATCGTTGAGGTCTACCTACCAGGAGTCGGTTTGGAATTCCGATTTCCGACATCTTCCTCATTTCCTACCGACCTCTGCTACCTTTAAAGCAGAGTTGTGCCGTTCATCTTTTGTCTTCCGCTTTTAAAAATCTGTTGGCACATCCCTGCTATAAAGGGTCAATTCAAACATAAAGCTGGCAGCAACACTGAAACCTATAAAAGTTATATCTTCCAGATACCTGTATCTTTTTTTATTTTTTATCTTTATAAACAAAAAATAATCTTTTCTTGATTATTCGTTTGCTTAAGAAGGGGGGGGGGGGGATTTGGGTAGAAAAATGAATTGTCCGCAAAAATTTTTGCGGATTTTCTGCAATTTTTTAAATTTAATTTTCTCTTTTCAGGAGTTCTCTTTAATTATTTATTTTTAATTTATTTTCTAACTAATATCCAAGAATGTCAGCTAACAACGAAAATATTCTTCCAGTTTGTAATGATGCAAGAGTATTGGCAGAATCAATCATCGCTTCTCGGAATTTTGAACGTTCAAAGCAAAAAACGCCCAAAAACGTTCCTTTTATGCCTTCTCCAATTAAAAATAAGCCTTTGGAATTATCTGGTGGAAAACAGGCAATTCTTGAATCTCCAATTAATTTTGGAGGAGTTTTGCAATCACCTGGACCTTCTCCTGCTCCTCTTCGATTTAAGTCGTTTGGACGAGTTTCGAGTAAGTTTTTCTTGTTTTTTTTTGGGATTTTTAGTGACAGGAGTTTTATTTTGTGAAGTCCGGGTTGGGATGGAGTTACGTGGGCACATTTTTTGGGCATTAGACATATGCCACCACAAATTTGTTTGATACTTTTTTTGAGTGATTCCTGCAGTTCCTTTTTTGTCTCTCCCTTCTTCAAACCAGATTTCCCGCAAAAGTTCTTTGGGGCACATTTCTCTCTAAATTAAGTGTAATTGTATTGTTTATGCATTAGTTTGTCAGAATATGTCCTACTCCTTTTCTGAAGGATAATTGTCCCCATATTCTTTTCATCTTTCAATTTTTGTATCTTCCTTGGTTCCTTTAAAAGAAAAGTTTTTTTGGATTTTTTTCAATTTAATTTTCGGCGTATTTCCCGTATTTTTCAATTAACTTTTATTTATTTTCAGACAATTTCAATTCTTCGTTTGCGGGCAATTCAAAAACTGACTTTGGAAGTTCTTATGGTATAAATTTTATAAAAATTATTTCTTTATAATTTTTTGTTTAGGAACATTTGTTAACAACCGTCAACGTGTTTCAAACAATTTTTCTTCCTCAAACTTTACAAAAGGTTCGAACTTCAATCGGTCTTTTGCTCATCATTATACTCCTGCTCATCATTACAATCCAAATTTTAATTCGTATGGTCGTCTTCACAGTTTGTTTAAATTCTAATATTTTTACTTTTCCTCTAAAGGAGTTATGGTTAGGTGGTAGTGTTCTTGTCTTTCTCCTAGTGGGTAGTGGGTTCGAGTCCGTTTGATGGAAAATAAATTTTTTAGAAATTTTATTTTAAAAATATAGTCTAATTTTTGTCTAAAACTTTAATTTTTATAATTTAAAATTATTTTTTAAAGCCAATTTTAACACTTCTGCCGGTGTTGGATTGCGTGATTATTATTGGATTGGTGAACAGCGTTATAAAAGTTTTGGACAGAAGAAGCTTTGAAAAAAGGAGCTTCTAAACTTGAAGAATTTAAACATAATTTTGATATGTTGCTTTGGTTAATTTATATATTTTTAAAGTTTTAATTTAACATTTGAGTGGAAGGAAAATGTCCGCAAGTTTTTTTGAAAAATTTTGAAAATTGGTCAAAAATAGGATTTTCTTTATAACTTTGGGTACTCTAAATGACAAATGACAGCAAATTTTTGAAGGGAACTCGGGCGAGGGGCTTTTTTAAAATAAAATATTCGCTGTTAACCCAAATTTCGGAACTTTGATTTGAACCATAATTTGGCAGCTCCATTTAAGGAGAGGAGAAAAATGGGAAGCAGAATGGAGGAGGGATAACCAACCCGCGCCTAGTTGGTGTACAGCGCGTTCTGCGTCTAAAAGTCCTATTTTGCGGATATTTTACCTTTTATCAAATAATTTTTAACGTGTATTATTTTGATATTTTTAGTGAAAAAAATAAATTTTTTAAAAATTAATTAATTTTTTTTATGTTTCTTACACATTTTTAAATTATTTTTCAAATATTTTTTTAACTTCAATTTTTTAAAAATTTATTTTATCGAAAATTTATTTTATGAAACCCTAAATGTTAATTAAATTTCAAAATTATTTAATTAATTCCTTCCTCAAAATGAACAACAAAAATAGTGTTAATATTTTAAATAAATTATCTACAAAGCCAATTTCTTTTGCTCAAACTAATGAAGTTGGTCTTTTTCAATTGCCAGTTACTTTAAATACTGATAAAGGGAAGGTGACGATTAATGCTGTTTATCAGGTTTATTTTTTAGTTTTTTATTCTTTGAGAGCGAGACCAGATTCTTGACCTTAAGTCAAGGAAAAATCAAGGAAATTTGAAAAATGCCTTGTTCTGAATTCTGGATCCAGGAAAAATCAATGTCTGGATAAGATCCAGCTCGCTCTATTTGAAATTGGGAGCATAAAGTTACTCGGGTTTCAGTTTTGGCAAAAAGGGTAACCAACAAAATGGGTAATTCTCTGGATTTCTAGTTTAATTAAAATCGTTTGGAGTTGAAAGTAAAAATTTTGAAGCAGAAAATTATTTTGCTAATTTTCGTGTTTCGGACCTTAAAAATTTCAAGTTTTTAAAAAATTTCTTGGGTCGGGATTTGTTTTTGAATTCGATTTGATTTTTTTTTCTTTTTATTTTTAATTAAGGCTCCTCTATTTTTTCATTTTTAAAAATTAATTTTTAATTCTTCAGGATACACACCCCGATGGTTCTTCTTATAAAGGACAAACAGTTATAATGCTCCATGGATCACCTGGTTCTCACAACGATTTTAAATATATTGTGCCTCTGTTAAGTCCGAAAGGAGTGCGTTCTATTGTAATTAATTGGCCTGGTATGGGTTATAGTGAATGTTTGTTTTTCTTTTAAACTTTAATTATTTGGAAGGGTTCACCCTAGGGAAATTAAGGGCTTTTTTATTAAAAATTTTAATAAAAGAACAAAAAAATGTTTTATTTCGGCACATCCCTTATTTAAATATCTATTGGAAATATTAGACGAAGTATTGGTCAATACATACCTTTTTCTCTTCCTCCAAAATTCCCTTCCTTTAATATTTTTTGGTCATTCTAGAGGGTTAATATTGGCAATCAAAAAAATAAGGATTAAAAAAAGTATAAAATGAGGGAAGCTTAAAATATGGAAAGAGGAGCATCTAAACAGCACTATTGATTAGAGACTGGACCGAGACGGAATCTCGAACAGAAATCTGGGTTATCTATGTCGATATTTTAAGTGTAGATTTTTCGAGATTCTTTTTCGACCCTCCCAGTCCTTGAAAATCGAAACTAAAATCTTAATCCCCTTTTAAATATTCCTACATCAACTAATTTAATTTATTTATTTTCTAGTTCAGATGATGACAATTTAAAAAATGATAATTTGGAAAGAACAGAATATGTCCAATCAATAATTAATTTTTTAAAATTACAAAAACCTTTAATATTTTTTGGTCATTCTAGAGGGGTAGAAAATGCTTTTAGATTAGCTGAGAGAAATGAGGTTTGGTACTTTTTTAATTTTAAAATTAATTTTTGAAAAGGAAAAAACAGTCGGAATTATTGCTGCTAATTTTGTTGGAGTACAGCCACATATTGGGGTCCGCCCTTTTTTCGCAATTAAATTTCTTTCTGCTTTATGGGAATATGCTGGATGGTTGAGGCTTCAATCTGTGCTTGAACCGATTTATAAAGCTAGTTAGTTTTTAATTTTTTTTCTTGGGAGACAATAAGTTTGTGAATTTATTTTTCCAAATACAAATACAATCAATTTTTGTGCCTTTCCAAATCCGACCTCATCTTTATTTAATAAATGCCTTGGGTGAATTAAAGATAAAATGTGTTTCTACAGAAATTTTAGAGGGAATCGAAAGAATAGGAATGGGATTTTCATTTGGATTTTTTAAAATTTTCATTTCAATGGATTTTCATTCATCCATTCACAAGAATGGGCTAAAATAAGGGATTTAGATTAAATCCTTTAAAAATTAGGGATTTAACTTTGAACAACCATAACTCGGCCTAAAGTCATTTTTCAAGAAACCGCAGATATCACTTCGCAATAGGAAGTCCAGGGTCCTCTATCGAATGGTACCAAAAATATCGAATTCGCAGTCACAGTAAAAGATGGTTCCTTATGAAATACTACTTCCTTTATCTGGGATACTGTTCTGCTTCTATTTAGGATACTATTTAACAATAAACCCCCAAAAAAACAACAGAAAACCACTATAGTTAAAATAAAAATTTTATTTTTTTTTAGTTTACAAATGGGTTGGATTTAAAGTCTCAGATGGTTCCATTGCTGCCCATAGCCTCAAAACAATGACAGCAACCGATTTCGATATTCAATTGAGATATTTATTTCCGTTAGTAATGAATCAAAAAATTAGAATATTATTTGCCTATTCTGGAGATGATAATATGATAGAGCCTGAAAGAAGTGAAGAATTGTTGGATAATATTGGATTGAAAGAAGAATGTCGATTGGTATATTTTTGTAATAAATTTTAATTGAGTTCAATATGAAAAAATTCCAAAGATTAAATACAAGTTGTTTGGTTAAGTAGGTAAGGTTTTGTCCTCCTGATAATTTTAAGGGACGGTTCGACTCCGCTTAATGGGAATTATTTTTAGTAGGTGTAAAATAATGCCTAGAACATGTTTTGTTGTTTTTTTTTAATTTTATACAGGCCTTCCTTTATTTTTCAAAAATATTTTCTTTTTAAGATTTCCAAATCAAGTAAAGATGAACAAACGACTATTGAAAATACTCGCAAATTACTGAATAAAGGACATAAACAAGTGGCTGTTTATTTTGCTGATGAGGTTTTTTAAGTTTTTAAAAATTTAAGAAGTATTTTTAAAAGTCTCCAATTTAAAAATTAAAATCTGGGAAAAAGCCTTACATATTCTTTAAATTTCAGGGTCATTTTCTCCAAAAATTTCGTTGTAAATTTCTGGCCGAATCAATTATTGCAATCTTTGATGAGGCCGATAATAAATCAAAATTATAGGAAGTTTAACAAATTTATTTTAGTATTTTGTGACATTTGCGGAGAAAAATTTTTTGTGGATTATAGTCTCTAGAAATTCAGAAATGGATTCAATAAAAAAATTTTGGCAGCCTCTATTTGAATTTTGTAAGCAAATATTTTTTAAATAAAATTGAGAACAACTTGGATAGCTTCTCATTGTCAAATTATCTATCTACAAAAATACCTGTCCGCAAATGTCATATTTTCTCTATAAATTAACAATTTCTTGTAATAAATTAATTCCTTCATTTTCAATATCTTCAAATATTGATAAACAAGGTTGACATATTTTTAATAAAAATAAACAACTTTTGTCATTAACTTCCTCCCTCTCATCTTTTTGAAATCGACCAAAACAAAGGGTACATATTTGCCCATTTCGTTCATTTTCAATTTTTGAAGAAACGCTCAAAATTGTGGATATCTTCAGTAAATATATTAAAATTAGATAAAAATTTGGTGGAATATTTCTTTCAAAAAATGGGTTGTCGAAAATAAAGTTTTTTTCTGTGGACCACAAAAAATCACAAATTTTTCCCCATAAAAATTAAAAATCTCAAACCGTTGCAGGGAATCCATTATCTCTTAATGACTCAATAAAATCCTTTGCTAGACTTTGAACACTGTTTTCTTCTGTAAAATTATTTTTTTTTTAAAATTTAAAAAATTGCGGACGTCAGCAAATATTTGCGGATGTCCGCAAAGATAATTTTATTCTTACCTCTTAAAATGCCATTAATTTTTGTATTAATCCCATTTTCTTTAATATTTTCACAGCTTTCTATCCTGTCAAGTGCTTCCAATTCTTTATAAGAAATGTCACGAAGTGGGCGTATAAATTGAATAGAATGATTGACAAAAGGAAGAGAATTTGTTGAAAGACGATCGTCAATAACAGAAGAAATATCAAATATTGAAGAACCTAAAAACAGAGAAAATTTTTATCTGTTTTGAAAGTAAAGGCTGGAGGTTTTCGTGACTGAACTTCTTGGCCTTGGTTCTCCCCTTCTTTTACGGCGTAAAAATCTAGGCGAAGTAAATTTATTATATTTAGACAAAAATTGAAAATTTGACGGCCTACCAGACTCATAACTACGGGAGAAGGCCAAAAAAATTTATTTCCAAACCTCTTCCAAAGCAAAGACTATTTATTGTTTCCGTAGCTAATTGATCAGCATTTTCACTCAAAAGCACAGAGGGAAAGTTAAAATAAGCAGCGTAATTTGACAACAATTTTGTACGAATAAGGCGAAGTAATTCAATACGAACACTGGGTGAGCGACAATTGGAAATTAAATTGGAGAATTTTTCTAACTGGAAAATGAAAACAAAAAAAATTTTGAAACTTTAAAATAATTTCTTTCCCAACAAAAAATGAAATTATCTACTCAAAAAATGCTGAAATTTAAATTAGTGACTAGATAGGGAAGGGAAACCAAGAGTGATTTTTCAGGATCCCTCTCCCACGATCGTCAGCAATTTTGATTCCCAAAGGTTTTAAAATTTACAAATTCATTAAAAATTGATCTCATGTCAGGGGAAATAATTAAAAAAAAAATAACTCCCGTATAAAGCATCCCATCAATATGGGGGACGGGTTCGATACCGCGCAAGGAAATTATTTTTTTATTTATAATTAGATTTTCAAAATACCCCCGAAACTTATTCAAAAAATAAAAAAAACCCAAACATTTTCTTCTCCATCAATTCCCTCATTTCTTTCAAATTCTTTTGGAAAATCCTCAAATTTATTAAAAATAGCAGCCAAATGTCCAAAACGCCAATTCCATTGAGAATAAAATTTTTGTTTAATTAAAAATATTTTTAATAAATTTATTCGTTTATTTAATTCCACAGAGTCAATTAAATCCTCAAAAAGAACCAAAACCTTTAAAAAATTAAATTTAAAAAAATTTAATTAAAATTTAAAAATACTTTAGCATTAAGCTTCAATATTCGATGATCTTCTGGCCCTGATATTGCTTTAAATGTTAAGTTGAGTAATTGAAGGGATTCTAGTTGCTTGTTTGTTGTGAATATTAAAAGAGCATTTCTCTGTTCTGGAGTCTGGAAAAAACATTATTTGTTAAAAAATTTTGTCAAGGACGTGATTTTTTTGGTTGGAAAAGTCCAACACATATACTATAGCTTTGTGTCTATTTTTAAATTTATTCTAAAGTTCAAAAATTGTAAAAATAAAGAATACTGGAGGGAGGTCATGGGTTCAAATTTTTAATTCCTAAAAAAGCAAAATACCTTGGTTCAACTCTTTTAAAATATTTATTTAGACGCACCCCAGTTGTAGAAAAATAAAAATTATAGAAATGACATGATTTTAGGTATGTTAGTGAGGCATAGGACAGACTCCTACACGCTGAAAAACGCTGTAACCACTTAACTAATTAAATTAAAAAACCTTAAAAACCCGATTTCTTCCCAAAGAAGAAGCAAATTTGTGTTGAATAACTTTAGGAAAGCATTTAATACAATATCCAGCCAATTTTGTATTCTCCAAACGAAAAAAACTTCCATCTCCTTCAGTACATTTAACACAAGATATTGCTAAAGTTGTTGTAGAGGAGCCTTCAGAATTCATTAAATTATGTAGAAATATAAAAATTTCGTTTAAAAATTTCAAAAGAAAAAATTTTTTTAAGGTTCCGAGAACTAAAAATTAAAAAACAAAAAAAATTTTATTTAAAAGTTTTGACTTTTGGCATTCTGTTTTTATTTATTTTTCTCTAAATTTCTAATTCTTGTTATCTTTTTTTCTCTGACCGTCTGCTGTTCTCTTTATTTTTCTTTATATTTCGTCGGTTTTTTAATAATTCTTTAAAATTTTTCTATTTTTCAAATTTTTAATTTTCTTCCTTTAGAATGCCTAAGAGGAACAAATTTCAACAAAATAAAATAAAAACTGAAGAGAAAAATGAGGAGGAAAAGAAGGATCAACAAAAGAAATCGTTTAAATTACCTCCTGGAAAAGACGAAAAATGGTGGGGTAAGTTAATTTTTAATTAATGAATATTTCTAATTTAAATAAATTAAAAGATATAAGCACTTTTGGACCTGAAGACAATCCACATGGGATGGTTTGTGAATCTTCTTTTGCAACTCTATTTCCGAGATATCGAGAAAAATATATTAGAGAGGTTTCCTTTTATTTTTAAAATTTGAAAGTATTTTATTTTTAGACCCATGAATTAGTTTTATTTATATAAGGTTGAAATAGTTATAGTTAATCGGCTCTGATCTCAGACCCATGATTTTCCAGAGGCAGACCTTTCCTTGGCTTTCCCTTGAGCTTGATTTTCTTAACTCTCGAGATTTTTTTAAATAAATCTTGTGGAATTTGAAAATAAAATAAAAATCTTGTGGAGTCTATATTTATCTTTTGAGAATGATGAACTAATTTTTTAACGAATTTTAATTGTATTTTTGTCCAAGCTCCTTTTTCTCCAATCAAAATTTTATTAAATTGTTTTGATTAAATCTGCATTATTTTAATTTTATAATAAAAAATTTAGGTTTGGCCCCTTGTCTCAAAACTTCTGTCTGAACACCAACTTAAAGGCGATTTGGATTTATTAGAAGGCACAATGATTGTTAAAACAACACGTAAAACTTGGGATCCTTTTGTTTTGTATAAAGCTAGAGATTTGATTAAATTACTTGCTAGAAGTGTTCCTTTTGAACAGGTTTGTATTTTAATAATTTTGAAAAATTTTTAGTACTAAATTAATTTGGAGAATGAGTCTCTTTTTTAATCTTAATTTTTCAAAAAAAAATATTGTACATTTTTTTAAGTTAAAATTTATCACTTTTTTCGTCTCAATTTTACAATCTTTTAAATTCAAGACTATGAAAATATCCCATTAAATTTTTTTTCTAAATTTTATAAAGCTGTTCAAATTTCACACAAATTTCACATTTTTATTTTTAGGCTCGCCGTGTACTCGAAGACCAAATATTTTGTGACATTATTAAAATTTCCTCAATGGTTCAAAACCGTGAAAGATTTGTAAAGCGTAGAGCCCGTTTAGTTGGCCAGAACGGGGCAACACTTAAAGCTATAGAATTGTTAACTGAATGTTATGTTCAAATACAGGTTTTTTAATTAAAATTTTTCTAAAATATATTTTTTTCTTTAAAAATATATTAAATTATAAAAATTTTTAATTTGGCACAAAAATAAAATTTTTGAAAAAAATTTTTATACCCTTACTAATGATTACTTACCGATTTTTAGTTAACTAGTTATCATGGTTACCATTTTCGATTCGAGCCGACGTTCGGTGCATTTTTTCGGGCTCGATCTTTCGAGTTTCGTTTCGAGCGAGCTGGCAACCCTCTAGTTATTAATTACTTAAATTTTTTTCTGGAATTCTTTAAAATTAATCTAACAATAAATTTAATTTTTCATTTTAAAATATATTTTATTTTTCGAGCTAAATAATTTTTATTTTTAGGGAGGAACAGTTTCCACAATAGGCACCCATTTTGGACTTAAACAAGTCAGGTTTGTTTTTTTTAATTTAATTTTAATTAATTAATTATTTAAAGAAATATAGTCCAAGATTGTATGAATAATATTCACCCAATTTACCATATAAAAACTTTAATGATTAAAAAAGAATTGATGAAAGATGAAAAATTGAAGAATGAAAGTTGGGACAGATTTTTGCCGAAATTTAAGAAAAAGGTTTGTTTTGTTAATTTATTTTTGGAAAATTTTTAAAATTCTTTTTTAGTTGTGATTTGAGTAAAAATTTTTCTCTTGAGAAATATAACTAATTTGTAAGGGATTGGGGAAAAATAAATAGAATAATAATTAAATTAATTAATTTACTAGTTTTTCTCTTTCTCTAACCTATTGCCTTATTTTTTAAATTTTATTATAAATTTAAAAAAAATTTTTTTTAATTTACACCTTTTCTATAATCTAAAAATTTCGAGGGTAATGAAATTTTTTCACTTGAAAAAATTATTTTTTCAAATTTTTTTTTCTAATAATTTTTCCTCAAAAAATTCCTCTATTTCCCTTACAAATTGCTTCATTTTTAAATTTTATTTTTTCATTAAAAAAATTTTTTTCTAAAGGTTCATCAAACCTCCAAAGAAGTCCGTTTAGCAAAGAAAACCAAAAAAGCAAAATGGAACAAAAAATCGGAATATACCCCATTCCCCCCACCACAACAGCCACGTAAAATAGATATACAAATGGAGACTGGAGAATATTTTTTGAATGAAAAAATAAAAGAAAAGAAAAAAATTTTGGAAAAAGAAGAAAAAGAAATTGAAAAAAGAAAAATAAAAAAAGAAGAAAAATTGAAAGAATTTATACCTCCTAAAGAAGAAAATGTTAAAATTAAAAATAAAGTTAAAAATGAAGAGGAAGGAAAGGAGGAATTAATTGAGAGGGTTAAAATGAAGGCGAAAAAGAGAAGGGAATTAATGGAGGAAATGATGGAAAGTTGAAGAAAAAAATTATTTTAAAAAAATATTTTGAAGAAAAAAATTATTTTAAAAAAATATTTTGAAGAAAAAAAATAATATTATTTTTTTTGTTTGATATTAAAAATGTTAAAAAGAATATTTGTCGAAGAAAATTAAATTTTAAATTTTTTTTAATTTTATTTAAAAGATTATCATTAAAATAAGGCATAGTTCTAGTGAAAATAATTTAAGTGACTTAAACTTTTAAGTTTGCTAACTTAAAATTGGATTTTTTATTTTAATAGTCTTCTAGTTTTTTAAGTTTGATCTTAAGTTTATTCTTTTTCTTGTTTAAGTTTGAACTTAAGTTTATTTTTTTCTTGTTTAAGTTTGAACTTGAGTTTATATTTTTTCTATTTTAAGTTTGATCTTAAGTTTATATATTTTTTTCTTGTTTAAGTTTGAACTTAAGTTTATTTTTTTCTTGTTTAAGTTTGAACTTGAGTTTATAGCTTGAACTTAGCTTGAATTTTCTTAGTCTTACCAAAAACATGACTTAAGTTTATCAACTTGAATTTAAGTTTTATAAATTGAATTTAGGTTTCTAGCTTGATCTTGAACATAACTTTGTCACCTTGGACTTAGGCTCTTTCTAGTTTAAGCAGTGAATCTTGTACTCGTAAAAATTTTGTACTTTATCAATAATGTACTTAAAAATTTATTTTTACAAAATTTTTAAAATTAATATTTAAATTTCTTCCAAAAAATGTGTTTGTGTTGTAAAGAGGCATGCTAGTTTCTCCTATTGTTTTTCAATCTTCCCGTGGTTTCTAAGACCATTAATCAAAATACAAAATCAAAAATTTGCTGATAAAATAATTTTTAGAAAAATTAAGCTCCTTCATAGAAATTCTTTAATTTGTCCAGGAGAAGTAACCAAAATTTCTTAACAATTTAAATATTTTCCAGGACAACTAAAACTATTTGGAGGAAGGGAGGGGGGAATGTCATTGTCTTTTCTTTTTTTATTTTATTAATTTTGATAAGCTAAATTTTTGTTTTAAGCATATTTGAAGGGGTTAATCAGTATTTGATAACAAAGGTGCGCCAAAAATTTTTTATATGAAAGTCAGAAGCTCAAAAATTTTGGCGCTCAGCAAACTATAATTAAAAAGGAACTAACAATACGGAAGGAAATTTAAAAAAGAAGCTGAGTTAATAAATTTAAATGTTAAATAATCATTTGTATGATTCATTGTGTATTGAATAAAAGAATAAAAATGATTACAATGAATAGTTATTTTAGTTAAAATGGTTTTTATTTCTGTTTAAATTTAGATTGATTTAAATTATATAGTATTATTTTTAAGTTTGATCTTAAGTTTAATAAATTAAACTTGAATTTAAGTTTGAACTTAAATTTAATAAATTAAACTTGAATTTAAGTTTGAACTTAAGTTTAGAAAATTAAACTTTAATTTAAGCTTGAACTTGAATTTAATAAATTAAACTTAAATTTAAGCTTGAACTTAAGTTTAATAAATAAACTTGAATTTAAGTTTGATAGCATACTATAATTAAACTTCTTTTGCAACTTGAAGTTAAGTTTGTGAACTTAAGTTATTCTTAATTTAATTAAGCTTAAACTTAATTTTTCAACACAAACATTAATAATTTAAAAATAAAATAAACTTAAGATTGTTAACTTAAAATTTTTAAATTAAGTTGTAAAAATTTAATTTTCAATAGTAACAGATGTCCTATTTAACTACAATTTTTGCTTTTATTTTCATTATTTTCATTTCTACTTCAGTTCAAAATGGAGGTGGTGGAGGTGGAGGGGATAGTATTATTATTTCCCCTGATTTAATTTCTTTTCAGGTAATTAAAAAAGAAATTAATTAAATTATTATTATATAGAATGCCACTTTTTGGGCCTTATTTGTTGGGGCAGTTCTTGCGTTCGTCCTTGGATTTGGAATGGGGGCTAATGACGGTAATTTCTTTTTTAATTAGCAAATCTAGGGTTGAACTTAATTTTCCTAAATCAACTCTTTACTTTTTTTTAAATTTTACAGTATCCAATGCATTTGGAACTTCTGTTGGTTCTAAAGTACTTACGCTTAAACAGGTGTGTGTAGATCCTTAAAAGAAAAAATATAATCCGTTAAGGCATATATATTAGCCAGTATATTCGAAACTCTTGGTGCAATATTTGTTGGTTATAATGTAACAGATACAATGAGGAAAAGTGTTGTTGTATTGTCTGAATATGAAAATGATCCCAAAGCTCTTTTATTTGGGCAAATAGCAATATTAGGGGGTTGTTCTGGGTGGTTAATGATTGCCACATTTGCTGAATTGCCTGTGTCTACAACACATAGGTAGGAAATCATTTTAAAGGAATGATATTTTTGAAAATTTAATTAAGCTTGAACTTAAGTTTGTTAGTTTAAGTTTGAACTTGAATTTCCTAGCTTAAGCTTTAAATTTCGTAATCTTAAGTTTAAACTCAAATTTATGAGCTTAAGTTTGAAGCCAAGTGAGGTTTAAGATTGAACTTATTTTATAAACCTAACATACATTTAAGCTTGATCTTAAAATTTTAAGCCTGATCTTATGTTTTAATAAGCCTGAACTTATATTTTTGTAACTTAAGCGTTCTCTCAATAATTAATTTTTTCTAGCGTTGTTGGAGCAACAATAGGTTTTTCTTTTATGATGAAAGGAATATCAAGTATCCAATGGTGGGAAGTTGGAAAAATTGGTTAGAAAATTAGAAAAATATTTAAAAAATTTACTTAATTAAAGCGCTTTCTTGGTTTACTTCTCCCCTTCTTTCTGGATTTATTTCAAGTATTTTATATTTAGTTGTGGATATTAGTGTTTTGCGAAAGGAAGAACCTCTTGAGGCTGGTCAGTGGATTTTTAAATTTTATTGCCATTTTCTTCGGGCTAAACCGACAACTGTCGGTGATCCCCTTGATTTAACATCATGTTCAAGTTTTAAGTTTAAGCTTAGATTCGACTTTAAACTTGAATCATCCTTTATTTTTAAACTTGCTTCAAGTTCGCTAACTCAATAATTTTGTGTTATTTTTATACACTTTTACTCTTAACAATTCAATCCATTTTTTTATTTTCTAGGTCTTCGAGTATTACCAATATTCTATTTCTTCTGTATTGCTTTCAATACTTTCACTATTAGCTATCAAGGCTCGAAAATTCTTGGTTTAGAAAGTATTCCTCTTTGGCTGGCTATTATTATTAGTCTATTAACTGCAATATTGGCAGCTTTAGTTGTTCATTTTGTTTTAAAGCCGAGACTGAGTAGTTGGATACATCGTGGGTTTCTATTTGATAGTTGTTTTGAAGCAAATTTTAGTTAAACTTGAAACAATTTAATTTTAACTTCACGCTTGAAAATAATTTTATTTGAGAAATAAACTTATTTTTAAGTTCACGCTTGAAAATAATTTTATTTGAGAAAAAAACTTATTTTTAAGTTCAAACTTGAAAATAATTTTATTTGAGAAATAAACTTATTCTTAAGTTCAAACTTGAAAATAATTTTATTTTGAGAAATAAACTTATTTTTAAGTTCAAACTTAAAATAAATTTATTTTAGAAAATAAACTTGTTTTCAAGTTCAAGCTTAAAAATAAATCTATTCTGAGAAATAACCTTAATTTTAAGTTCAAACTTGAAAATAAATTAAAATAGGAAAACACACAATTGCTGTTGTTCGAGATGTTGTTCAGAGGAATGGTTCAATTCTTAGTCATCCCCAATTACCTATTATTAATAAAAGATTGGAATTTGATGGAAAAATAAGAACACATTTGGATGGGTCTTTTGTTATTGAAAGTATAATAAATTTAATTTAAAAAATTAATTAAAAAAAAATTAATTTAAAAAAATAAAAAAATTAATTTAAAAAATTAAATTTAATTATTAATAAATTTAATTTAACTTAATTTTAATATTTTTTTCAGCTACCCACAGTTTGCCTGGAAATAATTATATAACAATACCTCTAGAAAATGATAAAAAGAATGGAAAACAGATTTGTAGAAGTATTTCTGAAGTACCCGAAAAATATCAAGGAAATGTGTTTAATGGAAATAATAAATTGAGGAAAAATAGAAATAGAGGAATAAGTGAAGCTGAAAGTGTTTTGAGTGTTACAAATTATGTTCCTCAAAAATTAGAATTGTGTAAGTCTAACTTGAAACAATTTTAAATTTTGAAAATTCAAAATTGTTATCAGTGAAAGTTAAAACTTGAAACTATTTAAGTTCAAACTTGAAAATATTCTTTTTCCAAGATTACAAACTTGAAACAAATTCTTTCAGAAATTAAACTTGAAAGTTTTAAGTTCAATCTTAAACTTTATTTCATTCTAAACTTTATTATTTTTTGTAGCACCAAGAGGTTTTCTTCATTGGCTTCTTCCTGCCCACGACAGAAAAGAGGATGCAAAAACGCTTCAGCTTTTCAGCTCCATTCAGGTCTTTACTGCATGTTTTGCTGGATTTGCACACGGTTCTAATGATGTTAGGTGTGTTTAGTTTAATATTTTTCAACTAGTAAGTGTTTCAAGCTTGACAAAGTTTAATTATGAGATTCTAAGTTTACAAACTTATTTTAAAAATCAAGTTTAAACTTATATTTTTAAGTTCAAACTTAGAATTTTATTAACACCTACCAATAATTTTATAGTAACGCAATAGCCCCGCTCACGGCCATGTTAGCTATCTACCGAGAGATGAGTGTCCAACAGAAAGAACCTACTCCTATTTATGTTCTACTTTATGGGGTGTTTGCAATGTGTGTTGGACTTTGTGTATTAGGCCATAAAGTGATTAAAACTGTTGGACAAAGAATGTCCTCAATACATGCTGCCAGTGGGTTTACAATTGAATTTGGCGCTGCCGTAACAGCTTTGCTAGCTAGTAAAGCTGGATTACCTATTTCTACAACTCATTGTTTGGTTAGCTTATTATTAAAGAGATTGAATAAAAAAATTAAGTTTTAAGTTTAAACTTAATAATTTAAGTTTTAATTCATTATAAATTAAGTTTTAAGCTTGAACTTAATAATTCAAGTTTTAATTCCTTAAGAATCAAGTTTTAAGTTTAAGCTTAAAAATTCAAGTTTTGTTTCTTTAAAAAATAAAGTTCAAGTTTAAACTTAACAATTACAGTTTTAATTATTAAAGAATTAAGTTTGAAGTTTAAACTTAAAAATTTAAGTTTTAATTCATTATAAATCAAGTTCTAAGTTTAAACTTAATAATTAAAGTTTTAATTCTTTAAAAAATTTAAGTTTTAAGTTTAAGCTTAATAATGCAAGTTTTAATTCTTTTAAAATTAAGTTTCAAGTTTAAACTTAAAAATACATAAAAATTAATTTTTTTCTAAAGGTTGGCAGTGTAGTAAGCGTTGGATGCATTAAATCAGGTGAAGGCATTAAATGGTCAATCTTTCGGAATGTTGTATTCTCCTGGCTAGTTACTTTACCTGTTGCTGCATTAATATCTGCGGGTAATATTTAAAATAATATTTAGTAAATTATATTTAATAATTTAAAGGAATTATGCTGCTTTTGAAGCTTCTTGTTTTATAAGCAAAAAATTTTTTGTACAACAAAAATACTAGATTATTTATTTTTCTGTCAGATCTCTTATCTACTATCATTTTTTAAAAATTTTCCATGTTCTTAATTCACTTTTTACTATAAAAATTTTTTTTCGAATAAAAATACTTTTTACATGAGAAAGTCCTCCAAAATAAAGTACAGCACGTGTAATCGATGAATAGATTGTGGCGATGTGTAGAATAAGAATAATGGGGGTAGCACGGAGATGTTGTCATTGTAGTCGATTTTTTATTCCATTCTCACATGCATTTTATTGCCGGAAATGCTTAAAAAATAGTTCAGGCTTCGATTAAAACTATCGCAAAGTCTAAACCTACTTTTCAAGTTTGAACTTGATAAAGTTTTCAAGTTGTATTTTATAATTTATTTTTCAAGTCTGAACTTAATAAATTATAAGTTTGAACTTAAAAACAATACTTTTCAAGTTTGAACTTTAAAAAGTTGTATTTTATAATTTATTTTTTAAGTTCGAACTTAACAAATTTTAAGTTTAAACTTAAAAACAAACTTTTCAAGTTTGAACTTGATAAAGTTTCAAGTTGTATTTTATAATTTATTTTTTAAGCTTGAACTTAATAAATTTAAAGTTTAAACTTGAAAAGTTTTTAAGAATAAAACTTGCTTAATATTTAAATTGAGACTATAAAACAACTTTAAATTCAAGAATTAAATTTGCTTCAAGTTTATAATCTCCGTTTGCTTTAATTAAATATTAAAAATATTTTCCATGTCAATCTTCTAAAAATTTTTTATTCAATAAAAAATTTATTTTAAAAATAATGTTGCAACAACAACAAAACCATCATCCAGGAGCAGATATGTTTCTCCTTTTCTACATTAAACGCCGAATTGAAAAAGACTCCAATCTCGAATGGTTTGAAGCTCCTTATTGCGCAGAAGATGATCCCCCTCAAGAATGGTTGCTTCTCGAACAAGCAGCACTTATTTTTGAGCATGATAATCGAAAAGAAATTGAAGAAACAATGATTAATAGACTTGTACCTTTGGGAAGACTTAACTTTAGAAGCTTCCGAATGGTTTTTCAAAAAGTTTAAAAAAATCCTTAAAAATTATTTTTAAGATTGTTCGTCACTATCTAGACTTATTAAGTCAACGAATGGACAAATCCATTGCTTTGTTAGCGTTGATAGCTTTTACTGGGTTATATGCTAGACGATTAGCTGAATTGGATGCTTCACAATGTGGGGAAGAGGATGAAGAAAATTCTAATAATAAACTGCCGAGAGATTATAGACGTGAAATTTATCAAGTTTCAATTTATGGTTCGGGCATTTTGCTATCTACGATTGAGGGTTCTTGGGTATGTATTACAATTTTATAAAGGGAGGTTAACTATGGAAACTTAAGATTTAAAACTTGCTTCAACTTTGTTTTCAAGTTAAAACTTGAGTTTAAAAAAGCTTAAAAAATTCTTTAAGTTCAAGCTTAAAACAAACGGTAATAGTTTGGAATTCGCCCCCCCCCCCTATTTTTTTCCTTTCCATTTTTTCCTAGTTTTTTCTCATTTTATGGCAAATTATATATCATTCGAAAGAGCTCTTCGAGCTGAGTCGAATGACATTAAAATTAATGAAATCTGGCTTAAGTGAACAAAGTTGTGATCGTTTATTTTATCCACTTGCATTGGCACAAAAAGTTTACCCAAAATAGGATTTAGCTTCATAATTTTGGTAAGACTGATTAGATCTAGAAATCATGGTATCATTCGACCAGGCTCGAAGAGCTCTTTCAAATGATATATAAATTATGTATAAAACAAAAAAGCTCAAAATGGTCAGGGAAACGGTGAAAAAAAGGAGGGCGAATTCCAAACTATTACCAAACAAACTTTTTAAGTAGAAACTTGTTTCAAGTTTAAGATCAAACTTTAAAAATTAAGTTTGTAAACTTAAAGTTTGCAAACTTCTTAATTATTAAAACTTAAGTTACCATTTTTATTTAAAACTTGCTTCAAGTTTGATTTAAGAAAAATTCTAGTTGGTTTTTTCAGTTAATTCTTAAGTTTAAGCTTAAAACTTGCTTTCCAACTTGTTTCAAGTTTTAGATTAAACTTTGAAATTCGAGTTTGCAAACTTTAAGTTTACCAACTTTTTTTAAATTTTTTTTCAAGACAAGTTAAGTTTCAGGTTTATTAAAACTTAACATTGAAAGTTTCCCAATTAAAATGCGCTTCAAGTTTTAATTGTTTTTATTTTCTCTAGGAAAGTTTCTGTACTGACATTGCGAAAGTTGTTAATCAAATTGTTTTACAAAAACAACAACAATCACTTGCTCGCTCAAATAACAGAATTTATGGGCTAGCTGCAGTTTGTGGGGTTGGCGCCATTGTTGCTTCATGTCTTTTGATTCGCCGATTAAATTTATAATGAAAATAAATTCTTTAAATTTGATTTTTCTCGAGAATTTCTCAAAATTTATGGTTTATTTTACTCAATTTTTCAACCAATTTTTGATTTTTCTGTACATATATTTATTCAAAATAAACTAAAATTATATTTTTTAACGTGGATATACTTTTTCATAAATTATATGTGTATGTAAAAGCATTCGGTGAGTGAGCGTTGACATATGCAGCCGTGATTCCAAATGACTTTCGTTTAGGAGAATCCACTCGCGCACCATCTAGAATTAAATTCATAATTTAATTGATATCAGTTTCCATCATTCCCATTTTTATTCTAACCCCAGACCTCGGAGCAGGACGAATCAGACCTTCCCAAAACCGTACACAAACGCCGAAACTACATAATGGATTATGGCATAGACCATTTTTCGTGTTCCGTTTTGTCTTATTTTGCCCATGTGCCCTTTTGTCGGAAACTAGATTTTAGATAAAATGAAGTTTACATTTTTGATTTTTATTTTAGTTACCAATTTGATTGTTCTTCCTTTGAATAATTTCAAAATATCGACACACGTTATAAATTCATTTTATCTATTTTTATTTGGGTATTTCACAACAATTTTTGTTTTATTTTCTAATTTTTTTTTCTAAAATTTTAGATTTTTAAAATTATTTCAGCAAAATGACAACAGTTTCGCGTGCAGAATATTTAAAGAAATATACAACAAATTTATCAGAAAAACCAAAAAAGAGCAAATCAAAAACTAAAAAATCAACAAATTCGAATGTTGGAATGCGTTTACTTGATGAAGACACGTTTATTCGAAGCAAACCGGGGACTAGTAGAAATAAATTAGAGGACGAATTTGAGGAAGAGGATGACGAGGAAATGGATGATGTTGAAAGAGCAATTCGTTTATTGAATAGAAAGGCAGAACTTACACGTAAAAATAAGAAAGAAGATGCACCAGTTTTTAAAAGTGATGGATTTGTTGTTATTCAAGGTTACAAATTTTTTATTATTTTTTATTTTTGGTATTTTCCTATTCCTCCTTTAATTTTTGATAAGTACTTATTTTTGTAGGGGAGTGGGACAGGTATATCCATTTGGGTGAGTCGGGCTATGGATGGATTTTTCTATAGCCGAACTTTTTTCGCACCCGGACCTGGTCCTTTTTAAGGGTCCAGTCCTTTTTTACCTTAGATTTAGCCTATGTTTTTTTTGAATACAGGCTCAATTTTTTAAAAATTAATTCAGACCAGGTTTAGGCTATCAAGTTTTCGTTCTTCTGATCTTGCTGCCACATTCCATAGAATGCTCAGCAACCATTTTTCTAAATTTTTAATCATTAAATTAAGGGCCACCTGACGACCCAGATGAAGAAAAATCACCAAACTCTGCCTCTATCTTAAAAAAAGATATTAAGGAAGAAATTGATGAAGAAAATATTGATCAAGAAGAGCCTTCAAAAAAGCGAAGAAAAATGGACGATGGCCGAAAAGCTGGACTTTTGAGTAAAGAAGTTGCAAAAGAAGAAATTCAAAAAATGCGTGAACGTGGCCAAAAGGTTTGGGGAAATCATTATTTTCTTTGTTTTTTAGTGGAGAGGTTTTTTTATCGTTTATGAGGAATTTTCTTGAGACAATATTTTTCAAAATAATAAAATTTCGGGGTTTTTAAAATCTAATTTCTTCGATTTTATAAAAAAATTTCAGGAAAAAGCCCAAGCAGACGAACAAGGCCGTGATGCTGAAACTCGCAAACGAGTGACAGGTTTTGACAGAGGAAGAAGGGGCAGAAGAGAAGAAGAAAATTCTGAAGAAAAAAAGGCTAGAGAAGCTCGAGAAGCTGCAAAGCAAGCAGAAATGGAGAAAAAATATTCTCTATGGAATAAAGGAATAGCTCAAATAAAAGAACGAGAAGAAAAATTGGATGAAATGGAACAAGTTTTGGGGGAAGGATTTACAAGGCATAAAGACGATGAAGCTTTAAATGAACATTTAAAAACACAATTACATTCAGAAGATCCTATGGCCGAATATTTTCGTGTTAAAAATCATAAAATACAAATGAGGACAGGAATTGGTTTGTTTTTTACTTTTATCTTTTCTATGGTTAACAGCCCCTTCCTCTTCCTCGATATATCATTTTTTCCTGGATCCTAAGCCAAGATCAAGGCATTTTTCAGTGTTCCTTGATTTTTCCTTGACTTAAGGTCAAGAACCTGGACATGGTCCTCACCCAAAATCAAGGATTTTTAGAATTACTATCTTTGATTCTTTTGATTGTTGGCTTAAATTAATAAAAATATTTTTCTGGGAAAGATTCATGGAAAAAATCTGAAAAATTACATGGCCTAGGTAAAATTACATGGCCTTTGTTGAATTCTATAGTTATGAATTTAAGCCTTTTCTGACACCATTCTTGACACTCCTATCGTTTCTCATCCCACAATTACTTATTTTTTTCTTAATTTTCCCTATTTCAGTTTATCCAACATATAAAGGCCAATGCCCACCAAATCGTTATGAAATTAAACCAGGTTATAGATGGGATGGTGTTGATCGTTCTAATGGTTTTGAATCAAAAATGTCTTTGGAAAAGAATAAAAAGATTGCGCATAAAGAATTAACGTATCGATCTATTGCTGAATGTGAATAATTTGTTTGTGTGAGGTTTTTTTAATTTTCTTTTAATTTTTATATTCAAAAATAATTTAAATAAATACTTTTTTCGATTAATTATATTTTTACTTAAATTTAGTGAAAATTAGGATGGGTTTTTAACTTTGTGGTAGGGTCTCGTTTATCCAGGGAAAATTTTCGAGTGGACTAGTTCAGTTATCTTTCGTAAGTTTGTACATATGTCTGGATAAAAGACCTAGACGTAATATAGATCAAAAATCCTTGTTAAAAAATTTTATTCTCGCCAATAAAATTTTTGAGTGATTAAACTCCTGTTTCTAGTCCAGCTTTTTTATTTTGAGAAACTCATTTGAAGTTTCCTTTTATTTTCTTTTAGGAGACTCAAAATAAATTTTTTTTATTAGGCCACCTTTCCCCTCATTATTATTTACCTTTTTAAAAATTTTTACTTTAAATAACCTACCCTTCGGACAGGCAAATCTCTAGAAAATTTAATCCGTCCAATCCTTTGTAATTCAAAACGTATACTTTTATCTTTTTCTTCACCTTCCTCAATTGTTACAAAACCTTTTTAAAATTTAATTTTCAAAAAAATTTCTTTAAATTTAAATCCCAACCATTACTCATTACTGTATTCATTGAAATTAGTGAAGTATTGGGTGATCCAGCAATAAAACCATTTTCGCTGTGTAATTCAGTTAAATTATGTTCTGAATTATCCCAGGCAAAAGCACTTTAAAAGGGATTTTTTAATTTTATTTATTCAAAAATGAAGAATATACAAAGAAAGGAAGTCTTTTATTTTGTTCAATTAACCCCCCCCCTCCCCACCTCGTTTTCAAAAAATTATTTTTCCTTTTCCCCCAACCCGAAACCTGTATTTTTTCGATTCTAAACCCCAATCCGAAGGAAATTTGAAAACCTGACCCGACTTTTTTTCTCAATCCGTCTCATCCCTATCAACAAATTCCCACTTCCTTCAAATTAATTTTATCCTATAAACCCGATCGAGCTTTTTCTTAGGAATTTTTTTTCACTCTAATATTTTCTAACACACATTTTCTAATGTTGTTTATTTCCTTCATAGAAATAAGAAATAAAAGATCAGAAAATATAAAATCACAAAAACCCCTTAGTAAAAATTTTTTTTCAATTTCCTTAGTTTCAAAAAATTATTTTCCCCTTCAAAAAATTATTTTAAATTCTTTAATAAATTCTATTAATAATTTACCTATAATTCAAAACAGGCATTTTCATTACTGTACTTAAACTAAAATCTAATTCTTCTCCATAAGTAAATTTAGGAATAGTTGGAAAATCAGCCTTTCCTCCAAAATCACTTCTCCAACGGCCAATTAAAAAGGCTAATTTGTGTAGAGATGGAGGGGTTTTTCTTAGATCATATTCTGTTTTTTTAATTTAAAAATTATTTTTTTTTAAATTTATTTTTTACTTTCTTCAATATCCGGAAATTCTAAAGTATTATTTCCACATATTCGACAAGAAAGTCGACAAAACGGAAGCATTTCCAAATCCTCTTCGCATCTATCTGGTTGGTGGGCGACCCATAGAGCGCTTAAAAAATTTTTTTTGAATGTTGAGATAAGTAAGAGATTTAAAATAAATTTATTTTAAGTCGGGATAAGTCAGAGAGTTGGATATTACTAATATAAATATGCCTCGTTTAAATATCCCATTATCTGAGTACTTTCTTGCACACCTCAAACAAGAGGTGAGCGAAGGCGACTAGTAATAAACTGTCGTAATGTCTCAGGATCAATTCTTGTTCGGGGCTTTATTCTAGTCAGAAATTTGCTCATAGTCTTTACTAGTAGAGATTTGAAGACGCTACAATTTTGAAGTTTCTTTAATAGATAAGAGAGGCAACCTTATAAGAGAGGATTTTATAAGAGCAATTTTATAAGGCCAACTTAGATAAGAGAGGCTATTTTGTGTTTTTTCAACTCCTCTGTTTTCTCACTCTTTTTGACTTAACTTTCACCTTAGGCCTTGATTAGTATAGACGGTCTTTGAAATACTCAAAAAATAACCAATTCATGTCCTTATCACGACACCGCTGAGGTCTAGGTCTAGGAGTCATTGTTGTTGTTGTAGTGGTTGTAGTTGTGCTGGTTGTGGTTGTAGTGGTGGTTGTTGTACTTGTAGTTGTTGTTGTAGGTCTGGACCAAGTTCTCGGTTTAACAACTTCATCACTTGGGGGGATTGTTGCCAAACTTGTTGTACTTTTAGAAAAGGCTTTGACTCTAACAAAATATTTTGATGAAAAGATTATTAAAAATAAAATTGTAATAAATGAAAATTGCCGGAATTTATTGATAGTTTTGATTGACATTTGAAATTTTAAGAGGGGGGAATTGAGATCCCTAAAATTATTTCAAAAATTGTTTGAAATTTTATATAAACTTTCTTACGATTCTACATGAAGTATTATGTTAACTTTTCGAAAATTAAAAATTATCTTGGATTTTTAATGTGTAAATAAGAGAAGAGATTTGAAAAAGCTCATCGAGTTGAGTTGAAAGGTACCAAAAATATCGCAATCGGGAAATTCTTGACATTGTTATGAATGATTAATTGTCAGCTGATTTAGGGATTTTACAAGAATTTAGAAAGATTTCTTGAATGGGCAAAAACGAAATTTTTCATCTTAATTGAATTCGACCCATTTAAGTTTGATCTTTGGTTTTCAAGTATTTTAATAATGAAATACGTAATCCAAAAGCCGCCTTTCATTTTATTCAATTTTTGTAATGGCATTAAAAATAGTAACCCTGGTTAATTATTATTTCAACCTCTTGTTATAGGGAGTAATTAAGTAAAAGGGGGGTTTATTCAATTTTTGTAATTTGAACGTGTAGTAGTAGTGAATTTTGGGGAAGGGTATTTGAGGAAGATTGATACTCTAACCTTTTCGCTGAAGGGGGTAACTATTCGAGCATACAGGAAAATGTCAATCTAAGCATTAATTTACGTGAATGGGGGGGGGGGACAATAAATAAAAATAAAAACAATCAAAAAAAATCCAAAAAGCGAAAAAGATTAAAACCTGATTATATACTATTTGGTCTATAAATATTAAAAGCTTTTTTTGCGAAAGTTGAAAGGGAAAGAGATATAAACGAATAAAAAAGGATGATTAAAAAGCAGGAAATAAAAATAAATTATAACCAAAAAAGGTTGATTTATTTAATTAAAGTTGTATTTATTTACAGTCGTGGAAAAAAGTATGGAAGCGCTAGAAAATTTTTTCTTAATTCTTAATTTTGAATTCAAAAAATACGTTCTATATATCAATCGAAAGCTCTATTCGTATCTCAGTTGACATGTTTCTGCATTTTTCATGAAAATGAAAATTGGCCGAGATAATCCGGATCTACCGGATATACCAAATCCCACTTTTTCGGAAAAATTTTTCGGAACAAATTTAACAAACCCAAATGATAAAGCATATTTTTCTGAGTATTTTCAACAAAACCGCTTAAAAATATCTTTTTCCGGAGCAGAGATATGATTTTTTGAAAATCGCATTTTTCGTCTATTTTTGCAAAAAATTCAATTTTTAAGCGAAAAATGCGATTTTCAAAAAATCATATCTCTGCTCCGGAAAAAGATATTTTTAAGCGGTTTTGTTGAAAATACTCAGAAAAATATGCTTTATCATTTGGGTTTGTTAAATTTGTTCCGAAAAATTTTTCCGAAAAAGTGGGATTTGGTATATCCGGTAGATCCGGATTATCTCGGCCATTTTTCATTTTCATGAAAAATGCAGAAACATGTCAACTGAGATACGAATAGAGCTTTCGATTGATATATAGAACGTATTTTTTGAATTCAAAATTAAGAATTAAGAAAAAATTTTCTAGCGCTTCCATACTTTTTTCCACGACTGTATTTACCTTGTATTTTTGGTAGGCGTCTAGACGCGGTCTGAGTAGGCGCGAGTTTGGATAAAATGAACTAATGAGCACCTAAATTCATGAAATTTGGCATGGACATCAACAGGAATGTTTTCTAAGTTGTGTAAAAATTTGAGAATTTTTGGGCAATTATTTTTGGAGTTAGGAAAGAAAGTGTTCGTATACCCTTTAAAAATGTCGGTTTTTTGTATATTTTTATTTTAAAAAATATTTGAGCAAAAATTTTAAAATTTTTGGAGAATATAGTTAAACACTATATTTTGTACTCTTTTCCGTTATATCCCCACAAATCTTTAGCTTGACTTTACCATAGGCCACAATTTTGTTTAAAATTATTGAATCAAACTGATTTTAGTTGGTGTCATTCTAACTCAGTCTACGAGCTCTTTCGAATGAACTTTTATTTCTATAGTCGAAAATTTTACCGCAAAAATTTACTCAAGCCTATGTTTTTCAATCTTCTGGGACCTATATCTCAGTCCCCAGATATTTCTGATCATGGAATGGTACCATTCGACCTGTCCGATGAGATGGATTTAAAAATATTTATAATAAATGACTGAGAAAGAAGGAGAAAAGTATTGCGGACGTGTGGGAGAGGGGGGGAGGGATAATGCGATAAAACCAAATGTAATGTCAAGTTTATCAAATTTAATTATAAAAATGAGATTTATGTATAAATATAATAAAGGCAATTCTGGTCAAAGGCAATTTTGGTCGAGATCACAATTAGTCAGTCTCTAATTTAACTCCACCCAATTTAAATCGGTTTTTGGGAGAAAAAATTTTTGTTCCATCCGATTTAAAATCTAGATTTTCCCAGATTCAGAGTCAAAAAAGGTAAAACAAAAGAGGTTTCGTATCAGGTCAGAATTTATTTTAATTTCTAAAAAACATAATAAGTTGGTTAACTTCAAATAAGCTTGGCTATGTTATACATTCTCCCAATAATTACAAAAGGAGTGAAATTGAGACTGGATTGTAAGTAATAAAAACACTAAAATACTAAATTATTCTAACATAAATTAATTCTGTCAATAAATATTCTATCTTAGATTATTCTCTACTTTCATCTTTCGAACCACATCACTAACAGCATCCACTTTCGAGTCAATAAATTTTGTTTTGTTCTCCAAAACCGTTTTGTTTGTAATAACTGTGTTGTTCAATTGATTAAAAACATTCATTAATTCTTGATGGTTGTTGTTCATGTCCGTTCTTAATTGTTGATTTTCTTGACTCAACTGTTGATGGTTGTTATTTATTTGTTCTGTTAATTGCTGATTGCCGTTGTTAATATGATTTCGCATTTCATTATTGTTTTCTCGCATACCAATTATTAGATGATTATTTGTAGTCATTTTATCATCTAATCTGTGATAGTTGTCATTAGATTCAATTCTCGCTGAATTCATTTTGTCGCTTAAGCAAATATATATTTGAAAAAAGGTAAAGATGCACATAATAAATAAAGCAACAAAGGCGAGTACAACAGAAAGCACTGTAGAAAAATCTACCATACTCGTTGTTACATTATTAGATTCATTATTTGACGCTTTAGAGCCAGAATTAACTTCATATTTATACAAAGCATTTTTGTAATGATGATTGTCTGTAGCAGTTCCAAAAACATCAAAAGATATCACAGAAATGTTTACCTAAAATATTTGAATATATTCAGATAATTTGAAGGCTTATTTTGAAGGCTTAAGGGAAAGGCTTACTAGACTACCTTTGAAGGCTTACTAGGAACTATATGTTACTGTAAGTACGAATTCGGTATTTTTTTGGTAACATTCGATAGAGGACCCCCGACTTCCTATTGGATAGTGCTAAAAATTCCTTGATAGAATTTTTAAAATGACTAGGTAATTTGTTCTTATTCGTTTACGGAATTTCAACAAATTTATATAAAAATTTAAATAATTCAAAATACCTCATTATTTGAATTCATTTCAATTATTTTTTGGCCAAAAATTGCTTTTACATTATTTAAGAAATTTTCTGCGTCTATAATATATTTCCCACTAGGTAAACAAACAATTGTAGCAGATCCAAGATTATCTGTCAACCATCGATAAAACCATTTATGACCAACATTCTGACTAAATGGATATTCAGCACCCATTTGAGGTTTAGTAAACTGAATTAAAAAAACTTTTATTAGAATTGTATATTTTTTAAAAATGACTGAAAAGGTAGAAAGTTAACGGGTACACCCCAAGGTACCGCCGAGCTATAACTTTGTTCAAAATTGTCGAATCCGTTACGCCCTGGTATGGTTCGATTCAGCTCGTCGAGATGCATCGAACCATACCATGGCGTCCCGGATTCGACAATTTTGAAAAAATTTATGGTTCGGCGGTACCTTGGGCTCGTGGTACCTTGGCCTGTTCTAAAGTTAACCCCTCCTACATAAATTAGTAAAAATAAAAATATACATTAATCTCATTATCAGAGCTTAAAAGAACAGTTGAAGTTGGAAATGGATTTCCCTCCTTATCCTTTACGTTAACAACCAAATTGTAACCATCCAAACGAAAATCGGGATTAACTGTCACTGGCACGGATCCAACAGTAATTTTAACAGTTCCTTGATTCAAACACAATTTTGGAGCACTGAATGGTGAAATAACGTAATCACCTTAAATTAAAATTTTCCCGTTAATTCAGTAAAATTTTAGGCAAATTATAACCTGGACGTGTAACAAAATTATAGTTTCCTTCCTTATCAACATCAGTCTTTACAAGTAAATTTCCCTCTTGATAAAGGCCCATAACCAAAGAAGTAATTTCCCCGTTCGAAACTTTGCCCGAAACTTGAATTCCAGCTAATTTAAAATTTAATTGTTGAGAACAGACATTGTTGTCAATTTCAATTTCTTTAACCTCAGGGTCTATAAAAATTAAAATTTGTAAAAAAACAAATAAACTCAAAATATACCAAAAATATATCCATCTGGAGCTATAATTTTCACCAAGTATTTCCCTTCGTCATAAAATGGAACTTGAAAATATCCACCTCGCAGGTCACATTTGGCAACATACTCCAGATTTCCAAGATATGTATTAACCTTTACCTTAAAATTTTATTTAATATGTAAGAATTTTAATTAAAATATAAACCTTAATTTCTGAAAATTCAATCTCAATTGTCGATTCAATAAATCCTTCACACGTAATAACACTGGAAGAAATTTTGTGGACATAAAATAACAAGTAGAATATTGAGACATAAAACAACATCTAAATATTTTTTACAAAATTATGAAAAATGATTAAAGTCTAATAATCTAATCAATATTAAATATGTATGTATAAACCGTCACAAAATAATTCACGAAGTTGGTTAAAAATAAAATGAAGAAAAAAAAACGGAACGACACGGGTAATCAATAGCTCGGCGAGGGACGACTGAGTTACGCCAGTTGAGTCCCCACCCGAAAGGGAACGATTGAGTCCCGCATTTTTCTAGTATTTGGAGGGATTAAGGAGGATATAGATAGATTTTGAGGAATCAAGGTGGATATGAGATATTTTGATGTGATACAGAGGGATTAAGAGGGTCAACTCAAGACTTTACTTGAGTTATTCGATCGTATGGTCACAGACTAGAACGGTAAATAGCGAACAAAATGTCATTTACTGCGGCAGAACGCCAATCAACTAAAAATAGCTCGATTAATTTTTTTCTCTAATTTTCTCTTGTTTTTCCATACTCTTTTTATGTAATTTTTACAAATCCGAAGTTATTGGATTTGAAATATATCTCGGAAACTAATCCTATCATTAAAAACCATTTCATAGATAAGATTTTATAAAAAAATTTTGTGAATTTTCATATTTTCTAAAAAAAAGTTAATGTGGACGAAATTTCATGAAATTTTCATATGAGGCTTAGTTCATCTATGAACAAAATTGTTGAAGCCAGATGGGCGAAACAAGAAGAGAGAAAGGCGAAAAATATTTCTAATTAGCAAAAAGGAAAGAATCGTGCAAAAAATCAGGGATCAGTTGATTTTTTAAAGTTTATTTTTAATCGTTATTTTTACAAATCTCAGCCATTATTTCAGCTGCATGTCAAACAAATAGTGAGGAAAAGGTGAAAGACGCTGCAGTACAAGCTTTTCATCCTCCATTGAAAGAAGCTGCAGTACGAACAATCTTTCTTCCATTGAAAGAAGCTGCAGTACTAACAATTCTTCTATTGAAAGACGAGTCAGTTCAAAGTGAGCAGCCAATAATGCAAGATGCTTGTGTTTTGTTCAAACTGAACCTATGGAACGATATACTCGCAAGTATACGAGAATTTATTCTTGAAATCCCAATTAAAAAATTTAAAAGAAAATATAATTCAAGCAAAAAGGAGAAGCAGTGTAAGGAAGCAGCATTGAAGCCAAGAAAATTACTCGAAGAATTAAACAATAAGCAGAAAATTAAGAGTTGATGAGAATGCTAAATTTATCAAAAACCATAGTCCTAGTTAGTTTTTTTTTATTTTTTTATAAAAATCAGGCGCCGAGCGTGGTTCGTGTCATCAATTGATTAGAATTTTGAGCAAAAAATTGTTGGAGAATCACCGCTAAAGGAAAATAAATTTAATGTTGAAGACGACCTTTATGTCTCACTTTATTGTGGCATTTCCTTTAAATAAAGAAAAATATTGAAGAAGGAATTTTTTGTTCAAATTATAAATTTCTTGAATCTCTGAATTTTATTGTGATTTTTGTCCCGATTTTAAAAAGCGAGCGGCGAAATGCGAAATTTTTTAGTCTCTGCTATGAGAAATCTCTTGAGATCCTTTGGTCAAATAATTTCAAAGCTTTGATTTAATTTTCCATGTCTCATTCTTAATTCATAAAGCAGGGGATCTGTAGAATTAAGGAGGATATTAGATCTGGACGGATATCGGGGAAACCCGGACCATTTTCGACCTGGAACCCAATCCGATCTCAACCAGTGAAAAAAATTTTCCGTCAATTCTCTCAATTTGTCGTTGCCTTTTTTTAATTTTTGTAAAGTCCAAATATCTTTATCGCCATTTGCCTCTCATTAATTACATTTTTAATGAAAATTAATTTTTTGCATTGAATAAATGAAAAATTTAATAAGTATCTGAATAATTAATATGGACGAACATCTTTATAGCCTTCTATAAGCAAACAAATTAAACAAAATTTTATACAAATAAATATTCAAATTGATAAAAAAAATAAAGAAATATTTTTCGAGGCTCCCCACAATGATTATTTTTTTCTCGAAAATTAATAACGATTAAGAATTTTTAAACGCTTTTTCTACCAATTTAAGCGCGAAATCACTATTTTCATTTTTCAATTTCTTCCATTCATTACTATTAAAAAAATTCGTTCGATTATTTGCAATATATTTAGTACAAGCCTGTTAAAAAATACATATTAAAATTACATTTTTTAATTCCAAATGGTATGAAAAGTTAATATCTTCAACAGAAATCGCGACACGATTTACGATTCACAAAAATTGTGAATTCGGAATTTTCGGGAATTCACGATTCCTGAAATTCGGGAATTTGATTTTCTGTCAGCGCGATCCCTGATCTACAACATTAATCTTATTTTAAAATTTCTGATTAATCTTTTCCTTTTTTAAACGTTCCTTTAAAATTCTAATAATATTTTTAAATACCTCTTCTAATTTTGGAGGGCTATATAATTCAATACAATTGCAAAGTACATTAAAGTTTGTAGCGTCTAAATAAAATTAAATTTTGTGTATAGGTTGTTGTATAGTTAAAAGTTTGGAAACTTCCGGATCCAATTAAAAAAATTTTTTTATTTTAATTCAGACCGGATTTTAAATCCCTACTCGGATTCCGGTCCAATTTCTAGCTCTAATAGTCATCGAACTTATTCTAAACTTTAAATTTGTTTTTTTCGAGATTGGATTTTAATAGGGAAGAAAAAAATTTTAATTTTACAAAATATCCCCATAAAATTAAAAAATTCTTCCCAAAAATATTTTTAATAAAGTAAAGCAGCTGGACTATAGCTATTTCCCTCCTTTAGCTAGTGCAAAAGGTTAATCGGCGGCTGGGAGCGAACCAGCATCTTCAGTAGACGGGACTGCTGTGTTAGCCAACACCACGAAGCCTACTGCACAGCCTTAGGAAATAAAAAACCTATATGCTTTACATTAAGAAATTAATTTTTTTAAATATTTAATTACCAATATTCGAAATCATAAATTTTTCACAAATTTCCATTAAATTTATAACTTCATATTTATGAGCAATTCCAAATAATTCAATGACAGAATTTTTCAATATTACTTAAAATTATTAAAATAATTATTTTAAAAATTTAAATTAAAAAAAACTTTTATCAATTTCACCACTATAAAAATATTCAATCATTGCCCGAAAACATTCAACAGAACAGTCGACTACTTTAATTTCACCCTAAAATTAATTTTAATGAATAAATCTTAAAAATTGTAAAAGTTTTAACCAAAAAATTTTTTAATGAGTCCCAAAGAAAATTTAAATAAAGAAATTTAATAGTTAGGGTAATATACTTAGGTTGGAACATAAATAAGGAACTAACAACCTTGACATAAAGATTCATAACTTTTACTAAATATTTAAAGGACCATTATATATCATTTACATTTTTATCAACAAGGATGTCTTTTTGTACTTCTGACAAATTAATCTCCTATGATTTCTTATTTTTTGCCGCAACTCTCTTATTATAAAGAAAAATAATTTGAATTCTGTTAACATTTTTTGAATTCTAATAATTATTTAATCTGTTTGACTCGAGAGGGCTTAGTATTTACGTTTCAGATAATTTTTCCCTTACATTTTGTGCTTCAATCATTCCTTTCTGTTCAAACATTTTGTAAAATACTTTACTATTTTGGGCCAAAACAGAACGATGAGCGTTTATTTTCTCGTCTCCAATCTGTAAAATAAACAAAAATTAATTAAGGAAATGATTGAAATATTTTCCACTATATTTTCACTCTTTTAATTTTTATAATGGGAGCAAGCCAATATACAGCGAGCCCATTATAACTTCGTTCAAAATTTTCGAATCCGGGACGCCCTGGTATGGTTCGATGCGGCTCGACGAACTGAATCAAACTATACCTGGGTCTCCCGGATTAGACATTTTTGAACGAAGTTATAGCTCGACGGTATATTGGGGTGTACACTTTAGAATAAATAAATTAGAAAATTGTTAACTTAACAGAAATATTTTATGTAATATTTCTTGTTTCACTTTTAAAACTTTAAGTTTTTTATACAAAATTTTTGTCAATTTACATACTTTAATAACACAGTCAGTAAAAGTTTCGTGTTTAAACATGTCCATAAATGATTTTGTTATTGTTGTACTAAAATTATTTTCTACTTGAATTGTTTCAGCTTTTAAATTATAAGGCACAAATTCAATTTCGCAATAAAACAAAATAGAACCTTAGAAGAATATATATTAATATTAGTTTTTAAATAAGGGGTGCTTGTGTACATAGTTTACATCCCATAAGCACTGCAAATTTTTCTTCTTTTTCTTCTAAAGTGACATTTGGGTCAATCTGTATTAATATTTATTTACATTACACTATGGCGATAAATCCGAGCTCTGCTGTTTAGATTTTTCTTTAATTTTTTAAGATAGTGAACAGTTTCGGAAGTATGTATTATGGAATTTTATGGGCATAGGTTCTAACATTGACATGGGTTCTAATTTCTGAAGCCAGTACATGCTCCTCTTTCATCACCTTATAAGAAAATAAGAGAAAAGAAAAAGTTGCAGGGCTTTGGAATGTAAACTAGACAAGTACCACTTAAAGCAATTTTAAGTGAAAAATAAATAGGGATTAAATAGAAATAATAGAATAATTTAACAGTATTCGAAACAGGGATCTACTTAACTGAATAAATTCCCAAAAATTGGGAATCTATATTGGGTTAATTAAACCCTTCCTAGTATATTTTATTTCTCAAATCGCAGAAAATTAAAAAATCAGAGCCTAACATTGTTTTATTATTTTATTAAATACCGTCTGGATGAAGTAATTTCTGTGTGTCCGGAATATGAAAATACTCAGCTGTATTTTTCTCTTTACATAACAATTTTTTTCTAAATAAATTAAAATATTTTTTAAATTTTATTTTTAGATATTTTAGTTATAATTGGTGATAAATAGAGCTGTTTGAAATAAAAAAATCTTTAAAAATAGAAAGTCGAAAATTGAAACAACTTTCGTGATATTTAGAGTCGACAATTTAGGTCCGAAAAATTGAGAAATGGATTCCTATTCTAGGTTTTTGAGGGTTGATATAGGTTCAAAAAATTTTAAAATGCCAAAATAGGTCCAAATTTTGATTACCAAAAACTAATGTTACCCAAAATTATTACAATACAATCAAAATTGATATTCTGTATCGGTAATACGGTACGAAGTATAGTACGGTACAAAATTCCAGTCACTAATTAAATTTTTTCGTCACGGTAAGATATAAAAATTATACTATATTTAATAAAAACATACTCCAAACAAATATTTTCACGTTTTCCATTACCATCTAAAGCATAAATATTAAATTTAGCATTTATGCTCTCATAATCTTTGCCTCCTTCATAACACAAGTAAATATATGTGCCTTTTATTTTTAAAATTAAATAGGTATTTTTTAATTAAAATAACTATTAATTCCATTAATACAACAATTTGGGGAAATTCTTAATCTCCATGCAACAGAAGGATATTGTGGATTAAAAAACTTGTTGCCTGTTTAATTTAGGGTAATACCAAGGCCGTCCCCTTTTTTTAGTTTCCCTGCTCATTTTGAGCTTTTTTGCATGACATATAATTTACAATATATTATTCGAAAAAGCTGTTCGAGCTGAGTAGAATGATACTATGATCGGTTAGATTTGGCGATTCTGAACAAAATTATGAAGCTAAAACCTCGATGGACATGCTTTTTGTGATGTTGAAAGGGATTAAAATAAATGCTCGTAACTATGTTTATTTGAGTCGGATTTTGATGAATTTAGTACAGCTCGACTCAGCTCGAATAGCTCTTTCGAAAATCGAAAAAAATAGAACAGAAAAAAGAGGGGGGCAGCCTTGGTATTACTTAATTTAGTAATTAAAAATATAATTTAAATTAAATGTTTCTTTTATTTTCAGAAATTTCGATCAAATTTCGATCGAATTTCGAAATTTCGATCATCCCTCGTCCACAGTTTGCAGTTTTTTTTGCAGTGAAATATAAATTACACAAATTTCAATCTTCAATTCTCCCCCTCAATTAAATTTCACCATAAAAACTTGATTATTTTTATTATTAACATAATTTTACAAAAATATTTTAAATCAAAACTCACTTAGAAGAGCAAAATTAGTATTCAAATATTCTTTATGTTTTAGCAAATCATAAAATCTCAATTCAAATTTGTTTTTAACTATTTCAAACTAAAAATATATTTTTATAAATATCAAATAACCATCGAAATTTGGCTAATGACGTTTTAGTCCACATCAGGAAGGATCGAAATAAAAAAGTTCGAATCATTTCGGATCGAAATAAAACGAAATTTCGGTCATCCCTAGTCTGCATTTTGCAGTTTCAAAACATATTTCGGAGGCATTAAATTTAAATTTCAAGGTCATTTATTTTAGATTTTGTTGCTCATTTTTTTACAACTGGGCCACACATTTCGGGTCTCAAGTAGCGCACTCTGTAAAATTTACCTTTCCTAGTTCAGGAATAATTATTTTATTCATTTCTGAATCATTATTAGACATTTTTGGAATATTTTGTTGGTTATTATTATTTTTACTATTAAAAATATCGTAAAAATAATTAATGAAATTTTGAATCATATTTTTGATTAATTTTAGAGATTGAAACTTTAAATAGAATTGAATCTAAAATTTTTAAAATAATAATTTTTGTATGATTTTGGAAATGAAAAAGAAAAAATTCAGAATAAAAATAACAGGGCGTCCAATCGAACTTTGAAATTTATTTATTCTTCCCATCATTCTTTTATATAGTAAGTACATAAATTGCTTGTATACTAATACTTTTATGTAGGTATTAGGCATAATTTGCTTGGGTAATAAATTTAAAAATAAGCCTAAGGCGATAAAGGAAGATTCAACAAATTTCAACATGTAACCGAACAAAATTAACTTTGTTCGGTTTATGCTAAAGATCACACACCTCTTTAAAATTAAAGGAAAGAAAATGTTTTTTACCCGTCTCAACTTTATTTTTTTCTCATGCCTAATTGTTAAAACAAATGATAAAATTCAAAAAATTTCCGTCATTAGGGGTGTAAATTTTTCAAGTTTTCCGAGACTAAAATGCTGTGACGCTTAACCCCCCAAGAAATTTTTCAATTCGAGAGCCGATCATCTCGAGCATCGCTAAAGGAAAGAAGGAAATGGGGTATAACAAGAGTACCTAGACGTTCCTTTGACACTCTTATAAAAAATTTTTTCACTAAAATTTAATTTTTCTACACAAATTAGTAAAAAAATTGTTTAAAATTTAAAAAATAATATTTTTTTAATTCTTATTTCTATAGTTCATTTTATTTTTCTTCTTCGCGTTCGCTATTTTGATTAAACTCCCAATAGCCGGAAGAATTTAATGAACTGAAAATTTTTAAAAATTTTCTTTGTCTAAAAAATTTAATAAATTATTTTTTCGATTTTTCTACTAAACCTCTATACAACGTACATAGTCGCTTATATTGGGGTACGCAAAATAGAGGTTAAATTTTTCCAAAAAATCATTATTCACCCTCTCTCCCTACCTTTCCTTCTCCTCCCCCTCCAAATATGCCACAAATCCATTTGCACTTTTTATCCATCTATGGACCATTTTGGCATTTAAACAGCCCCCATTATGTAGAATTTTGGGTAACGGATTTTTCAAAATTATTGAATTTAACCAAAAAATTAAATCTTGTATTTCTGTTGGTAAACGAGAAATTGGAATTACTCTAAGAATGAAAAGAAATTAATTTTTAAAATTAATTTTTTTCCCTACACATAATTAGCATCAATACCAACAACATATCTTTTACGGGGAAATATAGCTGTACAGGCATGAAAATAGCTTTAAAAATAAAAATAAATAAAAACCAGAATTATTTTAATTCAAGTTTGTTTTTTTAAGTTTTAATAAAATCAGAATTAACCAGAATAATGAAAAAAAGTTGTAAGGAAATACTAACATAAGTTGAAAAATCAAGTTTATTTTTTAAGGTTTGAAAATCAGAATTATTTTAATTCAAGTTTATTTCTTTCTTAAGTTTTAAAATCTGAAAATCAGAATTTTTTGGAATAAAAAAAGTTGGAAAACAAGTTGGAAAAAAAGGTTGGAAAAAAATTTGCAAAAATAACACCCCCGTTATTTTCGTGTTGTAGTCGGAAAGGTCCTTGTTTCACTGTCTAAAGGATGAAGGTTCGAACCCCATAATGGTATAACAATTTTTATTTTAAATAAAAAGTAAATTAAAATAATATTTTTAATTAAAAACATTTTTTTATTTAATCCTTTACTTTTTCTCGAATAAAAATTAATGGAAAAATAAATAAAAAAACATACACATCAACAACCCAATCAACTCTTGGCGAGTTTGCTTTAGAAGATAAATGATTTTTGGCTATTTCTTTATTTTTTAATATAAAATTATGTCCGTATTGTTCTTTAATATATTGTGATGATTTATTGAATGATTTTTCCATTTCATTGGGGATATGGTCTGGATTGGTTATTGGGGTACGGAAATAGCCAGGTTCTACTACAGCGACTTTAACTCCAAAAGGGGATAATTCTCGACTGAAAATGAATAAAATCTCTTTTAAATATTGGACTAATTCTGACCGTATTGTGTCACAATATCCTTCCATTGCAAATTTAGATACTGTATAGGGACCATAGTAAGGAAAGGCAATTCTTCCACATATACTCGAACAGAAGAGTATACGGCCTCTAAAAAATTTTAATATTGAAAAATAAAGTATTAGACTAGACTAGATTTCTCCTTATTTATAATAAGAGAGAGGTAAAAGAGCTCCTGGTAGTTATTGCTAAGAGCTTTCGCTCACAATATACAGTTAACCTACCGATTATTTAGCTTTCGAGGCGATGCCTTCGCCCATATTTTAAAAGATCCCCTGGCTAGTACAAACAGTATTCTCCTTTTTCCTTATACACTGCTCCACATAACTATAAGTTCACCCTGAATTTTCGTTTTTCTTAGCTTCTTTCAAATCAATCGGGCTGATTTTTATTTTTTATTTATTAAAGCGGGTTGCAATTCATATAAACCCGAGAAATCGAAAAAATTTCCATCTAAAAATTTTTTATCCAATTTTTTCAAAAAACACCCTCCACATAACTATAAGTTCACCTTCAGAAATCACATAAGGAATGATTGAAAAATTCTACAAAAATTCGTGCAAACATTTTCATATATAATAAGTGGAAAATAAAAAAGAACGAAGTCTGTAAGTGCTTTTTTCATCGTGATCCAAAATCTCGAAAATCAACGGGAAATGGGGGCTACAGTACTTTAAAAATATTTTTACAAGTGTAGACTGTACATAAAAATTTTTATTATAGTCCATCTGAAAGCCCACAAAATTTGCTACAAAAAACAGTTGGTCCTATCCAGGACAAAAATTCTACCTTCGAGGAGCCTTGGGTTAAATGAGATGATGAATAAATTCTCCCAAATCACCCCACAAAATGTCATTATTTCGAATTTCTAAATTTAACCGGTGTTTCCTCAGTGATAAAATTTTTCCCTATGATAGGACCAACTGTTTTTAGTAGCAAATTTTGTGGGCTTTCAGATGGACTATAATAAAAAATTTTAAGTACAGTCTACAGTTGTAAAAATATTTTTAAAGTACTGTAGCCCCCATTTCTCGTTGATTTTCGAGATTTTGGATTTTGATGAAAAAAGCACTTACAGACTTCGTTCTTTTTTATTTTCCACTTATTATATATGAAAATGTTTGCACGAATTTTTGTAGAATTTTTCAATCATTCCTTATGTGATTTCTGAAGGTGAACTTATAGTTATGTGGAGGGTGTTTTTTGAAAAAATTGGATAAAAAATTTTTAGATGGAAATTTTTTCGATTTCTCGGGTTTATATGAATTGCAACCCGCTTTAATAAATAAAAAATAAAAATCAGCCCGATTGATTTGAAAGAAGCTAAGAAAAACGAAAATTCAGGGTGAACTTATAGTTATGTGGAGCAGTGTATTATGTACGAATTAAAAAAATTTTTTAATATTTTTATTTATTTATGGGAAACTCTTCTCAAAAATCAGAATTTTGTGTAAAATTGCCATTCTTTTGTTAGTTTTTTGGCCACAATTTGGTGTATACCTAACCAAAAATTCTGAAATTTTTAGACAAATTAGTTAACAGTATTGAGTATATCCACACAAAATTTCACGATTTTAGGCGCACTCTAAGCGATTTTATAGATTTTCGCGTAAGCATCGCTCTCAACTACAATAATCTCTCATAACTCACAAAAATTAATTTAAAAATTATTTTTTTCAGAATTTCCATTAAAAATACTTAAAACAAACTTTGCCAATTTAATATGTTCTTTAAATAATTTAGTTATTTGTATCAGCCCCAATAAATTAACTCTCAAAACATGTTCATAATCTTCCATAGCTAACCAGTCATCTGCCCCAGCCCTTATAATTCCAGCATTATTTACTAGAGCATGTATTCCTGTGCCAGGAGGTATTTGATTTATTACTTGACGAAAAAATTTTTCAACGGAATCTGTTGAGGATAAATCGAGGGAGTGGGCATGGACGAAACCAGAAAGGTGGGAAGTTGCTTGAACTACTTTTTGAACACCCTTTAAAAATTAAATAAGTTGTTCAAAATCAGAATTCTTTTTAAGATCAGAATTTATTTTTAAAATCAGAATTTTGTAAACCAGAATTCTTTTTTAAAATCAGAATTAAAAATCAGAATATTTTGGTTGTAAGTCTAAAAAGAATCAGAAATTTTATCAGAATTATTTCATAAAATCTTAAGTTAAAATCAGAATAGTTTGCAGATCAGAATAAAATCAGAATCTTATTTTTTAAGATCAGAATTTAAAAAATCAGAATATTGTTTTTAAAATCAGAATTCTTTTCTTTAAATCAGAATAATAAATCAGAATTTTTAAACAAAATTCTGTTTGCAAAATCAGAATAATAAATCAGAATATTTTTTTGTAAATCAGAAATAAATCAGAATTTTATTTGTAACATCAGAATAATTTTAAAAAATACAAACATTAGGGGAATTACAAGCTGCAAACACCGTCATCCCCTTTGAAGCGCATTTAATTACAAATTGATGCCCAAAACCTGTTGTAGCGCCTATTACTACTACAGCCTTTATATTTAAATTTTTAAATAAATAAACTATAATTTATTTTAACCTTTCCTTGTAAATCCATTGGGAAAAGCTTTAAAAAATAAAATTTTTATAATAATTAAGGTACTCTTGGGTTATCTCCCCTCATTTTATTTTTCCTCCTCTCTTTTTTGCTTTCTCCAAAAAAGTACAAACGGGTCAAAGTGAATTTATGTCATAGCATACCATCTTTTGTAACTAGAACCAGTGTCAGGAATATTTTAGGTGAATAGAGCGAGGTGGGTCGAAATTTCGAGTTCCGACTTTTAATCTAGTTTCGGTTTTCGGCTCTTCCGATTTCCGACACCTCTGACTGTTCCGACCCACGTCTGGCGCACACGTATACTGCCGAACCATAGTTTCTAAAAAGCAAAGATGGATACTTATTCCCATAATCCTGGGTATATGCCATAACCCCCTTAGCTGTGTGACACTTTGATCCAAGCGTTTTTGGGGATAGGAAGAAAGGAGAAGAAAAATAAAATTGAAGGAGAGGAGATAACCCTAGAGTACCATAATTTATAAAAAATTAATTAATTAAAATTTACCCATTCAATTAATTGTTTAATTAATTCAAAAATAAAATAAAATCCAAAAATTAAAATAAAAAACCAAAAAAACATTTTTCAAAAATAAATTTAAAAATGAGGTATTTTTTGTTAAAAATGAATTAAAAATTTATTTTTACAGTCCTTTTTTGACTTAAAAAGGTGTTGAAAAAATATTTAATTTTTAAGTAGCACTCTAAATTTAAAAAAAATTAATTTTATAGTACATTTAAATTGAAATTTAGAAAAAAAAACATTTGTTTTTCCCGTGGCGCGAACTTTGCGGACCCGAATTTTGCGGACCCGAACTTTGCGGACCCGAAATTTGCGGAACGAAAGTTGCGGACCCGAAGGTTGCGGACACGAAATTTGCGGACCTGATTTTTGCAAAACCAAGATTTTAGGACCGACACTTGAGTAAAATTGAAAAATTAAAAAATTTACTTTTCGATGATTCCGGCAGAATTTACCATGATCCGTACCGGACTCATGATTTTTTCTTGATTTTTCAAAATTTTTATCAATTTCTTATCTTAAAATTATTTCATAATTTAAATAATCGTGAAAATTCCTTAAAAAATCATTTATATGGCCATTTCATAAGGTCATGATGCCTGAATTTATCCTAATTAACGCCGTAGGCTAAAATTTTTGAAATTTCCGAGGTTTAGTAGACTCTATTGTCGGTCCGCAAATTTTTGGTCCGCAAATCTCAGATCCGCAAAATTCGTGTCCGCATAGTTCGGGTCCGCAAAATTCGGGTCCGCAAAGTTCGAGTCCGCAAATTTCGGGTCCGCAAATTAAAATCCGCAAATTTCGGCGCGCCGTTTTTCCAAGTGTTTTTTAGAGTTAAATTAAATTTTTTAATGTTTTAAATTATAAAAAATAAAATATTTTTAAAAAGAGAAATGTTATAGTTAAACTGAACTCTTAAGTTAGATCTTTTTGGCTGCAAAAATCTTATAATGCACTTAGATTAAATAGGAGGAGGTTATTATCTTTTAGACTGTCCCCTACACTCACTGACCAAACCAATTTTAAAAACGTCTATTAAATAGAGGTGTATCTAATATTACATAGGTATACAGACCTCACTACTAGGGTTGTTCCTCGACGTGGGGAAGGGGGCCACAGAGAAAATTTTCGGGGAGGTAGCGCCATGGGGGAGGACGGGGATGGACCTTACTTACTACACAGTTTCTCCTATAGACTGAAAAAGAGTATTCTATAGTAGTGTTATTCACGGTACCGTATTACGGCGGTATTTTTCGGTAATACCGCGGTATTTTTACCGAAATACCGATACCGAATACGGTACCGAACAATTTTTAAAAAATCGGTATTTTTCGGTATCGGTATTTTACCGAAAATACCGATACCGATACCGAAAAAACGCGTTTGAATACCACTATTCTATAGTGGAAGTCAATCTTAAATTGGGGATCAGGGGTGGGCGCAAGAGACAATCTCAAAAAACGCAAGACGCAAAACGCAACGCAAGGCCAAAATTTAACGCAAATAACGCAAGACGCAAAACGCAAAACGCAAGAGCGCAAAAATAGGGAAAAAATTTTTTTAATCAAGTATTAGTCATTTTTCAGTTAAAATAATGTATTACTATAAGTCAGCGTTTCCTACTCGACTTTGTGATACATGTAAGTTGGATGGGTATTGATTTGGAGTTATCCTGGATAAAAGGGATTATGAACGATATCAGCCTTTCCATGATGGAAAATTGATATTTAAATACTCTAATTTTAGCGCCGCAGGCAAAAAATTTAGGAATTTTGGAAGGCCATAAAGCCAGATTTCTTCCTTTTTTAGCGCCGCATGCGAAAATTTTCAGAATTTTGGAAAGCCAGAAAACAGATTTTTTCCAATTTTGCCCCCAGATTAGAAGATTAACGGGAAGAATTAATTTATTAATCTCTAGATATATTTATCATATCAACTTAATCACTCGAAGACCTGTTTAATTCTGACAATCCATTAATATCTTCTCGAAATTGATAGATTCCCAGATATCCCTAGAAATCCCCGACTTAACCACTCCTGATCCTTCTTCATTTTCAGCGCCGCAGGCGAAAATTTTGTGAATTTTGGAAGGCCAGCAAGCCAAATTTCTTCCTTTTTTAGCGCCGCAGGCGAAAATTTTCAGAATTTTGGAAGGTCAAGAAGAAAAATTTCTCCAATTTTGTCCTCAGATTGGGTATATTTTTTGCGTTAATTTCATCGAAAAAAACGCAAAACGCAAAACGCAAAAAAAGGCCAAAATTTAACGCAAATAACGCAAAACGCAATACGCAAAACGCAATGCGCCCACCCCTGTTGGGGATGTATCGCTTGAATAGTTCTCCCACTCGGGCCAGCCAAATATTAAAAAAATGTCTATTAAATAGAGGTTTTTAACTTATCTTACACGTTCATCTTACACAAGCATCCGGCTGTTTTTTAATTCTTAAATTTCTATGTCAGTTAATTAAAGTGCACTATCACAATAATTAAAAATTTTTTTAAACATTTTTTTAAATTATCAGAAAAAGAGGATTACACTATTAAAAAATAAAAGGAACAAAAATTGTTCCTTTTATTTACTTAAATAATTAATAAAACAATTAATACATAAAATTAGACAAATTAAAAAATAAATAAGACGATTATATTTAAAGTCAAATGTTGCACTTTATTTTAATATTTACCTACGTTGAAATAATTAGGAAATAATTTAATTTTTATTAGACCTCAATAGAAAATTTCATATATACAATAGAATGTCAATAAAGTTGAAAAGGGAAGAAGTGTCAGTTACATGAAAATAAAGGAATTTTTTAGACTTAAGCAGAGAAGATGTGACATTTAAGTGAGGCTAACATAAAGCTGAGTGTCAGATTTAGGCCAGAATCTAAGTGTCAGTTTAGGCGAGAGAGAACCAGACTTGAAAAAAACTGGCATTAAAAAGTGTGAGGGATATACAAGAGAGAGTTCTGACCGGAGATGCAGAAGCTCAAAATTTTGGCGGTTCCAGTTCCAAATCTGTTCCAGACCTTTACCGGTTCCACGTTTCCAGTTCCGAAACTGGAACCCCCGCATCACTGGTTCTGACTACTATATTTATCAAATCATCCAACAAGAATACTTCCTTTTTTATAATTACAACTACTTTTGTTACATTCCTCTTCGGGTAAACACTCACTTTCTGGATTGGAAGAAGCTGGTCCTTGTGTCCCAAAATATTGTTGACAACCAAAGGATATTCTAGGTGAGGATGGATCTAACTTTACATTATTTATGTACATTGTATCGTGAAAATTGGAATTTAGACCTGAAAGAAAGATTTGAAGTTTAAAATAAATTTACAAGAAAAAACCCCGGGAGGGGAGTAAATACATTTATTTGGCATGTGGGTGAGTTGGGTTAAACATACCCTCTAATTAGGCTCTCTATTTTAAATACCCCTGGTTATATGATGTGATTTTTAGGTCGAAGGGGGTATCATATAGGGTGTTTAAAAATATATTTAGTAATTGAGGAACTGGGCAGGCATCAAGCATGTGACCTCATTGCTATGCTAGGTTGCTCTACTACAGGTTCTCTACCGATTAAATATTGGGAAGGAGGGCATTCATCTTTTCTTTCAATTTATCTTAAACTCTTGCCTTCTTCCCTACAATTTTTGAAAATTTAAATAAATTTTTACCAATTAAAGACAGCCCTGGCCCCTTAAATTTCGAATTAGTCATTTCCACACGTCGCGTATGCTGAAAACAATACTCTCCACAAGACCGCCAAACTTTGCTAAAATGTTCAGCACAAAAATTTTGAATTATTGTTTTGCCTGCCCCAGCTTGGGTAAAAATCTTTAAAGAAAAATTTTATTTCCAAATTCAAATTCAAAATTTGCCTTGTCTAAAGCATTAATTACTGCTCCTCCATTTACTTGATAAATTTTTGGGGAGCTGTCCTGACTATTTCCAAAATCTACTGCGTGATAACATGTTTTTGTAAAGCTGGAAATTTGTGTTAAAAAAGAGAAGGTAACGAAATTTTCTAAATATTTTTTGTTTCCACAAAAGTTACATATATACATCTATCAGATATTTATCTTATATCAAGTCCTTTTGCTATGTGGTAGTGCTGCTCGGGTATCCCGACTCCCCGAGGTCATTTCCCGACTCACTTCCGTTTCCCGCATTTTTTCTTCTCCCGATAATCAGTAGTATGTGGAATGAGTTTCTTGTGGGATGTTTAAGGAGGGGGTTGCTACAAAGACACCTACTAACCCATAACTTTAAAATCTGTTGTTCCCAAAAACTTAAGAGGGAAAGTTTCTGATAGGAAGTGCGACGGAAAGAAGAGGGTTAAGTATTGTCCAGCTTCCGAAGCGGGTACAACCTTAATATAACGTATGTAAATTCTGAAATAAAGCTTCCATGGGTCTGAAATAAAGCTTCTTTAACCCTCTTCTAAAATATAGCTACCCCTTGAATAATTTAAAAAAACTAACAAGACATTAGTTAAAGTACAACTTCCTTCACACCAAATACCTTTTGCCGGGTCATCTATAATTACATTACTTATAGAGCCCCCATCCTCTATTTGTAAAATATTTTGCCCGTCAACAGCTCCTTTTATATCACAACTTTTGCGCATATTGGGAGCTGCAGTAATTAAAGCATATTCAAAATCTACATGTCCTTTGATTGGTCTTTAAAAAAATTTTTTTAAATCCAAATTAAATATACATATAACAATTTTCTTAAAATTATAGTTCTTTCTTACAAACACCCCAAAATTATGTACTACTCAATATAATTAAAGCCCGGACAGAATCCGGTGGTCCGGAATCCGGGGATTTAAATAAAATTCGGATTTTCTAGATTTCCGGATTTCGATCCAAAAAGTCCGGCCCGTTTGAAAAAAAAGATTAAAATCCGGAAACGGATCCGGTAATTTCCAAACTTCTAACTCTACTATTCAATCGAGATACATTTGTAAAATTTGGTTGGTCACTGGCTTGGGGGAGCTGCCTAGACTATACCCACTATTTGACATAAACTCATTATAAGATACTCGTTATTTATAATGAGTGGGTACTCTCATTATAGGGTACCACACTCATTATATTTCCTCTATATAACACACCTCTCATTGTAATATACCCCCTATTTAACCTCATTATTAGATACATTCCCTAGAGGTTTAGTTGTATTAATTCTAAAAAGTATTCACAGTGTTTCTGTAAATGGAGGAGGTGTACTCTTATGTTGAGGGAATTGACAAAAATTATTTTGAGCAAAAATTTTAAGAGAGAAAATAATAATTTGTAAATTTAAATGGAAAATAATATAAGAAAATTTAAGGATTTTCATTTTCTGTGTGGGGATATTTTAAAAATTTTTGAAAATTTTTTTTTTAATTTTTTTGTAAAATTTTTGAAATTCTTTGAAAATTTAATTTTTAAATTGAATCTCCCCAATTCCCCCTTCATTTTATACAACATCTAAAACAAACTTCCAAACATTTAGGCAAACAAAGTATTTTTTAAATTAAATAAATTTATTCATTTAATTTTTAATTCATTAATTAAATATTTAATAAAAAAAAATTTAAATTAAATATAAATTGTCTGAATTTTTGGAAACATTTTTTTTCAATTAATAAATTTTGAACTGATTTTTGATGTTTAAAAATTTTTAGTTAAATTGTAGTTAAAGGAATATTGAATTTTTTTTGAAATTTTATTAGGAGTTGTCTAACTATATTTTAAATTTTTTTTAATAGAAAAAAATATTTTTAAAAATTCTAATGCATCGAGAAATATTTCAAATATTACAAGCATAGATTGTTATGTCTAAAGGCTGTCTGATGTTTACCAACGTCGATATGCACAGAATAGTACAGGTTTATCCATGTAGAAATGTACAATGTCTGTGAAGGCGAATATGGCTGGAATATACGAAGGGAATCAGTGACTATCCAAGCTAATATGATCCAACTAGACTTGTAGTGGTGGCTTTTATACCATAGTAAAAAAGTTTTTAAAACATTCTTTAAAAATTTTAATGCATCGAAACAATCGGAGTACGAGGCCAAATAATGGCTATAATTATTATTCTTAGGGAGACATATTTAAGAGAACTCTTTTCTGCAACTTTTCTAAAAAGTTTTGAGGTACATTTGATATACTTTCTCGGAACTTCTCTGTTGGAAAGAGTGAGAGATCCCTTAGACGAGATTCCTCCTCTCTTTCTTTTAATTTAATTAATCACACAGATTTTAAATTTATTTGAATGCTTTTTGTTAAAAAATTAATTTTCTATTTCTTTTTTTAAATTAAATGTGACACACTAGGGAATTCATTCAATCTCTGTTTTTATCTTAATGTGGAAAATTTTTTGTGAAAAACTAAAAAACTGTCTCAAACACTTTAAACTATTTTTAAATGCATTGTGCTGCTTGTTATCAATTGATAACTGATAAACAATTTTTGGTGGCGTTGGGGTTGAATTGGCACGAATTTTGTTTGAGGGTTTGTAAAAAAGATTCTTTTATTAGAAAACTTTTTTTTAAATACAGTCTGAACTAGGCATGTTGGTGACCGGTTCATTCTTCCCTGTGGCAGCGCAAAAGCTCTAATTCTTCTCCAACGGCTCCATGACTTTTCGACAATGGACTCTTCGACAAGACATTTCGACAATGAACCTTCCGACAACTGATCTTTCGACAATGGACTTTTCGACAATAAATTAAATTTTTTTAAAATGATTTAAAAATGACAAATATAACTAATGAGTATCGCCGATTGAGTATTGCCTTTAGATTAAATAACATCGTTTATTTTTAGGATTTATGCGCTGCAGGCGAAAATCTTTTGAATTTCAGTATAGACATGGTTTAGAAATCCTCCTTTTCCTAAAAAATACAAGGTAATTGGGAAAATAGAAGAAAAGAATCAAATCCCAAATCCGGTGAAAATTTTGCCGGACCCTGACCCGTATTTGCAACTAGAGCCGGATCGGATCCGGCCGGATTTCTCCGGATTAATCTGGTCCGGTTTTAATCCGGAGATTACGTAAAAAACTGGATTTGGGACCCGGACTCCGGAAAAATCCTGCCGCAGTCCGGTCCTGCCCCGGTCACTACCTATATCCAATTAATTCCTCAAATGCTACAAATAAACGCCGGTACTCATTAGTTTCGTTCCCCATATCATCTAGCTGAATAGAATGACAATATTTGTCATTTTTAAATCATTTTAAAAAATTTTAATTTATTGTCGAAAAGTCTATTGTCGAAAGATCTGTTATCGAAAGGTTCATTGTCGAAACGTCGTGCCACTCCATTTTGACACGCCACCGGTCGCCAACAATCGCAGTCTGAACTCATTATAGGATACCATTTGGGACTAAAAATAATTTTATTTTACAATAAGGTGTATGTATTTCGAGGGTGTATGTATTTCGAGCTCCCCAACCACCTCCACACAGTTGTCAATCAAATTTAACTATTAAATTGAGACAATTTCTGGAGGTATTTTATAAATATAACTCTTTCAGTGTGCTTGTTGTACTTGCCAACTAACTGACTCTGGTGATCGTTTCTATTTGCGCTATGGACTACTTTTGTGTGCTATAGATTGTAATAATTATGAGGGTTTAAAATGCTGTTGAGGTGTAGTACGGTGTTGGGCTCGAAAGACACAGACCCCGACTCGAAAGACTAAAATATTTTCTTGACCAGTTCAGATCGGAAGTAAGTCTCAATTCCAAAAAAAGTATCAAATTCCCTGACTTTCGGGGACGGGGGTAGGGGTACAACTCTAGTGAGAAGACACCACGAATCTCACACACACTATACTCTTTCCTTTCCTCTGTCAGATGTGCGCATCTTTGGACGTTCCGGTCATTGCTGTCTTTGTTCCGAAATTATTAAACCTGCCGATTGGATAATGGTTATAGACAAAGGAAAGCCGCTATTTTCACATCTAGACTGTTTTGCTTGTTGGAAATGTGGATATAGGTACAGATTTTGTTGGACTCCTATTGGGGTTTTATTAAGGAAAGTACAGTCAAACCTCTGATACCCCTTTGAACCGGAAAATCGTGCCTCATAATGTAAGTTAACTATCCATTAAATAGGAGGTATCGTTTAGGCTTCTATCTTGTCGCGTCCTCTACCCTGTCGTCTCTTAAATAGAGGTTTACCCACTATTGGGTGTTTAATAGAGCGAGAGGTTTTAAAATTATTTTTCAACTAATTTTAAAAGATTTTGTGTCGGCGAACCATATCATCTTGAAAATGGGCTTGTTGTCTGTAATTTTGATTTCAAAAAAGTGAACTAAATTTTGATGGCATACTCCTGGCCCATACCTATTTTTTAAATTTATTTTTTTATTTTTCCTTATTTCTACTTCAATAACAGTTCATTTATTGCTTTGTTACCATAGAAACAATTTTAAAAGAAAAAGACCTTTTTTTGCTATTTTTAATGTTCACTAGACGATAAATTCTTTTTAATTCTATAAAAAATCAAAAATAATTCTCTTTCCCCCAAAAATTATTTAAATAATTTTTTTTGAATAAATGGGAGATTTAAATAATAAATACAAGGAAAATGAAGAAGAATGTAATATTGATGGAGATGAAGACAATTCTTCCATTGAAGAAAAGTATTTATTAATTAATGAATTACCCGATTGGCAATTAATTGGTGAGTGCTTTTTAGATTAAAAAAATGAGATAAAATAAAATTTTAAATTTAAAAAATACTAAGCCTTTATGCCTTCTTTCCTCTATTAAAGGTGTTAGTAGTTGGATTATTTATGTCTTGAGGAAAATAAAGTAAGGCTTGCCCCGTCATCCTTCTTCTTTGCCTTCCTTAAAAATTTTCCTGAAAGGTTCTCCTCCACCTTTTTTCAGTTAAGGAAAAGGTTCTCCTCTTCAACCTTTGGGAGATCAAAAGAGAAAATTTAACGAATAAGGGAAGGGGAGAAAAAGGAGGATAACTAGTAGAGATATCCAAACTCGAAGATTTTCCAAGACTCGAGACCAAGAGTCTTGGACATCTCTAATAATTAGAATTACCCATCCATGTGTCGTTTCAAAAGATTTTCAACTCCAAAAAATTATTAACTATATTTTAAAAACACTCATAAATTAATTAAAAATAAAATTAATTTTTAAACAAAAATTATTTTTAGATGAAATTAGTATTAAATTATTAGAACAAGGCATTGGAATATTTGAAACATTACAACAAGCACTTCCCTCTGTCGTATTAGCACAAATTAATAAAGTAATTTTAGGTAATTAACTTTACAGTAATTATGACAAAATGTCAGCTAGACAAAATGTCAGGTTCTACCACATTTACATTTTGTCGTGTGGCATTTTGTCGAATAAGAAATTATTGGCATTTTGTCGCTGGACGATTTGTCAAATTTTACCCTTGACGACCTTTTGTCATGTTGACATTTTGAAACTTTCCGCGGAAGGTAATTTATTTAAAAATTAAATTTTAGATGAAGAAAAACTAAAAAATGAAGAAGAAAATAAACAAAATGTCTGTACATCCTCACAAATTTTAAAATTATTTCGTCTAGCCCAATTCCAAATAGAATATTTACTAAAAAGTCAGCAAGAAATGGTTGTTAAAGTTGAAAAAATGGAAAAATTGGCTAAAAGATATAAAAAAGAAAATAAAATAATTAAAGAACAATTTTGTTATGGACCTAATAATGAAGTTGAAAATGAAGGAGAAAAAACTGGAGAAAAGAAAAATAAGAAAAATATTGAAGAATGTAGTCATTGGAAGAGAGAATTATTTAGGGTTAATTTAATTAAACTTTAATACCCTTTATATTTTCTGAGAAATTTACTAAATATTCACACGTGTGTGGGACTTTTGAAGGAGGAAAGGTTTACAAAGATAGCCCTCTCCTCCTTTCTTACTTGGTGAATTATTTGTCAGTACCTGCATATAGTAAAGCAACTGGGCTATAGCTATTTCTCTCCTTTAGCTAGTGCAAAAGGTTAATCGACGGACACATCAGTCCGGTCTTCAATAGACCGGACTGATGTTTTAGCCATTAAATCACGCCACCTACTGCACCTTAGGAATTAAATAGCTACTTTACAATATTATGGAATTCTCAAGGTGTGACCGGAAAGTGTATTAGTTCGATTTCTAATTATCTCCATGCCCTTTCCAATCTACTGTGCTTTTCCGGAGCCATTTAAAAATAGACTTTCGAAACAAAGGATGTTGAAACAAAATTTTTAAAAAGTGGAAGAAATCAAATAAGATTAAAAGACGGAAAGTGGAGGAGTAAAAAAAGGTGTAAATTTGACAGAACACAGAAGATAAGGAAGCAAACATCCCCCAATCCAAACTACAACACTTTTAACTAGGGTAGCACCTCGAGTCTTCGGGGTTCTGTTCGGGGTTTTTGCCAAAAAATAGTCGGGATTTCGGGGGTCGGGTCGGGGTGATGCCTAAGAATTTGTCGGGTTTCAGGGGACGGGGTGTTACTCTACTTTTAACCAAACTTAATAAAAAAATTAATTTCTTTTTTTTCAATTTTCACAGTGTAATGAATGTAATAAATTATTTTTACATTCAAATTTTTTATTTGAACATATTCAACGTAAACATAACAATAATCACAACAACATTAATTTAAATAATTTAAATCCAAATAGTAAAGCTATTAAAATTCTTGGAGTAAAAAATAATGATTTTATATTAGAGAATAATGAAGAATTAATTAATAATAATAAATTAAATAATATAAAGAGACAAAGAAGAGGACATTCAGAAAGGTAGGGTATTTTAATTTTTCAGAAAAAATTTTTTTTGGGATGAAATGTCCATTTTTGAAGTTACTTATGTATAATAAAAAAATTCGTTCCTCCTCAATCTCTAATTCCGCTCACAAAGACAGTACAGACGCGGTAATTGAAGTTACCTAGAAGGGATAACTGAAAGATCCGGAAATGTTGGATGTGTACATATCAGGTGTGCCATTTCGCCTTCAGTCAAAATTCAGCCTTTTCTGAACTTTCGCATTTTAAAATCAGTTTCGGCACATCCCTGATGTGTATGTTAGGTTGTGTCAAGATTGAGTTGGGTAGACACTCAAAATACTTTAGGGGTAACTTAGAGAGATTGTGCTACTCACAGAAAGGATTAGAAAAAAAAGAGAAGATATTGGAATAAGACAAAGAATGGGATATGTAAAAGGGTTTAAATTAAAAATAAATCTAAAACAGATCCTGGAGAAGTTTACAAAGAAAAAACACTCAAAAACAGCAAAACAACACAAACAATCAATTATTAATAAATTCACAAAAACAAAAAACATCTTCATTTTATTATTATCCAAGTAGTGAAAGAGCATCTTCTGTTAGTGAAGAAATTATTGAAGAAAAAAATAATAATTTAGAGGAAAGTACAAATAGAACAATAATAATAAGTGAAAATGAAGAATAAATGAATTTTATTAAAATTAAAATTTTTTTCAATAAAATAGTCTTACGAGTTCGAGGAAAAAAACAATGTTTTTTTCTGATAAAAATTAAAATATACTCCGAAATCCCCACGATTTTTTAGGTTCTTTTAGGTTCTAGCAAACTCTGATCTCAACACTCGTATCCCAAGTCAGAATTAAATGATCTTCAGAAAGCCTTTTCTATAGTGAAATGCTTGGTTGAGTGGGTTAAATTTCAACTCATTTTTATTAATTGAGGCAAGGTTCGAATCCAAGTGTGTTAAAAAAAATTTTTCTTTCGAAAAAAATAAATTGCTATATTCTCTTTCCTTTACTATTCGATTCTTGATTTTAAAATATTTTTTTACAAAGTAAAAAAGGGAAGAACAGGTTTATTTTCTCTTTGAATAACACCTTTTATTTGTTAACGATTATTTCCCAATCTTTTTCCCTAAACAATTTCCCAAAAAAAAATTTTTAAACAATGTCAGAAACCAAATTAGAAATTATTGTAAATTATTTTTGGATATTTTTTGGAGAGATATATCAGGTTAAATAAATAATTGGTGCTTCTGCCGTTTAAGAGGACGCCGTTCTCCGACAATTATGAGACTAATTTTGATACCAAATTTTAATAGCAGGCAGTAAAGGAATAATTTTAATTGAAGAAAAGAGCACGTAATGGTCAGAGAACTGCTGCCCCATTAAACGGCAGAAGTGCCAAATATTTATTTTTTAAAATAATTTTTTAAATTGTTCTAAATAGCTTTGGGCAGCATTAATGTTTACACACATTTTTTATATTTTGTTAAAAGATTGGTTGGTAGAGGCTATTTTTAATTAAAATTTCTGGAATTGGTAGAAAGGAATGGCGTCTAATTTAAAAAAATATTATTTAAAAATTATTTTAAACAATTTATTTTGATAATAAATAGGGTTGCCGTCTTCGAGTCGGGCCGAGTCAATTTTATCGGGCCGGCCCAACCGAGTCTTTTTTGGGCCAAAATTCGATGCCCGACTAGGCCGGGCCGGCAACCCCAATAATATAGTATTTATTAAAATTAATTTAAAAAAAAAAGAATTTTATTTTAATATTTTAGAATAAATAACAAAAAATTATTTTACCGAACTTTTAAGAATATTTTCTAATTAAAAAAAATATTTTAATATTTTTTAGTTTTCTTTTGTTGTAGCCTGACTAGGGCTCTTTCAGTCCTAAAACTCTAAAAAACAAGCTTAACCAAAAATACTTAAAGGACTACTAGAATTCAGAAAAACCCTCCCTGTAACCCTCTGTTCTTTTACGGACCCCAAATTTTTTAAAATTAATTTATAATTATTTAATGCCAATAATGAATTACTCTTTACATGTTAGAATAAATTTTTAAACACCTCAAAAATCAGAAAAAATCAACAAAATTTATTAACTTAATTAATTGGTCGAATTTTTATTTTACCTCCTCCAATAGTTGATCTTTCCGAATTTATAGCCTTCCTTTGTTCTCTAAAAGCCAATTTATTTGCTTTCTTTTCTTGGCGGCGTTCACGACGTTCTTCCCTTATTGCCTTGAAAAACAATTTTTAATAAAAATTTTTGAAAAATTTTCAAAAAAAACCTGTTTTCTCAGCCTTCTTTCTTCACAAGATTCTCCTTTAGGTCGAAATGTACTGGCTGTAGAGACATAAGAACGAACACTTTTAACATCATCTCTACCATCAACTTCCATTTCTGACTGAAAAATAAAAATTTTTTAGATCATTCTAGGGAAAAAGTTGAGAACAAGGACAACGCCTATCCGATTCTTGAAAACAGGAATTTTTGTTTCTCGACGTGATCCCTAATGTGAGATGTTAAAAATCAATCCAAAAATGACCCAAAGTTTTACAACTCCCAACTCAAGACTAAAAAAAGATAATTTACTCCCCTCCCCAAAGCTCATAAAAAACAAAATTAACCTCATTCAAAGAATGTTTTGACTTTCTTCCAGTTGAAGCTGTTTCACGAATCTCGGTTGGTTGATTGAATTTCTAAAGAACAAAGAGTAAGAGTAATTTCATCTTTTAAAAAATTCTGTCCTTTTACGATGGTGTATAATGCCCTACAAGTCAGAAATGGGTACGTTAGTCCAAGAAACAACCGAAAAAATTCCCAGTCAGCTTATTAAACTTTAACAGCCCCGAACTCGTTAAAAATCGACCCTAATTTTTATTTATATTCAATACCTGAACATTTTCCTTCTTGCTCCCAAAGTCAACAATGCTCATTTGCTTTTTTGTTTAGTTTAGAAAAATTAAATAATTTAAGATGGACATTTCACTTGATAAAATAATTTTAAAGTTAAACAATAACTTTTTTAAAAATTTAAAAAAGGAGAATATTTTTTTATCAGATAACAACAAATAAAATAGAGATCGGACCGAGACAAGATCTCGAGCGAAAATACCGGTTATAAGATAGAGATTTTTAAAGATATCGATCTCAATTCTCGTACGACCCTCCCAATCCGCTCTCTAAAATAAACAACCAATAATTATTTTTATACTAAAGTCACTCAAAAAGTCATCTTGTGTGGATACATCCCTTTAGCCAGATGGAAGCGAGAGCCAAGATACCCAAAGAGGTATTTTTTGTCAGGATGAGCACGGATAGCCTCCAAAACACCCGCATCAACAAATTTTTGATCAGATTTACGCTGCTGTGTGACCTCGTACTTCTAGAAAAATAAATAAGAAATGTCAGAAAAACTTCAAAAAACCTGTTTAGCACCACCAGCAAAAATCCCTCCTTTTGATTTGTCGGCCAATTTCCCACTCTTACGTTTGAAATAAGAATCATTGACGTGAACGGGAACCTCCAACTTGCTAATGTCGATTTTGGTACTGGTAGCAATAACAAAAGCCTGCGCAATGCGTCGAAGTGGGCATGAATTGATTTTAAGAGGGCCTAAAATTTAACAAAAGATAAAGTGAATAAATTAAAGTATCTTTACTCCTTTAATCTCAAATTAAATGGAAAGACAAAAAATATGGGGAAAAGATAACCAAAATAGGATCTAGAAGCGAAAATATGGAGGTATGTAAAAATGCCTAAAATAGATGGACTCCAATTTAAATAAGGAATCGTCAGCTTTGAGACCCAGATAGATTAATTAAATTAAAAATTAGTATACCAGTAACAAGAAGAAGACCAGACTTTTCCAATTGCTTCAAAAAGACAACACGTTTACCACGATGACGACCCACCAAAATAATCAAAACAGTCCCAGGAGTAATTGACTTGCGAAGAGGAACCTTTTTTGTTTTGCGTTTGTTGCGTTTAAGAAGTTGAGGAACTTGAGGAAGAAGTTTAGGCATTGACATTTTTATTTTTATCAGAAATAAAAGAATCTAAAAAAGGAGAAAATTTAATCAACGTACTGCTAAAACGAGAAAAAATAAGGCAAAAAATAAATGACTGAAAACTGAAAGCTAAGAAAAACTAAGGAAGATGGGAAGGTCTTTTTTGCGGACATGTATCTTTTTTCAAATAAATTATGAAAAATTATAAAAATGTGCCCATTCGAGATTAGTAACCCACGCGGAGCAAGATTCATCGTCCGTAATCCCGCATTTTTATGATTGTTGAAATTCTGCGGCCTCTCATCAGATATTGGTCCCAAAATTGGAAAGGGTAAGAAATTTAACAGCTAGTTATGGGTTGGGGTCGTTTTGGCGCTGACCCGTTTTGACGCGAGAACAAAAAAGTGGCACTTAGGCGAGACCTAAATTTATAAAATTTTTCTCAAATTTCTTTAACATCCTTGACTACCTCCTCCAGAAATTTCAGAATTTTTCATCCAATATTTCCGAAGTTATAGTCGATAGACCTTGAAAAATTATGCATTTTGCAGAAAATCAACATTTTTGGCCACAATTTCCGAAATTCTTGATCAAAAATTCTGAAATCTTTGGAGAACCTAGATAAAGGTACGAGAGTTATTATTGCAAAATTTTATCAATTTTGATAATGAACTCGCTATCTTATAAGCTCGCGCCAAAACGGCCCCGCGCCAAAACGGCTCAGTCCCCTAGTTATGGCTTATCGCTTTTTGCCGCGCGCCTACTCGGGCGTGTCCCTAGCGGATAAATTATGGAAAATAAAAAAATGTGTTCATTCGAAATATCAATAAATTTAATCTAACGGTATAAAAACCAACAAATTTGGAACCAATTCCAGAAGATATAATTACAGCTCGACGTAAAAGAAATGTGACTGAAAAACTTTGCCTACTAGCGATCCTAATCTTCATTTCGTTAAAAAACTGCTTATTAAATAGAAAATGAAGGTGGGATGAAAAGTCATTTATGAAAATGCCAAAGGAGTAAACATTCAAATCCCTAAAACTTCCTCGTAGTAACCACTAACCCCTGTCCTAATAAACCACAACTGGGTAACTTGGCCAGTTTTTGTCAAATTTAAATTTGAAACAAAATCTAAACTACTCGATTCCCATACTAACGTCAAATAAACCTAATCCAAAAAAGCTTACACTATTATATATTTGAATGTTGTTAGAAAATTAAATGGGTAAAAAATTTCAAGTAATTTGTATTGTATCTAACAATAATGTTTTTCAAACAAATCTTGAATTTTAACAAAAAGCATAACACATTTACCAATTAACAAACAAACAACTTAATAGAGCCCGGAACTTAATACCGAAAAATAACACAAACAGCCATATAATAAATACCGAAAAATACCGTAGAAAGTATGTTACCGTCCGGGCTCTAACTTAAATATTTTTCAAAAAAAGTCCATTAAAAATTCATCTTATGTGGATACATCCCTTTAGCTAAATGGAAACGAGAACCAAGATAGCCAAAAAGATATTTCTTTTCAGGATGAGCACGGATAGCGTCCAAAACACCCGCATCAACAGCTTTCTGATCCGTTTTTCGCTGCTCGGTAACCTCATACTTCTAGAAAAAAAATCAGAAAATGTCAAAATAACGATAAAAAACCTGTTTAGCACCATCAGCAAAAATTCCACCCTTTGATTTGTCAGCCACCTTGCCAGTCTTTCGTTTGAAGTAAGCATCATCAACGTGAACGGGAACCTCAACCTTGCCGATGTCAATTTTAGTACTGGTAGCAATAACAAAAGATTGTGAAATACGGCGAAGTGGACAAGCATTCAATTTAAGTGGGCCTAAAATTTGATAAAAGATAAGCAATAAAAGTGAAACTCTTAATATCAAATTGGATGTCAGGGAGAAAAATAGGGGAAAAAGATAACCAAAAGGGGCCTGAAACGAAAACACGAAGAAAAAAGTGCCGGCCTATAAACTTACAAGGAAAGGTTGTAAGGTGTCCGACCTTAAAACGGTCGAGACCGGGAATCCAACGTAAAATGGAATCCAACTGAATGAGGAATCGTCAGCTTTTAGACCCAAAAAGCTAAAATAAATTAAAAAATAGATATACCAGTAACAAGTAAAAGTCCAGACTTTTCCAATTGCTTCAAAAAGACAACACGTTTCCCACGATGACGACCAACCAGAATAATCAAAACAGTCCCAGGAGTAATTGACTTGCGAAGAGGAACCTTTTTTGTCTTGCGTTTGTTGCGTTTAAGAAGTTGAGGAACTTGAGAAAGAAGTTTAGGCTTAAAAAAAATTTATTTGAAATAAACTTTTAAAGCAATTACTGGCTTTTGGACAAGAATCTTCCTTTCTCCTCCATTTTTGTCCCCTCCAATTTTCTTAACAATGAATTTCTCCTTTGCCTCAACTTTTTTTTCTTGCTTCTGATAAGGCTTTTTAAGCTTTTCCCAAAGTCCGCGTTTGTGAAACATTCGAGCTTTTGAGAAACGAAGAACGCCCGGTGCAATTTCGTAATTACGAGGAAGCTTTAGAGTTGGTTTTCTTGAAGACATTTTTAAGTTTTTTTTATCTAGAAAAATGTGGAAGCATACAAAGGAAATTAAAAATAAAACAAGAAATAATGAAAATAAGTGGGTGTGTGTAAAATAGAGGTCGGTACGGGAGGGATCCCGCGCGGGATCTTTGCGGAATCCCGTCCCGCAATCCTCCATTTGTTTGAATTGCGGGATGAGGGAATTATCCCGCGGGATCCAATCCTACAGATATTAAAAAAAATCACGCATCCGGGATCCCGCAAACAAGATTTTACCGACCCCTAATGTAAAACACGAGAATTGCCCCAATCAATGCTTCTTTTGGATAAGCAATTTTAAACCCAAAAAAGCTAGTTTAAGGGCGAGTTCCTATCTTTTCCTGTTCGTAAAACACTGCACTCTACATATCGTTTGACAAACTCTACATAAGTTAGAACCTCAAGCTAAATCCGGATCCTACCCTTAATTAGAAAAAAAGATTTCGTTTATCCAAAAAAGCTAACGCGCGCCAGACTCAACTGCCCATTTTCGACGGTAGGGGACCATTGAGTCCCGCCGTTTGAGTCCCGCCGATTGAGTCCCGCCGGTTGAGTCCCTGGCCGGTTGAGTCCCGGCCGATTGAGTCCCGCCGGTTGAGTCCCCACCCAAAAGGGGACGTTTGAGTCCCCTATTTCTTTCTAGGATCTTGATGGATTAAGTGGGATATATGGAGTTTTGAATTGATATAAGAGTATTTGGGGAGATTTTGAGTGATAATGATAAATATGGAGGGATTTAAAGCGATTTGGAGTGATTAAATTGGATATATAGACGGATTTTCAAGACGGAATTATTGCGGGTATGGTACCACTTTGGGGTACATTATATATGAATATAATGATGGCTTATAGGTACCTACCAAACTACCGGGTACTACCTCCAAATTGGTAACATACCTGTAATACTTTCCTGAGAATCATACGTAAACTTGGTGCCTTTATTTAACAAGTCCTAGTTGGGGGACATAATCTATAATCCCTCATATTCCTGTACAATGTACCCCAAAGTGGTAACATATCCGCAATAGACCCGTACTGGGAATCATACATACTTGTGTAAATCCTAGAAAGAAATACGGGGACTCAAACGTCCCCTTTTGGGTGGGGACTCAACCGGCGGGACTCAATCGGCCGGGACTCAACCGGCCAGGGACTCAACCGGCGGGACTCAACCGGCGGGACTCAATCGGCGGGACTCAAACGGCGGGACTCAATGGTCGCGTTCCGCATTTTCGAAAATCAGAATGCCACAAGATTTTTACTAACTTCTGCCGGAAATTTAAATTTTCTTCCTTGCTTCTCTTTTTAAATCCCTTCCGATTTTTCTGCAATTTTCGGTTGACTTTATTTGAATTCCTATATTTTAGACTTCTTAAATTACACAAAAAATGTCAGTAGATTTACAACAAACTCAACAAAACAACTTAACAACACAACAAGGCAAACAATATCATCCTGTGCAATATTGTCTTTTTTATGACTTTTTTAGTTAATTTTTTATTTTCTTTTTAAATTTTATATTTTATTTTCTAGCTGTCTTTGCCAAAGGCCAGTCAATTATTCAAAATATACAAAGTGGATCTGTTCGGCTGGAAGGGTTTATTTTTTTCATTTTCAGTTTAATTGGGAATTATTAACTTTACGTACGTAGTAACTAATTTTTTTATTTTACCATTTTTAAAATTCCTTTGTATTTTTTAGAGCTCTACTTCTAAGCAAACGTTACAAGGCAGCATTAAAAAGGGCAATAAAAATGTTGGAACAATCTGATATTTTTGTAGATTCTTCACAAACAGATGTTCTTCAACTTGGAGAGGAGCTTTGTTCTGTTAATCTTATTTGGTCATTAATTGAGGCTGTTTCTATTAGACCTTCAAGTATTTTTTTTTAATTTCTTTTTTTTAGTTAGCCCTAAAATAATTTGTTGAGGTAGACAAGAAGTTCCAAAATCGGGGAACCTTTATTTTTAAGAGCACTTTTCTATGTGTTTTGAAGAGTGCGGTTTCTGGGATATTACTCGATTTTTTAACAATTGTTTGTTGACTTTCAATGATTTCTCAATAGATTATTCTTCATCTTTAACCCAAATTCTAATCAATCCTTCAATAATTTTAGATAATCTAATTTCTATTGATTTACTTGAATGGGCACGTGAGTGCTTTCCTTCGACCCAGTCAGTTGTTCCAAGCTCGCAAGAAGGCCGACCACATGAGACGAGTTTTTTGAGTTCGATAATGGAGTCTTTAATGCAGCAAGAAAAGCCTGAACTTCATGACTCTTATTGGAATGCTGTAAAAATTTTTGAAATTTTTTTTGAAAATTTTTAAAAATTTCTCTAGGTAATTAGACAAGCAATTGTAGCAGACTTCGAAACAGTCGCAACACTGTTACAATTCCATTCTGAATATAAAACTAATGAGCATATAAGAAAAATGGTTAAAATTTTGAATGCTGCAAATGATGCTCTTTTTAAACATGACAGGACAAATTGTGAAGAATTTTTATCTTTAATTAAGGTTTGTGGAAAATTTATTCTCGATTTTAAATTAAACCTGTTGTCAGTTTTTATGGTCGATTGGTTAGTGTGTTTGGTTATGTGAGGAACTGTATGGGGTTCGAGTCCGTTGTAGTCCCCAAATATTTTTTATTTCTTTTCATTTATTTTAATGAGAATCTTTACATTTTTACCATTTTATTTTTAGAAAATTCGTGATTTCACCTCTCAAAATCAGCTCAGCCGTCTAAACGATAATTTGGCTGTTATTTGTTCTTTGGTTATTGGTGATAAGGGAACTTTTCGAAAATATTTTGACATTTTCCGTCCAAGTTGGTTTGAAGTACTTCCTGCTTTTCTTTTATTTTTCTATCCATCTGTGGATGATGAACAGTTGCCTAAAGTTATTGAGGTTTGCTTAAAAAATTTTTTTAAATAATTACTCAAGAGAAGATTCTCAAGAACCTCCGCCCCTAGAAATTATTTAATTACTATGTGACCTTATTTTTGAAAATTTTTGAGTTCTTATTTCCATACCATGATTTTCATGCTAATTTTCTTCCAAATTTCCCTTTTTCCCAGTATTTATTTTCCCCATTTCCCTTTGTAGGCTCGTAATTATTCTAGGGTTTTCCCAATTCCTCTTGGTTATAGGCCTGTCCCTTTGTCTCTCTTCCTTTTTTTCTGGTCCAACAATGGCATAAGCCTTATAAGCTCTTCTTTTCCCAATCCACATCCACTCTCAAACCTTTGGGTTTAATTTAAAAAAACTTCTCGACTTTTTCCGTAATTTCGAATCTTTTTTATTAACACTTCTTGTTTTTCAGCGTTTATTTGAATTACTTGGACTAGCTCGCCACCAACTTTCAAAAATTGAACAAACAGTTTTAGCTATATTAGAATTAGATTTAATTCGTGCATTAAAAATAATTTGTTCTGCTGGACCTTCACTTTGTTGGTTTGCTGTTCATTTAGTTGATTTACTTCATTTTCATGACCCTAATTATTTAAATCCTGAAGCTTCAAATATTTCTTCTTTACAATTAAAATTTATTTTTCAAGATGAGGTTTGGTTTAAATTAATTTTATTGGTGGTAGCTTTTCTAAACTTTGAAAATTTAAATGTTGGGTGGGAATTTTAAAATTAATTTAGAAATTTTTTCCTTTCTACTCTTTTTTTTCAAGTTGATGACCATTTCTTAAACATACTTTTAATATATTTTGGGGGGAAAATTGATGCGGAAATTGATTTTTCGATTAGGTGTGACTCTGATTTGTGAGACATATTAACGTTTGAATCTATCTATGGCGTTACACATTATGTTTAACTTAAGATAAAAAATCAAGGTTTTTGGGCAAGAATTCCTAAAATTTCCTGCTCAAAGTTTACTCATCAAACATCATATATTCTTTAAAAACTTTAGGAATGCATACAATTCAAAGAAAAAATTTTTTGTGCAGTTGAAATTTAATTTTTTTAAGAAATTTTGGTGATCTAAGAATAAATTTATATTTAAACTAATTTTTTGTAAAAGAACATTTTTTAATTTTTTAGACAGACAAAGAAAAGGAAAATTTAGACTTACGTTCTCGTTTACTTGTAGAATATTGCCAATTACTTTTTCAAAATGACCAATTATGGGAAATTGGAGCAGATTATTTAATTGCTAGTAATTTAAAGAATTGTAATGAAATGTTAGAAAAAATTATTGGACAATTTAATTGGTTTGGGAATGTTTCTATAGCTGAAAAAATTTTGATAATATGTGAAAAATATGAATTGTGGAATGCTAGGGAGGATATTTTGAAGGCAATAACTATGAAGTAAGGATGTTTTGGGGGGGGGGGAGTATATCTTCTCTGGTGTCCTAGACTAACATAAGTAGGGTAGGGAGTCCGAGATTTCGGTTCTGGATATTCAAAGATCTCCTTGGATTCACCAACCCAGACAGACAAAGTCGGGGTCCTCTATCGAATAGTACCAAGAACACTACCAAATTGCTGTTCTTTCATTAGAACCAAACAGGAGACAGTCGAGTTTTGCAAGTTCCGAAATTCCTTGGCATTTAACAGACTGGATTGAGAGATTCGACAAGAATAGAGATCGGTCGGCATCCCAAAAATCTCGTCCTTATCAAATTTAAACTCCAAATTTTATCCAGCACTTAACTTTTCTAATTTTTCTTTTAAAATTTTAAAGATATTGTCATTTAAATGAATGGTCTACAGCACTTAATTGGGCTCTTCGTATGCAAAATCGAAATTCTTTATCTGCCCATGTCGCTAAACGAATACTTCAAGGAGCCATTCCTTCCTCTAAAATTGGACAAATGCGAATATTTGAATCTATGGCTGACCAATTTGTTGATTGTTCTGAACTTGTTTTGCTTTACAAATTTTATACGTTTAAAAGACGTTTATGTGAAGGAAATTTACGTCAAGCTATTCAATTATTACACGAATTATTTATTGATAATTCTTCTCCAATTGAATTTCATGTGACTTTGGCTGAAGAGACTGCTCGTTTATTAAATGCTTTTCAGCAGGAATTACTTTCGACTGAATCTTTTGACCCAGCTACTGTGAGAAAATTTTATATATTTTAGAAAATGGGGGATTTGGGGATCGATTGTAATCTCAAAAGTTTTGGTTCCTGGTAGCTAATTGTGGGATATTTTAACGATACTTGGTTTTGTTCCTATCTTCAGTTTATATTTGTGGGTTTAATAAGAAGGAATCTTGATTTTCTCCTTATAGCCTAGATTTTTTGTATGTGCCACGGGTTAGCCAATATAAAAATCTGCTTTCGTGGAAGGGGGTTGACTAACTCTTGTAGGTACATTTGTTAGTGTTTAATTTAAGTTTTTACCCTTTTTGTCATCGTTAGTTTTCATAGGAATGGAGGCCACCCTAATTTAAGATATTTACAATTTTTCAACACGAGTGAATACTGACTATCAATTTTTATTTTTTTCAGAGAATTACTGGATTAGATAAAGAATCAATTCAAGACATGTTTAGAGCTTTAAGTATGTTTCAACTTCAACAAAATTTATTAGAAAGTGCTTCTATTGGTGAAAAAGAATCACAACAACAATCATCAAAGCAACAAAAATCTTCTTCATTACTTTTTTCTGATTCATCATTACCTTCTTTAGAAGTTTATAAAAAATTGGAAGATTTAATCCAAACACTTAGACCTATGTTGGCAGAATTATTAGCTTTGAGTTGCTTGACTTGAGAATTTTAAAGAAATGAGGAAATAATTTTTTTGACATTATATTAGAAGAGTATTGGAGATCTCTTTCTGTTTTTTAATATTTAATTCTGCTGATTTGTTGTAATTTATTTTATTATAAAATTAATTGAAGCAGTTAATATTTAGAATGTTTTTGCATTTTAAATTATTAAAATAATAAATCAGAAAATATAAAATACAAAAAATCAGAATCTTATAAAAATCAGAATTTTAATTTAAAAAATTATTTTTTTCTCTTTTTTATTTCCAAAGTCTATAAAAACCAACAATTGAAGCTATAAGAAAAACTAAAGAATTTTGAGAAGAATTTAGCTTTCCAGCCCATAAAATTCCTTTATGAAGAGAATTAACAGCAGCAATAAAATCAGCGATTAATGCAATAAATAAAATAAATTCGTCTTTGATTCGAAAAAATTTTCTTTGAATAATTTTAATAAAAATCTGGCGAATACAACGAGTTATACTTGTAAGTAGTGCAAATACCCAAAGGTGGAGAGATAACTAAAAATAAAATTATGTTCTGAAAAATGTGTTTTTTTTCTGTATTTTTAAATTCAGAAAATGTGTTTTTTGCTTGAAAAATAATTTCAGAATTTAAAATGTATTTCATTTCTGATTTTATGTATTTTGTGTTTATTGAGCATTTAATTCTGAAAATTTAAAATTCTGATTTTAAATGAAAATGTGTTTTTGCTGGAAAAAAATTCAGAATATATGCACCTATTTTAAAATGTATTTTCTGATTTTAATGTGTTTTATTAATTCTGATTTAAAATTCCGTAAATGTGTTTTGTTTTCACCTGAAAAAATTTTGCAGAATTTCTTCCCAAAATTTTAGCTTCGGATAACCATCCAATTGTTTCTGTCCATCCACAAAATAAATATAAAAGGGTGGTCGATGTATTAAAAAATGTTTCGATTTTGTCGGTTGAATTGTGCCAGTTTTGGGGAATTTTAATTGCCGAGAAAATGAGTGAAGGTTGGGAGAATAGACGATACTGCGAAAAAAAAAAATTCAGAATTATAAAAGAAAAATACAAAAAATACAGAAATCAGAATTTAATAAAAAATCAGAATTATACAGAAAATACCAAAAAATACAGAATCAGAATTAAATAAAAAATCAGAATTATACAGAAAATACAAAAAAATACAAGAATCAGAATTATAAAATCAAAAGAAAAATACAAAAAAAATCAGAATTTCATTAAAATTTAATTAAAACACAAAAAAATACAAACCACTAGACGAGCTCTACTCAATTGTTTAGCAAAAGCAGCAAGTTTCTCTCCTTTCTCCCTATCGCGAATTCTGGTTGAGATCAGTGCCAGTGAACAATAAATAGTTCTTTTAAGTTGAAAATCTTTTTTGTTTTAATTTTAAATTAAAAATTTTTTTCTTAATTTTCTTACCAACCTAATAGCTTTATCCCTCCCTGTGTATGTGTCCAATAAAGAAATTAATTGTTCAAAAAATAATTTTTTATTTTCCATTTTTAATAAAAATATTTTTATTGATTTAATAAAGACGATAAAAGAGTGAGAAAATAAACGAAAAAATTATTAACGAAAAAGGGGAACGATTTAGATAAAAAAAAATATTGATAAATTAATTGTAATTAAATGAAATACATAAGTTACACATTAAATTCTGAATAACCCTTCTTGTGTTTTTAAATGTCTTAATTAAATTCTGATTTACTATGTGTTTTTTGTTCCCAAAATTCTGATTTTTATTAAAATTCTGATTTATTCACAAATTCTGATTTTTTAATTAAATTCTGATTTTTGTGTTTCGGTTCCCAAAATTCTAAGTTTTTAATTCTGACTTTTAATTCTGATTTACTATCTAATTCTGTTTGTATTTATCGGTAAAATTCAATTTCGTACCCCCCCCCCTCCTATTTTCCTTCTTCAAAGTATTATAAAATGGTCAGTCAGACTAGATTATAGAACTCGTCGAGCTGTGTCGAAGGACACCAAAATCAAAAAAATTGGACTCGATTTGACCGCAATACAGACCCCTGAAAATTGAACAACCATAGGGGCGAAAACCCATAAGGACGAAAATTTATACAAATGATAGCTCATTCGAAAGAGCTCGTCGAGCTGAGTCGAATGACACCAAAATCAACGTGATGGGACAAGATTTGACCAAGTTATGACATAAAGTCGCCGACTCCGTTAGGTCTACATAATGTCATAACTTTGTCAAACCATGTCTTTCGACTCAGCTGACGAGCTCTTTCGAATGAGCTATAAAATTTTTTATTTCAAAAAATCGCCCCTATGGTTGTTCAATTTTCAGGGATCTGTATTTCGGTCAAATCGAGTCCAATTTTTTTGATGTCCTTCGACATAGCTCGACGAGTTCTATAGTTCGCTTTCCTGTTATAGGACATTAAATTTTGATGTTTTTTTCCATAAATAACTTATTTTATAATTTTGATTTTGTTTTAAAAATTATTAAATTTTTACAAGGAGAAATTAGCACCTTTTCTCTCTCCAAAATTCTTAAAATTTCTCGTTTGACTAAAAAATGTTTAATTTTTTCGCTCATCCCTTCCGAAATTCTCAAAATTTAGCCTGCGGCGCTGAAAAAGAAGAAATTTGGTTCTTTAGCCGTCCATAATTCTATAAATTTTCGCCTGCGGCGCTGTAAATAGAAATAGAATGTTACATCCTTGATAGGTAATATCGAGGGATTGAGTGGTGTAAGGAAAATATCAAAGATTAATATCTGGGGATTTGCAGTGAAATTGTGGATGTCGATGAATCAGGATTTATATTTATATCGGTGATTTGATATCTATGGATCTGTTAGGATTAAGGATAATTCGAAGAAATTCTGGGATCAAAGGGGATATATAATTGGTAGGATATTGAGGATATCATGGGATTTGGGTAGTTCTGTTCGGGTTTTCGGTTCAGTTTTGGTTAACCGAAAGTTTCGATTCGGTTAGACGTTTCGGTTAACAGAAGGATTTGGTGAAACTGACAACCTTACTTAAAATACAAATTTTTTTAATTTGCTAGAAAATTTTTTTAAAGTTCCGGTTCCGGTTCCGGTTCCGGGCCGGAACTTAGAAAAGTTCCGGTACCGGTTCCGGGAACCGGAACTCAAATTGGATCCGGTTCCGGTCAAAATTTCGGTTCCGGTGAAACCCTAGTAAATACACGAAGAAAGACCAAAATATACAAAATTTCTTAAGACTAACTATGCAAAAAAAGGCTAAACCTTTATCAAAAAAGTTTAATTTAAGAAAAAAAATGTTACAAAAATAAATTAATTTGTTTGCTCAAAATTACAAATTAAACAGTTCGATTTCATAATTTAATTTCAATTCTCATCATTCAAATTCAGTCATTATTTCTGATTTTTAAAAATTCCTTCTATTTTGTATTTTTTAATGATTTCATATGGAACATCTTGAGGAAACCAAGAATCTTTTCGATGCCGATAATTGTCTTTAGACCGATCACGTTGATAAAAAAGCATATAAGAATTAGACGATCCGAAAATTTTCTTTCTCTGAGATTCTCGGTAAAGTACTTTAACTTCATTATCATCAAATAAACGCCATTCACCACTAATAAATTTTCGAGTAGCTGCTGTGTAATGACCTTTAAATTAATTTTATTGTAACCTAGTTTAAATAATTGGAGATGTGAGCAGTCGAATTTTTGGAAAAGATTTTAGGGTGCCTGTGGAGAGCAGGGGTATCCGCAATTGCGTAATTTGCGAACTGAAGGCGGAGAGGTGGGGGAAGCATAAATCAATTCACTCAAATCACACTTCTGAAAAATCATGGAGCCCGATCTTGATAGCAAAATTTCTGTGTAATTTAATATGACTGACCAGAGTTTAATTGATTTCCATGATGAAAAATAACACAAGACAAATCATATTTAATATTTTTATATCTTCCATCAAAAAACCACGATAATTTAGTAAACTCTAAAGGAACATCAATATTCTTAACATTCTTTTTTGTACCCTTCTCAGACTAAATATTTTAAAATTGACTCTGTTCAAAAAAATTAGATTGCCTGATCAAAACGATTTATATAGAAAACAAGAATATCAGGTTCATGATCCAATTCAGTTTGCACTGATCGAGAAGTTTTGTAACATTTTGGACATTCCCAGGATGATTGTATATATTCTATTTTTAAATTAAAATTTAAATTTTTTGTTTTTAACTATTACCAAATTCATTAAAATCATCATATATCATATCGCGTAATTTAACAGGTTTAGATTCATAATTAAAATAATTAAGTAAAGAATAATTTTCAATTATTTGTTCTTTCATAGACTTTGTTTCAAATTCTTCTTTTAAAGACAAATCCCATTCAACAATTATTTGAAGTACTTTTTTAACATTTTCTTTTTCGTTTAAAATACTAAAAGAATTAATTGAATTATAAAATATTTAATAATCGGCTGTATATTTAATAATATTGGCTGCTGAGTAGAATGATCGGTTCGATTTGGAGATTCTGAGCAGAATTATAAAGCTAAATCCTCGATGGACATGCTTTTTCTGATGTTGAAAGGGATTAAAACAAATGCTCATAACTATGCTTATTTAAGTCGGATTTCGATGAATTTAGTACCGTTCGACTCAGCTTGAAGAGCTCTTTCGAACGATATATAATTTGCCATAAAAAGTTTAAAAAATCGAAAAAAATAAAAAGGAAAAAAGGGGGGACCAGCCTTGGAATTGCCCCAAACGATTCCACTCGTCAAGATAAGATTTTTTTATAGTTATTCTGATATTTTTCGATAATTTTATGTGGTTAATAAACTTAACCTGTTAACATATTCATTAAAAAGTGGTTTCTCAATTATAGGGTCAATTCTAGCATAAGCTCCATCAGAATTTTGCAAAAAAAAGTGTAAAACCAGCATCCATCTTGTAGAAAAGTTCAGGAAGAAGAAAAGCTCCCTCCTTCATTATTTCAAAGCTTAAATGCCCACAACCTAAATCTCTATTTAAAATTGTAATGTAAGGCTCTCCGAAGCTGCAAAAAAAATTTTTCAGATTTTATATTTTTTTAATTTTACATTTTTCCATTTGGAACACTTCCAAATACAAAATAAACAACAGAAATTATTAAATTATTTTGTAGAAGTTGTTCCTTAATTTCTCCAGGTATTTGAAGAATAATTAAATCATTTTCACTATAAGAGCATGAATCCTCTGGATATAAATATAATTGACCATTTTGTTTAATTTTGCATGCAACCATCTAAAAATATAAAATTTGTTCTATTTTAAATTATAAATTTAGATTTTAGTCTACAGTATAAATATGATCAAAAACCTCTTCTATTTTTGTCATTATACCTCAGTTACAAAACTGGGTCTACATAAAAGATACCTATGCCCCTTAGAGATCGGTATTTTCAAAAATTCTGGATCTGAATTCTTGATCTGGGTCCACGAAAAATCCAGATCAGAAAAAATTAAGGACGACAAAAAAATAGCTGGGTCTGGACTCTGGATCAAGGAAAAATCCAGACTGGACCTGGATCCAGACCAATCTCTAATGCATCTCATATGGTTGAGAATCAATATAAGAAAAATGTCCGGATATCCGAAGGCCTCTACGCCTGTTTCAATAGAATTATGTTTAATATTATTAGACGGTTTAAAATTTTATTAGAAAATATACACTTTAAAAACAATACATTTTCTGACGAGATATTAACAACTTTCTCTATTTGTTTCATTATATTTTTAACATTTATATAAGATTCAGAAATATCAAAATGAAAACGAGTGATTTTACGTGTTGGATTCATACTAATAAATTTTACAGTAGCTTTAAATGGCCTGAAATATATCTAAAAAATAATTTATGGAAGTAAATTTACGAAGAAAATTTAAGTGGAACAGACAGAAATGGCTCTTCTGATATTTTAACATAATCACAATCTCGAGTAGTACATTTAATTGTCTTTATAAATTGGCCTCTGTTAAAAATAAAATTTTATAAAATTAATAAACATTTGTATTTAAAGCTTGAAACTATTTAATCGTGAAAAATCTTCATTTCTCAAATTAATAGAAATGTTTAAATAATCGGAATATGTGATTGACGACTAGAGATTGAGTCCAAGAATCCGGAATAAAAAATATTTTTCATCTGCTTGATTGTTTCGACTTTAATTGTTAATTTTTGGTTATATTTCGAAATCAAAAATACAAAATTATTTTGAAAAACTTACTCAAATAATTTCAAAAAAGTAGATTTTTTATTTTCCTTGCTTTTTTCATAGACTGAATATATTTTTTCTCTGCAAGATCCATATGCGTTTCTTTCCGAATACTTGTATTTTGTGTATTCATAACTCTCCAAAAAATCCAAAAACTCTCGATCAAGTTTGTTTAATAACCAGAGCAAACATTCATGAGGATCCTATTTAGTAAATAAATTTAAAAATAGTTAATTATGGCACAAAGATCTTCATGATTTTATGGAAGATATTATATTTAAACGAATAGAAAATAAGAAATATTAGGGTACCAAATACTACCAATTATTAACCCCCCCCCCGTTCTCGGTTAATTCCAATTCGATTTTTAATTTTAGTCAGATACCGGTTTTATTTTTGGGGGATTTTATTGAAAATCACTCATTTTCATATATTTCCGGTTTTTAAAATTTCAAAAAAATGGTTAATTTTAGGTCACAAAAATTACGGTTTCAAAACCGATTGTCTAACCCTAGTAAATATCATAAAATTTAAACTGTCGATTTTTGATTCCAGGATTTTTTTCCTATTTTTTCAATCTTGTCTTTAAATCCTATTTTTTTATTTTGTAATATTCCTTAAATCCTGTATACTTTATGAATGGAAAAATTTTTTAAAAATAAAAAAATAAATTATTTAAAAAACATTTTGAGTGCCAAGACTAAATGATGAATTTTCATTTGCAACAGAACTAATAGTTTTATGGCAGTAAGTGTCAACAGAAGGGTTATTGAACCAAATGCAGCGAATTGTATCAACAAATGAGTTGAAAATAATATTCTTAAAATTAAAAAATTTATATTTTGATTAAAAATTATTCTTGGGATATTCACAACTAGTTGAAGAAAGGAAAACATCTTAATTAGGTATGGCCTAGTTGGTAAACTACAGACATCGGGGGCTTGGGATAACCTTAGTTAAATCTAGAAATCGGAAAAAATCTCCGTTAATTTCTGCATAAAAATTTAAATTATCGGAAACAGATATTTTTTAGGATCTTGATTCTCGACTCAGCTCGAAGTGCTCTTTCGAATGTATATAAAAGTTCATAAAAATTTCGTGGAAAATGTAAAAAAAAAATAGAACATAAAAAAGGGGGGCGACAACCGAAGAATTACCCCTTCATCTCAATAGTCAAACATTTTCTGTTCCTAATTTCGAAATACAGTTTTTATTTGCAAAATTCATTTCACCTTTTCATATTCCACAAAATCATTACAAAGAAAAATTTCAGCAAAACGGTCACAACCAGCCAGGCACTGCATTAAAGCATTAAAATAATCTGTATTTCCATGATTTTTTAGTCCTAATAAATTTAAATTAAATAAATATATTTCTATTTTTAAAGACCTTTTAAGCAACAATTGTTAATCCTCATTGCTAATATATTTATAGCTATAAATATCTTCAAATTGTGAAATTAAATTTTAATTTATAAAAAGTAACATAAAAATTGTTTTTAATGTTTAAACGGCATTTTAACTGTGCGGGATCTGTCCCGTAACCGATCCGTTTTACCGTATTTATTCTAATATAAGCACATTTATATTAGAAGCCCATTTTTAATATAAGCCCATCCGAGGAGACTCGTGGAAAAATATTAGCTCAGGGCTTATATTAGATTAAATACGGTAATTATTGTAGGCGCAGAGGGTTCGAGAACCTTTTTAAAGTTAAAGTTAAATTCTTTAAAATCTTAAAAAATAAATTAACAATTTAGTTAAGACGCACAAAGTGAATCATTAAATGTGTAAAATTTGATCCATAATTTCATTAAATAGAAGGGAGGTGTGGCAGAAATGATTATAAAATGATATTCTTTATTAAAAATGTTTGAGAAAATAACATTTAATTTGAACGAAATTTTGCCTTAAATTACTCCACAAAGGAAAATTAGTCTAAGGATGGCATTAATAAATATGGGAATTTAGTAAAAGGCAATGAAAGTATATTTTGAAAATTTGAAAATTTAAATTTTTTGTTTATGTAATCAAAACTTATTTTTAATTTCGATTAAATATTTGTCTCTTATCCAGTTAATAATAATCCCTTTTCACTGTTAATCTGATCATCATGGTTGATTTTTTCTGATCATCAAAAAAAATTGTATTAGAATATGGATGAAAATCTTCAAAATAGGGATGAAAATATGGGAAAATTCAAAATTCAGATTTAAACAACAAAAACACATTTTTAACAATTAATTAAAATTATAGGGAATTAATTTAAATACCCGAAAAATAATTTAAAAATTTATTTTAAAAATATAAAAAAATTTCAATTAACCCAAAAAATAATAAAAAATATAAAAAAATAAAATAAAAATTAATTTATCACAAAATTCCCCCCTCTTCACTCCAGCATTCTTCCCAGAATGTCGTCGTTGATGGGAGGGGGGTTCAAAAAGCTCGTTATCTTCAAATTCTTTTTGGGAAGGATTTTGATGTCTTAAATTGTGCATAGGGGGAGATTGTTGATTAAAAGTTTGGTTTGGAGTAGAAAGTGTGGTTGAGGTTATTAAAAATGTTGGGGGAGAAGGAGGAGGTAATACCCAACGACAGCCAGCAGAGGCAGGGGAATAATACAATAAAGCCTTAAATGCTTGTTCTCGTCCACAATAATTTTCTGATAACCACTGAAAAAAATATTCTGATTTTTATTTTGTATTTTTTTGTGTTTTTGTGTTTTTAATAGAGTCAATATTCTGATTTTTGTATTTATTTTTGTATTTATTTAATAATTCTGATTTTTGTATTTTGTCTCCAATATTTGTATTTCTGATTTTAAAAAATTCTGATTTTTACATTGTATTTTCTAAAATAAAAAGGATTCTGATTTTCGAATTTCTGATTACACCAATAATTTTTGATTTTTTAATATTCTGATTCAAATATTCTGATTATATTTTTTCTGATTTAAAAGATTTTTATTTTCTTTATATTATTCTGATTTTTGAACCAGAATTTAATTAATTTACTTGTTCCTCAGCAGGAGAATTAACCAACCACTGTATTTCACAAGAACAATAAAGTGTGTTTTCGGTAAATAAGAAACGTTGGGCTTCGTTGCGTAAACAATCGGGGGATGACAGAGGTTCTCGAATCTTTAAATAATATTTTTAAATTCTGATTTTAACAAAATTCTGATTTTGTGTTTTTGTTTCAGAATTCTGGTTGTAAAATTAAAAATTCTGATTTTTAACGGAATTCTGATTTTCTTTAAAATTGATGGTATTTCTGGTCATTAATTAATTCTGGTTTTTGTGTTTTTATTTCTGATTTTTAAAATTAAAAATTCTGATTTAATATTATTACTGTATTATAAGTAAAAACAAGAGAGCCCAAATTCTCCGCACCCAACGCCCATCCAGGCACTAATCTACCAATTTGGTTAGATTGAAAATGAACAGAGCCAACAGTAAAAAGGCCAGAAAGAGCCCCTTCAGAAATACGTCCAATACGTGATTCTCTAATTTGTAACTGAAAAAATAATTTTTTTTTAATTTTTTTCTTTCCCCTTTTAGTTTAAAAAAAAGTAATTTCTGTGTGGCTTTTAAAAAATAATTTTTGTCAAACAAAAAATGGAATTTGATCCAATCAGTTTATTTATTTTTATTGTTGTAATAATAATATTTTTATTAAAAAAAATAAATATGTTTATAGAATTGAAATATGAATCTTAAAAACATATTTGTTAAAAAATACAAATAATTATTATTTTTGTTATTAGAAAATAATTTTTTTAAAAAAGGAAGAAATAAATAATGGAAAATTATAGGTATTCTGATTTTTGGTTTAAATAATTCTGAAAAGTGTATTTTTTCAGGAAGGTGTATTTTTGTCTTTAATTCTGATTTTTAATTCTGATTGAGTTGTGTTTTGTTTATAGTATTGTATTTTATTTATAATTCTGATTATTGTGTTTTTGTTTGAAGATTGTATTTATTTGTATTTCTGATTTTTAATTAATTCTGATTTGTGTTTTATTTGTATTTTATTTGTATTTCGGGTATTAATTAATTCTGATTTTTGTGTTTTTATTAATTTAAATATTCTCTTTGTATTTTCCCCTTTACCTGATTTAAATGAGACAATTCAGCAAATCCATCTTTAGGTAACTGACTCAAAGCAGAATCCACAATAATAACTTGATGTAATCTACTACTATTTAAAAACACTCCAACTTCCAAAGAACAAACACCTTTAAGGGTTAAAAAATCGACTCGAGTAATTGTTGCCAAAGAATTTGTTTCTAATTCAAAACAACGTTCTTCTATTATTAATTCTCGTAAATTCTCTACATTTCTTTAAAAAAATAATAAATTTAAAAATATTTTTTTTGAAAAAATTTACTTAAAGGCGAATGCCCGCACTCTTTCCAAAGCATTATCCATTATTTTAATAGAAAGAGGGTGTTCGTTACCTATACCAGAAAATGCTGTTTTGTATAGCTCTCGAAGTCCTTTGTTTCCTTTTAATACCAAAACTCTGAAAATTAAATAATTAAATTCTGATTTTTTGTATTTTATAATTCTGATTCTATTAATTTATAAGTATTTTTTGCTTAAAATTCTGATTTTAATTCTGATGTCCTATTTCTGATTTCGAAATTCTGAATTTAAAATCAGAACTTATTAATTCTGATTTCTGATTTTTTTCTGATTTTATAATTCTGATTTTATAATGTCTATTTTTTATTTCAGAATTTTATTTATTCTGAAAATTAAATAATTAAGTTCTGATTTTTGTATTTTCTTCTGTTTTGTCAGTGTTTTGCTTAATTCTGATTTTTGTATTTTTCGGTATTTGTGTTTATTTAATTTGTATTTTTAATAATTCTGATTTCTTGTATTTCTTTTTCAATTATTTATTCTTTCACCTCAATTTTCTCAATTGCTTAAAAGCATTTCTTTCAATTAAATCAAGTCTTTGACAATCAAAAATATAAATTTCCACAAGGTGTTGGAAGCGTCTAAAAGCTTGTTTTTCTAAGCTATTAATTGTCCAATTTCGAATATAAAAAATTTCAAAATGTGAAGGCCATGTTGGAGGTATTGTATCTAAATCTAGTCCGGAACAGTCTAACTAGAAAAAATAAATTTTTTGGTCAATAAAAAATATTTTTCCAACAGTTGTAGGCGACTCTGTCGTGCAACTACAACCGTCGGGGCACCACTCCCCCTTAATTTGGACGTTTTCTGAATTTTCTTGAATAGAGGAATTGTTGTAATTAATAAATAAAATAATTAAAAAATAATTTAATTGAAGAAAATATTTATTAAAATAATTTTTGTTGTAAAACTTGACCATCTCTTACGGCGCATGCTCTAATATATTTTATAGAGGATTTTTAAATAAATTCTGAAAATAAATAGGTATAAACTTTAATTCTGATTTTTGTATTTTTAAATAAATTCTGAAAATAAATATAAACTTTAATTCTGATTTATGTATTTTTAAATAAATTCTGATTCTTGTATTTCTATTTAAATAAAAAAATTCTGATTAATAATTCTGATTGTATTTATTTAGGAAATTCTGGTTTTTGTATTTCTTTTCAATAATCATTATTAATTCTGATGTTTGTATTTTTATTTAAATGAAAATTCTGATTAATTTTTTTGGAAGTTCTGATTTTTGTATTTTGTTTTTAATTCTGATTTTTAAATAATCCTTATTAATTCTGATTTTTGTATTTCTGATAGTTCCAAGTTTTATTTCTGATTTTTGTATTTTGTATTTTCATTTAATAATTAATTCTGATTTTAATTATTATTGTATTATTGTTTTTCTGATTTTTTATTTCACTAATAAAAAATAAAATAAAAATCAGAATTTTCTCTCCTATCAAGCTGCGTTGTACTAAGGACAAGAACATTGTAAAAAATATTTTTTAAAAATTCTAAAAATAAATTTATTACTTTTAAAATTTAAAAATAGAAAGATTAAAAATCAATCATTTTTAAATGTCACTTTTGCGGCTAGCAAAGAAAAAAATTTTTTTGTTAAAAATATTTAAAGACGAAGGGTAATAATCATCGCCTCAAGAGGGTAAAAAGGGTGGCTTTTTAAATAATTTTTTTTTTATTTTTTATTAAAAAAAGGAGGGTAATATGGAAATAATTAGAAAAGGAAGAAGATGACATAAAAACAAAAAAAGAAAATTAAATGGTTTGTTTGGTTGTTGTTAAGAGGTGGTGAAAATTGGCATTTTTGAGAGGGAAGTATAAATATATTTTTAACTTTTTTTGTTGAGGAAATCTGTTGTTAAAAAAATAAAGGAGGGGAAAAGAGCGCCGGCAAAAAAATGTTAAAAAGAAAAGGAGACAAAAAATAAAAAATAATTTTTACAGGAACCTTACGTCGAGACTCAGCGGGGAATGATGACTTTTTCTGTTAGAATAATAAACAAACTATTTAAAAAATTAAAAAAAATTTTTTTTAAAACGGACATTCTTTGAGAAAATTATTTTTAAAAGAAAATTTTGTGAATAAAATTATATTTATTTTTAAATTTATAAGTAGAAATGCAATTTTAAAAATTGGAAAAAAAACAATTTTTTAATTTTTAAGAGAGTCTCGGCTCGTGATATAAAGGTTTTGGTATATCTCAAAAGGAAGATAAGGCAGAGAGAACATGAAAGGATGGATGGTTTTGTTGAACACTCGCTGGGTTTTTCTAATTATATTTGAGGTCATGAGTTCGAATCCTTGTGGGGAAGTTAATTTTTTCGATTTTTGAAGAATATCAGTAGACTGTTTAAAAATTTTACAGCAATTTTTAAACTCAATTAATTTTATTAAATTAGAAAAACACGATTCTAGTATGTCGATAAGCGATAGTTTACTACCCTATTACCCTACTTTCTAGGCAAAAATAAAAATAAAGGAGAAAATGCTTGAAGGAGGGAGGATATTGAGAATAAAAGAGAAAAGGGTTTTATTTATGTGAGAAAATAAATACTAAACCTAAGTTTTATATAGAGAACATGCTTTTAAAAAGCTTTAAAAAGCTTAGGGGAGGAGCTCTCTAAAAATATATATTTTATTTATTTTTAATCTAACACATAAAAGATTTAAAAAGAAAGAAAAATAGCCAACTGATGAAAATAAAAATTATTTATAACCGATTTGTGGACAACAAATATTTATTTTAATATACCTATAAAATAATAATTCAATAAAAATTAAATTTAGAGGGTTGTTGGATAGCTATCAAAATAAAAGTCAAATTAAGACAGATTTTGGTAAAAGTCAGTTTTGTATGCCCCCCCCTCTTTTTTTATTTTTCATCTTTCCCAAAATTCCCCTCTATTTTCCGAGGATATATGATTCAAATTATTTATATTATCCTATGACGGGTGGCACCAGCTTCAGCAATTGGGACCTATTCCACTACTACTCCTATTTGTGATATATGATACACACAAACATGTGACCATTACTTAGTTTTAAAATACAATGACGGATAGTTAACGATTTTTAAATCCGTAAAAGGGGGAGGCATACGAAATCAACAATTTACCCAAATTGTTAATAAAAAAAATAAATGGAAAAAAATTAATTAGTAAACTATACATACCCAACAATAAAGTCTAAATAAATAAATTTATCTCCATTAAATTCTTCTAATTACAGCATCAACATTTATCCCAAAATCATTTTCTATCCCCAAATTATCAAAATTTTCCAAAATACTTTCGCTTTCTTCTTCGATTTCTTCATAATTTTCTTCCTTTACTTTAATAGTTACAGAAAATTCAATTTTTGGATTGTGTTTATTAAAAAGTTGAAATTTTGTAGTTTTACCATCCTCTTCAATTTTTAATTTATTTTTATTTTTTGCTGCCTTTTCAATTGAAAATTTAACCATAGTTTCAAATTTAATTTCTTTCACCACTTTTGAAATGTCTTGGGAAGTTTCTATGTACTAAAATCAAAAATAATTTTTTAAATAAAATTTTTCCAAATTTTTTCAGAAATTTTCATATCATATTTATTTATACTATTTGGTGTCACATTTGGCTTACAAACTAATAAACACCCGGAAAGCGTGGCGAACAAAACAAATTGACCATTTTGAGCCCTTTTAATTTTTATTAAAAAAAACTAAAAATTTTGCCAGTCACTAAAATCGAATGTTCCAGCCATCCTTTATGTATAATAAAAATATATGTACAAACCTCTACGATTGAAAAGTAAAGTTCAACGTCAGGATATTCATAAGTAACATTTAAAAATTTATTTCCTCCTTTTGCCAAAATTTTAAATAATAAAACGCCCATAATTTCTTCATCTCCGAAACAAAGATCAATTCCAAGATGATTAGAAATCAGATGATTCCAGGCAAAGTTTAAACAATCAGCTTCATCATGAAATATTTCTGTCCTTTGAGAATGAATTTGTAAAGGCATATTTGTTGCTTCATCAAACAATAATTCAATCATTTGTGGATTAATTATAATACAAGAAATTTCAAAATATTCGAATGCACAGTTAAAAAGTAGTTGGAATACAAAACGAGCAATTGCCATTTCCTCCATATTTTTTGGAAACTTTGGTAATTGTAAATAGTAGGATTCTGAATAAAGTTCTGACTAAAAATTTTTAATTCTCACAATCAGGGTCCGTAGAATAAAAACTCGGTTGCTGGTTACCTAACCATCAACCGGCGGTTAAAATCACCCGGTAGCATAATAACGTGGCTGCTGGTTAAGTGACCTTACGACGGTGGTTAACCACGTGGTTTTCTTATTCTACCGGTTTACAATGACCTTGTGGTTATCTAACCATGAACCATCGTGGTGACCGAGTTCTTATTCTACGGCCCCAGAATAAAGAAAACACCGAGTTGAAATTTTCTTTAAATCAAACTTTAAATTTTAATTTCTGAATAATTTATTTATTTTTAATAAGTTATTTATTTTATTATGTATTTTGTTCATTTTTAAAAATAAAAACCCAAAAAATTCAAAAAAATTATGAGAGAACCTTTATTATAATTTTGTTGCAATTCACAAACAACAATGTCTATGTCTTCATAATCATCAAATGTAATAAACATTGGAATTGACTCGTCTATTCCATGCTCCCACTAAAATTTTAGTTTATTTGGTAAAATTGAATTTCATTACGCCCCCCCCCGCCGCCCATCTCCCCCATTTCCTCAAAATATTAAAAATGGTCAAACTTGAAATGTTAGAAAACTCTATGGGTATAAGTAACCCTTCTGACTCTTGAACTAAACCATCATTGGGTGTGTGTACCACAATTCTATTTACAATAGGTTCTGCCTATTCTAAAAAATTTTTTATAGGAAAAAAAGTCCAACTCGCCCAGTAGGTACTTAAAAGCAGAGCTGATACTGAGTACTTATCTTCACAAAGTAAAGTTTTAATATATTTTAAGTCTGACCATTTTTAATATTATGAGGGAGGGAAAAAGAAAAGGGAGGTTCAAAATTCAATTTTACCAAAAATTCAAAAAATTACAACCTTTTCCTTAAGCTGTTCACTCAATTCAAAATCATAAAGATGAGGTTCTATTTCAACAAATTTATGTTCGACTTGCACTTTAATGAATTTATTCTCTTCCCATTTTTCCTCATAAACAGAACGCTAAAAATAATAATTATTATTAAAATCAATTTATAAACAAATACATACAAATTCAAGCTTAGAAAATTTCTTCTTTGCCAGTTCTTTTCCATATTTGTCAATAATATTTTTGAAATAAAAACTTGACTCTTGAAAAGATACTAATTGATTGAAGTTTAGACATTTAAATATATCCAGTTGAGTTTCTTGAGGAAAACTTATTTTTGCAGTCTTATTTTTAATGTTAGCAGGCACTGAATCTTCTTCAATTTGAACCAAACGATACCAACGACCTTTCTAACAGATTTATTTATTTTTTAAAATTTAAACAAAAAATAAAACCTCTTTATAATATTTAGTCCCTTCGTGTTCAATAATTTTTTGATCCTTGCTCATTCTTATAAAATAATTTGACTAAAAATAAATTAGAAAATTTGGTCTGTAAATTGTAAAAAATTAGTTAAAATTGTATAATAATTAAAATAATTTTAAAAAAGTATTAATTATAAATTCAGAAATAATTTGAAATTAAATAGATAAAAATTTTTATTTTATTTTATTAAAATAATTTTTGTGACTAAAATTATACACAACAAAATTTGTTTTAAAAAATGTCAAAAAATATTTCAATTAAAACTAAATTCCCCTACCATTTTCTATCCTTTTATTATCTTCATTATTTTCTTGTTTTTGTAATTCATAATCCTCTTCCCAAAATTCTTCGTCATCCAAATCGGCTATTGGAAAACGCAAAATTGCTGCTACACCTGTCTGAAATTAAAAGGATTTTAATTGAATCGCGACTATGTCCGTGTGGTGTAGTTGGGAATGATTCCGGCTATTGTTGATTAAGTTGAGGGTTCGAATCCAATCGATTGGAATATTTTTTATAGTGCTAGAAAACTCAAGAAACGAAATTTTTTTGAATTTTCTTTAATTTTAAAAAATAAATTTTTAAATTTTAATTATTTTTAACAGAAAAAACACTTAAATGGTAAATATTTTAATAAATATAATTCAAAAAATATCCTAACCAATTGAGTTAATTGTTCTCCTGTTGCATGCAGTGAAGAAAAAATGAGAACATTAGAACCCTTTAAATAAAATTTTTAAAAATTTATTTAAAAAAGACGAAACCTGTTCTTTAATTCTTTCAACTAATTGAACATATTTTCTTCGTTGAGTAATGTCTTTTGAACGAAAAAGAGAATCTGATACCTTTAAAATTTTAAAGAAATTGAATTTTTTTTTGAAATTTTTGAGATTTTTTTGAAAGGCTAAAAACCCAAAAAAACCCCCAATTTTTTAATGAAAAATCCAACCATCAAAGTTTCAATAGATTGCTGTTCACGAGCATAAATTACATGTTTATAACCATAAACAGCCCTTTGTGGATCTGTACACATTAATTCCAAAAATGTGTTGAGTGCTTTAACTTCTGCTTGTGCCTTAAATAAATTTTAAGAAAATTTAAAATAAATAAAAAGAAAACATTTTCCAGAAAAGACAAAACAATATATAAATTTATATTTTTTCCAAAGACACGGGAAGAATTGAAAAAAGGAATAAAACTTCCCAGAAATATAAATATAAAAAACCCCTTCAAAAAATTATAGCGTGTGGAAGCATATTAGTAAATATTTGCTTAATTGTTAGGAATTTATAAACGAAATTTATTGACGAAATTTTATTGACTTTAGACTAGGGTTGTTGGAAACCGTTTTTAAAATCAAAAAATATTTTTTCAAACATTAGCCGTTTTTGTAAAATTTTAAAAACCAAAAATTTTTTAAAATAATTGATTTTCGTAAGAAAAATCCCCACAATAAAACCAGTATTTAACTAAAAACCGATTTAAATTTAAATTAACCTAAACCCTCAGTTTTCAGGTTAATAGTTTTCAGTTTTCAGGTTAATATGCACAAGTAGGCGCGCGGCCATAAAGGCGCAAAGCCATAACTTGCTTGAAAATTACTGACCCTTAGTTATTTTGGTACCAATCTCTTTAGCTCGATTAGAGAAATCATTTAATACTAAATTTGGCAAAATCGGAAATCTTGAAGTAAGTTATGGCCTTGCGCTTACCTGGTTGCCCACTTTAAACGTTTCTTAAAATTAAATTTATAAATACCTACTTTAGTTTCACTCAAACGTTGACTAACAGCAACATCAGAAAGGACTTCATTTAATGAATGCTTAAAATAAAAATTTTCAAAAAATTAATTTAAAAAACCTTAAATCCACTCGAAGAATGTACCAAAATAAATTTACTTTTTTGTGGAAAAATTGTTTGTCTAAGCCCTTCTTTCTCTACATATTGCCAAAAGAATTCCATAAATTGTTCTCGTAAAAAGCCTGGACTTGCAATTACTACACATTTTATTTGCTAAAAAATTAAAAAAAAATTATTTTTTTAATAAAATGTAAATGGATCAAGAAATTGAAAAATGATAGAAAAAAGGAAAATCAAAAAATAGCAAAAAAAATAAAAATTGAGACTAGGAGCGTAAAAACAAAAAGCCAATAAAAAAAGGGGGAAAATATAAAGGGGGACTGGGTGGGCGCAAAAATTTTTGGCGTTTACCTTGGCGTTCCGAACGCAAATTTTTTTGAACATAAATTTTCATCACTTCAGCGCCGCAGGCGAAAATTTTTTGAAGTTTAGAAGGCCGTAGGCCAAAAAAGTTCACTTTTTAGCGCCGCAGGCGAAAATTTTGAGGATTTTGGAGCTCAAGAAGCCAGATTTCTTCCATTTTTTGCGCCACAGGCGAAAATTTTTTAAAATTTGTCGGTTATAGGCGAAAAATTTTTACTTTTTCGACCATCCTTCTCCTAATTTTTTCCCCCTTTCCCCATTTCGGGGGGGGGGGGCTCTAGCCCCCCCCCCCAGCCCCCCCTGGATACGCCCTTGCCTAATACGATTTTAGAACAGAGGGGTTATTTTAGCAATCCCAATTCAATAAGTCAAATAAAGTTTTTTGAGAATCCGGGTATTTTTGTTTAGGTTTTCAATTAAAACCCCAAAAAAATTTAATTTAAAAAAAATAAAAAAAATATTTGAATACCTCCAAATTAACATGCCGAAGAAAGGCAACAGTTATCGCATTAAAAAACGAATTTAAACTTTTTTCGTGTTGTTGGGAAAGTCCTTTACGTTTCCTAGCAATCTATAAAATAATTAAAATTAAAAATAATAATTAAAAAAAACCTGCATATCAATTTTAGATTTTACAATAGTCATTGAAGAGCTTATTAAACAAATATTGGCAAGACCTTCATGCAGAACCTTTAAAAAAATTTTAAAAAATTTTCTAAAAACATTTTTTTCGAAAAAATTGTTACTAACAAAAGGGATGTTAAGGGAATTGGAATGAAAATTTTTTAGATTTTCAAAAAAAAATTTTTATTTCTAGAAAATAATTTAAAAAATTTTAAAAAAAAATCCCTAGTCTTCCAAAAAAACCCCAAAAAAATTTTTTTTACAATTCCAGCAACATCAGCTTTATTAGCAACATCAGCACAAAGTTCCAGCCTGTGTAAATCAATTGCATCCCAACATTGTTTCTCCAAAGTAAAGACTCTGTTTAAAGCTAAATCTAAAGTGTGGTAAGCACCGAGACGAACATGTTGATTTTCTTGGATATTTTTGCCTTTAAAAATTTAAAAAATTTAGAAGAAAAAATTGTAATTCCAAGGCTGGTCCCCCCCTTTTTTTCTGTTCGCCTGACCATTTTGAGATTTTTTGCTTGAAATATAATTTACAATATATCATTCGAAAGAGCTGTTCGAGTTGAGTAGAATGATACTATGATCGGATAGATTTGTCAATTTTGAACCAAATTATGAAGCTAAATCCTCGATGGACATGCTTTTTGTGATGTTTAAAGGGATTAAAACGAATGCTCATAACTATGTTTATTTAAGTCGGATTTTGATGAATTTAGTACCGTTCAACTCAGCTTGAAGAGCTCTTTCGAACGATATATAATTTGCCAAAAAAAGTTTAAGAAATCAAAAAAATAGAAAGGAAAAAGGGGGGGCCAGCCTTGGAATTACCGAAAAAATAAGGGAAAAATAATTTTTAAAACCTTTCAAATGTAAGGAACATACAGTTGCATCAAAATCAATTGTTTCGACCGAAATGGTTAAAATCCTAAAAATTTAAAAAATTAATTACTATTACAAATTAAAGAATAAAATAAGAAATTGTGGTAAACTTTTAAGGTTTGTCATGAAAAATAAGGGAGAACTGAAAGGAAAATGAAAAAATGGTATGAAAAAAGAATAGGGAATACTAACCTAAGAATTACCCCTAAATCTTCCAAAATAGAGAATTCTTTAAAAAATCAAAAAAAATTTTAGAAACAACCCAGACGATTTAATCCTTTTGAGGAGGAAAGAAAATGGATGTATGGAAAAGTACCAAGAAATCATAGAAAGGACAGAAAAAGTCGAAAATTAACTTAATTAACGATTAAACTAGAAACCCATCAAAATACCAATCGCGGTAATATTGAACCGGAGAGGCCTCCTTTTTTCCTCCCCAATTCTTTCCTATATTTTTGCTAAATGGTCAGACTTTTTCCTTTCTTCCATCCAAATTTCCTTTCAAATTTTTGCCTACAATCAAACAAAAAGGATTATTTTTAATATTTTATTTCCCATTTTTCCTCCCCAAATTGGGGGAAAAAGGGGGTCTGTCCGATTCAATATTACCCCAAACCATTAATTCAACACTTACATTTGAACCCGTTGACTAGTTTTTGACCCAGTTGCCGTTTCGTTGGTTATTTTCCTCATAGTTGAACTTCTAACAACATCACCAATTCTAGAAAAAATAAATAAAACAAAAAAATCAAATTTAAACAAAAACCTAATAAGATTAAAAACGTGCCACATATCCTCATCTTCCTCACAAATTAATCTTACAAAACCTGAAGCATCTTTTTGAAGGCCACGTTTTAGAATCTTCATGTTGACATTAATAAACCATTTTCTATAATTAAATAGAAATAAAATAAGAAAATCAGACAAAACCTTAAATTTGTGTGACCAAATGAGAAATTTTCTTCTATGTGACGAAATGGCTAAAAATTAAAATTGACGAAAAGAAAATATTTTTTGGAATTTAAAAAAAATTTTGGGGAAGGCTTTGGGTTTTTTAATTTTTTTTATTTTTACCCAAAGATTAATTCGAAATATTTTAGTTAAATGTCAAGCTCACCATCAAGAAGCGAACATTTTAGTTTAAATACTTCCCAATTAACAGAAAGTAATGAGGATGATAATAATAGAGATGTTTTGGAAAGGACGGAAGATGATGAAGATGACAGCTTTCATCCTGAATTGGAAGACGATGAATTGAGTACAGATGCGAGAACGTTAATTGAGGTTTTGAAATTTTTGTTGATTTAAATTAAAAATTATTTTTTAAAAAAATTTTGAGACCATAAAGGTGAATAACCGTCGATTTTCTGGGCTTCTTTATTTGAAATTCTTCTCGATTATTCCTTACAAGGAGAAGTTGCGAGGTGTCCGACCTAAAAACGGTCGAGACCGGGCTCATTCGATAGAGAATGTGCCCTTTCTAGCAAGGATTTTCAGCCGTTTTTGCCCTTTTTTGATCTGGCCAAGACATTTCGCAACCTCTCCTTGTTAACTTTTGAATTGAGCAGTTAATTTTAAATTCTAAGAGATATGAGTATCTCTTTTTTATTTGTTGACGGCTAATTGGGGTTATTGTTAGATTTAAATTAATTTATTTTAGTTTATTAGCATCAATTCCAAAGGAAAATTAAAATAAAAATTTAAAAAGATAACACTAAACATACTTATTTTCTATTATTACAATTCAGTTTTCTCAGCAAATTGCTTCTGCTTCCGAAACAGGCTGTTCAACTCAAGCAGTTTCTGAAGAACTTGTTGACCTTCAACGTCTTCGTCGTACACAGAAAATATTTAAGGAATTGCAGTTTAATAACCCTGGAAGACAGCTGGTAGAATCTCTGTCAACTGATGGACTGACGGAATATGCATCTAATAGGCCTAAACGGAACAAGAACAGGAATAGAACGACTAATGAAGGTTTTTTAGAATTTTTATTGGTACTTGTCGGTTGCACAGCTTGCTATATGCAGATTATTTTTGCGGACTTATAAGGATAAGGCATTCTTCCCCTCGAATTACTCCTCAATAAGAGTTCCTCATTATATTAGGCTCTCTATCTGAAAATTCAGGGGAGTGTGGCAAACTCGCATTCACGGATGCGAGTTTGCCACACATTTTCAAAATTTTTTACGGGACAAGATCCCGCGGGATTAATCCCGTTCATCGCTTAAAATACGGGATTTCGGGACAGGACCCCGTAAAATCCCGTACTGGATCCTGTCCCATTGCCGCACACTATTGAAAGCTTTTAAAACCCTTAATAACTAAAAAACGGGCACTTTGACGCAAGGACAACACAATACAATTCTTTCAATTTAAGGCTTAAGAGTTGTTTAGCAACATTTATTTTTTCCTATAAATATTAGATTCTCTTTTTTGTCTTATTAAAGATTTAAATTCTTCTCTTAACAACTTACTAAAAACGAGCGAAAAATATTCTCACCAAGGGTTTTGCTATAGAAAAAATAAAGGAAGCTCCGATGGACAGATTATATTTTGGGTGTGTGTTGACAGACGTAATGATTGTAAAGGCAGGGTTTGGACAACATCTTGCGAAAGTAGAAAGTTCATTCGTCTAGTTACAGAGCATAGCTGCACGCTAGGTAGTGACTTATTTTAGGGTGGATCTGATTTTTAGCCTTGCACCAAAGTGGCGCTGTACTTTAAATATTCCAAAAATTAAAACTGTCCCTAGCCCAGTCTACCTTATATTTATTAGAATAACTGAATTCATGAAAGTCTGAGCTAGACAATTTTGACATAATTCGACTTTCCTTGACATTTTTACTTTTAGTTAACTCCCATTTAGTGCATTAATTTATAATTTAGAAAAAAATATTTCCAGAATCATCAAGGAACACCAACAAATCAAGCAATTATACAGGCAAACTCTTCCACAATCAAAAAGGCCATTTAACTACAAGTCGGGGAGCTGTTGATCTTTGCGATTGTCTCGATTTGGAATGCTCTGGGTGTAATTACCCTGTGGGTATTCTAACGAGTTATTTGGGTAATTAAGAGTTTTAGACTGTTTTGGGGTGTTGATTGTAACATAACTAGAAAGCCTTTAAGGTTTTTTGAGGGTGGGAAGGGGAGTCTTCTGATTTAAAATTATCTGAATATACTACCAAGATTTAAGAAAAAATATTTTTTAGTGTAAGAAATGTGGTTCGCAAAAATGCAGTTATTCTTGCCGAAACAATCGACGCACTTATATTGAAAGTATTGATGAATTGGGATCTGGTAGCACAAAAAATCCGTTTCTTTGATCAACAAGAAAATTGTTAAGTTAATTATTTTATTTTAAATTTTTGAATTTTATTGTTCACTCATTTAGTCAATTTATTGTCCACTTGGAAATGTTTTTTGGAATATAAAAATTAGCTTTTTTTCATTTAAGTAAATTTTAGTGAATACTAATTCACTAATTTAAATTTGAGTTTTTTTTGGTATCTTTCAATTTGAAAATTATTTCATAACTTTAAGCAAAAAATTCCAAAGAAAAATAAAATGATTTCCAGTCATTAAGCAACAATTTCAAAGTTATCATAAAAAATGATTATATTGGAGTTCTGTTTTAGCAATGTAAATTTAGAGAAGATAACTTAAAAGAAATAACACACAAAAAATAATAGAAAAATACAGAAGCAAATGTAATTGTGTTTTCCGGAAAATTTATAAAATTATTTTTGAAACACAAAATACAAACAGAAAAACACAAAACACCCCCACACCGTTTTCCGGAAAGAGAGAATGTATTTACTTTGTATAAGTATTCTGAAAAAAATTCTGAAAATATTCTGGTTTTTTAATAGTTTGTGTTTTATGCAGCACAAAATATGTACCTGATTAATGTTGTTATTAGTTTATCTTTTTTTTGTTTTCTATTAAAAAATTAATTAGAAGGGAGGGATTATTGTGTTTGCTTCTTATCAATTCGGTGCTGTCTGCTTTTATTTTACATTCGACCTTAAATTTTTTTATTTTTTTATTTGATACATGTTAAATTAATTTTTTTATTTTTAAAAGTATAAGAGAGGTTATTATTAATTTTGTAAGATGTCTTTAACTTTGGATAATTCTTTTAATAATGAATATGATTATTCTGACGACATTTATGACGAATCTTTGTGGTCTACTACAAGCTTTTGTGCTGATCCGCTTTTGGTAGATTTTTTGATAGACTTACAAATTTTAGGTTTTGGGATTGGATTTCTGATAGCAGCGTAATCCCTGAAAGCTCGGAATTTTATAACCTCGTCCTTATAGGACAAAATTCGGTTCCTACGGATTTGCCCCCATCTCCTCTCCGATGCCTCTGTATTTGAGGAATTGGATCTCTGATAGAGTTTGGACGTTAATCCCGAAAAGCTAGGAATTTTAGCCTCAACCCTTTTAAAGGCAAAAATTGGTCCCCTACGGTTGTTGCCTCCATCTCCTCTCCAAATCTCTTGTATTTGTGTTTGTATTTTCCTTGTATTTTTTCTAGACCTATTCTCCAAACTCAACATTCTTTTCAATCAGTAATTGTCTCCAACACGCAATTTTGGATCAACTAGCCCCCTTACTTTTACTAATTTCTTTGCCTATTTTGTGGATTACCTTATCTAATGCTAAAATTGAATATAAAGCAACTAAAGAAGAAGAGGAGGAAGAAGAAGAAATACAAGAATTTGGGAGGGCACCTCATAGTGAAATTGAATTAATTAAAAAAGTTTGCATTTCATAAAATATTTTGTGTTTTCCGGAATTTTATAAAATGATTTCCGGAAAATACATTACAGTAGTTTCTGATATTAAATAATTTTAAAAATATCTTTCCGGAAAATACAGGGTGTTTCAGATAAAAAGCACTGCTTGGACAGATTTTAATGAAATTAGGTATTTAATATCTATATTTTATGGCATTTTTTTTGACATAAAAATTATGTCTAAATTCGAACCAAAACCCTGTATTTCAATTTCGTTTTATCTGAAACACCCTGTACATTACGGTTATTTTATTATTCTGATTTTTTAATGTGTCATTAAAAAACCTATATGTGTTTGTTGAGTTTTCCGGAAAACATTTCAGAATATACATACCGTATTTATTCTAATAGAATGGCCGCCATTCTATTTTTCGATACCCTAAAAAATTGTCATTCAATTGGAGGGGCCATTCAATTAGAATAAATACGGTATTTGTGTTTTACCACCTAAAACTACATTTTTTGTTTCCGGAAAGATTAAATTCTGATTTTATGAGTTAATTTAAAAGGTTTGTGTTTTCCGGAATGTGTTTCAGATTATATTTGTATTTTACCAGCGAAAAATACATTATTCTGTTTCCGGAAAAATTCTGATTCTCTAAATTAATTTAAAAAGGTTTGTGTTTTCCGGAAAATTAAAAACACTTCAGAATATATTTTTGTATTTTACTAAAAAAATACAATTTAAAGGTTTTAATAGCAGTTTTGGCTGGTTCTCGTTTATTTCTCTTTGTAATAGCCAGTTATGAATTACTTTGGCAAAACAAACCAATTCCTTTAGTTGAATTGTTTTATCCTCTAACACATTTAATTACTTTGGTAAAATATTCTTTTAATTTAAAAATTAATTAAATTTTTCCAGGCTTTTCTTTTTTATTTCACCGAACAATTTCTTCGCCTTTCTTTAGCCCCTCCAGGGCCAATATTTTGTGTTTGGCTATTTTTTGTTTTGACTGGTTTACCTGAACTTTTTAATTTAATTAATTATTGTTTTGGAAATGAATTTTATTTTGTAAAAAAAAAATTTTTTTTAATTAAAATAATATTCTTAATAGTTGTCTACTTGTATAGCCAAACTTGTGTGGTGGCCATTATGCCTTTTCCAATTTATTCTTAATTGTTTTTCGACTATTCCAACTGGACAGGTAATTAATTTTTTGGTTAAAAATTGATGGTCCATTGGGTAAGAGAACTGACTAGGTGATACCCTCTAGAGATCGTCCTGGGTCTGGACCAAGGCCTGAGTTTTTCCTGTACCCAGAGTCCAGACGCAGGCATTTTTTGACCTTCATGGGTTTTTCCTGGATTCGGCCCAGGTCAATAAATCAAACCCAGGAACATGCCCAGGCTTTTCAAAAATTCCGATATCTACCCTCCATTTAATATAAACCTCAGTATAAGGTATGACTCTTTCAATCCTCAAGTGAGGTCCGACTATAGTGAAGTCCGGCTACTTTAAATTAATTTTTGAATAAATTTAAATTTTTCCAGTCAAACCAATCACCAGAAGAAAAAGTTTCCTTCGTCAACAACCAATTATTTATTTGGTTTGACCCTCTAGTTAAAATTGGTCATAAAAGACCTATAGTTGAAAAGGATGTTTTCCGTTTGCTTCCGGAAATGGGTGCTAAAAGACTTTTCCGAAGGTGGTGCAAAGAAAGGGCAAAACAACAGATTGGGAAGAGTGGTGGTGGGGAGTTTTTAATTTCCAAAGAAAATTTCCCCTCTTTAGACTTTAATTATTCAACTTCCCAACTCAACGGCCCATCAAAACAAAGCAAAGAAAATATTCAAAATTACAATGAACGAACACCTTTATTACCAACTTACAAAGAAAAACAACAAAAATTAAAAAACAAAAAGCCTCCCTCAATAATTAATTGTTTATGGAATTTATTTAGATGGGAAATTATTGGGGCGATGATTGCTAAATTATTTAGCGATTTATTACAAATTACAACACCTTTACTTTTAGGGTAATTTTAAATTTGTCTAACTTTCCGGAATTCTTTCTCTATTATTTCTCTCTTTCCGGAAGTGTCTTTTTCATTCTCTAGCTTTCCGGAACTTTTTCTGGCATCAGAAATTTCTCTCTTTCCGGAATTGACTATGTTATTTAACTCCCTTTCCGGAATTCTTTTTTTGGTTCTCTAACTTTCCGGAATTGTTCTGTATTATTCCTATAATTTTCCGGAATTTTCCTTTTAATTTCTCTCTTTCCGGAATTGTTTTTCTATTAAATATGTAATTCTTTATCTTTTCGTAATTTTCTTTTTAATTTACCTAACCTACCGGTATTGTTTTTCTTACCTTCCGGAATTGCCTTTTTTATTTCCCTAATTTTTTCTTTTTTTAAAGCCAATTAATTTCGTTTACTGAGGATATAAGTTTGCCTAATTGGTGGGGATTTTTATTAGCTGGAGGGCTTTTTCTGGCATCAGAAATGCGATCTCTTCTACAAAATAATTAGTTTGGGTTTATAGAGAATTTAAAAAAATTTTTTAATTTTTAGTTTTAATATGATGAACAGTGTTGGTTGTAAAGTTCAATCTGTTTTGACCTCTGCAGTTTATGCAAAGGTTCTGGTGTATTTTTTATTTTTCTGACTTTCCGGATTTGGCTCTCCTTATTATTCATTATTTCTCTCTTTTATTCTCTCTTAGATTCTGTTTGCAATCATTCCGGAAAACGTTTTGTTTGTATTTTTATTTCTGTGGGCTCTCTCCGGAAAAGATTTTCTATAAACATTTTCCGGAAAATTTTCTCTATTTTCTCTAATTCCGGATTTTCTTGTTTGTCTTTAATGAGAGACAAAAACCGGAACAGACATTTTTCTCTCATTTAACTATAGTATCTCTCTATTTTCAGACCCTTCGTTTATCTAGCAGTGCGCGTCATGGAAGAACTAGCGGGGAAATTGTGAAAGAAATTTAAAAAAATTTATAAATTAATTTAAAAAAGGTAAATTTAATGGCAATTGATGTTGATCGTTTTTACCAAGTAATTCCTTTATTACAACAAATTTGGTCTAGCCCTCTTCAAGTTGTTCTCTCTCTCTTTGTTCTTTATCAAGTTATGGGTTGGTCTGTTATTGGAGGGGTTCTTTTTATGATTGCTTTAATTCCTTGTAATTTGTGTGTTGTTAGACGGACAAAAATATGGCAGGTGAAAAAAATTTTTCTGAATTTTCTTCTTAAATTTTTTTCAAAATTCAACAGATGGAGCAAATGACGCTCAAAGATTCAAGACTTCGAATGCTAAATGAAGTAAATTAGTTACAGTCTGACCTCATTATGAGATACACCCAAAAAGTCTTTATTTAAGAGACCTTTAAATTTGGTTGATCATTAACTGGAGACGATACCCTCTATTTAATATACCTTTCATTATAAGCTTACGATTTTTTAGACACATTGGGGTATCTTTTGTTGAGCTTTAACTGTATTATTCCCTCAGGTCCTTACTGGCATTCGAGCAGTTAAACTTTATGCTTGGGAAGTGCCAATGAAACAAGTAATTGACGAGATACGTGAACACGAAGTTAAATTAATTAGGAAAGCTGCTTTGCTTCGTACTTGTTCTGATGTTCTTAATTTGACTTCTCCTTACTTTGTAATTATTTTTTTTTATTTTATATTTAGGTTTAATTGGAGGGAAGTTCATTTAAGTTCAAATAACAGGGCCTAAACCGGAAAATATTTTGTAGCAGTCCTAATTGTAAGCTTAATTGTAAGCAGTCCTACTATTTATATGAGCCTTTTTATTCCAGAAAACTCAGATTTTTTGGTTCACGGCCTGGGGGTTGGCGTCCACCTTCTGTCATTTTTCACCGATTCCCTTCTTTTTGGTTCCTTCCGTCTTTTTAAATTCAATTTGCCTTCATTTCCCAAAACTTTTCAGGTATCAATAATAACTTTTGCTCTCTATATTTTCTCTGATCCGATCCACAATATTTTAACCCCAGAAGTTGCTTTTGTATCTTTAACTTTATTTTCTCAATTACGCATTCCAATGATGGTTTTGGCTGAATTAATTGGACAATTAGTACAAACGGCTGTTTCAAATCGAAGACTAAAACATTTTTTGGTAGCTGGTGAAATTGATCCTGAAGCTGTTGAAAGGGATTTGGATCCTCAATGTGAGAGTTCTAAATACAGTCGGGCACATCTTTTTCGTGTACATTCGTTAGTAGACCTCAATTTAAGGCATATGTAGCTTCGTTTAGAGTTGGTTCCCGACTTCCCTTCTAACGATGATTTTTAGGACATTCTCTGATCCCGTTTCATTAGAAGGGGGGGGGGATTTCTAGACGATATCCCTCTGTTTAAGACACAGCTCAATAAGCTATTTTTTACTTTAAAATGTGAGGTCCTTGGTATTATTTTTTAAAAATATTCCTTAAACAGCTTTAAAATGTTTTAAAAAATTATTTGAAAGGCTCACATATTCTATTCTTAAATCACCTCCAAATCATTAAAAACAACCCCTTTCACCTTCTAAAAACCCCCTTTATATTTAGATGAGAGAGCAATAGATGTTGAATTTGCCTCTTTTGATTGGAAAACAAAAACAAAAAAATTAGTAAAAACACATTCTCACCTTCCTCCCGGTCACCAACATTTAATTCGTGGATCAACAACAAATATTTGTATTCCCTACTCCTTAAATAACCTCGAACTTCATTTACGTCGTGGTTTGTTGGTTGCTGTTGTTGGAAGAGTTGGGGCTGGGAAAACTTCCCTTTTACATGCTTTACTGGGAGAGATGAATAAAGTTTGTAATTTTTAATAGAAAATACAAAATAAAAATGTATTTTTAAAGGTTTATGGATTTGTGGGTCTTCGTGGACGTGTAGCTTACGTGCCGCAACAGGTGAATGAAAATAGTAGAAACATTTCCGGAAAATACATGTAATTTTAATATTTTCCGGAAAATGTTTGTTCTTTCCGGAAAATACATTGCTCTTTGTATTTTCTGGAAAAATATTTTTGCTAAATGCTTCCTTCCGGAAAAATACATTTTACATAAGTACTTGCTTGTTTTTCCGGAAAATACATCTAATTTTTATATTTTCCGGAAAATGTTTTATACATACTATGTTTTTATTTCCGGAAAATGTTCTCATAAAATGTATTTTCTAAAATACATTTGTCTTTTAAACATTTTCTGATTTTCAGCCGTGGGTACTAAATAGAACAGTTCGTGAGAATATTCTCTTCTCTAATCTGGATGACGGTGAAAAACCAAACGAAGAATTATATGCCCGTGTAGTTGATGCTTGTGCTCTTAAATCTGATTTTGCTGTTTTACCTGAAGGTGATCAAACAGAAATTGGCGAACGTGGAATTAATCTTTCGGGAGGACAGAAAGCTAGGGTAAAAAAAATTTTTCAAAGCCTAGAAAAAAAAATTTTAAAAAATTTTTTAAAGGTAAATTTGGCTAGAGCTTTATACCATCAAGCAGATATTTATTTACTTGATGACGTTCTCTCTGCTGTTGATGCTATTGTAGGAAGACATTTATTCGACCTAGCAATAGGTCCTGAAAGTTTGACTAAAGGAAGTACAAGAGTACTAGTTACACATTCTTTGGCTTATTTGGCTGAAACTGATTGGATTGTTGTGATGGAAGGTGAGGGATTTCTAAAAAGTTTCCGGTTTTCCTGAAAACACATTTTAATTTTTATATTTTCCGGAAACTTCAGTAATTATTTGTGTTTTCCGGAATGTGTTTGTGTTTTATTATTTGTATTTCCGGAAACTTTATTTTTTTTCCGGAAACAGTCTAATTATTATACAATTGTAATTTAATTTACTTCCGGAAAGTTTATTTTATTATATTTTCCGGAAGGTTTTATATTACATTAGATTTTTATATTTTCCGGAAACTTCAATAATTATTTGTGTTTTCCTGAATGGTTTTGTGTTTTATTATTTGTATTTCCGGAAACCTTATATTTTTCCGGAAACAGTCTAATTACAATTGTAATATTTAATTTACCTCCGGAAAGTTTATATTACAATGGATTTTTATATTTTCCGGAAACTTCAATAATCTATTTTATTTAGATGGTCAAATACTTGGACAGGGCACATATGAGGAATTATTAAATGAGCCTAAAACAGCACAATTAATTGCACATTTGGAAGAGAAAGAAAAGGAGAATGAAAAAGAAGATGAGAAAGAAGATGAAAAAGAAGGCAAAAAAATATTTTTTTCAAAAAAAAATATTTTTTTAATTTTTAGAAGAACAAACAGAAAATAATGAGAGTGATTCTGATGATTCAAGTACTTGGAAAGGGGAAGAAACCCCTTCTTCACCTCTTCCACGTTATACAGATGATGTAACTGATGGAAATTTAGCTATGAGTTTGATGAGTGTTCTTTCTGCTGGTTCTTTTACTAATACTTTGAGAAGACGTACACAGAGTAGTCGAAGCTCTTTGAAGGTAAAAATATTTATGGTTTTCCGGAATGTTTAAGTGTAAAATAAGTGTAAAAATAAACACCGGAAAACAGTTAAATTACAATTGTAAATTAAGAAAATAAACCATTACAATTGTAATTTAGTATATTATTTTCCGGAAAATAGAACCTATTAGATTACCGTAAATGTTCCAATGGAAGCCCGGCTCCAATAGAAGCTCATGCCTTTATATTAGAAGCCCACTCAATGTGGGGTATTGAAGAATAAACGCCCATGACCTTATAGAAGCCCATGTCCCATTAGAAGCCCACCCAATGGGACCCATTGAAAAATAAACTCCCAGGGCTTCTATTGGAACATTTACGGTATATTGTGTTTTCCGGAATTCCTTTATTATTTGGTTAATTACAATTGTAATTTAAATGATTTCCGGAAAGTTTTTTGGAACTTATTAAATTATAATGTGTTTTCCGGAAAGTTTTCTATTTACAATTGTAATATAATATTCTTTCCGGAAAGTTTATTTTACATTTTAAGAAATCAAGAATTTCAATTAATGAGAGAAAAACAACAAAAACAATAGTAGAAAATAAAGTTGGAGGTAAACTTATTGAGAAGGAGGAAGCTGAAGCGGTAAATAACGTGAATATATTTAATTTAAAAAATTAATTTTTAGGGAAGAGTTAGCCCTTCAATTTATTTAGCTTATTTTGCAGCAATGAGATGGCCAATATTTATTGGATTTATTTTCTTTCTTTTTAGTCAATTTGTACTTAATATTGTGCAAAGTTTGTGGTTAACTAGTTGGTAAGGATTTGTTTAATTTTAAATTAAAAAAAAATTTTTTTTGAAGGTCAGACGATAATTCTAATATAACTTTAAAAGAACCAAAAATGTCTGTTGGTGTTCGTTTCTTTATTTATGTACTTGTAGGACTTGGAATTGGTAGGTGAATTGTTTAGAGATTTTAAATTAGAGTTAAATAGGGGGTGTGTTTTCCGGAAAAGTTTATTTGTAGTCTATTTACAATTGTAATTTAATATTTATTTTCCGGAAAGTTTATTTTACATACCAGTTAAATCATTGAGAAAACAAATAGACAGGGTAATAATGCTTCCGAATTTTCTGTTTATTAATTTTATTTTGTATTACAGGGTGACAATTAAAGTTACGCGCCTTCGACTTTGTATCCAAGCATAGGAAGAACGCTTCGAAAATTCTTGCTTATATTTGTTCCTTATTTAATTCCCTGAGATATAATCTTTATTTTAGCTCATTATATTTTACTTGAGTAAGGTTATCCCAAAAATAGTGTGTCCTAAACTTTAATGGTCACCCTGTAATTACCTATATTTTTGTATTTTCCGAAAGTTTATTTTACAAATGTTTTTCGGAAAGTTTAACCTAAAATTATTAGGTCGGGTCATAATTAGTGTCGCTTTTTTTATTTGGGTTTTTTCGATTTTTAAAATTAAGTTTTCTGAAAAAATTTTTTATTTTTATTACGAATCATCTGTTAGACTATGCTCTAAAGGATCCCAGCATTTAAAAATTTTTCGTTAGGTATTCAGGGAGTTCTGGTCGAAAATATCAAAATTCACGAAATCATCGGGAATCAAATTTTCTCAAGTATACGTAATGATAATAGTTAGTGTGATATATCATTCGAAAGCTCTTCAAATGCTCTAAATGTTGGCCACAATTTCGAATTTTTATTAAGAAAGGTCTAAATTTTCGAAAAAGTCGAATTTCGAATTCCGGGGTTCGGCAGGATTTACAGACTTTATATTTCGGATTTAGTATAAGCCCTCTGTGGGATATAAAAAACCGTTTAGATCATCCTGATCGGATGATTTTACGCTGAGTTCTAAAAAAGCGTTTTTGGGGGGGATGTCGTGTCGTTTGTTTCATTTTTGAAATGCGAGTATACGCGGCATTTGATTTGCCTTCCTTAAGCGCAGACCGTGTTTTTTGAGTCACCCGTGGCCATACGTATAGAGAAGATATCCCTCTACAATTCAGCAGTAAAAATTACCGGATTCCATCTAAGCCGGCCGAGCAGGACCGTTATTCTCAATGACACCCGTCTCCCTCGACGATATTTGCTTCTGATAGTCATACGACCTCCATCGTAAAGCCTAAACCCTATTATTGCTGTCTAGAATAGATAACGATCCCATTGACTAGATCATTAAGATTTTTTGCTTCTTGTGTCCATTTTTGGTAATTTATAATTCATGGTGCAAATGCTTGAGAATTTCACTACGAGGTAGCGAAGTTCAAAAAATCATAACTTTATGAATATCACTCATATATACCTAAACCTGGTATTAAAATGAAGAGTAGATTCAGATCTTTATGATGGTTAATAAGAAAAAAAGATATTTGTAAAATAACACCCCTAAAAATTTAGTCGAAAAAAAGCGACACTAATTATGACCCGACCTAATATTTTATTTATTTTTAAAGTTCTTTCACTTGGATTGTCAAATATTTTACAAATTGTTGGTGCTGTATCAGCCAGTATTCGTTTACACGGACCTCTACTAGACAGAGTTTTGCAAGCTCCAATATCATTTTTTGATACAACACCTTTAGGGAGAATATTAAATAGATTTGGAAAGGTAAAGAGGAGAATGGGGAAAGGGGTGGGGTTGGTCTAATTTGGACAGCAAAGGTGGGTCGGAATTCCAACTTTCGATTTCCGACGTTTTTTTCTTGCAATTTTCGAAATTTTGGAAAAATTTCCAAGTTCCGACTTTGAAACCATTTCCTATTTCCGACAGTTCCAAGTTCTGGCACCTTTGTCGTTTCCGGCCCACTTCTGGTGGACAGGTTTATCCGCGTTTCTTGGAAAATTTCTAAGATGATTTATAAAATTAAAAAAAAAATTTTTCTTGTTCCAAATTCCAATTTCCAAGCTCTTTTTTATTCTTAAATACTTCCTCTTCCCAAAATTTAATTTTTAATTTAAGGAATTTGATGTTGTCGATCTTCGTTTAGCCAGTACATTTAGAATGCTTGGATTTAGTTTATTAATGGTACTTCAAGTATTTATTCTTATTTCGTTATCAATGCCTATTTTTATTGTTTTAATTGTTCCGACAGTTTTGTTTTATTTATTAATTTTGGTAAGGAATTTTTTTTAATTTTTTGAAACACGGCGGACTTCACTAAAAGGAACCCCCCTTAATCCAGAAAAAATAGTCTCTTATAATGAGAAGTCTATTAAATAGAAGGTATTGCTTGGGCACCTTCCCCCATTCAGGGTAATCAAATTCTAAAAAGAATGTTCATTAAATAGAGGGTATCTAATACTGGGTGTATAGTATAGAGAGGTTTTTTATATAGTATAGAGAGTTTGACTGTACCCTATGACACTCTATTTTTAATTTTAAAGCATTATTTTATCCCAACATCCCGACAACTTCAACGATTAACATCTGTCACTCGTTCACCTTTATACAATTTATTTGCTGAAACAATTAACGGAACAACCTCAATACGTGCTTATGGAGTTGTCCAAACTTTTTTTAATCATTTTTGTTCTAAATTGGATATTCAAGTTGGATGCAGGTATTTGGGATATAATTATGAGAATGAGAGTTTCTGATTTATCGAATAAACAGTGTCAGGCACCTTCAATTTAATAAGCGAGGCTGACAGGCGGGGGTAGAGGGAATGACTGCCTGGAGCTAAACTTTTAAGGGAGCGCGCAATGAAAGTTTAGTAGTACTATGCAGGCAATGAATTCAATGCTAGACGATTTCTCTCACCACGTACAAATCAGGGAACGTGCTGACATAAAATATATAAATTCCCGCTTTCGGAAATCAAGACAACACGTTCATTAATACAATTGTTCTCTACTGATTGGGCTACTGGGGCATTGTTTTCACATTCTCTTTTAATATATATCCTAATCCCCACCTTTTAACACTAATTTAGGTTAGGAATAAAATAAAATTTTTGAAAGATATTTTTCACTAATTGCCAATCGTTGGTTATCTGTTCGACTTGAACTTATTGGAAATTTGTTAATTCTTTTTTGTTCTGTAATGGCTGTATTTTCTCGCGATTGGGGGACTGCTACAGCTGGACTTATTGGATTAGCTATTTCTAAAAGTTTAGATGTTTGTTTGTTTTTGAGGAATTAAAAAAATATTTTTCATTAACTAGATAACTGTAATTCTTGGATTTTTGGTTAGAAATATTAATGATGCAGAAATGAGTATAGTTTCGGTGGAAAGAATTTTGGAATATAGAGATTGTCCTCAGGAGGTGATTTTATTTTTTTTTAATCTTTTCGAATGTTCACAAAGCTCCTACTTATCCCAACATATATTCGTGGTATTCCAGTTGACTCAATCTTATAAATCTTCTAGTTATCCCATTCACAACTTCAAATTTTACTAAGTTCCAGTTATCTCAATATCAATTCGTCAACTCCAATTTATCTCAAGTTCCCAAATATCATAAACTATTAGTTATCCTTTTTGCAGAGTCTTTTTTAATTTGGGATAAGATAGAGATTTCAATATATTTTTATAAAAAGTTCATTTAGGCATCCTGGAAAAGTTCTAAAGGCAGAGAACCCCCAGCAGATTGGCCTAGTCGTGGAGCTGTTCATTTCCAAAAATATTCGTGTAGATACAGACCAGAATTGGATCTTTCTTTACGCGGAATTACTGCAGAGATTAGACCTGGAGAAAAGGTAAAATTCGAAAAAATTTCCAGAAATAATTAAAAATAGGTCGGAATTGTTGGCAGAACCGGTGCAGGAAAGACTTCTTTTGCTTTAGCACTTTTTCGAATAATTGAAGCAGCTGAAGGCCGTATTTTAATTGATGGAGTAAACATTGCTAAAGTTGGTCTACAAGAGCTTAGATCTAGGATAACGGTGAGAAATTAAATTAATTTTTGAGAGCAGGAAATAAGTAAAAATTAATCTGATTATGCTTGTTAGGTATCTTATTTTTTAAATGAGGGTGAATTCAAATATTTGAGATCACATGTATTAGGGAAAGATGGGCAGGGGGTGAGGTAAGGAATGAACTGTTCCAAAACAAAAATTACTTTTGCAGTTGAGGGAAGGGAAAGTGGATTAGATACCAGGTATGGTTCGTGTTGAGAAAGTACATATATTTCGAGTATCGGGTCTGATTTCGGATAACCCGACTGTTCCTTGATGGGTACCTTCTTAGGGGTTTTATATTTTTCATTTTTTAAAGATAATTCCACAAGATCCGGTTCTCTTTTCTGGCACTTTACGTTTTAATTTGGATCCATTTAATGTTTATAAAGACCACGAATTATGGACAGCTTTAGAACAAGTCCATTTAAAACAATTTGTTGAAGCACAACCAAAAAAATTATTTTATGAAATTGCTGAAAGTGGAGAAAATATTAGGTAATTGAGAGTGGAGAGAGGAAAAATCTTCAGAAAAAAAAATATTTTTTTCTTTCAAGTGTTGGACAAAGACAATTACTTTGTATGGCACGTGCAATACTTCGACGAAGTCCTCTTATAGTTTTGGATGAAGCTACAGCTTCTATTGATTCTCAAACAGATGAGCTTATACAAAGGGCGATAAGGACTGAATTTAGTGTAAAATTTTTAAATTAAAAATTATTCTCAAAAAGGTCGGTGGACAAAAAGGTCAACAAGCTTAGAAGTAACATTTCGACCCCGAATTTCTTTTTGTATTCGATACAATCAGAATTTGGGGTAATTTTTGAATTAATTCTGCCTCTCTTTTCAATTGTTCCAAAAAAGACGGGTCTAAAAAGACTCCACGGCAGGGGTGTCCGTAAATGAAAAAAATTTCCGCAGCCGAAATCCAAAGTCCAAAAAACCACGTAATTTACGCAATCCTCTGCTCCACGGGTCTTAAAAATAAAAAATTCTTTTAAAATTCAGCGATCTACAATTCTAACAATTGCCCATCGTATAAGCACAGTTATGGACTATGATCGTATAATGGTACTTTCTGCAGGAAAATTGGTAGAATTTGACACCCCCGAAAAATTGGCGGCAGAGAAAACCTCTCATTTTCATGCTTTAGTTAAGAACAGTAGTAATGTGGAAAAATAATATGATTTTTGGAATTTGTTATGTTTGAATGTTTTTTTAATTTTTTAAAATTTTCATAAAAAAATTTTTTTTAATCCTAAATCCTGCTAAAGATTTTATATAAAATAGTCAGGACAGATTTCAGGACTTAAGAGAGAAAAATATACGTCTATTTTATGTATTTTCTCCCCAGTATCACCCTAGAAAGTCAAATTACCCAAAAGGTCAAATAAAATTTTGGGCGGAGTAAGGTGACCCATGCTAAAGAATACGCCCTTAATCCCCCTTAATCCCACCAACAAATCCATCTTAATCCACCCAAATTCGTCGATATCCTCCTTAATACCCACAAATCCGTCTTAATATGCACAAATCCTTTTTTATCCGCCCAAAATTTGTATTTGACCTTCTGTGTGTTGACCGTCTGGGTTGATCCCGAATTTCAATCCAAAATTAATTTTTCGGTTTGATTTTTTTGTTGTTGTTTAAAAAATTTTTATTCGCTTATTTTCTATTTTCTGCAACGATTTTCTTTTTTGGCGCCAAAATTTAATTTAAATTTTAATTTAGAGAGTGCTTTATTTTTAAAGTTAGATATATTTGTTTTTATTGATTTTACAGTCGTGGAAAAAAGTATGGAAGCGCTAGAAAATTTTTTCTTAATTCTTAATTTTTCATTCAAAAAATACGTTCTATATACCAATCGAAAGCTCTATTCGTATCTCAGTTGACATGTTTCTGCATTTTTCATGAAAATGAAAATTGGCCGAGATAATCCGGATCTACCGGATATACCAAATCCCACTTTTTCGGAAAAATTTTTCGGAACAAATTTAACAAACCCAAATGATAAAGCATATTTTTCTGAGTATTTTCCACAAAACCGCTTAGAAATATCTTTTTCCGGAGCAGAGATATGATTTTTTGAAAATGGCATTTTTCGCTTAAAAATTGAATTTTTTGCAAAAATAGACGAAAAATGCGATTTTCAAAAAATCATATCTCTGGTCCGGAAAAAGATATTTTTAAGCGGTTTTGTGGAAAATACTCGGAAAAATATGCTTTATCAAATGGGTTTGTTATATTTGTTCCGAAAATTTTTTCCGAAAAAATGGGATTTGTTATATCCGGTAGATCCGGATTATCTCGGCCAATTTTCATTTTCATGAAAAATGCAGAAACATGTCAACTGAGATACGAATAGAGCTTTCGATTGGTATATAGAACGTATTTTTTGAATGAAAAATTAAGAATTAAGAAAAAATTTTCTAGCGCTTCCATACTTTTTTCCACGACTGTATATTTCTTAAAATTGTTTAATTTATTTTTATTTGTTTAAGTTTCTCAAAAAATCTTTTCGCTTCTTTTAAAAAGGAAAAAATGGATAAAACGCTTACAACAAAAAATGCTGAAAATCAAGCCGAACCGGTCAATCTCGATTCTTTTTTGGAATTTGTCAATCTGGAAATGGCTCTTTACTCAAAACGTTTGGCCACTTTTGAAGGTGTTTGGGCTTATGACAATGACGAGAATGCGCAATGTACTTCTGAACGAGTTTGTTTTGAAATTTTATTTTTTTAATTTCTAAATTTTGATAATCCTTAGAAATTAACTTTGGAGTTAGGGGATCCCTCGGGTTTCGCTTAGAGTCTAGGAATTTCCTCGGTTCAGGATCGTGTTTTACGTCTGTTAAGGCATAGATTTCACTGTGAGGTTTAAACAATTTTGTTTTATCGAAGACTTGTGGTTTTCTTGGGCTAGAAATCTAGAATCTTTTCTAGACAGGCAATAAAGTCACGGTTAAGGATTGTTAAGAATCATAATTTTAGTTTTGTCACTTAAATGATAAAGATTCTTGAAATATTTTTGGAATCTTTTGACTATAGAGGTCGAAATTTTGGAAAAGCCTGGGCCTTTTCTTGACTGGAGTTTTGTTTATTGACCTGGATCCTGGGCCTGTAGTTTGACCCATTTTTTGACCCAAGCTTTGGTCCAGGCCCAGTAGACTAATATTCTCAAAATCCAAATTTCCCAGTCTTTTTACTATTTAATCCTTAAATATTTTCAGATGGCTAGAGCTGGCTTTTATTGCAGCGAAATTAAACCAAATGCCGATTGTGCACGTTGCTATGTTTGTCAACACGAACTTTTGTGGGATGCTGAAGATGATCCTTGGTTTGGAATTTTATTTTTTTGTTAAAAATCAGAAAATTAATTAAGGGAAGAACATCGCAACCACAGGCCAGATTGTGATTTGGTAAAAATCGGCAAACAGGATGAAAGTGAATTTACTGTTGATGAACAGTTGCAAATTATGGCTTACATTTATAGTTGTCGACAAGTTTGTTTTTTTTAATTTTTTTAAAAAATAAATTGGGGAATTTTTGGTCACTTCAAGTGCTTATTGTGGTAATACTGAAGCATACAGACCCGATTTTTTCCTCCCCAATTTTACCCCTATATTTTTTAAAAAATGGTCAGACTTTTTCCTTCCTTCCATGCAATTTGCCTTTCTAATTTTTGCCTACAATCAAAAAAAGATTATTTTTGGTATTTGACAAGTATAAGTTTTTGAGAAGACTCATTTTCTCTATTAAAACAGTAAATAAAATATCAAAAATAATCTTTTTTGTTTGATTGTAGGCAAAAATTAGAAAGGCAAATTGGATGAAAGAAAGGAAAAAGTTTGACCATTTTGTAAAAATAAAGGTGGAAAATTGGGGAGGAAAAAATCGGGTCTGTATTCTTCAGTATTACCCTTATTGTTAGCTAGGGAGTTAATTTGGCAGTTATAGCAATGGGGAATCTTTTTGACAGAAAATCAGAAAATATTTTAATTGAAGAAAAGTCTAGGTTATTCAGACATGAGATCGAGCTGGGTCTGGACCAAGGCCCGGGGTTTTCCTGTACCCAGAGCCCATGCATTTTTGACCTTCCTGGGTTTTTCCTTGACTACAGGCCCATGATCCTGTCCAGGTCAATGAATCAAATCCAGGAACAGGTTTTTCAAAGATCTCGATCTTTAATCCAGACCATTCTAATAATTTAATTTTTTCAAAAAATGTCAACTTTTGAACTCTAAACATAAAATAATTTTTTATAAGGAGAAGGGTTCTCTTGTGTATTTTATAACAGAAAATTTCTTATTTAAAAAACAATTTTATTTTTTAAAGAATATTATTGTGGATGATGCAATTGAAGATTTGAGGGCATTAATGGACAAATTGTTAATGGATGTTAATAAAGTTATGCGTCAAAATATTGGTTAAGAAGAAATATTTATTGTTAATATAAAAACAAAAAATTACACAAACAAACACAAAATGCTTTTACAATTAAAAATTAACTTTTGATTTGATGTTTTCTGGTATTTTATTTTGTCTCTTTTATTGTATTAAAATATTGCAATGGTTAAATAAAACTTGGATTACAAACATTGTAATAATTAAGGCTAAAACAGTGAAAGAAAAATAAACTTTTTTTAAATAAATACAGACAACTATAAAAATAAACTTGACAGAGAAAAATAAAGTTGTACTAAATATTAATTAAAGAAAACACAAATTGTAAAATTAGAGAAAATAAACTTGAATTAAAAAATAAATAAACTTAGTTTGTAAAAGCAAGTTTAAACAAAATAAACTTATTAGAGAAAACTACAATTATGAAAAATAAACCTGAATTTAAAAAACTTGTTTACAAGGTTGAAGAAAAATAAACTTTTTAGGGAAATTACAATTGTAAATTAAGTTGAAATTAAATAAACTTGCTTGATAGTATAAAAGCTTTAATAAAAACAAAGTTTATTTTATTTTACAATTGTAATTTAATATTTTCTCTTTTTAATTATATTCCATTTATCATAATCCCTCTTTCGCAAATTTCTCCTTTGCGACCTCGGCATTGGCCTGTTTTTATTTTATATATTAAAACAAAAAATATTTTTATTAATTAATATTCTCGCTTTTTGAATGACAACAAAATTCCTTTTCTCTTTTTAAGGATTTTTATCTTTTTTTAGAGGGGAAGGGAAGGGAAGAGGGGACGGGACAGTCTCCCTCCCTCTCTCTCTGCGCGGACTTCTGTCATTTTTTTATTTCTTTTTTAGCTATCAATTCTTTTAAAAAATATAAATTTTTATTTATTTATCTCCACAACTTTTACTTCTCTCTGCTTGTTTTCATATCACCAAAATAGCCTCTAGCCATATATTTCCTTACCACAAAGTGCAGCGCAATACTCGAGAAAAAAATAAAAAGACACGAAAATCCTGGCTGGGAAAAAATAAAAAAAAAGTGATAAAAAGATAAGCTTAATCATATTATGATATAGTGAAAGGAGGAGAAGATTCAATCAATTTTTACGCTAAAGCGGATTTTCTAAGATTAGTTAGGGTCGCGTTAAAAATCGTCATTATTCCGTCCTTAACCTTTATTTTTTAATAATATTTAAAAAAAATTTTTACTTAATATTTACCGTAAATACTCTAATTGAAGCCCACCTCTGGTAGTAGCCCACCTCTAATTAAAGCCCATCTGAGGAGACCCATTGAAAAATATAAGCCCAGGACTTCAATTAGAGTATTTACTGTAAATATTAAATTTATTATATTTATTTAATCCTCCCTCAAACCCTGTTTTTTAAATATTTTTTTAATTTTTTCAAAATTTATATAGACGAACCTCAAATAGCATTAGATGAACACTCCTCTCTGTATCAGACGTTACTCGATTTAATAAAAAAATATTTCAAAATTCGATTGTCCATCGGAGTGTTATCCTCCTCTATTTGAGGCTGTCTGAGTGATCCCCCCAAAAATAAATAAAGCCCTCAATTTTACTTACAATTATTTCTCTCCCTAAGGGTCTACTTAAAACAAGGGCTGTATTAATTTAAATAATTTTCAAAAAATTTTTTCTAGAAATGTTAAATCAACTAAACAGACTAATAAAAAGAAAAAAGCCTTTAATTATACAAATAAAATTATTTTTTGTATTTATTTTAATTAATTTAATTCCAAATTTATTTTTTTGTATTCCAATAGATAATGGATTAATTGATTCTGAATTAGTTAAAGGTATTTAAAAATTAAAAAAAAACTGGCTTTATAAAAGAGGAAAATAATTTATTTTTTATTTTCATTTCCGCATTCCTTTTTTTATTTTTTTTTGTTATTTTATTTAATCAATTACATAATTAGGTAACTATGTATTTATAAAAATAGATCTTGTAATTTGAAGTAAAAACAATTAAAATTAAATTAAAATTTAATTAATTAGAAAAGGCTTATTTAAAGAAAACGGTTAATTAAGTATTTGGCCGAATGGTTAGTGTGTTAGGTTCGGTAACGGATCGGCCAGGGTTCGGATCCGTTCGGCTCCTTTTTTCATTTTTCGAGTTCTATTGACAATAAAATTATTTAATTAACATTTTCGACTTTCTAAAAAATTAAAAAAATATTTTTTTTAATAATTAAAAAACAAAATTTAAAAAAAAAACAATTAAATTAAAATTCAAATTTAAATAAAGAATGTGGACAAAACAGTACAGTAGATGTTGTATTGTTATTAGATGGATCTGGCTCAGTTGGGGATTCAACATTTAGATTACAAACACAATTTGCTAGACAATTAGCCCAATTATTAAATATATCTGTTAGCGGTTCTCATTTGGCTATTATTCAATTTTCTGAACAACCACAACTGGAAATTGCGTTAAATCAATATACTAATTTACAACAAGTTGGTGATTGGAAATTTAATATTTTTAAAGAAATTTAAAAGAAATTTTGAAAAATATTTTTTTTAATATTGGAAATATTTTTTAAATTTTTATTTCCAAGAGAAGAAAAATTTAGGAGAAAATAAAATTTAATTATTAAGGGTATTTCTTTTAAATTTGTTCAGTGAGATTGGTGGTTGAGTGTTTAGTGTGTTAGATTTTGATAGAGAGATGGTTAGGGTTCGTGTTCAAAATCTCAGTTTTTTTCTGATTTAAAAATTAATTTTATTAGATAAAATAATTTTTGTTAAATAAAAAATTAATTTTTAACAATTTTCAAAATCAATTTCCAGTTAGAAGTAGCGTTGCAAAAAATTAAATTTATTGGGGGCGCTACAAATACAGGCCAAGCATTACAGTTTACATTAGATACTGCTTTTCAAGGAGCTAGAGGGGGTTCGGTGCCTAAAGTAGTTATTGTATTAACTGATGGACAATCACAAGATGAAGTAGCTGAGGCAGGTTAGTATTTTTCAATTTGAGGCGAGATGGGTAACTTTGTGACCATTTTGGTAATTATGGAATAGAAATTACTAAAGGGGTCTTAAAGTAGGGTTCAATTTTACGGAGCGGGGAAATATTTTAAAGGGAACGGAGGTTGCGGGGAATTCGAACCGCGGGGGCGGGGAATGGGGGGTCTGGGGGGAGACCTCTACCCGTTCCCCGGGCAGGGAAGTCCCCGGGGAACGGGGGGGGGATGTCAACAGGGGGAGGTTGAAGCCTGGTTAAACTCTTCTAAAGAGATATCAGATAGTCCAAAAATTACCAGAGTTCAATAAAAAAATTAATTTTTAGCTCAACGATTGAGGGATGCCCACGTCCTTGTCTATGCCATAGGAGTTAGTAACCTCGTAAACGTCCAACAATTACACCAAATGACAGGAAATGTGCTTAGAGTATTTACAGTGGAATCATTCGACCAATTAGACAGAGCTTTAGCTGATGCATTGACTTGGGAAATGTGCCGGACAGATTTTAGTTTGGAAGGAAATTTCTTCGGAAAAATTTTTTTATTTTGTTTAAAGGACCTGGAACCCCCGATATAATTTGTGCTTCAGACAAAATAGGTGTTAGAGCATCTACTAAAAAGCCTTTTGAAGGATATGTGTTTGTTCAGAATCATTTTAATCAGCCAGAATGCCGTGCTGGACCTGAAAATTTTCCTGATTCTAGGTAGGGGGAGGAAATATTTTTTGAAAAAAATTTTTTTTAATTTTTGAAAAAAAAACCAAAAATTGTCAAAAGGTTCAGAAGCCCAAAAAATGTCAAAATGGTCAGAAGACCAAAAATAGACAAAAGGGTCAGAAGACCAAAAATTGTTAAAAGGGTCAAAAAAATTTGAAATTTTTTTGGAAATTTTTGAAATCATTAAAAAATATTTTTTAGAAGTATTGGAATAACAGTTCCTTTTACCAATTGTGATGTCCACAGATATAGATCGGTTAGAAATTGAATAAAAGGTACTTTGTTCATATCCCGCCCCCCCCCCCCCACCCTTATTTGAGTCTCAGATTAATTTTCCTTCTTTGCTGTTAATCATTTATTTTCCTCCTTTTTTAATGCCCATCATTTTCTTCCCTCAAATATAGGAATACCCAAAATGGCGCGCGGCCATAATGGCAAACTCATAACTTGCTGGAATAATTTTGACTCTTGTCATTTTTGATATCAATCACTTTAGCTCGATAAGAGGAATCGTTTAATATTAATTTTGTTAAGGTTCGAAAATCTTGAAGCAAGTTATGGCTCTGCGCCGTTATGGCCGTGCGCCCTTTCGGGTTTTGAGGGAAGAAAATGATGGGCATTAAAAAAGGAGGAAAATAAATGATTGACAGCAAAGAAGGAAAATTAATCTGATACTCGAATAGGGGTGGGGGGAGGGATATGAACAAAGTACCGAATAAAAATTAATTTAAAAAATTTAAATTTTCCAGTTAAGTCCAAAAGGAATATTTGTTGAAATGACTGTAAGTATTTTTAGAGATTTCTAAGAAAATTAAAAAATAATTTAAAGGTTGTTTTTATGTTCCATTCTGTGTATGTTCTAATTTTAATTAATTTAAAATTAATTTTAAAAGTTTTATGACGAAAGTAGACCAAATGGTTAATATTAAATGTTTTTATATGGAAGCGGAAAAGTCTGTGACTGTTCCCATGGAAGTTAGGTAATTGAAGAAATTTTTTGATTTTGTAATATTCCCTTTCCCTCTCCCATACTCTTTTAGAACTTGGCTGTAAAACTTCCTAGGTAGAATTATTGGTCCGAAGGTGATTCTGTCCGTTTTTCCGGAGATCCGAAGATTTTCCAAAAACCGTGGCCCTTTTCCTAGAGGCATACTTACGAGTGGTTTTTCCGTTCAGATTCCTTTAAGATATACTCGGCTTGAAGGAGTGCCTTATAATAAGGTTTAACTATACCCAGTTTCAAACGTCCTTAATTTTACTTGAATTCCACCTAGACGGATTTAAAAATTTAATTAGTATGTATAATCTAATCATTTTAAGTCAAATAACCACACAATTCCGCCAAAATGTATTTCAAATGCCTAGATGTGAATATACTTTAAGAAAAGATTCGGCAGAAGGGCCGATTGTGCAGTTTGCAATTTTGGGTACTTAAAAAGGGTGGAAAAATAAAATTAAATTAAAAAATAATTTTTAAGGTCAACCAGTCTATCACCGTTGGGAATGTATAGAAGAAGGGGGGCAAGATACTTTTGGAATGCTTGTACATTCTTGTTATGTAGATAATGGATTTGGGGATAGAGTGGATATTTTGGATGAAAATGGGTGTGGATTGGATGCCGTAATTTTTTGTGAAAGAAATTTTTAAGAAAAAATGTTTTTTGTAGGTTTTGTTGAGAACACCAGATTATGATACAAGTTTACATTTAGCTACAAAAGAATATCACGTATTTAAAGTAAACAAAAATAATTTTTAAATTAAGTTTAAAATTATTCCTCTCACATATAGACAAGACTGTCCATAAATATAGTCAAACTTCTTTTTTGCAAACCCCCAATATTGGACATTACTCAATTTAAGATATGATCTTCAAAACTTTGATTGGCCACTGGGGGGGGAGGGGGGGGGGAGCTGCCTATGCGATACCCTCTATTTAAGATATGCCTCATTTTAAGTAGAGAATGAATCGAGACGAGATCTCAACCACGAAATCTCGGTTGTCGTGATTGATATTTTTCGAGATATCTCATTCAATTCTCATACAGCACTCCCAGTCCGATCTCTGATTATAAGATGCCCTCTATTTAAGGTACACCTCATTATTAGTTACCGTCTTTTAGACCTAGAGGGTATCTTAGAGGTCTAATAAAAGGAAAACTGAGTTGTGGATTTAAAATGGTGTATTTTTAAATATTTTTAGTATGCAGACAAGCCAGTACTTCAATTTCAATGTCAAGTAACCTTGTGTTTAAAATTGGATGGAGGCTGTGCAGGAATTTCTCCCCCAAAATGCCCAGAGACTAAACCTAGACATTTAAATGAATTACAAACAATTAGTAGACGCCGATCTAAATCTAAAGTTTTTACTAAAAAATCGAGACGTTCAAATCCGGAAACTATGGATGTTTTTACTAAACCGATGATGGTTAAAATTTAATTAAAAATTACAAGAAAATAAACGTTTCGGCGCGGGAGACGTTGGGCGCGGTCGTATAAAAATATAATCATATGGAGACCAAAAATTCTAAAATTTGGTAAAAATAATCTCAATAGGTTACCCAACTTGTTTAAAAATTTCAAAATTTTGGGTTAAATATGAGGCAAGTTATGGCTAAAAAAGTCGAATTTTTGACTGCGAATTGGGTTTTTTGTTCACAACTTTGGAAATAAAAAATCAGAAATTCTGAAATTTATAGAGAAATTAGGTTATAATATAAGGGACATTTTAATAAAATTTCAAAAATTTTAGGTCCATTTGAAAAGCAATTTTGTTTAACGGCGCCAAACGGATTCTGCGCCGAAACGTCCTCAAAAATTTGAAAATTAAAAAATTCCCTTTAAAATTTAATAGATAATAGACGAACAATTTAAAGAATTAACAGAAGAATGTCAACAAAACCCTTCCAAAAATACATCATCAACAAATAATATTTTAACAAATTTGTTGCCCCAAACAGAAAAACAAAAATGGATATTGCTTGCATTTATTTCTTTATTTAATTTATTGGTAGCTGGATTAACCTTAACATGTTGGCTATGTTGTAAATTGGGAGGAGCTACAATAAGGCGAAGAAAAGGGAAATGGACGAGGGAATAGAATTGAGTGAAGTGAGGGATTGAAAGGATTTTTTAAATTTTTAGGTAAGAATATATTTATTTTGTCTTTATTTTCTGTCATTTCCCATTAAAATACCCACAAACAATGTTTATAGAAAGGAATCGGGAAATTAAAATATGAAGTGTTGCATGAAGTGTCGGGTTACCCGAGACCCTGCCTTTTTCTAGCCGATCCCCAACCTGAGAAATTTTCGAAAGACCTATTCAAAACCCGATTTTCCATTGAAAAGGGGAGGGGGGGTAGTGTGAAAGTAACCAAAAGAAAAAATCGGGGGATAATTCTAAGTAGTGTGAAAGGGATACAAAGGTAGTGTGAAGGAAATTGAAGATAAAAAAACATAAATAACACAAATATTTCCCGATCCCTTCTAATCTTCTCTAAAAATTTTTAAAATTGGAAATTATTCTTTAAACAATGAATTTCCAACTTTAAAAAATATCTAAATTTGTTAATTTATTCATTTTTTAATTTTTTATTTAAATAAAAAAGCCTATGGCCAAATAAAAAAAGAATTTTTATTATTATTAAAAAAATAATTTATTTAAATTCTCCAAAAAACAACCACAAAAAAATATTTTTAGATATGTCTCTTTTAAATGTTAAATATAAAAGAGTTGCTATTAGATAAAATTAAAAAAAAATTTTTTTTTTGAAAACTAGCAACTCTCTCTAAAAGCTTAAAAACAAAGAAGAATTGCGTAAATTAAAGAAGAGTATTTTTAAAGAAATAATAAAGTATTTTCTAAATTTACAGCCAATTTGCACTTTTTTAAATAGAATTATTTATTTATCTTTAAAAAAGGATTGGATTTATTTTTTGAAAAAAAAAAGATTTTTTAAATTTTAATTAATTATATTTAATAGATTTTCCGGAAAACACATTCCTGGAACATTTAAAAATAAAATTAAAAAACCAGAAATAGTCGAAAACTTCCGGAAAAAATATAGATATTCAAAAATAACCGGAAATAATAAACTAAAAACATTTCCGGCCAGCTCCGGTTGAGAGAAATAAAAATCATAATTTCCAAAAATAAATAAGAATAAATCCAACCCTTTATCAAATACAGTCAAATCTCGTTATATGTAGTATACCTGCCAATAACATGTTAGTTAAATTTGCCGTTTTTAACGTCGTTTTGGTTGAGGGTTAGAAAAAGAGAGAGATGTTTTTAGGTAGAGAAATGTTTCTAGGTAATATGTACATCCAAACTCAGTTTTCTAAAGTTTTCTTCACCCCCTAAGGGCATAAATTTTTTTCTAATTTTCTACTAAAACAAGATTTGACTGTATGATATTCTAAAATATTTATAAATATATATTGCAATCTTCTATGGCAATTTAAATATATATATATAATTTTAATAAATATTTGGACATCTAGACCAATCCTTTTTCTCTTTACATACCCAATATTCATTACCTCGAATTGTGTGAATTACTGAACCGGTATTTGTATCCTGTACTTTTTGGAACCAACAAGCTTGGTATTCTGGAGGTTGTTGATCTGTGAGGAAAGGGAAATTGTTTGAGTAATTAATTGGTCCTTCTTACTATTAGCAATCGCCCTTTCAGCCTCTGCCTCAGCTTTACGTCTCGCCTTCCTTTGTTTATCCTCCAATTCATTTTTTCGATCATTAGCCCCATCCCAATCCCCATTTTCCATTAAACGCTGATCTGGACGAAAACGAGAGTCTGTTGGGGCTACTTGGTCATCTGGTTCATTCATTTCTATAGCTAATTTTGTGAAGTTAAACATTGAAGAATCTCCCCTTAAAAATATTTTTAAGTTTAATTTTAAGCAATTTAAAGTCAAAGCATTTCAAATTCCCCAAAATAAAAATCAATTAGGGAATTGGAAATTGAATAAAATAAATAAAGTTGGGGGCCCGATCTGGCCCGGCCGAAAGATCGAGTCGGGCCTCGAATTTTGGCCCGAAAAAGACTCGATCGGGCCGGCCCGATAAAAATGAGGCCCGAAAAAATGACACGAACGCCGGCCCTAAAAACAAATAAAGGACAACCCTAAAACAAACCCCAACCCTAAAAACAAATAAAGGACAATTTTTTATTTACAAAAAGATAGCCTATAATAAGTTATCTTAATAAATAAAGATACCCTCCCTAGTATTTTTCCGTTATGAAAATTCCTACGGTTCCAAAGAAACAGACCTAGCAGTTCCAGTTGTTCAAAAAGGAAACCCCCAAAAATTCCATATATCAATAAATTACAACAAACAACCAAAAATATAAAAACTAAAACAGGACAAGTTACGGAACCGAAAGAAGACACTACTCGGATCAGAATTTTATGTCTCTCCCCAATAATTTTTTAATTATTTTAGACACTAGAATAACCCTTTAAAAATAAACACAAAAACATACAAAGGCTCTTTAACAGTCCAAATCCTTTTTGGTTCCCCAGTTTCAATCAAAACCTTTCCTTGCTGATTTTTTTGATTATTAATTAAAGCAATATTTAAATAGCTATCCCAATAACCAAAAATATAAAAACGAGCATTTCCTTTTTTGTCTAAAATAATTCCTTCGACCTTTAAAAATAAAATAAAAATTTTAATTTATTTTTTAAAAACCTTTCTAGGTTGATCAGAAGAAAAATAACTGTATGAATGAAATTTAATATTTGCACGTTCTCCACTAACATGATTGACAATATTCTTTAGAGGAAAAAAATTTTTTTATTAAAAAATTAAATTATTTAATGGTGTATGTATTAGATAAAAGGGGGAACTAGCTAGAAACTTTTGAAGGGAAAGCTTAAAGATTCTTAGTCCCAAAGATTTCTGTACATAAATTTTATTAGAACCAGGTCTAAAAAAGGTCTTTTGAGGGGTTTCAATTAGTTATTCCGGTACAATTGAATATATAAATGCATTTAGTATCCCATTACCTCGAAAAACCCCGCTTGAATGCATGACTCAGAGCTAGGACTTTAGTAGATTAAGCCAAAATAAAAGGGTTCCCGTTAGAGATTTTCAGTATTTTCTCTAGGTTCCGGAGCTGGTTTGTGTTTGTCTTTATATAGGTCCAAAATCGATCTTCCTTATATCTATTTAAGAAACACTCTAATTTAAGGTAAAATTTTTTATTCCCAGGGTCCAATTTGTTAAATAAATTTATTTCTTTAAATTCCCTCACCATCGTCCCATGGTTATCAATCCAAAGTTTCCCAACAATTATATTATGTACAGTTGTTGTTACCTTTTTTTTATTAAATCTTTTTTTTGTTTGTTAATTGTAAGAAAAAACTTTTTGAAAAATAAAATTAGCCTTTCCATCTTTAAATTTAATTTGAGTATATCCTGTAGGTATTACAGACATATATTTTCCACGAAAACGAGAAGCAACCTTTTTAGAGAAATTAAAATTATTTTTAAATTTTAAAAGAGAAAAGCACCATAAATTCTTGACTTAATTCCCAATTAACACCTTCTGTGTGCATTGCAGCAGCTGGTGGGTGGTGAGAAACCTTGAAAATTTATGGCTCTTGTCCAGTTTATGCGTCCCATGAAAGTATATGCGTCCCATCAACAAAAAATTGAACATTTCTTGGTGTTGCAAAGTAGGGGTATGGTTTCAAAGCATTTCTTCATGTTCGGGATCTACGCCCACTGGGCCTGAGACTTTTCCTTGCCCTATACCTCGAAATTTCTGAAAGTTAAAATCGTTTTTCTGAAATTTTTAAAAATTGGCTATAACTTTCAGAAATTTCGAAGGATAGGGTAAGGAACGGTCCCAGACCCAGTGGACGTAGATCCCGAACATGAAGAAATGCTTTGGAACCATACCTCTACTTTGCAACACCAAGAAATATCCAATTTTTTGTTGATGGGACGCATATACTTTCATGGGACGCATAAACTGGACAAGAGCCAAATTTATTTAGAAATTTTAGAAAATTTATAGAAATTAGAAATGGAACCAATACAAAATTCAACCAACAAAAATTTCAATTATCGAGAACTATATTTTTCGATATATCGATTCTTATACAAATTTCCTAGTCCGGTCTCTGACAAAAATCGGAACAGAGAAAAGTCCCCTAAATTTAAGGCGGATTAAATTGAACAATAATGATTTTGAGTTACTGGCTAATTTAAAATCATATCCTGTTGTTTTTTAAATAAAAATTAAATTTAAAAACGATTCCCCAAATGACATCTCTTGTTCAAAAAATTTGTTTTCCCTCCTATTTCTCCAATAAAACCTACTTGTTCAGTTAAAGACCTCCAACCCAAATCTGCCCTTCTGTCAAATTCAAAAGTTTCCCCCAACAAAGGATTAAAAGGTTTTGTTGTTCTTTTAGCTGTAGCTGAATAAACACTAATTGCAAATGCTGCTGTATATGCAAGTCTTTCTGATATATCCAATTTTTCTGAAGCTCTATCCAACAAATAAGAATATTCCAAATCTTCGGTTATTCTTTGTAACATTGAAAGGGGCTCGTTGAAGTTTACCTTTAAAAAGGAATTTTTTTTATAAATTTTTAAAGGTAAATATAAAAAAGAGGCTCAAGTTTCCAATGAAAATTTATTCGTAAATAATCAAAAAAAATTTCATAAGACTTAAAAGAAAAAAAACTTGCAGGTAAGGGAATTCTAGTCAATTCTTTCCCAATACAATTTTTCATTATTGACCAAAGATTCAATCCATATGATTCTGGTTTTGGGGGAATTTTTGAACGTCTCTTTAAAATTGGCAAATTTGAAACAACTATTGGTTGAGTATTTTCTTGATAATTTGTCGAATTTTGTTGGTCCTTTGGGGAAAAAAAATTTTTTTAGTCAATTTTGAATTTATTAGAATAAATTTAGAAGAAAAAATTAATAATTTGAAGAAAAATTTTAAAAAAGTAATTCGCTAGAAAAACTCTGCTCTCTAAAAAAAATCCAAAACACAAAAATATTCGGGTAGTCAGGTGGGTAGTGCTACTGACTACACTGTGGGAAGGGTGTGGGGTTCGAACCCGTTTAGTGCCGTTTTATTTCTAAAACCGAAAAAAATACGAAAAAAATTTTTTTAACAAAAAAATAATTTCTTAAACAAATTTTAATAATTTTCAAAATAATTTTTTTTTAATTTTAAAAATAAACTTACAGGCAAAATAATTTTACATTTAGACAAATCCAAATTATTATTTTGACTTTTTAAAGAAGAATTACCAACAACTTCATTTAATTTATTTTTTGTTGAATTATTAGCAACAACATTTCCTCCTTTATTAACCATTTCAATTTCTTCTTCATCAAAACAAAAAGAAGACGATTTTTCTGACCATCCCCCTCCACCTCCCCCTCCATTTCCTTCACTTCCCCCTCCCTCAAAATTTTCTTCAAAAAAATCGAATTTATTTTTTTCTTCTTCAGGTAAAGTATCCGTTGCATCTTGAAATTGATCTTCTTCTTCTTCCTCTGCCTGATTTTTTAATAATGGTGGTGTTGGTCCTCCTAATGCTGTCATATATGCTTAAAAAAGGAAATTATTTTAAATTTTTTAAATTGAGAATGAAATTAATTAGAAGACTGATGGGTACACCCCAAGGTACCTCAGAGCTATAACTTCGTTCAAAGTAATAGAATTCGAGATGTCCTGACATGGTTCGCTGCACTTCAAAGAGATGAACGAACCATACCTGGGCGTCCTAGATTCGACAATTTTGAACGAGGTTAAAGCTCTGCGGTACCTCGGCCTGCTCCCAAAAAAGACAATCAAGAAAATATTTAGGAGTCCAAAGTTTTTGTAAGGTTTATCAAAAAAAAGAATTTTCTAGCGAAATTACCATAAAAATAGAAAAAATTATTTAATTTTTTTTCATGAGAAAATGAAAAGAATATCGAATTTAGTATTTAAAAAAAGTTTGTTTTGATTTTCTGTCTCCAAAATAATGTCGCCCCTATAATTCTCTTTTTTGTTTACTTTTATATTTATAATCCGTTCTCTTTTGAGAAAAAATATTTTTTTATTTGCTGATAAAACTTGCAAACTTTGGATATGTAAAAAGGAAAAGACCGATAATAAAGAAAAAAAATTAAAAATGGAAGAAAAAAATATTTTGTAAGAAAAGAAAAATTATCAAGGAAAAGAATTTCCTTTCATCTTTTTTTTTAATTTAAATCCACGTTTTTTATTAATTTACGTAAATTAAAAAGAGAAATTTATTGATTTTGAGTGAAGAAATTTCTTAAAAATCAGTCATCCTTTATTCTTGGTATAGTGGATAGCGGTCTTGACTCCAGCCTGAGAGGGTTCTGGGTTCGAATCCTCTTAGTGTCCCTTTATTTTTAAAACATTTTAAACCCGAAAAGAATCATAAAAATCAACAAAAATTTTCAAAAATTCTTTTTTAAATTCCCAAAAAAACCTACAAAGCGATCCTCCAGTATTTTTACTACTTTCATCAGCCACTCTAGCCGAAAGTCTCAAAGCTTCCCCTTCAAGTTGTTGATGTTGTCTAGCCAAAATTTCATATTGTCTCTGTAATTCTTGGTGTTTTTCATTTTGTGAGTGGGCAAGACGACAAAGAGATTCGCATTCTTTTTTGTATTTTGTCAATAATTGATCGGTTAACTTAAAATTTAAAAAATTGATCTAAATGAGACTTGACCAGGTACTTAGCCAGGGGTGTAGGGGGGGGGCATTCTAAAATTCTCAAAATTTTCACCTATGGCGCTAAAAATCAGAAAATTTTGAAAAAATTAAAAATTTTTTTTCACCCCTTGGCCCCTTCCCGAAAAAATCCTTGCTACGGGTCTGGTCTTGACCGTTTTATAAAAGTTAAAAAAAATTTTTAAGAAACCTTTAAAGTCCCGTCTCTCAAACTTTTCACAGAATTAGCTTTAGCCACACATTTTTTGGCATCTGCAGCGTTTAAATGTCCAACAGCAAAATGCAAAAACCCTTCCAACTCGTTTGCTAAAAATTAAAATTTTTTAGAAATTATTTTAAAAATTTTTATACAAAATTTAGCAGCCAATTCATTCAATTCTTTATTCATTCCTTCAAAATCTCCAAGTGGATATTCCTTCAATTCAAGTGTTTTACTCAAAAATTTTTCTGTTTCGTTCTCATCATCTTCTAAGGAAGAAACTCTTTTAATCGCAAAATGTTTTGCATTTTCCAAAGCTTTTAACCATTTTGAACGGTCCGACTGGAAAAAAATTATTTTAAAATTAAAAAAATATTCTAATTATTTACGTCGTTAATTGCTCTCAAATGTAGATTTGGTGAAAATGGGACTGTTATAACCTGTAATAATAAAATAAAAAAATTATTAAATATGGACAATTTAATGAAAATTAAAGTTAAAAAATTTTGACTCAAATATATTTTGAAGAGACTTTGGTCATCAGGTTGGTCAAAAATCCTATCCGTATTATATTGTATTAACCAAGGATTTTTTGAGTTGAAATGAATTGAAGGGGTTCCCATAAAATCATAAAAAATGAATGGAAGGATCCCAACAGACACGCAGCCAGAAAAAATTTCAGAAGAGAAGGGATAATCCTTGAAAATATTACTCTATATTTTTGGAGCCAAACTTCTTCTGGTTAGGTTTTTTAATTTTTGGCCAAATTTTAGTCAAATTATTCATCGATTTTAATTTGATCTTCTCAAAAATCCTATCCCTATTTATGAAAATTGATGAATGGAAAGATCCCAAAACGCGCAGCCAGGAACTCGGGGAGGGTTGGAAATGCTGATTTCAATAATTTTGGAATCGAGGGCCTTTACACTGGCTACATGCTATTTTTGGAGCCAAACTCCCTTCTGCTCGTTTCTGGTCTAATTTTTGGAGACAAAATTTTTAAACTATCCAATTTATACCATATTAAGTCCATCATGTTGATCACTGCGAACACTAGCCTCTTCCATTTTTATCGACCCACGAGAAGGTCCATTTACATCATTCGAGTTTCTTTAAATAATTTCAAAAAAATTAAACAAAAAAACCTGTAATATTTCAAATTTCCCATAGAATCAATTAAAAACCAACGTTTTCTATACCCCTTTACATAATTTGTCCATTTATACAGCCAACCAGAAAATTCAATATTTTGATTTTTATTTGTTGAATTTTTGCCAGTTTTATGTCCATTTCCATTTGATGACGAATCGGCAGAATTTTTAGCTTCAGTCAAATAAAAACTAGAACCTCTTTTTGGCATTTTTTTAAAAAATTTATTTTTAGAAACAAAAAAAAATTGAAAAACATATGATTAAGAGAAAATACCACGTAGGTAAATTTAAAAATTAACCAATTTGGCATTCATTTATTATTTTGGCATAATGTTTTTTGAGTTAAATTTTATTCTAAATTTACAGGAAATAAACGGAGATTATTTTTTAGAAAAACAAAGAACAATTGGAATTATTCTAATCATCTGGAATTAGCTAATCACAATAGCAAGAGTGATCAAACCCCAACTTGGAAATTAAAAACTTATTAAATTTGGTAAAATTAATCATACCAGTCCCAGTTCTGCCCACAATACCAATTCGTTCCCTTGCTTGTAAATTCAACGGCGCAAAGCATAACTTGCTGGAAAATGTCCTAGCCCTGATGAATTTTGACGCCAATCTCTTTAGCTCGATGAGAAGAAAAGTTTATTCACAAGAAAGGCACAGCAATGCAGTACATCGGAAAGTGCAAGAAGAAAAGCTGATTTTTGCATCAAAACAACGTTCTTTGTTGTGATGAATGCCTTACTCCAATTTTTCGGGACCTAAGCAGTCGAGAATCAATCATCAGAAAATGAGAGACTACATCAGAGAATGAGACAAAACGAGAAAAATTCTTAAAACACCACAAAACCGAAAAATTAATTTTACCAATTACTTAATTTTAATTTAAAAAATACTTAAAGGATTATTGAATTATTTTATTTTTCATCGTTCATCCTCGTTCTTTTTGAAGACTGCTCCAAATTTAAATCGAAGTAGTTAGGTATTCTGTTGAAATTATAGTTATTTGCAATTATTTAAAGAAAAAAAGTACCCGAATTAATCCATCAGCCCTCGCTATAGCCTGATCATGTAAACGCTGCATAGCGTAGAGTAATCGAGCCTTGCAGTTCATTAATTTATCCTGCTCCGCCAGAACAAATTGCTTCATCTGCCCACTAGTCCCGACCAAAGCATTTTTGTTGCACTTGATATGTTCGTTTATTTTAATAATCTCTTCCAAAACTTGTTTACTTTTGTTGGCCTTGTTCTTAAATAAGAATTTAGCAGCCAATTTTTTAAAAAAATTTTTTGGTTAAAAAATTTTGGATCGAAAATTTTTTGTATAATACTGTAACAAAGTTGGAATAAATATTCCAAAACACTAAAACAAAGAATATTAAGATTCGGTAAGCTTTCAAAAACCCAGATATTTTTAAATTGAACATACCAAATTGTTCAAGTCAAAAGTACAATTGGTCATTTGATTTAACACAAAACCAAACAATCCATTTTTTTGAATAAAACTTTGAAGTTCGTCAAACACATGTGGCTAAACAAGTTTTTTGGGGATTTAAAAGCAAAAAAATTTGTCAAAACTCACCTCCGCTTTAATAGTTTTTAAATTTTCCACAATTTTGTTTATGGACAAATCATCAATACTTAAAATTTTTAATTGATTTGTTAATTCGTCCAATTGATTTGTATTTAAAATTAAAGAAGTTTTGGGGGGTTTTGTGTCGTTAGACAAAGAATGATTTGCTGCATCCATTTTTAGATCCAAAAATTGGCGTTTTTAAGACAAGTCAAAAAATTGTCCTTTTTTAAAAATTAATTTGGAACTTATATGGTTTAGGTACACTTTTTTTAGCCACGCCCTTTTTTTCCTTTTTCATCATTATTCTTTTACTCTTTTTCCCTCTCAACCATCAATCAATTGAGTTGAGGTCAATTTTTGCTTAAGATAGAGCTGACTCGGATGACATCATCGAGCCGGGCTGAGACGAATGACACTAAAATCGGTCCGTGAGATCTCTGAGCTGAATTACAATGGTCCAAAAATTTCTAAAAAGGGTAAAAATGGTCAGTATTTTGTAAAAAATTATGATTGTAAACACGAAAAAATTGGAAAACACAATAAAATACTGGACCATTAGTCTATTTTGGTTTCATTGGAAAGAAAAATTAATCTTTTCCTTGTTAATGTCTCTCACTGAACATGCCACAGGGAAAATTGAGTGAAATCGAGGAAGAAAGAAAGGCTGACCATTCTGTCCATATTAAGGTTGATTGATGATGGAAAAGGAAAAAAGGGCGTGGCTAAAAAAAAGTGTACCTAAACCATATACCGTATTTATTCTAATTGAATGGCACCTCCATTTGAATGGCACCTCCAATAGAATGACACATTTTTGAATGAATGAAAAATAGAATGGCAGCCTCTATTTGAATGGCACCTCTAATAGAATGACACTTTCTAACTATTAACTACCTAACTCTTATTTCTTTATTCCCTTAATTAACTAGTTTAATATTCCTTTTTAGTATGATAGTTCCGATATTTTTGAGCATCTCTAGGGCAAAAAAGTGGTTTTTGATAGGGATATCAAGGGATTGAGAGGATAATGAGGGATAAGACCCAAAGACTTGACCCAAAGACCCGAGACCAAGACTTGACTCTGAGTCTCAAGACTAGTAATTAACAATTCTCAAGACAATTTTTCGTTCATAGACAAATTTTTTGGTGATGCGTATGATCAGCGTATGATCAAGATTGATTAGGAAAGATTGAGGGAGATGTGAATGATTTTGGATGGATTATTTCCTTAATTATGTACCTAGATTAGTATTCCTTTTAGTACGGCCATGACTGCTATTTTTGAAGTAGAAGTCAATTTAAATGCTTGAAAGCAATCCCCCTCAAATCCCTCAAAGCTAACAAATCTAGATCCCTTTATCCCGCCAAATCACCCAACATCCTCGTCAAACTCTCGATAACCCTCCAAAACCCAATATCCCTCCAAATGTCACTTGATCCCACTATATTTCACCAAAATTCCACGATTTGATAAGCAATCAGGACCCAACTGTGCAGGAAATTTTGATTGTATTGCACCTATCTTAATCAAAATTTGACTCTTAGTCCCGAGACATAAAACTTAAGAATCTTATAGTGATACGTAGATGAAAATTCACTATTAAAATTATAAAATATCGAATTTTCCAAAAAAAGTTGGTCGAATTGCCAATTTTCTTAATCATCCATCTCAATCTCAACAATCCCAATCTCAATTTTTGACCTATGAAAAATAGAATGGCAGCCTCCATTTGAATGGCACCTCCAATTGAATGACAATTTTTTGGGGTATTGAAAAATAGAATGGCTGCCATTCTATTAGAATAAATACGGTAAGTTCCATTAATTTTAAAAAATAAAAATTTGGGTAGAAAGATTTCTGATTCTAAAATTTTCTTATTTTTATATGTACTGAAAAAATGCCCTAAATAAAATCCCCCTCCATTCTGTGAATTTTTTGAATAAAAATTAATCCTTTTAAATTTATTTATTTCGTTAAAGATGCCAGAATTGAAAAAAAAGTTGCCTTGAAAATGTTTGGTCATTTTATAAATAAAAGGGGAAAAAATCACAGACCGCTGTGCACTAGTGAACGACATATCTACGTTTTCGTCGATTCGCGGCGAATAACTACTTTTATTCGCGAACGACTTTTTTTTAATACAAAACGCCAGAACTACGTAAATATCGGGAACAGGACCATTGAGTACCGCCGATTGAGTACCGCCGGTTGAGTCCCTGGCCATTTGAGTACCGCCGGTTGAGTCCCCACGAAAAAGGGGACGTTTGAGTCCCCGTGATTATTTTTAGGATTTACACAATTATGTATGATTCCCAGTAAGGGTGTATTGCGGATATGATACCACTTTGGGGTACATTATACATATAGGAATATACGAGGGATTATAGATTATATCCCTCAAATAGGAATTAAGCATACTTGTATACGAATACTTGGTCTTAAAAGGCACTAAGTGTATGTATGTTTCCCGGGACGGAAGTATTACGGGTATGTTACCAATTTAGGGGTGGTACCTGGTATTTTGATAGGTACCTATAATCCCTCATTCTATTCATATATAATATACCCCCAAAGTATATACCACAACCACCCTTAAATTCGCCCATATCCCCTTTAATCACTTAAAATCGCTCGAAATCCTTCCATATTTAACATTATCCCCCATAATCTCACCATAGACACCTATTTCCCTCTCCAAATCTCCAGATATCTTGCTTAATCCCTCAAGATCCTAAAAATAAATGCGGGGACTCAAACGTCCCCATTTTGGTGGGGACTCAACCGGCGGTACTCAACCGGTCTGGTACTCAACCGGCCAGGGACTCAAACGGCGGTACTCAACCGGCGGTACTCAAACGGCGGTACTCAATCGGCGGTACTCAATGGTCCCCTACCGTAAATATCGATGTTTTGCGGAACGGGCCTGTTGAGCGTGGCCGTTTGAGCGTGGCCAGTTGAGCGTGGCCGATTGAGCGTGAGGACAGTTGAGCGTGGGCCGGTTGAGCGTGGCCAGTTGAGCGTGGCCAGTTGAGCGTACCTTGATAACAGGCCAGTTGAGCGTCAATATATTATTACTAGTGCCCGGCGCCGGACAGATCCCGCCGATTTTTCCCGAGTCCGGGTGCCAAATCCGGGTTTTTTTGCGATTTCTGGATTTTTCCGGACCGGATTAATCAGAAAAATCCGGCCGGATTCGATCCGACTCTAATTGAAAATCCGGATCCGGGCCAGCAAATTTTTTATACCGGATTTGGGACTTACAACATTTTAACACAAAAATTAATGAAATTTTTTTTGAAAAATCAGGAAAAAACAGAGTCCGGTCCGGAATCCGTAATTTCTGCCGTACTCCTGAAATTATTTTTACCGGATTAAAACCGAACAGGATTTTATGTTTTTGATTAATATAATTCTGCTGAAGACAAAAAGTTTTTTACTAAGTTTTTATGTTCAAGTTTTAGATTTTTGAATAAATCTTTCGGCCACATAGGCATTTGTTGTAGTTATTTTAGGTATTGACGCTCAACTGGCCAGTTATCAAGGTACGCTCAACTGGCCACGCTCAAACGGCCCACGCTCAACTGGCCCACGCTCAACTGTCCTCACGCTCAATCGGCCACGCTCAACCGGCCACGCTCAATCGGCCACGCTCAACTGACCGATGTTTTGCGCCAAACGATTGCGAAACGACTTTTTTGTGTCTCTTTTTCTCTAATTTCACATTATATTTCCTTTCTCTTTTTCTATTAATTTTCGTTCAGTGCAGTCTCTCAATTTTGTAAGGAGGTTTTTTGTAAATTGGATTTCATTTTTTTTATTTTTAGGGGTTACAAAAGTTTTTTTAAGGCTTTGGAGGTAGGAAAGGAAATTTGAAGGAAAATTGCAGAAAAATTGAAATTTTGAAGCTGTAGAATTAATGCCTGTCTCATTAGCCTCCTAGTACAACATTTGGAAGTCTTATTGTTAATGGTAGTAGTGAATTTTCAGAAGCAAACACTTACCATCAACGACATTTGGAGCAGCAACCATTATCAGGTTATTTTGTTTTTCGGTGCATTATAATTTGTGGGTAAATTACTTTCCGGGTTAAATTACACTTCCCGAACCGAATTTCGCACCCTGAAACTTGAATGAGCTATCGTTTGTATAAACTTTTTTACTCCAAAAAACCGCCCCTAAGGTTTCTCAATATTCAGTGATCTGTATCCGAATATTGAGAAATCTGAATATTGGTCAGATTTCATTGATCCTAGAATTAGTTGCTAAATTTTTTTCATTCCTAAATTTTTTCTTTTTTATGTTTAATCAAAACTTGTTTGATGTGTGTCGAACTCCATCCTACGGCTGCAACAATGGGGAAACAATAGGAGAGGTTGTTTTTTAAATCTTATTTTTTTGGAATTTTTTAAAATTTTTTCAATTTTTTAATTCATTTTTCTAAGTGTTACAACGACGTGCTCGGGCGATTTGCTGTTGAAGTGATTCTGCCTGGCAACCTTTGAATTGCAGTCTTAATGGAATACCCAAACGGCCCTCTTTAGGGCCACAAATCTAATGAGTGAAACGAGACATTGGCTTTTAGTTTTTTTGATAAATTTTTGTTTATTTGTCTCATTTTTTTATTGAAATTTTGTTTTTAACTTCCCCCTATGCCCGAAAAAGCCCAAGAAAAGCCTAGAGTCAAGATTCGACTACATTTGAAAATGTTCTTTAGAAAATGTTCAACAGAATCTTCGCTGGAAAATCTGTGGGAATATACTAAAGCGACCCCAAATCAAGTAGATGATAATTTTTTTTATCAATTCTTCGTTTTTTTCTATTGTTTTCTTTTAATTATTCAAAACATACAAAATTAGTATGTTTTGTAAGTTTGATGTTTCATTCGATGGAGCTTTTCGAGCTGTTTCGAATGGTGCCAAAAATAATTCGAACAGACAAAAATAAAGGAAGTTATGGCCCTACAAAGTTTTTGGATTCCAAGAAAAATGGACTGCACAAAACAAGAGAGACGAAAATTAATAGAAAAAGAGAAAGGAAATATAATGAAAAATTAGAGAAAAAGAGATACAAAAAAGTCGTTTCGCAATCGTTTGGCGTAAAACATCGATATTTACGTAGTTCTGGCGTTTTGTTTATTAAAAAAAGTCGTTCGCGAATAATTGCAGATTTTTTTAAAACGACTTTTTTTCCTTAAGAAAAAGTCGATATGTCGTTCACTACTGTGCACAGACCGCAGAATCTGCGGACAATTGATATGGTGGCCGAACGTTTCGTCACTAAACTTTTCGTCACCGAACCTTTCGTCAAAACCTTTCGTCACCGAACCTTCCGTCACCAAACCTTTCGTCACTGAACCTTTCGTCACTATTCACCATAAAAAGAGAGTACCTTGCATCTTTGCTTGTTTACCCACGAAACACGTTCAAGGATATATTAACGTTTTCCGAGCAATTCAAAATCGCATTCAAGACTGGGCTCCAGAACGTGTCATGTGTGATTTTGAACAATTTGAGATATCAGCTGTGCGCCAAGTCTTCCCTCATTCGACTATTACCGGTAAATCTTAGGAAAAACTAGCTCTAGAAAATTTTTTGAGAATGTGTTTTTCATCTTAGAAATGCGTTATACAAGCATATACAAGCACTGCCTGGTTTATCTGCTCGTTATAGAAATAATAACAATGATAAAAACTTGCTCCGATCACTTCAAGTATCTACCGTATTTCCTCCAATTCATTAGAGTTTCTTTCCTAGGCTCTGGCATTTGTGCTTATTAATGAGGTTTACACATTTATGTGTATTTTAATGGGCGTGCTAATGGGTCCTCCTGCAGATGAAGTTTTGGTAATATAACATTGAGTAGTTGTATTTATTTATACACAATATAGGAACTTCTAAAATATTTCGTTCTCACATATATTGGTCCATCATATGTAGTTGCTCATCCAGAAATATTGCCTGGCGATGATGAGGAGGCCACTTATAGCGACGGTTGGCTTAGGGCGTGGATAAACCACGAACAGATTGCACATCGAGATGCACTTTTTCCGATACTGGTTCGATTCCTGGCTAAACTTTTGCTTAACTTCGTTATCTTAGTTTAGCAACACAGTAAATATAACTAAATTACCGATTATGATCAATTTGTCATTTTTGACAACTTCTTATTTGATTTTTAAAAATAAAGTCTTGGTGACGAAAGGTTCAGTGACGAAAGGTTTGGTGACGGAAGGTTCAGTGACGAAAGGTTTTGACGAAAGGTTCGGTGACGAAAAGTTTAGTGACGAAACGTTAGGGAACCAATTGATATAGGCAAAAATCCTTCAAAAATTTATTGATTTGGCGTTTTTATAATTTTGGCATAATGTTTTTTGTGTAAAATTTTAGTTTAAATTTAGAGTAGGGTGACGCTGTTTATTAATTTTTTATCTAACTTTTGTTTTTTACCTTTTGTTAATTGTTTGCCATTTTTCCCACCAACTCGTTCCTGTCTAATTTCTTGACTGATTTAAACTTTTATTTAATTTTAATTTTTTCTAATTTTTTCCGTAGATTTAACATATATATTACTAGCAAATAAACAACTAATCCATTACACAACCAACACAATTACTCATCAAAAAATAATTTTAAAACTCAGAAAAATGACAAGCCGAACGCCGGATTGGAAGGGAGGGGCTAATGTTCTCTCGGCTGTTCACAAAATCAGTACAACACCTTCGCGTAATCCAAATTATATAAAGGGGAAAGTGAATGAAGGAGATCGTTATGTTTGTCTTAGAAGTGAAGAACAATTGGAATTGGCTACTCATCTTTTAACTTCTAAATTATTGGTTTTTTTTAATTTTTTTAAATTGAGTTTGGGGTAATTGTTAAGGGGGTGTTTCCCCCTTTTTTTCTTATTTTCCAAAATTACCTCTTTTTGCCTTTGGAATTAAGGTTGGCAGATAGTTGGAAATCTTTGGATATCCGGATCCGAACCAAAAATTTCCCGTTATCCGCTTTTTTCGGATCCGGATCCGCCACCTTATTTGGAATTTTATCAATCTAAAGCGATTAGATTTTTGCATAAAATTTGCGAAACCGGAAATATTTGAAAACTGGCATTAAAGGTAACAGATTCTTGTGTTTTTTAAGTTTTTGGATATTAGAGAATCCAAGAATCATTTTTTGATTGATGAAATTCCGACGAAAAAAAAGGAGGGAATTTTGTAAAATAAGAAAAAAGAGGAAGACTTGAAGAAGGAACAGGAAAAAATGAAGAAAAAATCAAGGGGCCCTTGTTTTCATATAGGGTCGAGGTCTGACCATTATGTACATTCTTAAGGAAAAAATGGAAAACTTAAGAAAGAAAAAATGGGAAAAAAATTTTTCATAAACTTCTTTAAAGGATGATGAAAACGCTACATGTTTGGATACGTCAATGTCTTGCCCAACCAGCCCGGCTACAAAATTAGAACAACAAGCAAAAAGGCAGATGATGAGAGTTAAATCAGACAATAATTTAAATAATGGAATTGAGGGAGATAGAGTTTGTGCCTTTAGGTTTTCTTTGAAATTTTTGTTTTGTTTTTCTAGTTTTTTGTATTTAGAAAAGGTCTTGCTCCGATTGCTCGATTTGGTAATTTTTTATATAATTAAAAAACTATAGGTTATTATTTTTCGTAAGATTGGACTTTGAGATTTAATAATAATTTATTTGGCAACAGTCCTTGATGCTTATGCATATGATATTCCCCTTTATCTTTTATGGGAGAATTAGTCTACCTATTAGAGATCGAGATTTTTTAAAAGCCTGTTCCAGGGCTCTGGGTTTGCTTCATTGACCTGGGCCTGTAGTCCAGAAAGACCCGGACCCAAGAAAAACCCACGAAGGTCAAAAACAGGAAAAACCCAGGCCTTGATCCAGACCCAGCTCGATCTCTACTATCCATCCATATTTTGGACCATAATTATAAAATAATACCAAAATTTAATTTTCTATAGATCTTGCTCATCTAGGTCCAGACCCCTAACATTTTAACCATTCTTTGCCAACAATTTTTCTTAATAAAATCCAATCCTTGAAATTACACTCTCATCCATTTTTTATTTAAAAATTTTTTAGGTCATCGTGCCCAACAAACAAATGTTCTCTTTCATTGTATACAACCATCATCAACTTGTATAAAACGTTCAAGACGTTATATAGTTAAAGAACCCGAAAGAATGTTGGATGCTCCGAGTTTATTGGACGATTTTTGTTTGAACAATTTTTTAAAATTATTTTTTAATTTTATTTTTTAGATACAAATTTAATTGATTGGAGTAAAGCAAATGTTGTGGCTGTCACTTTGGGGAATAAAATTTTCCAATGGAATGCTGCAACTGGGGCGGTGGATGAATTGAAAGATTTTGAGAATTTGGAGGCTAATCCAACAGTTGCAAAATGGTCGAAAGAAGGGCAGTATATTGCTATTGGATTTTCTGATGGGACTTTAAAGGTTTTTAAATATTTTAAATTTTTGAGAAATTGATTAGTGGGACTTTTACACATATGTTGACAAGGAGAGGTTGCGAGGTGTCCGACCTAAAAACGGTCGAGAATTTGATAGAGAATGTGCCCTTTCTAGCAATGATTTTTTGCCCGTTTTTTGATCTGGCCAAGATCTGGCACATTCTCTATCGAATGAGCCCGGTCTCGACCGTTTTTAGGTCGGACACCTCGCAACCTCTCCTTGTGAGTTTATATCTTGGGTTTTAGTATTAGATGGCCGGGTTAAATAGTCCAGAGGAAATAGAAGAGTGTTATTTACCTCCCTACTTTTAGATAGGAGTTAAAAACCGCAACTAAAATTTATATTATGTGAATCCGTTTATTTTTCTTCCTTTTACTATAAAACATTTAAAAATAGTACAAGTTTTCTCCCATGCCTTTAGATATTTTTATTAACATCTGAATTAGTTGTCCCCTTAATTCATTAAAATAAAATCAATTAACAGCTTATTTTTTTATTTTTTAGTTGATCGATTCAATAAGTAAAAATGTTCTTCGAACAATAAGAACTGAAGGAATGCGTTTAGCTTGTGCTTGTTGGACAGGAAAGGGAGAACTTAGTTGTGGTTCTAGAAATGGAAAAATTTATCATCACGATGTTAGAATGCCTAAATCTTTGATTAGGTTTGTTTTTAAATTAAATTTTTCAAAAATTATTTGTTTGTACTTATTTTGAAATTTAACATTAAGTGGATTGATTTAAATAGAAAATTTATTCCGTAATTTAAAAAAGACTATATTAGGCTGTCCGTTGGTGTAGGATAAGTGGAGGTTCTTTTGTTTTCATTGAGAGGGTTCGAATCCTTTTTAAACAAATTATTTTTATTTTCTGGTTTTAAATTGTTGAAAGAACCTTTTTTGACTAAAACTTCAAATATTTGTTGAAAAATCTTAATCAATTTAAATTTAAAAATTACTTTTTTCTAGCGTTTTCTCTTCTCACTCCAGCGAAGTTTGTGGTCTTAAATGGAGTCCAGACGAACACTTTCTTACAAGTGGGGGTTCTGATTGTTTAGTACATGTTTGGGAGAAGACACAATTATCTAATTTTAATGCGGTTTCTTTTAATTTTTAAAATAAATTAAAAAAATTTTTAGCCTCCTCTTTACCGATTTGATGATCACATTGCAGCGGTTAAAGCTATTGAATATGTTTGTTGGCAAAATAAATTTTTTTCTGAAAAAAATTCTCATTTTTAGGTACCTCAAATAGGCCTCGGCCCTTCCAATTTGGTAGCCACTGGAGGAGGAACGCGTGACCACACAATTCGTTTCTGGGATCTTAATGATGGCTCGCCTTATTTTACGTTGGATACACAAAGCCAAGTTTTTTTGAAAATTTTTTTTTAATTTTTATTTTTTAAAGATAACCGGAATTCTTTTCAATAAACTCCATTCTGAAATGATTACTGGCCATGGAGCCCCAAAAGCTGGCGTTCGTGTTTGGCATCATGAACCAAATAAAATTAAAAAATTTGAGCCTACGGCTGAATTAAATAATGGTCAAGGAGGGAGGGCTTTAAGTCTTTGTCAAAGCCCTTGTGGAGAATATGTTATGACTGCAAGTCAGGTAATCTAATTTATTTTAAAGAATTTATTTTTTATAAAAAATTAAAAATTTTCTAAATATTCTCCGGGAATTTGTTTATTTGTCTACAGATTCTGCATTCGTCCACAAAATGCGGAAGCTGTTGAGTAATTAAAATAAAAATGGTAATACATCCAATTTTTCCTTTCAATTCCATTTTATGTAAAAAAGAATAAGGAAGAGAATAAAAATTTTCTAAAAGGGGAGGGTTGAAAAAAATTTTTTTAATGGTCAAGGAAAATAAAAAGAAAAAAGCTCGATTTTTAAAGACTTCCCAAAAATTTTATAATAAAAATCTCCTAGTACATATTATTTTTGGTTAAAATATATAGAAAATATTGTTTCTTTTTCCATTTTCTTAAATTAAAAAAAAATTTTTTTTAAAGGATGAAGTTCTTCGTATTTGGCATGTTTGGAAAGTAGATGAATCTATGCGTAAACAATCACAAGAAAATGTAACAGCAAATGCTCGTAAACAACTTCAATATGCTTTGAATGGGCACATTGGTGTTGCAAGTAATGGAAGAATTATTCGTTAAAAATTTAAATTATTTTTTTTTGTAAAATTATTTTTTTTTGGTTTTTCATTTTAACCCTTTTATTTATTTTTTTCTTTCTTTCTTTTTTTGATTTATTTAACTTCACTTATATATTTACAAAACAAATTTAAAAAATAAAAATTTTTTGAGTAAATTTTATTTAAAAAATATTTTTGTAAATTTTTTTTGAAAAATTTACAGATTCTTTTAAGGAATTTAAATGAAAGAGAGGGGGGAGTTTTCAAGAAAAATATTTAAAAAATAAACAAATAATCTCTTATCAAACAACTATAAAATTTAATTTTTTTTTCTTTAGGAATACTTTTCATTGATTAATTCCTTTTTTTATCAAGAAAAAAAATTTAAAATAAATATTAAAATAAATTGCAAAAAATCATTGTGATTTAAAAATCCTTTTTGTTTGTATTTAACCCTTAATTTCAAATAAAATTCTCAAGCAAAAATGTCGTTTGTTGACCCTCCTCAAAAGAGAAACAATTAAAAAAAACTTTTCTCTTTCCTTGTACTATTTAATTAGGGAATATTTAAGAATAAGGTTGTCGGATAGTTGGAAATCTTCGGAGATCCGGATCCGAAAACCTTATTTAAGAAGTGATTTTCTAATTAACTTAATTTTAACTCAATTTAATTTCAATTAAAGAAGAAAAATGGATAATAAATTAAGACAATTAATTTCAAAAGTAAAAAAAGAATATGATGACGATTCTGTAGATAGATGCATATATGCTACCACTGTTTATATTGTTGGATTCTTTGCGGTAATTTTTGTTGAGGGGAATTAAAAGAATTTTCTTCTAAAAATTGCCCAGAATTTGAATTTTCCCCCCAAAATCTTATAAACTTTAAAAAATTTAAAGAAAAAATTTCTTAAAGGTTCTAATTATGGCAAAACAATATGTTGGTGACCCCCTACAATGTTGGTTACCTGCAGAATATACTGTTTTTTTTAAATAAATTTTAAATAAAATTTTTTGTATTTTCTATGAAAGGGAGCTTGGGAGTCTTATATAGAAAATTATTGTTTTGTAGAGAATACTTATTATATTGCACAGAATCAGAGCAGCAAATTGTGAGATAATTTTTTCTAATTATCAAATTATTCTTAAGTGGGCATTATTAAAATTTTAGGGGACTGGACATTTTGAAATTTTCAAGTTATTGGCGTTTTGAAAATTTTTAAGTCCTCTGACCATTTTGAAAATTCAACTTATTGGACATTTTGAAATTTTTAATTCTCTGACCCTTTTAAAATTTTAGCCTATTGGACATTTTGAGATTTTCACGTTAGTGGGCGTTTTGTACTTTCCGTGTAAAAATAAATTTTAAAATTAAAAAACAATTAATTGACCAAATAAAAACAATTATTTGTTAGGCTCTCACCAGAGAACAGACAAGCCCGTCGCAAATACGAACTTCGTTACTACCAATGGATTCCCTACATTCTAGCATTGCAAGCTTTGCTGTGTTTTGCCCCAAAAATGATTTTTAAAATTTTGTGTTCTTTTAGTGGTTAATTAAAAATTTAATTAAAAAAATTTTTTTTTTCTATCAGAATTAAAAATTAACGATTTGGCTAAAATAGCCTATAAAGAAACTAAAAAAAGTTTGGAATATAAGAATAAATCTAAAAGAATTGCTGGACATTTAATTGCCCATACAAATGCTAGAGGTTAGAGAAAAGTCTCTTCTATTTTAATTATCTCTCTCTCTTTAGCCCAATCTTCCAATTATTATTTAACTGCAATTTATTTGTTAATGAAAATTTTAATGTTTTTATCAATTTTAATTCAATTAATTTTAATTAATTTATTTTTGGGAACGTGGGATTTATTTTGGGGATTTAATATTTTATGGCAAATTGTTGTTGATGGGGTTTGATTTATTTTTTAAAATTAAAAATAAATTAATTTTTAAATAGGTCGACTGGAGAAATAATGGATTCTTTCCTAGGGTATATTTTTTGATTTATTTAAATTTAGATATTTTTAAAAAAATTTCTGAGGGAAAAATTTCTGAATTAAGGAAATAACTCGCTTCTCTCCTTTCCTTATGCTTTAATCACTCCCCTACGGACTGAAACTTTGAATGACCATAACTCGGCCCTAATTGATTTTGCAAGAAAACGGACATCACTTCACAATAGTAAGTCCATGGTCCTCTATCGATTGATACCAGAAAATATACCAAATTCGCAGTTACAGTAAACTATGTTCCCTTACTGACACATTTTAAGAAATAATAAACTCAAAATTCTTAATAATTTTCAGGTTACTTTCTGTGATTTACAAACTCGAGATATTGGCCAATACAGGGAACACACAGTTCAATGTGTTCTTATGATTAATATGTAAATATATTTTTCTATTAAAAAATTCCCCAAAAAATCCCTTTTAAAGGTTCGCCGAAAAGATTTTTATATTTTTATGGCTCTGGTTTTTCCTTTTACTTTTTATTTTACCCTTAAATATTTCTTTGTGGATATACAGAATATTTTCTATGAAAAGTAATGAAGAAATGATTGTTGATGCACTCAAGGCAATTTTTAGAAAAAAATTTTTTTTAATCCTTCCCATTTTCCCTCCCTTCCAGTTACACGATCATTTCCCAACAATTCAAGACGTCAGAAAATTTATTAGAGAATTTTTAAAAATTGATGATATTGTTATTTTGAGAATGATTAATTCAAATGTTGGATATATACAAACTTCTGATATTTTACATCAATTATGGCTTAATTACAATTCTATTGAAGATATTAGTGAAAAACAAGACGAATAAAACATTTAAATATTTATTTTTACTTTAATATTTTTAGCAAAAAAAATTTTTTTAAAAGAAAAAAAAATTAAATAAATTTAAAGAGAAGTAATATATTACAGTTGAACCTCATTATAAAGATAAACCCTTGAAGCTGAAAAAAATTGTATCTTATAGGGGGGACCCTCACCATAGCTCAATAGACAAGCAATTAAAAAAAGCATCTTAATAAATTAAAGTGAAATTAGAAAGGTGTATCTAAACATATGAAGTTCAACATTAAGAGTCAATTAATATAACCGATAAGTCGAAATTTAATTTAAAATAACTTTACACATTTTCCTTTAAAACTCATCACTCTATTTATTTAATATTCTTTTAACAAAAATACATACTCGGCTTCAATCCCTGTTCAACTATAACAGCCTCTGAAGGTTGCTGTAAAATTTTATCACCAGATTGCAGTTTATCTTTAGGTAAAGGCTGCCCATTTTTGCTTAAAAATTATGTAAAAAATTTTTTTCCCAAAAAAATCAAAAAATTTACCCAACAGGCAATTCATCATCCGCAGCAGCATAGTGATGTCTAGCTCTAAAGCACGCCAAATGAGCATAATAAACAGGCGCAGGAATGGATACAGGCATTGGGGCACGTGCAAATAAATAACACAAATTGTTTGAACAAGTCTCCAATTCATCCGCAGTAAAATTGTTTTCATCCATTAAAATAAAATAATGTGAAGGACGAGATGTTCCCTTAAAAAAATAAAATTTATAGGAAAATTGGAGGAAGTTGTGGGGAATTCTATCCGAAAATCACCTAATCAGTCAATACTTCCCAAAAAAATTTTTCTTAAAAAAAATCAAAAAAATTGTCATACCAGCATTCCCTTCTGTGAACACAAATAAAATTCTTTTGAATAACTTGTGATATGTCCATCAATAACAGTTCCAGGCTGAAGATTTCCTTTGCTATAAAGAACTAAATTTAAAAAATATTTTAAAATTTAAATACTTTTTCTCATCATTATCGTTTTTATCAAAAAATCGTGTATTATGTCGCTTCTGCACAACAACAACTGTAAGTCTCGGTTTTTGAACTCCTTCAAAATATTTGTCAATAGCCTTTCGAATTGATGAAACTTCAAATTCCATAACTCCTTCAAATTGAGATTCAGACACCCCATCACGGAAGACAATTATTTTAGAAGGGCGTAATTCAGTTCCGTGGAAAAGTTTTGAACCCTAAAATTAATTATTGTCTCAAAAAGAGAATTTTAAATTTTTAAACCTTCTGAAAATGTACAAGTCGTTCATAAAACATTTCTCCCATATCTTCAATCCATTCAGTTCGGTGATGTTGTGCACGAACAGTTGCAGTAAAACTAAAGAAAAATATGTGTAGAATAATTTAAAAAATTAGAATAAAATTCAAGAATAAGGAGAGAAGGTATAACTTCAAGTAGAGAACAGAATTAAAATTTTAAACCTTTCAAAGGAACTATAAAATCAACAAACCAAAGAAACAAGATATTTTGACATATTATTAGATGTTTGAAAGGAAATTAAGAACTCTTCCAAACCCCCAAAAATTAAAAAAAAAACCCCAAATTAATTACCGAGTAGCATTCAAATCAATATTCCCAACCAAAGCAGAAATTGAAGGAGAAAGTGTATCACCAGGCGCTGGATGGGTTACATCAATGCCAATAAAAAGTGTTGGTGCTTCTTTTTTGACAAAAGTCCCCCATTTTCTTTAAAATAAATTTATTAATTAAAAAAATATTTTTTAAAAAATACTCAGTCGCATTCGCATCAATTTTGCAATTAACTCCTCCACATTTTGCATTAATTTTCAAAAAAATATTTCTAGCAACAGCACTAGACATTGGACCACCTCTCCCAGCTTCATTTTGCAGTTTGTTCCAAGTTTTTTGAGAAATCATTTGAGAGCGCATTCCAAAACGAAGTTCACAAATTCCTTTGAAAGATTCTGAAGGAGAAATATTTAATGGATTGACAAAATATTACAAAAATATTCTAATTTAAAAATTAAACAAAACAAACGATAAATCCAGCGATTATCCGGCATCGCAACAATAATAACAGGCATAACACCTTGACCCCAATTTTTTGCTGCTTCTCTACGAGAACCGATTAAATTAGCGAGTTGATCTTTATGGCGAGTGTTAAATTCAGAAACACCCGCAGGTTCTGGATGCACAGTAATTCCTCTATTAGAACAAGACTGAACTAAAGCTTCCCATGCTGCACTAAAAATTAAAAAAAACGTTAAAATGTGAACACATTCAATCTCGAAAATTAAATTTTAATAATAAGCGCTGTGGGATCAAATGTCACATTTTTTATAAAATTTTAAGAATACAAACAAACCGATATCTGTCAAATCTAATACATCCATCAACAATAACCAAATCAAAAATAATATTAACTGGCCTTCCAAATAAATTAGGCTTTTCCACGGCCTTGATTCCCATAATATCACGAAATGATTTCTTAAAAGATAAAATGAAATACAAAAAAAATTGTCAAAATTAACCGAAAATTCGCATCTTGGAGGATTTAAAACACGAGCACCAATTTCAAGAAATTCTGTATTTATAGCAACTTCAAATTCTCTCATAACTGGGTTTTGATCAAAATTGCATTCAACACGAGCCATTTGGTCTATATCAGAAAAACGTTGACGAGGAGGTGTTGACGTATACTTAAAAAGTTAAAAAAAAATTACAAAAAAAAACAGAAAAAAGGAACCTGATTTGTCATAGCTTGCAATGCATCCGGCAATTTTCGACGTAAACGTTGTAATTTATCCGAAACTTTGAGAACTTCAATCGGCAAAACCAAATTTCTTTCTCTCGGCATAATTTTAATAAGAGGCATTGAACGAAATTTAACTTGGTAGTTGTATTTAGCAGCATAATATTCAGTCACAGAAACTGTTCGTCCAAGTTCTTCACATTCGAATTTGTAAGCATCTGGAGATTTATCGACAACATCACAGAAAGAAGCTTCACTTTCAACAAAATTTTCAGCAATGCGCTTCTTTTTCATTTTAAGTCCTGAAACAAAAGATTGATGAAAATTTCATTAGAATGCAGTTTCAGATTTTAGTAAAAGGATATACAAGTCAAGAAAAGATTTTCGAACCATTCAAGAAGCGCTCACACAATACCTAAAACCCAACCGAAGAACCAACTTAAAAAACTAACCACTTAAAAGAGTTCTCAATTCATTACGCTGCGACTGATTCATTCCATAATCATTAAGTCGCTCAATTTCACTTGCATTCATGAATCGTCCCGTCTTTGCAAAAGCATAGAATTGAAGAATATCACATCCAACTTTGTAGAAGGCAGAATGGGCAACTAAAAAATGGCAAAAAAGATTGTATATTAGTTTGTTGATTAAAAAAACAAACCATCAAAATTAACAAAACCATTTCCAACATTTCCCTTTGGCGGAGCTAACCCCCTTTTTGCAAAAGCATATAATCCACGAAGCATTTCAAATCCACCCAAATCCAAAGGTTCATGATAAGAATTTGGTGGTTTAATGTAGAGACGACTAACTTCACAATGAATAGTTCTGTCGAGAGCACCAATTGGACAACGAGCTTGTTGTGTAATAATTAAATTTAAAACGCGAAAAGCATCATCTTCGTAAGTTTCTTGTGGTTTGATTGAAATAGTTCCTGTTGCTTTAATTACCATAACAGTTGTGGTCATGTTTCCATCCTAAATGTTTTTTAACAAATTAAAAATTTTGAAGGAGAGATAACTAGCTAAACTAGGGACCGGACTTTATCGAATTATCGACCAGTTTTCCTAACCGGTTCCTAATTTAAACACAATTTAAAGGCAAAAACCAGTAAGTATACCTCCCAGAATTTGTTTTATTCCGATTTTATTTCCCCATATTTTCAAAAGTCATGAATAATGTTTGAAAACAAGTGTAACCCAATTTCTCTAGTTAATCATAATAATCACAAACCCTTCTTCCTTCATCCGTTTCAATCGTCACTTCCCCAACAGTTCCAGACTGGACAGGCAACTCTTTCCTAGTATAACACAAATGAGAATCATCGTAAACCAAATTGTTTCGTCCCCCAAAATATGCTTCGTTTGCTGAAACAAAGCTCCAAAACTTTTGACGAAGAGCCATTCTAAAAGGAAAAAATACCAAAAAAAAATTAAATTTAAAAATAAACTTGTTTGTAGTTGAAATTTCTTTACGTTTGTCTTCCAATTGGTGATAAAAGTCTACACGATATTTGTAAATATGCATTTTTGTGTTGAATTTTAATTTAAAATAATTGACTACAACATCAGTTCGTCGCCCCAAGGCTCCTTTAAAGTTTGAAGGATTTTCAGCTTCAGATAACTTAAAAATATTATTTAAAATGATGAGAAGACTAAAAAATAAATTTACTTTTGCAACTTGAAAATTTCGCATAGGGCGAGGTGCGACTGGTCCTCCTCTTCCCCCTCCTCCAGATCTTCCACTGTCATATCCACCAGAGCCGCCGCCACCTCCCCCTCTGAATCCTCCCCCACCACCACCACCGGAGCGGTCATATCCTCCACCTCCACCACCAGAACGGTCATATCCTCCTCCACCACGACCTCCTCCGCCTCCAGATCTGTCATAACCGCCGCCACCTCCACGGCCTCCTCCGCCACCACCACCGGGACGACCTCCTCCGCCACCACCAGAACGCCCTCCTCCTTGGCTATATCCTCCTCCTCCACCACCACTTCGCCCTCCACCACCACCTCCTTTCCAATTAGACATTGTTTTGAATAACAGAAATTAAGATAAAAGTAATTTGCAAATCTAAAAGTGATACTTTTTAATTTAGAAGGTTAAACTGCTCGCATTCCTTATACTATAACGCATTAAACAGAAACTAGTCTATCAAACCCCTAATCTCCGTTAATCTATGATAACAAGATGACCGAATTACAATGTTTCCAAGAATCTCGGGTCTTGAACCTAGTGATCGTTGCTCAGACTAACATCTTATCTATCAAAAACCACAAGAACAAAAGTAACTCAATAAATAATTAATTGTAAAAAACAATTGTGAAAAATAAAACAAATTGAAACAAAAGTGATCGTTTATTTAGAGAAAAGATTGGTGATAAAATCATGTCATATTTTACGTCAAATAATCGAAAACATCAAATGAAACAAAAAAATCCAAGCCAAGGTTGAGATACTGCCAAATAACCATACAAGACCTTCAGATGTACATCAAACACATGCCACCCAACTGTTCCTGGTAGACCTAAAAAAAGATAAAAAGCTAATTGAATATATATCACAAGGATAAACCTCAATGACATCATCCTCCTCCATTTCCAAGCTCTTCGGAGTATCATCGTCATTGACGCGCCTTCCATCGAACAAAAAGCGAAGCGCATTAACCTGAAAAACAAAAGATTATTCATGTTTTAGTTATCACAAACTAACCGCAACGCCTGTACGCTCAGCGTACGCCTTCTTCAGTTTTCCCATGCTGGTCCCAAACTTGACTCGGAAATGGACTTCATTGGAGTCCTAAAAATGAAAACATTGAATTTTAGTTATTAGAATTAAACTACAAACTTGGCCAACAACTTTAATCTTGATGTATTCAGCCGACGGTTGAGTAGTTTCACCGGTAGCGGCAGTAGTGTTGTTATCTGCTGTTTCAGCCATTATAATTTTTTTAAAAGATTGTAAAAAAGCTAATTTCTAAAAGTTAACTAATAAAGAATTTTAATTAGAACGTATAAATAATATTTGAGAAAAACTTATACAACATAAAACAGTAAATGACGTAATGAAAAGTCAATACAATCGATAAAGGCTATTCCTCTGTATGAAAATTCCTTGCTTTTATAGTATGACAAAGTGATTTTGAAATCGATGTTTTGACACGAAATGTCATTCTGTCTAACACACTTTGTCATAGGACGTTTTGTCAATAACTCTGTGGAGCAGTTGAGTCCCCACTAGGGTAAAGCAGATTTGTGATTTATCACCTTTTTGATAGAATATAAATTTTAACTACATCAATCTACATTCTGGATCTTTCTCCAAAGTTATGATATTAGAAAAGCTTTGAATACTACAAAAATGATTAATCAAAATAGAGCAATGGTGCGGACTCAACTGGGTAGTCCCAGAATGAGCCGGTTTGGTGCGGAAGCTGAGTGTGACGATCAGGTCGGTTGAGCGTACAAATTTCTGGCACTTTTTCGTATTTTAAATAATGATAAAATTTTAGATGATTAGCTTTTAGTTCTGTTTGTCTCACAATTACTAAATCAACAACTTTTCTGTTGTAATTAAATCAACCACGAAGGCTATTTAGGTATGCACTTACATCTGGAGGGGGATTGTTGATGATTTATATTTATTAGTATTCTAATTGTAAGCATTAATCAAGAAAAGAATTGAAGTCTTTTAAATGTTTGCGAAATACTGACGAATTGATGCAAGTAGGAATTTTCAAAATTTTGTTTAATTTATTTATAATAAAAGGGTTTGGAATTATTATTTTTTGAATTTTTTTCTTTGTACATAAATTCCTAATTGCCTAACGACCTATAATTCCGTCTCTCCCCATAGTAGCTGTACGGCAATAAATTTTAAAAAAAGTAATGAGGACATCTGATTAAGGCACTCCCTTCCTACATATAAGTACTTTTTTTGATTTTCATCCTTCAGTCAGTAACTTTTTGATATTTATTCACCGATTCCTTATAAATTTTCTAAATTATTTTACTAATTTTTGTTTCAGTAAATTATAATAATGCAAAGTGATACTGAATCTGACACGTCTCGATTTCAAGAACCGAATGAATTTATTGAAAATCTCCAAAAAGAACTTACTAGATTAATTGAAGGATTTCAATATGTTAAAAGTTATTCTGATCGTGTTTATTCCAAATTAGCTCCAATAGAAAAGTCTTTAAAAGAAGCACTAGTTTTGGTTGGGCTAACAAAACAAAATATGGAGATACCAGAATTGTGCCTTCAGATCAACCCTTATATTCAACAAATTGTGGATGCAGCCAAAGCTCAAAATCGAAAACCCAAACCAGGTTAACTGTCTATGGATTATTTTTTTTATTTTTTAAAATATTTTAGAAGATCTTGGAGAACTTGGACAAGACCCCGAATTTTTGGGCTCTCTTTCAAAAGGTGTTTTAGAATGGGTAAAAGCGATTCAAAAAGTCAAAAATATGGATCGAGATCCATCAACTGGTACTGCACTACAAGAAGCAACTTTTTGGATTAATTTGGAGAAGGCTCTAGTTAAAATTACTGCATTACGCGATTCTGTTGAAGTTATTACTACTTTAGATGTGTTAAAGGCAGGAAAACGTTTTCATGTTACGACTTCTTTTCAATCTGATACTGGTTTGCTTTGCATTATTTTTATAAACTGATTTTTTAAATTAAAAAGGTTTAAAAGACAAATTGACAACTGTCTCAGACTATAATGTTTTAATGAAGGATTTGCCGTTAAGTGAACTTTTGGGTGCTTCTGATTTGGATTCTTTGCGTCAAGCAATTCTAAACATTTTCAACGTTTTAAAGAAATTACGCATTACAAAATATCCTGTTAAACGAGCTATACAATTTTTCAATACAATTTCGGCAGATCTTTGTGAACAGATGATTCAGGTTGTATTAGTGTCTTATATTTTTTTATCTTTAAATGTTTTTTTAGATTCTCAAACCTCGTTTACTTATGCATGCTCCTATTTCTGAACTTGACGAAGTTATGGCAATTTGCACAAAGATTTGGTTTCAATGGGATGAGGAATCTGACAAAATTCAGGCAATGTTTCGTGAGATTGCAAAGCGGCAGCGTTCTGATGTTAAATTTCAACATAAAAATCAATATCGTCACAAAGAATTAGAAAACAGATTGAATGAGCTTACCACCTTTCGGTATTGTTATTTTTTTTTTAAATTTTTTCTCTTTTAAGACGTCAGCACGAACAATTAAGCAATGTTATCTCTCGTGTTTTACGTTTTAAAGGAGCAAATTCTCTTGGAAATGTCTCTGGAAAACAAACTAATCCAGAGAAAGAGGTTTTTGTAATTTATATTTTACTAGTCTAAAGCTATTTTAGGTTATCAAGGCATATGAGACTATTAAGGAAGTTAATTATCTTGATTTGAGTCATTCTGGTCAGCAAGCTTGGCAGAGTTCTATGCAATATTACAAAAATCATATCGTTGGAATTGAAACTCAGGTTACTTTTTCTGATTTTGCTTTTTCAATAAGTTTTGCATTTTAGTTAGCCTCACATCTTCGTGATCAACTTGGAAGCTGTAAAAGCGCAGATGATATGTTTTCAATCTTTTCTCGTTACAATGCTCTTTTTGTTCGTCCTCATATTCAAACTGCTATTAGGGAGTATCAAGCTGTTCTAATTGATCGTGTTCGTGAAGATATTCGTATTCTCCAAGAAACTATTATTGACCCAAAAAAGATGGAATTGGCAATTTTTGTTGTAGAAGGATATGATATACCTGAATTTTCTGCAAAAGTTATGTGGCTTCGTCAAAATGAGTTGCAGCTTAATATGAATATACAAAGAATTGCTGATATTTTGGGAACACAATGGGTTAATCATTCTGAAGGTTAATTTGGTATATACCCCCTCCTTTTTCCTTACTCATAGCAATAAGAATGGACATAATTTGCTTACAAGAAACCTCGACTTCACTCTACATATGTCCCTATGGCATGCAATCAGTCAATAAAGAATTACCGGATTTAACAAATACATGATGCCTTCTTTAAAGGCACTTATTTAACAACGAAACAAATCTTCCATCTTTCTTTTTATTGTTAGTGGGGCTTAGGGTGAAGTTAAGGAAGGAAGCAAATTCTGGCCATTTTTAATACCTTGGGGAAGGAAGAAGAAGAGGGTATTCAGACTTCAATTTTCCGTTATTTTTTGGTACTTATGCTACTCCCTTTCCTTATCTCGGGATATCTGAAACCGAAAATTTTAACTCTGAGAGTTGGTGGATATATTAATGACCGGGAAAAACCAGAGACTTAAAATTTTTGTCAGGTTGAGGTGTAGCATAACAGGATTTTTTCTTTTTCTAAGGAAGAGAATTGAAGAGGGAATGTGATTTACTAAAGAGACAACTCGATACTACAGCAATTTTCAAAGAATGGTCTGATAAAGTTTTGGAAAAATGCAAAACAACCACAGACAGACTTTTTTATGTTGAAAAACAACAACGTGATGGGAAAGTTATTTGTCGTCTTCGTGTTAATTATTCTGCTGATTCTATTCAAATTGCTAAAGATGTTAATTTTTAATGTTTTTTTCAAATTAAATTGTTTTTAGGTAAGAAACTTAAAGAATATGGGCATTCACGTTCCATTCAGAATTCTGAGTTATTCACATGGAATTAGTCAATATAATCCTTATGCAATTTCATTAATGGAATCTCTTCGAATTTATGAATCAACAAATGAAATTATTTTAACTCGTCCATCAGTTGAAAATTTGGTTGCAGGCCATAGACTTGAAATAAATGACTTGTTTCTTGAGGTTTGTAGTTGGTTCAACGTCTTATTCAATCTCACTTTCCTTATAAAATTTTTTCTGAGAGTAATTGATGAGAAAATCTAAAGTATTACAAGTGTTTCCAGCTTTATGAGTCAAAAGATATTTAATCTCTATTCTCGTACGACATTCACTGTCCGGGCTCTACTTTTTATATTATTCATAAACAGTTTCTAATGTAGATGGGAAGTTGGAGAGAACGAAATTGAAATCTTAATTTCTTAAAACATTCATTTTTAGGGTTACAAAACTGATTGGACCAATTTTAAACTTGAGTCATATGTTTGTAAATTTGGGGAGGCTGTGAACAATTTTCTTGAGAAAGTAACGGATCTGATCGAATATCTTGATAAGATCGATGTTGAGCTTGCTGCACTTGATAAATGTCGATATAATAAAGAAACAATTTCACAAATCATCGGGTCTATTCAAAAATCAATTGATCAAATGACTTTTAATGATTATTCTAATTTGCACAAATGGATTGAAGAACTTGATAAAACTGTAAGAAAATATAGCTCTTTTACTTCTAAATTTGAATTTTTAATTTTAGTTGGAAGCTAAGCTTGCTCGTCGATTAGAAGAAGCAATTCATGTTTGGACATTAGTTTTACAACAAAATCGTGATGAATTGGAGGATGAGAGGGAAGCTAACATTTCACCTAAAATAAATACAATATCTTTGGAGATCCGTATTGTTTCGCAGTTCATTACTCTTGTTCCGTCTCTTGAGAAGGCTAAATCTGATCTTTTTGACCAATTTTATCAATGGCATTCAATAATAACTGCACAACCAAGAATTTCTTCTCGTTTTCTGGTGATTTTAATTTTTATTCATTTTACTATTTTATTCATTTACCATTCTATCATTGGCATTCAAATTTCATATTATGAGAACGAGGGCGGTACGACAATTGCGGATACGACAATTACGGGCGACGATTGCGGATATAAAATTTTTAAAAAATTTAAGATTTTTTAAAGTTTTCAGTGCTACGTCAGTCTAAAAATGATTCAGGAACCATCAGAAGCCTGAAACTGATAGCCGAGACTAAAAAACGTGATATCATTTCAATCATTTGAAAAAATTTTAAAAATTTTTACTCCGCAATCGTCGCATCCGCACGTGCGTATCCGCAATTGTCGTAACACCAGAACGGGCATAGACTTATGTTAGGAGCGTTGAATATAATCAGCTTTAAAATATCAGACATCTCCCCCAAATCCCCTGATTTAATGGTTAAAAATGTTAGGGAATTAAGAGGAACATCGAGCGTATAATAGTTAAGTTTGAGGATGTTGATTAAAAAGACCTTTTTATGAAACAACCTAGTACTTATATAACTTTTAGACACTTCAACAAAATCAGGATCTTCGTACTTACAGATGTGTTCTTTTAAAACTTCCAAAAAAACAGCAACGACTTTTTGAGGCGTACAAAGCAATTGATGATGTTCTTCTTAAAACAAATGACTATGTTAAACATTGGACTCGTTATCAAGCTCTTTGGGACCTGCAACAAGATATTCTTTTTGAAAGACTTGGATCTGAGTTAACTAATTGGATGAAAGTATTTTTGATTTTTATTTTTCATTTTTCAATTTAAATTTTAGGTGATCTTGGAAATAAAAAAATCTCGTTCGATGGTCGATTCGCCAGAATCTCAACATAAAATATTCCCTTTCTCTGTTGATTACTCACGTGTTCAGTCGAAAATTTCCTCGAGACATTATTATTGGCAAAAAGAAATTTTGTCTGAATTTGGAAATTTTTTGGGTTCGTTTTTTAATGTGGCACGCTCCAAAACTGCGCAAAACTAATTAACTCTTCCAAACCAAATGTCTGGATGAAATCCGGGTTTTCAAACGTTCGTTAGTAAACTTGGACTGGGTCTATTGAAAAGCTCTCCAATTCAGGCACATTTTTAAAATATTTAACCTTTTTGGCCAATTCTGGTTTTATGGATAACCCGAAGTCCAAAACTTTCACCTATGGTGCTAATAAAATGATTAATTGCTTAATATCATATTGCTCCATTTGCGCGGTCTCGATCGCGCAGTTTTGAGCTGTATCCATCTAAATAATTGATAAATTTATCTTATTGTTAGGAACTTCAATGCAAGACTTTTTTGCACGTATTTCGAGTGCACGTTCTGAGCTCGAATCCCAAAGTATTGATTCAACCAATACAAGTGACACTGTTGCTCTTATTACTCAAGTACAAAATTTGAAAAGGCAAATCATTCCCTTCAAAAATAAAGTCTGTTTTAATATTTTTTAAGCTCTATATTTTAATATTTTAAGGTAAGCAGTTATTGTACGGGCCAAAAACTCTTAAATAATCATCGTTTTACATTTCCTCCGTCTTGGCTTTATGCTGAAAATGTGGAAGGTGAGTGGTCAGCATTAATGGATGTTTTGGAAATGAAGGATACTGCGATTCAAACACAGGTTTTTCTTAACTTTTAGCCAGCTAAAATAATTTTGTCTTATTTAAGATTACAAATCTTCAAACAAGAATTCACGAAGAGGATAAACTTTTAGAAAAACACATTAGTGATCTCATTAGTGAATGGAACAAATCTAGACCTGTAAAAGGAGCAATTCGTCCTAAAGATGCTTTAACTATTTTATCTAATTTCGAAGATAAGTTTAATCGACTTAAAGAGGAGCTTGAAAATATTGTGAAGGCCAAAAATGCGCTTGAGATTAGTGAATCTGTTGTTAGTCTAAATCAACAGGCAGCCTCAAAATTGGAACTTGCACTTGAGGAACTTGAGGATCTTTATTTTGTATTTTCTTGAACATGCCTTGAGTGTAAAAACCTAATCCTTTTTTAAAGAAAATTATAAATAGTATTTAATTTGTATTCAGAAAAATGGATAATTTTGAGTTTCATTCCCATTTTTTCCCCTTTTACAAAACTCGCAATGGTCAGCCCATTCTCGGTCTGTTTCCGTATTGCAATAACGGTCGGCAATTTTTTTTATCCGGAACGTTCTGACAAGATAAAACCAGATTTGACAATCCCTCATTTAAACCAGTTCGATTTTCTTAAAAATGTCAAAGATCTCATTTAATTCCACGGGTAATTTATTATTTTGAGCCTTTTTCGAAGGGGTAATAAATAGAGATGGATATTTGTCCATTTAAAAAATATGTAGAAAATAGTTTTTACAATATTTATTCAAAATCAAATTTATAATTTAAAGAAAAAGCAATTTAAAACAAAAGCAGAAAAAAAACATACAAATTAATACATAAACAAAATTAAACAAACAAAAAAAAATATTTAAAATGATGAATTTGTCAAGAGCGCCACTCCGCGCTGACTAAGCAATGCCTTATCAAAATTAACGGGAACAAAAAATAATTCAAAAAGGAACTGTGCACGATTTGAATACAAATAAACCGGAACAGAAACAACTTCCTTCTCCTTTTGCTTCTCCAATGTCCAAACAAATTGAAGTTTGTCAACTTCTGAGTGAATAGAATCTGTCAACTTTATTTTGTTTGGGGATTCACAATTAATTCCAACTGCTCGGAGGCCTAAAAAATTGTTTTTTTTTCAAATTTTAGTGGTTAACCCAACCTGTAAGTGAGAAACTTGTTGGCCCTTGCTGTTGTTTTTGTTGTTCAACACCTTTCCCAACCGCACGAACATGCATATTTAACTGTTCTAACGACCATCCATTAGTTTGTGCTACAAATTGTCGTGTTGCAGTGATGTAAGCTTCAGGGAAAAACATTCCTCCAAGCCAAATACTTTCCGCTTTCAAATTGTTAGAACGGGAAAGTCGATCCAATTGTTTAACACGTTCTTTCAAATCATTCATCCATTCATGTGCATCACGAGGAGTTGTATATTGTTTCCAGCTTTGGGGCACCTGTTTGCTTTTTACAAGTGCAGCAATTAATTCACGAGTGTGATTGTTCTGTTTGTGTTTGCCATCACATATTTCAAGCAATTCAATTAAATCTTTACGAATCTAAAATAAATTATGTAAATCTTTATTTCAAAAAAGAAATAACCTCATTAAGCAAACGAGAGCCCAAATTAATTTCACGCTCAAAGAACCGGAAAATTGGATCCTTAACATTTTCTTTTGTGCGACGCAATTTGCAAATCTCCTAAAAATTATTTAAATTTTGAAGTCATTTTTTTAAATTAAAGACCTTTGGAAATTCTGCCAACCAAGCTTGACAATGTTCTTTAAGAACAACCATCCAAGAAGGCGCTACTTTATTTTGTAAGGAGCTATCAATTTCGTCATAAGCAAGCTCATCATCTGACATTTTAAGCATTTTACGAAGCAATTCTTGACCTTCAATTTAAAAAATTCGTTAAAAATCTTTTGTACAAAAATAAAACCTCGTTCTGTTAAAAGAACTTTTTCTGCATTATTTGGAAGACCAATCCAACTCGGCATTTGAGCTGCTTTTATTTGATGAACCCAATTGATTAAACTATCCTTTGTTGAAGTTTCATCTGGTACAACTAATGGAGTAGAATTTCCATCAATATCTTCGATTAATACAAAATTGGAGTCAAAGAGACATTGAGTGAATAATTTATTTAGGAAAGTTTCCAGCAAATTCTATAAAAAGAAAATAAAAAATCTACTATTAATCCGAATTAAACCTGATCAAATCGATTATCAATTTTTCCACCATAAATACATTGTGACAACAATGAACGTAAAGCCAACCAAGGAAGTTTTGATGGTTTGACATTACTTCGTCCCTATAAAAATTTTAACTTAAGAATACTTCAACTGATAAAAATACTTGAGCAATTTCGTCGACCGATTGATCCAAAGTATCACAAGCAACACGAAGATCTGCATCTGAGAATTCATATGAATTTGCCCATCCAAGTGGTTGATATCTCAAACGTTCTTGAACTATTGCATGGAACCAACACAACAAAAAGTAAAGTCTTGAACGTTCAGCAGGATTTTTCGCAATTTTCTGAGGAGATATTGACGAAATTGAGCGCAATAAGTTCGCTTTTAGACCGGTAGAAGGCTCAAATACTAGAACACGAGAAGCCTAAAAATAATAAACATTATTTAATTGACGCAAGTTAAAAAAAACCTGAATCATTGAAACAGGTAATTTGGAGTTAATTTCAGCAGTTAAGAATAATCGGAAATTATTATGAGGCTTCAAATTATGCAACTTCTTTTCCAAATGTGTAAGCCAATCAGTTGCCAAATGAACATTTTTCAGTAACATCCAACGTCCATTTCTACTAGAAGAATCAAGTGCTTTGTCAGCTTGATCAAATCCTTCAGAAGACCCAATTGCAATTGAAATCATATCTTTATTATTCATTTCTACAGCCAAATCTTCTACGCGTCCAGAAACATCATAACCAACAGCCGAACATAAAAGTACAGGAACTTTGCTTTTAATCTGAATTTCAAAAAAAAATTATAAAAAAATCAATTTATAATTCAAAAAACAACCTCATGTTCGATAACTTCTCGAAGATTTAGTACTTTATCTTGAAGCATAAATTCATTACCAAAAGTTGCACAAATAAGCAAATGTGCAGAAGCAAGTAATCGATCTGGCCTCAACGTGTAAATAACAATAAATTCGTTTAGAGCTTTTGTAATTGCTGTAATTTTAAAACAAATAAAAATATTTAAAGATGTTAAAACTAACGATTTCCAAGCTCTTTAGTTGTCCATATTTCAGGAACAGAATTTTCTGGTTGATCAGATCTAAGCCATTCAGTCAAATCCTCAGTTGTAACAGATGTTTTAAATTTATCAATACATTCCTTAAATGCAGGCAATCTTGAAAGTGAAATAAGAGAAGCAATTTGGTGCTCATTTAATGGTGGAATGACAATTTGTTTTAAATTTTGATTTGTTGCACTTTTAAGCTGTAGCTTGGAAGAATAAAGAAGCAAATAATCAAATTCTTCTTCAAATTTGTTTGAGCTGGTACAACGCAAATAAATTCGTAACAAAAGAAGTGCCAACAAAATTTTATCAATGTGCATCATGCCATGAGAGACGCGTGAATATGTCAACTAGAAAAATAAAATTGTTTATTGTTAGTCTTGAATAAAAATTTACCGAAAACAAATCTTGAAGAATAATTGAAAGTCTTGTATGATGATCTTTTACTCCAGACAAACGCGGCGATTTCAATGCATTTGTGAATATATCCAAAAGAAAATCGAGTGAATAATTGTAAAGAAGATGAATTTCTTCCAATTGATGTAACATCATGTAAATGTAGGAACAAGCAGTAGCCAATTTGTTGTATTCTTGAGAAACACGATCAACCTAAAATTAGAGAATAAAAACCTAATGAACATCAAAAACAAAAACCTCTTTTATGACTTCATCAGTTTCAGAAGACTTCTTTTGTACTTCCTTTGCTTCATTTTTAAGTTTTTCCAACGTTGCAATAACTGAATCATCATCAAGAATTTTTCCTTTTGAATCATTGAGTGCATTCAACAAAGCCTTCTCCAACTGCCTAAGTTTAACAGCAAATTCTCCTTGTAATTTTAGTAAATTATTTCGCTTCTCTTCAATATCAGGACGTTCACTGTGAAGCACTTGATTGAGACATTGTAACTCCAAACTTGTTTTAGTAATAGTAAAGTTGACAAAAGTGACACGAGAGCAAACATCAGAAGGAAATTCAACCTTTAAAATAAAAAAGTATTTTAAGAAAAAAGTGAATAGAATACCGAAGAATCTCTTGTAAAAAGAAATATTTTGAAGGCAGGTGATAAATCAATGTCTTGATCTCCAATTGTGATAAGTACACGACCACTTGCTTTCTTGACTTCTCTGTTCAAGACTGGATTCAGAATTGGATCATAAGATTCAACATCCTGAACTAACAATGTAGTTCCAAAACGTAATGCTGACTCAAGTGTTTTTCTTAAAATAAAAATTTCAATTTATTTTTAGAAAAATTATAAAACAACCTGAAGGAATTATCATTAAAACTGGTCTTTTGAACAGTTATTTTTTGATCTCTATTGTTGGAAGAAAATTCCTTGCAAATGTAATCAATTGATTGTCCATTTGGATCAATGATAAGAGGGAAGCGGTTAAAGTTATGAAGCATTATTGCATTTTCTGTGCAAAGTTCATCCTTTGGCATTCCATTTGTATACCATTGTTGTCGCTCATCAGCAGTTGAAAGGTATTCAATACGAGCAAGCTCATGACGAAAGACAACATCGGCTGTTTGCAAAATGTTCATCCATTTATGGAATAATTTGTCTCGTAAATATTGGTCATAATAGCCAGAGTAAGAGAGGAATGCAGCAGAAAGAAGAACATCACCAACAAGAGTTGCATTTTGTTGACTAAATCCTTCACGGCTAGCTTGCCAACGGTCACATTCTACTCGAAGTGAAGAAAGTAGTTGAGTGCTTCTATCAACTTTCTTTTGCACAGCAGCAAGATTTTGCTTGATGTTTTCTGCTTCTGCTATAAGTTGGGCATATTCATCCTTAAATTATATTCTATTTTAGAAAAATATATTTAAAAAAACCTTAAGTTTTTGGATTCTTTCCTCTAATTCTTCAATCTTCCTTTTAACTTCTCCACCCGCATGCGCTTTTTGACTCGCATCTTGTTGAAGACGTGAAAGTTCATTGTTTAACGGCTCCACTTTGTTTAACATTTTGGCATAAGAAAGCTGTGCTTTTGACCATTTTACGAGTGGACCACATGCTTGACTGGCACGAAGAACCTTTAGAATAAAATGATAAATATAATGTATAAATAAAATCAGGAACCTTTTCATACTCCCAATCTGGATTATTAACAAATGGTTTCATTTTCTCTGTAATTTCTGGAGTAATTGCTTCTGTATTGAATTGAACAATTCTTGGAATAAAATCTTCTTTGACCAAAATTCCACGAATGTCTCTCCAGCTGCTAACTTTCTCACCAAGTAACAAACAAATAGCTTCCACAGCAAGTTGGACAGCTTTAGGTGGTGAAGCCATTGAACGAACCTCAACAAGTTGTTGTTTCTTTATACCCGAAACAGCACTTTTAGCCTCTTCAACAGCAGGCAATACCTTTAAAAATAAAAGAGAAAATGTTTTATAACGAAAAAGAAATCTCACATCAGCAAGTTCTTTTTCCACTTCAGCTTTCTTTATTTCAATCATTTTCTTCTCATTACGAATCTGTTCTTGTAAAGTTTCGGATTTTTTCTTCTCATTTTCTGCTTCCCTTTGATCAGCCAACATTTGTTGCAATTTTTCATTAGCTTGTTTTTGTTTTGTTCGTAATTCTTCACTTTTCTGACTCAATGAAGATTTTAATTCGGTAACTTCTTTTTCAGTTTCTTGAATCTTTTTCAAACCATTTTCAAGATGAATTTTTTCCTCCGTCAATTCCTAAAATAAAAATTTTAGTTGAAAAAACGAACTAGTTAAGTTACTTCACGTTTCCTTTTGAACAATGTTGTAAAGTGTTTAATGAAATCAAGATAATGTCGAGGTGTCACAGCCATTACACGATGACCTTTACGCGACTCAACATCATTCGTCCTTTGAACCTCGTTGTGAATATGAACAAAAGAGTTGACAACAGCATCACGATAATAAATTTCAGTAGGTAATCGATCACAACAATGTTCCATAGCAGCGGGCGGAACATAGTCAGTTTTATCTATTTCGAACATTGAAGTAAGTTGATCGCCAACTTGATACAAAGACGCATTTGACCAGTCTCCAAACCAATTTAATACACAACGATTGAATAGAGCAGGCGATGTTGATGCACGAGCACGAAGTCCATCGCCAGATGGGTTCATTGTAAAGACAATATGAAGGTTTTGAACAATCTTAAAATTTCAATTTTAATCTGCAAATATTTTATTTATCAACCTGTTGGGTAAACCATTTATATAATTCCTCTGGCGAGTCTGGCATCTGTCCTTGACGTTGAGCTCCTTCTTTGATTTGATTAAGGAGTGTGTTGTAATCATCGCCTTCAAAAAGTCCAGGAACTTCGCCATTTGCTAATAGTGTATTAAGTCGTTCCAAAAAGCCAGTTTCCAACATGTTTGACTCGTCCATAATGAAGCAAATTTGTTCACCTTTACAACCTGCTCTGCGCAAAACTAGCCGGACATCTTCATCAAAATCGGAACCCTTGTATTTCGAATGAACTTTGAGCTGAATTATGAAAATATAAATTTAAAAACAAAAACTAACTAAACCTGCACAACAGAATAACCATTCATCCAAGCAACAAATCGTGAAAGTGTTGTTTTACCAGAACCGGAGACGCCAATTAAAAGCAAATGTCCTTGAGGTTGACGAAATACGCGATCAATTCGAAGAAGATGGTCAAGCATTTGATCATATAAAACAATACCAACATCAATTTCCTCTTCATTATATTGCTTTAGACGATGAACCACGTGATCGGCGAGTTCTTTTTGTGAAACGGGAGAATATTTCTAAAATGTTAATGGTTTAAAAATATTTATAGTTAGTCAAACCTTTTTAAGCCAAGAGGAATAAAGTATTGGACGTTCAAGCGCTTCACGTAAATCACACGATCCAGCAAAGTATTTTCCAGCGATTTCATCAACTAAATCTTCAGTCCATTTTCTTTCTTCATCATAAACAAGTCGATCTTGGAAAAGACGAAGTGCTTCATGAGCCCAGAGACGAACTAAATCATTTGTAGTTATACTATCCATTGGTGCAATAGCTTCATTGATTCCTCGTACCCAACGTGTCAATTCACGAGGAGAATAAACATAATGTGGTTGATCATCTTGTGTAAAATGTTCCTATAATTTAAATAGATTATTAGGTGTCAAGTTGATGCAAAAAATTACTTGGCTTCGCTGATAAAATTCCACAATCGCATCTGTTAGAGGAACATCTTTTCCATGTAATTGTGTGATTGGTCGAAGCATTGCACGAGCAAATGTTCCATAAATTTGAATCAATGACGTTTCACCAGGATAGTCAACATAAATAACTGGGACATGTCGAAGAAATCTTGATGAAAGCGGATTTCGTCCAGGATCGGTTGGTGGGTTACATGCGCCAACAAACTGAATACGCTCCAATGAGACCCAAGATTTGTCACTTGTTCGGTAGAAACCATTCTATAAATTGAAAAGTAAATATCACTCAAATAAGAAAAAGAAACCTGTTCAACTAACTGTCGCATAAATGAAATAACTCGTTGTGTACCATATTTATCAAGTTGGGGTAAATTTATTTCGTCACAGAATATAACAAGCCAACGTGTAATTTGAATAGGTGAGAGAACAACACCATTTGGAGTTCGGCGATATTCACAATAATGATCGAAGTTTTTAAGAAGAAGTTCAGGAGTGGTGGAAGAAGAAAAGTTGACATTAATTACATCCATATCAGGGAACGACCTAAAATTTTATGATAAACAAGTACAAAAAATTTATTATAATACCGAAGTGCAGAAAGTAATGTCATTGTTTTACCAGATCCAGGAGGACCACACAAAACAAGAGGTTTCCTTTCATTCAACCAAGTATTTAAAAGTGATTCATGGCGAACAGTGTCCATTGTTGGTATAACAGTTGAAGTATCCACAATTTTATCTGATTGAATTTCAATTTGAGGGACTTTATCAGACCAAGGCGTCCAATCACCAGTCGGAGGAACATAGAAATCAATCAGCGGTAACTAATTAAAAATCAAAATTATTAAAATGAGGAAAAAATAAAACCGATTCATTTTGAGGTAATTGAATTGTTGTAGAGCTACGAACAAAGTCACTCAATGCTTTCCGAGATTTCCAATTGCCATCGCCGCTAAATGACCAAATGAGATTAATAAGCATCGAGCGTCCAATGAAATTTTCAATTTGTTCAGTCTAAAAAATATTTAATTGATTGCATTATTAATAAAAATAAGTTTTACGGTTGGTGGAAAATCAGGATGATCGGCATCATACTGCAATAATTGTTTTATTGAAAAATTCATCATTGAGAAGAATGACATTAAAAGTCGTTGTTTTGATGGATACATTATATGGTCGAGTTGCTCGATTGTAAAGTTCAATGCAAGAGGAATAAGCCCACCTCCCTTCATATGATCAAATAATAGATCAGCACAAATTTCTTGAAGTTTTAATGAATTTGAAGGATTTTCAGTAAATAAAGGAATATTTCGAAGTTGAAGATGATAACGTTCAAAAAGCATATCAGAAGTAACTACATCCTCACTGAACCAGACCATTCCACACCGCGAAACAGTAGCCATAGTTGCATATTTCAAATCAGCCACTTCGAAAATTATACGGACCTAAAATGAACAAAATATAGACGAAGCTTCTAATTGTAAGAAAAATGTTACTATTAAAACACAGAAATTTAAAAAAATAAATAGCTTACATTTGGTGGGATAGCAAGACGTTCTCCGTTTGGTAAGGTAAGAAGTTTATTGTCGTCAAGAACGGAGTTAAGATTCTCGACCCATTCTGGATCAACATCTCCATCAAAAATAATCCATTGTCGTCGGCTAGCTTCACCGCGAACATTGTCGACAATTCTTAAAATCAAAATAAAAAATATATATTTAACAACACTAACTTTCTAATAATATGTGTGAAGAGTCCATCAGTCCACTCTCTTGTATTGGGATCCAGAACACCATAAAGTGCATCTTTACTCATTGCTTTAGCATCAATAACATGTGAGACACCTTCTACATTTTCTAACTTCTCCAATGATTTGAGTAAGATTTTCCATGCCGATGATTTTCCCGAACCACTAGAACCAACAAGCATCAAACCGTGATTGAGATTTGTTATTTGGTAGACTTGCAGAACTTTCTCCATCCATAGAGATCCTTTTTCACCAACATCTGTTGAACAGCAGAAGTGTTCTTCAGTGGCAATTCGAATAATTTCATCGCGCAAACTGAAAGAAAATATATTATATGAAGTCATTTAAAAATTGTTTACGTTTCCATTGACTTTTGCTGATAATCAACTTCAGGGAAAACATCATGTAAAAGTGATTGTAACAAAGTAATATCTTCTGACACTAGTTTTGGAGTAAGTGTTTCACAAACAGATTGAATAAGAATTTGCTGCTCAGAAATTTGCAAGGAAGAAACATCGGCTTCCATATTGCTTTCATTAGTATTTTGTATTGCTTCACGCTTAATGTTTCCAGCAGAAACCAAAACATTTTTCAGTGCACGAAGGCCAAAATCATAGTGGCATTGGCTGGAAAGTTGTTCTTTGCAAAGACTTAAAATTTAAAAAATATTATAATAGAAAATGATTAAAAAACTCACGTAAATAAGAGAACAATTTTGTTTGAAAGAATTTCCGCAGATTGGAATCCTTGTGATGAAAGCATAACTTCAGCAATAAGCCCACTGTCAGGAGCAGTCATTGCAAATGAACGGAAAAGCTGCTTCAAATTATCTGGGAGATTTGAACGACCAGAATATCCAGGATTCATAGTGATAAAAATAGCCATGTTTTCATTGACGGTTAAATTCTTTCCAATAAGATCGACCTTAAATTTAGAATTAGACTTTGGTAAACTAATTTAAATAAACCTTCATGTTACCACCATTCCTTATAGTTTCTTGAATTGCTTGGATCTGTTGAGAGACTGCAGAAAGCATGCGTTCCTCCAATCGATTAAACTCGTCAAAACAACCCCAAGCACCAACTTGGCAAAGCCCAACAAGAATACGACCAACAGCCTAATATAAATTAAGAAAATAAAATAAACAAAAATTAACTTGAAAATCAAAAGTTTCATCACAGTTAAAGACAAGAACAAAACATCCAAGCTGATGACCAAGCGCTTTGACCGATTCAGTTTTTCCAGTACCAGCCGGTCCAAACGGGCTACCTCCAAATCGAAAATGCAATGCTTGAGTCATGGTAAGATAGCAACGGTCAGTTAAAGGAGTTTGAACAAGTTTTTCTTGAATTCCCAAATATTCAAATCCATAATAGAAGACAGCATTCGACATTTTTATAACACATTTTTTTGTATTTGCTTCGAAGTAAACACGCAAATTCTAAAAGAAAAGTAATAAAAACAATAATGTATTTTCTAATAACCTTTAACCAGTTGTAATCATTAAGTGTTTTGACCTCATTTTTAAGAAGATCCCTTATAATTCCCTTCTTGTGAATAAATGCAGTAATCTAAAAATATTATTTTAGAAAAATCAGAATAATATTAGTACCAAATTTATAATTTTCAATCTTGTAATACGAGGTTGATCACAGAGAACGCTATTAGATAACAAAGAAAGTAATTTCTCAACTAAACCAGCAACTTTAGACAAATTTTCACCATTTTTTAAACACATTTCAATGGCGTTCGTCCACCAAACATCCATTGCAAGATTAACGATTTGTGACTTTAAAAATAGTAAATTTTTGAAGTTTAGAAAAAAAGAATTATACCGGATATTCTTCAATCCAATTAATGTATTCTTCCATCTTTATTTTTTGAACATCATATACGAAAAATTTATTTAAAGAAATAGAAAGCATTTCTGCAAGTGTAGCTTGCATTTCACGCTCCATCAATCGAAGCCAGTCATTAATTTTGGAATTTTTAATCAAATCAATTGGAGTAGTAAGCAAAACAGTTTCACCTTCTCGAGAAGAAATTGCTTTTATCAAATTCTTTTCTGTATCATGTTCAACTGCCACAATTCCTAAAATATTTTCTTCAGAAAAAAAATAAACATAAAATACTAAACCTGAAAACATCTTTTTGAAATGCTTTTGTACGCGGACTAAATCCTTTGAATTGCCCAGAATTTCTAATAAATCTTCATCGCCAACAAAATAAAATCGAGGAAAAGAATTTCTTTCACGTTCCAAATATTCACCAAGTGCTTTTTGTATTTTTGAAAGTAAATCTGCCAAACGTTCAAGTATTTTTTGAGCTCCTTGTATATGAACAACTTCGAGAATACGTGGGGATTGTGAAACCTAAGTAAATGATTTATTGTCGGTAAATTTTAATTAAAATAACCTTTCGCATTAGGCCAAGAAATTCTGTTGAGACTTGATTGAATCGACTAGTTTCGGATGGAAGCAAATGAGCAATATCCGCCGATCCAGTAAAAAGACCTTCCAAATAAACCCATCTTCTTTGTACATCAATCCAAACATCAAATAAAGCATTAATTCTATTAAGTTTATCCTCCCAAGATAAAGCATCCTCCTCAAATTGTTTGTAGTAGGAAGACAGTTTCATTTGATTTAAACTATTCATGTGTTCTTTCAATTTGTTGAATAAATCATCCCATCCACGAATTAATCTAGTCTTTTGCTGATAACCAACCAAATCAAGAGTATAATCAGTCCAATAGTCTTTAACTTGTCTAATAAATTCTTCTAGTGCAAGTTCTCCTTGAGCTGTGAGTAGGACCTCACGTACAGCATGTTCATGTCTCTGAAGATCAACGCTCCAAACTTTTCCCAATGTTAATTCGGAAAGAACCCAATTAACGCCCATCTCCTTCATTAATGCTAAAAATAATAAAAACAATTTAAAACATATAAAAAAAGAAAAATTACTTCTCCAATGACGATCCTTTAAAGCCTCAGATTTTAACTCCATAATAAGAAGGTTCATCTAAATTGAAAGTAAAGTATGAAAAATTATATTTAGAGCAAATAAACAACCTTCAAGTAATTCTGCAAAAGACCTTTAACATGAGCATATGCATCATATTGTTTATAGTGAGAGGGAAGATTTCTAAGTTTACCAAGTTGTTCCTCCAAATTTTGACGTAATTTTCTAGGTTGAATAGAAAGCCAGGGAATTTCCTTTAATTCGTCCAAATTATTGTAGATAGGCAATAAAGATTTCCAAACGCCTTAAACATAAAAACCACTTTAAGAAAAAAACGAAAAAATACATGATAAATCCTCAAGTTCCTCAATTGCAAGCTCCAATTTTGAAGCTGATTGTTGGTTTATACTAACAACAGATTCACTAATCTCCAACGCATTTTTGGCCTTCACAATATTTTCTTGTTCATCTTTAAGTCGTTTAAACTTATCTTCGAAATTAGTCAAAATGGCCAACGCATCTTTAGGACGAATTGCTCCTTTTACAGGTCTAGATTTATTCCATTCATTAATAAGATCATTAATGTGTTTTTCTAAAAGTTTATCCTCTTCATGAATTCTTGTTTGAAGATTTGTAATCTTAAATAAGACAAAATTATTTTAGTTGGCTAAAATTTAGGAGAAAAACCTGTGTTTGAATCGCAGTATCCTTCCTTTCCAAAACATCCATTAATGCTGACCACTCACCTTCAACATTTTCAGCATAAAGCCAAGACGGAGGAAATGTAAAACGATGATTGTTTAAAAGTTTTTGGCCTGTACAATAACTGCTTACCTTAAAATATTAAAATACAGAGATCAAAAAACTGTTAAAACAAACTTTCTCTTTGAAGGGAATAATATGCTTTTTCAAATTTTGTACTTGAGTAATAAGAGCAACAGTGTCACTTGTATTAGTTGAATCAATACTTTGGGATTCGAGCTCAGAACGTGCAGTAGAGATATAAGCAAAAAAGTCTTGCATAGAAGTTCCTAAATTACAGTATTTATAAAACAAATAAAAAGATGAAAACAAACCCAAAAAATTTCCAAATTTAGACAGAACTTCTTTTTGCCAATAATCATATTTCATAGCGATTTTTGACTGAACACGAGAATAATCAACAGAGAAAGGGAATATTTTATGCTGGGATTCTGGCGAATCAACCATAGAACGAGACTTTTTGATTTCCAAAATCACCTAAAATTTAAAGTGAAAAAATAAAAAATTAAAAATTTTAGAAATACTTTCATCCAATTAGTTAACTCAGATCCAAGCCTTTCAAAAAGAATATCTTGTTGCAGGTCCCAAAGAGCTTGATAACGAGTCCAATGATTAACATAGTCATTTGTTTTAAGAAGAACATCATCGATTGCCTTGTATGCCTCAAAAAGTCTTTGTTGCTTTTTTGGAAGTTTTAAGAGAACACATTTATAAGTGGAAAACTCTTGATTTTGTTGAAGTGTCTAAAATTTATAATTAGGTAACTGAAAGAAAAAATAAAATTACTTGAAAACGAGAAGAAGAAATTCTTGGTTGTGCAGTTATTATTGAATGCCAGTGATAAAATTGGTCAAAAAGATCAGATTTAGCCTTCTCAAGAGACGGAACAACAGTAATAAATTGAGAGACAATACGAATCTCCAAAGTTATTGTATTTATTTTGGGTAAAATGTTAGCTTCCCTCTCATCTTCCAATTCATCACGATTTTGTTGCAAAACTAATGTCCAAACATGAATTGCTTCTTCTAATCGACGAGCAAGCTTAGCTTCCAACTAAAATTAAAAATTCATATTTAGAAGTAAAAGAGCTATATTTTCTTACAGTTTTATCAAGTTCTTCAATCCACTTATGCAAATTAGAATAATCATTTAAAGCCATTTGATCAATAGATTTTTGAATAGCTCCAATAATTTGCGAAATTGTTTCTTCATTGTAATGGCATTTATCCAATGCGGATAGTTCAACATCGATCTTATCAAGATATTCAATCAAATCTGTTACTTTTTCGAGGAAGTTGTTTACAGCCTCCCCAAATTTACAAACATATGACTCAAGTTTAAAATTGCTCCAATCAGTTTTGTAACCCTAAAAATGAACGTTTCAGAAATTAACACAAGAAAAAAGAAAACAGACCTCGCAAAGCAAATCATGTATTATAAGTCTATGACCCGCAACCAAATTTTCAACAGAAGGACGAGTTGAAATAATTTCATTTGTTGATTCATAAAGCCGAACAGATTCCATTAATGAAATTGCATAAGGATTATATTGACTGATTCCAACAGAATAACTCATAATTTTGAAAGGAATGCGAAAGCCCATGTTTTTTAAATTTCTTACCTAAAAATAAATTAATTTGAAAAAAAAAATTCAAAAGTTATTACTTCTTTAGCAATACGAATAGAATCAGCAGAATAATTAACACGAAGACGACAAATAACTTTCCCATCACGTTGTTGTTTTTCAACACAAAAAAGTTTGTCATTGGTTGTTTTGCATTTTGTCAAAACTTTATCAGACCATTCTTTAAACATTACTGAAGTATCAAGTTGTTTTTTCAATAAATCACATTCCCGCTTCAATTCTTTTCCTTAAAAAAATTAAAAGTTTGATTGTATAAAATTAAATTAAAAAAACCTTCAAGATGATTAACCCATTGTGTTCCCAAAACATCAGCAATTCTTTGCATATTCATATTAAGCTGCAACTCATTTTGACGAAGCCACATAACTTTAGCAGAAAATTCAGGTATATCATATCCCTCCACAACAAAAATTGCCAATTCCATCTTTTTTGGGTCAATAATAGTTTCTTGGAGAATACGAATATCTTCACGAACACGATCAATTAAAACAGCTTGATATTCTCTAATAGCAGTTTGAATATGAGGACGAACAAAAAGAGCATTGTAACGAGAAAAGATTGAAAACATATCATCCGCACTTTTACAGCTTCCAAGTTGATCACGAAGATGTGAGGCTAACTAAAATAAAAAGAAAAACAAATAAAGGAAGGAGAACAAAAAAAACAACCTGAGTTTCAATTCCAACGATATGATTTTTGTAATATTGCATAGAACTCTGCCAAGCTTGCTGACCAGAATGACTCAAATCAAGATAATTAACTTCCTTAATAGCCTCATATGCCTTGATAACCTTGAAATAAAAAAAATTTAAAGTAAAATACAAATCTAAAAAACCTCCTTCTCGGGATTTGTTTGTTTTCCAGTAATATTCCCAAGTGAATTTGCTCCTTTAAAACGTAAAACACGAGAAATAACATTGCTTAACTGTTCGTGCTGTCGTCTTAAAAATCACAAAAATATTTTAAAAAAGAAAAATTAAACTACCGAAAAGTGTTAAGTTCATTCAATCTATTCTCTAAATCTTTGTGACGATATTGAGTTCGGTGCTGAAATTTAACATCAGAACGTTGACGCTTTGCAATATCACGGAACATTCCTTGAATTTTGTCAGATTCCTCATCCCATTGAAACCAAATCTTCGAACACACAGCCATAACTTCGTCAAGTTCAGAAATAGGAGCATGCATAAGTAAACGAGGTTTGAGAATCTAAAAAACATTTAAAGATACAAAAAATAACAGAAAACACAACCTGAATCATCTGTTCACAAAGATCTGCAGAAATTGTATTGAAAAATTGCATTGCACGTTTAACAGGATATTTTGTATTGCGTAATTTCTTGAAGACATTGAAGATGTTTAAAACTGCCTGACGTAAAGAATCCAAATCAGAAGCACCCAAAAGTTCACTTAACGGCAAATCCTTCATCAAAACATTATAATCGATTGCAGTTGTCAATTTTTCTTTTAAACCTTTTTAATTTAGAAAATTAGAGTTATAAAGTTCAAAGCAAACCAGTATCAGATTCAAAAGAAGTCGTAACATGAAAACGTTTTCCTGCCTTTAACACATCAAGAGTAGTAATAACTTCAACAGAATCGTGTAATGCTGTAATTTTAACAAGAGCCTTCTCCAAATTAATCCAAAAAGTTGCTTCTTGTAATGCAGTACCAGATGATGGATCTCGATCCATATTTGTGACTTTTTGAATCGCTTTTATCCACTCTAAAACACCTTTTGAAAGAGAGCCCAAAAATTCGGGGTCTTGTCCAAGTTCTCCAAGATCTTCTAAAATACAAAAATAAACTTTTAAACAAAAATGAATATTTAACCTGGTTTGGGTTTTCGATTTTGAGATTTGGCAGCATCCACAATTTGTTGAATGTGAGGGTTGATCTGAAGGCACAACTCTGGTATTTCAATGTTTTGTTCCAAGTGTCGCAATGCCACTTGTAATTCATTTAAAGACTTTTCTATTGGAGACAATTTGGACTGATCACGATCAAATAAACGTTTGAAATGGCGAAATCCCTGCATCCATTTGGTAAGGTCTTTTTGGAGATTTTCAATAAATTCATTCGGTTCTTGAAATTCTGCAGACTCGTCATGATCCCGTGCAGACGTATTCGGTTCAAGTTCTTCAGCTAATTGATCAGCTGTAGTCATTTTAAAAAAACTGAAAATTTTTTAGCAAAACTTTTAAAAAATGAAAAAGCATTATGTTAAAGAACATTACAAAATATTTCAACATTTATAATGTAATGATTAGGGACAGCCAAAACATGCAAATGCATGTTTTGTATGCGGATATGCCTTGAAGTGGGAAGCTTAAAAATGGTGTTTTTACAACGGTCCTAGCACTTTAGGACCCGGTTCTTAATGCATATTTTTGCATATTTCGACCATTTTGTGCATATTTGCATATTTGTGCATATTTTGGCAAATTTTGCATATTTTGGTCCATATTTCGGCATTTTTTGACAAATTTTATTAAAAATCGACGAAAATTTTCAAAATTTTGGAATTTTTTTGGTCAAAAAATTTTTTTATAAAAAGTTTATGAAAAAATTTTTTCGAAAAATTTTTCGGAAAAATTTTCTTTCAATAAATTTTTATGCAGAAATCTTAATTCCATAAAATCTTTAAAGAATTCTCTTAAATTGCGGTTTTAAAGGCTAATTTCGTGTTTTAGACTTAAAATATTGATTTTTAAAGCATATTTTAACTATTTTTGGTGCATATTTCAGTGCATATTTTGGCAAATTTTGCATATTTTGGTGCATATTTTGGGCTTTTTTGGTGCATATATATGCGCATATTTGGCGATTTCCCGTGCATATTTTGGCTGTCCCTACTAATGATTGATTGACAAGAAAAAATTCATTCAATTTTATACGCAAGAGCGCGAGATCTCAGAAAATAGCAATGTGATAAAATAAAGCAGTAAATAAATAACTTGCTTAACAAAACAATTTTAAAAGTTGTCAAAATGTTTTTAAGGTGGTTTGGGATTTTAAAAGTAGAGACCGGACCGAGACGAGATCTCGAACAAAAATCTCGGTTATCGGATCGATCGTTCTCGCTATTTTTCGAGATATCGATCTTGATTCTCATATGACCCTCCCAGTCCGTTCTCTTTTCAAAGGAAGTCAATAAGGTAGAATATGTAAATTATCAAAAGTCATCAGTTTGGTTATAACAGTTTGGCAAGAATAGAAGGTAATCCAGCAAATTCAAGTAAAGCAGACAAAATTGTAGAAAGGCACATCACCTTTAAAAACATGAAATTAAAACTAAGCAAAATATTAAAAATTCATACTTGCATCCATTCATCAGTATTACCCAACCAATTCTCATCTTTCAATACTTCTCTAGATTTTTTGTTAAAATTTAAATTTTTTGGTTTAATTTGTTGTTGATTTGATAATTGTGTTTGACACTTTTCGATTAAACCCAAGCCATTATTTTGAAAATTTTGTTGATTAATTAGAATTTCCAATTGAGCAATCATCAAGTTTTGATTTTGAATTATTTGACGAATAAGCGCTAAAATATCTGCATAATCTTTAGTAGACATTTTACTAGAAAATTAAATGTTAAACAATTAGTTATCTAAATAACAAGGATGACCCCTTCCGCATTATTAAAGACGAAAGCGAAAAGGCCAACAAAGGACCCTACCCCCCTAATAATTCTGTAACAAGGAAAATACGAAAGCTTAAGACTCGTTGCTTTTATAGTAAATTTGTAAATAAAAACAACATAACGCCAAACAAATAAAATTAAGTGTAAATTCAAAAACAAGAGTTTATCAATCCACAGAAATCTTAACCTTCCGAACATTTTTTGTAAACTAGATGCGAAAATGATACGAGGAATGATAAAAGCATTATGAAAAACGAAAGCCAAACCTTCGATAAAAGTGAAAGATTTGCTAGATAATGGAAGTACAAACATCACAAGACAAAATTTAAACCTTATATATTTTAAAAATGCTTAAGTAAAAGAACCTAAAGTCAATTGAAGCACTAAAATGCTCACATATGAAATTGAAACACTTTCAAATTTATAATTCAAAATATAAACATTTAAACCACAAATTTTAACTTTAACCAGAAAAATTAACAATTTTTTTCAATCAACAATTTTACTTTACGTTTTATTTTCCTCCCTTCTTTTTGGAACTCCCGCCTTCTTTTCCACTTTCCTTCTGCTTGGGTTTTGCAGCTTCTTTTGGTTTAGCCTTGGATGGCTCATCTGCTTTAGGTTTTGGAGGTTCCTCCGGTTTCTTTGCTTCGGTTGGCGGAGGTTTCTGCTTCTTGGTGGCCTTTGGTGGTGGTGGTGGAGAAGGCGAAGCTTCCTTCGCTTCCTTAATTTGTTTTTTAAATCAAAGATAAAACCACTTAAACTTGTTCCCACCCCGTAAAGAGATCTACCCAAGCTTTAATTATAAACCTCTTCTTGAAGCTGTGGAGTCTTCTGCTTTTCGCTCTCAGAAAGTTTGTGGAGCAATTCCTTACGTTTCAAAATCAAACGCTCCTCACGCCTCTTTCTCGTCTCCTTGTTTTTGTTTCGGCGAGCCTCAGCTTGTTCACTAAAAATAGAAAGTTTAAATGCAGTCCAGGTCTTATAAAAGCATACGCAAGTTGTTTAGAACGCTGGTTCTCAGTCTTCTTTTTGAAGATATATTCCATAAGGTTGCGCTTATTCTTGAACGCATTTCCTTTGGCCTTCAGGTAAAGCTCGTGGTAAAGATGCTTGTCAATCTTCTTCGCAGCTCGATAGCGCTTTAAAAGATGGCGGAGTACACGCATTCGACGCATCCATAAGACCTTCTCAGGCATACGAGCATTTCGAGTTCCGCGTCGTTTTCCAAAACCCATATGACGACCCTGAAGTTTTCTAAGGTAAAATAATAATAGAAAAACAAAACCTTTCTGCGTGCTTCCAAACGTTCACGAGCTCGAAAACGCGAATGAACTTTGCCAGGCTTACGAATTATGAGCCCATCCTTGACCAAACGACGAACGTTCTGACGAGAATTCGCGTTGGAAATTTCATTGACCTCATTAGGATCCAACCAGATTTTGCCTTTGCCGCACTTGAGAACCGCGGCCGCCAAACGTTTTTGCAAACGAAGATTACTTAAAAACAATTCTTATAGAAATTTATCAATTTTCAATACCTCATTATGAATTCTAGTTACCAACAATTTTGTCTGAAATTAAAAAGAAATTAACGATTTGTATTATCTTTCAGCTACGAAACTAACAAAAACGATAGTTATTATACAAAATTTTTTAATGGTTCCTAAAAACCCAGCACCGGATTCAAAATCCGAGCTTTATCGATCGATATCCCCTCATTTAAACCGAAAACGAATTTCCGATTAATAACTAAACTAAACATCAATCCCCACATAAAACTCCAAGGAGAAATTCTTAAAATAAGGGTACAGCCCAAGTAGGCGCGCAGCCACAAAGGCGTAACGCCATAACTTGCTTCAAGTTTTCCGAATCTACCAAATTTAGTATTAAACGATTCCATTCATCGAGTTAAAGAGATTGGTACCAAAATTGATAAGGGCTAGCAAATTTTCCAGCAAGTTATGGCTTCGTGCCGTTGTGGCCTCGCGCCTACCCTTAAAATTATTGATTGAATGGAAGGGGAAGACATTACCATTTGAGTCATAAATTTTCCTTATTCTTTCAGATTTTTATTTATGTAATTTCCCACTTTTTGCCAATATTATGTCAGATAATTGTGCTTCAACAAAACAACCTCATTTAATGGAATTAATGAATCAAATGTGCAAAGAAGCTGGAATTCAAGACTGTCAACCTCAATTACTTTTACAGGTTTTCTTTTAAATTTTTTTAAATAAAATTTTTCTGTAGATGTGTGACATGGCCTATTCTCTTACAAAAAATGTTCTAGTAGAGGCTAGATCTGTTGCTGATTTTAGTGGGAAAAAATTTGTTGAAAAAAGTGATGTTGATTTTGCATTGAAGACATTCAGTTTGTTTTTTTCTTATTAAAAAAATTTTCTTTTCAACCCTTCTTTAGATGAAAAATATTGTAAAGATCGTCCACCTATTGCTTTAATGAATGATTTGGCACAAGAAAAGAATTCTCAACCTTTACCCCAAATTAGACAAAATTATGGACTTCGACTGCCTAATGACCGTTTTTGTCAGTTACAATCTAATTTTATTTATGACGATCTTCCTTCGACTTCAAATAATAATGAAGATGAGGATGATGAATTGAGACAACAAAATGTTTGTTTAAATATTTTTTGACATTTAATAAAATATAAAAATACTCGGGGTATCTGTAAAATTCTTTTTTTTCAAAATTTCTTTTTATGAGGGTTACTTTTTAAATACGAATATTCATTTTTTATTCTTACATGGGAACATTGTTTACTCTAAATGCGAATTTGCTAGATTTTTTGGTACCATTCGATAGAGGACCCTCGATTTACTATTGTTGTTTGCTTCTTGCAAAATTAGTTTGGGCCGAGTTATGGCCAGTCAAATTTTCAGTCCTTGGGATTGGTTGAGTATAATGATAAAAGCTGACAATAAGTTACGCTTTCCTAGTTTCGCTCTTCATATTTTAATTTTTTAATTTTAACAAGGAATATTATGTAATAAATTAATTCATTTTTAGTTAGTAGGGGAATAAGATAAACAGATTAATATTATTCCCTATACTTTTCACAAGTAAAAAATATAAACACTCATTTAAAAAATTTTAATTTTCATTTAGATTCAAACTTCCGAAAATTTCCCTAAACGTCAAAAACCAGAATCATCAACAAACTTTAACCCCGATCTTGTTGCCAATTTATTAATGGGAAGAACAAATAATGACTCGAGGAAGCGGGCTTTTCATGATGAAGAAAAAGAAGATAAGACAGAAGATTTTGATGATTATGATTGTTGAAAAAATTTTTGGTTAAAATTTGTTTTATTTTTTGCTATATTTAACGTAAATTTTTAAATAAATAAATTTATTTTTTATTAATTTTTAGTTGGTTTTACTTAATTTTTATTTTTTTAATCTTTTCAAATTTACTTTAGTTACTCAAAATTATTTTATTTAATTTTTATATTTAAAAGATCAAACAATGCAATCAATCCTCTTGAAATGTTGCACTGTAAAAATTCTCAAAAATGTCAAGGATGGTATAATTTATTCAAACCGGTTAGTTTTTGTTTTTTCTTTGTGAAAAACCAATTATGTAAGTATTATTGGTATAGGCTTTCTTTGAAGGATTTTAACAGGCACCACTTAAGCTTCAGGATAGATAAGGTTTTTGAAATAAGTCAACGTTAATATTTCTACACTTCGAGTTAATTTAGCTAGTCAAAATTTTCTTTTTTATAATTTAAATGAACCAAAATCGTTTTCGAATAAATTGACTGCCAAAAATATAACCTGAAAAACCGTGCCTTTAAAAAAATTTTTTCTTGGACCAGTTGTACAAACAAATAAATTTTTATTGGATTAAAATTGAAAAATTTCACACTCCACTTTCGATAAACCCTATTTTTTAAAAAAATGAAAATATTCCACCCTTTACTCAAAATAATAATTCTTTTAATAGTTTTACTTGTTCGACCTTCAGCAATTTTAACACAATTTTATAATGGATACAATTCAAATCAACCAACATTTAATGGATATTATCTTCCCTATTATTATACAAATGGACTTGGTTTTTGTTATTTACCGACTCCTTATTGTCTTTACAATTATGTACCTCCAAATTTTTTATGTAAGAATTTTGAAAAAATCTTTTCAACTATGAAATGGGGAGGGGGCAACAGCATCATCGCCAAATTTTTAAATTTTCACTATTTCAGATTTACGCTCACCTCCGTACACCCCCCCCCACCTTTTATAGTGTTGGGGCATTTTCGATAATGTGTGAAATAAGAACAGATAGCAGCTCATAGACAGGGCATTATGTATATTTTTGGCCCTAATTTAATAGACTAACTTTTATCGATCTTTCAAGACTGATAAAAAATAAGAAAACCCCACACCCTTCCTGATTTTCTAAACCCATCATTCGACTCGTCTCTACTTAAGACTCTTTGGATAGGCTAGCATTTGTTTATTCTGGCTCATATATAAATTTTCAACTATGAAGGGGAGGGGGGAAACAGCATTAGTTCCAATCTTAATTTTCACTTTTTCAGATTTACTCTCACCTCTATTGACACAACTCCTTAGCTCTTTATCTTTACCAAATTTGACTAATCTGTTCAATGCTTTGAGCGCCTCTTCTCCCTTCTCTCCAGGCTTTTTAAATAATTTGCGTTTGACAAACCCACCAATTTACAATGCTTATAATCAATTATATAATACATATGGAGCTATGGATCCAACAATGCAGCAAGCTGTTCAACAAGTAAATTTTGATTTATTTTTGATTAGTTTATAGTTTTCATTTCATCTGAAAGGTAATTTTCTGCCAAATAAATGTTATAATTCTGTTGTTACTCCTCTTTTCTACTTTTTCCATATTTTCCCCAAGACAAATGTCGAAACGTCTTTGGCTTTGGGTACACCCCAACGTACCGCGAGCCCAACGTACCGTAGAGCTATAACTTCGTTCAAAACAGTAAAATCCGGGTGCCCTGATATGGTTCGATTCAGCTCGTCGAGATGCATCGAACCATACCTAAGCGTCCCGGATTCGACTATTTTGAACAAAGTTATCCGCGGTACGTTGGCATGCTCCCTTTTGGCTTTTCATTCCTCGCATTTTTTATTTGCCAAAAAATTTTTTTCCAATATGGGGTTCGGATTTTAAGCCTGCCTATTTTAGTTCTGAACTTAAGAATTTTCCAATAATTTGACTGTATTAATATTTAATTTTTTTAGTTTTGTGTCGGGCTTCTTAATTCTCTACAAAATGGTGTTAGAATGTATAACTCTCAGCCAAACCCTTTATTTGATCAAAGCCATCCACAATTGGCCAATTTTCTCAGAAGTTTGTTTTCTTTAATTTAAACTTTTTAAATTAATTTTAGGCCCAGGTATGCAACAATTCGCTTCAAATCCTCTTCCAAATTTTGCTACTTCACAACAAACTCCTCAACTTCAGTCAGTTAATCCTGTTGTGAATCCATTGAATTCTCCTCTTCAACAACCACCGATTGTTCAACCAAACGGTTATAAAAATGATTTTTTAAAACTAATAGGGACTTGTCCAAAAAATCGTTTTTGAATTTTGTATGAGGTTTAAGTATTCTTTTTGATAATTTGAGTCAATAAATGTTTAATATTGTAGGTGGACTAGCAAATGGAGCCGGGACTGGAATTAATGGAAATGCTGGAGGAGGATTACTCGACGGTATTTTAGGCGCTGTTGGCTCTGTTGCAAACTCTGCCTTGAATAATAAATGATTGAATAAATATTGGGAAATGATATACATATTTAATTTAGTTATTATTTTTTCTATTTATTCTTTTAAATTTTATTAATTAATTCCTTTTTTTCCTAATTATTCATCTTGATTAATTTATATATTTTTAATTTTTTTTTCTTTTATTATTTCAAATTTTCTAACTGTTATTTTAAAGATTAAGCAATGCAACCAGTTCCGGAGAGGTTGCAATGTGAAAATCCGCAAGAATGTGAGGAATGGTATAACTTATTTAGAGCGGTTAGTTTTTTTATTTTTTGATAGATTTGTCTTAGGCTGTATTAATAGGCTTGTCTTGTGTAACTTTAAAAGTAAGTTCATTAATCCTCTCAAGCCGTAAAAATATTTGAAATTATTGGGCTACCCGGTTACTAATTGTACATCTTTCTGCACACGAATGCAGACCATCAGATGTAAGAGTAACTATAGTAAGCTGCTGGGCTATAGCTATTTCTCTTCTTTAGCTACTGCAAAAGGTTAATCGGCGGCTGGGAGCGAACCAGCATCTTCAGTAGACCGGACTGATGTGCTAGCCATTACACCACGCCGCCTACTGCATAGCCTTAGGAAATAAACAGCTATATGCTTTACACTATGTTTATATTGCTGCTGAAATAGACATGCGATTTACACAGTCTTTCCTTAGACGTCCCTGATTGACAAGATTTTGGTGTTGGTTCCCTTTCTTTATTTTAGGGAGATTTTAATTTCTAATGTCCCTCTATTTTTTAATTTAAGTTTGATATAGACAATGATGGTTATATACCTGCAGAAGAATTAAAATATTCTGTTCGTACAACAGCTCGTGCCTTTGGATTAGACAGAGAAGAAGCAGATTTTTTAATTGCTGGAATTGATTCAAATAAAGACAATTTTGTTGATTTTCCTGAATTTACTGTTTTGGTACTTTTAATTTAAAAAATTTTTTTTTGAAATTTTTTAGATGGCTAGAGCCAAACATTTACGTTTAAAAAGTGTAATGCTCTACGCTGCCCGTTCTGTCCTTCCTAGAAGTCAACAAACAGAAAAAATACGTTATTTGTTGGAATATAATTGTTGGCCGCCGCCTGTTTTTATGGCAAGTTTTTTTGAAAAAAAATTTTTTTTGAAAAATTTTTTTAAAGGTTCTGATTTCATTACTTCAAGTTGGACTTTATTTGTATAATGAATTGGGTATTTTTTAAAAATAAATTTTTAAAAGGCTTGTAGAAAATAGGACTTTTTAATCATCTCATAGAATTAACTGGGAAGCCCTAATTTTATTTAAAATTCATTTTTTTGGATTTTTATTTTTTTCGTGACTTAATTTATGTGATGAAATAAGCGGATTTACTTTGCGGACTTTTTATAAAATTTTAATTTTTTCAATTTTCAATTTAAGAATATTGTTCTCGTAATAATCGTTTTATGCCTGCAAAGTGCGCTCCAGTTAAATCTCCATTAATTTTGAATCCTTGCAAAAAGGAAGAAGTTTGGCGCTATTTTAGTTATATGTTTGTGCACGTTGGGTAATTTAAATTCATCTTTAAAAATTTTAAATTATTCCTTAATCGACGTAATCGAACAAAAACAAAACCTGATAAGGTTGTCTCGTGGTTAAGTGCATTATGCCTGGACTTTGTGTTGTATGGTTGAAGGTTTGAATCCGTTCGATGCCTAATAATTTTTAAATACTCCTCTAATTTGTATTTTTTCTTTTTTTTCAGTTTTGTTCACCTTCTAAATAATTTGGCAGTTCAATTCTTGCTTGGAATACCTTTAGAACTTGTCCACAAATTTTGGCGTATAGCTTGTCTTTATTTTCTTGGAGTTATTTGTGGAGCTTTACTTTTCTTTGTTTTTGATCGTGATATTTATCTTGCTGGGGCTTCTGGAGGAGTGTAAGTAAATTTTGATTTAATTTTTTTTATTACTTAATTTTTTAAAGTTATGCTTTGTTATCTGCCCACATTGCTAATGTAAATTTTTTTAATATTTTTTTAAGTTTCTTCCTCTAAAACCCCTTAAATTAACTTCATCAAAAATTCATAAAAATTCAAAAATAAATTTTTTCTTTGCTTTTATGGTTCCAAAACAAATTTAAAAACTACCTGTTAATTTTATTTTTCAGTCAAAAAATTGAACGAGAAATATTTTTTCTGCTAGAAAATTTTTTTTTTTAAATTTAAGGGTATTTTTCTTCAAATTATTCACTCAAAAAATACTTTCAAAATTTATTTTTTAAAAAATTAAAAAAAAATTTCATTTAATTAGATAATAATTAATTGGAGTGAAATGGAATTTAATTGGATACGTGCAGCAATTTTTGGAATTTTTGTTTCGTCAGATATTGGAGTTTCTGTTTATCAACGTTATTTTTCTTCAATGCCAAATAAAGTTTTTTTTTGGAAATTTTTTGTTTAAAATTTTTATTTTAAAGGTTTCTTATATTTCCCATATTGGGGGCTTTGTTGCTGGCCTCTTCTTGGGAATTGTTTTGTTACGAAATTTACGTAAACGAAATTGGGAGAATTATGCTTGGTGGACAGCATTAACTTTATTTTCTCTTTTTGTTTGTTCGAGTATTGTAAGTTTTCTTTTAAATTTTTTTGTTGGAAGGACACTTCTATTTTTTCCTAAATTCTTTTCTTGGTCCTTGAAAAGAATTTTTATTTTCATCGTCCACATAAATTCTGTGATCTTTTTATGGACATACTTAATTTAAGTTTATTTTTCGCCGTTGACTTTTCTTAATGATAAGATAAAGACCAACTCTTGTTTGGTTCTTTCCTGTTATGGGGAAAAATATAAAGAAAAAAAATAACAAAATTTTACTTTTTTTCAAAAGATTGCTACGATCTTTCAAGAATTGACAAAAGAATTGCCTTATATTTGCACTGTTACTTGAAGTGAATTTTTGGATTTTTTTAAATAAAATTGATCTGAAAGGGATTTATTTAAATAAATATACACTCCATTTGCAATTAACAAAAACATTCTTTTGGATTTTAAGCATATCTTAATATTTCTTACTTAATTATTGTTAACTAAATTCTGCCTCCTTATTTATTCTTTTAACCCAGAGACTTGTGATTTTTTAAATTTTTTATTGAAGGGAATAAATTTTTTTTAAATATTTTGTTAAATATTTTTAATATATATCTTAAAAATCGTCAAAATTTATATAAAAAATTAACACAATCAACAAAAATTAAATTTAATGAGCATTTTGTAGTTTTTCGTCTTCCCTTTTCTCTTCTAAGAAAATAACATTTTCGCTTAACTTCCCATTTTCTTTCCTTTTGTCTTCCCTTTTTGTTGGACGTATTACTCTACGACATTTTTTAATAAAATTTATAAAGGGACCAGAATCAAAATCGTCCAAATCTTGTGGTAATGATTTTCCAACTGTTTCTGGTGCCATCATCTAAATTAAAAAAAATTTTTTTAAAAAGATTTGAATGAAATTTGGATATAATTTCCATCGAAATTAGTTAAAGTCTCGGGGATTTCTCAATTTGAAGTACTTTTTTTAATTAGATTGACCACGGGGTGAGGGGAGAAGTCTAAGCAAAAGCCTCCAAATTCTAAATTAGGGTAGCATCCCAAGCCTTCGGGACGGGAGTGCAGGGTTTCGTGGTTTGCTGGGGTAGGGCCTTCGGGGTTCGGATTAGAGTTTTTGCCTAAAAATTCGTCGGGGTTTCGGAGGACGGGATGCTACCCTTTATGGAAGTTGAAATCGAAACGTGTGAAAAGAGTGGCGGAATTATTAAAATTTAAAAAAATCACCGAAACCAAAACAGCCAAAATAGACATTAATGCAATTATTCCTTTTTGTTTATTTTCATCCCCCTTAAAATTTCAAAAAAAAATTTTCAAAAAAATTTTTTTCTTCAATTTTTACAATTCTTTTCATATAAGGAGCAAGTACAGATCCAAGTTCCCCAATTGTAGAAACAAATCCATAGCTCATATTTCTTATTGTTGTAGGTGCCATTTCGCTAAGTAAAAGAGGGGCGGATGCCCAAGCTACAGTATTCATTACTTTGGCAAAGAGGGATAATAATAAATTTAATGTTGTTCCGCCTAGGAGAAGAATATTAAAAGTGAAAACAAATTATGATAAAATTAAAAACTCGAAACACGAAAGTTGAAAACGAAACACGAAATTCGAATCCTATTTATTAAAAAATTCTAAAAATCCTGAAAACGAAACTCGAAATGCGAAAGTCCAAAAAATTCGAAATTCGAAACATTTCAACAACTCGAAACACGAAAGTCGAAACACGAAATACGAAACTCGAAGGTCAAAAAATATTCGAGACTCGAAATATCTCTAAAAATAAACCCACGTGGAGTAAAAATAGTCAATCCTAAAGATATTGCTTGTCCAGTTAAAGAAATAACAGTAACTGTTCGCCTTCCACAAATCATTAATAAAATCATAGAAATAATTCCAGCGGGTATTTCGACTACCGCAGAGAGAAAAAATCCAACCATTTTATTTTTGTGTAAATCAACACTATATAAAGTTAATGCCCAATAAAGAAAATTGAGAACAATACTGGAAAAAATAAAAAAAATTTTTTTTGAAAATTTTTTAAAAAAATTTCCCCTTACAAAATATAGCAATTCAGCGTTAAATGAAAAGTAAAACTTGGCCTTCTAAAAAGATCAAAAAAGTTTCTTTTTGGGGGCGTTTTTAATGTTTCTGATTTTTCTTCTGTTTTCTCTTCTAAACAATCAACAACAACTCCATTTTCAATTATTTGTTCTGTTCTGCATATATTTAAATTTATATGTGTTTTGTTCATTTTAGACGATTTTATTATATATTTACGTATTTCTTCTGTTTTTTTGTTTGCTATTAGCCAATGGAGAGATTCTGAAAATGTTTGGAAACAATGTTTTAAGTTTAAACATGAGATTTAATGTTCGTGAACATTTAAATGTTTAGAAAACTTTTAAAGTTTCCAACATCTTAAGTTTGTAAACTTAAGTTCTTATGAATGTTCGGGGTAAATTCTGTTTTTGTCTTGTTTTGAAGATGTTGAGAACTAATTCTGATTTCGTGTTTAATGTGTTTGTTTTAAATTTTCTCATTTAAACATGTTTGGATTTAATTCTGATTTCATTTAAAGAATGTTTGGATTTAATTCTGATTTTATTTAAATAATGTTTGGATTAAGTTCGGATTAAATTCTGAGTTTACAACCTGGAAAAACTTTATAGTAAACAATAGAAATTAATCCAGGAAACGCAATAAATAAATATAAATAACGCCAATTTTTAATATAATAATGATGAAGAATTCCAACAGAAAAAATCCCAAAAACCTTTAAATATTTAATAAAAAAATTAGTTTTTTTTATATTTTTACCCAAATTAAAGCATTTAATAATGCCTGGATTGACCGAAAAGAACCCGCAACTGCCTCAACTGTTATTACAAAACCAACTACCATAACAGCCTAAAAATGTTTTTTTTGTATTTTTTAAAAGAAAATTCACCGCTCCACAAGCACCCGATAGAAAACGAAAAATTAAAAACCAAATAAATGTTGGGGAAAATGCACAAGCAATAGTTAGGAAAATAATTATCCAGAGAGGTATTAAAAATGTTAGTCTTCTTCCATAACGGTCTGCCTTAAAAATACAGAGGATAAATTTAAAAAAATATTTTTAAGACCAAGTAAGTTGAAAAAGGGGCAGCCATAAAATTGCCTAAATAAAAAAATGTTTTAAAATTATTTTTAAAAATTTTAACCAATCATAAAAACTCCGTTAGCATGATCTAGAATACCAGAAGACTCGCAAGTAATTCCAAACTATTTTTAATTTTATTTAAAAATAAAGCATGTATCTTTCGCTTACTTCGTCTGCTAATGATATGTATTTGTCTGTTGTGTTTGTCAAATTAGTCTAAACAAGAAAGATGTTTTGTATCTTGTTTTATAAATAAATTAGAACAATAGTAAAATAAAATCAGAATTAATTCTCAACATATAAAAACAGAAGGAATTTAATCAGAATTAAATTCGAACATGTTTAAAAATAAAAAGAATTAAAACAAACATATCAAAAACAAAATCAGAATTAATTTTCAACTTTTCAAAACAAAACTAAAACAGAATTTCACCGCAACATTAAATAAAATCAGAATTTTATTCAAACACAAAAAATAATTCTTAACATCATATAAACAAAATCAGAATAAAATCAAAACATCTTATAAACAAAATCAGAATAAATTTAAAACATCTTAGAAACAAAAACAGAATAAATCAGAATTAAATCAAAACATCTTATAAACAAAATCAGAATAAATTTAAAACATCTTAGAAACAAAAACAGAATAAATCAGAATTAAATCAAAACAGTTTAAAAACATAATCAGAATAAATTAAAACAAAATAAATTTAGTAATATTTAATTCGTACATTAATCACAGTTAAATTAGTAGAGCATTTATCTTCGGGAAACTCGCCAATTAATGAAATTCTGAAATTTAAAAAACAAATAAATTACTAAAATAGAGAAAAAACATTGTTGTGAGGTAAGAAAAAATATAAAAATTAATTGAAACCATTGCATAAACAAAAAGCTACAAAAAACAAAAAAATAAAAAGAGATGGAGTAATTTAATTGACCTGATAACGGCCATATTTTCCAAATTGATTAAGTAATTTATCTGCATCTAAATTTTGTAATAATAATTTAGCAGAATTTCCAATTACAAAATCATGAACCATTTTTTAAGAGGAGAAAGTATTAAGGGTGTTTTTGGGGTGTGAAGTAACGTTGCTTAAAAATTTGTAATTTAGTCAAAAAATTACCTAAAAATGTGAAATTTTTTATAGTGGCAGTTAATAGTGTTATCTAACTTGTCTAAAAATTTCAGAATTTTTGGTTCAAAATTAACAGAGTTATGGCCAAAAATGTTAGAATTTCGGGTAAAAATTCTGAAATTCTGACTGAAAATTCTGATAAAATTCTGAAATTTAAAAAGAAAAAATTCTGAACTTTACAGAATAGTTAGAAAACATAAATTAAATAAATCAGAATAAAATTTCAGAATTTTAGGTGTTTTGTGTTTAAGTTATAGGCAATCAATCAAGCTTTGTTAAGCTTAATAAAATTCATTTTTGGAAAAATAAAATTGATAAAAATTAAAAAGAAGGGAAGAATAATTTAGAGGTGTAAAATTCTAAGAAAAAAATTTTCGATAAAGGTATTTTTTGCTAAAAAAATTTTTTTGATAAAGAGAATTAAGGATTAAAGAACATGAGAAAGAGAGGAAAGAGGGAAGAGGAGAGAAAGAGTAAAATTAAAAGAAAAATCAGAAAATTTTTATTTAGTAGAGATAAGGAAATTTTTGGAAGACGAAAATAAATATTTATGTATAGACTTTATTTATTTAATCATCAAAAAAGAGCATTATTTTTTAATCACAACACTTTTTTCTATCACTAAAGTAAGCTTATTAAAGAATTTAGACCGACAGGTTTTGGACAATTTTAAGAGTCACAAGACACAAAATGTTAAGAATTAATCAAAGGAAAGGTGTAAAGAGTTTGGGTTAAGTTTAAGAGATTTTGTTTCTTTTCAAAAATTTTTTTTCCAAGATCAAAATAAAATTAAAAGAAAATCCTCTTCCTCCTGCTTATTTACCTACCTTATCTTTCGTTTTCTTAAAAATAACCACTTCACTAGATCTATTTACTACAGGGTTTCGATATCTGCGGATTTTTCCTCATTTTGTGGTTTTTTGAAGAGGCGATGAGGATTATTTTTTAAAATGCGGATTTGCGGATTTTTGTGGTCTTTTGAAGAATATGAGGATTTTTTATATTATCTTGTGGTTTTTTGCAAAAATGTCATTATTTTTCCGCTAAGACCTTCTAAAATCCTCAAAAATATCGCCTGCGGCGCTGAAAATGGAAGAAATCTGGCTTCTTGGCCTTCCAAAATTCTCAAAATTTTTGCCTGCGGCGCAAAATCGAAGGAATCTGTGTCCTTGATCTTCCAAAATCCTCAAAATTTTTTGCCTGACCTGAAAATGAAAGATTTTTGGCTTAAGGATCTTCCAAAATTAAAAAAATTTTCGCCTGCGGCGCTGAAAATGGAAAAAATAAAAATTTGCGACATCTTCCGCGACAAAAATGCAAGTGTAATTTTTCAGATAGTTGTTGGATTTTCATATGATGATCATTAGTAATTAAAAATTGCTTAATTCAATTGTATAAGACGAAAAATACTATGCATAAAGTTATTTTAATTCAATTTTTGTGTTTGATAATTTTTTGCGGATTTTTGATATAAAATGCGGATTTTTTCGAGCAAATTTGCGGATTTTTAAAAATTCGAGATCGAAACCCTGATTTACTACATTTCAATTAAAATTCACCTACTTCTTTTATCTTTCCCTCCCATACTACAAAAGAGATAAAAAATAGAGTGGACTAAATGCAAATTTGGCGAAACGAAAATTTTGTAAAATTGGTTAAATGTCTTGAATTATTTAATTTGGTGAAATGAAATATTTGTGCCCTTTAAATTACAAAATGTCAACTCCCCATAATTTCGAAATCCTCTTTGCTTCTCTTGCAAAACGTGGTTTTTGTAGTAAAGCTTTTTCTATTTGCAAATAATTTCTAACAAATTATATATCATTTGAAAGCTTTAAATGTGCTTTTTCTTTTTGCTAAAGAGATGGAATAGATTTGATCATTTTATAAAAAGTTAGAGTCTGTTAAATGCAGGTAATCGTGATTTTTCGTCGTTTTTGGCCGTAACTTTTTGTGGAGTGATCGGATCTGAACAGTCTCTTTTGCTAAAATAATCTACTCAATTAGAGCTTTCGATTGGTACAAAAATTATTTAAAATAGTTAAATATACAAAAAGTTATGAGTCAATAAATCCTTCAAAATTCATCATTCTAGACTCATAATTCCCTCTTTTTTTGTTTGTTACTTTGTAATCTTTTTTTAGTTGTTTAACGAATATTTTTAGTGTAAAAATAAATAAATCACGTGGTGGCTTTCGTCAGTTTCAATGATTAATTTACAACGTAATTAATTTTTAAAAAGTAAACAACTAATGAATTTATTATTTTAATTAATTATTTTCTACAATTTTTAAAAATTTTTTTTAACAATTTTAACAACGAATTATTAACACAAAAATGGTTTTAAAATTAAAAACGAATTCAATTAAAGATGATTATGTAATTAATCCAACGGTAATTTAAAATTATTTTCCGTTAAAATTTTATTTTTTAAAGGTTCTAGGCGTTGGAATTAACGGAAAAGTAGTCGAATGCGAAAACAAAGCGGGCAAAAGATTTGCTTTAAAAATCCTTCGAGATTTGCCAAAAGCGAAGAACGAAGCTGAATATCACTTTCAATCTTGTTCTCATCCAAATATTGTTAAAATATATGATGTTTATGAAAATTGTTATAATGGAGTTAAGTGTCTTTTGCTTGTTATGGAAAGAATGGACGGAGGGGAATTGTTTACTAGAATTCAGGTTTTTTTATAAAATTATTTAACAGGTTGGAGGGAGGGGTTTGTAGTATTTTTGTACCTGACATGTTTATTTTATGTATATCAAATTAATTTAACAAAATTATTTCAAATGGTCGGTGGTGTAGTGGTTCAATTGTTTGATTGACCTCTTTAATAGCCAGGTTCGAACCTGCTCTTGGGCAATTAATTTTTATTTTGTCCTAAATTCATATTAAATTTATTTTTTGTATCCATAATATTTTATTTTTTTATTTCCAATTTTTTAGGAAAGGGCAGCGTCAGCATTTACCGAAAGAGAAGCGGCCAATATAATTTATTCAATTTGTTCAGCTGTAGGGCATTTACACCGTTTGGGAATTGCACATCGAGATATTAAACCAGAAAATCTTTTGTATACAGAACCAGGCTCTGATGGGGTTTTGAAATTGACAGATTTTGGTTTTGCTAAACGATCTGAAGATGGAGAAAAATCTTTGGTTTTTTTTTAATTTTTTGGGGGGTTTTATTAATTAAGAGAGGGAATCCTCCTCCCCTTCATCTACTCTTTTGATTTAATTTTCTAAAGATATTACAAAATTAGTGATGGAATATTTTTGAGATATTTTGCTTTACGTTCTACAAATCAATTTAACCAAACCTTAATTTTTAAAATTTTATTATTATTTTTTAAGGTAACTCCACTCTACACACCTTATTATAGTTCTCCCGAAGTTTTTAGTTCTCAAAAATATGATAAAGCTTGTGATATTTGGGCAATTGGCGTTATTTCTTATATTTTGTAGGAATTAATTTTATTTTTTTCATTTAAAAAATATTCTTTTTAAGGTTGTGTGGTTATCCGCCTTTCTTTTCTACACATGGGTATGTTTATTTTTAGTGGTCCAACGAGAGTTCATGAGTCCGAACAAAAATAAAATATTTTTGAGAATTTCTGTTGTTATTATGGAAAAGGAGAAGCGTAATTTGGAAATTTCTTTAATTGTACCATGAGGAATCCTTTAATGGTACCCGTTTTAACATTCCAAAACGACCAAACTGTACCAGAGCCGATTTTATTTAACCTTTTCCGGCATTAAAATCTCCTCGATGCTTTTTAAATTTTAAGAAACCTTTTAATTTTTAAGAAACAATTTATACAATATATTACATTATGTACAATAGTTATAGATGAGGAACAAAGTTTGTGTTAAGACACAAGGGAAAAGTACAATTTAGATTGGAAAACAAATATACCTATATTTTTTAGTTATTATATTACACACACACATATATATCACAACAATTCTATATATCCATATTACTTCGCTTTTGGCGGCGGTGTGTAAGCCCGAAATGCCAAGAAATCGTCACTCTTTTCATTCAGTTTAGCTCCAAGTTGCTGCGGCAAAAGAAGGACATCACCCTTTTCAATCTTTTCCTCATTGCCTTCATTTGGGAGTATTGTGGCAGAACCGTTGACGACTATCAAGATTGAAGCAGCGGCGATTGGCTGGACCACAGAGACTTCCTTCTGAAATTTATTTAAGTTAGAAGACTTTTTCAAAGTCGTACAAAAATGCCGCTTACATTCAATTTGTGGACTGCAAATTCTTGCACTTCAGGCGAATATTCATCTACACCGTCAGCCAGATGTTGCGGCTCAAAAATGGGCGGCCCTCCCATTCGATAGGTGAGGTTCTCACAGAACAAGGGGATGTTTTTGAATTTTGGCGTGAGTCCAGCGCGAACAGTGTTGTCGGATTGAGCCATACATTCAATGCAATCTGTTTAAGGGTAAAAGATATTTTATGGTTTTTAAAAAGTTACTCACCTCCAGACAAATATGAATGTGGTTCATTTGGTCCGAGGAATGTCGCTTGTCCAGGTTTGAGCTTGACGTAGTTAAGGAAGAGCGGAGCCAAAATCCCAATGTCTTCAGGAAAATGTTCGCTGAGACCCATAATCAATTCGTCTGTCTGTGATCGTTGTTCCTCTGAAAAGGAACAAATTTTATAAATGGAAAAATGTTGAAGTACTTACTCAGAAAGATGTCCGAAAGAAGTTTTGTGAGCAAAGTCCCAATCTCTTCTGGCGGAATAGTCCAGATCTGTGTGAAGATATTCTTTAATGCACCCTTCTTCTCCTCCTCGTCTGTAGTCGCGCCGAAACTTGACAACACCTTTTCACCTATCAATTCAACAAGTGCCTCATGTGAGCGAAGATTGTTGAGAATTGTGTCCGGCATCTGGAATCCGCAGAGAATCTCGAAATTCGTTAGAGCGATCGTTAGCTCCGGTTTGTGGTTGGCATCTGGATAATTGGTTTGATCAGCGGCATGGAGTTCTCTGGCTTGTTCCTGTCAAAATATAACAAAGATTTTTTTAAACTACAAAAATCCAAACCCGCGTTGGATGCAACTGCAAAGACAAGCATTTGCCAACAGAGAGCACTTTGAGCAGGAACTGAAGACCGACGCCATCCCTTTCGTGTTGCCCGAGAACATCCGGATGATCCCTGAAGTAGTCTGCCAACGGAATCCGTGCTTCACCTTCTTTCACTTGCGATGGTCCTCTTGCATGCGTGCCCATCCACAACTGAAATTTAAAAACATGAAACATCTCTCGTCTTTCTCCACAAACAAACCTCCGCATAAAACTCGTCCTCCTCAATTGTATCCTTTCGCAGCTGGGCCACAGTGCTTTCAGCGCCTTTTCTGCCCCATTGGTAGTGAAGAGCCTTGCAATCGAGCCTCTTCATGACGCTGTTACCTTGCGAATTGAATAGCGAACGATGGCTAAAAATAAAAAATTTAGAAGGTTAGTAGACGCCGCTGATAAAACTCACTCGAATAACAGGAGAAGCGTTGACCAACGAGAACAAGAGCGGCTGGAAAGTAGCAGTAGTCGAGTTGATTTGAAGATGATGCAAGCAAAAAGAATGAGCTTTTATAGTATCAGCGGGTACACATCAGTTCGGCGCGCACGTTTCGGGGCCATTTTTTCGGCGCAGCATGTTTTTTGGCGTTTACGGAAAAAAATTTAATTATACAAATTTAGCTCATTCGAAAGAGCTCCTCGAGCTTAGGTCGAATGACATGTGTGTCCTGTATTCAGCATTTGTCCCAAAGTCTGGGTGAGTCGAGCTTTATGCTTGGAATATATTCCACACAAAGCCTAACAGTGTGTACTTTTTTGGAGGATAAGAAAGGAAAATGAGGGCGGATAAACGCATGGTACCCTTTTCCCTTGTGTCTCAACATAAACTTTGTCTATGAAAATCAAGGATTAGTCCGGGAATGCTTCTTAAAATTTTTTTTTAAATTTAGCTTGCCAATCTCCCCTGGAATGAAAAGTCGAATTCGCAAAGGTGAATATAACTTTTCTGGAACAGAATGGACTTTAGTTTCTGAAGCAGGTTTTTCCTTTTAGAATTTTCTTTTAAAAAATTTTAATTTTTAAAGCAAAAGATTTAATTCGTCGTTGTTTAATTACCGACCCAGAACAACGAGTAACTATCGAGGAACTTTTAAATCATAAATGGCTACTACATTATACAAAAAGTCCGACAACGCCTTTAACTACAACAGAAGTAATGAGTGATCGTGGACAGGCTGTAAATTGGCCTGATTTTTCGGTTTGGAATTTTTTGAACAATTTTTTTTTGATTTTTGAGGGGGAGGGTTTAAGAGGGTATAAAATTAAAAAAATTTTCAAAAAAATTTTTTTGTAGGAAGAAATGGAACAAGCATTAGCTTCAATGAGAGTTGATGATGTCCATATAAAACATATTAATGAGGCACAAAATTCTTTATTGGATAAACGCAGAAGAAAAGCAGCTGCTGGGGGAGGTGTTGAACAAATTGCGGAAGCTGATTAATTTTGGAAAGCAATAAAATTTTAAAGAAGTCTTTAGGTTGTGTTTTTGTTTAATTTTTGCCCAATTTTTACATACTTCTTTTGCTGCCATTTTGTGAGTGATTTTTTAAAAATATTTTGTGAAATTTTGTGTTTGTCTATTTTTCGATTATTTTTCTGTTAACTAAAAATTGTTTTTAATATTTGCAAGTAATTTAATTTTTAAGAAATTTTGAAGACATTTTAAATCCACTAACTAACTAGGTAACCATGCGAACTATGACCACGATGGTATAATTTTTGTCTAAAAATTTTTGGTCATAGCTCGGGTGGTTTCCTTGTCCGGGGGGCAAAAAACATTTTTTTAATTGTGGGAGAAACTGTTCTTGATTTAAAAGGATTTAAAAATCAATTACTTGCGCCAAACGTAAAAGCCCTTTTTTCCAAAATTCTAATCTCTTTAAAATTCCAGTATTTTCTAAAAAGATTTTCAACGAGTCTTTTAACTCTTCAAAAAAATTTTTTCTAATTTTTATTTTTAAAATAAATAAATTTTTATTAAACCCAACTATTTATTTATCCTTTTCTTCACTTCCTCCGACTTCTTTTTTCTCTTTAATTTGAACTTTTTCTACAACAATAATTCCTGTATGTAAAGCAAATAAAATTGTTGTAGTTAAACAAGCAATTCCAAAAAATAAAGTTCTGTGAAGTGTTGAATCTGGACGTGATTGTTCTTTCTCATTTCTTCTCATCTCTTTTTCAACACGTCCTTCTTCCATTAAACGGCGAGCATTTTCTTTTCGTTTTTGCCAAATTGGTTTGGATATTTTCTGTAAAAAAATATTTTTATTGGTTGGGAAAAAATAAAAGAATTTTCAAAAGGATGAGAGTTTAGGGTTGTTGGCGTCCGGTTATTAACCTTCTGTACCCCATAAGTTTTTGGTTATGGCCAGTTTTAGGCCCTTGTTTTCAGTTCGGTTATAAAAAATGGATTTTTTCCCCAAATTTCTGTCACATAAAAATTGTTTGCGTCGTACGGCAGCAAAAATAAGGAGAAAGGAAGAGGGAAAAGCTTTTTCTATCGCAAGACGCAAAGCGACTTATATGTAATCATAAAAGAATAAATTTATTAATATTAAAAATTAACCTGTTCTCTCAATATTTTGTCATTTAACGGCATATACTAAAAAATTTTAAATTAAAATAATTTCCTTTAAAAAACTTACAATACTTAAAATTGACTCAACAAAACGAACTAAATTTGGGGTAGCAGATAAATGAAGTTGTAATCTGTCATTAGGAAGAGGTGTTTTCAATAAAGGAGCCAAATATCCAAAAATAAGAGCATCTAATGAACACGGCCTTTAAATTATTTAAAAAAATAAAGAAACCAAGGAAAATTTATTCTACTTGTCTCCACAAAAATATTTGTTGTCAGAAAGTTTTGCAGAGAGCATATTAAGGGCCTAAAGTAAAAATGTTCTTTTAATAATAAAGATATTTTTGTTTTAATTTAATCATCTACTCATGTTAGGTTTCATTCAAGGAAATTTTCTTTTCAGTGAGAGAATCATGTTAGGAATTTAATTAAAGGGATTTTTTGGATTTTTCAACTACGAGAGAAATCTTTTTGCATTTTTATTAAGCATAAGAAATTTTCTGATAAAATTTATTGCTTTAAAGAGTGAAGGGAATATTATAAACACTAAATTTTATTTTCTAAAAAAATATTTTCAAAGCTAAATTTCATCAGACCATGAAATTTTTAAAGGTTTTTGATTCAATTTTTAAATTTTAAAAAACAAAGAAAAAAACCTGAACAGCATCCATAGTAATTTGTTGTTGACTTTTTCGTGTACTTTTCACAGCAGCATTTGCTTTCGATCTCTTCTTTTCCATATAATATAAACCATAAGGGAAAATTAAATGTTGAGTATAACAATTGTGAATAATTGAATTATAATTGTATTTGTCTAACCAAAAAGTTTGAAGCTTAGAAAAAATTGTTTTTGAAAATTTTTTGAAAAAAAACCAAAGCAGGACGAATTTTTTGTTTTAAAAGAGCACTGTAAGCATCAAAATCACACAATTGACTAGGGACGAGATCATTATCCAAAACAATATCCTAAATTTATTTTTGAATAAAAAAGGAAGAGAAAGATGAGAAAACGGCCCAATGACTATATCTTTACATACTAACAATAAATATAGAGACCCAGGCATAAAATTGGGGCGGCACAAATTTTGCTGGCACAGTCACTTTTTGAACTTCTTGGAGTTTTCCCAGGATGTATTTTTCCTGATCTGTAGGCCCAAGATCCCCCAGGTAGGTGGATTCGAAAATTAATTTTGGCCTAGACTCTTAAAAATCCCAATTTAAAGAGAAAAAACCTGTTTACTGTTACGTAAAAAGTCAACAAAACGAGAAATGTCACAAATAGTTTCCTGCTCTTCAGTAATTAAATAAGGTAAATCGCCTAAATTTTGTTAAGTTTCTAGAATAAGAAAAAATATTTGCCTGTTGGTGATTTCCAAGGCCGAGTTGAATATTCAAACAAAATTGGGGCAGCACAAATTTTGCTGGCTGCCTAAATTAATTTATACTTTTAAAAATAAAAATTAAAAAAATACCATAAATTGCAAAGATTCTATATCCATTGAAGGCAAGCCAAACTCTGCTGGCCAAATATAAAGAAACATTTTCTTAAAATTAATTTTAGAATTTAATAATTTTTATTAAAGGATTTTGTGATTTTTAAATATTTGTAGAATTGTACGTTTCGAATTGTTGGTAAAATAAAAGTTTACAATTTGACATTCTGAAGAAAATAGAATGTGAAGAAGACATCGAAAATAAATGAGAGAGAACAATAAAAATTATGCAGAGATAAATACTATTTGGAAAAATCGGTCGATTCAAAGTCGTCGTTTTAGAGAGCAACGTTTCTTTTTATTTTCGACCAATTCAAGTTATTTTTTTACCAATTCATTTTATTATCCGAAAGTCTTTTTTATTTGAAAGTTTTTAAAATTTTTGTAAATTTAATCGGTCGCGTGGTTGATGAAACAAAAAGTTATTTTGCCGAAAACTTCTTTTAATCGCCAAACAATGAATCGTCCCATTTCCAAAAAATTGTCATTTTGTTAATTACCGCTAAATTTTCTGATTAAAAATGGCTTTAAATTTTTAAATAATTTTGTTAAATTTAATTTCTTTTAAAGATTTTCTATTATTATTCCTCTGTTAAAAATCTTCTTTTTTTGTTATTAATGCAAACTGCGCGCATTGAATTAGACACAACTTTTGGTTCAGGAAAGTTAAGCATTCCTTCACAGCGTGGTGCAATTCCGAAACATTCAACGCCTAAAAGTTTCATTTTTTTGTTCATTGATTTATACTTTTATTTATTTTAAGGACCTGATTGGAACGACGAACGTATTCCTTTAGAACAATCAACTATATGTGACGAATTTGAAAGAATGTCTTCTATTTCAAATAATGAACCTAATGTAAATATTTTTTATAAAAAGGGGAAGGGGATTTAATTGATTTTCTTTGTCCACACTTTTTTTCTTATAAATTAGGACGGAATTTTTATGGAAAAATTGTCTAAATTTTGTTTTTCGATTTTTTATTCATACTCGATTTTTATTTTTATGACTTTTCTTGTCTCCCAGATCTATTGATCTTTCTTGGATCAAGGTCAAGAACTTTGCCGGCAATTGAGTTTTCTGTCTTTTCCCACCTTAATCTTTAGTTAGAGATCGATTTTTCCCTCTTAAATTTGGTAACTATCTTTACTCTAAACTAGGGTTGCCGGTCCGGTTCCGAAAAAATGACTCGAACGTCGGCCCAGTTCGAAAACGGCAACCCTTCTCTAAACCCTCTTTGCCCTCTTCTCACAATCAATAAAGAATTATTTTTCAGAAACCTGACCTATCTGAAAAGGAATTTCTTTTAAATTATCTTCAAATAGAGTTTGACAAAAAACGATGTTCAGTGAAGGTTAAATTTTAAAAGAAATTTTCTTCCAAAAAATTTTTCTTCTTTTAGGAAGGACGGAATGACGTTTTAAACAATGTAAATATTCCAGACCAAATACCCCGTGACCTTTCAAATAATGGATTAAATAGGAAAATACCTAAATTTGACACGCCAATATTTAGACCGATATCTTCTGCTTCTGACACAGATTCTTTGTTTTTTTTAATTTTTTATTTAAAAATTTGTTTTATTTTTAAGGTCCTCATTAACTCGCAAAAGTCTTCTTGGAATTGAACAAGACAAAACAATTTTAAATTTTGGTTATGTTTCTATTGGGGAATCGTTGACTTTGAAACAAAAAATTTGGAATTGTGACAATGAACAAATGAAAATAAAATGCTCTATTTTGGTTGATGAAAGTTTGGAAGATGGAATTTTTAAGGTTTTTTTGAATTTAATTTTTTATTGTTTTGTTGGATTTAAAAGGATGAAAATAAAATGTCAAGGCGGTGATTTTTATTCGATATAATTTATTTTCGTGATTAAGTCCTTACGTAATACGTATTAGTATTTCTTTCGCCTTCCGCAGAATTTTGCCTTTTTTACCCTTCCACTTCCATATCCTCTTCCGCTATTTGTTCTGCTTTTTTCCTTTTTCCGCTCTTCAAAATATAGCAGAGCCCATCCCTTGCATAAGTTTCAAAAAATTTTCCCAAAAATTAGTTTGGTAGCTTAAAAATAATCGAATGTCTTTTCCCTACTTTTTGTCCATTAAATTTTTTGAATTTTCATTCTTCAGATTCTCATATTTTTTCCGTTTAAAAATTTATTTTCTTTCAATTTTAGATAACCAACGTTTCTACACCAATAATACGACCTGGAGAATGGTGTGAAATTTGTGTTCAATATACACCAACAAAAGTCGAAAGAAATGCAGGAAGGCTTGTTATTGAAAGAGAAAGTGGAATTCGATTTCGTTATTCGGTTTTTTTAAATTTTTTTTCCAAAATTTTCTTTCAAGTTTTCACTTTATGGAGTTGGAGGGGGTGCTCTATTAAGTTTAGACGCAAATTATAAAGCTGGCATTGCTTTTGAATCTACAAGTGGAAGAGTAGTTGTAGTTAGGCCGGATGTATTTTCTCGTTTTTGGCTAATTTTTGAAAATAAAGGGCAAAGGTTTTTTTTAAATTTTTGAAAAATTTTTGAAGAAATTTACTTGATTTAAAGGTCAGCGTTTGTCAATTTAATTGCAATTGACCGTAGAGGCAATATTTTGTCAAAAGAAGTTGGTTTAGATCAACAACAAATTTCAATTAAACCATCACAATTTGTACTTGACTCTTATTCTGAAGATGGAGATAAACATAAAATGGTGAAATTTAATATTTTTTGGAGGGTTTTTTTGGAATAATTACACAATTATTTACAATAATAGGAATTTTTCAAAGACCTGAGTATTGGTAAGGGCTCAAGCTTTTTCGTCTTTAAATGTTTAATAGAAAGAGTAAAACCTCTCATAAAAGCAGGATTTTTAATTTTAAACTTACAAGGAGAGGTTACGAGGTGTCCGACCTAAAAACGGCTCAAAATCCTTGCTAGAAAAGGCACTCACATTCTCTATCGAATGAGCCCGGTCTCGACCGTTTTTAGGTCGGACACCTCGCAACCTCTCGCTAATAAAAATTAAATAATTTGAACTTATTTAATCCCATAACTTTTCGATTTCAAACATCCTCCTTCACTTCTTTTAACAATGAAATTTTTTTAATTTTTTCGAGAGAGCTTATCAAAAAAATTTTTTAAAACATTTTCTAAGGACTTCAAAAAAATTTCTAACAAAGAAAAAACCTTTTAATTTTTTAGAATGTATTAATTCGAGTAGATGAATCATTTAATTGGATAGCAGAAAATAATGATAATATTGGAATTAAATCAACAAATAATAACAACAATAATAATAAAAATACAAAACAAGAAGGGGAAGGTGATATTTGTGGAGGGAGAGATTCAATGCTTTCTTCTGCTTCGACATCAAGTTTTCAGGAAGATTGTGCTTTTCAATTACTTTCGTATTGGGGAGAAGAAGGGCAACGACTACGAATAAAATGGTTTTTCTTTGGAAAAAAATATTTTTTGAAATTTTTAAAATTTTTTTCTAGTTGGGAGAAAGCATTTAAACCTTTTTATTTAAATGGATTTCGATTTACTGGAAAATTTGTAAACGAAAAAGAATTTACTGCAGAACAAAAAAGAAAAGCACAACAATGTGTAAAGGAAGAAGATGCTAGAGAATTTAAAGATTTATTGAGGATAATTAAATTTAATGTAAGGAGAGGTTATTTAACTTAAATAAATTGAAATTTAATGTTTAATAGAAATGTGAAGGTTCGATTCCTTCAGGCCCGTAACCGGGATTTTTTCGGGAGGGGGGGGGGCAAGGGGGGAAATTTGTTTCCCTTTGTTGAGTGCTTTTTAGTGTTTAATAGAGATAGGAAATAAGCCTTAATTCTCGATTTTTGTTGAGAAACTTGACTAGATTTTTGATTTTGAGTCAGTGAAAAATCAAGAAACACTAAGAAGATGCTTTGATATTGACTTTGGATTCAGGAAAAATTTAATTGAAAAAAAAATGTTTAATGTGAAAATCTTTCTATTTCCTGGGTAAGAGGCCTTAAATAATAAGCTTTTTCTCCTTAAAATAATTATAATAATTGAATGAAAAAATTCTTTAGAATCGAATTTTCCAATGAATATTTATAAAAATTTTAATTTTTTTCTTTCCTTGAAAAGGTAATAGATGAAAGAGCTCGAATATATTTCCCAACACAACCAGATTCAATTCAACCAGTTTTGGAAATGTTTAGAAATCAGAGTGTTTTATTGAGAGAAGTATGTCAAAATGAAGAAATTAGTTATTGTAGTGCTTCAACTTCACAAATATTTCCTTCTTCAAATGGAGGACGTGGAAGAATTCCTTCAACATCAAGTAGTGGGGGAGGATCACCATCACATGATATACAAAAAATGCGTATATTTAGTGGAAGAGACCAACAAAATAAAAATTTTGATTAAAAAAAGAGGTTTTAAATTCTTGTATTTAAATTTTTGAAAATAAAAATGCGTGCAATGATTCTTACAAAAGTATTCTAAAAGGAAATGTTTAAATTTGAAATTTTGTTACTCTTTCACTCCCTTTAGGAAAAAAAATTAGGAAAAAATTAAGGGAAATTCAACTACAAACTTTTTTGAAAAACTCGTAATAAATGGTTAGGTTTAACGATTTCAAGTCTCATATCAGCTCAAAAAATATTTATGGGGAACGTCCGAAAATTCAAAATAAATTTAAAAATTGTAAGTTCGAGTTGATGTCGATCGAACATAGGATTCTGATATAATTAACAATTTTTTACCTGAGAACATGTCTAAAATAATTCGATTTTCACGGTTAAAAAATTTTAAAATTATTTTATGATTCCAAGCACTGGTTTTCAAAAATTGGAATCTTTAAGATTAATTTCAAAAGATGACAGATCCTTGACTTTGAGGCCAGGAAAATCAAGCGCCTTGACTCAGAAAAACCACCGAGTAAATACTCCTAGTATAAGGTAAAAAAGGATTTGTGATATTAGGATCGCTAATTTGAAGCTTTTTAAAGAGATATTTTCAGATGGGTTGGGGTAAGGGGGCGCGCTGTGAATGGTGAGAAAACATGCAGCAGTGAGGAAATAAAATTCTTTAGGTCTGAGGTATTGGCTAGAAAATTGCTATACGCCTCCTTTAAGGTTGAATGAATACTCCACCCTCAAAACAGTAATAGACTAACATTAAGCTTAAAATTCTCGTCTACAATGAATCTTCTGTAGAGCAAAAATATATAAATCGACCCAATGGGTTCTAATAAAAACAATACCCAATAAACTTATTAATTATTAAAAATTAAAAAATACATAAAATTCTCCATTTTGTACATTTAATGCCAAAAAAAATCTCTTCAAAAGATCTACTCCCAATTTTTCTTTTTATTTTGTAGACAATCAGAAATGACAAAATCCTTTAAAAAATAAATTGTTTAAAAATATAAAGTGAGAGTTTCATGTGAAAAATTCAGCTGAAATGTAAAATATTAGCAATTATGGATAAATAACAGAAATGAGGCGATATTCTAGTTAGGAATCCCCCGACCTTGAAACCCTGTAAAGAGATCGACGAGGTTAATTCACCAACTTGCGGTTGAAAGTTGTTGACTAAAAAAGTAGTAGACAAAATGTAACATTTCTCAAAGATGGACGAAATGAAATTTTGGTTAATCGACATAATTAATTCAATTTAGTGAAACGAAATATTAAAAAACACTTTGCCAACAGAAAAACAATACATTTAAAGTTGCTAATTTAAATTTGCATTCAACATTTTCCTTATTTTTGATTTTTTCCGCCATCATTATTTTTACAATTTCTCTTGTTTCTTCTCTAAATTACCAATTTAGTAGATGTTCGGAAAGGTTTTTAGGCAGAATTACGCTATCTGAATTTCTTATCGAGTTGTTCCGATATTAATTTACATATTTTTTTACTTTTCATTATTATTTTAACATAATCTTAAATTACTTCCTTTTGTTCAATTCCTTTTCTTCTCTATTCATATCCAAATATTATCAAACATTTTTTTTAATTTTTAGAATTTATTTCAAAAAAATTTTGGTATTTTGCTAAGCAATGTCAAACATTACAAAACGCGAAGGCTCGGAGGGTCATGACGATGAGGATCAGCAAGAACGTCAATTTTTGCAGGAAGCTGTGGAGGTTAGTTACTTTCATTATAATGATACGGGTGTTGGTTCATGGTTAACAACTGTTTTTTTCCGCACTGGAAAACTTGCAAAATACGACCACTGCTGACAGTTTATGTTAGTTGAACGAGTTTTCGGTAAGATTATTTGAATGATACCAGAACGGACTTATAGTGGGTACAGATATGAACTAGAACACTGATATAAGATACAAGGGTTATAAATAGTCAAAGTATAGGCAATAAATACTTTAGGACAGTAATGGAAAATTTTTCGATATTTTGTGGCTTAAGGTTTTAAGAAAAAAATTATTCAAATCAGCTAGGATTAAGTTTCTCTATTGTTTTAGAACTAGTTGGGGTTAAAAAGTTTCTTACCGCTTTCGGAGAAAACCGAGGTTATCGAGCGCCGCACTAGGCCCGACCAGTCCACTAAACTTCCCTCAAGCGTGACTTATTTCTCGGAAGTTTTAAAAACCTTCCAACTACCCTAGCTCACCTCTATAAGTTTCTCTCATTCAAATAATCTCATTTATACTAAATATCATTTCACAAATATATTCGAGTGGTCATATTCTGCATTTTTTCCCTCAATTTTTTCCCTGTAATATGTGTATCCACTATTTCAATTGAGTGGACCTTAATCCCGCTTTTTCAATCCCGAGGCCAGGAACCTTAATTAAACAATTGAATAATTTTCGAAAGTTCTGCTCGTGCAGACATTGTTCCCAGCTGTATCGATCTGATCATCATGTCCTGATTTTCTACTTCTATCCGGCTGTAACTTTTTATGTGATGATCAGATCATTTTAGTAAGAAATAAAATAATCCGCACTTTCAGTGTATTTCGATTAAAGTAAGGATTATTCAAATAAGCTATGAATAAAATGTTCGATAATAGAGTCCCAGGACTGAAAAAGCAAGACTGTGGTGACCTGTTCCGTTTACTACTTTTTATATTTTCCTGATAGCACAAGAGTTGAAAATTAAATTTAAAGCACAATCATCCCCCTAAAAATTTAACCATGAAAAATAAAAATTTTAAAATATCTGCTGAATTGATTTCTGAAATCGTCGCCTACATCCATTTTCACCATAAATGGGGAAAGATTCGTGTTTCTAAATTATTCGATCTATTAGTTATTAAATTTCATAAAAAATTTATAACCGAAATGAAAATAGTGGGTTTTAAGAAAAATTTTAAATTTGGTTTTTAGAGTTAATAAACTTGATACTTACTAATTCAATTTTTAGACTAAACAAGCCATTGGCGAGGCACTTTCGAAAATCCTTGGATATTTTGTCTACCTTTCTTCCAATCAGATGAAGAAACTCAAAATGGGAGATGAAGTGCATAATACTGGTCCATTTGATTGTAAGTTTGATTAAATTAAAAATTAACGTCGTTTTGGTAGTACTTTGGAGTCACCCCCTCCCCCTTCCCCCATTTCCCTGACCATTATAAGCTCTTTTACTTGATATATAATTTATTATATATCACTCGAAAGAGCTCTTAAAACTGCCGTGATCGGTTAATTTGTTCATTTTAAACAAAATTATGAAGTTAACTTGTCGCTGGAAAAACTTCTTGTCTCGGTTCAAGTGATTAAATGTTGATTTAGGTCGGATTTCATTGATTTTAGTGTCATTCGTCTTACTCGAAGTGCTCTTTAAAATGGTATATAATGTATTAAAATGTAAAAAATAGAAAGGAAAAGGGGGCGATTTCCAAAGCATTACCGACGTTTTTTAAAAAATTTTCCCTTTTTATAATCATTTTTAAGCCATTTTTGTTGTGCTTCGTGATTTTGCTGGAGAGGCGCCTTTTTTGGGAGAACTTTTAAATGTAATTTAAAATTAATTTTTTTATGAATTTTAATTTTTAGACAATCTTACAACTTCCACAAAGTCCTCAAGGAGCTTGGCCTGAATGGCCGACAAAATATTTTACTGACCCGAAGGGGGGTGTAAGTTTCTATTTAATTTTTCTTAAAAGTAGATTCCGTATTTCTTAAGATAGAATCTAAGCTGAAATAAAAATTTTTTTTAAATAAAATCTAAATTTAGTGGGACGGTATCAACAAGGCAAAAATCAGCATTCTCAAACTTCTATTTGGCCAATTTGTCGAATTTTACAAACTTTCTAATGACAATTTCACTCTTCCTTTTTTGAAGGAAATTCTTCGACTTCTTAAAGGTTTACTTTTTTAAAATTGTTATTTAAATTTTTCTAAATTCCAATTTCAGGAATCCTTTCGAATTTGAGCGAACTTTTTGGGGTGAAAAAGGAAAACGTGAAGAGTGTGAACTGGGATGACTACAATGATGGAGACGACGGGGCTGGTCCCAGTACCTCTGGGACTGGTCCAGGCACCTCTGGAGATGGGGCCAAACCGCCCAAGATGCGAAGAATTATGTAAAGGAATTTAAAAATTATTTTAAATAAATGTTTAATTTTAAATTGTTGGATTTTGTTTGATCAATATAAATTGTTTGTTTGGGGATTGTAAGCATGTTTTTAATTGATCTGGGGGGGGGGGGGGTCAAAGGCAAGCATAGTCGGAGAATAAATCAATTTCTTGTCGAGTTATAATGATGAAGATAGTGGAAAAATAGTTGAGTGTATTTTGATTAAAGTAAGGATTATTCAAATAAGCTATGAATAAATTGTTCGATAATAGAGTCCCAGGACTGAAAAAGCAAGACTGTGGTGACCTGTTCCATTTACTACTTTTTATATTTTGCCTGATAGCACAAGAGTTGAAAATTAAATTTAAAGTGCAAACATCCCCCAAAAAATTTAACCATGAAAAATAAAAATTTTAAAATATCTGCTGAATTGATTTCTGAAATCGTCGCCTACATCCATTTTCACCATAAATGGGGAAAGATTCGTGTTTCTAAATTATTCGATCTATTAGTTATTAAATTTCATAAAAAATTTATAACCGAAATGAAAATAGTGGGTTTTAAGAAAAATTTTAAATTTGGTTTTTAGAGTTAATAAACTTGATACTTACTAATTCAATTTTTAGACTAAACAAGCCATTGGCGAGGCACTTTCGAAAATCCTTGGATATTTTGTCTACCTTTCTTCCAATCAGATGAAGAAACTCAAAATGGGAGATGAAGTGCATAATACTGGTCCATTTGATTGTAAGTTTGATTAAATTAAAAATTAACGTCGTTTTGGTAGTACTTTGGAGTCACCCCCTCCCCCTTCCCCCATTTCCCTGACCATTATAAGCTCTTTTACTTGATATATAATTTATTATATATCACTCGAAAGAGCTCTTAAAACTGCCGTGATCGGTTAATTTGTTCATTTTAAACAAAATTATGAAGTTAACTTGTCGCTGGAAAAACTTCTTGTCTCGGTTCAAGTGATTAAATGTTGATTTAGGTCGGATTTCATTGATTTTAGTGTCATTCGTCTTACTCGAAGTGCTCTTTAAAATGGTATATAATGTATTAAAATGTAAAAAATAGAAAGGAAAAGGGGGCGATTTCCAAAGCATTACCGACGTTTTTTAAAAAATTTTCCCTTTTTATAATCATTTTTAAGCCATTTTTGTTGTGCTTCGTGATTTTGCTGGAGAGGCGCCTTTTTTGGGAGAACTTTTAAATGTAATTTAAAATTAATTTTTTTATGAATTTTAATTTTTAGACAATCTTACAACTTCCACAAAGTCCTCAAGGAGCTTGGCCTGAATGGCCGACAAAATATTTTACTGACCCGAAGGGGGGTGTAAGTTTCTATTTAATTTTTCTTAAAAGTAGATTCCGTATTTCTTAAGATAGAATCTAAGCTGAAATAAAAATTTTTTTTAAAATAAAATCTAAATTTAGTGGGACGGTATCAACAAGGCAAAAATCAGCATTCTCAAACTTCTATTTGGCCAATTTGTCGAATTTTACAAACTTTCTAATGACAATTTCACTCTCACTTTTTTGCCGAGAATTCTTCAACTTCTTAAAGGTTTAATTTTTTAAAATTTTTTTATTTAAATTTTTCTAAATTTCAATTTCAGGTATCCTGTCAAATTTGCGCCGACTTTTTGGGGTGAAAGAGGAAGACGTGAAGAGTGTGAACTGGGATGACTACAATGATGGAGACGACGGGACTGGTCCCAGTACCTCTGGGACTGGTCCAGGCACCTCGGGAGATGGGGCCAAACCGCCCAAGATTCGAAGAATTATGTAAAGGAATTTAAAAATTATTTTAAATAAATGTTGAATTTTAAATTGTTGGATTAATATAAATTGTTTGTTTGGGGATTGTAAGCATGTTTTTAATTGATCTGGGGGGGGGGGTCAAAAATGTAAGCATGGTTGGAGAATCAAACATTTTTTGTAAGTCCTAATAATGAAGATTTCTAAATTTTAGGGTGGCTTTCTAAGTTCTCCAGTCAGTCGGCCTTTAAATTCCTAATTAACAGTTTAATAATTTTTGAAAATTGGAAAATAGTAATTTAAAAACAATTCTTTTTCCTAATAAGTTCCTTCTTCTTCCAAAGCATTTCCACCTTCATCTCCATAATCTTCACCTCCATCAAAATATGTTTCTATATAATCATTTGCATCTTCTGCTAAATAATCCTCATCAGAATATTCAACTTCTTCCTCGTCTTCATTTGTTGGTTTTAATGTTTGTGTTTCTATTTCGTCTTCATCCACTTCTTTTTCTTTTATTTCTTCATTTTCTGTTTCCTTTAAAAATATTTTTTTAAAAATTTAAAGAAAAATCAAAAAATAAACCTTTTCTCCAGGATGACCTTCACGTTGTCCTAACCTTTCCAGAAGTGCGTTTTCGTCAATTCTGGCTCTTTTGGGAGCGCGAATATTTGCTTTACTTTTAGTTTTCCAATTAAGTTCTGATGGAAGTCTATTCCAATCTTAATAAAAAAATTTTGGAAATAAGGCTGGGAAGGGTTATTTAGAGCCGGAAATGAATTCTCCTTAAAAGGGGGACTAAAAATATTTAAAAAAATTTTTTTAAGAATGTGAGGTTTAATAAAACCTCAAATCTTTCCATTCAAAAATACTCCCTATAAATAAATTTAAAATCAAAAAACTAACGAGGTTCAAAAGTTTCCTTATCCATCAATCTGTATTTGTCCGTGTACTAAAAATAAAAAATAAATTTAAATAAAAATTAATTAAAATTCTTTTACCCTTCTCACATCCCTCTTTCCAGTTTTTTTCGAATAAAAAGGAGATTCTCGAAAACGATTTAAAAATTCTTGTTTTGTATCAACCATAAAAGCGAGTTCTTTTGTTTCTTCTAAAGGCAAGGGGGTTTTATCTAATGGCTGAAAATTTAAAAGAAAAAATTTAAAAAAAAAAGAAAAAAATTTCAAACTGGATATAAAGGCAAAGGCTCATTTCGAACTTGTTGAGCATTATATTGACTAACATCTTGTCTGCTTATTCCGAGAACCTAAAAGTTTTTTAAGAAAAAGTTTTTAAATAAAAAACAAACATTAGCAATTGCACGAACACCGCTTGTGGAAGCCCCTCTACCTCCTCTACTCATTTTTGAAACAAATTTTAATTAGAAACAAGCAAAAATAAATATAAAAAATAATTAAAATTAACTAAAAAACAAGAAATAACCGCGGTCAAATTAAAGATTAGTGGAATTTGACTGTTTTTCTATCTGACATTTTGTCAATTCGACATTTTGAAATTGTAACAGAATTTTACAATTTAATCGTCTTCTTTCAAAGAATTTCAAAAAACCAAACTTTTATAAGCTAAATCGTTCGCCAAATTTAAAATTAAGCGTTACTTTCAATCTTTTTGTTTTGTTTATTCGGCATTAATTTAATCTCTAAAATTATTTTTAGATTTTTAATTCAATTTATTTCATCAATCTTCAATGATTGAATCGGAGAATCACAAAGTTGTGATTGTTCTTGATAGAAGTCCAAAGTTTGCTGCATTGGCTCCAACAGCAGTAAGTTTTAGATTAATTTTTTGTATAAACAATTAGAGGGTTACTTAGTTAATTCTTTTAAGTTTCCGATTTGTTTACGTGATTTAGCCTGATTTTTTAGGATTTCTAGTACAAAATTTCCTTATTCTTTCCTAAATTCAAAATAAGCTCATTAATTAAAAATACGTTTATCAAAAAATTTCCAATCCTTCACCAAATTTATTTTTTGTGGAAAAATGATCAATTTATGAATATCATATAGGCAGGAATATTTTCAACATTTTTAAATTACTTCCCCAAAACTATCATTTTTCTTCCCCTTTCTTTTTTTTATTTTCTTTCAAACTTCAAGCATTATATTTCCCCATCCATTCATCCCACAAAGCCAAAGCATTTTCAACACCTTTTTCCTAAATTCTTATTTAAATTTATTTTTTAATTATTTTCTTACCTGAACTTCTGTACGAGCATCTTCAATCACAACAGTTCCATCCGGCTTAATAATACGGAAAGTTGGAATTGTTTTAACTTCGTATTTGGACAAAAACTCGCTTAAATAGAGCAAATATTATTTTAAATTAAAAGAGGAATAATTTTGGGCAAAATCGTTTTGGGGAGTCCTCGGAAAATACTTTTGATTTTTTCACCACTAACTTAAGAAGCCAAATCGAGAAAAATGACATGTTATTGACATTAACTTTAGGTGTATGCAAATGCTGTCCGCAAGAAAGTGCGGGTATACTCTACAATCCCCGAAGTCTCCCAAATCCACCAAGTCTCTTCCCCCGACAAAAAACTACCCAAAACCCATCTAGTTTAAAAACTTACTCAATCTTCGGATCGCCAAATTCCAAATAAGTCCACTCTCCATGATGGTCATTATAATATTCCTTCAAGTCATTGGCTGTGCGATCTCTAGAAATAAAAATAACTTCAAAATTCTTCCCTGCAGCCTTCAAGTCCTCGTAGAATTTCTTTAAAAAATTTGAGAATATTTTCAAAAATAAACAAAAAACCTTCAATTTTGGAGTAAAAGCCCGGCACGGTGGGCACCACATTGCAGAAAAGTAGAGACCAACAACTTTGTCATTTAAATATTCCTCAGCATTTGCTTTACTTTCGTCTTTCAAAATAATTTTTTGTCCGGCTAAAACTTGTGACATTTTATTTTTTGAACTGAAAATTGGTTTGTATTTAATTTTTGTTAAATATCGAACTAGGAAAGCGAATTTGTTGGTGAAAATGAAATTTTTTGAACAGTGTTAAAGAGGCGAAATAGTTTAGATTGCATATATTTTTTACCTAAATTTTGAGTTTTTAAAGGAAAAATGAATTGAATGAGGCCTTAAAAAGTAATCATTTTTGTGTATATTTTGTGATAATAAAGTATGACGAATTTCGTTTTTAACTTGTGAGTATGACGTAATATTTAATTAGAATTTCTTAAAATTATGTGGGGATGTGTTTAAAATAGAAATATTAAAATGGGAAAATAACATTGATTTACGCTGGGAAATTGCCCCGATTTGTAGGAAAAAAAGTAAACATTGCTTGGAAAGCAGCCTAGCGTCGCTTTGCTTTGGTTTTTTTCAGTAATTTTTGTTCATTTTATGATCGAAAATTTTTCTTTGGGGAGAACTCTTTCTATTCTGCTTCTCTAATTCTCTTGTTGTCTGTGTTCTCTAACTTTTGACATTTCGCCAAATTTATTTTTTATCGAATTTATTTAAATCAGTAACCAATATCCCTTTTATTTTTTCAATTTTTTACTTTAATTTTTAGGAAATCCCAACAACAACAACCCCTTTAAATGACTCAAAACCTTCAAAAACTCTGTGGAATTGTTCAATAGAAGCTGCCTTAGAATTTCATCGAGTTGTTTCTGATTTATTTCCTCAAGGCCAAAAACAATTACGCTATATTACTTCTGATTATGTTGGGAAGTTTATTACACCTGGATGGTCTGATAATTTAATTTCACAAAAAGAGGTTTTTTATTTTTTAAATTTAAACAATTTTTATGAGTTCTAAAAAATATTGTACCTCATAAGGGGTTCATTTAATTTCTTGGGCAGCTCCCTAAAAATCGCTTAGGCAGTTTCCTAAAGTCAGGGGCCAACCAAATTTTATCAAACATCTAACTTTTGGGCTTCTTGTATTCTCAATTCTCTATATTCACAAAATCTTAATATTCATGGGTATTTTATTGATTTTTTTGCTTAACAGAAAGAATTTCATTAAATGTAAAAACAGGAAATTCGTGAATAAATTTTCGGAAAGAAGATTTTCAGACTTTCTATTTTTTCATTAATTTTATTTTTCTTCAACTTTTAAAGCTCTTTGATGCTTTAAATGCTTGTGAAGCCCCACAAGCTGGCGGTGACATTTCTTCTTGTTCAATACTAAATGGAATTTTGTTTGCTTTGGAAGCAATGACAGAAAGAAGTCCAAAACAGAGAAACGATTTACGCGAATATTTGGATTATTTGGACCAAAAAGAAGAGGAAAGATTAAAATTATATGCTAGAGGACCTAAAAGTTTTGATGAAATTTTGAAAGAAAAACAAACGAAAGGAAATTCTGGAAAAAATAATTTTAGAATAAATAATAAAGGGGCCGTTGTAATTATTACTTCTCTTGAATCGTAAGAATTTTAGAAGGGAATTTTTTTTTTTTTGAAATTTTTTTAAATTTAGAGTATCCGAATATGAATCCATTATTGAATATTTTACTGAACAAATTTTGGCAAAAAATGAATCTATTAAAACTGCAATTGATGAAAAGTTTGTTTATTTTGTTTAGTTTTTTAAATTAATTGACTTTTTGTTTTATTATACTTCGAGAATTCTTTAATAATTAATTTTATTTTTTAAATTCCCCCCAGTTTGCCCGTGAACCTCAAACTCTAATTTTTAAGAATAATTTAATTTTGAGATTTTTGTCCGAATATTTTTTCTCAGGTATAGGTTGTTTTTTTTCAATATTTTTTTGCAATTAAATTTAAGTAATTTTCGGTTAAAAAATTATTTTTTAATTTTCTAGAATGGTTCGTATTGACCAAACAGATTTATTTATTTTACATGTTGATTTACCTGGAAATCAAAATAATATAATTTCTAATAAAGAAAAGGTTTTCTTTTTTTTTAAATAATTTTTAAAAATAATAAAATTTAAAAGCAATATTCTTTCTTCAATTCTCGACTTTTTTCTGTTCTGCCTGGAATTAATTTAATTACGGGAATTCATCGAGTTTTACAAGATGTCTACTCACTTGTCTCTACTACTGTTGTTGGAATACCTATGAAGGTTTTTTTAGAATTTAAAAATTGTTTTGCACAAAAAAATTTTTTTGCAATATTTTCTGGTGAAAAAATATTTTTTGAATAAATTAAAATATTTTGCCGTCAAAGGGAATCGAACCTTTATCTCACCAAAAAGTGAATTGACAATTAAACCACTACACTATCGACGAACCCATTTAAAGATTTTTTAAGATTAATTAAAAAAACCCTTTAAAAAGAGAGCAAATAACAAATATTTTGTCGACTAAAATCTTTTTAAAAATTTTTTTATTTCACTAATTATTTTTAAATTTTAAGGAAGCAAATCAATCAGGCCAATCAATTCATTATGATGTAGAATTACTCCATCCAAAAATTGCCCATTCTGCATTAAAAAATAGCGGTTTATTAGAAGAAAATAATTCAAAATTATTGGATAATGTAACTGTTCATTGGAATTTATTTAATTCTGTTCGTTTAAAATGGTGTACAGCAAAGGCTTTGAAAAATGAAATTGTGAGAATTTTTCTAAAAAAATTTTTGAAATTAAGATACACAATTATTTAATAATTTTTTAAAAGTTCCTCTGCTCATCTAGAACTCGCGGTTTCCAAACTCGGTTTTTTCCAATTACTGGGTACTCGACGTACTATAGTTTAAACGTCTGTTAACCTTTCTTCAAAGCTTTTAAAATAGATGACAAAAAACAAACTAATTTATTATTTTGCCTTTTTTACTTTATAAAAAACTTCTTTTACTAAAAAATCTTTTTTCCCACAAAAATAGGATTAAAATTCAATAAAAAATTTATTAAGCGGGCTATTATTTATTAATTAATGGGGATATTTTAGTGATTATTTACGATTAACAACGCATGATGCGTGTGGTGTTGCGGTATAAGTCTTGGTTTTCCACCTATGAGTAAATAGGTTCAATTCCCTCCGATCCAAGTCATTTTTTAAGTTATCAAATAAATGAAAAAATAATGTTTTTTTAATTTTCAGGTACCATTAATTTGTGAACAAGCATATCCCTTCACTTTGGCATTTAATAAAAATAGAGCATCAATTTGTTTAACATCATTTGTAGTTAATGGAAAGAGTGTAATGTTAGAAGTAATTCAAGAAGCTTTTCAATCATTAATTATTCCAAATGTTAAAGATAAATTAATTTCACATTATTTAAGTAAAAATGAAGAAGGAAGGCTTGTTATACAATTGGTTAATTTTGAAGAGAAAAAAGGTTAGAAAATTGGGGAGGGGAGAGGGGGAGTTTGATTAAAAAAAATTTTTTCAGCAATTAAAACTGAAAAAATTGAAGAATTTAATACTCAAGAAATACCTCAAACAAGTCAAACATCTTGTGTAGAACAACAAATCACTCCAAAAATTAAATGGGCTTCTACAAATCCGAGAGATGTTTCGGTTAATCCACAAGAGGTTTTGTTTAATTTTTTATCTGAAAACAAAGATTAGTAGAAAATCAAAATGATTATTTGTTTAAAACTCCGTTCATTATAATAAGATTTAATTTTATATAATAATTCAATACGTAAGACTAATTTTGTTCCTTTATTATTCCTACTCAAAATAATTTTTAAAAAATTAATTACTTTTCGACTATAATACTAAACAAAATTTTTAACCAAGAAATATTCTGATTGTCTTAATAAAAAATTAATGTTAAACGAATTGATTCCCCCTTTAACAAATCTGAATTAAAAATGATTTTTTTGATTTTTTTAGGAAATTTTGAAAACTCCAAAACGTCCATTAACAATAGAAGAAACTCCTTCAAAACAACAACAAATAAAATCTCAAACTAATGAGGAATTAATGAATCAAAGAATTAAACAAAGAAAAACCCAAATAGCCGAACTTTGGCAACCGAGAGAAGAATTAGATTTGTATGATTGGTGGCGTTCACAATATAAAACTAAATTTTGGGCTAATTGGAAAGGGGAATTTGAGGGAAGAAAAAAGTTTGGGGATAAAGCACAGGAATGTTTATATCCGGGATTGAAGTTGCCGCCTGGACAGACAAAGTGGACAGGGACGGGAAATGCTGGACCTATTGAATAAATTAAGAGAGAGGGAAAGAAGATTGACTTTGTCTTTCAATGTTTTTCGTTATTTATCTATGTCTTATCTCGGGCTCTATGGCTAATATTCCTTGGTTCATGTCATTAATAACACAGATTAGATTTAAGTCATTCCATCTCAGACCTTGGTTTATTGCCCTTTGTTCCTTGTTTCAAATACTCCTCAAGTACCTCAAATAAAAGTTAGTTTTGGGGAAGCTCCTTACAAATTCTCTTCCTTTTTTCTCATGGAAGGTAGAGCCTTGGATAAGAGAGAAATCTACTTTTTTATTACAAATATTTGTGTGTTTTTTCTTAAAAAATAAATTTAAAAATTTGTTTGTGAATGAAATTTCAAATTAAAAAATCGTAATTAATTTTTTCCATTCTGATTGGCCCAGATGGATAGTTAAAGAATTTTTTATTTCGTTTATTTTCCTCCCACTTAACCAGTTGTCGTGTATGTTCAAATTCAGCTTCGTCTCTGAATCCATTTTTAATTAAATGTTTTTGAAGTTGATAATTTCGAAGCTTTTTTTAAAAAAGAATTTTATTTAAAAAATCATCCAAAAATTACCTCCAAATTATTTTCTGTTCTAACAGAAAAATAAACATTTTGTTCAAGTTTATCAAGTAATTTACTATAACTAGCCAAATCATAACTACTTAATCTTTCAATTCCAACAGAACTTATAGGGAAACGATTAAAAGGAATTCCGAGGGTTAGAAAAAATAATTGAATAAAAATTATTTTTGAGAACATTTTTTGTAATTTTTTAGATGTGTAAATAAATTGTTTGATATTTTTATTTTTAAAAATTATGAGGCGTTTTTAAAAGAATTACGTTGATTCATATAAATTTATTCTAAATATTAATCATTTTGGCAAGGTTAGGTGATTAAATGTAGTCATTATTAAATTTCTAACACTTTTTATGTAACATTTTAAATTTCCTGATTGTTTCCTTCTTTGTATGGAACATTCTTACCATTTTTAAATTTTGAAAGTTTTGACCATTTTGGAAATTTCCTGTTACTGACCATTTTGTAAAATTCCCCTTTATTGGCCATTTGTGTCAAACCTAAACCTTCAGGCTTGACACAAATGGCCAATAAAGGGGAATTTTTCAAAATGGTCAGTAACAGGGAATTTCCAAAATGGTCAGAACCTTCAAAATTTAAAAATGATCAGAAGGCTTCCTGTTCTATCTTTAATTCGCAAGAAGTAAAAGCAAGAAGTTTTTTGGTAAAAAAAATTTTATTTTTGGTTTAAGTTTATTGGTTCAGGAAATACCATAAATACCACAAAGTTTTTCATTTTTTAACTTTCCAATCTTTATGTACTTTTCATTTTTTATATAAAGGATTACTTACTCGTGATTAACAGACAAATTTATATTTGCTTTAAGCTTGCGCTTTTTTATATAAAAAATATCTGAAGAAGTTGATTAAATAAAAGAAAAAATGAAAAGAAGAAAAAACACCTTCTAGTACCTATTTATTTTTCTTTTATTTTATAAAAACATTTAATTCACTAAATTCCCTCATTTTCTTGTCGTTAAAAAAATGTCTTCAGTAAAGCGTTTTGTTGACAGTGTAATTATTATAACTGGATCTTCTGCAGGTATTGGAAGGCAAACTGCTTTAGAATTTGCAAGGGAAGGGGCTTCTCTTGTTATACATGGACAATGTAGAGAAAGACTTGAAGAAACAGAAAAATTATTAAATAAAGAAGGAATTGGTCCAAAACGAATACTTAGCATTATTGGGCAATTAGAGAGAGAAGAAGTGCCTAAACAAATTTTGGAACAAACACTTGATAAATTTGGAAAAATTGATGTTTTGGTAATTTTTTAAACAATGTTTCTTTCGAAATTTTATTTGGAGTTTAATAGAAAAATAAAAAAATAATGTCAAAAAATTATACATATAAGTGTTAAAAATCAAAGTTACTAATTAACATGAAAGAGAAAAAAATATTGTCCAATGGACAGACTCGAACCTAACTGAAAATAAAGACTAACCGAGAACACTAACCACTACACCATGCAACAAACACAAATGAATACTTTATAAAGACTATTTGTTTAATTCAAAAGAAAATAGAATTTTTAGGTAAACAACGCTGCAGCTGGTTGTAAACCAGGCATAACTTTCAAAGCTGGCTCTGACGCAAATTCTTTAGCTAATCTAGACTATTTATTTGCAGTTAATTTAAGAAGGTTAATTTAAAAAATTTTTTAATTCAAAAATTATTTTCAATTTTAAGTGTTGTTCAATTACTTGAAGGTGCTCTCCCCTATTTGGAGGCAACTAAAGGAAATGTTGTTAATATTTCTACGAGTGGTGCTCTTCGACCATTACGTTCTGCTGCCTTTTATTGTGCACTTAAAAGTGCTTTAAATACGTTAACAGAAAGTTATGCACAAATTTGGGGTCCAAAAGGTGTTAGAATTAATAATGTTAGCCCTGGACCTATTAAAACATTAATCTTTGAACGCAACGGAATTTGTGGGACGAGGAAAGAACAGGCAAGTTTTGATACAAAAATTATAAAATGTCGAGACTACCGAGGATTTTCCAGAATCCATCAAATCCTTAGTTTCGACTGAAGAATAGATATCAGTAGTTTAAAAGATTAAGGAAAATGAAAAGGAGGAAGATATAAAATGACAAGAAATTTTAGATTAATAGATGAGCAAGCGGATATATATCCGAATATACAATAATACTATGTTCATAGTACTATAGAAAAATCTAAAAAATGAGAAATTAAAAAATCACGAAAAAGGAAAAGATCCAAAAGGGGAAGACGAAATAAATTTTGAAAGTGGGAACGTAACCTCTTCTAATTTTTTAAGCATAAAAAATGGGTAGAATCAGCAACATTAATGGGAAGATATGGAAATGTTGAAGAAGTTGCTGCTGTTATTAAATTTTTGGCAAGTAAAGAAGCAAGTTTTGTTTGTGGGGCTAATTGGTTAGTAGATGCTGGAATGGCTATAAAAGCAATACCTGTTGATATTAGTGGAGAAATTATTTGGAAAAATTAGAACAAAATTAAAACTAAATTCAAAACTTTAATTTTGTAAAGTCCCCAATCTCAAATTAAATATATATACAATTTAAAATAATCCTCTATTTTATTTAAATTTTGAGAATGGAAAAAATTGTTCAGTCAGATTCATTTTTTAAAAAGAATCTATAGAAAGGGGGTTAGCTGACTCGATTCCCGAAATCCGGATTAAAATTTTTCAGGAATTCCAGGATTTTTTTTCAGGAAATTCCTATTTTTTGTTGGCTAAGACCCCTGATAGGTAAATAAAATAGAGGTATAACAATAAATATTAGAAAAAGGAAAAATAAAAAAATAAAGTTTAAAATATTTTTTCCATCAAGGCTCTGAATATTTTTTACAAAATTGAAGGTGTAACAAATTTGTAAAATAAAGTTTTTCCTATTAAAATCCCCCCTGACTTCCAGAAGGAAAATTTGGAGGTAATTGACTTCCTCCTCCCCCAGCAGTTGATTGTTGTTGTCCTCCACCCATTAAATTAACAGGAGGCCCACCACCACCAACATGATGTTGACTTGCAGACATTTGTGCTGACATTTGTTGTTGTTGCTGTTGAAAAGCAGCAAAACTCATTTGGTTGGGGGTCATTTGATTTGAATTAATAAAAGGTTGTGGACCTTGCTGTCCAAAATTAGAAGGGCCAGGTCCCATCATGTAATGCATATTACTAGATGAGGATGAAGGTATTTGGTGACCAGAGAAGGGAGTAGAGGCTGAAAATAAAAAGAAAATATTTTTTATGAGAGAATAGGCCCTGCCAAATTTTTAAAAACCGGAAGACGGAAGGAATAAAACCTCTTTGATTTCCTATCCTTATGTAAAAAACGGAATAAAAAATTACTAGGCATCATTCCCATAGAAGTTGATTGTTGTTGAGAATATGGAGGTGGGGGAGGAACAATTTGTTGTTGTTGTTGAAGTCCTTGATTTGTATTTGAATTACTAGGTATTGAAGTAAAGGATGACATTGAAGTACCAGGAATATTTCCTCCCATCATTGGATTTATTGTATTACTAGAAGAAGGGAAATGTGGATGCTGATAAGAAGACATTTGGTGTTGTTGTTGTAGATTTAAGTTACTTCCAAGTTCTCCATGAGAGCTTAAAGAAGGATTTGGAATACCTCCATATTGTTGCATTATTGAAGCTGAATCACTTTCTGGATGACTTAAACGTCTAAGCATTCCTGCAAGTGCTGGGGTAGAGGAAGGTGGTTGTTGCTGTTGTAAATCAAAAGAAGATTGTTGTTGAAGCTGAAAAATAAAAATAATTTTTAGTGAAAGTATTTTTGGAAAGAAAAAAAGTACAGTCTGTTGCTGCTGTTGTTGATGTACAGCAAACATAGCTGCTGCATTTGGAATTCCTGGTAATAAATTGCCAAAGGAAGATTGGTGTTGCTAAAAACATCTTTATAATTGGAGGCGGACCTAATTTTTGGATGCACCTTGGGGCGAAGAAAGTGGTGCGTTATAATGAGGATTGCCTTAATTTAGAGGTTTAAACACCTCTTACCCAATATTAAACCAAATTGAGGGATCTCATAAAATAACGTCTGCCTGTAATCAAATAAAAAAAGAAACCAAAATTTGTTGTTGCTGAATAATTTGTTGCATTTGTTGCTGCTGTATTTCTGATGCAGCAGCACTAGAATGTGTTAAAAGAAATTTGAGTTTTTCACGCATAGATTCCTAAAATAATTTTTTTCAATTTTAAAAGAAATTTTCAAAATTACAGGAAAAGAACTTATAGTTTCTTCAATTTGATCTTTTAATGTATAACCAACAAACATATATTTAAATTGATATAATAAATCACAAATTGTATCTTCATATTTTAATTTTCCAACTTTTTGTGTTAAATTACCAAGAACTTTATAAATTGTTACAATCTGGAAAAAAAATTTTTTAAAGATTATTCTCTAATTTTGAAAATCTTATTGGCATAGAATATATTAAAGTTGTTTATTGGGCTAAAAAAGCTTATTATTGGATCTAATTCTTGAGATTCTTTAATTATGTAGTCAGGAAATAGAGAGGAAGCTCAAAAAATGTCTGGGTAGAAGGAAAGAAACTCCAATTTTTGTCCATGCATCGAACAGGAGAAGGAAATCTAGCTAAAAAACTAGACCAGGGGTCTAGCAAGTTTCCCATCCATCCTTTTTTTGAGCTATCCTACTAACAAATAAAAGAGAAGAAGGTTCCACTGTTGTATTCCATAAAATCTTAAAGAATAATTTTAAAAAAAATAATTTATTTTTCTTCCTCAAAAAAATTTACCTCAATCATGTGTCTATGTCTTTCCCTTTCTGTAATTCTTTGCAAATAAGGCATTACAATTCTCAAAAAATAAATTAATTGTGCTTCATTTTTCACTTTTTTAGATAATCTTTGAACAATTAAATCGGGTATAATATTTAAAGAATTATTCCCTCCATGCTGACAAAATGAATGAAAAAGTGCCAACATTGAAAGAATTTTACTTTCAGAATGCAAATAAACTTCGTTTGAAAGAAATTCAAATAATTGGGATGGATCAGAATTAATTTTAGATATTTGTTCCCAATCAAAAGATTGCTCAATTTTATCCAAAAAGACGGACTGAAAAGATGAGGGCAATCCTGTTAGTAGTAAACCTAGAGCATTTAAAGTGTCCTTAAAAAAAAGAAATTTTTTTTCTCTAATTAAAAAAAATTTTACTTGAGGTCGAGATATTGGTCTACGTATTGCTAATTGAACGAGAGCATCAATTATATCAGCTGGTGAATGTCGAGAAGCTAGTAATTCTACCCAGGCGCTAGTTAATGCTTGTGCTGCTGGCTTAAAATAAATTAAAGAAAGATAATTGAATTTGGAATTTTTCACAGAAAAAAATTAAAAAAAAACAAGGACTCAGACCAATAGGGAAACATAAAGCACATGATTAATTCACAAAGTGTGAGAGTTTAGTCATCATTATCCTCGAACCTTACCCCTATTTCTTAAAAAATCGAGAACACTAACCACTACACCACACCTCATCATAAAAAATAAAATTAAAATATATACAGGAAATTCAGCAAATCTCCAATCAGAATGAACAAAAGAAGGCGGTTGGTGTGTATAAGTGCTAGCTTGAACAATTCTCTCTACAAGAGTTCGACAGAATTTAATTGGTGGCATCTTAAAAAATTTTGTTAGTATTTAATCAAAAATTTTCCCTTACTTGATGATCTAATTGAATAAAATCTGAGGTTAACAATTTTCCAACAGGATTTCTTCCAAGTGGAGTTTGGGGAATTTCTTCTTGTTCCAACTTTAAAACGATTTCAAGTACAAATTTGCGAACGGGACGGCTAAGAAATGATTGACAATTGGCAGCTTCTTGTTGATGAGCAAGTAAAATATCATCCAAAGAGTAAAGTGTTGTATATAAAAAATTCATCGGTTGAGCTTAAAACAAATAAATTTGACAGATGTTTTAAACACAATGAGGGAGGTGGGGTTGCTGAAACGAGGCTTTTAGGAAAGAAAAAAAACTATCAGAGGCAGTGTTGTCGGTTCGGAATCTAACCAAGGATTTAAAGGTTCGGTTTCGGATATACAAAGATTTCATTTTAAGAGTTCGACGAGTGGGTCGAATGCGATTAAATCCGAATTATTGACTATGCTGAACAAAGTTATGATCAGTTAGATCAAACCTAACAATAAGAGACGATGCTTTGTTACTATAAAAGCGCCCAAAATTTTGTTTAAAAACAATCCGACAACAATAACACGCTATTCTCAACGTTCCGGCAGCAGCAAACTTTCTCTACACATCAAGGATGGCTCTCAACATCGATCCGCCTGGGAGTACCTTCGACGCTGTCAAAGGAGGTCTCAACAAGCATACAATCGTCAACACAACGGACAAGCGTCATGCATTCAAGGTAAACCTTATAATCTCCCAAATTTCTCGTAACTAAAATTTTTAATTTTCCAGATCAAATGCAGCAACAATATGTTCTACCGCGTCAGTTCTGTGTACGGCTTCGTCGACCCCAATGGCAAGAAGCCGATTGATGTGCATCGTCTCCCTGGAGGATCTCCTGGCGCAGATCGATTCGTCGTCCAATGGGCAGAGGTGCCTGCTGATGAGCTTGATCCGAAGGCGCCATTCCTTGCTCAAGCACAGTCCGGAGAGGTGGTCTTCAATGTCTCGGCCGCTTCTGGTGCCGCCAATTCTGCCGCCGCCAATTCTGCTGCTGCTCCTCCTGCAGCCGAGGAGAAGAAGGAGTGAAGCACCGGAAGAGATCGCGAGATGACTGTCAAGAAGGAGCAGGCAACAACAAAATTGAAGCGGATGAGCATAGGATGATTCATAATTCCCATTGTATTTTTTCTAACCCCAATCCATAGTGTATTGTATATTTCGCCTGTTGATTATTATGTCCTTCAAGATGTATGTATATATATTTGTTGTATTCTTGATATAAAATATTTGTGTAATGTGTGTTTTTATTTTTGATTTAGGAATTTAACTCTGATCTTGACCAAATTAATTATAATATCGCCTTTGATCCCTCCAAATCCCCCTTAATTCGCCGGATCACTTGATATGTTTCCTATCCAACTTTGTGTTGATCATAAGTATCGATATTCAGGGTCAATGTGCATTCAAATTTCTGTCTATGGCATCAAAAGTGTAAGAAATATAAGCGTGGAATAACTCTTATTTCGTCAAGACTAAAGTTCGAGCCACACTACTAACAAAAAAAACTCGTTTCGGTTCCAGATATCCAAAGATTTTCCAAGAACCGACAACTCTAATAAGTATGAAGATATCGGATAAAGTATTTAAAAAATAAATTTACGATGAATCCTATAAATAGGAGAAAAATGGCAAAGTAAAGTATCCATAACAGCTGGTTTTAAATCCATAGAAATTGCTTTTTGTAATAAAATATCAACAATCTTTAAATAAAAATTAAATAAATAAAATAAAAAATTATTTACTGGGCATATTCGTTCGGCTAAATGTCCATAATATACAGGTAAATTATGTACACTTTCTTGTTGTTGTTGTTGTGCTTGTGGATTTAAAGAACGTCTGTAGAGTTCAGCTAGAGAATATTCAGGATATTTCTGAAATTAAAGTAAAATTTAATAATTGAGAGAAAAATAAGAAAAATTAAAAAAATATAGACAAAAAGGTAAAGAAAATTGAAGAGAAAGAGAATAAAAAATAAGGAAAGCAAATGAAGGATAAAATTTCTAAAAAGCATTTTTATGAAGATCAAAACCAATGCATAGAACTTAAAGAGTTACAAGGTTTATTACAAAAGACAACAGGACATCCTAAAACTTAAATTCTGTAACTAGAAAGTTTAAACGACACAAAGAACGGAATAGTCAAAATATGAGAAGGCTAGGAAACTTTGATCAATGAAAGAAAATTTATCATAAATTTAAAAAAATTCAAATGAAACCTTGTAATATTCAACCATTTGCATAAAAAATTCTTCAGAATTAGAGCTTGTTGTTTGTGAATGTGAAGGTGCAAAAGTATAACAAGCATGTAAACGTTCAGGTAATTGAGAAAATTTACTTTCAAGTAACGCTGCTAACAAACAAAGAAGTGTTTTGTTTGATTGGTCATCAGTTGGATGAATGGCAATTGAAAAAAGTAAACGATCAACAGATAAAAATTGATGAGAAAATAGCATATCATTAAGTATTTTAAGTATCTAAAAATTGAAAAATTAAGAAAAAACGGAAAAAATAAATCTCCTACATGAGGCAAATCATATTCATCATGTCCCTGTGTAGGCGCCGAATCTTGTCCTAACCATTCACATTTAGATGCCAACCAATCAATTAAAGCATTAGTTAGTTGATGTAATTCTCGATTTACTAACGCTCCAAGTATTTTATAACATAGAGCAAAAAAATTTGGTGTTGATGAAGGTGGAGGGTTTTGAGGTTGTGGGAATTGAAAATTTGTAAATTGAGATTGGTAAAGACAGCGGAAAATGGAAATAAAGAGAGTAGGAGGTTGTGAAGATGGACGAGGTTGCTGAGAAAAATAATTTATTTCAAGGAAATTTTTTTATTAAAAATTACCATAAAATATTCAATATTTAAATGCACCAAATTTTGCATTTCTTGAGCACTTGCTTGTTCCAATTCTAATAATTTTTGAGAATGTTTAGCAGTCAATTCTTCTTCATTTTTAGCCATTTGTTTATGTAGAACTTGTTGTAAATTTGTTGGAAACCATTGAAGTTCAAATCTCGGCCATTGCCAGCCTAATTGTGGAATCATATCCATCAATGTTTTTTCATCTGCGGCTTGAATTGGTTGAACATCAGTGGAAAGGTTTCCTATTAATTTACCAATAAATACTCGATAATATTCACTTCGATAATATCAACTCGACAACAAATATTTCGAAAACAAAAGAAGACAATACCGTCAAAAACTTAGATATTGGAAAGCAAACTCGTGTATATTCAAGTGAATAAGTTAAACTCCGACTACATAAATTTTCGAAATTATTTTGTCAAGTTAGTCGAAATGATCATTATCGAAGTTATAGTTACCAGTGGAGGGTTTGTAAACATCTCCTAATAATTTGAATGCACGAATAGCTTTGAGAAGTAAAATGCGGCAAATCTGAAAAAATGTTTATTTTTATTTTGAAACACAGACAACAATTGTGGCATGTTAATTAATTGAAAAAAGAGATCCCAAAAGCTTAAATTAGAAAATAAAAAGTTAAGGAAAGCCTTATTTCAGATTAGATTTAAAAATATTTTAATTCAAAAAATGTATTTAAAAAATTCAAAAAAAATTTTTTCTCACCTCCGGCGAAAATTTAACAATATATGTTTTTGTAAGTACAACAGCTGAAGCAATAATCAAATCATTTGGAAAAGTGCACTGCGCGAAACGTAACAAAGTTTGTTCTAAAAGTTGAGCCATTTGAATAATAACTGGCATAGGTGATTGTTCAATAGATTTATTATGTAATAATTGATCAATAATTTTTAGTATAAAAGCTAAAATCCAAAAAAAACATAAATTAAATTTTCTTCAAAAATATTACTTATTCTATTTCCAAAATCCCATTTCCACCCAAATCCAATATTTTGAAGTCGAAAATTTAATAATTCCAAGAGAAGTGCCAAAAAATCATTTCGTGCCAAAAACATATTTTGTGACTCATTTTGCACAGGTTTTAATGTTAAGAGGGCATGATAAAAGAAATTTGCTCCATCTTGGTCACATAATTCAGTACTAAGTAAAAGACGTGCAATACTTTCTACTAAAGCAGGAGAAGGTAATCTTAAGAGAAAGATTAATAAAATGATTTTTTTAAAGAAAAAAACCTAAAAATAGGTGGAGATGGTTGTTGTTGTTGATGCCCTAATGGAGGTAATATTAATTTAAAAACACGATTTAGAGCATAATTATATAATTGACGTTTAGCATGAAATGTTAAAGAATCCAAAAATGTTAATTCTAAAGCACGAAGGAATGGCTCTGTTTTACGACCACATGGAAGTGTCCATTTTTCTTGTTGAATTGTTGGAGATATTGTCTAGAAAAGTTTTTTTAAATATACTTTTTTTTAATTCGAAAAATTTGTAGACAAAAGATCCAAAAAGAAAACATGATTAAAACCTCGTTTTAGTCGGTAAAACATCTGTACGTGGTAAGCTCTAGCAATAACTGCAGGGAGGCTGCAGGACCAAAAAAAATCCAAAAATGCTAGGGTCTGAGCCTACTAGGGTCTAAACTTTTACCTTCCCCTTCTAACCTTAACTAACCCACAAAAATAACCAAAAAAAGATTTAACCTGATTTCGTTGTTGCCCGACTTTTGACAATTCAGGAAAGACAGTATTATTTACATGTTCAACAAAAACATCATGATTATTACTATATGAATTGGCTACAACAGCTAATAATGCAGTATTTCTTTCCAATTGTTTTTGGTCTTTATTATCTCGTAATTGATTCTCTAGAAAAAATTTTTTAATACAAAATATTAATCAAAAATAAAAAAAACCAATAAAATCAATTAATTTTCGAAGTTTTTCAGGTGGTTGAGGCTGTGGAAGTTGTTCAGATCCTGGTGCCGCAGAAATTGATGTGACCAGATGAGACCATATTGCAGCTGGGGCGAAGAAACGGACCTGCAGAAAAATTAACTTAAAAATTTTTTATAGCTAAAGGCCTTAAATCAGATGACAGTTTTTTAATTTTATTTTTTAGTTCCTTAAAAATCTTTCAAAAATTACCATTTCCAATGGCTGTTCTGTTGAACAAGAATTGCCCCAATTCATCGAATTATCAGTATAAAGAACATTAAAAATTTGTAAAACTAATTCTCGATTTTCTGTATCAAGTCCAGCACTTGATGGTAAACCCAAAACTGAAGCTGTAGAAGAACCACTGGCCAATTGTTTTTCTATTGATTTTGCATTAGAGATATATTGTAATAATATCCACATTAATTCTTCTTTAGCGTGCAAATACTAAATAAAGTATTTTAGATCGAATTTAAAAATATTCGCCATTTACTTAAAAAATTCCTCGAAAGATTACCCACCCTCCCCCCATCCGAAATTCGAGAATTATTTTAAAAAGAAAACCTGGCAACTTCGTAATGGAGGCAATAACATATGCAATAATTGATAAAGTGTACAATGTCCCATTAACAAGGCATAAGTAACCAAATGTGAAAGATGTAACCAATTATATTGATTTATTGGTGCCAAAACAGGTTGCTCACAATCCTCCATTGCAGACATTGCTTCTAAAATTAAAATTTGAATAACTTCGTCACATTGAAGTTTTGATGATTGCACTTGTGGCGAAGGACGTAAAATATGCTTTAAAAAATAAATTTAAAGAAAAAAATATTTTAAAAAATACATTTAAATTGTCCTGCCCATGTGGTTGTTTAAATAGAATATATTGGAAATACGTTTGTGGAGAAGAATTTTCACTAAAAATTTAAGTTTGATTTTTTTGAATAATTTTTAATTGATTTTTAATCAATTAGGATAAGAAGTTGAACTATTTGTAAATTATAGTTGAGATATATGGAAAATTTAAAATGACAGAGAAATGTTTCGAAAAAGAAACAAAAATTAGCTTTTTGCCAATTTGAAGAAAAAAAGAATATGCTTAAGGAGTTAAGGTGGAGTAGAAGAAAATATTAAAAATTAATCAAAAAACACTCTACTAACCTATTATACGGCAAATGTGTTTTAAAATGTAATTTGCACTGTCTATCATCTAATTTCCAAACACTCCAAGTAGGAGAATTCCAAGAAAAAATAGGACTTGCAGGTACAGGCCACATCCACGAACGTCCAAGCATACAACCAATTTCAGCTAGAGGGCGAAAAGAAGCTACCATTTCGCGAATTTTTAAAGAAACTCGCTAAAAATGAATTAACATTGAAAAGGGAAAAAAATAAAACCGGCAAAAAATGTATAGAAGAATGGTCTGTGTCAATCTTGCTAACTTCATTTATGAAAAATAAAGCAGGAGAAAAATTCTTTTGACGATCAACTAAATCTATGACCAACTTAAAAATAAATTTTAAATAAAAAACATTTAAAATAATTAAAATTCATAACAAAAGTGGTTGAAATTAAAAAAAAAAGAATTTTATCCCTTAATAAAAAGCATGAAATTACGTTCAGTACACTCCAGATTGGACAAAAATTGTCAATAGTGTTGGGCAAATGTCCAGTTGGCGGTATACCTGTCCGCAAAAAGAATACGCTGTTTTCTTTCCTTTTCTCGCATTTTTTGCGTTGAGAGAAGTGCTGCTCCACTAATTTATCCTTTTTTGTCAAAATGCAAGAAAAAGAAATAAAAGAGCGGATTATCTTTGCGGACAGGTAGACCGCCAACTGGACATTTACCATTGTTGGAACCACTTTTTAAATTTATTTAAATTAAAAAAACCTCTTCAATAGGTTCCAATTGTTGATGCTGATATTCATCTAATAAATAATCCATCTTATCCAATTTTTCAACCAGTAAAAGTTTCACCAAATCTCTCAAATTTTTGTAGTCCATTTGCTCAATACTTTTACGAACAAATTTTATTTTTTCCGGATTTAGTCTTCGTTCCATTCGAAAATCAATGCTGGTAACTAATAATTGACAGGCAAGTCTGGAAATAATTAAAAATTAATTTTTATAAATTTCTAGTGTTTTTGAAGAAAATTTCTTTTAAATTATAAAAACCTACAATAAACTAATTATTTTTTCCTCTACAGCAGTTGTAATTATTTTTGTAATTATCTTGTCCAAAGAATACAAATACATTGTTTCAGTGTTGAGTAAATTTATTAAGCCATAACAAGCAGGTTCTAATTTATCCGGGAATTCTTGCTAAAAATTTAATTTTTTTAAGTTTTAATACAAAATTTTCTAGTTAGGTGGACATCAGAAAAGCCCAAAAAATTTAGAGAAAAAGTAAATTTATTCCGCAGTATTCAGGACATGCCAAGATGTTGAATATTTTTGTTTCTGGATATCGGTTTAGTCAAATTATATGGATAACCGAACCCGATAAATTGTATTGAATTTTCTTGGTCAGCCGACAGCAAAAATATACGGTTCCAGGTGAAACCGACAAAACCTAATAAAATCCAAAACCAGTAACTAAAACTAGGATTTTCAGCACTTTCTCCTCTCTATTAAGGAAAGCATTTTTTTTAAATTAAAAACTTACAACGAGCCCACCCCCCAAAATAATTTTAAAAAAATCCACTTACTATAGATTTAAGTAACATACAAGCTTGGACACAAGTCAATTCATCTCTTCTATTCGGCTTTTTATTACTCATCATAGGTTCAAAAATTGTTTTAAAAGTACTAGGCTTTACATGTTGTAATACTAACCATTTAAGTTTTTCTTCTTCCCTTCCAACAGCTAAAAAATTAAAATTTGTAGGGAAAGAATGTTGTTGTTCATTTTGTTTTTCGTTAGCAGCTGAACTTGTGGAAGGGGCACAAATTTCCATATTTGAAATTATTTTGGATTAAATTTTAATTAATAAATGCAAAAAATAAATTCTAGAATAAAAAAATATAAAAATAATTTTTTAAAAATTAATTAGAAAAAAGAAAATTAGAAAAATTTTTAAAGATTTTTTTAAACAAATATTACTAGAAACACAAAACAATTACTAGGTCGGTTCATAAAAAAGTTCGTTTTTTGTTATCACAAATTTTTTGGTTGATAACTACTTTTATCCGATTTTATTTTTATCTTATTTTGTAGCCCAGAGTCTTAGCTTTATAATGATATCAAAATTTTAAAAATATCAAAGATCAAAAAAATTTTATGCCTTCAGAAGTGAGCGTGGGTAAGGGGGATATTTAGGGGCAGTTACACATCCCATTAAAACTAAATAATAATGCAATATTGGCATCAAGAAAAATCAATGAAATGATAGGCAGGGATCTTGTCTAACCTAGTGTAGCTCAAAAATTTTTTAAAAAAATTCGATCTGGGAACAATAGGACCAAACACAAACATGGGTCGTGAAGATGACCGACTGTAAACAAATGCGTCCTTGCTCACCGGTCAGAACGATATCTGGATATTTTTTTATTAAAATTGTAGAGCGGACATTGCTCTTTAAGCACAATATGGCAATTGTTCGAAAAAACGGATCTTGAGCCGAGGAGGACAAAAAGAGTAATGCACCAACCGACTGGGAGACAAAAACAACAGGGACTTTTTTTTAGCCTTTCAAGCGTGGATAACTATCGAAAGGGTTATTCATGGAACCGGATTGTTACCTAAGTTGAAACATATGCCAATTACGATAATAATATACGAAAATTGTTTGGAGGAAAAAATATTAAGACCCTCTTTTGGTCCCCCGCCCAACCAACTACCCAAAAAACGTATATTGTGTATTCTTTTGGATAATGCTCAGTCCGTTGCTGACGGAAATACTTCAAATTGGTACCAATACAAACTCCAACATGCATAGTAACTAACTCGCCCAGGGAGATTTCGTTTGTTACTTTCAACGTCGCCAGGGACTGATTACTAGACCTCTGGTTTTCCATTAAAATAACGCTCCCTTACTCCGCTCATTTTTGACGACCTGCCATACCCCAAATAAACTTTGTTGGAAAGTGTAACCCCACCCCCCTTGTAGCCCTGAGTCTGCTCTATCAGATTAACATCATTTCACTTCTTTAAAAAATTTTTTACGGGACGGGTACTTGACTGAAGACGCCAAGGTCGAGACTGTGGTGGGGGAGACAGTGCTTCAGAAATGGGGTCAGATTTTTTCAAAAAGAGGTATCCACAAACTTTTTTCTGGTTTAAGAATGTTTTTAAGACTCGGGACAATTATTTAGTAAAGTTAGATTTTTTATCTGTTTTAGTTTGTTTGAGATTTATCGATTTTTCTTTGGAAATAAATTTTTGGAAAAAACGAACTTTTTTATGAACCGACCTAGTATATACCCTAACAAAAATAATAGTACAATTTAAAGATTTTCAAAGAATTGGAAAGCTTTTTTATTTGAAGATCTGGGTTATTTTAATTTATAAACAGATAACAATGGGATTCAGATAAACAAAGCTTCTTGAAATTTCGATTTTCGAAGATTTTTTTTGTTTCGGAATAACTCTGTTTATAAAAAAAAGTCTTATGCGCTAGTGCTGAGGATAAAAGTCTGTAATTTTAAAGCAACGATTTAAATAACAAAAAGAAATTTCATAGGCGTCTAGCAATTAAGTTAGAAAATTAATCCGCAAAAAAAAATAAATTTTAAAGGTTACTACGCCTATGAAAATACTAAAACAAAAAAACTTTTAATAATGAAATCACAATTGTAAAATATCAAAATAAAATTTAAAAGAATACCACCGTGATTTTTTAGAAAATGAGAAATTTGAGAAAAAAAATAAATTCAAAAACTTTTTCGTCTATCATCTTTAAAGTCATTTAAATTACCAGAATATTCACCAACACTTTCCATTTGCGAATTTACAGCTTCCGCCAATTGAAGAATAAAACGATCTAGCCAAGTAACAGAACGTGGATGAATGGGTGATTTGCCTTCCAAAAACCCCAAATGGCCGCCATGTTTGAGTAAAATAAATGCATGGAGAGGATGTGATTTGCAAATGTCTTTAACTGGTTTCCACAATGTTTCTGGGATGAGAGGGTCATCAAGAGAATTTATAAATATCTGGAAAAAAACTTTTTAATAAAAGAAAAAATTTTAAATAGAAATTTTTGATAGATCTCGCCTTTGTCGGTTCTCCAACAGAAATAGGACCCAAATTCCGAGAGAAATGACCAATTTAAAATTTTTTTTTCCTTCAAAAAAATAAAAAGACAAACCATTGGCAATTTTATTCCCTTAATGTGTTGTAAACAACTAATTTCTTCATAATAATCCTCAAGACTTGAGAATCCATAAATCCTTCGACTATAACACTCATCTAACCATAAAAGTGAAGTTGAAGACCAAAGTTGCTAAATTCAAAAATATTTTCCTCAAAATATTTAAAAAAACCTTTTCATTAATTAATCCAGAATTTACATGTGGTTGTATAGCCATAGCAAAATTATGGCGGAGCAAACGCTTTACATTTTCAGTTATTATATAATTATAAATTCGACGACCAGATTCCCATTCCATGAAAAGAGGTGCTGTGCTAGAAAAAAATGAAAATTTTTCTCAAAAATGATTATCCGCAAAATTTTTGCGGACAAAAATTTTTTTGCGGACAAAAAATTTTGTCCGCAAGTTTTAAAAATTAAAAAATTTACTCTCTAGCAGAATATCCTTGACAAACAGAAATGGCCAAAATAATTCTAGAAAGAATTGCCTTATCTAATTTAGCCAAACAATTAGTCATGACATTTGCTCCCATACTAAAACCAACACCAATAAAACGAGTAGAAGGATAGAGAATAAAAAGAGAATTAAATATAGCTTCTAACTCCCCATCTCCACCTTAAAAACAAAAATTAAAGTTTTTAAAAATTAAAAAAACCATAAGAAAAAATTCTTGAAGAAGTTAGAGGAACATTTTTGAGAACACCCAAATGATTGAGAACTGCACATCTATAGCCATTTTCTTGTAAAAGATGAACACATGTTCGAATATAATTTGATTCACTACAATTTGCAATTCCAGGGCAAAAAACCAAAGTAATATCAACTAAAAGAAAAATTGAAATTTTTGTTAGTTAAAGTCTTCCCAATTTTTTGACTAAAAAATAAAATTCCCACAAACCATTCTTTTTCGATTCTTTAAAAATTGGCTCAAAAACATCAAATGTAGCAGTAGCTCCATCTTTTAAAACAATAAAATGGCGTTTGTCAAAAGCTCTTTTAAGAGAATGATGACCAAGTATTCCATAAAACATTGTTTGTAAATGTCCATTTCTTCCCCAAATAGGAGGGGGAACATAACTAAATTAAACAAGTTGTTGACTGGACTGTCTCACCCCAAAGCTTTTTGTGAATTTTCCCCTTATAAAATATCTAAAAAATTTTTATCTTCGTTTCCTAAACCGAAAAAGATGTTACGGAATTTCTTGATAATTCCTCTTTCTCCAGAATTTCTTAATAATTCCTCTTTCTCCAGAAACCCATTTAAAGTAAAAAATAATTATTCTTAAAAAACCTAACGTTTCTTTCAAAATAGAGCATTGTTCCAAAAGTTCAGCCAAATCAACATTAACAAAATTTTCAAAATTGTTGTCGAAACTATCTGTGTTGTCAATTGAAAATTTTCTTTTAATTTTAACACGCCCTTTTTTCCTCAAAGTAATTTGAGGTTTTTCATCAAAACTAGTCAATTTGAGGAAACGGGCAAGAAGAAAAAAACAAATAATTAGACAAGCATAACCTGGCGAAGCTAAAATACTTCCAAAACTTGGAGCTAATGAATAAATAAAATGCATATAATTCTTTACATTTAAAAATCTCCTAAAAGACTTGAAAATAAAAAATTAAGATTAATTGAAAATGGAGTTTGTGAAGATTTTGTGAATCGGGAATGGGGGACGAATTGAGAAAAAAACTCGAAAAGCCCGGATTTAGGTCGTGCCAATAAAAAAATTTGAATTGTCTAAAATTTTGTGAATAGAACTTTCTTGTCCTTAAGATATTTGAGGTATGTTTTGGGTTTAGCAGATTCATCGGTTTAACGAAACCGAGAAAGTGGGAATATTACAGTTGTTCAAGGCCGAAAATTTTCTAATAAGAAGTTTCCAAGAAGAATCATAAAAAGGTAGACATTCTACAAAAAATCGAAAATGTTAAAAAATCGATAAAGAAATAAAGAAGCAAATTTTAATAAATTGCCATTTTATTTAAAACATTTTGACAAATACCGCATTTATCATAACCATTTATATTTTTTAAAAAACAAAAGAGAAGCTACAAAAAAACTGCTTGTAAGCGAAATAGGAAATAATAAAAAATAAACTTTTGAGACTTTTATTTTAGATTTCCCTTCAAAATACATTTAAAAAGTCATTATAATTCGTATTAAAATAAAAACCGCAAAAGTTAAAAAGATGGAGCTTCTCCTTTGTTTTTAGATCAACAAACTAAAGATATAAAATCCAAAAACAAAAAATCATTGCTGCGGTGTCTCTTCCTTCTTCTCACCCTCAGTAAGTTTATTGAGCAACTCCTTACGTTTCAAAATCAAACGTTCTTCACGCCTCTTTCTCGTCTCCTTGTTCTTGTTTCGGCGAGCCTCAGCTTGTTCACTAAAATTATAAAGTTTGAATTTACTTAATGAGCTTTATAAAAACATACGCAAGTTGTTTAGAACGCTGGTTCTCAGTCTTCTTTTTGAAGATGTATTCCATAAGGTTGCGCTTGTTTTTGAATGCATTTCCTTTGGCCTTCAGGTAAAGCTCATGGTAAAGATGCTTGTCAATCTTCTTCGCAGCTCGATAGCGCTTTAAAAGATGGCGGAGCACACGCATTCGACGCATCCATAAGACCTTCTCAGGCATACGAGCATTTCGAGTTCCGCGTCGTTTTCCAAAACCCATATGACGACCCTGAAGTTTTCTAAGTTAAAATGTTGAAAGAAAAACAAAACCTTTCTGCGTGCTTCCAAACGTTCACGAGCTCGAAAACGAGAGTGAATCTTCCCAGGCTTCTTAATTATAAGACCATCCTTGACCAAACGACGAACATTCTGACGAGAATTTGCAGCGGAAATCTCGTTGACTTCATTCGGATCCAGCCAAACCTTCCCTTTGCCGCACTTGAGAACCGCAGCCGCCAAACGTTTTTGAAGACGAAGATTACTTGAAATTTAAATTATCACTAGGTAATGCAACAAAAAGATGAGTACTATCGCAGCATTATCTCCCCCAACTGTCATTGACAGGGATTAAACTTTATAAAATGGGAATTTGACAGAGGGGATGATTTTCTCTAATAATTGTTTCTAGATTAATTCCGTATCCCACAACATCTACGGCGGACATTTACAATTTTAAGAGGAGATAAAACGATAGCACCAATGGAGAATTGTCGAAATTGATCCTTACCTCATTTAAGTCAAAACAATAATTGTCCAAAATAAATAGAAAATTTAACTAAATAAAGTCTGAAAAACAAAGGAAAGATGGTAAAAACAAAAAACTAAAAAGAGAATACGTGAGATTTCAACATCGTTTCCGTATGCGAAAAAAATGATTTTGCCGGAAACAAAAATGTAAAAATTTTCAAAATTAACAAAACGCCAAAAACTTTTGGCGTTAATAAAATATACATTAAAATTTAAATTCAAATTTTTGTAGATTCCCCAGAGATTTTTTGTTTCCAAATATGTAATTGTTTGCAAGATTTATTATAAGAAAATCATAAAATATGTTTTTTAAATTTAATTTTACAACCAAGATTTTAAACCAAAATAGAAAAAAAATTTTATTTTCTAAATTTTAATTCTCCCTAAAAAATTACAGAAATAAAAGAGATCACAATTTTAGAGATTTAAAGAAAATTGGAAAGGATTTAAAAGGAAAGGAATAAAAAAGGAGATTATTTTTATTTATTTTTTCTTCAATTTCTCTAATTTAATAAAGTTGTTGGAATGAATGAATTTGCATTTGTTCGCTTGATAAATGGCTCATATTTTTTGATTCTAACCAATAAGTTTTACATAAACCTTTGCCCTTTAAAAATAAAAAATTTTTTTCTTGTTAAATTTAGTCTGAAGAGATTATATAGCCATTAGAGATCGGGCTTAGACGAGATCTCAAGCAAAAATCTCGGTTATCACGAATTGAAATCCCTCTCAGTGGTCTCCAGTAATTATTGTATTTTCCTTGTTATTTTCTCCAAAGGTGAAAATTTTTGAGAAAAAATTCTCCTATCTTTCCCAGTAAATTTATTTAAATTCTAAGATTTACCCTCATTCATATTCAATTAACTCCCATTTACTCCCTCAAGTCATTTCAAAAACTAAATTATTCCAGGAAAATTTAGAAGCGAAATGAGAGTTTCATCAAAAATATGCGGTCTTTTTATTCTTCAAAAACAATTTAAGCGCGTCTTTCCAAATATTTTATTCAATTTTACCGGCCCTTCCAAATTAAAATCCTATTAAAAACTATACCTTAATTTCAACTTGTCCACGATGTTCAGTAACATATTCAGCATAATGTGTAGCCAGCAATTGATTAGTTTGGTCGCTTATTTGAATTTTTTCGGGTAATCCTGTTGATTCCATTCTCGATGCAGTATTGACCTTTTTATTATTTAAAAAAATATTTTAATAAAAAAATATTTACAGTATCTCCAAATAAACAATAACGTGGAGCAGTTAATCCAACAACACCGGCAGCAACCTTTAAAATTAAAAAAAAAATTATTTGGTCTAAGAAAAACAATTAATTGGTATTCAAATATAATTACAGCATCGTTATTTCCGTATAACGGCACTTAAAGGAGAATAACATTATTTAATGGTGCAATAAATATAGCGAGCTCTTAGGGGATATCCCCGTGTTTGTATGTATAACAAGAGTTAATATACCAATTACAGTCAAGTTTAGTTATAAGGTCAATAGTAAATAAAGGTACTAAAGCACCCATTAAGCCTATTATTAGAAGCGGAGTTTACCGCAATTCATCAATTAATTCTAAAGTTGTTAGGAATAGTTAACTGACCATTTTTCCTCGATTAATTATCCTCCCTCAACTAATTACCCGCTCGACTGTTTACTTATAATTAAAGTCGAAACATAATTAACCCTCCCTCAAATCCCTACTACACGTTCAAATTACAAAACTCGAATTGTCCTCCCTAATTAATTATCCATTCCAGTGGTCGAAAGCCAGGGTATTTATTCAAGAAAATATTGTAGTTTTTATAATTAACTTACCGGTCCTGAATGAAAACCCCATCGACATTTAACCTTTAAAAAATTAAAATTTAATGACAAAAAAAATTTATTTTACCCTTTCTTTTCGTCTATGAGGAATTTCATAACCAGAAAGAAATTTACGCATAGAAAGAGCAACATTAGCAATTGTGTCAACATGTCGATTTTGTGCTAAAACACTTTGGTCTTTAGGTGGGGGAATTCCTGCAACAACCATGTACGCATCTCCAATTGTTTCTACCTTTTTAGGAAGAAAGAGGAGTTTTTAAATTTATTTTTTTGGAAAATTTAAAGTTTAGATATAAGGCCTCTCTAGCTGGTTCCGATATCTATACTCCCAAAATATTAATGATTCTCCCTAATTAAGGGTAACTTTGAGGTATGGTTGGGGGAGAGGAGGGGGACTGGGAAATCCCCGAATATCCGGATTCGACATCCGAATCGAAAATTTCCGAATTATCCAACCATACTTGTGGCCACCTTAATCTGAGTCGAATAATTTGAAATTAAATTTCTCCTTCCGAGAAGTCAGACCTATATTTATTTAATACTATGACTACTAATACTACTACTACTAATATGACTACTATGCTCGTTTTACAATCGAATTAATATCCCATGTGTGAAATGTAACTGATTTTTAACTAAATTTATTAATACTTTATAAGCTCCATGTTCAAGAATTCTGTCATCAAACCCAGCATATATTCCATTTAATAAAGTAACAACTTCAAGAGGAGAACTTTCTTGACATATACGTGTAAATCCAACAATATTAGAAAAAAGTATTGTGGCAGAAGCAAAAGTTTCTGGAGGGACACGACGTCCAGCCTTTAATTCTGTAGCCACATATCTTTTTTTGGGAAAGAAATTATTTATTAGGTATTTTAAATTTGGATTAACATGGAATTGACAGGGAAAAATTTTCCCATAAATAACCCTTTTTTCTAAAAAATTTTACGGTGGCAATAATTGATTTAATAGTCTGTCAGCACGGGCATTAGCTTCTTCCAGCATTTCTGTACGTTCACGAACTACTTTTTCCAAATTATTTGCATATTGCTCCATAACTCTCATCATTTGTTCTACTAAAGAACCTTTGCTGAAAAGAAAAGGGGATTTGTAAGGGGGATTTTTGATAGTGTTAATTAATGGATTATGTTCTAGCCTTAAAGGGAACATAATTTTTGTAATTTTAAAATAGTTGAAAAGGTATCTATTGAAAATATATTAAAAAATTAATTTTAATTTGTCAAAGTCTGTAATATTAAAATAAGGGTTAGTCTGTCTCAAGAGAATCGCTGAATATTGTGAACAGCGCTGAGTCAATCCCGAACTCAAAAATACCTTATTTTAGGCGTTTATCTTTAATTATAAATAAATAACAGAAATTTAGAATATTCTGTTCTTTTGCGACCTAGGACACTACCGCCAATCCTATGAGGCAAAGATTGCTTTATGGTAAATTTTCAAACTACCATCAAAATTTTTGTCAAAAAAATTTTTTTCAAAGAAAAACTAGCCATTTAAGAACAGATTCAGTATTCAAACGAACACGTCGAATACTTGGACGTATTTCCGCATTTTCTGACCAACAATCAATTAAAAGGGCGGCCATATCCGGATGTATTTGAGTTTCCTTTTCTTGAATTGTTGGTTTAATATGTCTAGATCCATCATCTCCAGAAGCCCCCACACCTAAAAAAATAACAAAATTAAAAATTAAATTTTTTAATTAAAAAAATATTATCATTGTTGCCGTTTCGCGTATCTAAAATTTACCAAAAAAATAAAAAAAGGGGAAAATTAAAGAGAGACAAATGATTGGATTTGTATGAATTATTGGGTTAATTAATTAATTAATTTTGTTTGAAAATAATTTAAATATAATGTCCCATAAATAAATTTTAATAAATACTTACTTGATATAACCTTTGTTTAAGGGGTGTTTCGGGAATTTTTTGAAGAAGAAATGGGGAATTAATTGAACACCGGATAACTTAAATTTTAATTTTGGGCTCCAAACCTCTTAATCGCCTTCCAAATTCTATTAAAAAACCGAGAAATCTTCGGTCGCTCAGTTAAGTCGAGGTACTTTCTGGATATGCCGCCCTCTTCTAGTTTGAGTATCAGTTATTTTTTCCTTCTTAATTTTTGGGTATATTTGGACAAGCAAAAAATTTATTTTCTGCACTTACACTTCGTTTACATATATTGCTTGAAGAAAATAAATAACTGAAACTCAAATTAGGGTGGATATCCAAAAAGGAACCCTTATTTATTATTCCCGAAACAACCCCCTTTCCTTTCTCTCTTAAAAAACAATAATTCAACAAGTTTTCCCAATTAAATGCCAAAAATAAAGAGACAAACTGACCAGAGAGGTCAACATTTCTAGGGAAGGGAAGATCACGGAATAAAATTTCATACATAACAATTCCAAAAGCATAAATATCCCCAGCCTAAAATTTAAAGGAAATAAAAGTTTGGAGTAATTTCTGAACCTGTCTACGCATAACAGATTGTTGAATCCAACTCTGATCCATACGGCGACGTCTATTTTGTTCTCGATTTTTTAACATTTCGGGTGGGCAATAAATATTGTCTTAAAATGAATTTTGATCGAAATTGTCTTAGGTTTAAACTAGAATTAAGAGATTGGATTTCAAATTAAATGAATCAGAGAACAATAATGTGATTTGATAATATTCCCCAATTAAATATAGTCTAGGTAAGATGGTCCCTGATAAGATAGTCTCCTTCTTATAACGGGGCTATAATCTAGAGGTGACAGCCAAATCGGGTAATCCTCTATATCATCGTTTAGAGCAGTGCTGTGTGTGGTCCGGGAGCTACTCTGGAGCCGGCTTCGGCGGATCCGGAGCTAAGATTTTGAAAACCTCGGAGCTGGAACTACATATTTTCCTTTTTAGCCTATTTGTTTTCTCATTCCAAATTAATAAAAAAACAACAAACAATTAGCTTTCAATCCCCTTCTATCAAAAGCAGTTGGACAAGATTTTTCTTTACTTCCCCGCCTCTTTTCTTTAACAACTTCTTCCTCTTCTTCAGCCTTATAAGGCTGTATTTGCCCTTCCTTTTGCCATCTTTCAAGCATTGTAGCCAATCCAAAATCGGTTAAACGAACAGACCAATTTCGGTCAATTACACAAGTAGATGGACTTAATAAACCGTGAAAACCAACTTTTGATAAATGCAAATATTCTAAACCCTGAAATTTTTTAGGAAATTTTTTTAAAAAATATCCCTCAAATTTTTCAATTACCAAAGTAATATCACGAACAAAAGCAGCATGGAATTTCTCATCTAAAGTCATACTTTTGTTGTAAATAATGTCTTGAACACTCCCACGCGAACAAAACTTCCAAAGAATAAACCTAAAAAGCTTCGATTGGATAAGAAGGAAAAAGCCTCGTTTGGATTATCTTTTTGATTAACCGGGCTCAGTTATAAAATAAACTTTACAAGTTTTTGAGAGTTCCTTTCCTAGAAATTTTACTCGTTCAAAAATAATCTCAATAGGTCCTTACAGTCCTTGCAGTTGTTTTCTAGTCAAAGCTGTCCCTGCACATTATTCTTTCCCTCCCCATCATATAGGAAAGACAGGATCGAAACGAGATCTCGGACAAAATATCGGTTATCTAAATGGATATTTTTCGAGATAACAGGTACAACACTCCCAGTCCAGTCTATAACCTCAACACTAGTAGTATGATAATCCCTTCTATCCTCATTCTGAATTCTCTCCTTCACGCCCCTCCTCCTCACCTCCTCCTCCCCCTCCAAAATCAAACAATTTTTCCTTACATTTCCTCCTTATCATTAAAAGCCATTCCAAGAAACGGATTAATATTATCGTGGATAGCATCTTTTACAGCTGTCAACAAAACCATATCTTCTCTATTAAATTTTAGTGGTTGCTTTTGAATAAATCTTCTATAAGTTGCGTGTGTATTAACACCAAGTATTGCGTGTTTTTTGCTTCCCCCAATACTTTGATTTGACAATTTTGTATTAGAACTTCCAATAGAAAGGAGAGAACGAGCTGCTTCTTCGTCTATTAGACGAAAATCGTCGCTGAATAAACGCCAAGGCATTTTGTTTAAAGCGCGGGTTTGGCTGAGGATTGAATGGGAAATTTTTTGTGATTTTTTATTAAAAAATAAACAAAAAACACCAATGTCGACGTAACAACCAAAGTAAAAGAATAAGCATAATTAGAGCCAAAACAGTTGCCCCAACAGCAATTTCAACAGTGTAAGAACAACGTTGACCTCTGAAGCCGCAAACTGGTTCATCTGGGGGCATTGCCCCGTTCTCGGAAGGCCAGAAGCCAGTCATTACGTCAGTCAATTTCTGAAATGGATTTTTTCAACTTAAATTATAAAGTAGTTTGACACATAATTAGCTAGTAACGTTATATGTTTATTGGAGATATCGGCTAACGGTCCCTCACTGAATTATGAAGAGATAATGGGTATATTTAGACGCTCCTGTGTGCTATTTAATGAGTAATTAGAGATTATTGAAGCCTGAATTAGTGAAATTTCCAATAAAAAATTTTTTAATTAAAAATCAAAAATTTACCAAGTCATAACACCCAGTTCTATTAATAGTTCCGTCACAATTTGGAATTCTATAAGTAGTCATCTGTACCATTTTCAAAACTTTCTCTCTGTTTGGAGCAATAAAGAAAGCAGCGAATTGGGGCGCTCTGTCAGCCAAGTCGTCCATTTGAACTAATCCAGTATTAGAACCTGAAACGACTGTTCCAATGCCTAAAAAGTCTCGAAAATAACAAAATCAGTCCTTTTAGTATTTCTTAAAAATTCTTCTTTTAGGACTGACAAAATATTTTTTTAATAAAATTGGCAGACCAACTTTGATGGGAAGGGGGGGGGGGGGTTAAGGATGACGGTATCTCCGATGTTATGGTATAACCGATATGCCATTCTCGGTGAGAAAATTTATTCAGAATATCCAAAGAGAACTTCAGAATCCGGAGCACCTCATTTACCTCATTTCAGTCCCGGCTCAGTTCAGTCCCGAGCTATAACTCAAGAAGGGGGTCCGAGCTATAACTCAGAACTACTCCGAGCAATTGATAGAAGGTATACAGTATATTTTTAAAAATTCATTTCCAACAATAAAAATCCCAAAAAAAACACCGTCAAAGGAAAGTCGTCTCATAGCACTCCAAATTTGATGTCCATCAAGTACAGCCGCCGTTTGATTAGCCTCATCAGTTTTATTCATTACTTTCCGAACAGCTAATGCATACAATTTTAACGAATCATATAAATGAAGATAGGCAAAAGTGTTGGTCTAATAAATATTTAAATTTTGTTTAAAATTAAAAAAATTTTTTTAAAAATTTAATTTTTAAAATTTAAAAAAAGTTTAAAGTTGTCCTTTAAAACCAAAGATTTTTTTTATTTTTTTTTTGTTTTTTAATTCACTTGCGTTTGTGTGCTCCCTTCAGATGGCCTTGTTGATGAGGCCATTTTCTAAGATTTTTTTAAAATAATTTTTTTCTTTAATATTTAACCTTATATCGGTTTGCTAAAAAATTTTTTTAAATTTAAAAATAGACAATTTCTCTTTGGTTTTTTATTAAATTTTAGAATTAAATTAATAATGTGGATAGTCTCTCTTATGCAAATATACTAACTATCAGGGATCGCGCCAACCCGATTCACGATTCACGAAAATCGTGAATTTGATTTTCTGTCGGCGCTATCCCTGCTAACAACATCCTCTCAACCAATGCTTGGACGCTCGTACCAAGATTTTTACCTCGTATTCGTACCTGGTACTAACATAAGTACGAGCAAAAAATGAGAGTATGCTAACAATAAGTACGAGTTAGGGTGCTAATCTGAAATTTCCAAGTAATGCTCTCAACTCCTTCTCTTTACTAAAGCAATCCGGAAAAAATCGGAATGATTTAATATAGCGAAGAAACAAAGAAGTTTGACATATTTTCCGGTTTATGATCAGACAAAAAGTGAGAGAGTGTATAATAACAAGCATGTGAATAAGAGAGACAAGTCTGTTGCAGACATTCTTTTCCCTAAGTTGAAGATTTTAATTTTAGGACAACCGACAAAAATCCTCTTATTTTAAATTAAACATTTTTTGGAAATAAATTTACCAAATCCAAGTCTTCTTTAGCCAATCCAAATTTCTCTATTCGGCTAACAAAAGTATCAACCAAAACATTATCAAATCCATTCACATCATCAACAATTACAGCATTTGCATAAGTATCTTTTACTTGTTGAAGTACTTCTCCTGTGGATCCCATCCATGGGGAGGCGTCTGAAAAATTTATGAAAATTAAAAAAATTTTTTTGATTTTTTTTGAAATTTTTATGAAAAATTTTTGAATTTTTTTTTATTTTTTAATGCCTTTAGGTCCAGATTGAAGCCAAGGAAGAATATAAGCATATTCTGCTGTATTCATTTGAACCTTTGAAATGGCACTCATAAATTCTCTAGTCAATTCACGAGTGTAGGAGAAAATACAGACAACAACTAAAAAATAAAATTTTTTTCATATTTTCAGATCTCCCTAATATTTACAAAAATTATTAAAAATTAGCTAATGTATTTATTTATTTACACACCAGTACTATTTTATCAAGAGAATTATGAAAGAGAAAAATCCTAATTTCCGTCTGTCCAAAAATCCATTTTGTCTATATTTTTGGATTTATTTTTATTGACTTATTTATAAAAAATATTATAAAAATATTTTTATTTTTTAAATTTAATTATTTCCGAAAAATTATTTGGAATTAAAAATTCTGTGCGCAAAAATAAATTTACTTAAGTAAATCGTGCTTAGCAAAATTAGCGTCCATAAAATTATATTTTCGGCCCACAAGAGGTTTTATTAATTCTGAAATTAAGTAAACTAAAGGTTCTAGTTTAGGACATGCGTCCCATGAGTGTTTAACATCCAAAAGTCTGCGTCTCGAGAGAATATGTACGAGTTCTAAAATACCAAAGACCCAGTCTCATATACCCTTCGTAACCAGAAATGTTTTGAAACAAAAAATGTTCGAAAATCTCTTCGACTATAACTAGCATGAATGGGATGCTTATACCCTAGGGACGTTTAAACGATCATGGGACGCATGTCCTAAACAAGAGCCAAATTATGTACTAATACATGATTTTATCTATTTTTTAATTTTTATTTAATTAAAAATTCAGAATATCCTTTAAAAATATTTAATAAAAATCTTAAGCAACAACTTATCAAAAATTTTAATTTACTTTTCTGACAGGTGAACAAATAATAATTCTTTTTTTATTTAAATTTTATTTTCTTTTTTCTAGTTATTATCTCAATGTTTTGCCTAAATTTTGCCTATTTTATTTTAATTTTTATTAATTTAATTCAAGCAGAACAGAACGGTAAATTATAATTCTTTAATACATATTCCTAATAAGGTGTCCCAAGATAAGGTTTGTCCCAAGAAACTCTTAAGAAAAGTCTTGAATCAAATCTCATGACCAATGCCTTAACGCGCCCAAAATACGAGTACGAACTCGTACCTAGTCTGAAATTACGCCAATCTGGGCCGGTAAAATAAGAGCGTGGTTGCTGGTTAGGTGACCTACCAGCGCCCAACTTTTCCCCTATAATTTAAAAAGAAGAGAGAAATGGCTGCGCCGAAAAAACAGGGAAGAAAAGAAAGAGGAAAAGTATACTGTAGTTTTCCTCTTCTTTTCTTCTACCCTGCTAAGGGGCAGGGTTGAAGATTTTTGAAAAAATCATTAAAAAGCGAATTTTGATGGAAAAATTAAAAATTTAATATTTTTAAATAGCTTGAAGCGTCCTCTATTTTTTGACATAATTTTTTGAATTTTCCCTTTAAAACTCAATTTATGAGAATTTTTTTAAAAAAGTACCTCATTTTTCAGTGATTTTTTAACAAAAAGTAGTACCTTGCTAGAAAAATCATAACTTTTAAATAAATCGGTCAAAATTTTTGATTTTTTGTCAAATCATAGTTAACACTCCAATCTATATTCTGGCAAAAAAATAAAATTTTTACTCCATTTTAAAAAAAGTTATGATTTTTTTCCTAAATAGGGAGAAACAAGAAAAAACGGCGACGCCAAACCCGCGGCGTAGGGTCACCTTGGCGCTGCCGCTACGATGGTTACCTAACCATCGTCTTATTTTACGGACCCTGAAATTAGGAAGCTCTGCTCAAGATCAAGTCTTGGAAAGCTCTAAAGATATAGGAAGGTTTGAAGAATGCCTGCCATTAAGAGCTCTAATATTTCTATATAATTTTTCCACCTCTACATTATCACAGTATGAAATTATCAAAAGGATGGGGGATAAAATAAAAAATTGTAGCAAAATTATACATATTATGTTTTTCAGTAGACAACGATATAAAACAATTAGTTTTAAAAGCATGTTGTGGGGATAATTGTGAAGAATTTCAAAGACCCGAAGAGGTAAATTATAAATGAATTTTTACTTTTGAAAAATAATTTTGTAGATGTATGGAATTATGTGGTAAAATAAATTTAGAAAAAATTTTTTTTTTGTTTTTTTGAGTTGTGGAGATGAACCAAGTAATCAATTTGAAGAAATTTGTTGTGATAATGTTCCAAGAAGGTAGAAAAAATTTTAAAATGAGGGTAAATATTTATTGTGATCCTAGGGGTTGAGCTGGCGAGTTGTTTTTGTTTAAAGTTCTGTTATTCTATGTTCTCTTCACCCTACATATGGGCTGAAAGGAACATCATGAAGTGAAAGGCTTCAATATCTCAATAATTTTAGACGCAAACAATCTTCGAGTTTTATTGACCGATGTTGTGGCAATCAAACTTTAGCTTATGACCAAACTTGTTGCCAAGGAGTTGTACACAATATTCCTTCAGGGGAATGTTGTGGCAAAATGGCATATGCCCGCAATTCATTTAATACTCTTTGTTGTGATGAAATGCTTTTAACAAATGTAGACCCGTCTTTAATTTGTTGTGGTAAGCCTATTGCTGTAGTTTTAAGCACAAAAATTGATATTCAGGCAAAAATGCCTATGATGGAGGAAAAAAAGAAATTTGTTGTGGAGGACAAGTTTCTCTCAAAGAATTATTTGATGGATGTTGTAATATTTATGTAGGTGTTGATAAATTAAATAAGGAGGGCCGCAGGGTTGTCAGCATCTCTAGCTGATGATCAAACTTGCCAAGTAGTTGTTTAGGATGAATATCCTAATTTCATCCGCGGGGTCGTCAACGTATCTTCGAATTCTAGAAACCCTCGTTCCGCCATCCTTTCTTTATCTTATCAACGTGAATTACCGCATTTCCTCTATTAGAATGCCATGGCATTCTATTCTTCAATCACCTTCAAAGGAGGCATTCTATTAGAGGGTGGCCTTCAATAGAGGGTGGCCATTCTAATAGAGGTAACTATAAGGAAAAGCTGTCAACACAGCTTTTTGCAAACAATAATGGAATTAACTAGATCCTTCAATACATTTTCGATTTTACTTATCTTTAATATTTCAAAAATTCAATTAAAATTCTCTCTAATTTTTCAGAACACAGCAGAATATCAACAATACAATACCCGAACACAAATTTGTTGTGATAAACCTATAGAACGTTTAGGTAAAACAAAATGTTGTTATCTAAAAGATGCCCAGGGACGTTTTTACCCAGCAAGTTATGATTCTAGTTCTCAATGCTGTACTTTCCCATTTTTGGAAATAACAAATAAAAATGAGAATGGAACTTGTACATAAAAAATTTGAGGAGATTGAAGATAATAAAATAAGGGAGAGACTCTTTCAACTTTCTTTTCTTTCATTTTTTTCTGCCATTAATTTTAAGCTCTCTTTATTTTTAAATTTGTACCCTCATAATTTTTAATTATTTATTGAAGTATAAACTTACTTCTTGCATTTTGTGAAATTTCATTAAGCAATCCACTTTTTATTATTTCATTAGAATCCCAATTTTCATCAAAAATTACCTTAAAAATTTTAATTTCCAAATAAAGTAGAATACCTATCTAGATTTTATTAAAGTTCGGCCATTAGGTGCTTGAAGAGAGCTAAGTGATACCCCCAATTTTTAATACATTAAATTTCAAAATTAAGACCATGTAAACCAAATTTTATATTTTTTCTTTTACCTTCTTAACAACAGTTACTGTATTTGTTCGACGAAATTCTTCTTCAAAAGCTGCTACACGTTCATAAGCAATAGGCCCACTATTTGTTACTAATGCAATCTAAAGGAGTTATTTTTTTAGGAATTCAAGTGAAACAAACTAAACAAGCAACGAGAAAAATAGTTTTCAAAGGGAGAAATTCGAAGCTCTACTGGAAATGGAAAATTTTCAGCTAAAGATAAGCGAACCTAGGAGAATCCTATCCTTAGATTTTGACTCAACACAAACTCTAGCAATTTACAAATTTATTTATCAAACATTCAACAAACAAATATACAAAAAATAGCAAATAGAAAAGGCTTACAACAAAATATGAACAATTATGATGGGAAATGAGGGAAAAATTATCACATTACAAAAAGTTTGAGGAATATACATATCACAATCCTATGAGTTTCTGTCATTGCCTCATCACTCGTCGAACTTCTGTCCTGGCTTCGGTTTGCGACACAGCACCAAGAATTTGTGGACAGCTGGTCCCTCGAAGCGCTCGTCCTTGCCAGCGACGACAGCCGATGCACGCTCGTTACGGATGTCCGCTTTGCCGAGTGCCTCCTTGCCATTTGGTAGAGTTAGCAGGCATGGCGAGATGTTTCCTGAAAGGAATAATAAAATTTAAGGGTTAGCTCAAGGTATTATATGATCGATACCTTTCACGTGGTCCACGTGTACTGGATAGTACACTCGGGAGTTCTTGTCATAGACGGCAGCATCACTCCACGGGCGCCAAAGGTAGTCGTAGCCGCGAACTTGCTCAGGAAGGTCGACGAGGACTTGAATGGAGCCAATATTGTCGGTGAAGGCCTTGCCGTTCCAGCCAAACGCAGCAGCGACCTGAACTCAAAAAAACCACAAACTAATTTATTTATAAAAAATAAATTTTTTCTCACCTTTCCACCATTGTTCCAGATGCGGCCCATCACAGGTTCACCGTGCACATACCACAAGGCCACATGCTGCTCAGCAGAGTCTCCAGCCGTTGCGTTCAGCGTCTTGTCACCAGCTCTCACCGTCCTATATCCTGGCCATGGGTCTCCCATCCTGATGTCTGCCCACTCGTTCAGCATGATGAGCACTGGCGGCGGTCCCTTGGGGCAGCTGGCGCACACACATCCTGGAGGGCCTCCTTTCAGATTTCTAAAAATGGGATAAATTTTAAAGACGCACCTAAACACCTAAACGTACCGAATAATGATCATCATTTCCGAGAGCGGTTTTCCAACGACGCATTCTGCCTTGCCAGCTTGTGAAAAGTAGGCTTCTTCCGTCTTCATGTTCAAGTAGCCGAGCAGTGTTCCACCAGGACGATTAACCCATAGAATGGGCATCGAGTCGCCGCACCGAACCAGTTGACGTTGATCGGTCTTCTCGAAACGGTCCTTGTACTTGATCCACTCGTACCAATAGCCGAGCGAGTTGTGGTCTCCTTTGTACTGCAGCACCTTAAGGAAAGAAAAAAAGGTTATAGATTAGCTTGCTAAAAAAAGACCCAACGCACCTGAATCATGCCGCCAAGATCTACTTTCCCTGTGAGCTCAGCCTTGCCGTACGGAAATGAAGCTTGTACAACGCCACCGTCGTTCCATGCGTAGCCGTGCACCGGCTTTCCGTTCTTGTACCACAGTGCGACGTACATGTTCTGCTGGCCCAGCACTTTGACAGGATTGTCCGGAAATGGCGACCCGATCGGATTGAACGCCCACGTATCCTCCTTCGGCGCAGGGTTTGGCATTGCGGCTTGCGTTGACGTAACTTGCGATGATGATGTGATGGACGAGATGAGTTGTTGACGGTGAGGAGTGGTCAAAAACCGTCGTTTTTATAGTTATTTTGAGTTGCACAATGCCACCTTCAATGAAAGGCTATAAAAACGACGGTTTTTGACCACTCCTCACCGTCAACAACTCATCTCGTCCATCACATCATCATCGCAAGTTACGTCAACGCAAGCCGCAATGCCAAACCCTGCGCCGAAGGAGGATACGTGGGCGTTCAATCCGATCGGGTCGCCATTTCCGGACAATCCTGTCAAAGTGCTGGGCCAGCAGAACATGTACGTCGCACTGTGGTACAAGAACGGAAAGCCGGTGCACGGCTACGCATGGAACGACGGTGGCGTTGTACAAGCTTCATTTCCGTACGGCAAGGCTGAGCTCACAGGGAAAGTAGATCTTGGCGGCATGATTCAGGTGCGTTGGGTCTTTTTTTAGCAAGCTAATCTATAACCTTTTTTTCTTTCCTTAAGGTGCTGCAGTACAAAGGAGACCACAACTCGCTCGGCTATTGGTACGAGTGGATCAAGTACAAGGACCGTTTCGAGAAGACCGATCAACGTCAACTGGTTCGGTGCGGCGACTCGATGCCCATTCTATGGGTTAATCGTCCTGGTGGAACACTGCTCGGCTACTTGAACATGAAGACGGAAGAAGCCTACTTTTCACAAGCTGGCAAGGCAGAATGCGTCGTTGGAAAACCGCTCTCGGAAATGATGATCATTATTCGGTACGTTTAGGTGTTTAGGTGCGTCTTTAAAATTTATCCCATTTTTAGAAATCTGAAAGGAGGCCCTCCAGGATGTGTGTGCGCCAGCTGCCCCAAGGGACCGCCGCCAGTGCTCATCATGCTGAACGAGTGGGCAGACATCAGGATGGGAGACCCATGGCCAGGATATAGGACGGTGAGAGCTGGTGACAAGACGCTGAACGCAACGGCTGGAGACTCTGCTGAGCAGCATGTGGCCTTGTGGTATGTGCACGGTGAACCTGTGATGGGCCGCATCTGGAACAATGGTGGAAAGGTGAGAAAAAATTTATTTTTTATAAATAAATTAGTTTGTGGTTTTTTTGAGTTCAGGTCGCTGCTGCGTTTGGCTGGAACGGCAAGGCCTTCACCGACAATATTGGCTCCATTCAAGTCCTCGTCGACCTTCCTGAGCAAGTTCGCGGCTACGACTACCTTTGGCGCCCGTGGAGTGATGCTGCCGTCTATGACAAGAACTCCCGAGTGTACTATCCAGTACACGTGGACCACGTGAAAGGTATCGATCATATAATACCTTGAGCTAACCCTTAAATTTTATTATTCCCTTCAGGAAACATCTCGCCATGCCTGCTAACTCTACCAAATGGCAAGGAGGCTCTCGGCAAAGCAGACATTCGCAACGAGCGTGCATCGGCTGTCGTCGCTGGCAAGGACGAGCGCTTCGAGGGACCAGCTGTCCACAAATTCTTGGTGCTGTGTCGCAAACCGAAGCCAGGACAGAAGTTCGACGAGTGATGTGGGCAATGACAGAAACTCATAGGATTGTGATATGTATATTCCCCAAACTTTTTGTAATGTGATAATTTTTCCGTATTTCCCATCATAATTGTTCATATTTTGTTGTAAGCCTTTTCTATTTGCTATTTTTTGTATATTTGTTTGTTGAATGTATGATAAATAAATTTTTAAAATTGTTTGATTTAGTTTTTTGATTCTTTCTGACATAGTTTTGAGCCTTGTATTGAGCTTTTTTGAGCTGCTTCCCATAGTTTGAGCTTTTAAGTTGAGCTTTAAAGCTGTCAGGCTTTGCCTCGTTGTTCGAGTTTTTTCCTAGATTCTCGATGTAGGAGTTATCCTAAGCGAAAAATTTTCATTTCCATTAGAGCTTCGAGTTCCTTTTGATACCTATTTTCTCCAAAAAAAACTCCATTTTTACCTTTCTCCACCCATAATGTTCCACCATTCTTATTACAGCTTTAGCTATAGAATTTGTATTTTTTGAGGAAAGACGGGCTAATGTTTTGTAAATATTTCTGTCAGAAACTGCTGTCGATGTAGGCATATAAGAGATTGCTGGAATATTCCAAAATGAACACATTTTTGCAACGGCCTCGAATTCTTACAAAGAAAATTTAAAAAATTCTTTGAAAATGTTTTAATTACCGCTAGCACAGTATGGCCCTAAGAAAGCTCTGACTTTCTAAAAATATACAAAAAAATATTTTTTCTTTTAAATTTTAATTTGCCTCTTTATGATACATTGAAGCAGCAACAGCAACTCCTTCAAAAGTATCGCCGCATGAGGCTGCTGATTGTATAAAATTGCTGGCATAGGTTATACTAAAAGAGAGAAATTTTATTTTCAGTTAAATATCCTAATCAAAATACGAATATGTATACAAGCAAAAATTATTTTAGAAACTTACTCAAAATCGAGTTCATCCCCAAGAACTCCTTCATCAATTAAAGCTAGTCGACTAATTTCCAAAACTCGATCACCATTCGGCATTGCTCCCTTAAAATTTAAATAAGTTTAATTTAGAATTTTAAAGGTTTAATTTAACACTATATGAATTATTCTTGAGAAAGGAAGTTCTCAACAACAGTAGCTCACTCCCTAATCTTCGACAATTCAATTACAATAAGGGAGGGTATTGCTCTGGTCTTTTCTTCTGGTCGACTAACTAGATATACCTCTAGACTAGGGCTGTTGGTTTCTGGAAATTCTCAGATATCCGAAACCGAACCGAAGAACCTAATCGAAAAATCCTCGGTTCTTCGGTCCAGAACCGACAACCCTACCTATAACCACATATTCGTTTATAACGTCTTCCCCCCATTCCCTTTATATTTTTTACCATAGCCCCAATATGCCCAATTTTGATAACAATTCTTCCATGAATTTCTTTTCTTAAAAATTCTCTAGTTGTTTTAGCTGAAGGAGTAGTAGTTGTTGCTCCAGTATTTCCTCCTACATTAGTGAATTTATTTTCATTTTCTTTATTTGAAGAATTTGTTTTTTGTTCCCTTTTGACCCTTTTATTAGATTGTAAATTCTCTGGAAGTCGATTGAAAATTAGAAGGGATTCGACAAATCCTGTTTCTTGATCTGGTGGATAAATTGAAGAGGAAGTAACTACTCCATATAAAGTTCCATATTTGGAGTAAAAACAAAAAGGGAAAAGACAAAATAAAGCAAAACAGATGAAAAATGGGCGAAGAATTGTTTTTAATTGGAAAATTATTTTATTCATTTTGGTAAAATCTGAACAAAAATTAATTACTAATAGAAGAAATTAAAATATGTTTTTAGGACAGATAAGTTTCCAGTTAAAATTTAGAAAAGAGATACAGTTGAATTTCGATAGCATGGCGCTTTCGAGTTAGCCGACATATAGATAGTTATTACGTATATGCTCAATTATTCAAGCATATACGGTATTCTGAAAATTAAATTTTAGATTTTTTAGTTATAAGAAGGTATTTTCTGAAATAAATAATTGTATACTGATTATTCTGATTTTTAATTTATGTATTTTCTGACTTTAAAAAATAATTTCTAACAGAAGGGTATTACAGAAAGACAAATTCTGAATTTAAATTCATTAAAATAATTACAAATTCTGATAAAATAATTGTTCTGATTTTTTTTATCGGTTAAAAGAAATTCTGAATTTAATTAAAAAATATAAAATTCTGATTTTATTTAAGTATTATGGTAAAAATAAACTGACGAGAAAAAGAGATATGCTTATGTCTTGTGAAAGGCAAAAAAATGCCTTTTAACAAAATTAATATATTAAATTTATTTTAATATTATCTTCTATTTTTTTATCATTATTTTAAGTACAATATTTTTATTATTAAAAATATTTTTATATGGATATTTATTTTTAATTCTTCTTTGCTTACGCAAATATTATCCCCTTCTTCTTTTCATTAAATAAATTCCTTCTAATTTTACACCGAAAAAGTACTTTATTTTTATTTTATTTCTAATAACTCATAATCATTCTTTAGATCCTCTTAAAAATATTTTTTTACAAAAATTTAATTTATTTAATTGAAATTTCTTTTTTAGAAGATTTTTATGAATTTAAGGAGGCAAGTCTGGATATTTGGTCACTGGACATTTGGTCAAAGGATTTTTCGGAATTTCAGTCATTATTGGAGTTGTGGTCGTTTAAATTTAAAATTAAGGGTTGCGTAGCTGCAACTAGTCATTTCATAACCTTATAGCCAATTGATATTAGATAATATTTTTTCTTTAACTTCAAAAAGATAATTTGTCAAATAAAAAATATAAAATCGAAAGAATTGGACATGACCGTAATTATTCAACTGACATCTATTTAATGAACAAGTGCTTGGTACTTTTATTTTTGCTAGCACTCGTATTTCCCATATTTTTGACCTCGTACTTAAATTCCTTTTTTAATACTTGAACTTATCAAGTAGAATGTGAATTTTGGTACGAGTACCCCAAAAATTCTTGACAACATTATTTGATTAAATTAAAAGTCTCTCAACAAGATATATATTTGATTATAACAATTATCAATGGAAACCTGTAATTTTCTTAAAGAGAAATGAGAGAGTCTAAATTGTTAATTTTACAAATTTAACCATAAAACTACTTAGTATATTTAAAATTTTATTTTTTTTAATTTAAATTTATTTTCCCTTTAACATTTTTACAAAAATATTTTTTTCAATATTTTTTACAATTTTTAACATTTTATTACATTTTATGTTTAAATATAAAAATTTATTTATTTTAACAATAAAAATATTTTTTATTATTATTTTCTTTTAGAGAGAAAAGATAGTAAAAGCCTCTTTCTCCTTTTTTAAAAGTTTATTGGCAGCCATGCGCAACTGATCCGATGTTTTTGAATTGAAAAAATAAAATAATGGAATAAATATGTAGAAATTAAAAAAAATTATTTTTGTTAAATTTTTGTGTTTATTGCCAAATAAATATTTTTGACAAAATTTACAACAAAATTATTAATCCAATAAATATTTTTATTTATTATTAAAAAAGACTTTTGAGATTTTTGACATTTTTATTTAAAAGTTAGAAACAAAATTTTAAAAAACGAATTTTAAAAAAATTTAAAATTCTGATATTTTTAAAAATAAAAATTTTTTATATTGGCGCCTATTTCTCACCTTTTCCAAAGATGAAATTAAATAGGGAAAATTAAGGGGATTTATGGGTATATTTGAGAAAAAGAAAAGATATACTGGAAAGGTGAATTTGTACATTATAAAAAATAGGGAATAGGAGCTTGAAGAAACTCGAAAGATCCTCTAAAATAGCCTCAAGGAGCTATTTTTCGATGGACCTCTAGAGAGGGGGGGATTTAAGAAGGAGGGGCTATTTTTAGAGGAATTCGGTATTTTTAATTCAAGGGTGCAAAAGTGAGAAAGGTCCAAGAAAAGAATTTTCAAAATTTTTTTGAGTATTTTTCTAGGATTTATAACTATCTAAAATATATTTTCTAAATTGAATATTTACCCATTTTATTAACAAATTAAGGTAATCCTCCCTCTCGTTTATTTGAGAGAAATTAAAAAAAAACTTTTATTTATAAATTTCTCTTCCAAATCGATTTCTAACCAATTAAAATTAAAAAATTTTCTTTTTCTATGTTTTAAAATTTGAAATAAATGTTGCAAAATAAATAAAAAATAAAAATAATTATTTTTTATTGCAAAAATAAAAATAATTTTTTAACTAATAAATTTTTAAAAGAAAAAGATACAAAAAACTACAAGTTTTATTATCCATTTTTAGTTTTATTTAATAGCGAAACGTAATATTCTCGACTTAATGACTGATTAAAAAATATTTTAAAAAATCCTTTTTTGATTAAAAAATGTTTTTTTACAATTTATTATAAATAATTCTTTGATTTTTATTTTTCCAACTAAAAATAGAAAAAAATTTTTTGTTAATTTTATTTTATTCTCTTTTTTTCTTTTTTTTATTTAATTTCTTTTTTTAACTTGAAATAATTTTAGCCAATTTTAAAAAGTTTTGCTACGTTTATTTTTTTCTTTAGAAAATATTTATTTTTAAATTGGTCAGTAAAAAGTTTATTATATTTAATTGACCAAAAATATTTTTTTTGCTTTAAAAAACTTTCTTGGGGTAATAAAATCTGTTTGTTAATCTACTACCTGCCTAAGTAAAAATTATTAAGTAAAAATAATCGAAGTGTTATTAATTTGGATTGTTCACCATCCCCGAAAGTCGCGGAATTTGAGATATTTTTTGAAAATTCCGCGTCTCCTTCGAGGAACAACCATATTTATTAGTTAGGTTGTCGGTTCTGAATTTATAAAGTCTGAGAGCAAAACTTATAAAGTCTGAGATATACAATTATAATTATCGTTGAATTTCTTTGAATCGTGTGTAGACAGATTTTATATGAAATTTTTAGAGTAAATTTAAAAATTTGTTATTTATTCTCAAATTTTCACCTAATAATTATTAATATTTTAATTATTAAAAAATTTTTTTAATCATTTCCAGCAAAAAAAAAGCAAAAAATAATGTTAATTACTAAATTAAATAAATTAATATTTATTTTATTTTTATTCTTATTAAAACCTAATTCACTTAATTCAATTCAGTGTTATTCTGGCAATCATTTTTCTATTGTTGAATGTCCTAGTTTGTATTGTATTAAACAATCACTTGGTTTGGATACTGTTTAGTTTTTTATTTTTAAAGTAAAAATAGAATTTGAGTTAATGATGAGAAATTTTAGTTTTTTAGAAATTTTAGTCTTTTGCCTTATTAACGGAGAATTTGCTCTATTTTTAACCATTTCGCCCTATTTCTCGGGTGTCAGGGAACCATCGTCCCGATTCCTGATTTCCGAAATGGGAATTTAACATCGATAGGATCTCTGATCGACATGTTTGGGGGCTTTTAAAATTTTTTGGTTTTCTTGACATGTTTTTTGAGGCTGGGTGGGGGTTAAATGGGAGGGGGTTGGTGGGGGTTCGATTAACCCGTTTTTAAGCCCAGACATAACTTTTTAATTTTAGGTTCGTTATTGTGATGGAACTGGAGTTTCTTCAATATGTACAACATATAGAACAATAGATCAATGTCAGAATGTGCCAAATCTTGTATTTTTTAAATTTTTTTTCGAAATTTTTTTTCAATTTTTAGGGCCATATATGTTGCTGTTCTGACCAATTATGTAATTCAGCAAATATTCCTTCAATTAAAAAAGCTTTAATATTTACAATATTTGGACTTTGGATAATGAATATAATTAAAAATAAATTGTTAATTTAGAAGAAAAATTGAAAAGAAAAAATAATTATTTTATTTAATTAATATTTTATTTTTTGCTCAAAAATTTTCCTCTTATAATAAAAGTAAATTGGCTAATTTTAATTAGAGAATTTTTAATTAAATACCTAGATATTTCATAAATAATTTAACGACATTTTGGAGTTTGTTGAATATAATTTAACAGATGTTTGGGTGGTCAGTTGTAAGATTGATGGATCCTGGGAAATCTTCATATATCTGAATTCGTTATCCGAACCGAAAATTTCGAATATCCAGTCTTTCGGATATCCGGATTCGCCAGCTTTATTCAATTGGAGTATCAATTAAAAAGTAATTGAACAGCACCTTCATTCAATTAAGAAAAAATTAACCAAAACCCCTTTTAATGGGTCAAAGAGAAAAGATAAAAAAGAATTTGGACATTTAGAGCTTTAAAATGATATAAATTTTGTTCGGGTCGATTCAGAATAAACAAAATTATAAACAAATAATGAAGGTTGTGCCATCAACTTCTGAGTTGAAGTTGAATAAAAATTAAACTTGGAGACCCCTAAAAATAAATTAAATTTATTTCCAAGTCTTTATTTTTTTAATAATAAACTAGCTGTGGGTTTGACCACTATGGCGGCGAATAGCTCGGTGCCTATTAGGATAATATGGCGGTTTAATTTTGCTGTGCCCGTTGGAAAGCCTATCGGCTTTGGGGCGCGCTACGCGCGCTGCTAGAAAGTTTGTTGCTTTTTTAGAATGCCTTTTCATTACTTCGGGCCTTCGGCCCTCGCCATCCCTTTTAGATTGGTGTTAGCCCGGGCCTTCGGCCATCGCACTTCCTTCCCGATGTGTGTCAGTTTTGGCGTTCAGCCCTCGCGCCTTCATTTAGAATGGTGTCAGCTCGGGCCTTCGGCCCGAGCTCTTCTTTTTTGATGGGTTATATTGGTGTCAGCTCGGGCCTTCGGCCCTCGCTCTCCTCGGGCCTTCGACAATCGCCCTTCCTTTTAGAAGGGCGACACACAATCGCCCTTCCATCCTTCTACTTAAATTCACTTCGGGTCTCCGGCCCTCGTCTTCGGGGACTCATCCTTCCACTTAGTGCACTTCGGGCATTAGGCCTTCGTTTCCCCAAGTTGGGACTCATCCTTTCACTTAGAGTCACTTCGGGCCTTCGGCCCTCGCCCTTCCTCACTTCGGGCCTTCGCTTTCGGCCTCCGGCCCTCGTTCCTTCGCCCTTCCTTTTAGATGGGTGTCTCAGGCCTTCGGTCCTCGCCTTTCCTTTTAGATGGGTGTCAACTCGAGCCTCGCTCTTCCATTTAGATAGTTGGCAGCACAGGTAAGAAGCTAAAACAATAAACTTGGTAAGAAGCTAAAACAATAAACTTGGTAAGAAGCTAAAACAATAAACTTGGTAAGAAGCTAAAACAATTCGATCTTCGTGCCTTCGGCCCTCGTCTTTCCACCATTCAGACTATTACTTCCACTAAGAGTCACTTCAGCCCTCGTCTTCCCCACGTTAGGACTCATACTTTCACTTTGTTCAACAGAAAAAGAAAATTTTCAAAAGTTTAAGCAAATTCTGCTTCATAAACTAAAATTTCAAAATTTGTAGCAAATTTGCTTCAAGGTTTGAAACATTCAAAACTTGAAGCATGCTTCAACAATATTTTGCTTCAGCTTCAGATTCTAAAGCAAAAAATGAAGCAGAAGCAATTTCTGCTTCGGATCCAACACCGGATCCAGCTTATCCCCCCACTAAATTTCCACAGATATACAAAATTAAATTTTAAGTTCTTCGCCGGTTTGCCCGGCATGGTCAGAGACGGAGAAAAATTTCGCCTCTCTTCGTCTTCCCCCATGTGGGACTCATCCTTCCACTTAGAGTCACTTCGGGCCTACGGCCCTCGTCTTCCACACATTTGGGACTCATCCTTTCACTTAGAGTCACTTCAGGCCTTCGGCCCTCGTCTTCACCCCGTTGGGACTCATCCTTCCACTTAGAGTCACTTCGTGCCTCAAGTCCACGCCCTCCTTTTTAGATGGGTGTCAGCTCGGGCCTTCGGCCCTCGCCCTCCCTTTTGCATTCGGACTTATCCTTCCACTTAGAGGCAGGTTTATGTTGATAGACCTATGGAGCGTCGGCAAGGCGCTTGTGCAAAACCCCGCGCTTCGCGCGGGGTTTTGCGGCACGCGCCTTGCGGGTGTCAACGGTCGCTGGGTTCTACAACAGTAACATAAACCTAATCCTTTTTCCATCTTCAGCCTTGTTCTGCCGACCTATCCCCTTAGCTCACAAATCTGTTTGGACTCATGTAATTGGAATCATAAACAGTCATTTCACTTAGAGTCACTTCGGGCCTTCGGCCCTCGTGTTCCCCAGTGGGGACTCATCTTTCCACTTTGGTCAACTGAAAACCAAGTTTTAAAAGCTGAAGCAAATTTCTTCTTCATAGACCAAAATTTCACAAGTTGAATCAAATTTGCTTCAATAAGCAAAATTTGAAAACCTGAAGCAAATTTAATTTTAATTTTGCTTCAATTTTCAAAAATTTCGAAAATTGAAGCAAATTCCATTCAAGTTTAAAAATTCAAAAACTGAAGTAAATTTGCTTCAGGCTTCAAATTGCAAAACTTGAAGCAGTAGCATGGTTCTGCTTCGGATCCTACACTGGATCCTGCTTATAAACCCGCATATTTTCCCCAGATATACAAAATTCAGCCTTAAACTCTTCGCCGGTTTGCCCGGCATGGTCAGAGATGGAGTAAACTTTCTCCTCTCTTCCACTCATTTCAACTGTCAATCAAATTGGCACTCTCCCTCCTGTCATTCTCCGGATACGGTACTCCACCCCACAAATTTTCGAACCTCTGTATATTCGTCAAAATGTACCGAAAAAAAATCGAAAAAAATATTTTTAAACTTAGCTCGACGTGAGCTTTCGAATGATATATCATTCGCTATATCCATCTTGGTTTTTGAAATTATAATTTTTTGGCCGGAGATTTCGACCGAAAAAAATCACTTAAATTTTCAAAAAATCATAACTCGGCCAAAGTATACCTTTTTTGAAAAATTTAAAATCCTATCCGATTCAGAAAAATCTGCTTAATCAAGGAAAAATACATTCGGCCCGAACCACTGGCAAAAATACAGAAAAATTTCCAAAAAGCCGGAAAATTTTGAGTTTTTCTAAAATTGATCCCTACGGGGTCAGTTTAGAATTTTTTCGAAATTTTTTTACCTAAAAAAATTTCTAATTTTTTGCTAAATTTTATTAAGCAACCCGTATGCAAAAATCCATATCCCTTCCAAAGTTATTGCGATTTAAAAAATCCCGAAAATCCCCCAAAAGGGGTACCCCTTTTGAAAACTTCGAGGGGTCAAAAATTTTTAATTTTGACACAAAAAACGTGTTTTATAGTGTATTCGTACACGCTAAGTACGAATCCGTTATCGGAAAAATTCTAAAAAAATTTTCAACAAAGTTAGAGTCTGAAAACCATTTCAGTCCCAGACTCAAATCCCAAATACCTTACTAAAAACTTCGAAATTCGAAATTGTTAGTAAACCCATTGAACTCCCATCATTATCCTCTCTTGAAAGACTACTCATTCACCCATATCCACTTAAATCTCAAATCCCGAAAATCCCGAATTTCGAAGTTCGAACTCCGGACTTCGACTTTCGTACTTATCCTTTATCCCACTGATCTCCCCTCATTATGCCGTCTTGAATGAGTACTCATTCGACCACGCTTTCCAATCCCGAAAATCCCGGATTTCGAAGTTCGAACTCCGAACTTCGCTTTCTGCTTTATACTTTATCCCATTCAACTCCCCTCATTATCCCCTCTTGAATGACTACCCTCATGCCCATAGTTCCCACTCCCTAAATCCCGGATTTCGAAGATCGAACTCTGAACTTCGACTTTCGGCTTAATCCTTTATCCCATTCAACTCCCCTGATCATCCTCTCTTAAATGAATACCTACTCATCCATACTTAGAAATCTCGAAAAACCCGGATCCCGAAGTTCGACCCCTGCTCCTACTCTTAAACTTGCTTCAACTTAGCCTATTTCAAGTTTAAACTTGCTTCTGCTTCAAGTTTCAACTCAAAATTTCACCCATCAATCACATTTTCTCTCTCACCTATAAGATATGCCCCCAGGATTTCGTCATTTCCGAAAAATCGGACATTTTACCGAAAGACCAATTTTGTGTCAGGCATATCGACCTTTAGACTTGACATTTCGACATCGGGTTTTTTGGTTTCATCATCTCCAAATCAAGCTTCAACGCCCTCCCGGCGGAACTTTTTCTCTATCTTTATCCGTTCCGGAGATATCCTCGGTACCGACACGATTTAGGTACAAAGGAATAGAGGTACCCCCAAAGTCATAATTTTCCTGAATACTACATGAAATTTGACCCCGGACATGTCAAACTTTCAAGCCCGTATCTCAACTCTGGAAAGTGTGGGACTTTTTTCTAGCTAAAACCACTACTTTTATAGGCAAAGTAACTTTTTTTATATATATATATTAATTAATTACAAATAAACTTTTACAAGCATTTTTGTGTGGGTAGAAGAGAAAAGCTGTAAAGAAAAGGAAAAAAGTGTTTGATTGATAAAAGGGGAAGAAAAAAGATTTTTATCAATTTTAAAAGGAATTAAAAAAAATTTTTTTTCTCACATTTTACTATTAATTTCAATACTTCCCCTTTAATTAAAAAAATTTTTTTCCGTAAAATTTAAAAAATTATTATTTATTCTTTACTTCCTTTTAAATTTTTTTTCAAATTTTATTTGTTTGAAAAAAAATTTATTTTTTTTTTATTTTTTTATTCAAATTTTATTTTTTTTTTCAAATTTTATTTGTTAAAAATTGTTGAAATCTTATTTTTAAAAACAAATTTTAATTAAGTTGAAGGTATCAGAAGGCTATCATCCCCTGTCTGCCAGTCAATTCTTTTCTTATATGTATTATTTCAGAGTTAAGTGTCGGAAATAGTTTAAATTTTGGAACTAGTGTAAAGCATATATAGATAGTTATTTAATTCCTAAAAGCTGTAGGCAGTGTGGTGTAATGTCCGGTCTACTGAAGATATTGGTTCGCTCCCAGCCACCAATTAACCTTTTGAAATAGCCGAAGAAGTATTGTAGCTATAGCCCAGCTCAGCTTTTTTAAGGATTTTTTTTTAATTTTTTATGATTTTCTAGGAGATTTTTGGAAATCAATCGAAACTAAATGTAGTAAACAAGAAACCTGGGAATTATTATTCAATTCCAATATTTAATTAATAAAAAAAATAAAATACTACTCCCTAAAATAAAACTTTTTATTAATACTTTAAGAAACTTTTCCTTAAATTTAACTATTTATTTCATTTAATTCTTGTAACCTTTTTTCTTTATTTACATATTTTTAAAGAAATTAAATTTTTAAAAATAATTTCTTTAAATTAATTTTAAAATTTAAAAAATTGTTTGTTTCAACTATAAAAGATTATTATCAACAAAATTTTATTTACTTTTTTCAATTTTTATTATAGACAAATATATTTTTAAGTAATAAAAAATATTTTTGTGTGACATTTATTAATGACTTTTTTTAAATACTTTTAAAATCTTTTTTTTATTTAGGGTGGGCCAATTTTTTAATTTTTAAAAAAAATATTTAGATGAATTAAATATTTATTTTTATGGAATTTTAATCAAAATACACTCTGTAACAAAATGATAGCGCCACCTAGTTTTTTATCAATATTTTACCAACGGATATGTTTCAAATTTTGGCAGAATATAGGTAAGGATATTATGTATAAATATTGAAAAGAAAAAGTTTGTTGGAATTTTTTTAAAAATTTTCTGAACAGTCCAAAGTCAATTAAGACAAAATGTCACCCAAAAAATTTAAAAAAATAATTTTTACTAAATTTGTGAGCTTCACAAAATCTAGGTCAGAAAATAATTTTAAAAAAAAAATTTTTTAAATAAATTCCCTCAATATTTACACATTTTGTCAAATTGACATTTTAGCAACTTTTCCGTACCTATTGACAATTTATTTAAAAATGAAGCTTTAATTAAAAATTAAATTTTATTCTTTCTTAAATTAAAAAGAAATTTTGTTTCTTTACTTTTTAAATTTTTTTATAAAATATTTTTTTCTAATTTTTCCTCCCTCTCGCGTTCCACCCACTTAAATATTAAATATATATGTATTTATTGTTTAGTTAATTCATCGTTTTTGGTCTCGCCATTATTGGTCGATTGGAATGAATAAAAAACTTTGAAAAAAAATTAGGGAGCATTTAAAAATAATTTTTGGAGAGATTAAATACTCAAATATAAATATTCTTGTAAATAATATTTAAATAAAAAAATATTTTTTTAACAAATTTATATAAATATCAATTGTTTACCCTTAACAATAAGGGAGAGGGTAAGGAGGGAAGTGAGAGAGGGGAAGGGAGAGGGGAAAATCTTTGTAATAAGGGGAAGTTTTTAAAGAAATGTGGAGGTGATCATTAAGAAAAAAGGAAGAATAAAAGGTCTCGTTTAAAGAAAAAATTCTTTGATGTCCTTGAACCATGGGAAAAATGAAAAATTTAAGGGAAATTTTAAAGTACTTTCTGCTCCACTTATTAATAAAAAAATTATTTATTTTATCCAAAAATAGAATTAAAAATATTATTGATAAGATTATCATTGTTAATTTTTGATAAATAAATTGTTTTCTTTCCCATCTGATTTAAAAGAATTTTAGGAATTTTTGTTACGTTTATGAATAATTTTTCTTTCCTTTTAATTTAAAAATAATTAATTAATTATTCATTTGGCATTATGTCTATTTAAATTTTCTGTTTAAATTAGAGAAGCATATTTTTATTAATTTGTTAGAGAATTTTAAGTACTTTTGTTATTTTTAGACGTTTTTATTTTTATTGATGGAATGACGTTCCTATTTAATTGTGAAAGCTTTTTCTTTTTCGTTTTTTTTAATTGGGTGATATCACATTTTTAATTTGAAGTGATTCAATTTAAATTTAATTTTTTTTAAATACTTGTATAGGAGACACGCCCAATTAGGCGCGCGGCCATAACGGCGCAAAGCCATAATTTGCCAGAAATTTTCTGGCCCTTATCAATTTTATTATCAATCTCTTTAGCTCGATTAGAGGGATCGTTTAATACTGGATTTGATAAGATTTGGAAGTCTTGAAGCAGGTTATGGCTTTGCGCAGTTATGGCCGGCGCCTAAATGGGTTGTACCCACTTGTATTGTACTTGAATCACAAAAAAATATTTTTCTTTTTTTTCAGGTTCAATAAAAATTTTAAAAGAAAATATTTAAAAAGAAATAATAGATCTCTTTAAAAAAGAAGAAGATCTTTAATTTTACCTCCATTGAATGGTGGAGACTCTTTCTGACAAAAATTCTTCAAATTTTGCGGATATAGTACCAACGCCGCCTTTTGGAGGAATTCTTATTCATCCTGGTTTGGATCCTCCAGGTTAATAAATACACAATTTCGAGAGGTTTTTTGAATTTTTATTAAATTTATTTAAATTTTAATTTTTAGTTTTTCTTTACAATTTTATTTATCTTGAAAAATGTCTTTTGAGAAGAAAAGAAACAACAACAATTCCCCCCTGTCCGATTTGTTAAAACACAGCAAGTTGACGTTATCTGAACAAATTTCTTGGACTATCCTGTGGAATAGAGCGGATATTGCACGTTCGGAAATTTTTACTGGACAGGTAAAATTTTGGTGATTTTTAGGGTTTAGGGTTTTCTTGTCTGAAATTGGTATTTTTATTTCTAAGAAATCAAAAATTTTATTTTTTGACTGACGAACGTTTAATTCTTTTCGTCAGTGCCAACTTGATTAAAATTTGGGAGGCTTTCTTGTCCACTTTTTTACTCCACTCTCTTAAAATATCCCCTCCTTTCCCTATCGACAGTAATATTTAACCTTTCTGTTTTTATCAAAAATTATTTTGATTTTTTAAAGATATTACCAAAAAGTATTTTACATAATGCAATGATGGAATCACTTATTCACAACCGTGTTGAGTTTGTTCGTCTTTTGCTTGAAAATGGTGTTAATATGGACGAATTTCTTACAATTGCTAGATTAGAAGAATTATATAATACTGATCAAGGACCTCCAAATACTCTTTAGTTGGTTTTTTTTAATAATTTTTTAAAAAATATTTATAATAGTATCTTTTTATATTTTTTTACTGGAGCCCAAGGGCGTAGGCCAGGGGTTCGATTTCATGGGTAAAATGGGGGTGTGCGCCAAAAATTTTTTAATTTTGAAGGTGTAAGCGATAAAATTTCACTTTTTAAATCATCCTTCTCACAATATTTTTTCCTTTTCCCCATTTTGGTGAGGGCTATAGCCTTATAGCCCCTAGCTACGCTCTTTTAAAATTTTGATTAATCGAAAACCAAGAGAACAACCTTAATTTTAAGTTATATTGTTCGTGACGTTGTTAAAATCCGTGCTGGTTATCGTTATAAATTACCACATATTGGGATGGCTGTAGAAAAATTAATGGCTAACGGATTTCGTTCACATTACACATCTTCACATTTTCGTCAAAAATACAACGAATATAGAAGTAAATTAAAAGTTGGTTTTTTTAAAATTATTTTTTAAATTTATTAATTGGGTAGGGCTTCTTATTTTATTTTTACAAAGCAAAAATTTTAATTTTTTTGTTTAAATTTTTGACAAAAAATCCCCTCAAAATTTCTACTTTTTCTGACATTCTTTAATATTTTTTTGTTCTTCTAATTCTTTAATGCGTTTCTGGCATTTCTCCAACCTTTCTTTTAATTCTAATATAGCATTAGCCTGAAAACTTTTTTTTACAAAAAATTAAAAAATTTTTTTCTTAACCCAACCTGCATTATTATATGATTTTTTGCCAATAACAAAGTAGCAATTTTTGATAATTTTCTAATATTCCCTCCTTGGGCATAAGGAATAGAAGCACGTAGGTCATCTAAAGCAGCGTTTAAATCGTGCATTCGACATCGTTCTCTATAATTTATTGTATTTCGGTGGGTTAAGGAGGTTGGGGTTTTGTTGTTTGAGGAGTTGATTTTTGACATTTTTAAGTAGTTGAAATTTTGAGATGCTACTTTGTTTTTAAGAGATTTTTTAATTATACTTTTGATTATTTTAAATTTATTTTTATAAGGATAAACCAAAAATATTTTTGGGAAAATTAGTTTTAATAACACCCCGTTCCCAAAATCTGAATTTTTAAATTTATGGAGCCATGCTTTCTCTAGTACTATGACTTGAATTTTTCATAATTCCTATTAAGACCCCAATTTCTGCAATAAGCTAAAATTTAACTTCCGTTGAGGTCAAGTTTTGGATTGAAAACCCTAGATTTTATCAACTAGTTTTAGAGGATTTGACTAAAATTTACAATTTTTTGTTGGGTGACATTTACTGGAAAAGATTTTTAAAAAATAAAAAATGTGAAGGGATGTGTGCCATTCTTTTACCCGCACTGATGCCACAATATTCGCATGCGCATTTCCTAAGAGAATAAAAAAGCAGAAAAGGAGGGGGGTTATTGTTGATGACTGTCGCAAATGAATTAGCATAATAATTATTTTTAAAAGTGAAAATAATATTTGAATAATTATTAAGTGATATTTAGGTAGATGGAAAATAAAATTAGAAAGACAAAAAAAATCCACGGAATGTTAAAAATCCACAGAAGTCTTTTTTGAACAATTAACGAATTTTCCCTTATTTTTGTCATGAGGGGGTATTTTCCCTCTCTGTCTCTTATAATTCTTTATTCTCACGAATACCCCCTATTTTTCCCTAAAACGGCATTCTAAAACCCTTATTTTAAAATTATGAATCTAATTTTTCAGGAATATCAACGTCTTCATTCAATAAGTGAACATCAAAAAGATCTCACCCAACGCAGTTCCCCTCCAACATCTTACCCTCGCTGTGGTTCAGAATTTTTTGCTCGTGCATCGGCTAGAGGATTTCCAACTTCTGCTTCAGATACAAGATTGTCTGGCAAAATAAATCATCAACAAGTAAATCAGCTCCCATCAATTCCCAAAAATAAAAATGTAAAAAATAAAGTTTAGATTTTAACCAATTTTTTTTTATTTTTTAAGCAAAATGTTTCGGATACCCGAACAAATCAAAACATTGGAAGTCCTCCAACAACTGACAGATCAACAAATAAAGCTACTTTAAATTACACACAAATTCCAGCTGTTTGTGGAAGTCGTACTTTAAGTAGCCATATTTTATGGAGAAGTGCTTGTCGTAGAGATAATGTCAGTCATCTTCCAACGGCCCCACAACAAGTAGCAAATAGTTCAAAACAACAACCATTTAATAGAACAAATCAACAATTTACTGGTTTTCCTGACGGCAATAATTCTTTTGATGCTGATGAATTTTTGGATGTGAGGGATGAAACCCACACGAGAGACTTTCGTTATCCTTTTTCTGATCTTTTAATTTGGGCTGTTTTAACAAAAAGACACGATATGGCTATTTGTATGTGGCAACATGGACAGGAGGCTTTAGCTAAAGCTTTGGTAACGTGTCGTTTATATAAAAGTTTGGCTAAGGAAGCGGCGGAAGATTATTTGGAATTGGAAGTTTGTGAAGAATTGAAGAAATGTGCTGAAGAATTTAGACAGTTATCTCTTGATTTACTTGATCATTGTTATAAAGAAGATGATGCTCAAACTTTACAACTATTAACATATGAATTAGCTTATTGGGGAAGAGAAACGTGCCTTTCACTTGCTGTTTTGGTTAACAACAAACAATTTTTGGCTCATCCTTGGTAAGAAGTTTTCGAATATTTAGATTAGTTTTTGGTATTTTTTTCTAGCCAAGTTACAAAAAATTTTTGTTAGATCTTGTTAATTAGAAAATACCTATGTTAGAAATCAAAAAATGGGTGAATTTGGATTTTACTGACCCCTAGAAAAAAGATTGTCTGTAGCATTGAGAGTATTTTTCTGGCCCTTATCTAGTCCGATCTTTATTTCAAAACTAATTGTAATTAGAAATTTTTATTTAAATTTTATTAAGATTTTTTATTCAATTTTTATTTTATTTAGTTGTCAAATTTTGCTGGCTGATTTATGGCATGGTGGTTTGCGTATTAGAAGGTAAACACTTTTCGGTTTAAAAAATTAACTTGAATATTTTTTAGCAATTCAAATTTAAAAGTGATTCTTGGTATAATTTTTCCACCATCTATTTTTCTACTTGAGTAAGTCTTATATGAAAACTTTTGCTTTCTAATATTTATTTTTAGGTTTAAATCTCGTGAGGAATTAATGCTTCAACCTCAAACGGCTGCAGAACATCAAGAAGATATTAACGATTCTTCCTCTTCGTCATCAGATTCTTCCGTTTCTTCGCCCTCCTCTTCTCCATCAGAAAGCGAAAATGAAGATGTAGATTCTGATTATGATTTATCTGAGAAAACTGGTGGAGCTTCTTTGAGTGATAGACGACGAAGAGTTTCTTCTAGGGGGAGTATGCAATCATTAAATTTTACATCGGTTAGTTTTTTCGAAGATTTTCCCCAGATATTTATATTTTTAGATTTTTCAAAGCAAGAGGCGAAGTAAACGTTCTTCTCACATAAATGCCTCAAATAGCCTCAATACTCAGGATCTTGAGCTTGGGAAAGTTTCAAATCAAGGTTAGTTTTTCTCAACAGCTTTGCTGTGAGCTTTCTTTAAACCTGTCCTCAGAATGCCGAAATCTTTTAGACGAACCTTCTGTTGGACGGAGCCGTTCAAATGCGAGAGAATTGCGAAGGCCCAAAACGAAAACCAGAGCTGAACGACAGAGGAGAATAAATGCTAGTAATGCAGCAACTGTTGGTGGTCAATCAATAATCGAAACTGCAGGAGGAGATACGTCACCATCAGATTGTAAGAGTTTTTGAGAAGGCCCTTAGATCTGTCGCTTATTAAATTAAAATACATTTTGGGTTCACGCCAAATCTGTCAGAATTCTTAATGTTTATTCATGGACACAGGCCTTTTTTCTTTTATCCATTTTCAAATTAAACCTGGAAATCGAAATTAAATTTATGTCAGTTGCCGTTTTTTCTAATATTACATGGGTAAGAGTCTCTTCACTTTATTGTCGCCAAACCCTCCACTTTTTTTATTCAATTTTTACAAATATAATTTTCAGATTCCCTTTCCAATCAAATTTCAAAACCATCATCACTTCCTCTTAAATCTTCATTAAAACTTCCAACAACAGTAACACCTTTACATATAGACGTTAATGCTTATCATCATCCTCAATTTTTATTGGGAAATGATGATATTGTTACGAGTGGAAAAGAAGAAGAGAAGGATTCTAATTCAATTCAAAGAAATTCTACTTCTACAATTTCTGATGAAGTTGTTAAATTATCTGTTGATAAAGAACAAGGTTTTTATTTTTATTGAGGGATTTGGGTAGTTTTTTACGTAATTTTATAAAAGCTCGAATTCCATGAATTATTCTGAGAATTTCTTAAAATCTGAATAGTTGTAGGACATCTTTGACTTCTCAGATCTCCCAACTGATTTTTTTGTTATTATATTAATAAATTTAGATATTCCTTCGCCTGATCAAAACCCTTCAGATAGACCTTTCATTCATCAAACAAAATCATTTCCCTTCAACAACCGCTGGAAATTTGTGAAAAACATTGGGGCTGGAATTGCTACAAACGATAAACCAAAAACAATGGAACATCCTAATAGCAGGTTAACAATTAGTGGAGGACATGTACCAAAAGGAATTCCTTTGCCAGAGGGGGTGACGTTAAATAAAAAGGTTTTTTTTTCTTTTTCATTAATATTTTTTTAAATTAATTCTTTTTCTCAGCGTCAAATAAAATTTCGTCGCAAAGTTTATGAATTTTTTGTTGCTCCAATAACAACTTTTTGGGCTTGGATGCTTAGTTTTGTTGTGTTTTTATCCACCCTTACATATGTTTTGCTTATTCGAACTCCACTTAAACCAACATTTTTGGAATGGTATTTACTTGCTTATGTTGTTGGTTTTGGGATTGAGACTGTTAGAAAGGTTTAAATTTTTTTAGAAATTTTTTTAAAAACAAAAATTTTTAGTTTGCCATGTCTGAACCAAAAAAATTCTCAGAAAAAGTTCAATACTTTTTTGGTAATTATTGGAATTTTCTTACAACAGTTGCTATTCTTGGTTTTGTTGTTGGTTTTATATTCCGTTTGAATCCGTCAACAAGGTTTTTTAATTTTGGATTAGTAGAGGTGATTTTTCAATATTTTAGTAAAAGTGTTGGGCGAATAATTTTAGCTGTTGATTCTGTTCTTTGGACAATTAAATTGCTGGACTTTTTGGGAGTTTTTCCACGTTTTGGACCTTATATTACAATGGCTGGGAAAATGGTTTGAAAGATTTTTTATTCAATTATTTTTCATCTTTTCTTAAGATTATGAATATGAGCTCAATTGTTGTTATGTTGGGAATTTCTTTATTAGGATTTGGTTTGGCACGGCAATCAATTACATATCCAAATGAAGATTGGCATTGGTTATTGCTAAGAAATGTTTTTTATAAACCTTATTTTATGTTATATGGAGAAGTTTATGCTGATGAAATTGATACTTGTGGAGATGAAGGTTTTTTTTTAATTTTTTAAAAATAATTTTTCTTGGGAAGTTTCGACTGAATATTTTTAGAGTATTTTTAAATTTATATTTAATCTCTATTCTAAATGACAAGCTTCAATTTTTCCAAAATTTTTTTTTTCAAAATTTGGGTTGACTAAAAATAATCAATTAAACGCGAAGGAAAAAACGATTGTAATCATTTATCAAATTTTAAAACTCATGTCAGTAGGCAAGTCTAATATTCCACTACCCCCATGGTTTAAAATCTAAACTATTCACTCTCTGTGTTATTTTTTTAATTAATTCTTAATTTTTTCAGCCTGGGACGAACATCTTGACAAAAACATTTCTATATCTACAGCATGGACTCATCGTGATAATAGAGACAAAGAACTAGCTTGTGTTCCTGGCCATTGGATTCCTCCAATTTTAATGACTGTATTTCTTTTAATTGCAAATATTTTATTAATTAGTATGTTAATTGCTATTTTTAACAACATTTTTGATTCAACAATAAAAATATCTCAACAAATTTGGCTCTTTCAAAGATATCGTCAAGTAATGGAATATGAAGCAACACCTTTTCTTCCACCTCCATTTACCCCAATTTATCATATTTATATGATTTATAAATATTTAAATTATCGAAATGGATCTTTTTGTATTTGTTTTGCATTTTTAACGAGGCAATTAAACAACAGAAAATTTTTTAAACGAAGAAAAGATGTTTTGGAGGAAGAACCAAAGGAAGAAAAATTGGAAGAAAAGCAACAACAATCAAATAAAAATGATGAAATTAATAATAAAATACCTCCACTTGCTAAAAATGCTTTTGAACAAAGACAAAATCTTCAAGAAAGAGCCAGAAATTATAATAAACAAGAACAATTTGCTCTTTTTGATTTTTCTTTGAGTGAGTTTTTTTTAAATTTAATTTTTTAAATTTAATGTTGGGAGGGATTGGAATGGGCAGGTCCGTAGCCAGGATTTTTTTTCGGGGGGGGGGTTTCTTCCTTTTTTAGCGCCGCAGGCGAAAATTTTTTAAATTTCAGAGGCCGTAGGCCAAAAAAATTCACTTTTTTTGCCCCAGCCCTTCCCCAAATTTTTTCCTTTTTCCCATTTCGGGGGGGGGGGGGAATTCCCCCCTCACCCCCCCCCCCCGGCTACGGGCCTGGGAATGGGGATATTATTTTGGTGCTCTCCCTTGGAAATTTTAGGGAAGGAAATCTGTTAAATTAATTTCCCTTCTCATCGAGGAATTCCGTTGAACAATTTGTTTACTAAAATTAATTTTTTCAGAACTTTTTCTGACTGACGAACAAGTCGAAAAAATTCATGAATTCGAAGCTGAATGTATGGAAAATTTAGCTCGTGAAAAAGAACTTGCAAGAAATCGTTCTAATGAAGAAAGGCTAAACAGGACTTGTGAAAGGTAGAAAATTAATTTAATAAAATTTATTTTTAAATAAATTGCGAATGATTGAGAAATGGAAGTTGAGAAAGTTTTTCTGTGACAGTAATTAATTTGTATATGTCCATTCTGACGCTTTTTTTGCCTTCAAAAAATTTTATTTAAATCATAAATATTTTTTTCAAAAATTTTTTTCAGAACGGAGGCAATTTTGCGTCGTATGGATGATTTAGTTTCAAGAGAAACAATTCAGAAGAATGTAAATACTCTCGAAAATAAAGTGGAAATGATTCAAAATACACAGGTAAATTAAAAGAATACTTTTAATAGGAGTTTGCAAGAAGCATTGGTGGTTAAGTGGTTAACGGTCTTGCTGTTAGAATACTTTTAGCACATTCACGGAGAGTTTTCCTTGTTTTATTTTGACTAGGAAATCTCATAATGTTTGTGCAAAATTGAAAGAATTTGGTGTGTTACTTGCTACGATTTGTTATAATTTAAGCGAGTGTCAAACATTTTCTACAAGAAAATTTGTTTTTTAAAATCTTTTAATAATTTTTTTTTCTTTTTTTAGTCACAAATTCTCGAGTGTCTTCAACAAATAAACTCGGTGATACCAGCTTTGACCCAGTCTTTACAGATGCTTAACTCTTTCCCAGTACAACAATCTAATAATACAGAACAACAATCTCCAATTCCTTTAATCCGGTCATCTCTAAATAATAAAGACAGCTATTAAAAAATAAGGAGAGAGAATTTTTGTTTTAATTTGCATTTAAGGCTGTCTAAAAAATATTTTTTGTTTAATTAATTAATTTTCCTATCAACGTTTTAATTCAAGCATTTTTAAGAATTTTTTAGTCAAGTAAAAACAATAATGCTTTTCTTTTTTTTTGTTTCTTAAATCATGACATTTAATACTTTTATTTTTAAAATCTGTTCTTTCTTTGACTTTATTCTAATAATTCAACACAATTTCTGGACCTTTATTTACTCTAATAGATCTGACAAAAGGTTGTTTTCACCTTTAATTCTGTATATCCCGGCCCCGTGAATTCTTAAATTTTTGTAATTCCTGTGTTGAATTATATAATAAAGACAGCTATTAAAAAACATGCAATTGCATTTCTTCCTCTTTCGCATTCCTAATTTTTGATAAAATTTTCTAATACTTTTTTGTAAAGGAATAAACGTGTAAATAATCTTGTTGGTAAAAATACTAAATGGGCAGATCTGTTTAACAAAAATCTAACCAATTTAAATCTAATTTCCAACTAATTCATTTTAAAAGTTTTTTAAAGAGAATTAGAAAATTAAAACAGGATTTAAAAAGGAATGGATAAATAATTCAATTGAGACTGAATGAAAAGAGAAAAATCAGTGAAAAGATCGGAGAACGACCTAAACCTAATCCCAGATTGAGCTCGATTTGGTCAATGTAAAGTTAAAATTGTCAAAACGGTGGAAAAGTAGCAGGGTTGCGTCGTAATCGAGAATTTTTTCCGTAATCGTAATTCGTAACTCAAAGAATGCCGTAATTTGAAATCGTAATTACGACGCAACTGAAGAGTAGCACGATAAGAATTCTTCCTTTTTCAATGGACATAAATGTCACAATAATAGAAAGTTAGGCATCCCAATCCGTTGATACCGGCAAATTACTAGTTGCTTCAATTCACAAGAAAATTTAAAAAATAAGGGTTAAAACCGCTTAAAAGAAGCCATGTTTTGGAATAAAATCAGAACGGTGAAACCTCTACTAAAGGTTAACTTCAAGATTTATTAAACGAGACAGGTCTGCTACAAAATGGACCGCGAAAAAGTGGCCGGTAAATAATGCATGTAATTTAAAAATTTTGGTTCACTTACCGAAATGAAGAAAAACCACTTTGACATTTCTTTAAAAATTTATGCTTTAAATTCTTAACAAAAATGTTTTTTGATTTTCGTCCTTTTTTTTAATCATCATGTTAATTAAGTATAGCACAGAATAATTTTTTCGTCTTCACTCTCACTACTCACTGATTCTTATGTGGTCCACTTCCTCAAATTTTCCCTCCTCCCTTTGTTTCTGAGCCATGTTGTTTTTAATGTGCTTTGATAACGTCTATTTTCCCAAGAAACTTGGTTTTGAGAATATAACTTAGTTGTTTGAATTTAAATATGATCATGAATCTTTACAAGAATTTTGAATAACTTAAACCGGAAAAATTTCGGAAAACGAACAGAGCGCAAATGGGTCAAATCATATGTCATTCGAAAGAGCTAGTCTAGTTGAGTCGAATGGTGGAAAAATTTTCGTGCGGACTCATAGAGGGGCTGAGATATAGGCCCCCGAAAATCGAAAATCCATAGGGGGGACCAAGCACTTTTTTTGGGGTGAAAAATTCGAAAATGCAAATAATAGCTTATTCGAAAGAGCTCGTCGAGCTGAGTTGAATGACACCAAAATCAACTCGAAATCCTGATTTTGAGCCGAGATAGAGGCCCAAAATGTTCAACGTAAATCTATGGGGCGTAGGCGAGGCGCTTGTGCAAAACCCCGCGCTTCGCGCGGGGTTTTGCGGCACGCGCCTCGCGGGAAGTCTACGGGCGATGGGTTCTGGGCTCGTAACTTAATCCTATTTCAATTATCGCTGTAATGGGTTATCTGGCTTCCTCCGTAGCAGGAAAAATCTCCACAGATGCCATAGGTAAGGAGCTAAAACAAACGATCATAACTTTGTCAAATCAAGTCAGATTTCGTTGATTTTGGTGTCATTCGACTCAGCTCGATGAGCTCTTTCGAATGAGGTATAATTTGCATTTTCGAATTTTTCACCCCAAAAAAGTGCTTGGTCCCCCTATGGTTTTTCGATTTTCGCGGACCTATATCTCAGCACTCTATGAGTCCACACAAAAATTTTTTCAGCATTCGACATAACTCGACGAGCTCTTTCGAATGACATATAATTTGACCTATTTCGGATCTGTTCGTTTTCTGAAATTATACCCAGTCGATAAGGAGACCATATTCTGGTCTTTGGTCGTGAAACTTTTCAAGGTTTTTTAATTTAGGGAAATTTTTGGAAAAATTTTTTTGGAAATTTTCTTTTTAGGAAAATTTTTGTTTTGAATTTCAGAATGGTCCCTTTTGATGGTCGATGGACCATTCTTTATAATCAGAATATTTAAATAATAAGCTTGGCGCCTAATCGGTAGTCGGCCCGCGCCTAATCGGGCGTGTCCCGCTACAAGATATGGCTAGTTGATATTTTCTCGAAGGTTGACGAAAAAAATTTTGGTAAACTGAATTTAGCATTTTGTTATTTTAGACAAGGAAATATTCAAATTCTTAACACTCTCCAAAACTTTCTTTTCTCTATTCTTATGTAGCCGATTCTAATTGTCAGAATACATAGTTAAAAAAATATTTTTTAAAACATTCATTTTCATTTTAATGTTGATTTTTAATACTTTTAAATTTTTTAGATTTAATTAGTTAAATTCAATCAATTTTAATTCGAAGAATTAAGAATGTTCACTACAAGAAATATGGAAGAATTAAGCCGACAAATTGAGGCTATGCCGGTTAAACTTTAATACTTTTTGGTATTTACGTATTACGTCTGTCAACACTTTTAATTGGCGAGATTGGAGATATGAAAAACTTGCAATGATAAGCGAAAGTTCGTCAAGATGAGTTGATTGACACAGACCATATTGATTCGATGATTCAAACAAAATTATGACCAAATGAAAATGCTTGAAGAAACCCTGTATTGATTTATTTTCAAGGCGCCGTCGTATCATCCTCGACATAATTATATGCCACATGGTATAGGTAAAACAGCTGGTCATGATTTTGTTCAATCGTTGAATTTGGTCATACAAGTTTTTTTTATCTAATTAGTTAAAAAAGTGTTGACAGATAATACGTAGGTACATTATTTTTTAAATTTATCAACATTAATAAGCAGAAAAATCCTAGGATTTTCCTAGGATTAGTTATTGTTCAGGAATGGGTCACGGATGTTTGCGTTTTACATTTCGGAATTTTGGTCTCCAAAGGCTCTAAGTGAAAAAAGCGGAATATTGGGCTCTAAATTGTTTGGTCCGATTCAGTGGAATTTTATAAAGAAATCCGGTAATAGTTAAGTTTATGTTTTCCCTTTTTTCTTTCGGCTGTAGTGTAGTGTACCAAGGTAAAAGTTCGTGACGTGTCATGTCATTCGATTCGTCTCGATGAGCTGAGTCGATGGTACCACTCCCAACTGCAGGAAATGATTCTGGACTGAGTTATATTATTCCAAAATCGACCTGGCTAAAGTACACTTTACCGGGGGATTTTAGATTTTTATGATTTATATGTCAATCGAAAGAGCTCGTCAAGCTGAGTCGAATGACACCAAAATTAGTCCGCGGACTCAACTATGGACCGAGATATGGGTCCCCAAAAATCGAAAAACCATAGGGGGGACCAAGCATTTTTTTGGGGTAAAAAATTCGAATATGCAAATTATACCTCATTCGAAAGAGCTCGTCGAGCTGAGTCGAATGACACCAAAATCAACGAAATCCGACTTAATTGGACAAAGTTATGATCTTTTATTTTAGCTCCTTACCTATGGCATCTGTGGAGATTTTTGCTGCTACGGAGGCCACAAATACGTCCAGAGCAAGGGAGATAGGAATAGGTTTATGTTACGAGCCCAGACCCAGCGCCCGTAGACTCCCCGCGAGGCGCGTGCCGCAAAACCCAGCGCGAAGCGCTGGGTTTTGCACAAGCGCCTCGCCGACGCTCCATAGGTTTAGGTTTTTTGTTTTTGTGTCATAACTTTGTCTAATCTTGTTCAATCACGGTGATATTGGTGTCATTCGACTCAGCTCGAGGAGCTCTTTCGAATGAGCTATTATTTGTAAAATCGAATTTTTCACCCCAAAATTGAGCTTACTCCCCCCTATGGTTTTTGACCATTTCGAGCCCTATATCTCGGCCCACAGTTGAGTCCGCGGGCTAATTTTGGTGTCATTCGACTCAGCTTGACGAGCTCTTTCGATTGACATATAAATTGTTCAAATCTAAAATCCCCCGGTAAAGTGTACTTAGGCCATCGACCTTAATCCCCCAATGGTTTTTCAATATTTAGGGACCCATAACTCGGTCCAGAATCATTTCCTGCATTGGGAGTGGCAACTTCGACTCAGCTCATCGAGACGAATCGAATGACATATGTCACGCTCCGAACTTTTACCTCGGTACACTACACTACAGCCGAAAGAAAAAAGGGGAAACACAAACTTAACTATTACTAAGAAATCCTAATTTTGCCAGTAACAGCTCTCTCCGGAGCTGGGTTCACCGGGCCCAAAATTTTTTGCCCTATTCTGCTTTTTTCACGTATTTTTTGTGGGGTGTTTTTCTCTTTTAATAATAACTTACGCTACTGTAATTTTTTCTTTTTTTGATTCAAACTGGCGAATTTCGCACCGAGATGGTTAAAAATTTCCGTAAACTTTTAATGCTATAAGATTCATATTTAGTGCCCCGGTTTCTTTGAAAAATCTAAAAATGGAGAATACACTGATTTTCCTATGATAATCAGTAGAAAATTACCCATTGAATTAACCTCCGAAATAATCACTTCCATTCCTTTAAATCAAAAATGGGAAAATATCCGTGTCTCTGGTTTATTTGATATTTTAATAATTAAACATCAAAAAGAATTTATAATTAAATTGAAATTTGTGGGTATTCATGCTTTTAATTTTAATATTAAAATTTTAATTTAATTTTAGGAGTATAAGAGTATGCATGATGTTATTGGAGAAATTTTTAAACAATTGGGTGTTGTGGACGAATACGTTCCCGGGCCTCTGGTTTCTAAATTAAAGTATGGTACTTTGTGTAATCTTTCTGGAATGTTTGACGGTGAGTAGTGATTTTTAATATTAATCATTTAAATCAATACTTTTTAGGACTTTTCGAGTGTCTGCACACATATTTTTTGAAGTATTTTATTGCTTTGCACCCGTTAATGAAGGTAATTGAGAATATTTTCCTAAATTTTATTTTTTTGTTAAGAAAACTGATGCCGTTAAATGGCCTAATACTATACCTGATCTAGACCAGTTCGGAGTATGTTTTTGTCTTTTTAGCATCAATTTATTTAAAAATTTATGAGTTAATGTTACATTTTTAGGTTAATAATTGTGTTTATATGAAGTTGGACATTATGAAGGATGTGTACAAATATTTTCGTGATCTTCCTGCATCTGAGTATAGCTATGCAAACTCTCCTCGGGATTTGTTTGTTGAGTTTGGAGGTTTACTTAAAGGTTTAATTTTCTATTAAAAAAGTTATTCAACCCAAAATTACTTGAGAAAATTCTGGAATTTTGTTACACCTCATAAGGAACCATCTTTTACTGTAAGTGCGAATTTGGTATTTTTTGGTACCATTCATAGAGGACCCCCGACTTTCTATTGGATAGTGTTATCCGTTTTCTTGCAAAATGGCTTTGGGCCGAGTTATGACCGTTTAAAGTTTTAGTTTTTGGGATGTTTGAGTATACGCAAAAGCGGGAAGAGAAATGTTATATTTCTTCTTTCCTCTGCTTTCATACATTGTCATACAGAGGAGAAAAGAATGCAAGAGTCGTGTGCAAAAAATGTCAGACACGACAAATAAAGAGGAATGGGCGAGTGCTTTTTGAGTATGAAGAAAAAAGAGAAATTGCTTATTCACCCTATAAATGCAGACTCTAAAATTAAACTTAACTCGACCCAAAGTCATTTTGCAAGAAAACGGATAACACTATCCAATAGAAAGTCGGGGGTCCTCTATCGAATGGTACAAAAAATACCAACCTCGCACTTAAAGTAAAAGATGGTTCCTTGTTAGATATTTTCTTTTTTTTCCCACAGCTTTTAAAATCATACTTGTTAAATCGTCGAAAAGATTTTAGAAAAATAAAATTTTTAAAAATTTAATAGTCCTTTTCTTAATTTGCTCATCTTTAGGACAATTGTGGACTCTCCAAAGTATTGTTAAACTTTGCAAGAAATATGGGGCCGAGGAAGTTGGTGATTTGTCTGTGCGATCTGAAACTGCCCCTCCAAAAGCTAACTAAAATTGTTTAGTAAAATGATTATTCTCCATTTAAAATATTTTAATTTTTTATTGTTAAATAAATAAATTTTGTTTTTTTATTTTTCAAAACTTGATTCGTTCAATTCAATTTTTATCCATTTTAAATTTCTTCAGGTTTGGGGGCACTAACGTTGTGTTGAAGTTTTTTCCATACGAAAAAATTTTTAATTGACAACTTTCTTATTCATTGAATTATAAATTATTTATGAATTTTATTGAATTATTAATTTTCTGCAAAAACATGCAATTTTGAATTTCCTCCTTTTTTCTATTCCTAATTTTTGATTTTAAAAAATTCTAATATTTTTTATTAGCTATAAAAAGTATTGACCGGATCCGGCCGGATTTTTCCGCAGTCCGGGAGGCCTATTCCATCAAACGACATTGACATTAAATGTCGCGACATTTCGCAATCGGCCGACATTCCGATTGCGATTGTGTTCCACATAGCGACTTTAAAATTATTTTGTGACAACGACATTGCATTTACTTTTAGCGACATTGACAGCGAAATGTCGCGATTGTGTTCCACATAGATTTAAAATTTGAGTGTCAATCGACACTAGCAATCAAAATGTCGATTTTCGGCGACACAGCGTTAGGGCTATGTCGTTAATGAGAAATTGTGTTTTTAAAATTCAAAATACAAACTAAAAATTACAAAGTAAATATTTTTAGAGAGATTATGCTACGGTTACATAAAAATCGCGCGCGTCTTGCGACAGAAAAGATAATGTAAAAAGAGGAGAGAAAAGAGGAAAAAAATTTTGTCGCTTTTTTCTAGTGGTTACATAAAATGCGTCTTCCGCCGGCGTCTTGTCGCCGGCGTCTTGTCGCTTTTTTCGAGTGGTTACATAAACCGCGTCTTCCGCCAGCGACAAGACGCCGGCGTCTTGTCGCTTTTTTCTAGTGGTTACATAAAATGCGTCTTCCGCCGGCGTCTTGTCGCCGGCGACGCTTTTTTTAATTCAAACATGTTTGAATTTTTGGCGACAACTTTTAGCGTCTTGATCATTTCTCGGCCAATTCTAGTCCGATTTTCAAAATTTAAAAAGATTCTGAAAATTCAGTTTATTCTCTATCGATCAATATAACTTTTATATTTTTAAAGTTAAATCTTATGGGTTAAAATTGATTTTGAAAAAGGTATACTTTTTGCAAAAAAATATTATTTTTTTCTATATTTTTGAGATATTCAGTATGATATCGAGTATTAATATCATAACTTTTTTATCAATCGGTCAAAAATTCTGATTTTTTGATATGTTGTAGAGCTTTTGATTCTATCAAATGATACCAAAAACATGAAAAAGTGACCATTTCTTGAAGAGTAGGGCTCGTACCATATATATAGTTAGGGACAAAAAATTTTGGGGAAAATCGAAGCATTTAAGGGATTAAGACGGTTTGGAATTTTTTTATTTTTCAGCCTAGACACCGAGCTATGGGTTAACCCTTATTCAAAGAAAATTAACCCAGAACTCTATAAATACCCAAAATTTGACAATTTAAAATAAAAGCTTTTTTAAAAGTTTGGATATTATTCCTCGGTCAATTCTGAACCGATCAAGACTATTCTAGAAAATACTCTTGCCTCCAAATCCCCTTCAATCACTCCAAAACCTCGATATCCCATTAATTCTCCGATAAACACTTAGTCCCACCAATTTTTATACCTTTAGAGCAGGGGTGCATCTCGTCTCGTGTCTCGTGTCTCGTATCTCGTGAAATCTCGTGTTTTTTAGAGGTCTCGTATCTCGTATTTCGTATTTTGCCACGAGACACGAGATATTTTCAATCTATTTCAGAAAAAAATGTCAAAAATTTGGGACTATTTTATGATCCGAGATTTTTGAAAAAAGGAGAGAGGAAGAAAGAGCTCAAAGGAAAGAGAGGAAGAAAAAATCTGACCATTTTGTACAATCATAGGTAATAAAAATAATGTGGGGGGGGGGGCAATGTTTGAAACTACCCGCATTTCTGTTCCTTCCACAATTACATATTCTTTTTCAATGAAGCATTCCGAGATCAGTGATCCATAGCTGAAATTCATCATAGGGCAATTGAAAATTGATTGTAACATTTTTACGTTTATAATATAAAGTTGGTCTTTCCCGCTTGACCAACTTTATACCTCTTTCCAATTTCAGCGCTGCAGGCGAAAATTTGAGAATTTTGGAAGACCACTGAGCAAGATTTCTTCCTTTTTTCCTAATTCTAGGATCCTAAAATAGTCCCAAATTTTTGACATTTTTTCTAAAATATATTGAAAATATCTCGTGTCTTGTGGCAAAATACGAAATACGAGATACGAGACCTCTAAAAAACACGAGATTTCACGAGATACGAGAGGAGCGCCACCCCTGATCGGTACCATGGCAGAATAAAATGATTTGATTTTATAAATTTTATTTTAGTATGATAAATATTTAAAAAAATTTTTAATCGGATTTAGTGGTTACATAAAATCGCGCGCGTCTTGAGACAAGACGCGCGCGACAGTCGCTAGTGGCGTGGTTACATAAAATCAGCGTTTGTCGCTTTGCGTCTTGTCGCTTTGCGGAAGACGCCGATTTTATGTAACCACACCACTAGCGACTGTCGCGCGCGTCTTGTCGCCGAGCGTCTGTCTCAAGACGCGCGCGATTTTTATGTAACCGTAGCATTAGAGTGTGCTCTTTAATTTTATATAAGTTTTAAAAATTTTTGGTCAAAAATAAATTTTCTATAATCTCTCGCAAAAAGTACCCCATTTTTTAGCGAAAAAGGGACTCGTTCTCTCCAATAAGCAATCGATTATTTCAATCAAGGATCCTTAATCGAAATTTTCGATGAAATTTTTTATAAGTGTACTTTTTTATAAATTTTTTGCAGATTTGATTATTTTTTATAAACTAATGACCTCCGATTAAAGTTTTATTCAAAAATCTCTTTATTTAGGGATAGGTAAGGGAACTGCTTGTCGTTCAATAAGAGAAGTTACGTCAGTGATTAATGAGGAATTCCAACATTCAATTGTTTGGCCGCAAAAAGTAGATTATTGTTCAGCTATTGCAAGAGATTTTTTTTAAATTGCTGGCTTTCCTTTTGTTTGTGGTCGAATTTGAATTGAAACTTCGAATTTGAAAAAATTCACAAATATTCGATCGAATCTCGAATACCTAATTTAAAATTTCCTTAATCACTCTAAATCCACTAAAATTCTCTTAATCACTCCAAATTTTCCTCAATGGATAAAGGAAAGACAAAATTCAAGAAAACAACTTAAGAAATAAACTAAAAAATAGATAACGAACAAAATTTAAACAAAAACAAATAGCTTAATGATGACATCGACATTTCGACAATGACATAGACCTATTTCTTTAGTGGAACACAATCGTGTGTCACTGTCGACAATTGGTGTCGATGTCATTAGAAATGTCACAAATTTAGTTGTCGCTTAGTGGAACACAATCCTATGTCAATGTCGCAATCGCGATTGACACTTGGACATCGACATTTGATGTCATTGTCGTTTGGTGGAATAGGCCCCGGGTCCCAAATCCGGGTTTTTTCGCGATTTCCGGATTTTTTCCGGACCGGATTAATCCTGAAAAATCCGGCCGGATCCGGTCCGGCATGAGTGTAAAATCCAAAATCCGGTTTCCGGGCCCGGAAAAATGATTTTGCCGGTCACTAAAACATAAAAAGATTTCAAAAAATATATTTTTATTTTAAATTCGTTAAATCTTTTTAAATTTCCAATTATATTAATGGAATGTTTTTGGAGTTTTTCTCCTTTACAATAATAATCTAAATTAGTGCGGAGGGGGTTTTCTGGCGCAATAATATTTTCTTTATATTTTTTTCCGTTATTCAACCAACAATAATCTCCCCCACATCCGTCCCTTCATAAAAATTCCTTTGACTTTATTTTTCTGAAAGCCTGCCTTGAATTCCCCCCAAAGTATCTCGGTTCATTAATCTGAATTTCTTTGTCATTTACGAGAAAAAAAGTTCAAACTCCGATGTTCTAAATCTCATATGTAGACAGTCCTAATAAACGTCTTTCCCACTAATAGAATAAATTATGGATATAATTGCACCAGAAATCCCCTAAAATTTTAAAAATTCTTTAAAAAATTTTCTTTTAACCTTCAATCAATTTAAATATATATATTTACATAAATTGTCTTCTCTCCTCTTCCTTAACTTCTTCCATTCTTCTCTTTTATTTATTGCCATAACATAAATATAATTAACACCAAAAAAGAGCAATAGCTAATTAACATTAAAGGCTTAATTGCCTTTGAAGAAGAAGAATAATTATTGTTAAAATTAGTATTTTGGCAATATTCTTCAAGTGAAGGTTTTGCTTTATATATTTCTGAACGATTTGTAAATGTTTTTAAACTACATTCATTTTCACAGCCAGTGATGTGTTGTGTTACATCTATAGTATCTTTGCTTTCTGGTGGCCAATAAAAGGCCTGAAAATTGGTGGAAAATGAGTGTAATAAGTTAACAGTTTCTTGATGGAATTTGGGATTCTAAGGCCTCACAGTTTTACAGTTGACGCTGGTTGTAAGAACCCCTCGATAATAGAGACCTCTCGATATAAAAGACAAACAGAAATTGAACTTCTCGAAAAATCTCCTCTTGAAGAAGGTCTCCTCATCTCGGTCTGATATTCCATTCCTATAGTAAATAGTGTAGATCCCGAATATTTATTAAAAGATTTTTAATGACCTGAAAGTGTAAATTCCTCCAACTATTATTTTCTAAACAGTTTTTAATTTCTCCCATTTTCTAAGTGTTTTCCGGGTATTTTTAAAAGGATTAACCCTAAGAATCTCAATTTCTTTGATTCCTTCCAATTTCCCTCCTATTCCACAAATTTTAAAAATATAAAAGAAAACCCAACTTTAATATAAGGATCCCCTCCACTATTATTTGCCCATAGTTCAAAAGTAATGCATGTTGTGTAATGAGGAAATCTTTTTTAAATAAGATTATTCTAGTAAAATTACTAAATTAATATTTTTACCCATCCTCTTGATAATTAGTTTTTGGGAAACCTAATGTTGAGAATAAGGCAGCAAGTGTTGAATCGTGCTTAAAATTTAAAAAATTATTTCTTTTTGAATTTACAACTAGTATTATTGTTTAAATATAGACTTCTGTTAAAGTGGCGCCATAAATGGATGAAAGGAGAATTGGATTGGAAATCTGATTCCCATGATATTCGATGTCTTTTTCAACTTTTATTTCCATTTTGGAAATTTCCCACTCTCCGATTTCCGAATTCGATTTTAGACTTCAGTTATTTGAGCTGTCTCTGAATTTAGCATTTCCAACCCAACTTTAAATAAATGTGAGCTTTATCCATTATTATATTTAAGAGGAACTACTATTTTAATCACACACGTTATAAAGGTTATATCACTATTAAGTGCCTTTCTATCCCAATTCCACTAGCATAACGGAAGGAAACTTTAATAATTTTAAGAGACAAAATACTTATTTTTTCCAAAAAATAAATATATTTTCTCAAAACTTACAGCTGAATAAGCAAAATATTTTCTTGTACTAATCCATTGACAAATAGGATTACCCAATGGGGAACTATTTTGAACTAAAAAATTTTATTTAAAAATTTTTTTCAAAAAAATTTTGCCTGATCGAGGAGTTCTGTTTTTATCAGCATCGGGCTTTAAACAATGCATTTTTGCCAGCATATTTCCAATAAGTAGCCAAAGTATTGGCCCACCATGAATTCTTGGGAGTTCTAAACTGAAGTCGACTCCGTTGAAGGGCTTAAGGCCTTTAATGGGATAAAATGCGGAAATGGATTTTTTCGAATTATTTTTTAAATTTTATCTTAAATTTTTAGGGAAAAACAGAAAATTTGAGTTTTTATGCTGACAAAGTTTGCGGATAATTTTTATGGACAATAATTTTTGCGGACAAAGTTTGCGGACAAAATTTTTTGCGGACAAAGTTTGCGGACGTATTTATCTTCCAATTTTTTTCCTAAGTTGTGCCATAAATATTGAGAAAGGATTGAAAGGTTTTTTTGTTTGTAAAGGTCCTCTTCCTTTTTTGAACTTTTCTTTAAAAATATTTATTTGTTTACCCCTTCCATTATTCCATTCATTCATTAAATCACTAATATTTTTAATTTCAGCCCTAATAGTTTTGTTTTGTGTCCATTCTGGCATTTCTAATTTTAATTTATTTTTGTAAAGATCTTCAATAAAAAGAGTATCTTGTAACATTCCAATATTGGATGTGTTTATTGCTTGTCCACAAAATTTTGTTAAATCATCAAATATCCACTAAAATTGTGTTTTTGAATGATAAATTCGACAGAGAATCTACAGTAACCCCACCTTCTTATCACTCATTAATTTCTCATATTCGGGTGTTTTCTTCATCAATATTTGCATTTCAGATAGTCTAGGACAAGGAGAAACCATATCTGTAACGAGTTGATCACTTTGACTGCTAGTAGAGTGGACAGCGACGGGGGTAAAGCTTTAAAAGAATTTTTGAAAATTTTTTCCAAAAATTTCCAACGTTTACCCTTTCGGCCAAGCATCTTCAGGAAAGTCTTCTCCCGGTTCTCCATTCTTATAAAACCCAACCATATTTGAAATAGCACTAGTTAATGTTCTATTAAAGTCCGTACTTCTTACATAAATTTCTGCACTTTTATAACGTGGACTGACAAATTTTAATTCTCTAATATATTTTTGAGCAAGTTTATCACCCAAAATAACTTGTTGAGACATTCCTTTCTTTAATAAAAATTAAAATTTAATGAGAGAGAAAAATTTCAATCTCCTCGTAATTAAGGTTAGTGGATCCAGATCTGAAAAAAGTTACATATCCGTAAAGTTTCGGTTCGGATCCGGATATCCGAAGATTTCTAACTATCCGCCAACCTTAATCGTAATGGATGCTTCTATTAGAGCGAGTTTCTATTAGAACATTCACGTGATATTCTTCTTGAACCTTTGTGTTCCACGTGTCCCTTAATCTTTCGCCCTTAATGATGGAAATCCATGGTCAGATTCAAGTCTTACGACTAGAATAACTATCATTCCCAATACTCCCCGAAACCAATAACTCTCTTTATAGAGGCTTTAGTATTGATATTTTAATTTCCACGTGGATTAAAGGATTTTCATCTTATGTCATTAAAGAAATTAAATTTTACAGGTGTAAGTTGCCCCCATCCTTGCAGCCATCTGTCCTCCTTAATTGGATCATTAGCATAAGTAGTAATTGGCCAACGATCACCATGACGCCAAAACTAAAGATTAAAATTAAAAAATATTTTTCTAAAAATTAATCTCTCACAGCTTGTACAAGCAATAATTCATCTTTAGACTCAACAAAAATTCCAAACTGCGCAATAAATAAAATAAAAAATAAAAAGAAGATAAGGACAGAAAATGAAAATTTATTCATTTTTTGGTGAGAAGACCAATAAACGAAAAAATAAAAATTTTTGAGAAGGAGGGAAATGAAATGAAGTGAAGAAGGGAGAAAGAGAGAGAGAGGGCCTTTTACAACCCTTCTTTCCTCTCTCGTTCTAAAAATTTTTTTTAAAGCTTAAAGTGATAAAATATTGTTTTAATGGTATTTGGGGGGAGGGGGGGGGGAAGAGGAGAAGAAAAGAGAGGAGGAAGTAAGGTATAAAAGCAAACAAAAAAAGTTTTTTAAAAAAAAAGTTTGGGGGAAGGGAAGGAAATTTAAAGAAAAAAAATTAAATTATTAAATGTTGGAATGGAGTGTTGGCTTTATTTGAAATTAAAAAATTAAATTGACTGTTTCTCTCTCTTTTAATTTAAAAAACCTGTTTTTATTTAAAAAAGATTTTTGAATAAAAAAAGAGAAGGGAAGAATTAATTTATTTAATTTAAATAGGGATAACCCTAAAGATCGAAGGAGATAATAATGTTTTCCTATCTCTATTTGAACGAGGATTTAACAGGAAAGATTATTCTCATATATCCGTTCCCTTATTTTTATCCTTTCAAAGATATCCAACTAAACAAACAAAGTTAAATCAGCCTATAAGATTTAATTCCCATGGGTGGTCCTTACACTTAACTTTGTAAACAAATCATTGTTGTAATGTTGGTAATGAGAGCAGGGTTGGTGTTTTCGAATCGGTAAGACGTTTGAGTCATTTTTTCGGGCCGAATCGGTTGAGTCAATTTACGGGCCAAAATTCGAAGTCCGATTCGATCTTTCGAACCGAGCCGGGCCCCTAACCCTAAATGAGAGGTTCGATATTCGTTGTTGGTGATCTTACAAAATTAATTTGTTAGTTAATATTAAAGTTGGTAAACGGGATGGGATTGAGGAAAGGATCTTTAGACATGTCTTCCATAATTTGCCTTTTTTTTAAATTAAATTCCTATCCTAACAGTAAAGAAGACCCCAGACTTTTTGAAAAACAATTTTTTCTTTAATTAAACAAAATCAAAGTTTTATTTAATTCATTTAACAATGCTTACTAAGGGAACAAACAAAAATTTAAACAAAAAAATTTAATAAGTTTTTATATATTAAAATGACTGTAACGATTAAATAACACAAATATGTATGACAATAAAAATTTTATTTTATGCCTTACTTTGCATTTTTAAAATAAAAATAGAAAAGGAAAATATACAAAAAGTAGAAGAAAACCACGTTTATTTCAATGAATTTTGTTATTGTTTAGTTGGAAATTTTAAAAATATTTTTGTTGGTAAAAAATTAAAATTGTTTTACATAGCTTCGAATTTTTTGTTTTAGCTAAAATTAATTTTTCTAAACTTCACTATGAAATTGAGAGGGATACTGTAGATTTGGTGGAGAAGTTAGAAAATGTCTTCAAGTCTGTGATAATGTCTTGACTCTTCTATTGTTATATTTGTTAGAAAATTATTTTAAATTTTAACAGAACTCCCAATAAATTCCTTCATCAAAACATAAAAACAGAAACACAATTGGATGAAAAAACATTTTATACACGGAGTATTTTTCAAATGGACATTTGTTCAATTGGGCATTTTGTCCCATGTCGAAGTATTCTTTTGTTCCACTTCCAACGCAATCATTTACTCTTTTTCTTTCGTATCCCCTCAAAATCTCTATTCCTTAAAATCTCTACTGGGCTAAAATGCCTTATAATCTCTACACAGCTAAAATGCATTAAAATCTCTACTCGGCTAAAAATGATTAAAATAACTATTCCTTAAAATCTCTATTCCTCATAATCTCTACAAGGGTAAAATGCCTTAAAATCTCTACACGGCCAAAAATAGGATAAAATGTCTATTTTTTCATTCGGAAGCCTTTTGAGTGCCAACGTTCAGTGCGGAAACGTTGTTCTGATTTCTGGCTTATCTTTTGATATTATTTTGCTTGTATTGTTTTTGCCGCTGCGGATGAACCCAGGCATGTCCAGCGGAACGACAGCAGCCGCTTCGATACGATCACCGCAAGCAAAATGAACACGACCGCAGCGAAGCAGTCGTGTATTATATCTTCAATATTTACAGCGGATACAAGCAGATATCCGCAGCCATTTTTAAATCAATTGTATCCGTATCCATTACCAAGTCTGGGTTTTCCAATGAATAGTTCATATTTTACACTTTTGTTGAGACTCTACCGTCCATTTGCACGGTGTAGAGATTTTAATTATTTTTACCCCGGTAGAGATTTTAAGGAATAGTTATTTTAAGGAATAGAGATTTTAAGCATTTTTACCCTAGTAGAGATTTTAAGGAATAGCGATTTTAAGGAATAGAGATTTTGTATGGGAGCCTTTTCTTTTCTTTAATTTTCATTGCGTCTCTCTCTATTACTTTTCTTTATTCTTTCAACAATTTTGTTTCTCAATTGTTAAAATATCAAAAAATAAAATTTTCATAATACCAATTCCTTATAAATATTACAAAACATCCCTTCTCTCTGTGTTGACGTTCTCAATTTTATTTCTCTATTAGATATTATGAAATTTGTTTCTCTTTCCAAAGAATTTTTTCGTCATTGTTGTGCTAGTTGCGTTACGCTTTAAATATTTTCACGTTACACGTTTAACCTCTTTTTTATTTTTCTTTTAACTTTACCGCAATTAATTAGCCTCTACGTATTTTTATTATCAATTAAAGTCTAGATTTATTAATGCAAGCAGAAAATTGTTAATTTTTGTTGAAAAACAAATAAAAGAAATATTTAATTTTATTATTTTGCTTTATTTGTGACGTTTAAAATTATTTAAAAAATGACGCGGGTATTCTCAATAACTACTATATTTGTATATTTTGTATGTTTTTTTGTCTTAAACTTGAATATCTGTTAATTTCTTAGCTTGTCTTTCATTGGAGCTTTATTTCAAAAACAGTTTCTAACAAAGAAGGAAAACAAGATTTTCCGACAAAACTTTGTGGTGATCCAAAATGTGAAGGTTTTTGCAAACTTTTAGTTGTTAGATTAATCAAATTAAGTAACACTCTTCTCTTCAAAATTTATACGAGACTATTCTCCCGCTGAGGGCGTAATGATGTTAACTGCAAAAGAGAAGGATGAAGTTAATGTTGTGGCTATCAAATTCTCAAATAGGCCAGACTTTTTTGAGGCTAAGGTTGGTTATTTTGAGGAATTTATATTCAAATTGTGTACAGGGGTTTTTCTCCATTTGTGCCTTTTTTTCAAATTAAAATTGAACTTCGTACCCCCCTTTTTTATCCTTCCACAAAGTGGAAGGATGGTCAGACTTAAAATGTGACTGACCATTTTGGCTTTTTTGGAACGAAAGCAAGGGGTTACAAAGTCCAATTTTACCTTTTTTATCTGTAATCCGATGAAATTTACGGAAATTTTATATTACAATTTTTAATATACTAAATTTTGATGTCCAGCATAGGCTTATTCACTTTCTGCTCCTTAAACTTTAAAATACTCAAAATTAAAAAAATCTCAATTCAGAAAGGAGAAGCGCGTGGTTTAATTTATAAGCAACATATTGATGGCACACCTTTCATACAATTCTTGGAAAACGCACTAAAAAATAATTTGACACTTTTTGTTGTTGAACAGGATACTAAAAAATTTATACGTTTGTTTTAAATTTTATTTTAAATTAAAAATGTTAAATTTAAGGGGAAATAAACGCTTTTCCTGAATTAATTAAAGATTACACTGTTTATGTAAAAGAGATTAAAGATTATCAAGTTGATAAGGATCTATTCGAGAAAGTTGCGTTGCTTGATGGTGGAACAACACAAGAAAGAGCTAAAGAAAAGTTTGTTTTTTAATTAATTTTTATAAATCCTTAACGTTATTAAAATTTGGGGGATAAGGGGCGCCTCTTTTTTATCAGTGGTTTGCCCTGGTTTTTGAAAAAATCTGTTTTAAATTAAAATGATAGTCTGTAGACTATATTTATTAGGTATAGATTTATTGTTAGATCTTTTCCAAATTTTAAATTAAGTTAAATAACAATTACTGTTAAATTGCTGTGGAATTAACCCTATAACAGTTAATTTACCTTTTCTTGTTTAAAATTAATTTTAAAGGTTAATTTAAAAATTTTCAGAGTTATTGCGAGTTCAGAAAGCACTGAGAATCCAAATAAATTGAATACATTTGATGGAGAAAATCAAAAATTAAATGAAAATGTAGAGAAGAAAAATAATGTTGAAGAATCCAGAAAGGATGACAATAAAAACCCTTCTGTTCCTTTAGAAGTTTCTAATCAAAATTTAAAAAGTAATGAAGAAATAAATAAAAATCAACAAGAGCAAGCAAATTTAAATGAAAATCAACCATCAACATCAGTAGAAAATCAGGCGAAAATAAATGAGAATCAAATTGATGAGACAAAAGGAAAAAAGGTTTTTAACGGAAAATTAATGTTTAGTAGAAGAATGAAAGTGAAAACATTTCAGGAAAAAATTGATGCGAATATTGTGACGGCTTTGAATGATTCTGAACCTGTTAAATCTGAAGGAGCTAAAGAGGGGGATGTCAATACACAACAACAATTGGTGAATGAAAAGAAAATTGAAAATGAGAATGTTGAACAAAATTCGGATGAAACACAAAATTTGGAAGAAAATCAAAAATTAAAAGTTGATGAGAATAAAGAAGTCAATGATCAAGAAAAGAATGAAAAGACATATAAACAAGTTAATGCGCAACCACAAATTCAAGTACCAACTACAGTCCAACCGCCATTTTCAAGCGAACAACCTTCAGAACATTCGGTATTCTATTTTTTAACGTTTCCCGTGTTATATTCATTGAGGGATGGGGCTTAAGTTATATTTCCCTCATTAAAAATTTATTTCAAACGAATATTTTATTTTTTATAGCAACAACAACCTTTTTTAAATTCATCAGTTTCTATAGACCCTCCCCTACCTCAACCTTCTATTTCACCTGTATCTGACCCTATTGCCTCTCCGGAAGTATTAATCATGCAGAAAGATCAGACGAAAGATGCTGGAGTTGAAGCGACAAATATGTCACCACCACCAGTTGTTCAAAATCAATCTATGAATCGGGCAGCTGATGAAGAAAAATCTGCGGAGTCAACTAATATTTTGAATGTTAAGAAAGGAGAGGATGAAAAGCCACAAATTAATGATGTTAAAGGAAAGGATGAAGAGCTACCCGTTTTAAAGAAAGGTGGATTGGAACAACAAAATATGTCAGAAGATCCAAAACCTTCTTTACGTGAAGAGACGGATCCATCAAAACAACCGGAAGTGCCTGATAAGAAGATTGAGCAGCCAATGGAAAATAGTCCTAAAATTGATGATCAACAAAAAAGTACGGAACTTCCTCCACCATCACCCCCTCCATCACCTCTTGTTCCAAATATTCCTATGGATGAAAAGGCAAATGGAATTGACAACATTAAAATTAAAATGAAGGAAGATACTTCTGCTCAAATAAAAAATAATATAGAAAATGTTAATCAACAATATTCTCCTCCTCCACTACCACCACCTCCATATTCACCCCCTCCATCACCTCCTGTTCCGAATATTCCTAAACCTCCGATTGAGGTCGTACAACCAAACATTGAGTTAAATAATAATCCTCCTATGGATGAGAAACAACAGCAAGCAGCTACTCCTACTTCCGGCGATCACAGCAACATTGGAGATTCAAAAGAGGAAAGCAGCAAAGAAAATACTCCTAAAACAGATATAGGACAACAACAACAAACTGATCCTAAAGCAGATATGGGACAACAACAAAACGATCCCATTAAAGATATGCAAGAGCAAAAAACTTTCCCAGAAGATAAGGTCCGATTGTTATTTTGGGAGGATTTGGTTTAAAGGAATAGGCATATTTTTAAAGGGGCGTGCAGAGTTATTATTAGTCTATTAATTAGAACAATTGGACAGTTATATAATTGATTAGCAAAAAAGCAATTGCGTTTCTCTTTTTTCTAAACAAGTTTCCTATTACGCATTTACCGCATATCAACGATTTTTTAAATTTAAATCAATCACCATAAAAGCTTATATTAAAGATTCCTTTGTCTTTTTTATTGCGTTTCATTTTCTAATTATTAAATACAGTTTGTATATCACCTTTTTAATATTTTTTCTTTCGAGAAGAAATAAAAAAGATTTAACAAATAATAAAAACAGTTGGAAACTGTGATATACAAATTGTTTTACTAAGCCTTTCTTAGCTTTTATTATTTTCCTTAATTTAAAATTTCTTTTATTTTTCAGATTTAAATATTAAATTTTCTATTTATTTCTTTAAGTCTGATTATTGCTACAAAGACGATTGTAAAAAATTGGACAATATTCCTTCTGACACAGAAAAATCTCCTTTTGATTCAAAAATTCGCAAAATGTTTAGAGAAACGATGGCTTCAATTAAAGGACTTTTGCCTGAACCTTTATGTTATTTTGAAGATACTGGATTGATAATTATTGCTTTTGTGTTGATATCTATTCTTTTGCATCTTACAAATATGTTGTTTTCTAAAAGTGTTGGTAAGTGATTTAAAAATTTAATGGCTATTTTATTGGGTAAAACGAAGGATGTTTTTGTTGATTGATGTGAAGTAGCCTTAATGAAAAGACATTGATAGAACTTAGATTTGCGGTGAATGCTTGAGTCAAGAAATCAGGGTCTGTATATAGCAAGATATATCAACGATGAAAAGCCGGTAATCCTTAAGATCCCTAGGAAAATATGCTAAAAAATTTTATTGGGTAAAACGAGATGTTTTTTTGATTGATGTGGAGTACCCCCCATTTTTTGATAACGTTTACTGATGGAATATTTTTTCTATTTTTGGCGATCCTAAAAAACTCGTTAAGGGTGTCCTTTACACTTTAAATTTATTTATTAATTTTTTAAAGGCCCTGATCCATTTGACCACCGTCTTTTACATGATTGTATTACACGTTTAAAAGAACAAGAAGTAATTATTGAACAAATGAATGCTAATGCTGCAGATAATCAACGTTTAAGAGAAATTGCTAACAATGCTGAACAACTACAAAGAGAAAATAATATTTTGGAGGAAAAGATTCATATTGCTGATGAAGAGTTTGTTTTGAAATTAAAAATTTTTAATCTTTTCAAATTTTAGAATATTAGAATTGAAGAAGGAAAATGGAGAACTTAGAAAATCGTTAATGAGTATTTACCATGAATTGGAACAAAGCAAAAATTCTGTTGGCGAGCTTAAGAAGAGTTTGGACAACAAGGAGGCTTTGCTTAAGGTTTTTTTAAAATTTTTTTTATTAAAATATTTTTTATTTAAAAAACCAAGTTGCCGGGAAGGACTGGGAAATAATTTAAAATTTCCAATATTTTTTGTGGAGCACACTTTAAAATTCTTTTGCCTCGGACCTCTAAAACCATTTTTTATTATCTTTGTTCTAATAATTTAAAAATTCTCTTAGATAATTTTTTTCATAATTTTTAAAGAGCACCGAATCAGAACGTCAACGAATCGAAGCAGAACTTGACCAAACACTTTCTAAATTATCACAAACTCAAAATAGAGAAAAATATTTGGATGAAGATTTAAAGGAAGCATTAACAAAAATAGATAAATTAAAAATTGAATTGGAAAATTCTTTAAAAGAATTACAAAAATGGCAAAATGAATATACAGAAAAGAAGGCAGAAGTTGATGAATTGTTGGAAATTATTGCTGAATTTAATAATAAAAATATTGAAAAGGAAGAAAAGAAATTTAATAAGAAGAATATTAATAGAGGGTCTAATGATTCAGTTAGCCCTGATTCTCCGCCTGAACAAATGGTTGAATCTGGAGAATTGGTATATTTTTAAATAATTTTTTAGGATTTTTCAATGTAACTTTAAATCTTATTGTTAAATTTAAAAACCACTGGGTTACCTTTCATTTTTAAAATTAACGAACTTGGTCAAGTTTGGAATCATTCGATGGATCTAATTGGGCGCTATAGAATTATAGGAAAAATTTGAATTATTTGCATAATTATTCCCTGTGGTAAAGTGCTGGCTGTTTTAAAGTGCCTTCTTTATTTTCCCGTTATGCTTCTTCCGCATTTTTTACAATTTTAATTTTAGGACGTAGATAATGGAGCAGGTTCAGGTGGTAGTGCTGGTTGGTCAGACCTTGGAGATGGAATTGAAATTACTGGAAATGATTCAGAACCAAAAGTTGGGGAGAAAAGTCCGCCAAAACAAAAGAAGTCTTTAACTAAAGATGAACAAATTTCTGAAGAAATTGTTGGGGAAGAAAATGTTAAGGAAAAGAAGAAAGAAGGTGAAGATAAAAATTCTACAAAATTGGTTGATATTTTGGAGATGGCTAAACTTAAAGGGAAGCTTCGTTCTTTGGAGACTGAAAGAGGACAATTAAAGTTTGTGGTTTTTATTTTTTACTGATCTAGTTGAGTTGATAATTGTGGAAAATGGTTATGGAAATTATTTTTGGATTAAATTAAGGGGATTGTAATGTCCCAGTTTTGTCTGTAATGTCCCAGTTTTGTCTGTCCCAGTTTTGTCTTTTTCCGGAGACTGTTACACTTTTTGAAACTCAGAATCGTGAAAAATTTACTTAAAGATTTTATACCAAAAATAACCTAATTTAGTTAGAAGAATCCCTTTCTAATCAGGGCTTCATGCAAATACGGATTGCGTAAATTGTGGGGGTTTTTTTTGCAATTGCGAGTTGCGGAATTTTTTTCAATTGAGTGCAGCCCTGTTTCTAATCCTTTTCTTCCATATTTTCTCATTATTTTTCAAGAAAGATTAATGTCCTTTTAATATTTTTTTCAGATTTTCTCTAAAAATTGAAAAAGAAGAAAAAGAAAATTTACAAAAAGAATTGGATCGTCTACGACAAGAAATTGTTGAAAAAGAGCGTGATTCTGAACAGAGAGAATTGGATAGACATGGACTTACTCAACAATGTTCTAAATTATTACAAATGATTGAAGAAAAAGAGAAAAAAGTAGAATATAGTGAAAATGAACGCGAAAGACTTCGTTCTCGTTTATCAGAAATTGAATTGGAATTGAGACGTGTTGAGGATGAAAGAAGAGAATTGGTACATAAACATAAAGAATTGGAACAATCTTTGAAAAGAAGTAATGAATTAAATGGAAAATTGGAAAATAAATTGTTTCATGAAGAAAGAAAAATGAATGCAAAAATTAGGCAATTGGAAGAGGTTTTTTTAAGATTTTGTTTTGAAATTTATTTTTTTTAATTTTTTAGCAGTTAATTACAGCAAAATCTTCATTAAGTCCATTAAATTTAAGTGCTGGTGGAGGTGTTAGCAGCGATTTAAATATGAGTGGAAATTCTTCTGATCGTGATTTTATTCCTTTAAATGGACCTGAAGGAGAAGATGCTAGTGGTGGTCAAGTTGAGAGAAGTATGGTCCCAAGCCTTTGGTCTGAAATTGAGGCTTCGGAGCCTGTTGATGAGTGAGTAGATTTTTTTATTATTTTTTGGGATTAATACAGTCAAATTTCACACTGTTGTGGCTTATGTTCTCATAATGTAGTGTATCTTAAACTGGGGTGTTTTTTGTATAGGGGTTAGGTATCTCCCTCTGTCAGGTAGTTAATCAAATTTAAGAATGTATCAAAATTGAGTATTGTGTATAACTTATAGATAAGTCTCACGGGGTGGTTAGCATTTGACTTATCAAAAAATATTTTTCTTTCAGATTAGTCAACCTCGAGCGAAAGGCCAGCATGCGTCGACGTAGAAGTGCTGCTCGTGAATCTCCCTTCCTAGGAGATATTGTTCACATATCAAGCTCTGGACGTGAAGAACGTTTCAATACTTCAAAATATTCTTCTGTTTCTTCTACAGCTGCTCCACGTCAAAGAATGCGTTCTCGTTCAGCTGGAAGGCAATCTGCTCGTCTTACTGGTGTTTCAGCGACAAATCCTCTCTACAATACTACAAGTTCAATTGGTGCTTCAACAACTTCATTAAACCGTCAAAGAGCATCAGTTTTACCGACAGGAAAGAGTTCTCCATACAGAAACATGATTGAAAGGCCAGCTTCTACACGCCCTCGAAATAATTTGTATACGACTACATCTGCTGGAGCAATGTCAGGAGGAGCTTATTCTTCAGATTCTAATGGTGCTTCAAGTCCTCCTCCAGAGGTAGATTTGAAAAGATTTATATACTTCCATTTGGGTTAGAATTATGTCTCATCTTGGAATTTTGAGAAAACTTGATATTAATTTAACTTTGAAGGCGAAATTCGTAGGAGTAAGAGTTTTTAAGTTTCCGATCCATAAAATTTAATATTTATTTTTCATTAAATTTATAAATTAAATTTTAGATGCCTCTTCTTTCTGGCGTTCCTCCGCCTGGCTTAAACAAAAGACCTGCTATTATTTTACCACAAAGGATGCAAGTACATTTACATAAACCTGCGAATATTTTACCTAAATAATTAAAAAGAGTAGAAAAATATTTTTTAAGAAATTAAAGTTTAATTAGATTTTAGATTAAGGCTAAATCCATTCGATGTGGAACAATCTTTTAAAATTATTTCTACTCACATATAAGACCGAACGTTATTGTTGTGTATTTTTTATTTTTGTTTTTTTTTGTAATTTTAACTGATTATATAATTTTGGGTAAAAATTAGTTTTTATAATTTTGAAACAAAATTAAGGAAAAAATAAGGCAGTAAGGTGAATAAGAATTTCTGTATATTATTTAAGCACAAGTATATCCTCCTTCCCATCGTTGTTGTGGTTGTCTTTCACAAACATCAAAAGTTAATCGAATACAAGCAAATTCATTTTCTATACAAAATTTTTTAAAATTAATTTCATTCTTAAAAATTCAAAAAAATTGCCATAAAGTAGCCAGGGCAAATAATCATTTTTATGCCAAGTATTCTTTTGCTGTTCAATATACCAATTTTTAACTTGATCAAAAGGGATATTATTGTCCACATTTTTTATTTTCTGTTCAAATTCTCGAAGAGAATTTCTTTCAATTTGTGCTTCTTTTATTGCCTTTTTTCGTTCAATTTCGGGTGTAGCATTGAATGCAAGGCGGATTTTTGTCTTTGAAATTTTTTTAGGTATTGTTGTTATTAAAAAATTATTTTAATAAAACTAACCACAATTGTTCCCTATATTTAAATTTAAAAATTAGATTTTCTTAAATTTTTATATATTTACATATCCAACTTGTTGGAGTGCGGACATTGCTATTTTTATTCCGCTTTGGTCATCTTCCGTTTCAGAAAGTATATCTAATTGACAATCTCTGAGAATAACAAAGAAAAATTTTAAGAATCAGTTATGAATACTTTTAAATTTTAAATAAGCGTCTAAGGATATTAAGGGTATTGACCAACTATGTGTATAAACTTAATTTTTACAGACGTTGGGTATGCTTCAATGAAAATAGAAAGTATATCTAATTGATAATCGTTAAAACTGTTTGGTGTTATGTGTTCTCAAAAAAGAAATTCTCGACTAGTATTGGCAAAAAAAAGTTCCTCATAAAACGGGAATTTAACTATATTATCTGACGAACGAATATTTCAAACTTTGAACGACTTTTTTTTGAAAATTTAATCATTTTTGACTTTGAATACTTTTTCCGCTCTCGATTTAACTTTTCAAAATTCCCCCTTTTCCCAATTTTATTAAATTTATTATTTACCCATCATTGTCTAACCATTGCCAATCATTAAAACAAAATTGTTTTCTAAAAGTATATAATCCTGGCTCTGACGGGCATTTTATACTGTAAAATTAAAAAATATTTTCTACAGTACTATTCTAAGAAACCCTTTAAGTTGTTGAGCAATATTAGAAGGTAATAATTCGTTTTCCTCTTCCCTTTCATTTTGTTTATCCACTTTTTTTAAACTTTCACAAATATCACAATAATAACTAAAAATTGAATGGATGTGGATGAGGGAAGGGAAGAAGCGTCTATGTGTAAGTTACCAATTATTCCCAAAACCCCCACATCCATTAGAACTTGAATTTTGACATTTTGCTTTTCTTTAAATTTTTTGTTTAAAATAAATTATAAGGGAAAATTTTACTCAGAACCGCGTACATTAAGCCATTGATATTCAGTTTTGGCAAATATTGAATTGGGAAGGCCTAAACAAGAAGAAATGTTTTTTTGATTAAATTTCGAACAATGTTGATTTTTTATTTTTAGAATTTAAGGGATTGGTATTGACTTTTATAAGGGGATAAGGGTGATATGTACTTTCCAAATCACAAAAAGGGCAATATTTTAAAAATAATCAAAATTTTGAATTAAAGATCAATGTAGAAAAAGGGGAGAAAATGGAGTGAGAAGGTTAAAAAGAGGAAGAAGCCCCAAAATGCGGTAAAAGGGTCCCCTGAAGAGGGATTAATTTTTTGAAATTTTTTAAATTTTAATTCTTAACCATTATTATCCACAATATGTATATTTCTAATTTCAACAGTAAAACAGCCAGGAAATTTAATTATTGAAGGTCTAATCTTTACCTTTAAAAATTTTATTTTTTTCTTAAATAAATTTATTTTTAATATTTAAATGCCTGTCTAGCATCCATTTCCACTAATCTCTTTGAATTTGGTCTGGCTAAAAATTAAAATTTTTTTCTAATTTTGGACACAATTTTTACTGCAAGAGGCATCTGCCTTTCCAGGTATTAGCCACAAATCTTGAGAGAAAATTTAAAAAATATTTTTTTTTCAATTTTTGGCATTATGTAATTTTTTAAAATTTTCAAAAAAATTTTTTTTTGAAAATTAACCCTGATAATTGCAATTTTGTTTTCTCCTTTTATTATTAATATTTTTATTGTTGGGCATAAATTGTTGACAAATTGAATCTTTAAAAGGAAATTGAGAAGAAAAAAATGAAATTAAAAAATTTTTGGTTACCACCGGGAAATTGTTCACAAAAAATTGTTGAGGCAGAAAATTCATAAGAAAAGGGAATAATTAATAAAATAAAAATATTAAAAAATAAATTTAAAGATAATAAAATATTAAAAATAAAAATCATTTTTTAATTGTCTGTTTAAAATAATTAATTAAAAGAGAAATCCCTTTGCTATTCTCACATTAAAAAATTTTATTTCTAATTTATTACAATCTCCACGTTATCCCAATACTTTCCTATAACATTATTAAACAATCTCCGACATATCACTTTTTTAGAGATCTCTCAGATACAAGGGAGTAAGGGAGGAAATAATGATTATTACTGGGCATGGCTCCGGGAACTAGCTCCAACCAGAGGTGTGTCGGAAATGATGAAGGTGCCGAAAATCGGAAATCAGTCTAAATTCTCGAAATCGGAAATCGGAAGGAAAAAACGTCAGAAATCATGCTCTGGCTCCGACAACCAGCAGGAGCTAAAATAATAAAAAGTGGTTACATAATTCGTAGAAAATATTTAAAATTAAATAAAAATAAAAGCCTTTAAACTTTCCTTTTTTCATTAAATTTTATATTAAAATAAATATTCATTCAAGCATTGTAAAACCAATAGGATTATTTAAATTTAAAAAAAGTATCGAAAATAAAGCTTTTTATAAAGAGAGAAGCTTTATTTTTTTGGAAAATTTTTGGTAAAAAAAGACAAAAAAAAATAGTAAAAATTGTAGACAAAAATGAAAAAAAGTGAAAAATAAAAATTTGAATTGCCCTCAATTATTTAAATAAAAACAGGAAATTTGAAAAGAAAAAAGGAAAATGCGCGATATTTTGCAGTAGAAAAATAAATAAATTGAACAGTGTTCAATTTATTGAAAAAAACACAAAAGAGACATTTTCTAAAAATTTGAGGAATTTGGAAATTAAAAAATAAATGGGTAAATTGGATAACTCATGTTTGTAAATAAATAAAAAAATATGAGAAGTTTGGAAACATGTAAAGAATGGAGTGACTTTCCATGAAGCGAATTTTAACTTCTTGTTGTTACTTTAGTGTAATGTTGTATCCCGACTTTTTGAGGATTTTATTTTTAATTGGAAAGAGACTTGAACCACAAAGTCTATCGAATCAGTTAGACAATAGAATGACAAAGAAATAATGTATGTAGTATAACTGCCGGATGCATCAAAATATTCAGTGCATCATAAACAGGAAGACTTGGTCTTATAACTACTACTACTTGCTATATTTTCTTTACTCAGAAACAAAAATGCACTACTTTCAAAATGAACACAATTATCTAATTATTTTAAGACTAGAAAATTTGAAAATCCGAATGGAAGGGACAAAAGTTAATTCCCCTCATAAAAGAGAGAATTTTTTGGAAATCTTGACTTATAGGGGACTTTTTTTTGGCTGGACCGATTTCGACAAATGATATGTCATTCGAAAGAGCTCGTCGAGCTGAGTCGAATGAGAGGTGAATGGTGTCGATCCGACAATCAGGGACCGAGTTACAGACCCCTGAAGTTTAAAAAAGAGAAGGGGGGAGTAAGCTCATTTTGGTTAAAAAATTCAAAAATGTAAATTATAGCTCTTTCGAAAGAACTCCTCGAACTGAGTCGAATGACACCAAAATCAGCTCGATTGAACAAGTTTGGACAAAGTTATGACACAGTAAACAAACAACGTAAACCTATGGGGCGTCGGCGAGGCGCTTGTGCAAAACTCCGCGCTTCGCGCGGAGTTTTGCGGCACGCGCCTCGCGGGGAGTCTACGGGCGCTGGGTCTGGGCTCGTAACATAAACCTATTCCTATTTCCCTTGCTTTGGACGTACCCGGGGCCTTGTAGCAGCAAAAACCGCGGAGACCATAGGTAAGGAGCTAAAAATGACACATAACTTTGTCCAAACTTGTTCAATCGAGCTGATTTTGGTGTCTTTCGACTCAGTTCGAGGAGTTCTTTCGAAAGAGCTATAATTTACATTTTTGAATTTTTTGACCAAAATGAGCTTACTCCCCCCTTCTCTTTTTTAAACTTCAGGGGTCTGTAACTCGGTCCCTGATTGTCGGATCGACACCATTCACCCCTCATTCGACTCAGCTCGACGAGCTCTTTCGAATGACATATCATTTGTCGAAATCGGTCCAGCCAAAAAAAAGTCCCCTATAAGTCAATAGTACGAATTTTTTCTCCGACCATTTTTACTTTTCTCGCGTCTGACCATTTTATAATTTTCCTCGTTATTGACCATTTCTCTTGTTTCTCTTTTTGCTTTCCGCGCCTTTAACGTGTTTGAATAATTAGGCTTACTTTTTAAATTTTTTTTCTTAATTAAGTTTCTGATTTTTATTTTTTTTTGATTTACCTTAATTACTTTCCAAATTTTAGGTTAATTTACAAGCTACAATGTCAACATTACCAAAATTAGTGCCAAATTCATTATATTCATTTTCCAATCTCCACATTTCATCGAATGCTCCTTTCTCTGCGCCGCCTGTTGAAAACAGCAATAAAAAACAAGAGACAGATCGTATTTTCTTTGGGGAAAGTTTCAACGGTTTTAAATTTAATTTAAATTAAAAATCAAAAAAAATTTTTTTTCAGAAACGCAGCCTTATTTCTCAAACAACAATTCTCCGATTGGAAGTGTTAGTGACTTTAGCAATTTGATGAATCTTCGGTCTTTTCCTCCTTTGTCTTCTGAATTGCCTCCGCCACTTTCTGCTCCACCTTTTCATTCTTGCACCAATGGGGGTGGTTTTGCTGGAATTCGTGGTGGAGGAAGTGCTGGTTGTAGTAGTGGAAATAGTGGAATGGTTCAGGGTGGTGGTACTGGAACTCGCTTCCGTTTTACTAATCGCCCCACCTCTCAGCCGGTCTATTTTTCTTTGAAAGTGTTTCTTGGTGGAATTCAGGCATCGTTGACTACAAGTTTGTTTTTCTTTTTTTATTTATTAATATGGGTACTCTGGGAGATTGCAAATCTTATGTCATTAGAAAGAGTTTCGGATTGCGTTGATGCCGAAATTAGCCGTCACTCAACGGTTGAGATACACATCTGAGTATTGCTTAAAGGAGAGGTCAAGCTTATCTTTGTGGTAACCCCCTTCCCCTTGAAATGGGGAAAAGTGACAAATTTGATGTGAGGAGGGAACCCCTCCCCCCTACGCTCTTGATGAACAAAGAAGCTCATTTGAGGATAAAATCACAGGGATAGGTAGAAAAATGACATAATTTTTCAATATACCAGAGTATTCTTGATTTTTACTACTTTCTAAATCGATGAAATTTAAAGAAGCAAAGCCCGATATGCATTTCATTTTATGCAATTTTCCTCAATCCTCGCTGATATTTTTATCAATATTGAATATTTTTTAGATGTTCTCCAACTTAACTTTGCCAAATTTGGTTCAAACTTTATTGACTGGCCGAAGAAGACTACAATTCAGGATCGTCCTCCAAATGGTTATTTCTTCTTAATTTTTATTCAAAATTTCATAAATTAAAGGCTATGCATTTGTTGTCTTCGAAAACGAGCATTCCATCATTCACATGCTTCGACATTGCCAACAGTCAAACAATCGAATTTTCTTTCCTGTTTACACGTTGAATGGTTTGATGCATCCGGTTAAGAATTTTGAAAGATTTTTTTAAAACTAAAGAAATATTTTAAGGTTGAGATCAAGGTTTGGCAAATGAATGACACCACGTATGCTGCCCAGCCTGATTGGCGCAAATTACGTCGTTTTTCTGTTTTTGTTGGAGGAATTCCTAGAACTTGTACTGCAGGTTTATTTTTAAATTTAATTATTTTGAAAAAATAATTTTTTAAGCTACGCTCGCTTATGCAATTGAAGATGTTATTGGGCCTGTTGCTTACTGTGCAATTGAACTTGACCCGAATCATTTCTATCCTAAAGGGGCTGCCTGCGTAGTTTTCAGCACAAAAGAATCGTATATTAAGGCGATAGCTGCACACGAAGTTATTCTTTCATTTGGCTCTTTTGAACGAAAGGTTTTTATTTTTAAATTATTTATAGTAGGACATAGCAGAGACAGGAAAAATTTTTGAAGAAATGTGTGACAAAAGTTGTTAGGAAGCCCCAAAGGTGATTTTCAGTCTGTTAAGATTTTTTCCGCATTTTTTGGTCATCTTTCCAATTTACATAGGAGGTCTATAAGCCTTAACTTCTGTCACCGAATAAAATATCGTTTAACACCCAGAATTTAAACATTTTTTTGGTTACTTTTTCTCTTCCCTGTCTTGGAATATTTTCTTTTTGATTTCTACAACATAAATTTTTTAAAAATTTACAGGTCGAATTGAAAGCGTTTCTTGCATCAAATATGCCTTGTGAAAAGTGTGGAATTACTAACGGGACTCGTTTTTGCAACGAAATCATTTGCCTTGCCTATTACTGTGTCAATTGCTGGAAAATGGTTCATGTTCGTCCTTCGATGAGTAGCCACACCCCGTCAAAACGTCACGTTAAAGGAGGAGGAAGTGGAGAAAGTCCAACACAATCATAAATTTAAAATTGAGGTTTTTTGTTTTTGCCAACTATTACATATATTTTAATACTTTCATTTCTCTCTCTCTCCCTAATTTCAATACTACTAAAATCAAAAAATTTTTGAATTTAAAATGATTTTTATGTCCAAAAAATGTTCCTGCCTTTCCAAAAAATATTTTTTTAATTTTTTCCGCTCTTTCTGCTCTCTTCTATCTTTAAACCAAACACTTGCCGCAAACATTTTATTTAAAATATTCTCTATTTTGATATTATTTTTAAATTAATTTGCCGATTTATTTTGAAATTTTGCATTTTATTTGTTATTAAAAATAAATATGAAATTGAATTGATTAAATATAGATACTTTTTTTTAATTTTATAAATGAGCTTTTAAGGATTCTTTATTTTTATTGCCCGTCATCGCTGTTTTAAGTGAGGAAACCTCCCAAATTTAAGTTTCTGCGGCAATTTTAAATGATTTTTGGCCGTGATAATAATTTCAAAATTTACGATTGAGGTGTTTTTACATTACTCGGACTAATGTAAAAACACTATTTTTGAGCGTTTCAGCTCATGGCATTTTAAATTCTTTGCCGGAACTTTTTAAATTCTGTCAGAATTGAGATGTAATTAGTGACTAAAAGATATACGAACTTTCTGGATTTTTTTTGATTAGAGAATTTTTTTTTGTAAAAAATTTTGTTCAATGTATATAAATTCAGGAAAACTTTAAAATTTTTTATCAAATTTATTTAAACAAATTTCTTCTATCCAACAATAATACTTCCTTTTTTATATTTACAAGAGCTAAGTTTACATTCGTCCTGAGGAAGGCATTGACCCTCTGGTTTCATCTGAGCTGATCCAGTAGTTCCATTATATTCTTGACAGCCAAAAGATATTGTTGGGGGATTGGGGTCTATATGGATATTATTTATTTCCATTGTGTCTCCATAATTGTAATTTAATGCTGAAAAAAGGGAAAGATAGAAATAAAATTTAAATTGAAAATTAATTTTATTTTCTCAATAGGAAAATGAGAAAAAAATCCTTGACAAAAAAATCCCTTGACAAATTTCCAATTACTCAAGCAATATAACAAATCTGACCTTCTAAACTAAAACCTAAAATCCCTAAAAAACAAAATTGTGTTTAATATTATAGTGAGGGTAAATATTCGAGGAAATGTTGTTATTATTTCAATCTTTCGATGGAAGGAGGGGGAAGATAATTAATGCAGTATATCCGTTAATTTACTTAAATATGTTATCTCAGACTATCGTATTTTCTCGATTAATTCCCCTGGGTAATTATTGTTTCAATCCATCCGTGGTATGGGGAATTACTCGAGTGTGGGGAATTAATCGGGAAAATACTAGGGTTAATTACCCCATTATTTATTTTAAATTATCTACTTACAAATTAATGATAGACCCGGCCCTTTAAATTTACAATTTGCCATTTTAATACTTCGAGGGTGTTGACTGCATAATTCCCCACAAGAGCGATAAACTTTGCTGAAATTTTGAGCACAGAAATTTTGAATAATTGTTGTGCCTGCCCCAGCTTGGGTAAAAACCTTGAAGAATATTTTTTAGATTTTATTAAAAATTCTACTTTATCAACAGCATTCAGTACCGCTCCCCCAATTACTTGATATAATTTAGGGGTACCGTCCAAACTATTTCCAAAGTCAACGGCATGGTAACAAGTCCTTTTAAAGCTGAAATTTATCTAATAAAATTATCTAATAATATTTCATCATAAAATTCATTTATAGTTTGTTGCTACATAACTTAATGCCCAAAAGGATATATAGTTTCCATGGGTGGTTTTTAGTAGTCTAAAGCAGAAAACTACAAAAGAAGGCAAGCCCTATTCAACAGCAAAGTTCTGTAAGGATTATTCATCTGGAGCATTTAAGTCGCTTAGGCTGGGGTTAAACGATCTAAAAGGATAAAAGAGAGCATTAGTGGTAGAGCTTCTGTATGGGTGAGTGAAAGCGCCTAGTAATAACCACGAGGAGGTCGCAGGTTCGGATCCTCCTCGGTGGCTAAACTTTTGTTAAACTCTGTCCAATTAACAAGGTATTCCTTTTTGCTACACCAATTTATTACTTGACCGTCAAAAATATTTTCAAAAAAACATTATTTATTAACAAAACTCACAAAACATTAGTTAATGTACACCTTCCTTTACACCAAATCCCCTTTGCCGGGACATCAATAATTAAATTACTTATAGAACCTCCATCCTCTATTTCAATAATATTCTTTCCCTTAACAGAACCTTTAATATCACAACTTGTATACATACTCGGGTCTGCAGTAATTAAGGCATTTTTAAAGTCTGTATGGCCCGTTATTGGTCTGAAAAAAAAAATTTTCTTTTAAATTTATGAAAAATAAGTTTAAAAAAGGGAAACAACTTAAAAAGGATTTACTAAATAAATTCTTGCAAAAATTAATTTTAAGCAATTAATCTTTTCTGTATTTAATTTATTTTTAGAAATTTCTGCAATTATTATATTTTTTTGTAAATAATAAATAAAATATTATATTTATTTTATTGATTAAAAAAAATATTTTTTATTTAAATTTAACAGAAAATTTCTAAAAATTTTTTTTGTAAATTTATCAGAAATTTTGAGTTTTACTAACTCCTAATTATTGTTTTTTTAATTTAATTTTCCGTTGATTTCCCCCTGATTGTTTAAATTTAAAAATGTTGACCGATAAATTTCTATTTAAAATTAACAAATTAAAGAGTTGAAATTTTTTTTATATGAGGTTTATTCCGAAAAAAGTTATTTAACCTTTAAATATTTTTCCTCAATTTTCTGACCAGTTTTAAATCGAAGATTTTTAAATTAACCGTATTTCTCAAATACTTATTCCGAGTAATTATTTGTTTCAGCCTCTGGATGGTGGGGAGGATATTTAATTGGAAAGGGGGAAGAGGGGGGTGGGAGGTGGTAATTATTTGAGTTTGATTTATTCAAGTGATTATTAGAGTAAACTTTTTAGCGTCTCAATTAATCAAAAAATCCTTCGGAAACAGGCAATTTTCACTAAAAAACAGCCTTTTACTCCAATAATTTTTAAAATTTAATATAACCATAATTAACACCAATTAAAACTCTAATTTAATTTTTGGATTATTAAAAAATTAATTTAAATAAATTTATACATTGGTACTTTAATTGGAGGTGTTGAAGTGTCTTTAATAGAAGGAAAAGGGCAAAATTGAGTTAAATTAAAATTAAATAAATTAAATAAATAAAATAATATTTTTGGGGAAATTAATAAAAATTTGAAAGAAAAAGGGAAAAAATATTTAATTTGAATAATTAACATTTTTTGTGAATAATATAATAATTTTTGAGAGAGAAATAATTTTTTTGGGATATTTTTTTATTTTTTATTAATTAAAATATAAAGAGTAAAAACTATATAATTATTTATCCCTTTTTTATAAAATAATGAGAATAAAAAAATTATTAAAAAAAAGTATATTCTTTATTGTTTGTGTCAACGTGGTTCTACTAGTATAGCTAGAAAAAAATTTTTAAAAAATATTTTTTGCTATTAAAATAAATAATTTTAAATTTTTGGTACAATTTAATACTTTTAAATTAAAATTTACAAAACTAGAGAGTAAAATTATTAATAATCTTTTTTTATTAAAATATTGTTTATTTAAAAAGTGATCACAAAAAATAAAAAATATGTGGGCATCCTGCCAATCAGAGATAGATCGGAACAGTAAGAGGTAGCGGAAATTGGAAGAGCCAGAAATCAGAACTGACTCAAAAGTCGGAAGTCGGAATTCCGACCCACCTCTGCTGCCAACCAGACTTCCGAAAATTTTTAAAAGGATTCTTCCAAATGTTTCCACTAAATTTAAATAACGAAAAGAAAAAAACCTTTTCTTCGTCCTGCTTTTATAAAAATGCAATTTTATTTTGCGGATTTTTCCCGAAATGATTAGAAAAAATAGGAGTAAGTACAGGAGAAATTTTATCAGATAATTTAAACTGTCAACGTACAAAGTAACGGATTTTTTTGGAATAGAAAACTTTCAAAAAAAAGAGAGAATTACAGAATTACAAGAGAATTACAATTGTTCAGAGGGTTTCTAAATTTAGGTCCGAAGGGGTGATCTATTAGAAAGATAAATTATTTATTCATTTAACAATAATACTTCCTTTTTTGTATTTACACGATCTTAGTCTACATTCATTTTGAGGTAAACATTGACCTTCAGGCTTTAAAGTTGACCTTCCTCTTGTCCCGTTATATTCTTGACAACCAAAAAATATTCTTGGATAAGTTAATTGGATATTATTTATATACATTGTATCTCCATAATTGTAATTTAATGCTGAAAAAAAATTTTTTTAAAAGAAATTAGGGAAATTTTCAACAATTTTCTGCATTTGTTTTTATTTCCCACATTTTTGTTATGTAGCGTCAATTAAAAATTACATATCCAAATTAATTTCCGAAAAAAATTCGGATATCTACTCATCGCCTCCTCCAAATAACAATTTATATTTTTGTGATAAATAAATTTTTTTACTTTTTTAGATTTTAAAATAGGGATTTGCTAAAATTGGGACCTCTTCCCATTTTGTATTTCGATTGAAAATTTATTGTGATCCCAAGTAAGGTTGAGAAATATAGGCCCAGTCTCTAATATTAAAATGTCCCATTGAAAAATATAGGCTCAGGCTGCCTATTTTTTTAGGAAACAATGTGAATGTCGGCCTTATAATTTTGTCGGCCAAGAAGCCTGATCCATTTTGCTGTCGCTGGCGAAAATTTGCAGTCGAAACAATACTTCAAAAATTATCGGAAATCGGAAATTTTATAAAAATTTCGGAAATCGGAAGTCAGAAATCGGAATTATGATCGAACTTTGCCCTGCAGAGGGTATTCTATAGTGACATTTGAATTATCCACTTACAAATTAATGACAGACCCGGCCCTTTAAATTTGCAATTTGCCATTTTAATACTTCGACGGTGTTGACTGCATAATTCCCCACAAGAGCGATAAACTTTGCTGAAATTTTGAGCGCAGAAATTTTGAATAATTGTTGTGCCTGCCCCAGCTTGGGTAAAAACCTTGAAGAATATTTTTTTAGATTTTATAAAAAATTCTACTTTATCAACAGCATTCAATACCGCTCCCCCAATTACTTGATATAATTTAGGGGTACCGTCCAAACTATTTCCAAAGTCAACGGCATGGTAACAAGTCCTTTTAAAGCTGAAATTAAAAGAATATTACTTCAGAATTCCTAAATAAAAAAATAACTAGACAGATTAAGACCCGAAGCGAATGAAATTCGAAGATTTTGCCGTTTGGTTCCTTATAAAATCAGAAGAGAGAAGGAACTTCTTTTTTAACTAAAATTTTCATCTCTGATTATAAATTTTTTAAATAAAATTTGCTACACCAATTTATTACTTGACCGTCAAAAATATTTTCAAAAAAACATTATTTATTAACAAAACTCACAAAACATTAGTTAATGTACACCTTCCTTTACACCAAATCCCCTTTGCCGGGACATCAATAATTAAATTACTTATAGAACCTCCATCCTCTATTTCAATAATATTCTTTCCCTTAACAGAACCTTTAATATCACAACTTGTATACATACTCGGGTCTGCAGTAATTAAGGCATTTTTAAAGTCTGTATGGCCCGTTATTGGTCTGAAAAAAATAATTTAAATAATTATAAACGTTGAAAATTACTGAAAATAAAAGTTAATTTATGACGTAAATTTTATTTTTTTTTCTAATTTAACATTATTTTTTTTCACAATTTTTAATGAAAAAAATTTTAGCTATAAATTCAACGTTCCTTATGTAAATAAAAAAATTTATATAGATTTTATTTTTGCAAAAATATTTAATTTTTAGATTTGTGTATTTTTATTAATAAATTTTAAAAATTTAAAAACTCTAATAATTATTTCTTAATTTTTATTTAATCAAAAAAATTTTTTAATTACAAAGTTTCAAAAAATATTTTTCGAAAAAATTTTAAAAATAAAAAATATTTTCCATTAAAATATTTTTTATTTATTGGATAGCCGTAACGAGATAATAAAAAAATCTGAACTTCCCTAAATTCTCTGCTTTAATCTCAATTGAAGGAATATCAAAATCTAACAACGTTTTACAATTTTTTTTAAAAAACTAAATTAAAAATTAAAAGGTAATTATTTTTCTATCGAGTAAGTATTTCACTCAAATTTTAATACAAATTTAAAAAATTTTTCGTGAAAATAAATTTACGCTCCAACAAAATTCTTTTGAAGGGAAAAGAGGCGCGTATTGTGAATATGAATCCCTGTTTAAAATAAAGTTTCTTATCCGCTGACAAGGAATGTATGCGCAAGCAAGGTTTCGGGCAGACAAAGTTCCAGCAATTAAAAAAATTAATTAAAAAAAAATACATTGGTTTTTTGATTGGAGGTGTTGAGGTGTCTTTTGGAGAAGGAAAAGGGCAAAATTGAGTTAAATTGGAATTAAATAAATTAAATAATAATATAAATATTTTAAATTTAAAAATTAAATAATTAATTAAAGAAAAAATAAAAATTAAATTATTTAATAAATTATAGAAGAAATATTTAAATTGAAAAGATGACATTTTTATTTAATTTTTTGAGGGTCTAGAGGTATTTTGGAAGGTATTTGGAGGTTAATTGGAGGTTCTTACATTTTTTAGAATTTTTAGAATTTTTGGGATTTTTTAAAATTTTTATTAGGGTTAATTTGGATATTTTTATTAATTTTATTTTTTTTTAGGAATAAAAAAAAATTTTTTTTAAATTAATTTTAAACGAGCGGTAAGGGGCCGCTGCGCGGCCCCTTACCGCTCTTTTTAAGTTTTCAAAGTTGTAATTTATTTGCTGCAAAGTGCGTGAAAAGAACAAACGATTTTATTGCTCTGTTTAGAGCTTATCTCATGTTTAAAAGGGGTTCGCGTGTAAATAATGTATTTTGAGAACCTAGGGGTTTTGAGGGGAGGAGGTTTCACTAATTTGGATATAGTATAGTATACCGGTGGAAAGGATTCGATATAAGACCCATACCATTCTTTTCGTCTCAGCGTGCAAAGACGAACGACTTTTTTCCGGTGATGCCTGTGGACCGAGATATAGGTCTCCGAAAATCGGAAAACCATAGTGGGGATAAGCACAATTTTGGGGTGAAAAATTCGATTTTTTGAATGATAGCTCATTCGTAAGAGATCCTCGAGCTGAATCGAATGACACCTGAGCCAAGATAAAGAGGCTCAAAATGGTCAACGTGTACTTATGGGCGTCGGCGAGGCGCTTGTGCAAAACCCTGCGCTTCGCGCAGGGTTTTGCGGCACGCGCCTCGCAGGGAGTCTACGGTCGCTGGGTTCTGGGCTCGTAACTTAATCCTATTTCTTTTTACCTATTCTCAGCTTTGAATGCCGTCCTACCCTCAGTAGCAACACAAAAACTTTTATTAAAGGAATGTTAAGTTGTTCATAATTTTGTTCAGAATCATCTTATCGTGCTGATTTTGATGTCATTTAACTCAACCCGTCGAGCTCTTTTAAATGAGCTATCATTTGTACTATTGAATTTTTTATCCAAAATTCGCCTCTCTATTTGTTTGGATTTGTGGATTTTATTGTCTAATTTTATTTTATCCATCCCTTTTTTCTTTGATCAAGACATTTAATATGCTTGCTGTCTTGGTAGGTTTATCTGCCTTGATAGTTTTACTCTGCCTTTATAGTTTAATAAGATCAAGAAGGCTTTATGGATATATTAGGAAGAATCCCCTGATATCCTTCGTTATCTTTTGTTTTCTCTATAAGTCCTATTATTCACTCCAAATCCCTAAATATCCACGATATCAATATGCCCGGAAATTTTATAACACAAAAACGATATGGCACTCGTTGTTATTCTGTGATTCTTGGTTGAAAAGGTTGCAAGAAAATGCTAGACATTTGATTCGCCTGTGTTTTGCATTTTTCCCGTTTCCCTCAAAAACAACAGATATTTTTCTTAACTCTTAAATTAGGATAAAAGACGATTTGTAGGGATCAAAAACGTTTGCATGGGGTTGAACGAATATCAAAAATTAAGAAGCATATATCCAAATTTGACCAAATATTTGATGTAATTTGTTTCTGTACAAACTCAAAAACTACTTTCCTTACTTCGTAATTTATATTTTAGAAAAGCTGCTGGACTATAGCTATTTCTCTTTTTTGCTAGCGAAAAGGTTTTTCGGCGGCTGGGAGTGACATTTGGTTTCTACCTTGTACCCCCAATATCTTGATCTTCCTCTTAGTTGCTTGAATCCCTTGTGATCCCTTTTAATCCCCGAATACGTTGTTAGCCCTTATTATCCACGAATTCCTTGATCTTTCTGTTTATACATAGAAATCTCTCCGTTACACCCTATATTAATGCCGTTCGGGTTGGGGTCGTTTTGGCGCCGGGCCGTTTTGGCGCGAGAACAAAAAAGTGGTACTTAGGCGAGACCTATCTTCATAAAAATTTTCTCAAATTTCTTTAACATCATTGACTACCTCCTCCAGAAATTTCAGAATTTTTCATCAAATATTTCCGAAGTTATAGTTGATAGACCTCGAAAAATTAGGCATTTTGCAGAAAATCAACATTTTTGGCCACAATTTCCGAAATTCTTGATCAAAAATTCTGAAATTTTTGGAGAACTTAGATAAAGGTGCGAGAGTTATTATTGCAAAATTTTATCATTTTTGATAACGAACTCGCTATCTTATAAGCTCGCGCCAAAACGGCCCCGCGCCAAAACGGCCCAGTCCCTGCCGTTCTGTTTATTCCTTCGGAACTCTTGTGTTCCCTATTAACCTACACACCCTTGTTCTATCTGATTATATACAAATCTCTTGCTATCTCTATTTTGCCAAGAAATCTCCTGTTGTTTTTGCTAATCCTCTTTTATCTTGTTTTCCATTTTGAGTTTTTCCTTTTACTTGCTCTCACTTCTCCCTTTTTCCCCTCAAAATCCCCTCCTAATTTTGTTTTTCGCAAAAACAGATTTATGTGAATGCCTTAATATCTGATGATTTCTGTAGATACCTTTTTTAAACAAAATCGAATCTTTAATAGAATTGGCAATAACATTATTCTAAACTAAATACGGTAGAAATATGGTAAACAATTAAAATCAGAACAAAATTAAAAGGTAAAAACAAATTAAAACAAACAAACATCAGAAAAAACGAACCATAACAGAACAAAAGCAGTCAATAAAACGAAAATTTCTGCGGGTTCATAAAAATTTAATTAATCATTTTTTTTGAGATTAAGGAGATTCAAAAGCTATCTGTAAATCCAAAATCTGACAGTTTGTAAAATTTTTGTTTTTTCTTTTCAAAAAATTTGTATTTCTTAAAATATAGTTTTTTTGAAAATAGAAAAGAACAAAACCGGTCCGTTTTTGTTCAAGAACTTAACTAATTCCTAACAAATTTAAATTATCACAAAACCATAAAAATGCGGAGAGGTCAAACTTTCGGTGTTTACTGATAAAACTATTTAACATGGTTTAATAAAGATAAATAGGTAGTTTGTAAAAAATGAATTATTAAAAAATAATTTTGCGATAATAAATCTATAACTGTTTAACAACCGCCGCTTACTACCCAAGTCGCCAGCTATTTTCTCCCCTTAAATCCACTGTATTTGGGTCTGGAAATTGTGCTAACTTAAAAGGTGCTCTATTAAAGTTTCATAGTTGCGATATAATGGCTGCGTTTTATTTAAACAATAAGTGTGTGCGATTATATGGCACACGGCCGGTAATGCTGCGATTAAATGGCGGACGGCTGGTTGTTTATTGTTTACAGTTAAATTTAAAGCAAAAATTAGAGAAAAACAACTTTCTTTGTGAAAAAGGGCTACCCTACAACTCATCGAATCCTTAACTCATCGAATCCTCAGCTCATCGAATCGGCCAAAAACACTCAACTCATCGAATCCTTAACTCATCGAATCCTCAACTCATCGAATCGGCCAAAAACGATCAACTCATCGAATTTTTCCAAAAGGGGACGTTTGAGTCCCCGTGTTTATTTTTTAGATTTTTTATTGTTTTGTTTATTTTTTTTGTTTTCTTCTGGGGTTTCAACTAATTTTGTTAATTAGTTGATCGGGCACTCATCCAAGTTTATCCGGCCAGTGAAAACATTATCAGAACATTATCTCATTCCTGAAAACATTATCTCATTCCTAATAAATTATGCGGAGATTTTACCGGGTAAAACCGGACCAAATTAGTCCAGTAGACCCCGATTATGCCCAAAAGCCCTTTTTCCTAGCCTCCATAGCAGCAAAAAATTTTTTCAACGAAGATTCAGTTAGCCCTTTCGGGAGAAAAATAAAAACAGGGGACTCAAACGTCCCCTTTTGGAAAAATTCGATGAGTTGATCGTTTTTGGCCGATTCGATGAGTTGAGGATTCGATGAGTTAAGGATTCGATGAGTTGAGTGTTTTTGGCCGATTCGATGAGTTGAGGAATTTTAGCCGATTCGATGAGTTGAGCGTTTTTGGTCGATTCGATGAGTTAAGGATTCGATGAGTTGAGCGGGCACGTGAAAAAGTGCTAAGAGAACATTTACGCGGCTGTGTTAGAGAATTTTATTCTCTTTATTTTTCTCTTTTATTTTTAAAGTCTTTTGTTTATTTTTCTCTAAGTTAACATTAAAAAATTTTCGCTTTAATAAAAATTCACTTTTTAAGAATGAAAATTTGTAAACAAAAAGTATTAACTTAGTATAGTTAATTATTCACTCAATTAATTTTTTAAATTAAAAAATGTGTGGGAATTAATTTAAAAATAAATTTTATTTTTTGCAAAAATTTAAATAAATATGAGCCAAAAAATTTTATATACAAGAATGATGTTTGATAAAAAAAAATAAAAAAAGGCAAACATTTAAAAGAATTATTTAAAAAATAAAAAAGTATTTAATTTTAAAATATTTTTTTAGTGCGATTAAATAAAATAAAGTCTATTTAGCACTTAAATGTTGTTTAGACTTTCGAAGTAACAAAAATTTTTTTATGATTTTTGATTTATATACAAGAATGATGTTAGTTTGACAGAATTCTTTGGTTAAAAACAATCAGAAAATTTTTGAAGGTTTTTTGTTTCGTTAAAGTTTGAAACCAAAAACTAAAAGTAATAAACCTATTTAAAGTCGAATTTATTTTTAACACTTTTTAGGAGCAAACATGTAAAGTAATTGAGAGGACAGTAAGCTTTGTAGAGGTATACCCTTAGGGATTATTTTGTTTATTACCCAGACTTTTGAGGATATTGAAAATAATTTTTTCTTAAAAATATTTTTTTATTAAATATTAAAAATTAAACTTAAAAATAAGCTAATTTAAAAACACGCCAAAATTCAGTCAATTTAAAAATTATAACAATTAATCTGTTCCTGCCAAATTTAATTTTTAGGCCATAACTTTACCTCTTTCAATTTAGTTTTGGCATAAATTACCAAAAATCATTTTTGGCGTTTGGTGGGATAATCAACTTAAACCGAAAATCTTTCATAACACTCAAAGAAGCATTATCAACTTTATGTGTTTAAAACCCGTTAAAAATTGATAAAAAATTAATTTTAAAAAATATTTTTCTCTCAAAATTTATTTATTTAGTTGTTTATTTTGAACATAATATAAATAATAAAGCCAATAAAAAGCATTCCAAATAGTAAAAGTTAAAGGAAATAGCCAACGAGATAATCTATCTATTGCCAAACCCTTGCGTGAATATAAAAAGCCTTGACGTAGAAAATGATTTGTTATCTAAAAAATAAAATTTTTTTTTGAAATTTTTTAAATTAAAAAAGTTTTTAATAAAATATAAATTATTTTTAAGTTTAAAATTCTAAAATTTATTTTTCTGATAAAAAAATCCCTCAAAGATTATTAATACTTAAAATTATTTTTAATAAAAATTTTAAGAGTAGAGATGTGATGGATCGAAAATAATTTCACAACACAAGACTAAGACTTCTCCCTGATTCTTTGCTGAAACCGATGCCGAATCATAGCTTAAGATCCCTTAAGACCGAAAAAAAGACCGAAAAATCAAATCGTGTTGATTTCATTATTCTAAAATCCCAATATGTCGGTCAATCCCCAATTTAAATAAAATTAAATACGAATTACCAAAGGATTTGTTTCTATTTTTCCATAATTCTTTGAACAATTTTCTTTTTCCTTTTTAAATTTATTTACAGAAGATGGCCGATAAAATTGTCTAAAATGTGCTGCTCGCTAAAAAAATATTTTTTTTTAATTTTTTAAATTTAAATTCCAATTCCTTTTTACCATTTTATTTCCATTATTTTTAATTTCCCTCTCATTTTTCTTTAAAACCTTCCTTTTATTATTTTTATTATTAATTAAATTATTTTCTTTTGTTGGGGAATCTGTTGTTGGTAACCAAATATTTGGATTTATTTCTCCAATTGTTGCTGCAGAAGACCATTTGACGCCCTCAAAACTTTCGTCTATCTAAAAATTAATTTAAAAAATAATTATTAAACATAGACGATAATATAATTAAATAGGGCCCATTTTGGATATAAGAGCATCAATGATTCACCCTTGAGGCATCAATATTCCATCCCCTTGGGAGTTATATACAACGAGATTCGATTAAAATCTTCTGACACCGTTTATACCGATAATGGAATTAATACTTTTATAAAAAAGGGAAGTTCCAACCCAAAGGTTTCCTAGTAAAATCACATTGGATCCAAACAAATCAAATGGTTTTCTAAAACAGGACTTTAACAGATTTTAAGACCAAATTTGCTTGATTTAATTTCAAAAAATAATTACAGAAGCATCTATGGAAGGAAGAAGACTTAATGTATCAGCTCTAGATTTCAAGCTTTCCTTCTCTCCCTTTTCATTTTTTTCGCCAAAAGCTTTGTTTTTAGAGAACAAAACTGCCGTTTGAGCATTTAATGATGAATCTAAATTTAAATATATATTAAATGAAATCGCTGACAAATCCCTAACCCGTTGGATTATAACAGATAGGATATATTAGAGAGGAGGTAAAATAACGATAAATCGGGAATTTTGATGGGATAAGTAAAAGATTTTAATTTCGAGAAATAATCACTTTTAACACAGTCAAACCTAGATTTTAGGTACCCACAAAATTGGGTATCGTTAGTGTGTAAAAATACTTTTTTTTAAATTTGGGGAGTGCATTTTAAAAGAAAAATAAAAACTTTTCTTTGCATAATAGGTTGCATAACGTTCAAACTTTTCTGCATGCCGCATATATGAATTTACCTTAAAATAATTTTAAAAAGGAATTTTTTTCAATAAAAACAACTAACAGCAGCAAATTCCAAAAGGCTCAAAAAGACAAAAAATAAACAGGCTAAATAAATAAATATTTAAATTTATTTTAATTAATTAATTACCTCCAAACCAAAAGTCAATAGCTTTAGCATATGCTACTTGTGGAAGGCCAAAACGGAGGCCATTCCCCTAAAAATTTTTTAAAAAAATATTAAATTGAAAAATTTTGTAATTTTAGAAATTTTTTGTTATAAAAATTAAAAAAATTCCCTGAGGCAATTTAATTTAAAACTAGCAAATTTCCCCTATTTTTCTTTAAAAATAGTTAAGTCTCTAATTAAGAAAAATTTTTTTGAGTTTCTGATTTAAGAATTAATTTTTGTACCAAAGTAGACAATGAAAGTAGAGTGGTAAATGAAAGAGTAACACGTGCCGGAACTGCTCTAAATTAATAGATTAATTTTTTTAATTAAAAAAAAATTGCCTTCTATCAATCCAAAAGGAAACCTTCAAAACAAAATAAAACAAATAATTAAATAGTTAAATAATTAATTACCCAAGAAATAATAACAATAAGGCCAGTAGGTATATATGATTGGACAACATGATAACCAATTTGTCTATTTAAATGAATTATTGCTTCCAAACAACTAAATTCATCTAAATATTTTTATTTTTTCAGTAATTGGATCTATGTTATTTTTAATCTTCAAAGGGAATGATTACAATTGAGAGTCAAAAGTATTTTTTTAATTTATTTCACTTACTAATTATATAAAAAATATTTATAACTAGAAATAAATTTAAAAATGAATAAAAATTAGGAGATTTAGAGCAGTCGGATCTCATTTTTAAATACCTCCCTTGAAGTAAAATTTAATAATGAAGGGTATCTAATATTGAGAGTATCTTAAGGTGAAAGTTCTTCAATCAGAAAATACAAGTTGAACTAAAATACCCTTTAAAATACCCTCTAAAATTGAAGGTATTTAGGATCCATGGTAGTGTTGCGCCGGAAGTTCCGGTTCCGGTATGTCGGAAGTTCCAGTATTTTTAATTAGATCCGGTTCCGGTCAAATTTGCGGTTCCGGCGCAACACTAATACATGGTATCGCTTAGGCAGTACCTTTCCAATGTTCAATGAACTTAAAAATATTGTGAAATATCTAATATTCTCCAAAGTATCGAGTACTTAAATTTAAATTAATTAAAAACCTCTTTTAAAAGAGTATTCCATAATTGCATAATTATATATTCCATTACAATATTCATTACTTAAATTGGAAATTCTAAATTCGGGTAATTGAATGTTTGGATTATATCGAGTAGAATTTCCAATAAACCAACGAACTTTTAATTGTTTTTCGATATAAGCATCTTTTTTTTAAATTAAATAAAAATAAAAATATTTTAAAAATACAAACAGCTTAAAAATTGAATAGAACATCGTTGACTGTCCATTGGATATAATGACTGGAAAGTTGAATATTTAGTAATATATTTTTTATTATTTTTGTAAAAGGAAAGTGATTTTTTGAAATTTAAAAATTAATTTTTAAGTAAGAATTAAATAAAGATTTAGTATTTTTTAATTGAATCATATTAATATTAAGTAATTTAGTGGAAATAACAAAAAAAATTTCCAAATTAATTCCCTCAGGGCATTTTTAAATATTTCTATATTTTTTAATCTTTAGCCCATCCTAACAATAATTAGAAATTTAAATAATAAATTAAATAAACTAACCAAATCTAAATTGCATGCAACCCCCAAAGTAATCCTTTTTTAATTAATTTATTTTTCTAATTAAAATATTTATTTTTAACTAGTACCTAGTAGAATAAGCAACTTCGCCCTTTTGGTCAACAAATAAATTAAAATTGGGGGCTATAACATCATGAAAACGGGATATTCTAGCATTTGCAAAATACAAATCTGGTAACCTTTAATTAAAATATAATTTTAAAAATTTATATAATTAATTTATTATTGTTTGAATTTTTTGTGTTGGGGAGTAAATTTTTCTCGTTAATTTTTATTTAAGTTTGTGTATTTGGGATTAAGGCAAATCTTTCGGGATTATTTTTATTATTATCCTTCCTTGTTTAACAAAAGTTTAATCCCAGGCAGGGATAAAATTACGAACGACCCTCTGAAATGCTTGTTAGACTTTCACCTAAATATCTATTTTCGATCTCTCATTCTTCCTATTGTCTAACCTCATCTGAACGTTTAAACGCTGCTAGATAAAACGGTATCACGACTTTTGCGCCTAGAACATTTGCGCCGCGACTTATGCGCCGCGACTTTTGCGCCGGGCGACTTTTGCGCCGCGACTCTTGCGCCGCGACTTTTGCGCCGGGCGACTTATGCGCCGCGACATTTGCGCCGCCATTGTTTAAAAAATCCGGATCCGAAAAATGCCGGATATCCGAAATTTTCAGTTCGGATATCGGATCCGAAGATTTCCAACTATTCGACAACCCTACTAAAGTGAGGTCCGCTGTAGTTATTGATATATTTTTAATGATAGTGGCGGCGCAAAAGTCGCCCGGCGCAAAAGTCGCCCGGCGCAAAAGTCGCGGCGCAAAAGTCCCCCGGCGCAAAAGTCGCTCGGCGCATAAGTCGCGGCGCAAAAGTCGCGGCGCACAAGTCGCGGCGCAAATGTTCTCGGCGCAAAAGTCACGGAACCGATAAAACGATCTTCCTTGTTTTCAAAAATTAATTTTAATTTAAATTAAAAACCAACCAAATATATTTTCGAATATTTGGATCATTTAAAAGTAAATAATCATTAGAAGAATGATTTAAAGAATAATCTTTCCAACTCAAATATAAATATAAATCAACATCAAAACTCTAAATAATTTCAATTTTTAATTAAATTAATTAAAAATGACCATATCTGCAGCTCTAAAATTCCCTAAAGATTCAATATATATTCCTGCCAAAACTTGTAATGGTTGTCCATTCATTGAGGGAGGCATTTTTGGATTACGTTGAAGACGTTCACGTAAACCAAAATTATTACGGGCAGAGACAAAATTGCTTTAAATAAATGAAGATTATTTTTTTAATTTGTACCAATTAATTGGATTTTTGGTTATGAAAAATAATGGGATATATCAACCTCTAAGGTATATAACAGGGATGGGCCGGGTTGCTCGAAACCTGAAACCCGGACTTTTTTCAGACCCGAAACTCGATCCGAAGATAATTTCGAAAACCCGACCCGAAACTCGACCCAACTTTTTCTCAACCCGGCCCACCCCTGGAATATAATACATAGTTGAAATGAAAGACAATTATTTTACAATTATTTATTATCCCAATCAAGATACCATTTATCAATAGCAAACCCTCCAAATAAATAAATAATTAAAATAATTTCTAAAATAGGCAGCATTTCTATTTAAATTAAAAATTCTAAAATAATTTTTAGAAAATTTTAAAAAAGAAAAATCTTTTTTTAAAAATAAAAATCTGTTACTAGTTTATTTATTTTTATCTACTAAAAACACATATTCCCTCCCCATATTTTTATATAAAAAATAAATTTATTGAAAAGAATTTTTTTTGGTCTTTTTTGACACTTTTAATGTTCTCTATTTTATTCTTTTATTTTTCCTTTAGGACTTGAAATAAATTATCTAAAAAATAAACAGAAATTTTTTTAAGAAAAAAATTTCAAACAAATAAGCTTTAATATATTTGTTTATTTTTTAAAATAATTTTTTTGGAAGGAAATTTTAAATGATAAAATAAAGATATTAAAACAAACAGGTATCCGGAAATTTTCGGATAGTATAGTAGTGGTGTGAAATGAATCGAATCTCTTTTTTTAATTTTAATGAAAAAATAATTGCGAAGCTTAAATGCTAGTAAAGATCGGCCAGACGGCAAAATCAAATAAAATTTGATCAGATATCTGTCTGGTCCATTTTTAATTTCCAGTAATTTTTGGTAAATGCTATAAACAACTTGCGTTTATTTAGACTTTTAATTGAAACCTGACGAGTTTTTAAAAAAATCTTTCGAGGCTATTAATTTCTTTAATTTTAATTAAAAAATATATTTAGGTAATTATCGAGTAATTAAGTTTGTTTAGTAATTATTAAATACCTAATTATGTACTTTTTAACTGCACGCAAAAATTAAAATAATTTTTTGTCTATATTATTTTTATTTAATTTTTTAAATTGTTCTTATAAAACATTTCAGAAAAATTTTTTTTAGAAAAAAATTAAAAAGCAATTTTTTTATAAAAAATTTCAGAAAAAAAAATTTTTTATAAAAAATGTTGAAACGATAAAAAAATAAAACAAAAAAAAATAACCAACAAAAAAAAACTCATCATCATCATCATCAAAACGATTAACTACTACAAAATGTGCATTTTTTATTTTTTTTATTTTTTGTGAATTCCTTTGGGGATAAAATAAAGTCTAAAATGCACATCACAAACAAATATATAAGTGCACACATTTTTATTTTAGAGATATTTTTTAAATAAAAATAAATATTTATTTGTCTAATAAATTATATTTTTAAATTATTTTTAATTTAATAATTTTCAAACGCGATGATTTCAGACAATAATAAAATTGATAAAATAAATATAAAATAAACAAAAAATTGTCCTTAACATAAAAATTTAAAAAATTAAAAAAATTAAAAATTAAAAACAAAAGACTTTTAAAGTGATTTAGTAGGGAGATTGAGACAGAACAAAAGTGTGTGTGTTAGGGTTGGCAGTTCCGGGAATCCGAAATTTGGATGTCAATCTGTTTCCGGGTATCCGAAGATTTCCCAGAAAAGGTTGTACCTAAGTTACCTGTTTTAGAAGGAAATAATGAGGCAAAAGAAAGCATTTAATAAAATAATAAATGGGAGAGGGGACTAAAAAAATTACAAAATTTTTCAGAGATGGAAGAAATGCCATAATTAAATAATATTGTCTAAATAAATTTTTAAAAATGTACCATTCTGTTCTCGTTAACTTAAATATTTTTATTTAGGTATTTAATTTTAAAAATTATATTTTTTGCCATTTTAATCTAATTTTTAAATAAAAAATTTTTAGATAAATAAATAAATGTGTAATTCAAAAATAAATTTCTAAAAAATTCTTTAACAAAAAAATAATTTCTTTTCAAAAATATTCTTCCTTTTGTTCAATTTTTTTCTTCAATTTCCAAAATCCTTTGTTGAAATATCTTTTAATTCCCTTCTGAAAAAATAATTAAAATAAATTTTAATTTTAAATTTAAAAATACAAATAAAACCTCTGTAAAAACGCGATTTTTGGTTTGTTAAATTAAAATTTAATTTTTCTTTTTCTTTTTTTAAATTTATTTCAAGTTTTTTAAAATTATTTAGCAATTCTTCCCATTCCAAAGAATTATCTGGATTTTTACAAATTTCATTTTCTACCAATTCTTTTACTCTCAAATCTTCCTTTGCCTCTTCCTCCTCATCTTCCTCATCACAACAATCTAAATAATCAAGATTTGTCAGATCCCAATCATCCTCATCATCATCCCATTCCTCCTCCTCCTCCTCTTCCACTTCCATTTTTATCATCTTCCCCTTAATTTTCTCCTTAATCTTCTCCTCTTTATCATCTTCCAAAATTCCTTCTTCCAATTCTTCTTTATCAAAATTAATTTCAACATCTTCCAACAAACCCTCCTCTAATTTTTCTTTACCTTTTTCTTTTTCCCATTTTTCTTTAATTTTTTGTTTTTCATTTTCTAATTTACCTATTCTCATCTTTTTTAAAAACCGATTTTCTTAAAAAATAAAAATATTTAAATAATTTTTATAACCCCCCCCCCCACCCCCACCCAAATTACTCAATGTCTTAATTCTAAAAGGCAATTCTAATTTTTTTATGTTTTTATTTTGATAAGATTTTCGTTTCTTCAATATAGACTCTTTTGTAACTGTAAAAACATTGTCTTCTGGTTTTTCGTTTAAATTTGTTTCTGTCAACAAGACATTAGAATTTTGAGGAACAACTAAAGGCTGTTGCAAAGATTGTTGAATGTTTTGTTGGTTGGTATGTTTTGTTGAGTGATTTAATGTGGAAACAACTTGTTGGGATTGTTGAGATGTTTGTGCTAACATTTGTTGATGTTCTTGTTGTAATTGAGGGGGGATGTTTGGATGATTTAACAAATGTTGGGGAGAATGTTTGGGAGAATGTTGGGGAGAATGTTGGGGAGAATGTTTGTCAGGATTTTCACTAGAATGTTGAGAGGCATGTTTAGACGATGTTTCTATTATCTGTTGAGGCATAGAAACATCAGCATGTTTTTCTTTATTTTCATTTATAGAAATGTTTTGCGGAATTAATTGTTTTATAGGTTTTAATAAATCTTTATATATTTTTATTTGTTCATCTGTCAAAACATTTAAAATATTTTCCGGTTTAATCAATTTATTTTCTTTTGTTTCCAATTTACAATTGTTTGTTTTAACCTCAAAAATATAAACATTTTCTGTTTCTCCTTCATTTATTGCTGTTTTACAATTAAATGGTTTTTCTACAGGTTTTACCTTTTCTTTAACATAAATTAATTTATATACATCATTAACACATATTTGCATTCTATAATAATTACTAGAATAATATCCTTCTTCAGTTTTTTGATCCAATTCAAATAAATATTTATTTTCTTCTTCATTTCCACACCCAACAAACATTTTTATATTTTTCATTCTTTTTTGTTTTGCAATAAATTTTAAAATTTTAATTGGACGTAAAATTAAAAGAGCATATTCTGACCAATTTGGAATTTTTTCGTTATTAATTCCTCGACATCCCATTAATTTAAAATCATTAATTTTAAATATTATAATTGAATAATCAGATTTAAAATAAAAATTTTGGAGAATAATTTTCTTAAAAATATTTTTTAACTACATATTTTAAAAATTACTTTTTTTTATAAAATTATTTAAATAAAATAAAATTTTATTCTTTGTTTACCCCCTCGTTTTAAAGCATTTGTGACGGGAAAAGATTTTTTGTGGGATTCTTATTTTACTTATCTAAATAGTTTTAGGGAGTCCTTTCCATAAGGGACATCTGAAAAATGTTCGGATATCAAATGCTTTGTAAAATCCACCAACACTCCAATGAATTTTCCTTTTATTTTACTTTGCTTGATCCCCTTCACTTAAAAAATATTTATTTTGGAAGCAGAGATCGAATCCCCTTCTAAACCTTTCCCTCTACCAAATTCCTTATTTATTCCAAATTATAACTTAAAATATAAGAAATCCAACAGAATAATTTAAAATAATAAAAAACATTCATTTATTTTTATTTTATTTAAACGAATATTTATTTAAATACCTTTTCATTGCCTAAAAGATTCATAAAAATATTTAATATAAAATCTGTATTTTTAGTTTCAATTTTTTCCTCATTTCCTTCATGAAATAATACCAAATCATAATTGTTTGTCCATTTTGTTTGTTTAATAACTTTATTTGTATTTCTGTCCCATTTATTTAATTCCAATTCAAAACGATTATTTTGACCTTTTCTACATTCTTCTTTTCCTGTCCAATCTATTTTTACTAAAACCATAAATCCAGAAATTTTTAGAATTTTTAAATAAAATAAAAATACAATGAAAATAATTTTTAATGAAGGCATTTTCTCTGAAAAAAATTTATTTTTTTTTAAATTTATTTTTATTATTAAAAAATCAAAATTCCTTTTCCCTTCCTTTTCCGCTTTTTTAAAAAAATTTATTAATTATAAATTAATTAAAGGAGAGAATTTCCCAAAATGAAAACTCCTTATCTTAAATGCCATATTTGATAACAAACATTTAATTTAATTAAAAACTAAATTTAAATAAATTTTTTTAAATAAATAAATATATAAAAAATTAAAATTCGAAATTAAACAATAGCAATGATGCAATAAAAAATTATTTAGCCCTGCCCTCCCCTTCCTCTCTTGCTATTTAAATTTAATTGATTAAATTTTTAATATTGAATGGAAAATGCTATTTTATAAAAAATAATTTTTTAAATAAATTAAATAGGAGAATTGTTAAATATTTTTTGAAGAAAGAATAAGAATTAAAGGAGGATTTTAGACATATTTGCTCCGATAACTACCCTCTTCCAATCGAGTCTTATTTAAAAAACTCGAATCAAATATTTTGACAACATTTTTTACTTTTTGTAGTCCGTTCTATAATTTTCGGTTTAGATTTGAGATTGGTAGTTTCAAAAATCTTGATTCTGGATTTAGGTTAGTAATCTAAGGAATTACACTAAAAATGATTTATTTTGATAAACTTTTTTTCTTTTTTTAAGTATTTTTTGCGAAATAAAATCTCTCCTTTCCCATCATTAAATAAATTAAAAACAAACTTGTTATATAAAAATAAATAGGTAAATATTTTGTCTGAGAAAAATAAAATAATTTCTAAATAAATTTGTTAAGGAAGATTTTTAAAAAATTAAAAAAATTAAATGCTAAACAAATTTAAATATTTTTATTTTTCTGTCTACACTTTTAATTTTTCTTCTCATGCAATTTAAAAAAATTTAATTAAATGTGGCAAAAAATTTACTTTTAAAATTCTTTGCAAGAGAATTATGCAATAATTATTTTAAAATTGAGAAAAAAACATTTTTGAGGATTTGTAAAATAAAATAATTTAAAGTTTTTGTCTTGTAATTAATTTAAATCTTTAAAATTTAATAAAATAAATATTTATACTGAAAAAATAAAATTAAAAAAAATACCCAAATTTTTTAACTGAACATTTTAAAAAGTTTCAAAAAAATCTTTAACTAAATAAATAAAAAATAAAATTTTTAGTTATAAAATGTCGGGAGCAGGCCAACGTACCGCGAGCCCAACGTACCGCATAGCTATAACTTTGTTCAACATTGTCGAATCCGGGACGCTCTGATATGGTTCGATTCAGCTCGTCAAGATGCATCAAACCATACCCAGGAGTCCCGGATGCGACCATTTTGAACGAAGTTATAGCTCCGCGGTACGTCACCCTAAAATGTCAATAAAATTCGTTAAATACCCCAAATACCCAAATAAATCTTTTAACTTTCCAAAATCATTTTTTGTTAAATATCACAAGTTAAGGTTGTGTTGATGAAGAGGAGTTTCCTAAAGATTTTTCTCTTATTAAATTTACAAAAAAATTTTTTTAACCTTTAAAGAAACGTGATTTACTTTTCGGTAAATAAATTTTATCAGTTTCACGACGTAAATTTACTATTTTCTCAATTTCTTCTCTAAAATATTCTAACAACTTTTCCCAATAATCAACAGTATCATTTATTCCATTTCTGCATATTTCGGATGCAAACTCATCACAATTTTCATCATCTTCATCATCAGAATCGTCGTCTTCTTCAGCCTCCTCTTCATATTTTTCTTCTTCCTCTTCCTCTTCATCTTTCTCTTCTTCATATTTTTCTTCTCTTCCCTCTTCTATTTCTTTCCCTTTCCCTTTTTTATCTTCAACTTTCTTATCATCCTTTCTTCCTTCATCTTTTCCCTTTTTTCCTTCTTCCCCTTCTTCACCACTTTTTACACCCCTTTTTTCATCTTCTTCGACCTTCTTTTCCTCCTTCTCTTCACCAAAAATCTCTTCCCTCTTTTTCTCTTTCTTTCCAACTTCATCTAATATTAATATCCCTTTACCTTTTCGATTCAAATCGTCACTTTTTCCAGGCAATTCTAATGCTATTTCTTTTCCTTTACTTTCTTGTATATATTTTTTATGTAATTTTTCTAAAAAATTCAAAAATATTTTCATAAATTTCATAAAAATATTTTTAGCCACCGTGTAGGAATCTTGCTTACACTCTTGCAGATGTTTGCTTTACTGACTAAACTACCGTGTTATAGTCTTGATAGCCTGGGGATGGCTTTGTATCTGGATATTTGACGTTTTGTGGCTCCAACCCCGATCCCTTTCAATTTTTAAAATTAGATTACGACCTCGGTTAGAACTAGCTTATGGAGTCATACCCAGCAACAACTCGATTATATTATTTAATCCCATCCTAAATTTTTTAGAGTGACTGATTTCAAACCAATTTCAAAAAATTATGTCCAAAATCTTACCTCTATTTTGAAATGAAGGAGACATTTTAATTTTTTTATTTAATTTATTTTCAATTCTTGTTTGTTTACGTTTTTTCAATGTTAATTGATTTAGATTTGAATAATCAAATGTTTGGGGTGTTTTTGTTTTGGTTTCTTTTGTTTTTAAATTTTCTCTATGTTTAATTATTTTTAATATTTCTCCTTTTGGTAATCTGTCGAATTTTCCAACATTTAAATGTTGTCCCGATGTTTGGGGATGTTTTAATGTGTGAGAAGTTTCTGAAACTGAGGAATGTTTTAAGGGATGTTGGGGAATGTTTTGTTGAGAAGTTAAGGGAGTTGGGGGAATATTTTGTTGAGGAAGTGTTGAATGATGTTTGGGAATGTTTTGAAGTGTTGAGGTATGTTTTTGAATGTCCATTTGTTGAGATATCTGTTCCAACATTTGTTGTTGTTGTTGAAACATTTCTATTGCTTTAATGTTTGAATGTTCGGCAATAGAGGATTGTGTTGTATGTTGGGGAGAGAATTGTGACAAATGTTGGGAAGTATGTTCGGAAGCGTGTGAAGAAGTATATTTTATATGTTGAGAAGAATGTTGTTGTGAAGAACCCCCAACAATTGTTTGTTCACTCTCATTTATTCCAAAAGGTTCGGTGGTGCTTGAAAATGTTTCATGTTGTGTAAGCTCGTCTTAAAATATGATTAATTATTTAATAACAAAAAATATTAATTTATTTACTTAATTCTTTGTATATTTTAATTTGTTCTTGTGTCAATTTATTTTCTTTAATATTTTCTTGATTAATTAATTTATTTTCCTCTGTTTGTAAAGAACATGTTCCTTCTTCAGATCCCAAATCAAATTCAAAATTGTAAACATTTTCCTTTTCTCCGTCATTCTTTGCTGTATCACAAGAAAATATGGTTACCTTAAATTTAAAAATTAAAATTCAAAATTTTTTAAAGTTAACCATTTGATGCTCTTGTATTTTATAAATTAATTTATATACATCATTAACACATATCTGCATTCTATAATAATTACTAGAATAATATCCTTCTTCAGTTTTTTGATCCAATTCAAATAAATATTTATTTTCCTCATCATTTCCACACCCAACAAACATTTTTATATTTTTCATTCTTTTTTGTTTTGCAATAAATTTTAAAATTTTAATTGGACGTAAAATTAAAAGGGCATTTTCTGACCAATTTGGAATTTGTTGATTGCTAATTTCACGATATCCCACAAATTTAAAATCAACAATTTTAAATATTAAAATTGTATATTCATTAACAAATTGAAATTTTTTGACAACATTTCTCTTTAAAAAAATAAAATTGAAATGTTTAAAAATTAAAAAAATTATGCTTGATTCTAAGTTAAGCTTCAGGTGAATATTAATTTTTAAAAAGTCTAGACACGATTTCCCATTAAAAATTCCAAAATCCACTCAAAGGTCCCAGAGAGACGATTTATTCGGAAAAGCTTATTTCTCTTACAGTCCCTAAATATCCTTAAATAAACATATAAAAAACCTTTTTATCTTCAATACGGGGGACATTAATAAAAATATTTAATTCAAAAATATTTTTCGATTCAATTTTCCAATTTTTATAAAAATAATTTTCCTCCTTTCCTTCATGAAATAATACCAAATCATAATTATTTGTCCACTTTTTTTGTTTTATATTTTTATAATTTAATTCCAACTCAAAACGATTATTTTGACCTTTTCTGCATTCTTCTTTTCCTTCCCAATCTATTTTTACTAAAACCATAAATCCTGAAATTTTTCGAATTTTTAAATAAAATAAAAATACAAACAAAATAATTTTTAAAGAAGGCATTTTTCTCTGAAAAAATTTAATTTTATATAGAATTCTGAGATATATTTTGAATTATTTTGTAGTTTGGCAACCCTTCTTCTTTCTAATAAAACACATACATGTATGTAGATAGGTGTGAACGATTTAGATCCAACTCTAAAGAAAAAAAATCGGTTTGGCTCCTGAATATACATATTTAAAAAATCTTCAGCTTTGGTTCCTACTAGGAAGAAGGAACTTTGGCTTCTTGGCCATTCCAATACATAACCTCGAAAATTTTCGGTTCGGATATCTGTATAACTTTTTAGAATTTTCTATGTATGTTCAGTTAAAAGTTTTCGTCAATTTAACGACCACTTATTTCTTAATTTAAAAAATATTTAAATAAAATTTTTTAAAAATATTTTTAATTAATTGTTTAATTAAACGAGAATTAAAATTTTTAAGGATTTTTTAATTTAATTTAAATATTAATTTATTTAATTTAATTTTTTTTATTTAAATTTTTAAGACCTATTAAACAATGGATTTTTAATTTTTAAGGCAATTGCTATTTTTTAAGAATCGATTAATTCTTCTTATCGAATAAATTTATTAAAACTTTAAAATTTTTATATTTAAAAAATTATAGAAAATTTACCAAAATTACCATTTACCGACAAAATATTTAAATAAAATATCTGTTCTTCAGACTATTCTATTATACCGTAAATGCTGAAATAATTCAACCGGCTGAAGATCAGTTCATGAGCTTCCGCACAGAACTCGAAGCCAACATGAAGTGGATCTGGAAATATCGGCTCCTTTTTTAATTATAAAATCCCCGGAGGCACAAATCCCTAATACCCAGCACTGCTCTGTAGGAATTCGACTGGGTTTTTCGTTTAAGGAAGTGGAATTGTAGGGAATATTATTTATAAGTCTTTTAAACTTTATTGGGATTTAAGGAAAAATAAATTTATTTTTAAATTTAAAATATTTTAATTAATAAATTTTATTTAAAAAAGTGAATAAAATAAATTTAAAAAAATTTTTTTATAAAATTTAAATGGAGATAATCGAGAAGGAGTCTATTGAATAAAAATATAAATCTATTTAAATTTTTTGTCAAGCATTAAGAGAAAGTCCTTCCCCCATCCCCCCAATTATTGTTCAATTATTCAATAAAAATTTTTATTGAATTTTTATGTGGAAAGAATTGTGTTGTAAATATATAGAGAGTCACAAAGCAGAAATGTTGGGAATAATGTTCAGAAATATGTTGGGAGAAATTATTTGTTGTATATGTTGAGAAGAATGTTGTGAAGAACTCATTTGTTGTGAAGAACTCACAACAATTGTTTGTACTCTCTAATTAATTCGAACATGTTCAGTAGCTCATTGTCTAATGTAGAGTAAGTCGAGTTCGAGCGAGTTCGAGTTTACTCGACTCGAACTCGGGGGATTTCAAACTCGGCATTACTCGAACTCGGTTTTTCCCCAATTACTCGGTACTCGACTTACTCTAGTCTAATGTTTTCTGTCCACTATATTTTTTGTTCCATTAATTTAATTTAAAATTTTATTGTTTAATAGGGCTTTTCAATAATTTATTTTTTATTTACTTGTTTAATTTTAATTAAAATTAATTAATAAAAAAATAAAATTAAACAGAAAATTTAAAAAAATAATTATTGCAAAGTTCTATTAAACAATAAATATTTAAAGGAAATTGCTATTTTTAAAAAATTAATTCTTCTTATCAAATAATATTAAGCAAATTAAAAATTATCTATCAAGATTTTACATTTTATCGACGAAATAAAAAAATAAAAAATTCTTTTTCAAAACAAAATTTGTATAAATTGAAGCATAAATCAAGCAAGAATGTTTTGTTTGCTCGACTTTTTAAAGGAAACATAAGATTAAATTAAAAATAAAGTTTTAATTTAATAAAAGCTTCGCTAATCAACTAAATTGTGACAAAAAAAAATCGGCCGTGTTTCAAAAATTGACCGAATTATAGTGTTCTTTGTTTTAAAGTGAGCTTATATTGACTAAAAAATTTTTTTAATTCAAAAAATTCTCTTAATTCTAAAATTTAAATAAATAAAAAATAAATAAATGTATGTAATCTTTTAATCTTTCAAAAATGTTTATAATTCATGGATTTGAATTTAAATATTTCTTGTTGACAATTAAGATCCAGAATTCTGTTCTATATAAATTAAATTTTTAAATTAATTTTTCTAAATTAATTTTTGATCAGAAATTTTTTTATTAAGATTTTTTTAAATTAAAATTAATTTTCCAAAAAAATTAAAAAAACCTTTAAAGAAACGAGATTTTCCTGTAGGTAAATAAATATTTATATTTTTCGTTTCCTCACGTAAATTTAAATTTTTCTCAATTTCACTATATTCTTCCAATAAATCTTCCCATAAACTCAGATTATCCCAAGACTCATTTCTACATGCTCCATATGCAAATTCATCAATTATTTCTTCTTCCACAACATTTTTCATTTTCTTCCTTTCATTCCCTTCTTCATCTTCCCCACTCCTTCCTCTTTTCCTCTCTTCACTCTTTTCCTCATTGTCATCCTTCTCTCCTACTACTACTTCCTTTCCTTTACCTTCTTCCCTAACCTCTTCCACTTCCCCATCTCCCTCCACTTCCTCAACACCTTCCATTCCCTCCTCTTCCTTCCCTTCACTACAAATACCTTCTTCCAACTCTTCTTCATCAAAATTTATTTCCTCATCTTCTTCCATTACCTCATCATTTCCTTCTTCACCAATTTCTTCATCAGACTTTTTTACCTTCATTTTTTCTTCAAATTCTTCTTCTGTTAAATAATTTATTTTTTAATTAAATTTTACGGATTTCTTAAGGGACAATTAGAAAAGTATTTACATATACCTGATAATTGAATCGCGGAAGATAATTTAATTTTTCTTTCTTTTGCCATTCTTTCAGAAAAATTTAATTCATTACGTCTTCGCATTATTACTTCATTCAAAATTGGAAAGTTAATTTGGATATTTTTTGGTTTTTCAGTTTGTGGTTTTAAACTTTTGTTAAATTCTTTTAATATTTTTCTTTTACTTTCCATTGGCAAATACTTAAATGGATCGTAAATTGGGGTGGTGGAAGAGGAGGGGGAGGAAGAAGAAGAGAGGGAGGAGGAGGGATGATCATGTTTGTCTGAAGTTTTTAATTGTCCTTGCAATGTTTGTGTTTGTTGTTTATAAGAACCAGAAATTTCTTTAATTAATCTAGACATGTGTGGTGGTATTTTGGTTTGTTGAGGAGTTAATTTTGTAGGGTTTGTTTGATAAATAATTTGTTTAGCTTGTTTTGGATGTTGTTGAACTTCTCTTAATGGAATGTTTGTTTTGCTAGCTTGTTGTTGAGTAGAATCTTTTGGAGAATGTTTGGAAGATGGAGAATGTTCGGGAGAATGTTTTGGAGACGGTTCATGCTTGGGAGAATGTTCTGGTAAATGTTTGGAAGAATGTTTTGGAGAATGTTGAGTTGGTTGTTGACTAGTTTGTTGGGTAGATTCTTGGGTAGTCTGTTGAGAAGATATTAAAGCTTGTTTTGAGCTTTCAGCAACATTTTCTTTAGACTTTGCCTTTTGCATGTTTATCAAATTACTATAAATTTCAATCTGTTTTTCTGTCAAAATATTTTCTTTTATATTTTCTTGACTAATTAATTTGTTTTCATTAATTTCTAAGTGACAATAGCCTGTAAATTCAAGAATATAAACATTTTCCATTTCTCCTTCATGAATTGCTGTATTACACATAAGTTGGACTATCTAAAATTTAAAGTTAAAAAGAAAGTTTGTTGGATTGTTTTGGGTTGTTTGGGAGAATGTTTTGAGAAATGTTCGGGAAAATGTTTTGAGAAATGTTCGGGATGGGGGAATGTTTTGGGGAATAGGCATACTTTGACCAACATTAGGATGAATTATTCTATATCACAATTAAAGAGTGACAGTTTATAAATTAAAGAGAAAACTGTCAAACATCTCCAAATTTAAAAATTTTTAATTAATTTTTAATTTACCCCAAACTTTTTTCCTTTAACATAAATTAATTTATATACATCATTAACACAAATTTGCATTCTATAATAATTACTCGAATAATATCCTTCTTCAGTTTTTTGATCCAATTCAAATAAATATTTATTTTCCTCATCATTTCCACACCCAACAAACATTTTTATATTTTTCATTCTTTTTTGTTTTGCAATAAATTTTAAAATTTTAATTGGACGTAAAATTAAAAGAGCATATTCTGACCAATTTGGAATTTGTTGATTGATAATTGCATGACGTCCAACAACTTTTAAACCGTTAATTTTTAAAATAATAATTGTATAATCGTTTTTTTGAAATTGGAGTTTGTTGTTGCCAAACAACAATTTTCTCTTTAAAAATTTAATTTTTTTTTTAATTTTTGAAATATTTATTAACAAGGAGGAAGACTAGAATTTATTTTAGAAGTATTGTATGCACCATTTTTTTTATTTTTTTTGGGAAAAATATTAGATAAATTAGAGAATTCTTCAATTTTAGAGAATCCTTAAAAAAACTTGGCCGAATTCTGAATTCAAAATTATGTAATAGAATACTCGATTCGTCTGTCTCTACTTCGAAGATCCTCCCAACATGTTTTTATTTGTTTTACTACAAACTAAAAATTTAAAATAGCAACGACCAAATACCCAAAATATAATTTTCAGAGAATCTTATTTTTCAGGGATTGTTAGACTCAAGACTTTATGAATTCTTTCAGTTTTGGGTGAATTAATCTTAGGAAATTTTACAACTAAATAAACCCCTTTTTACTTATTTACATTTAAAAATTAAATACTTTTTCTCCTTCAATTTCTGGGACATTAAAAGAAACAAATAAATGATAAACATTGTCTTCCTTAATTTTCCATTTTTCTTGTAACAAAGCTTCCTCCTTTCCTTCATGAAACAATACCAAATCATAATTATTTGTCCACTTTGTTTGTTTAACAACTTTATTTGTATTTCTGTCCCATTTATTTAATTCCAATTCAAACCGATTATTTTGACCTTTTCTACATTCTTCTTTTCCTGTCCAATCTATTTTTACTAAAACCATAAATCCAGAAATTTTTAGAATTTTTAAATAAAATAAAAATACAATGAAAATAATTTTTAAACTAGGCATTTTCTCTGAAAAAAAAATTATTTTTTAAATTTATTCTTTAATTTAAAAAAATTGTAAATTTTCTTGAAACTTAAGGTGCCTCTAAAATTTAAATTAAATAATTTTTAAAGCTTTTTTTCCAAAATTTTTTAAACAGCATCCCAAACTGCCAGTATATTTCTTTTCCATTTTATGTATTTTGACAGAATTTTTTTAATTACTTCAAATAATTCTTTCCTTTTTACAATTAAATGGATAAATAATTAAAATTTAAATATTTCAGGAAAGACAAGATTTCTCAAAAAATTTATTAAAATTAAATTTATTAAAATTGAAATTTAATCTCTATTTATTTATTTATTTATTACTTATTAAATATTAAAAAATTTTATTTAAAAACATTTTTTAATTAAAATTTAAAATTTAATTTTTATTTAGACAAGGAGAGGGAGGGGGATATAAAAATAAAATGTCATATGTAAATTGACAATAGAAAAATTGACTGTATATGAAAGGAGTGCTCGGATCGCATTTTTCCTTTCATTTTTCCTTACTTCGGAATGGGGTCAATTTTACTTAGTATTTGATGTTTGTCATAAGGCAAAATTGTGTAAAAAATATTTTTTCTCTGCTTATTTTGTTGTGTGAATGGCAAAACTTGATCGGACAAACTTGGAAAGCCCAAGTCGGTCTTACCAAAACTCGGTCCATTTTGTTTGGGGTATTTTTGGACGTGTGCTGTTATCTTTGATTCTTTATTTTCATGTCAGGCTAACTAACGGGACGGAAAAACATGACAAACCTTATGACAAACATCAAATACTAAGGAAAATTGACCCCATTCCGAGGCGGTCAAAGGAAGTAAGGAAAAATGCGATCCGAGCACTCCTTTCAGATACAGCCGAAAAATTTATATAAAAAATCATATGCTTTAATCACCCCCCCCTCCTCCTCCTCCTCCTCCTTCCCTTAATTAATCAATTATTAATTTCTATTATTAATTTAAAAATAAATAATAAAAAATTAAAATTTATTAAAAATATTTTTTAATTTATTTATTTTTTAAACAAATAATTTTATTTTATTTTTAAATGTTGCTTTAAAAATCAATGAATAAACTTTGGCTAGTTTAACAGACAAAATGACGATTTAAAAATTATGAAATTAAAAAATATTTTCTTTGAAAAACTTTTAAAGATTAAATAAAAAAGACACAAAAGTTAAATTAATTTTTTTAAAGATAAAAAAATTTTTTCTCACATTTTGGACTAAATGCAAAAACTTATTAAAGACCTGAAAGTCTTTAGAAAACTACATATATTAAACTTCTTAGAGTAAAGCATATAAATATTAGCTGTGGAGTCGTGCTGGTTCTCTCCGAGTTGTTGAAAAACCTGAAGGAGTGAAAAAATATTAAAAAACAGTGACGGAATTGCTGAACATTAAAATAAAAATAAAATGATTTACTTTTCAATAGTCAAATTTAATTAATCCAAAAATAAATATTTATTTTATTTTTTTGTTTTAAAAATTTAAAATTACTTTAATTAAAAAAATTATTTTTTAATTTTATCGATTTTTTTTATTCCTTTAAAATATTAAAAAAAGATTTTTAGAAAGTTGATGATCAAAAATTAAACTTAAACTTTAATTTTAAAAATGAGTATTGAATAGTATACATATATTTTTGGTGAGTATATTTTAATATATTTGTTTAGCTTTTTTAAATTTATTTTAGAAAAAAAATTATTGCGTATTTAATTTTAAAAAATTATTTTATTTTTAGAAAAAAAATTTTTATTTTTGGAAGAGAATTTAATTATTTTTTATTTGCTTAAATGAAAAAAATTTAAATAAATTTATATAAAATAAATGTGGCAAAAATATTTTTTGAAGCAAAATTAATTTTAAAAGAGAAAGAGAAAAAATAGAGAATAAATTTTTGTTATAGAAATAAATTTAAAAAATTTAAAATAAATTTTTCTGTAAGAGAATATACCCACAAATTCATTTAAAAAGTAATTCAAAACTTGCTTGACATCAACCATTCCTGTTTTATAATTTTCTAATAAAAAAATTTAAATAATTTATTTAATTTATTTTTTAATGAAGCTTCAATTAATATTTAAATTTTTATTATTTTTTGGTAAGCAAAAATAATTTTTTAAATTAAAAATAAAATATAAATTTAATTGGGATTTTCTTTAAATTTTTAATAAATAAAAAATAAATTTTTAATTAAACTTATTATTGTAAATAATTTTAATTAATTTATCTAAAATGTTATTTTAAAAGGAAATACTTTAAAGTAAAAAATAAAAAATATTTTAATCGAAAAAAATTTTTTTTCGGAAGATGTGAAATAAAAATTTTAATTTTTTTGAAAAAAGACAAATTTAAAAATTTATTTTATTAGTAATTTTATTTTTAAAATTTTTCTTTCAATTAAAATAAAAAGTGAAGCTAAAAGAAATTTTTTCAGAAAATAAAATTTTGAAAAAATTTTTGCAGACGGAAATTGGTCAAAAAAATTTTTCAATTTTACACTGATCCCTTCTTTTTTAAAAATATATTTTTAATTTAAAAATTGAAATAAAATTCCATCATTAAAGTTTAACATTTATCTAAAGGTTCCCCATCAATTTTATCAATTTTTGCTACCTCCGTTGATTTCTCAACAGAATTTAATGGAATTATTTCTTCATGTTTTCAAGACGGAAATTGGTCAAAAAAATTTTTAAATTATTTTTTAATTTTTTTAAATTTTAGTATGACTTTATTAGAAAATCCCGCTGCTTCACAAATTACAGTTAATAATTGGCTTAATAGCTATTTAAGCGGGAAAATTACTTATGGAGACGGAAAAAATGGTAAATAAATAAATAATTTACTGATATTTATGCCTAGATTTTTTAAATAAAAATTTCTAAAAAATAAAAAAATTTTAAAAATTTATTTTTGTTCCTAAGAAAACATTCTTGAAATTATTCCGAGGAAACATTTCTGGAATAAACAAAAAAATAAAATAATTACCTATGTAAGGAGGGGGTTTAAAAAAAGTTTTTGGAAAAATAAAAATTAATAAATTTTTAAAGGGCTGTTTTAGGAAGATGAGCAAATTTCTGATTTCTGAATTAAAGGACTGGGAGAGAATTGGGTAATAGTTTAATTCGTATACCCCATCCTTTTTCCTTCTTAAAAGTTGGCCCCCTGTAGTTTTCATTGTTTTGGGGGTCTGTATCTCGGCCCAAAGTTAAGACCAGAGGTTGATTTTGGTGTCATTCGACTCAGCTCGACGAGTTCTATAACCTAAGTCAGACTGACCATTTTTTAATACTTTTAGGAAGGAAAAAGGATGTGGTATACGAACCAAACTGTTACCGAGAATTGAAATTAAGCATGATTAGTTCCGTTCGATCCGTTATTAATTCATTTTCAATAATTAAGTACTTGTTAACATTTAAATTTAATAATTATTCAAATCTAAAGGATCCGCAGAATATACCGTTATTTTCGATTCTGTATTAAATATTGTTGGACAACCTGGCAATTTTTTACTTGCAAATTGTCCTAAAAAAGGAAAGGTATCTTGCAGAAAAAATAAAATGCAAATAATGGACATGGGGTAAAAAGAATTTTTTTCATTTAAAAAACAAATTATTTTAAGTAATTTGCAATGTGAAAAAGATTTTAATCAAACAACTTTGGATAATACTACATTAAATATGCGAATTTGTGAAGATAGTTTACAAGTAAAATAATAAATTTATTTGTTAAAAATGGCAGTAAAAAAGAATTTAAACTAGAGACCGGACCGAGACGAGATCTCGATCGAAAATCTCTGTTATCGAAAATCTATCGAGATGCGAGTCACAACTGCTTAAATTTATGAACTAAAATTATAAAAAAATTTTAATATCCTATTGAAGTTCGGAAGGGAAATATTGCCTAATAATTGGGCGAAATGTAGTAATCGTACAAATGTTGAGAATACAAAAGCTTGAAAATTACTTTAAATTAAAGAATTATGATTAAAATAATATTTTTTTATTTAAAAAGTTTGGAGGACAACAAGATAATTATACAAAACTTTTATTGGTTGATGGAGAGAAATTTAACCAATTTGATGGAATTCTTAATTCTGGTGGTCCAAAACCACCTAAAGCTGATGGAGTATTTTCTTTAGCTTATTCTGATGATTCTTATAAATTGCAAAGTGGCGCTCAATATTTGGTTACTGGAAAACAAGAACAGCCCGTTGTGAGCATTTATATGCAAAAATTTGAGTAAGGAATTATTTCTCTAAATTGTTCTTAATATGTATTCCAATTATTAACCCAATTGAATGGCCAGATTTGTGTTATACTGTGTCTAAGCGATACGGTCTAGTACGTCGCCTTTTAGAACTTAGATATAGAGTTGAAGTGAAGTGGCAAAGGAGGAAGTCGTAGAGATTAATTAACCCTCCAATTAATATGAATACGAGACCTGTATTTAATAGACTCTTCAATATAATAGACTTTTTTGTTCTTATCTCAGAGGAACAAAACATTAAAGCGAGCCAATAAGTCTCAAAATTTTTTTTATTTTACAGCAAATTAGACCCATTAAGTGGAACAAAGGGTGTTTTGAATTTTGGTTTAGTAAATAGTGAAAATTGTGTGCAATGGGGCCAGCCCCAATCTATAGTGGAAGGAGCTCGTCGTTGGTTTGGAAATATTTTTTAAAAAAAATTCTAAAGAAAAATTCTTTCCAGGAAAATTTCGATGGAAGCAGAAAAAATATTAAACGAAACAAGTGAAACATTTAAAGACCAAGAAGCACTAATATCCACAACAGACATTTTTATGTTTGCACCTGAGAATTTTACAAGAGATATTTTAGATAAGCTTAAACCAGTAAAGGACAATTGGTTCTTTAAATTTTTGCGAAAAATTAAATTATCTAAACTTGTAGGTTTTGAATTTAGATATTTAGATTTGTAAGGAATATTTTTGTAGATAATATAGGGAGCAAATCGAGGAATTTTAAAAACGAGGGACCTAAGCAAATCGAGGGGTTCATTCAAGGACAAATGATAAAAAATTCTATGTAAAAGGTTTAGGGATAGAGTTTACTACTAGAAATTCTTTAAACAATAAATTCCTTTTAATAGGATAAGGGTGAAAATTCTATCCTTTATTTATCTGGGAAATAAACTGAGGAAGATTGCCCTCTTTTCACAGTTTTCCAGTTAATCCCAGCTATACATATTTTTGTAAAATTTAAAAACTCAAAAAAATTTTTTATATATTTTGTAGTCTCCAAAAGACGTAATGGTTCAATGCCCAAGTGCCCAAGAATTAGAACAACTTCCAACAATTAAATTTACTTTTGGAGAAAATGGAAAGTCGTTTGAATTTACCCCGAAGGATTATATTATGCCTGTAAAGAAATAATTATTTTCTCCAAAAATAATTTTTATTTTATTTTTCAGTTAGTTACTCCAAAAATGTTTGGAAAAAACTTTAAAATATTTAATTGGTGTCATGTGTTAATTCGCTCTAGGCCAGACCCTGCAATGTTAGCAAGAAATTTATTACCCGAAAATAACCAAAATCAATGGATTCTTGGACAAGCATTTTATAATAAAGCTTGTGTGGCTTTTAATTACAAAGACAGTACTGTAAGTCTGGCTGAAGCTTGGACACAAGAAAAGTGAAAAAGGAGATGATTTTGATGGAAAAAGAAGAAGTCTATTTAAATTTTTTTAATTCTTTCATAATTTTAAACACATTCCTATCACTTTCAATAAAAACAAACTTTATTTAATGATAATTGGGAAATAAAGCTATAATTTGGGTAAAATTAATTAGTAAATGTGATAATTATTAATGTATTTAGTAAAAACGGGTAATAATGTAACACAGTTTTTTCGGTATCAAAAAATATTTTTAGATCCCCTAAACGTGACTAAAAATAATTTCAAAAAAATATATAAAATAAAAATAAATTTTATTAAAAATATTAAATGGAATGTTATAGTAATAAGAAAATAATTTTTAAGCCCAAATATCACATTCCAATTTTTGAATAATTTTAAAATTAAAAATATTTCCCTCAAAATATTATTTTATTCCTGTCGGATTTTCATCTAAAAATGTAACAAGCATTTTTGCATAATCCATAACAAAGCTTGTAATCGACTAAAAATATTTTTTACATTTTTTTATTTTATAATATTTATACCCTTCGTATCAACATTCGAGGGATTGGAATCTTAAAACATAAAAATAAAATTTTAAAATAAATTTTAATAAAATTTACCCGCAAATCTGTATTCATTAACCATTCAAACAAAGCATTTTTCTCTCCCAATTTAGAAATTCTAAACATATTTACACCATTACGACCCCTAAAAATTTTTAGAAAAAAATTTAAAATTAAATATGTATGAAAGGAAATTTTTCTCTTTTTGATAAAATATTTATACCAAAACAAAAGTTCGTCTAATCTCAAAAAAATTTTCTCAACGCCTATAAAGAAAAAAATTTGTCCCAGCCCAGCCCGTAAATTTTCAAATGGTTATTAAATAGTTTCTCACCGAATTTCAACTCCACCTTCATTTTTTGCACTTTTTGAAGTTTTTTGTTCTCCTCCAACAGTTTCTTCCTCTTCAGCAAATTCAATCGACACATAAACCCCGACAAAAGAAGTTTCATCTGTATTGGTGATAAAACGACTGAAAATTTTATTTTCTTTTAAATTTTTGAGTAAAATAAATTTACCGAATGTCGATGAAATGCCTTAAATTTTAAAATTAAAAAAATTTTTTTGTAAATTTCATGTCAAGTTTAGAAAAAACTTTTAATATTTTTCCTTTTTAGCAATAAATTTTTAATTAAAAAATACCTCGGTGCTTAAAAAATACCACCACCAGAAGCTTTAGTAATCGTTATAACAATATCTGTTGTACTATCAACAACTTAAAGAGAAAATTAAAGCTAAAAAGTAATAAAATTATAAAAAACCAAACCAGCAACTATTCTCGTTTCCAAAATTTGTTTATTCCATTTTTGACTTTCTCTCCAAACAGCATTAAAGACAGCTTTAAAAATTATTTTGGATTTATTTAAATTTTTTAAAAAACCTCTAGCAGTGTGATCTATCACTGTTTTTATGTAATAACTGTTTGAAGCGTCATGATAACGAATCTAAAAATTAATTTTAAAAACCAGGATTTAAATATAAAAAATCCACAAACTTCAGGCACATTTTTATTTTCTTTTTGTAAAACTTTCCAACAATTTATATTAACAAAAAGGGAATCTGCTTCATTCTGAGCTCGAATAATTGCTTCTTTGCATTTTCTTCTAGATACTTTACCAATTCGTGAAATATTTTTGCAACGTTCTTCATTATCATCTGAATGATTTGTAAATAAGTATATTAATCTTGAATAGAAAAATTCTTGAAAAATACCAAAAAACCCCTCCTTTATGTGTTAAAAACCCCTTTTTAAAATTGTTCCCAAAAAAATTAAAAAACCTTACCAGAAGTGTCGTCTTCAAATGCTGTGTGAAAGAATTCCTCTTCATTAGCAACAATCTGTCTAATTAATTCTTGAGCATTTAAACGTTGTCTATCCGTATCAGATCCATTAATAACAGTTGTTCCTACACCTCTACAAAAATTATATTTTAATTTAAAATAAAAAATAGAAACATGTCTCTTTGATGTTCTGAATCCAAAACTCTAAAGGGCATAAGCCAAAGTTCGAACCAAGCAATACAAAGTGAGGCAATAATCACCAAATACTGAAAATTAAAGTTTGTATTAAATTTTTAAAAATTTAAATTTTAACACTAAATAAAATCTGCATTTTTTAACAAAAAAAAATTAAAAGAAAATCAAAAAATTCTAAAAATTATAGCTAAAATGAATAAATTATAAAAGGAAAATTTCATCAGAAAATAGCAAAATTCAACATTTATTTTCATAAAAATTTCAAAACATCACCTGTTGTATTGAACCTTTGTCTTTATCGAAAAAATAAAATATTTTAATTCCAATGAAAATAGTTGAAACAGTTGTAGTGAACGCCACAGGAATCCTTCCTGGCATAAAAGTATTTTATTTACAATTAATTAAATATACCAGTGATCACATTTTATCCAAGCATAAGCAAACAATAAAATCAGCATACGAAGGAATGAAAGTATTGCTAAAAATGTAAATTTAGAAAAATTTGAATATTTACAGAAGTTCTATAGAAAATACATAAGATTCGCTTCAGAACTAATTTAAGAAACTAATAGAGGTTGGACTCCAGAAATAAAAGCTCAAAAACAAAAAAAACCTGAACAAAAATTGGTAGGAACTGGGGTTGTTTGCGACGGTTAATTTTTCCCTGTGGCGGCTCAAATGCTCCTGTTCCTCTTTTTGAACCACCGCAGGCAAAAATTAACCGGACACTAATAACCCTAATAAGATCATAGTCCAAAGCCTGTCTGTATGTATAGCCTAGACCTAGTCCTCATCCAAACAAATTTATAACTAAAATCATACCCAAATCAAAAAGTGAATTGTGAAGAAAATGAGTAGCAAAAATATTTATTTCTTCTAAAAATACTTCCATCCATGTATGTTTATAAGGTTTAGTAACAGCAGAAAGTAGCCAAAGAAGTGTAGAAAGAACAAAATCAAAAACATTAACTGAAAGAAAATTTTCAAAAGAAAAATTTTTAAAAAATTTTTTAAATTAAACCAATTAAAAATCTTCTTCGTTCTTTACTCATTCCAATTTCTCTATTGTACAATAAATAAGCAGTTGGATTGTATAAAATATTTCCAATAGAAGGATTTATTGTTAAAATACGATCTCGAAGGGAGCCAGACATTTTTCCGAGCTAAAAATGAAAAGAAATGATTTTTATTTTCTTTGTTAAAATTTTACAACCAAAAAGGGCAAACTGATTAAAAATAATAATTACAAATAAACTATTCTTATCAGTTAGCTTATCAATGTTCGAATTTTGCAAAATTTTTGTTTTACGAAATATTCTTGGCGAAATGTCTAAAAAATTTTTTTTTATTTTTTTTGCAGTTTACCCTTGTAAATTTCGAAATTTTGTTTTTAAAATTTTATATTTACCTGTTTTATTTTGAAAACAGCTGAAGTCTGTTAAATTTTTAAACAACAAATTTTCTAATGTTCTGTTAAAAAATTGTTTTCTTGTGTTTTCTTTTATTGAATAATTAACAAATTAATTTACTAATTTGTTTCTTTTTTAGTTAACGAAAACAAAAAATTAAATTTTGTCAAGTATCATATGAACAATAACGTTGTCAGTGCAAATCCACCAACAAATCATTCGCATCAGAATTCTCCAATTACAAATGGTGGGACTCAGGGTAACGATGTTTCTCAACATCAGGTTTTCCTAAGTCTTTCGATATTTTCTTAATGTTTCAAAACTTTAGCAACATCACGTTTATTCGCATAACGTAGGTGGAATTGGACAACAAGAACATCATTCGCAATATTCTGTGCCTCACAATTCGCATCGTTTTGCGCATAGAGATGGACCGTTAGTTTTAAATTCTTTGTATTTGTGTATATTCAATAGAGATCGAGCTGGGTCTGGATTTCAAAAAAAAAATAAAACGATAAAAACCAAGGCCTGGGTTTTTCCTGTACCCAGATTCCAGGCCCAGGCATTTTTTGACCTTCCTGGGTTTTTACTGGGCCTGGGTTTTTCCTGGACTACAGGCCAAGGATCCGGCCCATGTCAATAAATCAAACTCAGAACCCAGGAACAGGCCAGGCTTTTCAAAAATCTCGATCTCTAATATTCAAACAGGGCAACTATAAACCTTCCACCTGGTACGCGCATTCAGCCTGCTATGATTCCTGATTCGACTCAAGTTGCAAATGTTCAACAGCAGCAGGATTTGGCTGCTGCAATGTATGGGATGTATCAAAATGCTAATAATCCTCAAACTGGTTTTGCTATGCAGCAGAGTGGGTATCCTAATCAACAATTAGCAACATCTGGAGGTCATTATTATTATACGTAAGCCATTATATTCTTAGTGCTCTCCCAATTAATTTAATTTTTTCTAGTGCACCTGCTGGTCAATATTATACCAATACAGCTGGATATCCTGTAACTCAACAGGTTTTATTCTTTCAGTATTTGGACTAAAAGAAATTTAATCGTTTTAGACTCTAATTATGCCACAGCCTCCGGCGCCTGCTTATCAAATTCTGAGTCAACCGGTTATTCCATCTAGCACCCATGCTACGCAGCAGCTTATTTCTTCGAGTGGAAGTGGTATTCAACCACAGAATGTTAATGTTTCTATTGGAATGCCGGCGACTGCTGTTTCTATGCCACAGGTTTTTAATTTTTTATATGTAAAAAATATTAAAAAATTTTCAGAGCAATGTTATTGTTTCAAACGCTGGAGGAACTTTGTCCTCAGCTAATGCTCCAACCACACAAACACAGCCTCAGAAAGCGAAAAGGATTTTGGCAATTGTTAATCCAGATAGTGGAGAGTCTTTGAAGTTAGGACCGGGTATGTCTATTTGTCTTTTTAAAATAATTATTTTTAAACAATAGATACAAGACCAGCTACTTCTATTGGTTCATCAGCGGCCTCCGATGAGGAAACTAAATCAACAATCGTTAAGACTGACTTCTTCAGAAAAATTGCAGAACGTGCTCATGATGCTGGTTCTGTGCCACCACAGCAAACTAATCGACGTTCGCCTTCCTCTTCTGCTGGTATGATGGCTAATGAGGCTATGAACCAAGCATTGTTAGAACAGCAGCGTCATTTGCATACAACTGGTTCAATTCCAATCATTCAGAAAGGGTCGCAAGGTAAAATTTATTGACACTAAATACATATAATGCTATTTCCGTTTTATAATTTTTTCCAAACTTTAATAACGAAAATTAAAAATTGTTTTCTAAACATATTGATTCATGTTTTTTACCATTTATGCTAATCCCTTGTTTTTTGTAATAATAATATGAATATTTTTGCATAATTTTTATTTTTTTATCTACGATCTTATTTTTAATTTTTAGCAAACACAGCTGGTTTCTCTGAACCAACACATTCGCCACAGTTTCCATACTTGTTGCATCCTCCAAATTTTGTTAACAGCGTTTCATCTCCGATTCCTATTGAACAGCATTCAATGCCAATAAATCATCAACATTCACCGCATAATTTGCCTTCTATCTTGGAGCTTAATGTTTTTCGTTCACTAATTTTTTGCTATTTTTCTCTTTTCAGATCAAAAATCCATCGCCTAAAAATGAAGAAGACCAACTTAAATTTGTTCGAACGAGTCCGTCACTTTATGTTGATGAACAAAGAGTTCGATTGCCTGAATCAGATGAACATGGAAAACATGCAAATAAAGCAATAGTAGATATTTTTTCTGGACAGGTTTTTAACTTCATATTTGCCTATATGTTTATAATATTCAAGGAAGTTGATGGTGGACAGAGTCCTTCGCCAACTGAAATTAATGATGCCAAAACTTCCGAAGAAAAAATTAGCGAATTAGAAGAGGCGATGGCAAAGTTTGATGGAATTCGGTTATTTTTTTAAAAACCTATTCTCCTTGAATATACATTTTTATATTATATCGGATCATTTTTTAGTGATGACACACATAATCTTGATGAAATGATTTATAGCCGTTCTTTCCTCATGCTTCTTCGAAAAGTCGCACGTGTTCGTTTTTGCTTAATTTTTAATTTTATAATTATTTTTAGGCAATAAAAACTGTTGAATGTCCCAGATCTGAGCAGGAACTTGAGGAGTTGGGGTTAAGCAAGAAGGGGATGGTTGTTAATCAGTTATCGATTGGATCGAAACCTAAAGTACTTGTTTCTTTTTGTAATTTTTTATCTGTTTTTCAAAGCGGTTTGAGGCTGCTGGTGGTGATTTCAAGCCTTCATGGCAGCATCAAGGAGGGGGTGGTAATGCTCAATTTGGAGCTACTAATCAATTCGGTGGGGGATCACGGTTCGGTTCTACTCGCCCGCCAAATTATGGTTTGCCAATTTTGCAGTAATTAATTTTTTGGTAAATTTTAGTTGGCCGTCACAGTGATAATAAATTAAAGCCAAAGAAAGGGCCAATTGTCTGCCGTCCATCATTGGATCAGAGACCAACAAAAATAGAAAAAGTTTGATTTTTTGTATATTCCACGTATACATATTCTTTAACTTTTAGACTGATACTTTACCTAAAAAGTCTGCTAATGCTTGGAAATCAAAACGTGAAGAACGTTTTGATATGAATGCGCCTGTTAAAGATGAGGAAGAGGCTCGACATGATGTTTGTCTTTTTTAATAAAATTTTATTTCAATATTTTAGAAAATCAAAAAAGAAGTGCGTGGTTTGCTCAATAAAATCACACCTTCTTCATATCAAGAGGTTTTATTCTAGATTTTTGTTAAATATTCCTTTAAATTGCAGCTTTCTGATGAATTCTGTGCCTATAAATTTATTGAAGACACTAAACTTCTGACTCCAGTTATTGATTTGATTTTTGATAAAGCTGTAGAAGAGCCACATTTTTGTCCTCTTTATTCTGATTTGTGCAAAAAACAGGTATCGAAAAGAAAATGAAAGAAGATTTTAATATTTTTGTTAGGTTGATGTCGAGCGCCAAATGTATTTACAGCGTGATAAAACACCCGATAAACAGTCTGATAAGTCAGATCAGGCAGACAATCAATCTGAAAAGCCAAAAGAGAAGAAGAATTTTAGGTTATTTTTGACTTAAATTTTTAATTGAAGAATTTTAGAGCTGAGATCATTACAAAATCTCAACGTACTTTTCTTGCTTCTGATGAGTATGACAATAAAGTAAAAGAATTAACAGAAAAATTAGAGACTGCAGATGATAAGACTCGTGTATTACTCGAAGAAGAACTCGAAACTCGTCGTTCTAAAGAAAAACGTCGACTTTTGGGAATTATAAAATTTATTGGACAATTATATCGACATCAATTGCTTATTGAAACGGTGAATGATATATAGAATAATAATTTTTAAGTTTATTATTTTAGATTATTGATTGGTGTGCTGTTGAATTGGTGCGTAGATTCGAAGCAACACATGATGAAGTTTATATTGAGTAATTTATTTTGTCACCTATTTTTTGCAAAAATATTCTTTTAGGTATGCTGTGGAGTTGATCGAAACAGTTGGAAAAAATTATGAAAAGCGAACAGAACAAGAAGGCCCAGGAATGCGCCAACTTCAACAGCCGAAGACTTCAGCTCAGATTATATCTGGTGAAAAGCAGGTTATATTAAATTAGAAATTAGGTATATAATTTAAAATTTTGACTTAATTTTTAGCAGGAACAATTTCGTTTGGATATGGTTGTTTCTCATTTGAGTCAACTCAAACCTAAAGTCTCCAATCGAGTAATTAACTCTATTTTTTCTTTTTTTTAAATTAAAAATATTGAAGGTTCGTTTTGCAATAATGGACCTCGAAGATTTGAAAAAGAATCGTTGGGTGCCTCGTGGAGGCGAAAAAGGTCCAAAAACAATTAATGAAGTAAGGGAAGAGGTGGAAAAGGAGCAACAAGTAAATGAATTGGAACGAATTGCAGTAATAATAAAATTAATTTTTTAAACTTTTTTTTCTCTTTTTTAGCACGAAAAGCAGCAGGATAAAGTCCAGCTTTTGCGGAAACCAAATACTGGTCGAACTGGTTACGGAGGTAGAAGTTCGGCTGATAGGCGTCAAGCTGCGGTTATTTTTTTTTAATTTTAAAACAAAATCTATTTTATTTAGGCAGCCAGTTCTTTGTATCCACGCGACAGCAAAACTGAAAGTCGCATTTCTTCAGCAAGACTTTCGGAGCTTGATAAAGAGAGTAGTGGTAAGCAACTAATTTTTGTTTAAAAAAATTTTGTTAAATGCTTTAATGAATTCTTAACTGAAAAAAATATTGTGAAAATATTTAGTTATCTATTAGCTAGTCTATTTTGGATTTTGAGTTTATTAGGTTCTCTTTTTGCTTTGTACCTTCTTAAAATCCAATTTATCTAATAAAATTAAATATTTTAAAGTAGTAATAATTAAAATTTTTTAGTAAAGAAACCAGCTTGGAGGCAAGATACTAGTAAAAGCGGTGGCCATTCAACTACGGGAGGTGGCGAGGCTTGTAAGATTTTTATTTCTTTAAATAATTTTTTAAAAATTTATTTTTAATTAAAGAACAATTCGGCCTTTCTCAGGTAGTGTTAAATTGATTTTATGGGTTCTAGAAAAGAAGGATATTATTTTGTGTTAGAAAAAAGTACATATATTTTATAAATTCCCTTTTTCTGTTTAAAGCACATAGCAAAAAATTAATAAATATATATTTTTGTATTTTAGCTGATCCTAGATTTTTAAAATTATTTCCTTTAATTGTTTGGCTAGGTGCTTTGTCTGTTTTTGTTTCATAAGTGTCTAATATCCAAAATATTATTTTGCTGTTTATAAATAATATTTGTTAAATTTTGTTTTTTGATGGTTATCCTTTAAAATTTTATCTGGAAGATAGCCACTTTAATTTATACAGATCACTAATCTTCGGCAGCCCTAGATAGAAATAAACCTAGCCCCCACCTTAATCTATACAGATCACTAATCTTCGGCTAGATCGAATAGGTCTAAACGTCATATGGTTCGCGACTAGCTTCTAGTTTAGTAAGCATAAGTCTTATAGTGATAAGGGTCTCGAATAGGTTCATTGATGTTTCGCGACAAGCCTTAGTTTAGTTAACAAAAAATCTGGTGTATATTCGTTGTGTATTCGGAGCCGTGTTGAATTGTGCAAATTTTTTGAGCTTCTGGATTTTAAACTCTTTGCTTCGGCTCCGGGAATCTGCTGAGAAGCTAGCGTCATAGATGGTTCGCGACTACCCATACCCAGCACTAGGCGTAATCATATTTTCTAGCAATACGTATAAAATATTAGGAAATATTAATATATTTAATATTAAACCAATTTATTAAATATTATTTTCAACTATTTGTAAATTTTATTTTATAATTAAATTTCTCTAAAAATTATAATTAAAAATGTTTATGTATTTTTGCCGCGTGAGATGAATCTGCCCGCCAATTAGCTAAAACAATTCTTCCGTTGTTAATGCCAACCGAGAGGATAATATATTTTTTAGAATCGATGCTTTTGATTATTTAGAAATAGCAACCAATTTTTAAATAAATATTTAAATGGGCGAGAGGAAGGACGACACCAAAAACGTAAAAATAAAAGTAACCTCGTAAATTAAAAATTTATCTGTATTTAATATACGGATGTGGAGACTTTAACAACAAAATATGCATTATGAAGGTGTTTGCAAGTATTTTCGCAATTATAAAGGATTTTTATTTGTTCTATTGTATTTTCCTGTGGGGTTTAATTTCTCAATTTTTTGTTTTTTATGGCAAATGAAAAATATATAATTAAAAACCGGGATTACGAATTTATTAACTAAACGCATTCTATATAATTATTGCGAAACTTGCAAACGCCTTCATAAGTCAATCATAAATTTTCCGTACGCTATGTTGAAAAAGTTGGGAATATTGTTTACATAGTTTTACAGCTCTTCCCACCCATTGATATCCAAATTTTAAAAATTTACCCTAAATTGAGTGTTTAACTGATGTCTAAATTTAAGTTAGGTGTTATTTGTTTTACTTTCGGATTCGCGTACTTACTCTCCTAATTTTTTTAAATTAATAAAAAAATATAATCTACAGATACGTCTAAATTCAAAGACAAATAAAACATCGTACATATTATTTAAACTATTGCCTAAAAAATTCCGTCTTGTTGCAAGACATGCTCTACTAAAAGGTGTGGAAATAAAAAAAAATTATAATTTATTAAAAAAATTTTTTTCAGTGCCTTTTTTGTGTTTTTGCCTGTATATTTCTTGCCTGTACATTACTCCAAATTTTTGCCTTTTCTATTAACCTTAATTACTTCAATTAGTCAATCATTTACACAATTAATTACCAATTCTTCTACAGCTTCGGTTACTGTAGGTTTGGTTAGTGTTGAGACTTTACCTAGTGAACAACTTTTAACTATGGCTAATCAACAATTACATACACTTAATTTAACTCAACGTGATATATTTCAAATTAGGTGCATTTTTAGATTTTTATATCAGAAATGGACGTAATTATAAAACCTTGTTTTCCCTCATTATTTTCCCGTCTGCAAAATTTTGCCAAGTTTCTTTACCTTACAATTTATGCCCCTCAATTTCTCATTGTTTACTTCAAGCTTTTCGAATGTTATATTAAAATAATATTTTTATTTTTATTAATGATTGGACATAGACTAGATTTTTTTCTAAAATCTATTTAAAATTGACGTTCTTCTAGACATTAATCCAAATCTATCATTAAGTCTAGTCTCTAACTTAATGAAGATTAGACATCTAATACTTCTTTAATATGTAGGTTCATAGATAGTCTAAAATTATTAGCAATATTACTTATAACAGCTCTAGCATACTAAAAAGAATTTTCTCAATTAAATAATTCTCAAATCCCCTTTAAATATTTTCAGTGTTAAATCATACGATTCAAGTGGTTCATGCCCAACAGGCGTTCAAAGCATTGGGGGCTCATTTCAAGCATTACAAATGATTTATAATTCGAATATTAGTGCTTTATTTGGACCTATTTGCTCACATGGTAAAGAAGGAAATTAATTTAAAGAGGGAAGGATTTTAATTTATATATAGATATTGAATTAATTGGAAGATTATCTTCAACTGAAAATTTACTTCAATTTGATTTTTGGCAAGACAATAGAAATAATTCTTTATTTAAAAGAGCACCTAACAGTATTATTCAAGTAAATAAAAAATTATTTTTAAATAAAAATTTGCTAAAAATTAAATAAGCTTGATTTTTGGGTTAATTTTTATTTATTTTTCGATTTTTTAATCGAGTGCTGTTTTTGGGTTTTGAGAAGTGTTGTCAGTTTCAAACCAAAATAAAAAAATTTCAGTTTGCTTTATTGCATCAATTTTGGGTAGTCGAAAAATTTACCGAGAACTGACAACTCTTGTTTTAAGTTTTCTATTTATTTGGGTTTAAAAAAGAATCAAAACTCTTAATTTTCTTTGCTAAAATGAAGTAATCAGAAAGAATTTAATTTATTTTTTAATTAAAACAAAAGATGTCAACAATGTCAATAACCAATTTGGGTGTAAATTTATTGTCTACACTAACTTTATTTAATTGGAAAAGTATTGCTTTAATTAGTTGTCCAGATTGTGGGGATAAAGCTGAACCTGGTACAAGTATGGAATCATTTCTTACAGACCATAAAGTGAATAAAAAAATATTTTTTAATAAAAATAAATATTTAAATTAATTTTTGAAAAATTAATAAAGTTAATTTTTTGGTAGGTCACTTAAGGGAAAAATGAGAATTTTTAATAATGATGTTTATTTTTAATTTTCCGGATGAAATTCAAGGAAATTAATTAAGATATTAAATCAAAGCTTTATTTTTTCTGGAAATTTTTTTGGAATTTTTAAAAGAAAATAATTTTAAATATTTAAGATTTAAATTCAAAAACAAAATTATTTATTTAAGATAACAATACTTTCACATATTCAACTTTCTCCAAATAAAGATGGAAGCAATTCAAGTAATTCTTTTGCTTCTCAATTGAAGGATGTTAAACAAAAGGCTAGAGGTAGAAAAAGAGAAAAATATTTTTAATTATTTTTTATTTAACTAACGTAAATTCTCGAATAATTACTCTGGGTAATTATTGTTTCAACCTCTCACTGGAAGGCGGGTAATTAATAAAGAGAGATAATTATTTGAGTAAATACGGTATTTTATATTAAAAAATATAGTTGTAAATCAACCAAATAATTGTTAAGTTAATTTTTAATAGAATTTTTTTAAACTACCAATTAATTGGTTAGTTAATAAAATATATTTCTCAGTAATTGTTGCAGTCTTGGGGGATCAATTATCCGATTATGTCGACTTTTTGACTGCTTTGCAAATTCTTGGAATATCTACAGTTAATTAATTAATAAAATTTAAAAATTAAAATTGTTCTTTAAAGACTGATTATTCCCCAATTCTTTGTATTACCCGTTATTGGCCAACAGAAATGGATTTACCTTGGATGCAAAAAACAAATGGAGATTATAAATTAAATAAACAAATGCTTGATTTATTTCAACATAATTTAGTGGTAATTAAATATATTTATTTACCAGAAGGTGTATTGTATTGGAGATCTTGCCAAAATAAAAATTAAATTCTTACTTTGAGGTATATGTGGGAATAGAGTTAGTTGGTGGGTCGGTCCGGCCGGTTGTGTTAGGGATCTTGTTCCAATCCCGATCCGGCCCGGTCCGAAAGATCGAGTCGAGCATTGAATTTTTGCCCGAAAAAGACGCGGACGTGATGGCCCGATAAAAATGACTCGAACAGCGGCTCGACTTGAAATCCCCAACCCTATATAGGAACGCAAAATCTTTGGTGTCTACTTGATAAAAATTCAAAAAAGTTTCCGACTTATGGATGACTTATACAATATTTTTTCTTTTGTTTTAAAAAAATTTAGAGGGAGAATACCTAAAAAGAAAAATATTTTTTGGAAGAATTCCCTTATTTTTAATTTTTCTATTTAATTTAAAAAAAAAAGCTTGTCAACGATTTTTATTCAAACGATCAAATAAACACTTTTATTAAACAAATGGGGCTAAGTACTGATTCTGGTATTCAACAAAGAAATAAATTACTTCAATCAATTCAAGTAAAAAAATTTTTTTCTGACAAAACCCCTTAAATAAAATAGCTTTACGAATGTTTTTGGACTTATGCTTTAGCTTTGTGGCATGCATATAGCAGCACAAATGATCTTTCTGTTTATCAAAATGGAACGATTTTGGCTGATGCTGTTGGGCAAAGTTTGGAAGGTTTTTGGAGGAAATATTTCTTCTTAGAGAATATTCTTTTAGGTCCTTTTGGCACAATAACTTTAAGTGGATATCAAAAACGAATAGCTCCCTACAAACTTTTTTTGGTTCTTTCGTATAATTCAAACAACCAAACGGTGGGAACTTTTTATTTTTATTTAACTTTTCCGGGTAAGTTTTCCGGAACTTAAAATGATTGAATTTTAAATGACTACCTTACATGCTCGATTTAAAAATTTTTCATAAGGGGTACCCCCTTTGGAAAAAATCGGGGGTAAAAAATTTTCGAATTTTAAATTTTTTCGAGGTTCTCTCTCTAGAGAGGTTAATTATCTGAAAGAGGGCCAATTGTTCGAGTTATGAAAGTATAAGTACGACTTTTGGCCGAGGGTAATTATTTGAATCTCTCAATAGAGGTAATCGAGAGTTGGTAATTTGAGAGAAATTATTCGAGCACATACGGTATATTATTTGTTTTTATACTTTTATTTTTAATCAAAAATTAATTATTTGTTTAAATTTAAAGCAAAATTATATGGATGAAATTGCAAATATTTCAATAACTACAGACTGTTCAAAATCCCAACTTACAGCTGATGGAGTTTGTGTTGGATTGGTAGAATAAAAAAATTTTTTTAAGAAAAAAATCCAAAAATTATTAAAAAAAATAAAGATAGCCAATTTATTTGTTGTTAATCAAAAGTTGCCTGATAATTTTCCCAAAGATATTCCAAATTGTGGATTTAATGGGGAACTTTGTGATAATAAAAGGTTATTAAATGAATAAATCTTTAATTTTATTTTTGAAAATTTTAAGTATTATAATAATTATTGTGAGTGTTGTTGCTGCTGCTAGCTTGGGAATTGTTATATTTTTGTGCTTCAGAAGAGTGTATGTATTCAATATTTTTTTAAAGAATAAGAGGCCAATTCATTGTTTTTTTATTAGAAAATTATTTTTAATTAACCAATTAATTGTTTTTAAAAACAATTAGTACTTACTTTATGTATCAGGATTTTTACTCATTTATTTATTCGTAGGTTTGTCGATAGAGACCGGACTAGGGAGTGTCGTACGAGAAATGAGATCTCGATAACCGAGATTTTCGAACGAGATATTGTCTCGGTCCGGTCTCTGTTGTCGGTTCCACCAAATTCTTCGATTTAAATCAAAAATTTATTCACTAAGAAATACCTTAAAAAGGTCACTAACATTCAGAAAAAACATTCAGAAAAAATTAAACATGGCAAATAAACGTCATAAAAAATGTAGAATAAAAACAAAAACAAACCGAAAATCTTCAGTCTGGTTTGAAAAAATAAATTATAGCAATAAATTAACCAATTAATTTTTATTTGGTAACCCACAATTTTTAATTAAATTTTGCAGTAAAAAAGGCGAAACAACCCAAATGCCTTATTATGTTTCTGAACAATTAATTTCTTTTGTTGACGTAAATGGATATGGAGGATCTTCAGTTAAACTTTATTTTAAAAATATTTTTATCGAAAAAATACAAATTTAGAGTATGTCTTTACACAGTTTAAACCATAATGAACAAATATTTCAAAATAATCAACAACTAAATGAGCAAAGAAATAGCGAAGATTTAACTAATAATGAACAAACAAATCAGCAGGTAAAGGAAAAAGGAAATATTATCCCTATTAAAAATGTTAATATCAAATTTTGGAAAAGAAACCGGACCGAGATGAGATCTCGAACAAGAATCTCGGTTGCTGACATCGATATTTTCTGAAATATAAATCTCGATTCTCTTATGACATTCCCAGATCGGTCTCTAGGAAAGAGAATGATCGAGCTTAGAAATTTTATTCGTGAGATTAAAAAAGCTCTCAGTTACCGAAATTGATATTTTCTGTAATATAAATCTCGATTTTCTCTAAAAGAGAGTAGTCAGCTTGGAAATCTCTTACCTATTGAAAAAAACCAAAAAATTATTTTTTAACTTAAAAAACAGAATATTCAAATATTTGGAATGCGAGAAGGAAGAGGAGGACCCCCAGTACAAAGCAAACATATTGGAACACTTGAACAAAGTTTTGTAATTATTGAATGTTACAATTTAAAAGAAAAATTATCTTTTGACAAAAAGGATATGCAATTATTGTTTCAAGTAAAAATTGAAAATTATTTTTAAAATTGAAAAATGGATATTTTAATAGATGAAACAAATAGTTCATGATAATATAAACCCATTTTTGGGTGTTTGTGTTGACAGACCAAATGAATTAATGGTTATTTGGAGATATTGTTTTAGAGGAACTTTGGAGGATTTACTCTTTCCTATTAATAATGTAAAAAAATTAATTTTTAATCTTTTTTTTTAATTTAAGTTAGCTTTTGGTGTGATATTTTAGAAGTAGGGTGGTCCTAGATAGACCTGTCGGAAGAACTGTTGGGAAAGGGGGTTTTCTTTGGGCTTTTATGTTCAGTTCATTTAATGTTAAAATAATTAAGTTAATTATTAGGTTAATTATTGTAATGGTTCTTTATTATAAATCTAGGATATTGCTTAATTGCTTTAAAGTAATTTTTGATTTCCAAGATTTTTTGCCTTTTATATTTTAATCACCATTAATTTAGAAAATATTTTTTTTCAAAGGAAACAGCACCAGGTGCTCCAGGAGGTATAGGTGCTAGTGTTGCTTCTTTAACTAGCGAAGAAGGTGTTACCATTAGAACTAGAAGAAATGATTCTATTGATATAAATTTTAAAAGTGCTTTTGTTAGGGATATTATTAAAGTATTTTTAAGAAAGAATAATAAAATTAAAAATTAATTTTTAAGGGTCTAGATTTCGTCCACAGCTCTTCTATAGGGTATCATGGAGCATTAACCTCTTCTCGTTGTTTAATTGATAGTCATTGGATTTTGAAATTATCTGGTGAATTTTTTTTAATTTTAATATTTTAAAAATATATTCTTTTTTCATAGGTTTTGGAACTTCCCGGATGCTTTACAAATGGCGTTTTAATAATACACTTAGTAATGGTGATAGACAATTTATTCAGCCATTAATTCCAAATAATGGTAGGGGTTTTAATTTAGAGGACGAAAAATATTTTTAAACTTTTTGTTTAAAATGGAGGAATAATAGTTCATCTAAACTTACCTTCAATAATATAGAAATTATAGTTTGGCATTCTTAAATCGCAGTTCCCGGTGTCAGTGTCTTTTTCTTTTGACTCAGGCTGGGTTTCCTGGCTAAAACCTCGAAAAAACCGGATTTTATGAAAATACACGGGTTTCCGATCTACCAGGTCTGGAAAACACAGAACCTTGTGTTTTAATTAAAATTTAAGAATAAAAAATAATTTCTACTTATGTATTCTTAATGAGGAAATAATTATTATTAAATTTCCGTCCAACTTTATTCTCTTATAAATTTAAATTTTATTAATGTTCTTCCTACAATTAAATATTAAATTAATTTAGAATTACATTATTATGCTCCTGAATTTCGTACAGCTATTAGAGCAGCTGTTTTAAGAAATAAAGTGGAAGATTTGGTAAAATAAATAAATATTTTAGTTAAAAAAAGTTCAAATTTTTATAGGAATTTTCAAATTCGGATGGCCAAACCTATGATATGTTAGATTTAAAATAATTTAAAAAATATTAAAAAAATATTTAAAAAAAGGTATGCATTTGGTGCTATTTTATATGAAATTCTTTACAGGAGGAGGTAATTTATATTAAAATTATTTTATGATATTGAGAAAAAAAAAATTTAGAATTGCCGAAACGGAGGATTATAGCGAAGGTTTTGTTGAATTTAATGGTAATTAAATAAATGTAGTAGATTATGGAATTATAGAACTAAAACATGTTTAGTAAATTATTTGATTGGTAGTTTTATTGGTATACTATTGGTGTTTATGTCACAAAAAGGTTAAGGGATCTTTATAGATCAAAGTAGTAGGTGTGACAACTTTATCCGAGACCCTTATCGATTTATGCCCCGATTGATCTATGATGATCATTAGATTAATAAAGATTCTAATTCTAACTTTGGCTGGCTATATGGCCATCAACATACTCGGCCCTGATCAATCTATGAAGATTTCGTTGGTTTACAAGTTTTACTAGGATTTTGAGAAATTTTAAATAATTAATTAGTCTATTAATAAATAATTAACAGAAAATTTTGAATATTAACTTTAAAAATTTTTTAAAATCATAAAGGATCTAATGGTCTTGAAGCTCTCGAGGATGATGTTTGTATTTTTAGTGCTGCTGCAGAAGAACATTTACCTATTTTTTCTGAATTTCCTGTAATTTACTTTTAAAAAATTTTTAATTAAATTTTTAAATAAAAGAATGAAGATAATACAGATTCTACAATTAACGGTGTTGTTAATGAAAGAGTACATCCTGATTTGGTTGCTTTAATGAAAAAATGTTTTGGGAAGCCAGAACAAAGGTAGTGAAATAAATATAAATTTAATTGGGTTTATGAAAAGTAAAGTTCTGAAATTACAAGAGGATTAATAAAAAAGAGCCCTTGATAATTCTTGGCCCACAATCCAGAAAAAATAAATCAACTGATATGAATCCATATCAAAGCCTATATCTAGTGAATGGTCCTGCTCCTTTTATTCACATTTCGAGTGTTTGAGTGATCAAAAAGGGACCTTGACAATACCCAATTTAAAAAACAGAGAAGGAGACCTTCTCTTTTCCAGTTTCTCGGTCAAAAAATAATTCAAATATCTGTTTATCTTATTAAAACGGATATTAAATATTAAAATATTTTAAATTTATTTTTTAGGCCCGATGCTAATATGGTAAGGAAAATAACTGATGCAACATTGAAAATGTAATTTATTCAATTTTATTTTTAGATAAATTATTTTTCGAAAATTTTTCAGGCCTGGAAGTTTAGTTGATAATTTTCTAAAAGTAATTAATGTTTAAATTAATTTAATTATAATTTAAAAAAAATAAATTAGAATATGGAACAATATACAAATAATCTCGAAAATTTGGTTAGAGAACAAACAGGGAAATTAGAAGAAGAACAACAAATGGTTGAACAAATTCTTTTAGAATTGTTGCCAAAGTAGAGAGGAAATTTATTTATTAAATTTTATTTAAGTCAAAACCTCTATATTACGTACTCTTTTATTTAATGTATTTCTACCATCTTTTCCTTGGCACTTTTTAAGACTTTTCTGGAAAATCTACCTTATATTATTCATAATAAGTTCCCTACAAAAGGGTTTACGTAAATACAGGGGTTTAAATTTAATTTACTCCCCTTTAAAAGGTCGGTGGTTGATGAACTTCGTCTCGGTCTTCGTGTAGAACCTCAATTTTATGGTTCCGTTACTGTTATGTATAGCGATATTGTTAGATTTACCTCTCTTTGTAGTGAAAGTGCTCCGATGGAAGTTGTGGATTTGGTAGACTTTTTTTAATTTAAATTTATTTTTCTTTATTTTTAATTAAAAATATGCAATGAGAAATTTTTGGAAAGGAGAATGATTAAATATTTTATTTTCAAGTCTTTTCTATCAAAATCTGAATTTTCAAATACTAAAAAAAGTATTTTTATTTTAAATTATTTTTTAGCTTAATGGAATGTTTCGTGCTTTTGATGAAGTAATAAATCACTTTTCCCAGTTTTTTTTAAATTTTTTATTTAGGCAATAAGTAGACATCAAGCATTTAAAGTAGAAACTATAGGTAATTAAATAACTAAAAATATTTTTCCTTAATTTTTTAAAGGGGATGCTTATATGGTCGCCTCGGGTGTTCCCCAACAGATGGACAGCCATATTAAGGAAATTGCTTCTGTTGCTTTATTGCAAAGAGATGTACTTAAATTGATAATAAAAATTACAAAAATTATTATTTTGTTTAGTTTCTCTGTCATTATGAAATACCTCATAGACCTTCGCAGTATCTTCACTGTCGTTGGGGGTTTAATTCTGGAAGTGTTTTTACTGGTAGTTTTTAGATTTTAAAATAGTAAATCTAGTATTTATTGATTGTTGGACAAATATCTGATTTATTGTACACCTAAATAGAACTTAGCATTTCAGATTTCCGGGTTAGTACCTTAAGGCCGATGAAGCTTCCTTTAGTATATAAGGCAAAATGATGAGACAGTGGTTGTGTAGCAACCATACAAAGGAAAGCTTTCGAGGATCAAGGAGGGGGATAAGTAAGAAGATAAGGAGGGATAAACATAATTTTAATGCCTATATAATTGTGATAAGTATTAGATAAATATTTTGGCTAAATTCTAAACGATGTTTTCCCGGCATTTTTATTATTTTCACAACACCCTTCTAAACTTATTTCTATTCCAGGTGTTGTTGGAATAACAGCTCCTCGTTATTGTGTGTTTGGCACAACTGGTATATTCCTTTTATTGAGTTTAAAATTTTCCATCCAATTAAAGTAACGTTAGCTGCAAAAATGGAAAATTCTGGTCAGCCAGACAAAATTCAAATGACTCTAAGGAGTTATCAATTACTTTCTGAACAATTTCCAGAATTTAAATGTGCACCGAGGGGAGGGGTTAGAATTGAGGTAGAAAGGGGTTTTTAATTTTAAAAAACTCTAGAAAATATTTTTAAGGGTGTTGGCACTCTCCTCACATATTGGTTAGAAGGTTTAGACAATGAATTACTTGAAACAGCCAGAACTGATAGTGGATTACAACATGTACCTATTATACCTCGTGCTGGAACTCCTCCAACACCCCCACCTATTATTTAATGAATTTTTAGAAAAAATATTTTTTTGTAAAATTTTTTTTGTATTTTTAAAATAAATGTATTTTAAATCTTTTGCCAATTTTCGGCCTTTTTTATCCTGACCCAATTAGAAAAATTATAGACTACAGGCCTCTATCGAACTAGAATTGGCCCCACTACCAAGAGAACTATTTGAGCTGTGTGTTAAACCAAAATGTTAAATCTGTTGATTCTGAACAGAATTATGAAGCTAAATCCTCGGAAAAGCTTTTTGAGCCGCTAAAATGGATTAAAATAGACAATCATAATTTGCTTGATTTATGTCATATTTCGTTAATTTTAGTGTCATTTGACTCAGCTCGAAGATAACTTTCAAATGATATATAATATCCAGAAAAAATGAGAACAAATGCAAAGAGGGATTCAGGGAAAAGAAAGGGGGTCTATTGCCAGAATTTTTTTTGAAAAATATTTTTTTGTATTTTTATTTTAGAAATTGTATCTTTTGTGTATTTTTTAAAAGCATTTTTAAATATTTTTCTTTCAATACCTAACTAATACATATAAGTAAGTAAAGTTATCTTTAAAGAAAATTAGAAAGATTAAAGATCTTCTTGTACACAAAAAGTACTTGAGAATAAAAGATTTTGTTTAAAGCATTTTTGACTTTTTTATTTTGCTTTTATTTTTCTTATCTGATTTTTTATTTGATAAATTTGCAGTTATCTAAGAGAATAATAAGGGAAAAGGAATAAAAGATATACTTAGGCATATCTATGTATATTTTAGTGCCGTCAAAGAGGCCAATCATCATTTAAAGATTATTTTTGTTTGTTTATTCTACAATACTTGGCGGTCTCTTTGAAGTTAGCCAATGTCCCATTTAATTATTCAAATGTCACAGAAACTACGGGGAAATTATTTGTGTCAAAAAGAAAAAATTTTTCTTTTACTTTAAAAAAAATATTTTTTATTTCTCTCATTTTTCCAATAGCTAATAAAATAAAAATAAATTGATGATGGGCAAATTGTGATTAAGAGCAATAAATAAAAAACTAAACAAAAAGAAATTTTATAAAAATATAAATTGCCATTCACCCCCCTTCTCTCTACGTTGATGAAAGAAAAGGGTTAGTAATGGACAACAATTTTCTTTTTTACTTTTAAATAAGCTAAAAGAGCAAGCACGTTGTTGTCTTTATATTTTTCTAGATTTTTATTTTCTGATAAAAAAACTTTTTCTTTATTAATGATTAACGTTTTAGAAAGTTTTTATGTCACAATCCCTGTTATAATTTATAATCTGTAATAATTTCTGAAGAAAAGGACAAAAAACTTTTTAAAATTCTAATAATTTAAATTATTATTTGATTATTCACAGACTTTATTTATTTAACACAAAACGCCTTTAATTCTGGAATGGTATTTCCACAATTTCGAATCCCTTGACTGCTTAACCAGGGTTGATAACTCTTTCGGGAATAGAGATATCGGGAAATAGACAGTCATTTCGGGATCGTCAGACGGAAGCGGGGAATCAGAGTTAGGGACCAAACCCTTACACTTAACTAAAGAGAGGAATTCAGGAATAGTATTTTCCACGAATTCGAATCCCCATAATGATGACCGCTAAACTAGAATTGATAACTTTTTAGATGAATGGAGATATCGGGAAATAGACTGTCAGATTTCGGTGTCGGGGATTGTCAGGCGTGTATGGGGAATCGGAAACAGGAACCAACCCTTACACTTAACTAAAGAGAGGACATTCAAATAGATGATCTCTTTAAGAGAATCACACATTCAAGTTTGTTATGTTTTATTTAGAAAATAAAGTTTAATATTAAAAAACATATGTGTATATTCTACTATTTACAACCTTTTTCTAGCTTTACAGCTTTTTCTTTTCTAAATAAAAAACTTTCCCAGTAATTATTACAAAAATATATTGCCATTAAAAGCTAGGAGAAATGTTAAATAAAAACTCCTCCTACCTATTTTTTTACAATAAATACAAGTATATTTTATTTAGTTTCCCCATTCCTTATAAAATAAAATTCTGACATTCAAATAAAAACATTATCTGTTAAATCTACAATTAATTAAGAGGAATAACTCTTATACATATTTACATATCAGATTTTCTAAAAATAAATTTAGAAAGCTGAAAATAAAATTTGTCAGATTTCAGTGACGGGGATCGTCATGTGGACCTGATATACATTCAGATTTTCTGAAAACAAATTTTAGAATTTTTCTTTCAGATTTTTTAAAAGAGTGATTAATCGAAAAGCAACCTCCAAGAAAATACATACTTATACATACAAAATTCCCTTATTTTTCTTTTATTTTTCAAGTTTAACTCTATCCTAATTTTAAAAGTTTTTAATTTAAATTTTTTAGATTCTTTAATTTTTTTTTTAAAAAATCTTTATCAAAAACAAAATGCGTTTCTTCTTCTTCCCCATACTTTCTATCATTTCAATCATTTCAATTCTTTTTTTTATTATTTCAATTATCTCAATTTCATCCGTTGCTGCTTTAACTTCTGTTTCTACAACGTCGAAGGCTTTGCCAGACAAATTTCTTGGTTCTTGGACTGTCGATCACAGCGAGAATTTTGATGAATATTTGGAGGTAAAGGAGGGAGGGGATTTATTTTTAATCAATCTGATACAGAGAGGAAGTGACTAATAACCAGACTCCATGGATGGACCACTCAGTGAGAGTGGTCATTTCTTGAATTTTTTACTCAGTGAGAACCACTACTGTCTGGTCCCAAAAATTTGAATGGTTTTTAGTTTCAGTTCCCGTAATTGAATGGAAACATAACCTTTTAGAAATTTGGGAGAGCCTTACTAAGCCCTCAATTAAAAGATTTCTTCCCATTCTTGAATTATTTAAATTAAAAATATATTTTCTTCATTAATTCCAAACCTTTCTAGGCAAAAGGTTATGGCTGGTTTATGCGCCAAATGGTTAAATTAGGTAATAATTATTTTAAAAAAATTTGTGCATTTACAGCACCTTTTAGCTGGAATAACCAAAACATTTACTAAAAATGATGATGGAAGTTATGGATGCAAAATTGAGGTAAATGGAGAGAAATTGAAGTTTTTGAAAAAATTCTAAAATTTCTAGACAACCAAAAAGAACGTTGAATGGCCCAAATTTAATTTGGGAGAAGAATTTACAGCTGAATATTTGGATGATTCTATGCATAAAGTAAAGAATTAATTTAAATTTTAAAATAAATTAATTTTCTTTTAAAGATTAAATTTACTTACGATCCAAAGAAGGATGCCTTAACTGAAGTTCACACAAAAGTTGATGCTCCAAATGACCCAGCAGATATTTATGATTATATTATTGATGGGGATGGGTGGCTAGTTATGGTTAGTTAATTGGGGATTTTTTTAAAAGATTTTAAAAGTGACTGACTATGGCCTAAATTTAAATTGGGAAATAATATAAAAATAAAAAAAAATATTTTTTTCTAAATAATTTTTTAAATTTAAGCATATGGAATATAATGATGTCAAAACAAAACGTTTTTACAAGAAACTCTGAAAGAAGAACAATTAAATTTAAATACAATTGTTTACAATGCTTTTATTTAATTAAACACCTTTTACTTTAATTTTTTAAATTTAAAATTTGTAATCTGGAAATGATAAAAAATGTTTTTTTCTTTTTTTTTGTTACAAATTTATTTAATTGAGAGGTTTTTAAAAATAAACATTTCTCGTTTGGATTTATTTAAATTGTCTAATTAGTCGTAATATCAAGATCGAAGCTATTTAAATATTCTCCTGATTATGTCAGTACAACACATAATCCCTTACCTTTGTTTAGATTTGATTTAAAATCTACATTCCCTCGAATAATTTAAAAAATAAAGATTTCTTAAATAATTATTCAATTTAAAAACAATTCCTTTTTAAATTATTTCCCCAAAACTTTCCGGAATTTTTAAAAGTTAAAATTTTGTAATTTAATAATTATATTTTATTAAATTATCATATTAACTGAACAATTTTCTAATATTTACTTAAATGAACTGCCAGTTATTTTTAATTTTCAACATTTCTACTAGGCCCTAATTGTTGAATTACAAATTAATCATCAACCTTTGAATTTATTTAATTTTTTCTAAAAATATCCTCAATTAATTTAAATTTATCCAATTTTTATTTTTAATTTAAAAAATAATATAATAAACAATATTTATGTGTATTAGCCTATAAACAAAGATTTATTTAGTACTTTTACTATTTTGGATATTTACATATTTTAGTAAAATGTATATATTTTTGTTGTTTACCGTTAAAAGTATTTACACAAATTTTTGTTTTTATTTATGTTTTTACCTCATTTTACTATTATTTTTTTATTTCTTAAAAAAGTTTTCTTTTTATATTTTTATTATTTATTGTTCGTTGTTCCCCCTTTGATCTTATTTTTGTGATCGATAGTTTTACAATTATGTAAGTGGATGAATAAGTATAATAAATAAAAATATGGGACATTTCTAGTACAATATTAAGAAGAGGGAGAGATTGAGGCCTTGTAGTAAATCTACTTTAAATAAGTTTTAAAAATCCCCAACCTTAGCTGTCAAAGGAGAATGCCTGGGTTGTCCGTGGAATTTCGGTATGAAATTTGTTAGACAGGTAGATCATAACCTACTTTAGTATAGTAAATGATCCCACTGCACCACCGCTGTGGGAGACCTAAAACTTTAAGAGCTTATAACTCGATCCACGGTACCCCGCAACGAAAATGATAAAAATTTCACAACTTAATAGGGCCTACCTGTCTACCAAATTTCATCCCGAAGTCCCACGGACACCCCAGGCACTTTCCTTTGTAAGGGATTTTTCTAGTCCTGTCATTGATTTCTATGCAGATTTCTTCGACCTATTTTTAATGTTACAATTTATTCTCCATTAAATAAATAGTCTACTTACTCTCTTTCCTCTCAATTTTCCCATCAATCCACTTTAAAATAATTATTTTATTAAATTTATTTTGAGTATTTTTTAATTGTTTTTCTCTATTTCCACATTAATCAAAAATAAATAAATATTTTCCCTTTCAATTTTGCTCAAAAATTATTTTAAAGTGTTTATAGTTTTACTACTGTTTGCACATTTTGAGAGGAATCAATAAAAAAATTTTTTAAATTAAATTTAATTTTGTTATTTTTCGATTTATTTTTCTTTTTTTTTTAAATTTATTTTGAGAATTTGTTAATAGTTAATGTTTGCGACAAAAATATAAGGGGAAAAAATTCAATAAAAGTCGCGCATTTTTCTTTCTTATTTTTTTGATTGTTATTTTCTGTCGCAAGACGCAAAACGATCTTCTGAAAGAATAACTCTCAACAATAAAAATATTTATGAAGTTTTGTTTTTTATTTCAAAAAAAAGAAAAATTAAAGACAATACGAAAGCTTATATTTTAATTAGTGAAGGGAATTTACTTATTGTGAAGGTAGAGTTAGGGGCCCGGTCCGGTCCGAAAGATCGCGTCGGGCCTCGAATTTTGGCTCGAAAAAGATCGTTCGGGCCGGCCCGATAAAAACGAGGCCCGAAAAAATGACCCGAACTTCGGGCCGACTCGAAACCCCAACCCTAATTGAAGGGAATTCACTATACGGAGGAGCTTTCTTGGAAAATTTTTTTCTTTTATATATTTAATTTTAAAATCTTTTTTCTTAATTTTCTAAAATTATTTTTTAAGATTTAATAAAAAATATTTTAAATTAAATAAAATTACTAATGATGATCGAAACATTAATTTCTATGGCGCGTTATTTATCAGCGCATAAAGACGGTATATAAAAATAATTTTTAAAAATTAAAAAAAATTTAAAAAGATGATTTTGCCGACAGAATGAATTATTTATATACTCCAAATATGTTGTTAGCCTTTTCTGTTTTAATTTCTTTTAAACAATTTGGGGGAAGGTAAATAGTGAATAATTAAATTAATTTAAATTTAATTAAAGACCGTTGGAGTGTATGTTTCCAAATAAATTTCCTGGAAGTTGGGAACAGGTAGAAAATATTTGTTAAAATATTTTTATTTAAAAATTGATACAATGGGAGTGTTAATAAAAAAATAAAAATTAATTTTATCTAAAATTGGACAGAAAAACTAGGTTATTTCCGAGGATTACCCTCAATTTTTAACTGACGGTTCCTAAATATTATTTATAAAAATTAAAATATTATTTAAAAAATATTCTTATTATCTTATTGTGTCTTTCCTTGCTTATTTTTAATTTTCGAAAAATTTTTTTAATAATTTGTAGTAGGAAGAAAGAAGAAATTTTGATTTAATAAAAAAAATTTTTCTACGAGATTCCTCTCCAACTAAACAGAACTATTAAATTTATTAAACCAAAAATAAAAATGGAAATTAATTTTTAAAATTACCTTTCATCTCAAAAAATTTTTTAAATTAATTTAAAAATCCTTTTTTTTTAATTTTCTAAAGTATGCAGAAAATTTTTGTTGGTCAGAAGATACCTATTATTTACCTCCAGAAGTACATGTTGCACAAATTAAAGAATCTGAAAGATATTCTGAAGAAAGAAAACTTTCCTATTATCAATGGGTTCCCTTCTTTTTACTTTTACAAGCTGCTTGTTTTAGATTACCCAGGTAATTTGTAATTAATAAGAAAAAAATATTTGTTTTAAAGTATTTTATGGAAGGCTGCAAGTCTTAGTTCAGGTAAATATTTTCAAAAATTATTTAAATATTCAAAAAATGTTGCGATTTTTTAAAGTCAAAAATTGTTAATTAACAGATCCTAATAAAATTTAATAAAAAATTAAAAGGTGGAGATCCCTTTCTCTTCAAAATAAAATATATTTTTATTATTATTGAAATAATTACTTTAATTTTTTAAGGTGTCCGTGTTCACGATATCGTAGTTAAAGCTCTAGATTCACAAAATATGGAAGTCAGAAAAATTTAAAAAATTTAATTTTTAAAAATAATTTTAGGATGAATGCCGTCACAGAACAATAATTATGTTAGCCAATCATTTGGCTAGAGCTTTGCGTTTTCAAAACCAAATATTAAATAGGCATCTATTTATACACAAAACTATGTAAAACTTATTTTTTATTTTTTTAACTTAATTTTTAATTAATTTACTTTACCTTTCTCAGAATTATTATTAACTTTTTGAATTTAATCCTCGTCTCCTTATACTAAAAATACATAGAAGAGATTAGCCTAGAGACCAGACTAAGACTAAATTCCAAACAAAAATTTCGGTTACGAGATTACTCGATAACGATATAGATTCCCATATCCCCCCCCCCCATATGGTCTATCTCATATTTGGTTATTATTTTTTAAGCTTGCTTTCCAATACTTCTCCTTACATTTTTAAATTCAATTTCAAAATAATAATTATTTTTAAAATAGGCGTTTTCTCAACATAACATATTCTGCCTGTTTAATTTCATTTATTTACCTCTTCACAAAATTTTTATATCTTGTCAATATTTTTGCTCAACTTTATTTAATGAATAAGTAAATTTTTTTGAAAAAAGAATAATATTAAAAATTTTTTATAAAAGATTTTTAGAGACAGACAGATATCAATGGTATGGAATTAGTGTAATACAAGATTTAATGCGAGGAATTCCATGGCAGGCTTCTGGATATTTCCCTCGTGTTTCTCTTTGCGATTTTACTGTTTTGTTTTTTTTAATCTTAAAATTATTTAATTATAAAGAAATAAATTTCTGTCATACTCTCCTATTTTATAAGTGACCAGTGTTCGATACACCTTCAGTCAATGACAAATTCTTTAATGTTTCATTTTTCGATTGTTCCGGTTCGGCACTTTAAGATGCCACACAGTGTTGGCTCGGGTTATCCGAAACTCGTGACCGAGTCTTTTTTCGACCGAGAATCTGAAGCCTGATCTGAAGAAAAATTAAAAAAACCCCGACACGAAACCCGACCCGACAAAAAATCCCTGATCCAATGGGATAAAAGAGATATCATTAGTTCATTTCTCTTTTATATCACTTACACATGTAGATCAGCATACATACATATACTTTAATAAATATTAAAATATTAATTTTCTGCCCTATTTAATTTTTAAAAAAATAAATTTTCAAGGTTCGTCAAATGGCAAATATTCAAAAATATTCAGTTCAATGTGTTCTCGTAATAAATATTTTTACAGAAAAAAGTTTTAAATTTTAATTTAAAAAATATTTTAATTTCTTTAAAGTTTTCATTCTTTTGTGGTTCTGGTATGGTATTTTACTTGTAGCTACTTCCATTTCTTTTATTTATTGGTAAATAATTTAAAATTAAAATAAATTTAAAATTATTTTCAATTTTTATGTTAACAATGATGTTATTCCCTCATTTTGGAACGTGGTATATTGCCCAAGCTTTGGAACTTTGTCGAATGGAGCCAAGTGAAAAACAGTTGGATATGTACACAATTAAAAGTGGGAAATTTAAAAAAAACAAAAATATTCCAAAATTATTTTTAATTTCTCTCTTAAAAATTCTCTAAATATTTCAAAAAAATCAAATCCGGCAAATTTTCTATTTATTAAATACAAATTAAATGGAGTATTTAATCAAAAAATTTTTCCTAAAGTAAATTTTTAATTGAGAAAATAGGTAGTTAAGTTTCATTTCACTTACTCTTGCCCCTATCTTTATGTCGATGGCTGTTTATTTGAGAATGTAAGAATTCTTAAATAGAATGAAGGATCCGGAAATTAATAATTTTTTTCGCCTCTTCTACTTTGACATTATTTGCCAAAAATAAACAGAAATTCAATTTAAAAGCATATGCTTGCTGTTTTCGAGTCAAGCCGACTTCGAGTCATTTTTTCGGGCCTCATATTTATCGGGCTGGCCCGACCGAGTCCTTTTCGGGCTAAAATCCGATGCCCGACTTGATCTTTCGGACCGGGCCGGCAACCTTAATGCTAATAAAAAGTGAGCATAAGTTTGGTGTGGGAGATAGGACAATGTAATATAAACAGGAAAATTAAGAAAGACATTATAATTGTCTCAAAAAATATTTAAAAAAAATTTATTTAAATTTTTAGAAGAACGTAAACATGTTGCATGTTTTGTTAAAGAATTTTTAAAAAATGACGGAGTTTTTGTTATTAGAATGGTTGGAATGCATGCAGGGATACTTTTTACAAGTGAATTAACTTCTGAACTGTTTGGACATTTTTTTAGATTTATTTTTTATTTTTTCTATTTAGTTATCGAATTCATTCAGATTTATTAATAAATAATTCAGAACAACGTTTTAGTGAAGATACAACGTTAAAATTAGTTGAAGATGGGGGAACTCCAATAAAAATAAAATCAACGGCAACATTCCCTCATCCTTCAAAAAATAATAAACAAAAAAGAAGGGCAGATTCAGCACCTCTGGGGGAAGAAAAAGAATTTAAAACAAAACTTTTACCTATAGAAAATGAAAATAAGGAAAGTTCTTCTTCCTCAAATTCCTCTTCTTCTAAAGAAAATCATCAAAATGAATCTGATGAGGATAATAAAAAATAAATAAAAATTAATTTTGTTTTCTTTTAATATTTTTATTTTTTTAATATTTTTTCATTCCAATTAAATGGTTTTTAAAATTAATTTACAATGTTAAAGAGTTCTCTCCAACTACAGTATTTTTATGACCAAATCGATATATCTTTCACCACTGGCCAATTGTCTTCTGCCCAATTGTCATTATTTTCGTTTTAGATATTTTGATATTTGTCCTGAAATTAAATATCGTTTCATCGAATGGACAAAAAGGTCAACCAAGTGAATTTGACTGTTTTGTCGATTTTTCATTTTGTTTTTTCTACCTTCAAGATTTGTTATTTTTCATGTTTTAAGATTGATTCACATTTTCAAAATAATTAATGATGGAAGTACGAACCAGACGTTCTGCTGGTGTTACTGGAGGCCCTCTAAATCCCGCAATGATTTCTTTGTTACCTTTACAACGCTTGAAGGAAGAGTTACAGAATAGTGGTTATTTTTAAATTCTTTATAGGGAAATTAGCTTTATCTAGGCAAGTATTGATATTTAGATTTAATTTCCTCGTTAAGGATTGGATGTTCGCGGAAATAAAGACGATCTAGCTATGCGCTTGGAAGATCATGTGCGTCTCGCAGAGGGAGGTCGTCAATTGTATGATCCATCGCCATTTTCGGCTTCACGTGTTGAAAGTGAATCACCCAAGAAAAATAAACGAGGCTACAAGCGAAAAGTATGAGATTATTCTGACAATTTTTTAAAATTAAAATTTGCAGGTTGATGATCGACAGCCAGATGATGATATAATTGATATTGAGAATACCGAACAACTACAACCAGATATTCAAATATTGACCAATCCAGTATCAGTTGCTGCTCCTCCGTTGAAATTTAACTGGGCCAAAGAAAAGCCTTCGATTGCTACAGTTTTGTCATTGTTTCCTAAAGCTCCAGAGCCTCCAATTTTTCACGAGGAAATGTCTCATGTTGTGACTGCACTGAAAGCTAACGTAAGATTTTTGCTTGAATTTTTCTCCGCAATGTCCTTATTTATTGACAGGAACAACCATCACCTAATCTTGCTTCAACACCATCAGTGAATAATACTTCAATAATTGCTGAGAGTCCAGTAATGGAAAAATTAACTGTTAACAACGCTAAAGCTAGCAAAATTAAAGAATCAATCAACCAAAATGGAGAAAATCAAGAACGACTTACACTCAAAGTCAAGAGAATTCATCTCGAGAATAAAGGTTTGTTTAATTTGTGGTGGTGGGATTTTGTATTTATTTCTACTACTTTCCTTTTTACGCATAATTTTGTTTATAATTTTTATTTTCTAGAAAAATCAAAAAATTTGTCCAAGTCTCCCTCAGTTACTTCCGCTGAACACTCAAAGGTTCACATTTTACCACGAAAAGAATCAAAAGAAGTTCCTCATAAGAAAATTTCATCAACAACGCCAAAGACAACTTTGAGGAAAATTTCTACGGGATTTGATGCTTCTGATATTTCTTCTTCAATTTCTAATTCCAGTTCTCCTAAAATTGAATCGTCGCTTAACAAAAATAAACTACAAAATAGACCTGCATTTTCTAAAGAAAAATCGGTTGAAGAAAAACTAAATTTGAGTTCTTCACAACAGAAAAAACAAAAATTGATTAAAGAACAACGTCAAAATAGCCAACAAAAAGTTTGTTTCTAATTATTTTTTAACCAAATATTATTTATTTAGCGTCCTGAACAAATTGAAAAACGAAGAGCAACATTAGCTTCTGGGGAAGATGCTTCTACAAAGTTAAAATCAACTCCAAAAACAACAAAAGAATCTACGCAGAAAAAAGGTTTTAAATTTTATTTTTTTAGTTAAAATTTTTGATTTTTTTTAGTTGCCAATCAATCTCCAGGATTTGATATTCTCGATTCAATTTTGGACAAACAGGAACAATTACTTGCCAGAAAAACAGCTACTTTAGGCATGGGAAAATCTGTAGCTGAATTAACCAATGAAAATTCTTCTGACGATGAAGAGGTTAATGAATTGTTAGAACTGGAATTGAAAAAACGAAAACAGCGAATGGATCGAGCTAGTGGATTATCTGCTGGAACAACTACTGGAAATATTCAGATATCCCAAACATCACTTTCTACTTCTGTTAATTATTCTGAAACTTCTAGACATCAAACAATTAATAAGTCTCCAATTAGTACAGGTTTATTCTTATATTTTTCTGATTTTTTGTTATATTTTTCAGAAACTTCTCCTCGTCCTGTGAGTTTTAAACGGCCACATTTCCCATTTCCATCACCTCCGCCACCGCCTCCAAAGAAGGTACAATCATCTCCTAAACCTTAATTTTATTAAATTTAAGGTCGATAGAGAAGATCATTTTTCATTTGTGAACTCCATTTCATCTAACTCACCACCGTTGATTGTTGATCGTAGAGATCCGCTTGGACTTTCTTCAATTGGACCAGATACTCCTCCACCTCCGCCACCACCTTCACGTGTATGTTTTTCATCTTCTTTATTATCCTTTTCTAAATTATTAAAAAATTTAGCATACTGCTATGCCATCTTTATCTATTCCTTCTTTGCTTCCCCCGCCACCTCCACCTCCTCCAAGAGTAATTACTTCCATAAATTCACCAGATATCAACCATACTCAACCTAAAGCAAATGAACAACTTACCGGTTCCATTGATCCAAGCTCTGATATTGAAGTGATTTCTTCAATTGTTTCTGACTTACTTAATACAGTATCAAAGGTATGCATAATTAAATATTCTAATTATATATTTGTAACTTTAAAGAATGTTGACGGAATTGAGATTGTCTCTCCTGCTTTAATTCCAGCTATTAGTTGTTCATCAACATTTTCTTCTTCTTTGCCATCAGTTGTTGACAATGGCAATTCCTTTTCATATTCATTTGGATCTGAAGCTCCACCACCTCCTTCATCATCTATTTCATCGGTTTTATTTTATTAATATTTTCGTTTGACTTTTTAAATTAAGACTGTTGAACTATGCGTTGAAAATAATGTCAATAAAGAACATCAAAAACATATTGATAGTGACAAGGAGATGGGTGAAATAGATGAATATGAAGATGGTGAATTATCTAGCGAAGAAGCAAGCAATATTGAAGATGAGGAATATTATGAAGAGCAATCACAAGAAGATGAAATGGAACAAGAAAATGATGAGAGGAGTGTTGAGGAAGAAGATGGAGATGAAATTTTGATTGTAGATGAGTTTAGTCAATTATTGAAAGATCCAAAAGCTTTACTTCATAAAGCTTCAGATGTTTTACGAAGAAAATTTGGTTAGTTTTTCAACCTTATTTGTTGGAAATTAAATTTTTGTTTTCTCATATTTAAGGTACTGATGATGATACAGAACTTGAACCAAGAGCACACTATGAACAAGTTCCACCTAGTGCTGATGAATTAAAAATAGAAGAAGACGAGGAATATAGACAACTTCCAGATCCAGAACAATTTCATGGAGAACCGGTTTGTTTAATTTTTCTTATATGGCGAATGAAATTTTCTTTAGGTTCCTGACGATATGGATGATGATTTATTTGAAATCGCAGCAGGACTTCCACTTCGTACAAAAAATAAAGATAAGGAACCACAATTAGTAATAGAAGAAGAACCATTGCCAAACGAAGAAGAAATTGAACTTGATTTTTGTATTTTAATTTAGTTTTTCAAATAGATGTTTTATTTTTAAAGATAATTCTGATCTAAATATGAAGGCTTCAACAAGTAATAATTGGTTAATTGATCCAGACAATGCTGATGGTTTTGCTCTAATGTGGGGAGGTGTTCGAGCAAATTATGGAATTATTGTTCCTGAACAAAGAGATGATATGCCTCCTTTAGCTTTTCAAGTGAAGGTAGTAAACTTTAAATAAAAATTTAATTTAAATAAAGAGATCTTTTGTTTTTTAATAGATTGCTGAACTTCTATCACTAAAACATTTACCTTTTGAAGAGCCTGATGCTCATGATATTCGTTTGGGATGGTCACGTTTAGGAACTTCTAATATGGTTAATTATTTTTTGTCTAAAAAATTATTTTAAATTAAAGTTGGGAGAGTCTCCTTATTCATTCGCCTTTAATTCTATGGCAAATAAAGCAACGGGAAATATATTTTCAGATTATGGAGAACCTTTTGGAATAGGTGATGTGATTACTGCTGTTTTGGTAATTAATTTAACAATAAACATTTAAGAATTGATAATTTTTTGTAAGGATATAAATTGCGGTGAAATTCGTTTCTTCAAAAATTCGCAAACTTTGGGACCAGCATTTACTGATATACAATTCCAAACTGGTGATGTTTTCTTTCCTCATATTGCAACAAAAAATTGTAAAGTCTATGTTTATTTCGGCAATGAATTCCCTGATAATCCACCTCAATCAACTTTAAATACAAATGGAGACAATACAATTACTGATGAAGAAATAAATCAATGGGGGTAATTTTTCTTTTAAAATATTTTTTTAATTAATTTTTTTAGCTTGCCACCAGATGAAGTTCCTGAAGGAACAAAATGGATTGGAAAGATTGATTTAAGAATGTTAGCCCCAAGTAGAAGGCCAATATCTGATAAAGTATTTTTTATAAAAATAAATTTAAATTATTTTTAATCAATTTTGAGGCACATTGTACTATAATTGCTATGGTTGGTCTTTCTGGTGTTGGTAAAACTAGTTGGGTTCGTCAATATTTAAAAGAACATCCAGAAGAGGATTGGGTTCTTCTCAACAATGATTCTATTTTGCAGGTTAAAAATTTTTTTTCTTTAAAAGATATTTTAAGTCGTTGTCTTTTTTCTTAACGATTTTTCTATTTCTACGTCACGTTTAGTACTGTCTGGTTCGATCCGAAAATTTTCTGAATATATATTTGTCCTTAAATGATAAGTCTCTGGCTTTTTTATTTTACACCGTTCCATTACATTAATTGTACCTAAATTTTTAGATTTTAGTTTATACTTAAATAATTTTTTATCAGAATAATTCTCTTTATTTAGTCAATGGCTGTAAATGGTGTCCCAAGGCAAAGAGTACATCAAGGCAGATGGGATATGGTTATGGGGTTAACAGCTAAAGCACTAAATCGTTCATTACAAATGGCTTGTCGTAGAAGACATAATTATATTTTGGATCAAACAAATGTGACGAGAGATGCCAGAAAACGAAAATTAACTCAATTTCAAGTAAAATTTGAAAAATTTTGTTAAAAACATTTTCAAATTGTTTAGGATTTTCAACGTAAATGCGTAGTTATTATACCAAGTGAAGCAGAACACGAAAGACGTTTGATTCGACAAGCTAGAGAACAAGGAGGAATTGGACAAATGCCTGCTGAAGCAATGCTTGAAATGAAAGGTTTTTTTAATTTTGTTAACTTATAAGATTTTAAAAATTTAGGAAACTTTTCTATTCCCTCAACTGATCAGGAGCCAATTGAAGATGTAATCTTTATTGAACCCCCAATTGAACGTCTTAATGAGGCTATTGAACAAGTAATTATTTTTGGAAATTTTGAATTAAAATATTTTTTTAATTTAAAAGGTTGTTCGTTATAATGAAGAAGGCCAACCCTGGGTTCGTCAACAACAACAAAGGTTTAACCGCTCTAGAGGACAACCTCAGTCAATAATTTCTGATCATTCCAATATACCTTTTGTTGGTGTAACAAGAATTGGAGTTTAAGATAATATATTTGATTTTACAATAGTATTCCCATTTTTGAAGTTCTCATCCGTTTAGATTATTTATGTGCGGCCAAAATACAAGAAATAATTTATTCACGCAAAAGTCACCCCGTCATTCAAGTGATTTTCATTTTGATTATTTGGCTGTAGTGTAGTGTACCGGTGGTAAAAGTTCGGGACGTGACATATGTCATTCGATTCGTCTCGGCGAGCTGAGTCGAACGGTACCACTCCCCATTTTAGGAAATGATTCTGGACCGAGTTATAGGTCCCGGAAAATCGAAAAACCAAAGGGGGGACCAAGCACTTTTTTGGGGTGAAAAATTCGAATATGCAAATTATACCTCATTCGAAAGAGCTCCTCGAGCTGAGTCGAATGACACCAAAATCAACAAAATCCGACTTGATTTGACAAAGTTATGACCGTTTGTTTTAGCTCCTTACCTATGTCATTTGTGGAGATTTTTGCTGCTACGGAGGCCCCAAATACGTCCAGAGCAAGGGAGATAGGAATAGGTTTATGTTACGAGCCCAGACCCACCGCCCGTAGACTCCCCGCGAGGCGCGTGCCGCAAAACCCCGCGCGAAGCGCGGGGTTTTGCACAAGCGCCTCGCCGACGCTCCATAGGTTTAGGTTTTTTGTTTTTTGTGTCGTAATTTTGTCTAATCTTGTCCAATCACGGTGATTTTGATGTCATTCGACTCATCTCGTCGAGCTCTTTCGAATGAGCTAAGAATTGTAGAATCGAATTTTTGACCCTAAAATCCCCCTATGGTTTTTGACCATTTCGAGCCCTATATCTCGACTCAAACTTGTTCAATCAAGCTGATTTTGGTGTCATTCGACTCAGCTCGAGGAGCTCTTTCGAATGAGGTATAATTTGCATTTTCGAATTTTTCACCCCAAAAAAGTGCTTGGTCCCCCCTATGGTTTTTCGATTTTTCGGGACCTATAACTCGGTCCAGAATTATTTCCTAAAGTAGGGAGTGGTACCGTTCGACTCAGCTCGTCGAGACGAATCGAATGACATATGTCACGTCCCGAACTTTTACCACCGGTACACTACACTATATCCGATTATTTAAAAATTAATGCTTTTGAAAAAATAGGATTATTTTATTAAATCTCATTTATTTAAAACCATTCAATGAAAATCGCTAGTTGTGTTGGGGGATCGACACCCCCGCTTCACTTGCTGGGCGCCATTCCTTGATGTACGCAATTGCAAACTCCTAGAATTAAATAAAAACTAATTTAATAAAAATAATGATTAAATAATCTGAAGTGACAAAATTCACAAGTAAATTGGACCCACACCGTTTGTCTCGATTGTGTAACAACCACCCATGCTTGCGTATTAAAACAACTAGCATGGTTGGATGCCATGTGATTGAGACGAATGGTATTACTCACAACATGGAGGTGCATGACAAATTTGTCACTTGGACGGTTATTTAAATCATTAAAGAAATGTAAATTTTTATTAAATTCTAGGAACTTGCAATCGCTTTTGTGAAGGAATACCGTCCTGCGGCTGCTGCAGGCGTTTCTGTTCCAGACACGATTTACCGCTGAAAAGGAAATTGGAAGTCCGATGGAACAAAAATTGGAAGATTATAGGATCCAAAAAAATGAAAATGTTTAAAAAGTTTATTTTTTTAATAAAATTGTTGTCTTTGAATTATTTAATTCATCTTACATAAGTTTCACGTAAGCAATTGAGAATTCCTAGAAATTAATAAAAATTTGGAAGTGACAAATGCAGTATGGTTCTCCATACGGTGCACCACACCGTTAGTCTCAATCTCATGCCGACCATGCATGCTGGTAGTTTTGACCTTTGATCCACAACCTTCTGTACACCTAAACAATCAAATTAAAATAAAAATTTTTTAAACGAAAGCTTACTTATATGATGGTTAGTGATGATGATTACCATCCATCATCATCGTCTATGAGTAAGCTTTCGTTTAAAAAAATTTTATTTTAATTTGATTGTTTAGGTGTACAGAAGGTTGTGGATCAAAGGTCAAAACTACCAGCATGCATGGTCGGCATGAGATTGAGACTAACGGTGTGGTGCACCGTATGGAGAACCATACTGCATTTGTCACTTCCAAATTTTTATTAATTTCTAGGAATTCTCAATTGCTTACGTGAAACTTATGTAAGATGAATTAAATAATTCAAAGACAACAATTTTATTAAAAAAATAAACTTTTTAAACATTTTCATTTTTTTGGATCCTATAATCTTCCAATTTTTGTTCCATCGGACTTCCAATTTCCTTTTCAGCGGTAAATCGTGTCTGGAACAGAAACGCCTGCAGCAGCCGCAGGACGGTATTCCTTCACAAAAGCGATTGCAAGTTCCTAGAATTTAATAAAAATTTACATTTCTTTAATGATTTAAATAACCGTCCAAGTGACAAATTTGTCATGCACCTCCATGTTGTGAGTAATACCATTCGTCTCAATCACATGGCATCCAACCATGCTAGTTGTTTTAATACGCAAGCATGGGTGGTTGTTACACAATCGAGACAAACGGTGTGGGTCCAATTTACTTGTGAATTTTGTCACTTCAGATTATTTAATCATTATTTTTATTAAATTAGTTTTTATTTAATTCTAGGAGTTTGCAATCGCGTACATCAAGGAATGGCGCCCAGTAAGTGAAGCAGGGGTGTCGATCCCCTAACACAACTAGTGATTTTCATTGAATGGTTTTAAAGAAATGAGTTGAAAAATTTTTTGAAAAAAATTTTATTAATAAAATTATTTCCTCCTCAATTATTTAATTCAACTTGTAATATTTTTAAAAACTTGAATAAATATTATGAAAACAGTTAATATTTTTGATGAAATTGTTCATCAAGTTCTCCCGATTTTTCCTTAACCTTCTTCACCTTTACGATCATAAACTGCTAGTCTTTTAAATGATTTTCCCTTGCCTGTACCTTATATTTATTTTTAAAGCTTGGATGAAATAATATTAATCATGAGGATTGGTTTAAAATATTTTTAATAATTCTAGGCATGCATTTTAAATTTTTTAATTCAAATTTAATTCAAAATTTTAAAAAATTAGAATTTTAATTTTAAAATTTATTTCACAAAACTTATTTGATATAAAATTATTAAAAAATCCATTCAAAAGTCATTCAAAAAATTATTTTAAAAAAATCAAAAAATGGTTTCGGTTATCCAAATTTTATAATTTTTTCTTTCCTTTGCTTTAGCTTTTCAAGCAAAAATTTTTCCAACAGGTGGAGTGGGATTAGACGATGTTTGCTTTTGTTTTTCTTGATTTAATAACTAAGTATATTATAGCCATGGGACCAAGGAGGGCTTCGTTCTCGTCGTAGTCCACAACCAATACTTGATCAGCTTGATGGATGAAGAATAAAAAAAATATAAATAAATACATATCAAAAATATGTTAAAATAATACAAAAGTGAATAAAATTAACAATTAAAAATTATTTTTTTATCTAACATTAAATAGGGATCATTTAACAAGGGAAAGGCTACGTTTAATAAAAAATATTTACAAAAAGCTTGAGAGAGATCAAGAAGCTTGAGATTTATAAGGACATGTAGTGAGTAACAAGACTCACATTTAATATAAATTTTTCTTTAATTTTGTTTAGAATTATTTTCATCAAATTGATATATCATATCAATTTTTAACTATAAATAAACGTTTCAGACTTGTTTTAATTTTTTAAGTCGTAAATTAGTTAAATCTTTAATTTTTTAACAAAAATATCAAAAATATTTTCTTTTTCTTTTAATTAATTAATTTATTGAGGATTATCGTCATTTGATATTCGAAAAATCTTTTTTAAAAAGACAACTGTTTTTTAAATAATTTTCTCATTAAGATCTTTATTTTCATTTTCCTAAATTTTAATAAACAAAAATTAATTTAAAAAAGAATGTTTTTTCTAAAATATTTCCCAATTTCAATTTTTATATTTTTTGTGGTTTTGTCTTTTAAAGTAAATTAATAAAATACATATTTAAATTTTAATTTTTATTTAAATAATTAGGATGATGCTACAATTGTTATTTCACATCCAACACATCTTTCTCAGCCTGGATTACAGGTAAATTAAATGACTCAAATTAGGTATATTTAAATTACACAAATATTTACCTCGCGATCTCAAGGTAAAGGTTTTATGGACAGTTTTGGGAGGAAATTCTAAATATGTAGAGTTAGTGATTGGTGGTTATCTCTATTAGGTTAGAGATTGTATTAAAATGCTTAATTTTGTCGAACAATTTTTGTAAGGCATATTAAATTGAAGGAGGCAAATAAAGGATAACACCAAAATAAATTTTATATGAATTAGTCCAGTCAACTGAAGATGTTGGTTCGCTTCCAGCTGCCTAAGCCCAGCTCAGCTTTATCTTTTCTTTCTCCATAAAATATTTTGGAGAAAATTAGAAAATATAAAATTGCAGAGATTAAATAAATTTAAAAATAATTATTTAAGATGTTATTAATTACTGGACAACAACAAGACAAACCACACCGTATAGTTAAACGTTTTAGCTGCTCGGTTATTTTTTAAATTATTTAATTATTTTAATTAAAAATTTATTTTTTAGGGTCAAGACTGTTATATTAATTGTGTTAATGTAAAAATTATTTTTTTTATTTAATTTTTATTTAATTAAAGCAAGAAAAGAATGAAAAGGATAAAGAAAAGGCTAAAAAAGAATGTGCCGGACAGTGTGACTGTAATTTGTCTTCAAAGAAGAATTAAATATGAAGAAATTTTTGAAATAAAAAATGCTTTAAAATAATTAAATAAAATAACCATTTAAAATAAAATATATTTGGTAGATTTTTTAATAATTTGGTGGATACTATTTTTAATAAATTGATTAAATTAATTAAAGATTTATGTAATTTACAAAATGGGAGGAAAAATAACAGAGTTTAGAAATGAAAATTTACTCGTATGCATATACTTCGTACAGATTTTAATTTTTCTCTTACTTGTACACAGGTACAAATACCAATTTTGGTAAAAGCTTCCAACCATTGCTCATAAATTATAAATTAAAATATTTTAATAAAAACTATAAAGGACTCTGATTAATAATTAATATTTATTTATTGCTCTTAGTATAGCTGAACCATAAAAAATGTTAAAAATCTTTCCCAAATTCTTCAAAATTTCAATTACTTTTCATTTGTTTCTTCACTCACGTTTTCTGATTTTTTACCTTTTTTAAAGAAATTCTTCCCTTTAGTCAAAATTTCTGCAGCATTTTGTTTAAACCAATTAGCTATTCGAGCAAATAAACGATCCTCTTCTAAAAAATATTTTTTTACATTTTCATATAGAAACTCCCAACCATTTTCTTCTTCATTCCCTTCCTCTACTTTTTCAATTCCTTCTGTCTCCATTTCTTTATTTTCATTCAATTTCTCATTTTCTTTTACAATATTCTCTTCCTTTTTAGGCCCACCAAATCCAAAATGTTGATATTTTTGATCATAATAACCTCCCAATAAATGCTTATTTTGTTCTTCCTCTCCCTTATTTTCTCCTATTTTTTCTGTCACAAAATTTTCATTCTTTTCATTGAACTGATTAGGATTATCATTAATAACTGAAAAAGGCTCTAAATTGTTTTGATGGTTGTTGTCAACATTATTCCCAGCTTTTTATTAAATTTAAATTTTTGAAAAATTATTTTATGTATAATTAACTCACAAATCTCATTTTCTTCTCCCAAAAAATTATTTTTGATTTTTTGGAAAAATGCTGAGAAAAAAGCATCAGTTGATGGGGCAAATAAAATAATTAACAAAATGGTAGAGAATAATTTTGAATAATACATTTATTTAACTTTTAACCTTTATAAAATGTATTAATTTTATGAACAGCTAATGCAAAAGGTTATTCGGCGACTGGGAGCGAACCAGCATCTTCAGTAGACCGGACTGATGTGTTATCCATAACACCTACTGCGCAGGTGTAGGAATGAAATAGCTAGGTATATGCTTTACAATAGCAATTCTCTCTATTTAACATCTGCACAATTCAGCCCCGAACAAGACGTTTTATCGAGATTCGAATGTATTTAAAAATTGATTATTTAATTTGTAAATTTAAAAAGAAGCAACTTTGGAGGCTAAAAATTGGAAGATTTAAGTTATACTCATCCTTTATGATTATATCGGCATTAATAAATTTTTCTGAAAGTTTTGGGTAAACGCGTTGGCTAAAAACAGGTGAGAAAATAAATTTTAAATTTCCAATGGAAATTTTCTCTAAACTGACAATCTGCTTATAAACACGAATATCGAATATTTAATTAATTTTAATTGATAATTTTACTAATGGAAAATTAAAGAATAATATTTAAAAAAATTGGATAAATCAAAAAAATATTCTTTACATTTTTATAGAAAGAGTTATATGTATATACTTAAAACATCAAAAGAAGTCAAATTTAAACTTAAAAACTTTTAATTTTTATTTAAAAATTTTTTTCCTTCAAATCCTACCCCATTTTCTTATTCACATTTTTTCTCTTGATTTGTCAATGTCTCATCTGTAGCAGCAGAATTTGATGCTTGCTCATCATTTATTATTTCCATAGAACCATTCATTGGTTGAAGAACAGGTGGAGTATCGTTACTAGTCGAAGGTTGTGATTCTTGTTGTTTTATAGGAATTATTGTGTTGGTTGTTGCAGTCTGTCGTTGTTTTTGTTGTTGCTGTTCTTGTAAACTTACTGCTTCCACGATTCGATGCCAAACAATGTTAAGTAATTTTGAGTCTTCATGAATGTCTGAACCTTCAATATTGAAGCGCTAAATAATTTTTAAAAAATAATTTATTTTAAGATTCTCAAAAATACCTGGGCATTATCACAAAGTAAATTAACATCAGAAGTCATTTGCTCTAATAAAGTATATTTGTCATCATTAATTTTTCTTCGAATTCGATTCAAATCCATTGGATGTTCAATCTGTTCATAATAGTCTGGGTATTCACGACGAGATGGTAATTGAATAAATGGACCAGATAGCTCTCTGCCTCTACTTTAATTTTTAAAATAAAAATTTAAGACATACAAAAACTAAATTAACCTGTCCTTATAATTTATTAAGGTATCCAAACAAGTAAGCAATTTCTCAGTAAATTTGGGATTTGAGGGCGGCATCTTTGCACCTTTTGCACGTTTCGCTGCAACACCTCGTCTACCAGGAACGGGTGTTCCTGCATTGCTATCGTCGCCGGAACCAGCCCCACTCTGAAAAATATTTAGAATAGAAAATAAAGAATAAACAATTAATACTTCTTCGTCCATCGCCTTCTTGCGTTTACGACCACGTTTTGCCGGCTCTCCAGATTCCGGAGTCCCATCCTTCTTGCGTCCAGCTCCCTTTTTCTTTTTTCCTGGGATTAATTCAGAAATATCTTCATCATCTTCCGTATCCTCCCATCTTTCACCCATTTGACTAAGCCACTCTTTATCAGTCATCAAATCCTTAAAAATAATTTAAACTAATTTTAACGAAATATTTTCTTCCTTGCCTGCGAGTAATTAACATCTTTCCTTTTTCGACGTCCAGTTTCTGAGAATTCTAGAGCTTGTGTTTGCTTTTCTTTACCTTCTTTTTCCTTATCCTCATTTTCAGTAAATTTACGATGTTGTTCAATAATAGAAGTAGGAATTTCATTTTCTTCTATAAGTCGAGGTTTTCGACGACACTCCATCGCTTCAGCACGTCGACGATCTATATCCATTTGTTGAAATGTGTCAAATTCTTGTTCACTACGCGCAATCATTTGATTAATAACTTCATCATCTGGAACTTCATCTTCGTCGTTATCATCATTTTCTGCTTGAATAATTTCTTCCAATATTTTTTGACGTTCTGCGCCAGTTGACCGTTGATCGAATTTTCCTGCTTGAATAACTTTCTCATCAACGTTCAATTTGAAACGAGCTGCGGCAAGAATCTTTTCCTCAACACTATTAGCAGTAATTAGACGAAGAACACGCACCTAAATAAGCAGTTTAGAAGAGTTCAGGAAATATATTTGATTCATTTAAAATTTCCCAAAACAAAAATTAGTTCAAAAAGCCCGTAAAATTATTTTGAACCCAAATCCTTACCAATAAAAAAATAATAAAATTTAACCTCACGAGTTTGACCAATACGATGAGCTCTGTCCTGTGCTTGCATATCCTAAAAATTATTGTTAATGTATTAAAATCTTCAATTTAAATAAACCTGGTGGGGATTCCAATCAGAATCGAACAAAATAACAGTATCGGCAGACTGTAAATTTAAACCCAAACCACCAGCTCGAGTACTCAACATAAAAAGAAAATATTCTGATCCAGGGGTATTAAATTCCTTAAGAAGATTGCCACGATCTTCGTGTTTTGTACTTCCATCCAAACGTAAATATTTCCAATAACGATACTAAAAAATTAAAAAAATTATTTTTAAATTTTAAACCCCAAAGAGTTATACTTTAAAATAATCTTCCATTATATTCATTAATTGTGTCATTTGACAGAAAATTAATACACGATGGCCAGTTGCTTTCAGTTTTGGCAAAATACGGTCAAGTAATTCAAATTTGCCTGATACTCGATAAAGATCTTTTCTAAAAAGAAAGTTAATAAAAAAATTAAAATTAAAATAAGTAATTACCCGCTAACTTCTTTAACCTTCCAAAAACTTTGGCATTCATCTTCAACACTGTGGAAAAGGAAAGGATGGTTACAAAGTTTACGTAAATGTATAACAGTATTCATTAAAGCACGTCCACCTTGCTTAAATTAAATGAGAAATTAAAAAGGGAACGGGAAAATTGTCGGTTAGGCTTCAAGAAATTATTTTCGCTAAAAGCCAAAAATGCTCCAAAATTAAAAAGAAAATTCTACCACATGTTTCGAATCAATTAGAAGACCCTTTTGCAAATGTTTATAAACAACTCGTTGAAGTGCACTCATATCGCATTTGATTACATATTCTGTCTTTTCAGGCAATTGAGACTCTACTTCCTTTTTCAAACGGCGCAAAAGGAATGGACGCAAAACTTTATGAAGACGACGAATAATAATCATTGTTTCTTCTTGATTTAATTCCAATTTCTCGCCGGTAGAGGCAAAAGGGGCATTAAACCTATTAAAGAATTTTCTTAAGTCAATATCTCTAAAAATTCCATTTTTGTTTTTAAATCTAGTTATCTTTAACGCACATCTGTTCGTCTAATCGTCCCCTAAACAGGGCGTCCTCCTAATCAATTAGGTACCCCTAATCAAAAATCTAAATTTTGACAGACTTCCCGTGTCAATTCATTTTAAGCATCGAACGGGAAACCTAATTTTTGTCTTTGGCATTTTACTACATGTTGTAAATTTCCCTTAAAAAAACAAACCATTGTTCAAAAGTCCCGCAAGACTTGAAGATATTAGGAAGCAAAAAATTTAACAAAGCCCAAAGTTCTGGCAATTTATTTTGAAGAGGTGTTCCAGTCAACAAAAGACGATGTTGTACCGAAAAATAAGCATTCAAAGTTAATGTGAGTTTGCAATTATGATTTTTCATTCGATGACCTTCATCAATTATCATATATTTCCAGCGAATCTAAATATTTTAAAATAATTTTTGAAATAAATTTATAAAAAATTAAACCTTTCCTAACAAAGATCTTTCTTTAAGAACATAATCGTATGTAGTCAACAAAACATTAAATGCTCCTTTACGGACAATTCTTAAAATTAAATTGGTTTAAAATTGTCAGAAGATCTCTCTCAAAAATCCCTCCAAAAAAACTTACGGTTCCAATCTCTTTCGTTGATCTTTATCTCCTTTATAAATAATTTTCACAACATGCGGTGACCATTTATCCAATTCAATTTTCCAATTTGAAATAGTTGAGAGGGGGACAATTATTAAATATGGCCCGTTAACTTTTTTAACTTCCATCAAGTAAGTTATTAAAGCAACCTACAAAAGTTTTATAAAAATATTAAAAATAAAAAACCGTTTGGATTGTTTTCCCGAGACCCATTTCATCTGCCAAAATTCCACTTAAATTATTATTGTACAACGACACAAGCCATTCAAGTCCTTTTATCTAAAAAAAATTATAAAACAAATCCTTAAATTAAAATTAACCTGATATGGTTTCAATTGTAAGTTCGGATCAGAAGCTCCAAGTGTGCTATGTTGTTTCACTATTTTTTCTTTAATCCGATGTGCAGTGGCATAATATGATTCCATTTGTTGACGTTGATTTTTCGAATCATATTCATCTTCCTCATTACGTGCCTTTTCCAAGATTCGTCGACTTCGTTGTTCGTCATCGAGACCTGAAAGAAAAGCTCACAATTAAATGCCCAATAATATATCTTAAGGTAGCAGATCTAACATAAAAATAGGTTCACTTAACCCGTTAACTTCATTTAAAAATTATAAAATAACCTTCACAATCGTCTTCCTTTTGCTCATTTTTAGTTGTTTCTACAGCTTCTTCCCCCTCATCTTCAGAATCAGAAGCAATATCTCTCGAGATTAATTCATAACCAGGATGTGACGCAAGCCATTCCTCTACCTCATCTGGTTTAGGTACAGCATCACCTCTCAAAATTTCACCTGTCGCGCCATTTCGAATAATTAAAGGAAGCTCATCACTTTCATTATTACCTTTAAAATTAAAAAAATATTTTCTAATAAAAATTCAAATTAACCTTGTTGTTGTTTAAGTGCCTTTTTAGCTTCACTACGTTCATCACGTTTTCGTTTCTTTTCAGTAACTTGATGTTGCTTTACAAGTCCAGTCAAATTTTCGACATACTCGTCAGTCTTTTAAACAAAATATTTTCAAAAAATAAAAAAATTACCTGGGCCAACAAATAAACAAGCCTCTTATCCTTCTTTTCGTCTAATAATTGTCGATAACCAACATCGTCTTCTTCCATTAATTTTTGCATACGCATCTTTTCATTTCGTAGCTCATCCTTTTTACGCTCTTTTTCGCTGTTTGCATGCCAATTCTGCATATGTTTCCGAACTTTTGTCGTCTTTGCCTGTGCATTTCGATGAAAATCTTTAAATTCTTTGCTGACTTGAATTATCGCCTTTATAAAAATAATATAGTTAATAAAAAATTTTTAAAAATTACTTGAAGCAGTTCCGAATGTTTCTGTCTACGGCGCCGTTCTTGTTCAACTTTTTGTTGTTTTTCCAACTTCTCAGTAACACGAGCCTCTCTAAGGGTATGTCTTTTAGTTCGACGATAAGCATATGGATTAAGTGCCGTTTCCAGATAGGTATCACGTTTTAAATAACTGAGAACTTCACTACGAACCTGAGGGAAATTTGTGAATGAAAAGGAATATGGTGTTAAAAACTAACTTGGGTTTGTAAATTTACAAGACGCAAAGCACGAAGCTCAATTTCAGCATTCATTCTTAAATGTGGTGGCATATCCATTGTTAATTCACTCAATTCTTTTATTCGAAGAGCAATTCGATTTTGAATTCTATAAGAAAATCAGAAATTTAAATAACACAATAAAAACCTATTTTCGCGTTCACGCCAAATAACTTCTGGGTCAATCCCTTGTGGAAGCGGTAATGTAGTTGTTCGATTTGTGGTTCTCTGTTGATGGATGGCCAATATTTTGCTCAAATCATAAGGAAGCTTTTCGCCATTAGGGAGTTCATAAGGATATTCATATGGAAGCGGGAGTGCATTTGAATCATTCTTTCTGTCATTCGCTTGGTTCAATAATTGTCTGGGTAATGGTTCATTTCTGGCTAGCATCTTGTAAGCTGCTATTTGTGCATTTAATTGACGCATCTGTTCTGGAGTAGTTAGTCCAACCCCCGAGTCGTCAGGGGCAGAGGGGTCCGCAACATTAATCCCTAATTAATTCCATGTAATTAGTCAACTAATTAAAGTCAACCTAAAGGTTTAGGGGCATCTCATACCATCACAAGGGGTCTTATCACAGATAACTGATATAAGAATATGTAATTAATCCCTAATTAGCTCCATGTAATTAACCAATTAATTAAGCCCACCCTAAAGGTTTAGGGACATCCTGTATCAACCCAATGGGTTTTATCAGTGATAACTGATATAAGAAAAAGTGTTCCATGTAATTACCCTTATTTCCATGTAATTAGTCCCTAATTAAAAGCATGTAATTAGTACACTAATTAGGACATCCGGTACCAATTCAGGGACCCGTAAGATCATAAGGTTTAGATCCCTTTCCCCCAAAAATTTTTAATATTTATTTCCTTTTTTCCTTTTCAGAAATTTTCTTTTGATTTCTTCTGTTGTATTTTTTCGCGCAGCGTGCGTGTAGTTTTCTTTTTAAAAATTTGTAGGTCAGATTAAAAACTTTTCCTTTCTTCGGAATTTTTTTAAATTTTCCTTTTGTATTTTTGTTCGCGCAGTGTGCGAACATCTTTATTTTTTAAAATTTTCTTTTGTAAATTTGTAGGTCAACTTAAAAACTTTTCCTTTTTCTTTTGTATTTTCTTAAAATTTTTTAAAAATATTAAGGTCATCTTAAAAATTTTTCCTTTTTCTTTCAATTTTTAAATCTTTTCTTTTGAATTTTTAAAAGTTCTGGGTCATCTTAAAAAATTTCCCTTTTCTTAAAAAATTTCAACTTTCTTTTCAATTCCGGTCAGCCTAACCTAAATATTTCTTTTGTGACAAAAGAAATTAAAAATTTTAATGAATAAAATTTTTAAGATAGAAAAATAAATAAAGGGATTAAATAGTGAAAATAAAAGTTTGAATAGAAATAAAGGAAAAAGGTGAAGTAATAAAAATTGAGAATAAATAGAGATAAAAATAGGGAAAAATATTAAAATATTGTGCTGATTTCCTTCGTCTGCTCCAATCTATCACCAACGCCTACATTGCTGTCTACTTGTTTTATCTCTCGTTTGTCAACTCCGACACTAGATTACCCCCTCTTAAATAAAACTTTATAAAATTTCTAAATTTAGGTCAATTTTTCAAGGTTATTATTAAAAATTTTAACCTAGATTAAAAATTTTAATCCGTTGTTAGGAAATTTCTTAAAAAATCCAACTGTTAAATTTTGAAAATCCTTTTAATAGGAGGAGCTAGAACGGAAGTATAAAAATAGATTGATTTTAACTGGAAAAATCATTCTACTGTTCAACACCAGCTTCTTCGAGACAAAACAAAACTTCTTTTACTCTTTTTAAAAATGTTTCCTCCTCCACCCAAAAAATTTAAGAATTTTTCCATTTCTAATCTATTAGGTTCCCAAACTGATAACCCCCATGTAAAGAAGCTTGGTCATGAGACCAAGTTTAACCGAAAATTTAATTCGTCCAAAGTTTCCACTAGGTTCCTAATTTATGACCTCCCCAATGACCCTGAATCCCTTCTAGAAGGGATCTTCCAAAATACCATTGACGAGGCTCTGGAAGAGAGTCGACAATGGGGGGTTGAAGCTGACCAACTAGGGTGTATAATATCTAGTCAGAACCTAGACTCTGACGTCTGGATTCCGGTTCGTCAGATCACCTCAAACACGATTGATTCAATCTTGAATCAATTCCTCAAGGTTGCCCAAAGTAAGAAACAAGATAATGGTATGTTATGGGGGGCACCTTTTCTAGTATCGGTATCCACTATTCAACGAATTAACACTCCCCGTAAAGTGCACGGACGTGGAAGAAATTCATCATCAAAACAACTTAAAGTAAACGACAAATCACTAATTAAAATTCGCAACGACGAAAACTATTGTCTTTTCTATTCCTTGGTAGCTACATTTATTTATGCAACATGTCTCTGGCCCAAATGGAAATTTTACGACTACATGCATAGCCGTAGAGGGATGACTAATCAATTCAAGAAAGACTCAATGGATCTTATGGAAAGTGTTGGCGCACCTCTTGACCAGGACAGCTACGATGCAGAAGAATGGATTCCCTCTGTGGTTGAATATTGGAATTTACTGAATAAAGGATGGTTTAAAGTTTTTATTTTTGGGGATTTGGGGGAAAAACCTATTTATAAATATGGCCCCGATAATTTTAATATACCTATAATTTTGTTTTATAATAAGGAACACTTTGACGGGGTACGTAGGGCTAGCGATCTTTTTGGCGAACTCTATTGCCTATCCTGTGAAAGTGTTTATAATAGGAAATCAAATCATTCAATTTCTTGTAAATCTAGATGTCCTAACTGTTCAAGAGTTGGCCCCGGGTTTCCTTGTAAGGATATCGATGATTTCTTTAAACGTTGTAATGGGTGTGGGAAAGACTTTAAGAATGAGAATTGTTTTGCCCATCATATCACCTCAAATTTCTGTAGTTCCTCCAAAAAATGTGAAAAATGTGGGGTTATCTGGGATGTTAATGTAAATAATAAGAATGGTAGGGAGGGTCATGTATGCTCCGAACGCTATTGCACTACGTGCGGTAGTTATCACGACCCCAAACGCGGCTGTTACATTAAACCCCTTGTCATTAAACCCCTAAAGGCGTACCGAATTATCGCCTTTGATTTTGAAACCATGCAATATAGGGATGGAGAAAAAGGTAAAATTCACGATGTTAACTTTATAGGGGTAAAGGTAAATTGTCCCGGGTGTATCAATAACGGACCTAACCCTGATTGTAGCGTTTGTGGGGAACATAGGACTTTAACCTTTTCAACGAGACCTTTCCAAAACACACCCGTTGACCTTCAAAATGTCACAGAGTATCCCTTAGAAGAGTTTGTGTCATGGATTATCGATTCTTCCGTGACAGATACAGTTGCCTTCTCGCACTTTGGGGGTAGATTTGATATGGTATTAGTTTTTAAGGAATTGTTCCTTAGAGGGCTGACCCCAGACATGATTAAAAAAGGTAATAAGTTATATGAAATGAAGGTAAAAGTTGGTAAAAAGAATTGGGTAATTTTTAGGGACACATTTAATTTAATGCCCATGTCCCTTGCTTCCTTGGTCCCTGCCTTTGCACTTAGTGTAGAGGACAAACCTTTCTTTCCACACATGGTAAATAGGCCGGAAAATTATGGTAAGGAAATTTTCCCGGTCAAGGATGACTATCTGGCTGATGGTATGATGCCCGAGAAGAGAGTTCAATTTGATAAATGGTATAAAGAACACAAGGATGAGCCTTTCAATCTGGATGAATCCTTGGCATCATATTGTACCAATGATGTGGAAATTCTTATGGCTGCACTGGTGGCATTTCGGCGCGAATTCTTGGAAGTTTCAAATGGATTGGATGTGCTGAGGGAAGCAATGACAATCGCCAGCGCTTGCATGAAACACTTTAGAACAAATCATCTACAATCTCAACACCTTGGAATTGTCCCAGAGAAGGGCTATGACAACGCAGACAACCAGAGTTTGCTTGCTCTTCGATTTCTCACCTGGTACGCTGAGGAACACAATGTGAAAATACGTAATGCTTATTCTAAAGAAGGGGAAAAGAGGTTTGGGAATTATAGGGTAGATGGGTGGGTTGAAGAAAAGAAATTGGTTATCGAGGTCAATGGGTGTTGTTGGCATGGGTGTAAAAAATGCTTTCCTGATGATGAAATAAGACTTCCCAATGGGATTACAGCGGGGATTCAAAGGGAAAGGGATGAAAAACGTTTGGAATTTATTGAAAGCTTTGGAGTTGAAGTGGAAGTCTATTGGGAGTGTGAAATAAGGGGGATGCTCTCAAGGGATAGAGTTATGAGGTTAAAGTTTAAAAATTATCTGGACAATGGACCGATCGATATTCGATCGGCATTCTTTGGGGGGAGAACCGGGCCACTCAAACTATTCCACAAAACGGGGGAGGGGCAAAAAATTTCCTACTATGATGTGACCTCCCTGTACCCCTTCATCAACATGTCAACTCGTTACCCAATTGGTCACCCTGAAGTGCATATTTTGAACAACGACGTCAAATGGACCAAACCCTCTGACAACACGTATGAATTGGCTCTTCTGAAAGTTTTTGTGATACCTCCACGCAGCATTGACATACCAGTGTTGCCTATGAAAATTGGAGAGGACGATGAACGACTACTATTCCCCCTTTGCTCCACTTGTGCAAAGGAAAATCCAAATGGTGATGTGAATGAGAACTACAGCTGCAAACACACAGACGAACAACGTGGATGGGTGTCAACATGTACATCAATTGAGTTGAACGAAGCATTGAAGGAAGGATACGTGGTCACCAAAGTCTTCAGAGTCTTGGAATATAAAAATTATGACGACAACCTATTTCGTCCTTACATTCGTGAATTTATGGCACAAAAAATTCACGCAAGTGGCTTTGACAACGACATCAAAGGAGACAGACAGAAGGAAGAGAACTTCATCAAGGAGTGCAAAGAAAAGTTTGGTATCATCATCGACAGGGAGAAAATGAAGGTCAATAAAGGAAAGAGGACGCAAGCCAAATTATGTCTCAACAACTTATGGGGTCGCTTCTCTCTCCGTAACTTTGGATTGTCTCAATGTGTGGTTACGGACGACCCTGCAGTCTACACCAAATATTCAAACGACCCTTCGCTTATTATAAACTTTTTTGAAGAATTAACAGATGATCTACTTTTAATTTCCTACACCAAAAAGAAGGAATTTGTGGAAGAACATGACTCATCAAATGTCATCATCTCCTTATGGACTACCTCAGCAGCGAGGATCCACTTGCTTCACGCCATGCAACAGGTTGTGAGAACTCCTGACTGCACTTTGCTTTACACCGACACCGACTCCTTAATCTTTTCACATCCGATTGACAACTGCCCACTTCAACTTGGACCTCATCTGGGTCAATTCACAGATGAGTACCCGGACTTCAAAATTTTGGAATTTTGCTCTGGTGGCGCAAAACAATATGGCTTGAAGATGGAAAAGAAGAATGAGCCCAACAGTGAATCAGTCTACGTGCTCAAGGTGCGCGGAATGACTCTGAACTGGGATGCAATCAACAATCAAGGAATGCGGTATGAGACGTTTAAAGAAAAAGTTTTCAATTTCGCTGAAGGTGATTATGATCCAATTATTGTATCTTACCCCAACTTTTTACGTCCATCTGTTAAGGATGGATCAGTCACCACTTTACCTCTTAAGAAAATTTATAAACCATACGTCGGAAAGGGAGTAGTCCGCCCTTCCGATTTTTCTGTATTGGACTTTGGATTTATTAATTTGTAATTTTTCCCAAATTAACTTGGAGATGGAAAGTAGCCAGGGGTATGGGCACCCAAACTCTATACCAACCATCGTAATGTTGCGAGTCACACCTCTCATTGACTTGTCGATGATTATCAAATGTGTTATTCACATATTGTGAGGTAATCCTCGCATTGAAAATCGGTGGTAGCGGACTTGAGTAAATTCTCAAGTCCCTGGTTGAGTTTGGTGATGTCTGTCGAATGACGAAGCCATTCTCCTTCCCTTTTTCTATTCACTATATTTCCTATTTTTATTCATTTAATTAATCATTATTGTATTTAATTTTTATTCGTGATAAAAATTTTATAATATGTTTTTTATTATTTAAAAAATACATAATTAAGAAAAATTAGGATAAAATAAATTACAGAATTAAGAGAAATAGGTTTACAATTTTAGGGGTAAAATTGCATAATTAAGGAAAATATCTTGCATATTTTAAAAATACATTTACATAATTAAGTGTAAAGTGCGGAATTAAGGAAAAGAACATGACAATTTTAGGGGTAAAATTGCGGAATTAAGGAAAAATATTACATTTTTATCATTTTTCAGTGTATATAGGGGTATGTACAAGGGGTGCATATACATATAGTGGGCATAGATATCTTTACCATTTGTCCTGACTTAGGTCTCCTCTATAAATTTCATCATCCTCTTCCTTGTTCATAAATATTGTTGGACTTCCAAGTGATGAAATTGAATTTGTTTTTGATTTAGATTCTTGCAGTGTTAAACGCCCCATCTCTACTGCTAAACGATCTATCTTATCCATGTGTTCTTCATCAACGAATTCCAATACTTCCAAAGGATAAAAACGATCCTTTTCAAACTGTCTGCGATCGATAACACAATTCAAATAAGGGTTGCGCAGACGAATACGATGTCTTGTGTAAAAATGTTGCGATATAGTAACATTATAATGACTCCTAAGACGTCCATAGGCGCGAATTCTGTTTGCGCCTTTTCTTGTCAAACCTCCAAATAAAAAAGTTTTCCTCTGATAATCTTTGTTCAGATAGATTGTTTGCACTTTACGATTCAAAAATTCTTTCATTACTCTAATACGAGTCTGAGGATTTACTAAGTGCCCACTTAGACTGAGAACTGAACATTCAAGGAAGCGCGCGATTTCATCGATTACGCGGACCATTTTTGAAGAAAGAATTAAAAAAAATGAAGAATGAAAAATTTGTTACAAGATATTTTGGTTTATATATGACCCCCCGTACTTTTTCCATAACTGGTTATTAGCCCCATATACACCTCAATGCAAAATTAACCTATTTTTACCACATACACATCAAAATTTATTCATTTTAGGTAAATTTGTTCAAAAAAATATCAAGTTATTAGGTGAGCTTGATTATTATGGACATGCATCTTAAAATACAATTCATTAATAAAATTATTATTGTATTATATTTTTATTATTGATAAAAATTTAGAATGTTTTTATTTAATTCAAGTAAATATTTAATTAAAAATATTTAAAGCATAATTACTTATTTGATTTTAATGTCACTTTTTTTTGCTCAGGTAAATCTAAATTAATTTTATTTAATTTATTATCTTTATATATTATTTATGATAATCCTATTGTAATTTCACAAATTTCTCAACCAGAAACAACAATAGAAAAATACATAGATGTAGACGTTGTAGAGCACACTTCTTTATAGGTTTGTAATTTTTAAAGAATAAAAATTTATTCATGAGTTAAAAAGGTTTGACCTTCAGATGGTTTTTTTTGCCAGAAACTTCATCAATCTGTACAAGAAACATTTAAAGACTGGATTATAGTTTAAAATAATTAGAGACATTTCAAATTTGTCCTTGGATTGTAGATAATATATTTAAATCTTCCTTAACTGTAGGCACCCAGATACACTATTTGATTTATCGGGGTGTCCACAAATTCATGAGACTGACATGCAGTCGCTTAGGTAGTATACTTAATTACTTTTTAATTAATTAATTCCATGTAAATTACTAATTGGACTAAAACAAAGGATTAGAGATATCAGATATCAACCTATGCTCAGAGAAGTCAAGTGTAAATTTAACTACCTACTAATTAATTACATAGAATTTGCACAATATTTAAATTAATCCAAAAGTTTAGAGACTTTTAAGACTGACCAATGACGCTTCAAACCAAAAGGCCTAAGGGAATTTTTTAAATTTTGATAGTTGAGGAAAAGGATTCAATTAAATAAAATAATAAAAAAAATGGAAAAAATTAAAAGTCCATTTTTTTTATATTTTTCCATTTTTTTTATTATTTTATTTAATTGAATCCTTTTCCTCAACTATCAAAATTTAAAAAATTCCCTTAGGCCTTTTGGTTTGAAGCGTCATTGGTCAGTCCTAAAAGTCTCTAAACTTTTGGATTAATTTAAATATTGTGCAAATTCTATGTAATTAATTAGTAGGTAGTTAAATTTACACTTGACTTCTCTGAGCATAGGTTGATATCTGATATCTCTAATCCTTTGTTTTAGTCCAATTAGTAATTTACATGGAATTAATTAATTAAAAAGTAATTAAGTATACTACCTAAGCGACTGCATGTCAGTCTCATGAATTTGTGGACACCCCGATAAATCAAATAGTGTATCTGGGTGCCTACAGTTAAGGAAGATTTAGATATATTATCTACAATCCAAGGACAAATTTGAAATGTCTCTAATTATTTTAAACTATAATCCAGTCTTTAAATGTTTCTTGTACAGATTGATGAAGTTTCTGGCAAAAAAAACCATCTGAAGGTCAAACCTTTTTAACTCATGAATAAATTTTTATTCTTTAAAAATTACAAACCTATAAAGAAGTGTGCTCTACAACGTCTACATCTATGTATTTTTCTATTGTTGTTTCTGGTTGAGAAATTTGTGAAATTACAATAGGATTATCATAAATAATATATAAAGATAATAAATTAAATAAAATTAATTTAGATTTACCTGAGCAAAAAAAAGTGACATTAAAATCAAATAAGTAATTATGCTTTAAATATTTTTAATTAAATATTTACTTGAATTAAATAAAAACATTCTAAATTTTTATCAATAATAAAAATATAATACAATAATAATTTTATTAATGAATTGTATTTTAAGATGCATGTCCATAATAATCAAGCTCACCTAATAACTTGATATTTTTTTGAACAAATTTACCTAAAATGAATAAATTTTGATGTGTATGTGGTAAAAATAGGTTAATTTTGCATTGAGGTGTATATGGGGCTAATAACCAGTTATGGAAAAAGTACGGGGGGTCATATATAAACCAAAATATCTTGTAACAAATTTTTCATTCTTCATTTTTTTTAATTCTTTCTTCAAAAATGGTCCGCGTAATCGATGAAATCGCGCGCTTCCTTGAATGTTCAGTTCTCAGTCTAAGTGGGCACTTAGTAAATCCTCAGACTCGTATTAGAGTAATGAAAGAATTTTTGAATCGTAAAGTGCAAACAATCTATCTGAACAAAGATTATCAGAGGAAAACTTTTTTATTTGGAGGTTTGACAAGAAAAGGCGCAAACAGAATTCGCGCCTATGGACGTCTTAGGAGTCATTATAATGTTACTATATCGCAACATTTTTACACAAGACATCGTATTCGTCTGCGCAACCCTTATTTGAATTGTGTTATCGATCGCAGACAGTTTGAAAAGGATCGTTTTTATCCTTTGGAAGTATTGGAATTCGTTGATGAAGAACACATGGATAAGATAGATCGTTTAGCAGTAGAGATGGGGCGTTTAACACTGCAAGAATCTAAATCAAAAACAAATTCAATTTCATCACTTGGAAGTCCAACAATATTTATGAACAAGGAAGAGGATGATGAAATTTATAGAGGAGACCTAAGTCAGGACAAATGGTAAAGATATCTATGCCCACTATATGTATATGCACCCCTTGTACATACCCCTATATACACTGAAAAATGATAAAAATGTAATATTTTTCCTTAATTCCGCAATTTTACCCCTAAAATTGTCATGTTCTTTTCCTTAATTCCGCACTTTACACTTAATTATGTAAATGTATTTTTAAAATATGCAAGATATTTTCCTTAATTATGCAATTTTACCCCTAAAATTGTAAACCTATTTCTCTTAATTCTGTAATTTATTTTATCCTAATTTTTCTTAATTATGTATTTTTTAAATAATAAAAAACATATTATAAAATTTTTATCACGAATAAAAATTAAATACAATAATGATTAATTAAATGAATAAAAATAGGAAATATAGTGAATAGAAAAAGGGAAGGAGAATGGCTTCGTCATTCGACAGACATCACCAAACTCAACCAGGGACTTGAGAATTTACTCAAGTCCGCTACCACCGATTTTCAATGCGAGGATTACCTCACAATATGTGAATAACACATTTGATAATCATCGACAAGTCAATGAGAGGTGTGACTCGCAACATTACGATGGTTGGTATAGAGTTTGGGTGCCCATACCCCTGGCTACTTTCCATCTCCAAGTTAATTTGGGAAAAATTACAAATTAATAAATCCAAAGTCCAATACAGAAAAATCGGA